TGCCCCCCCCCCCCCCCCCCCCCCCCCCCGCGCCCCCCCCCCCCCCCCCCCGAGGCCCAATTGTCGGCGCCGCGCGACTGCAGTGCTTGGGTAATTCGCGGATGGAAGCTCGGTGCGTGGGTTAGAGGGAAAAGATAGAAAGGAAGGCGTAGAATGGAAGATAGAAGACGCCATAAGAGGAAAAAAAGGAAAAAGAGTAACGCCAACCCCATGTTGAATGGACACCTGGACGGCTCGGACTCCGGCAAGTAGATTAGGCTCGAAAGCTGGCTTTTTATTTATTTTGTTTGTAGGCGCTGCTAGCGAATTATTAGGCTACGGTAATATATACATATAGAAGAGGTGGAAAAGTAGTACGTACACACACATATTGGGCGCAGACTTTAGCAGAGTAGTATTATGCGGTGAAAGAATCTTCATCCGTCCAATGTTAACGACAATGGTACGCGCATACATAAATGTGTAACACATACTCTCGCTGAATTGATGCTGTCCTGGCAGCGCCGGGCGATGTGCCATGGGTAGCTAGGCCCTATTCTCAGAAAGGACCGAGTTCCAGCTGATCAACGCCTTGATCCGAGCTTCTAGAGCTAGACGGTGGGTAAAATAAAAATACGTCAGGCCGGCGCCAATGACGATTTCATGGACGTTGGTCGTACGACTCTTGCAGTCTTTGTTACAGGTTTGATAAAAAGCCACTGTGTATGAAGTGCGCACTTGACGAACCTAGGTAGCTAAAAATAAGCAGCTATACTTCAGGTAGATCATTATAGGAAACGGTTATTACAGAAGCAACTAAGAGACTTGACAGGAATATTTAGAAACTTTTACATATGATTGTGCGGGTGATCATCCCGCTTGACCAAAGAACGAGCCAAAGTTTTGTCCTCGATAAGGCCGGTTATATCATTCAAAATCTATTGTCATATATTCATGGTGATCGTTGGAACCGACAGAGCCAGTCAGGTCCGGAGACTTCGATCTTCTCACATACATTACCGATCTAATGCGAGAAGTTACAAGAAAACCCCTGCAGGATCTAGGCGATTCCTTGTTGGACACGCAGGACACGTTAGGCCAAGTGTTTCCCACCACTGCCCAGGTTGCTAGCCTTACGAATTGGAATTAGAGCAGGACGTTTTTCCCGTATGTGGCGGGTTTTACCAAATGAATGGTTGAGCGCCACGGCCGCTGACGCGTGCAGCCATCTATCGAATTCCAAAGGAGCTCTCGTCCGTGATTGGCCCTCGGCTTTACCAATACTGCTTTGCCCAACTCGATAGTCAATTACCGGCGGTCAGACTACTATTATAAAGAAGGTAATGATCTCATGGAGCGACATCCAAGGTGAGCGAAGAAATTCCCTTCTTCACCGAGGATGATCGCCGGCCCACTCCTGCGCGACGACTGGAAATTGTAGCAATATGTAACGTTGCCGAAAAAAACCCCATGTGATAGCTGGTATTGTCTGAGATGTTGATTTCCGATCCATGCTTTCAAGAGCTGCGAGAAAAAAAAAGTTCATGTTGGCTCCTAAGTCTTTACCTACTTGCCTACCTACCTACCTACGTTATAGACATCTCCCAGGCCATTCGGACGAAAGTCGAAGCTGGGAAAGTAAAGTCCGAAAGGGATGTTCGTGGTTGGCGAGATCGACCCGACGATTTGGTAGATAGGGCGGGGCCGGAGGACCCAAATGGCAATTATTGCAGGCGCAAACAAAAGGCACCAAGGAAGTAGATCCTGATGAGGCTATTAATGCATTCAATTGGAGGTAATACAAAGGCTGGCAGCCAAAGGGAGCTCGTCTTGAACGCCTCCATGCGGGTTGCGAGGCGTCCGTCAGGAGAAGAGCCAATTGGATTCGAACCATCCGCATCGTCCCAACCGAACCGGTCTCCAAGAGGCTTACCAACTATCAGCATGTATAGGAGTCTGACCCAAAGAATTTCGACCGGCGAATTCTGGAATTCCGGTATGTGTGGTCATCAAACTCCGAGTTGAGAAAAAATGGTTGTTCGCTGACACGATGAGAAGTTAAGGTCGCCGTGGTCGCCGTTGATGGTCATGGCGGCCGTGGGGGTTTTATGAGGTCCAGAATATCGACCGACCTTCATGAATTTCTTTCTACCGAGGTGGCTCGCCACCAAATAAGCAAAAAAAGAAAGTTCCAATGCAATAATGGCCGTTTCACGTAAACGAAAACGATCTCTCCCACCCTCTAGTGCTGGATCTAACGCAAGTACGAACCGCCTGGCGGGCTACACAAAGCCGTGTTCGCGAGTGGTGATTCGCGCGGTCGGTAAGGTTCTCTGAGACATGACAAGGTGACGCTGGCTTAATGCCGGGCGCCTGGTCCCTGCTCCCTTCGCAGCCGGCTTACGGCTGTAGGAAAAGTGATATACGCATACGGGAACCCTCCGCTTTGCTTGCTGACAGGAATTTCCTAGCATAGTTCCTCGGACCCATGGCCATGTTATTGGGACAGTAGGTAGACGGAACCTTGGAAAAGCTTAGATCTTACCCCGATCTAGACCCGGTGGGTCGCATAATAAGGGATGGGTGAGGCTTTCCATACAAGTCTTCAACCAGCGTTTCCGCCAGCTCCGTCTTGCTTTATCGACGCCTCACCAGAAAGGACTTCGATACCGAATGAACAACGTGAAGCGGTCGGCCCGAGCTGTCTTTACGGTTGCAAGACCTTTAGCGAGTATAACAGGGAGTCAACGAATGGATGTCGTCGATCCTAGTAATCTCCAAGTCACTAGCCCTCCACAAGGTTCGAGACAGTTTGTATCACTTATATATGTACGCAGCGTTGATGGAAGACGATGTCATTAGGTAAGGTGTGGTGGGACTTCGGCCGAGGTAGCAAGGGACTTAGTGTATGTAATTAGAAGAAAAAAGTAATATAATAATAGCAAGGTTGTACCAGAAGCAGATCAATGTTGGTTGACAGCGGGCAGAGGCGTTGTCTGTGCATGGGAGTTGACGGGTTCGCGTGAATGCCTCGCTCAGCTTTTGGTTGCTAGCGTATCTTGAGATGCTGGTTTCGAAACACTTATTGCGCCAACGATAGTTCATCGAGCGGGAGACGCACGTACTCGCATCTTCCATCTGGCACCTGATGTCGCTAATTCAGAACCCTCCCTGCCGCGGCCGTGCATGTCCATGTAGGTAGATATGTACGTACTTGGGATACCCACCTACATAAAAAGCTACCGCACTTGGATATTAACGATGCGACCCTATCTCCTACATATCACATAGCAGCTACATATGAGATACATGGCATCCCGACACATTCTGCTGGTTCTAAATAGTGCTTTTGTCTTTGTTCTTGTAAGTTTGCCTTTGGAAATTTGAGACGCTAGGAGGCTCGAATGAGATGAGCTTCATTTATAAGATGGACCAACTAGTCGTTTAGCCTCCGTGGGTAATCCTTGCAATATTCTGTAGCCTCTTTGAACCGAGCAACCTGAGTTTAACTACATCTCGTACATGTTTATATGTGTAACTGTGTATGGGTAGGTTCGGCCTTTAAAGCTCTCTGTAAGCCCCCACATAGTTATGTGACAAGACAGCAAGACTATTTATCCGGATGTATCAATCACTCGCCTGCGGATTCGGGAAATCTGTAATAAGGTACTGAAAAGGTGGTGATATACGGAGAGGTCTAGGCAATGCTACGTTTAAGTAAGTAGGTAGGTGAGTGTACATGTATGTACGGAGTATGTTCGTGATGAATACGCCAAGACTGTCTACACGTGTATGTAGTCGTCTTCTCCCGGACCCATAAAATGATTATTTCCTGGTCAAGTACTTTGCGATATGTATACATCCAAGGCTTACGAGACCCGATCTACCCCAGAGCTGGGGTGGATGATAGATTTCGCCTTGACAAGGCAGGCGTTCGAGCGTATTTGGCGCTTAATGCTTAACCGATGGACTATCATCTGCTGATGAAGCAGGAGAGAAATGATGATTAACAAACCCGTCCGCTGGGTTGATCTGCATTGGATTTCAGATCTTGGGGCCCCGACAGGGGTGACACAACGTGGGGGGCTAGACATCCAATATATTCGATATCTTTATCCAAGCAGATATTTTGGGTAGGATGTTTGTCATGTAAGGTTGCTGAAGAAAATGAAAGATGATGGCGTTACGGACGCCTTTGACAATGAATGGATACCATCGGCGCGGTATCTATGGGTCCATTCATATATCCCTTCGGATGTTTAAAACCCAAATGATCGATGATGGTATCATGCTAGGGATGATACCTCACGGCTTGTTAGTCCGGTTCGAACATGAGTATGATTCCCCGGAACCTCGTCTCTTCCAGGGGCTTGCTTACTTGGACTTACCGGCTTTACGGTACATACTATGAAAAGTCCAGGCAACATTAGTTGAATCGAAGTAAGGAGTGTCGAATGTTAGGGGTTCGGTACTCCTCGACTTATAATACATACATGTAATACTTGTAGTTTATGGTGAAGTAGTACCTAATCCAGGCACCTACGTACATACCTAGGTATGTTTATGAAAAGCTACAGTATTTTAAAAACAATTCGTCTTGTAGCAATTATTATTCTTTTCCTGTTTACTCAAATATGTGTCGAATTACGTATCTTTTCTCATTGTCGAGGTGGACCGAGGTGAAGTGGTGATCGAAAGTAGGAAGTTGAAAAGATGAAAAGGGAAAGAATCGGCGCGTTCTGTACTATGTAAGAAGTAGTCCGCGATCATTGAAGTCGAATTTTAGTTTCCTTAGGCTATCTAAGCTAGGCACATAGGTAGGGTAGGTACGATAGATTTAGATCGTCTGCTCTTTCTTTTAGATTTCGGAAATGACGCGTAGGATAAAGCAACATAGTCGGGAGGCTCTCTCCCTAACAAGCTCTTGAACTCTTTCCCGCCCCGGCCAGTTCGGGTCGCCCCACAACTCCACAACGCACCGCCCCGGAACCGCCCTTCCAAGTGTTGCAAATCCACTTAGGCACTATCCAGGGCCACTTATACCCACTCTTCCCGCTAATAAGCTAAGGGCAACCAATTCTAACCTTTTCTAACTATTTCCCCTTGTCAACGAGCAGGGGTATACTCGCACACATCATGCAGAATCACCAGACCGTGATCATTCATCCACTATTTTCTTGATCTCTTGTCTCTCCGTCTTTTCTATCTCCTATCGTGCTTTTCTGGGCATCTTCCCTCTTCGGCGACTAATCATCGAGAGGGCATGTCGCTAGTTAGAAATTCTTCGTGTCTTGCCTGTTGTTGGTAAAAAACAAAAAAAAAAAAAAAAAAAAGAGAACTCCATGTTGGAGACAAGTATAACTAATAATGCATCAGTGGAATAATTCCTGCATAAAAGACGGCATATTAAGAGAGAGCTCAAGATTCTTCCCTGTCGAGGTAATCTGTCATCTCGCTGAATCAAGATTGTTAGATCTCTCCCAAGCACGCATATGCGCTACGTTGCAAAAATGGATGACCATCGACTATAACTCAAGTTCCGATTCTTTCGGCAATCTCTCGCGTACGGAATACTTTCCAAGGTTGTCGGTGCGTTCAGACGTACGCAGTAGACTGGAGAATGGAGACCCTTCACTTGAGGCACGTGTGTACATGTTATGTACCAATTGTGCAGACAGGCAAAGCGACGCCATACGCCATCTAGGCCTGTCCGTACTTGTCTCTCTCCCCCACTGTACCATAGAGGATTTGTATTGGTTGGGAAGACGATCCATGTACAAGTATGTAGTGTACTGTACATTACAAGGCCTTATTGATGCCGCCATCCATGATCACGACCCCCGGCTTTTGACTTCTTCGGGCCTTGTGGATAGCCCATAGCTTGAGAGCTTTTCTCGCCTGCTCGCCCCTTGACGGCAGGCCCCCTCGCAGAGAACCCACACACGGCCTCTCGTTACCACCTAAGGGACTAAGGTAGTCTACTTCGCAGCCCGCAAGCCCATACCATACCCTCTGGACATCCAGCTGCATACGCACATCCGTACTCTTTCGTACACACCCGATAAAAACAACTGAGCAAAGGACAGTCCTTGCTCGTCAAGACTAACACCCCAGGCTTATCGTGGAAACGAGGGGCAGGGGTCTCGCGAAATCGCTTCGTCCCAATATCCTTGCGATCTGTCCGTGTGTTTGGCCTAATTTTTGTTCACTACGAAGACTACAACTACTACACACAGTATTTCTCCACAAACCCTTTGCCGCTTGCCATCGCATATATCCCTTTTCCTTTTTTCCCTTTTCGCTGAGCTTTATTTATGAGAACAAACCTCGGGTAGTCCCACGTTTACCGAGTGGATGTGTCGCCGCATTCTCGTTTCTGCGCGAGGCAGCTAGGTCTACCATTTTCTCATCGCAATTGTTTGAGCTCTCGCTGCTGCTGCTGCTGCTGCTCACCTCCTCCCCGAGTACCACTGCCGCTTGCCGCACGAGCGCTGGGAATCACATGGTTTTACGAACACTTTAACTCCGCCGCATCGTCATCTATCCCTCGCATTATACTGCCGGCAACCCGTGGTGGTATCTAGCTAGTTAGTTGCCTTTGCCTTATTAATTCATAGCGTTCAATGGGCCCCCTCTAAATTGGTTGGTAAAACGCCTGTTCAGATCCTCCTCACAGTGTGCCCAGCTCTGCGGCTGCAAAAGCAACGGATAAGCGTATCTAGCAGCAGCAAAGCTTAGTGCAATTTATCTTGAATTGGCTTTTATACGCTCTCACGACGGTCTTGAACTGATTCTGAGACAGCTACAGAAGCCAGGACGGGGCATATCACAAGCGAGTAAAGAGGCCTCACTGCTCGATGTCTTACAACTCTCTAAAAGTGAAAGAGGACACCCACTGTCCTTCGCGCGCAACCTTTACTACTAGTTGATAGTCCCGTTTGAAACTCGCTGCGGGCCTGTCCAGCTCATTAAACTGAATACACGACTATTCAGCTCTAACCCTACGATATTACCTTTCTTTGTTAGCACGGAATCCATGCTCAGCTTAGCCTAGTTCGCAGCCGCCTACCAACTCTTTATATCCAGGCCTGATAAGACTTATTTCTCATCCCGTTTAGCCAACCACCCCCCCTTAGGGACGCAAGCTCCCGCTGCCGCTGCTAAACAAAGAAAAGACTGTCTCGTCTGAAGGCTATCAGCCCTCGATGTGCGTTTTACCTTTCCGTTCGGCTTCTCCACATCAATAGGTCACTACCAGCTCCTCTTAAGCTCGTTTGGGTCTGCCAATACGAAGTGCTACACTCTTATCTCGCCACAACTTCCCTTCTAACTATACCCTCGCACATATATTGGGCACGCGCACCACCTTTACTTACATCGCCACAACATATCTAGCTCTGACAAGAAATCCTCCTAGACTGCACCCAGCCGGTGTCTTCATTCTACATCAAAGTTATTTTATCCAATTCTGTCTTACTGCCTGTATCTGTGAGACACGCCTGGACACAGCGTCGAAGTCGGAAATCGGCGACATTTTTTGCAAAGGATCCGAGTGGAGCTCAGACGATACGATTGCGTGTGATGAACTGAAGCGCATAGTAGTAGAGAGGCTCTGCGAGTTCACGAGTTCGCCGCACCTTCTACAAGACGAAGACTGAAATAAGATCTCCTGCCACGAATAACTAATTTCAAAAATCATATACCTTCTTACACCTCCAGCCATGGTGCAAGATCTGAACCAACCCCGGGATCCCTTCCCACCCAGGACATATTGGGCACACCAGGACAGATTTCCTATGGAGCCAGTCCAGGACGATGGTCGCTTCGCCGACTCACAAGACGTGAGACGGCCCCCTATGGTGAGTTGGACGTTATCCTTCTGGTAAAACTGTAATACTAAGTCTTAAATAGGCGATTGACAAGGCCTTGCGCGAGTACTGTAACATTTCCGCGGAATTCTACGTGGTCATGACTGTCATTGAGGGAAAGCCTCACATATTCACAGCACCACATATACCTTCGATAAATATATCGAGATTCTTAGATGTGGAAGCCCTCGGCCGCGAACTGCAGCGTGCTCAGCCTGGTAAGTTCCAAGAGTTTAGTTGAGGATTTAGATATATAACTAAGACCTCCCTCTAGCTGCAAATCCTACGTATCCTGAATCAGAATTTACCTCCTTCGATTCAGATATCAGCCGATATTCTATGGACTCGACTAGACGCTGGACACAAGACCGGCGGTATGGTCAATCTATGGGTTTGACAGGCTTTGAGGATGACGGGGAATACAAAGCCCGCAAACGGCCAAGAGCAACGTTATCACGACGTGAAACCGAGAACTTCGAGGATGAACCAGTAGCTTCGTCAAGTTCCTTGAGGAGAAAGATTGAAATCCGCGACGAGAAGGCTGTATGGCAGTTCTACGAAGAACGTTTTAAAAGCATTCAACAAAATGCATGTAAACTACTGGCTAAGGCTTGGGTGAAGGCTGTTGAGCCTAAGAAGCAATCGACACATCCCTATACAGGCTCAGACGAGAAGGCACCCGATTGGTGGCCCAAGCCTTGGGGGCCAGGCAAGGAACACCGAGTAAGACACAAGGAACCAGATCATCTATATAAGCGAGGTAAGATGAGTATAAGGGATATGGGAAAGTGCAAAATACTGACTCGCCGTTTTAGAACGAATACATCTTCTGGTACATATTCTTCGGCTGATCGTTGAGCCTAACCATCTTCAACATCCAACCATCCAAAAACTCTATTTGAATGTAGCCAAGCTGGAGGAGGTTACCACCGAAGCCCTGTCATCGTTCTTCGCCGACAAAGAAAACCCGAGCAATTTGGCGAAGAGACCATATTTAAAAGAGATATTCAGAGTCGCTCAAAATGAAGAACGTTATAAAGACGGACAGATCGGTAAGCAGTCCTAAACTCTCTAAAGACGTATTAGAATGTCACTAAGTGTATACGTAGATGGAACAACTATTGTCCACGTAATGCCAAATGATCGAGTTGGCCAGGGCTACGTGTCGGATACTGAGGATGTCACCCCGGGGAGAGAAGACGGTGACCATAATCCAACGCCGAACTCTTCTAGTGCATCGCCTCAGAGAACAAGTATACCACAGACTCTTATGGCTCAGGCTCACAGCACAGAACAAAGTCCGACCACCCAAATGTCCAGCGACACCTTTGTGGGAGATATGCCAGTTCGCGGGAATCAATATTCTCAGCCACTCCTAAATCCAGAAATGACCACGGAACGACAGACCTTTGTGGAGGCCCCTAGTATAGCCAATCATGCCCCACTTAATCCAACAACGAATATCGGTCTCCACGATATGTACACCAGTACTCACGATTCCAGCAGGAGATCGTCCATGTTCACCTCCCCGCCGGAGTACACCAGCCCGGCTACGCCAACCATCTACCAACAGTGGCAAGCGAATTCAACAGCGCCCAGCAATCCGTCGATTTATGCCTTCCCGCAGCAGGCAGGTAATGCGCATCAGTCTTTCGTTGGCCATGCCGGCGTGTCGATTCCACAAAATCAGCAATATATGGGGACTTCATTTGACGGGTTATCAAGGGGAAGCCATGATACGCAGCATGGTGGCATGATGCGCGCACTTCCTCAGCCTGGCTACCCTAGCTATATGCCCCACGAGCCGGGACCTCTTTCGGCATCAGGTACTAAGGCTGATCCCCTTCCTAGGCATCCCACACAGTAGGCCCACTGTCAGTCGACGGGGGCTTACGATCCTGTCGGGCGACAATACCTGTGCTGCCCCTACCTGTGTGGGTGATTCCGACCTAGCGTTGGAGCTTCCCATGCTGGGGCAGATCATTGAGCGTCTATGTCTTGTAAGCGTAACTCTACGATTACAGCGTCGCTATTGATTGGTTGGTGGTTCAATTTGATTTGAGAGTTAAGAGTTCTTGGTGTTGAATCTTTGCTTTCTGCGTCGAGTTTTGAAACTCGATGGAAGGCAGTCCCTCTGCAATGAAGGATGCTAGGATGCCACATATTCTACGAGCTCTTTTGTGTTCTTCTCAAACATTGAATTATCTAACTGGTGGCGGCAAGTTTATTGCATACTCGCAAAGTGCTATTGAAGACGTTGTTCTTGTACAATGCACAAATCACGGTGGTGGTTATTTATCCTTTAACCTTACACGAAGAGAGGCTCGGCGCTGTCGGCTCTACAGTTTGCAATTCACCTTGTTTTGTTTTGTTTTATTTTCCAGCGCTGCCTTGTCTTGGCCGTTTTCTATCGTCGATGCCTACCCTGCGAATATCACGTGATAACGAGAAGAGCAGAGGGGGGCTCAACAAAAGGGGCCGGCAATAGTGAAGAAGCATTAGGGCGGCAACCAATTCAGTGAGGAGGCTACAACTGGACGGTGGCTTTGTTTGTTTCCTACAGGATCAATACCACGCAGGCATGAGTTGGCTACGTCTCATTGCATAGCATGGGTGCCATACGACTTACACGAGTCAAGGGCTTATCGGGTGGTTATTTTATCCTTGCGTGCTCTGCCTCGCCGGACTTTGGTTCGTTCATCGCATAGCGAAGTACATGGAGGTTATTCTGTCCTGGCGCGAGAGTGGTGGTGTTTAGCTATTTGTCTTTTCCCTCCCGCGTTGCTGCAACTCCCTTTTCGAGCCGAGATCACGCCGTCACGATCACTGTTTTTAATTTTCTTACTATGTTTTCCATGTGTACCTACGCTATTCTACACGGGGAAGTTACCACTTCCTTTTTGGATGCTATCGGCTTGTCCCGCTGAACGAATGAGCGAAGGGGGGGAAGCGGAGGATGGCGAATTGGGAGAGGACTTAGTTCGGTAAGCGGTACCGAGGCTGAGCTGGCTCATTTTGGTAAATTGTTGCGTGTTTTTTCGGGCAATGTGCATTAGGCTGGAGGAACATAAGGGGCTGGAGTATGTGGTCCGCGCGTTAAGGCGTCTGTCTACACATTCCTTGCCAGGATTTAATTGATAACGAGTGAGCAATTCAAGGGGTGAATGCATCTACACTACGAGTATACTATACCTTCAGACTTGAGATCTGCTTCAACAACATCTCCCTATCTTTTTGCCGTGGTAAACGAGACGTACTCATTTCTGTGACAAAGAAATTACAAAATTTTTCAATATATTCGGACAGGTAATTCTATACTTCTCTGATCACCTACTTTTTTTGGCTTCTTTCCATGTTGTAGTTCGTGGTTGGTGAACCGATCCATGCGGGCAGAAAAGCCAGAGTCCACCTGATGTTCACCGATGAAAGCAATTGGATGACCAGGAAGATGCATTTTGCTCCGCTTACACCTGATATCCACGGGGCGTTGCGAAGTTTGCCTGTTTCGACATGTATTCTGGGGTCTAACCCACGGGTAAAGGCCCGTCCCGCTTTAAATCCCGTTTCTGTATACATTGTAAGTAATATATCATGTAGCATTGTTAGATTAAGGTTAAGGAGATCTATTTCGTAATCTACACTTTGATCTGATTCCCAGTACCGGCAAACGCGCACACATAGCCAGATTACGTTATAACATTGCCTATGCATATGTACGGTACACACACACTTCACAAATCCCAAGCGGTTGTTTTTCCCAGGATCTGAAATCTACAGATTTCTGAAAAGTGATATATGTAAAAATTACGGCAGACCCGCTGACCCGGCAAACGACCATGCCCCCCTGACCCGGCTCTGTGCCAACCTTGGAAATCATGCGAATACTACGTAGGAGCCATGCGTCAAAGCCAATCCGGGGTTGTCGCTCTACGTGTCCACCAGACGCAACTGAAACTCGGGCGCCAAGGCTATCATAATAAAAGGAAAAGGACGGGAATAATAAAGGATCGCCCCGAAGGAGACGAACGAACTTTGAGCGCGCGGAAGAAAATCGCGCGTCTGGTGGTAGAGTTGTTCGTTCGGGTCCAGCCAGCCTCGAGACCGACGAAAGTATCAAAAAAAAAAAAAAAAAGACAACTCATGAACACGCGAGATCGCGGGATCCGGCTGTAGATGATGCACTCCTTCGCATGTAGGTAGCAAACCCACCCCCGGTACCGCAGAGTAGGGTCGGTGGTATGGGGTTTTCCTTTTGCCGATATGCTACAGGTCATATCTCACATAAGTAGATTGACGAAACGGCTTGGATGGTAGCATCCTCGTCATCGGAACGGCGCTGAAGAAATTGCATATCGCCAACTTCTCGTCTCATCTTCCACTTCCATCCTTCCGCAAGCCGCTGCCGTTTTTTTGTCGGGTTACCGCCTTCGGCTTTGCTCTGGAAATCTGCGATTAGGGAAACGATTGTCGGGTTGTTCGACATTCGACCCGCATATAAGTAGTTGTTGCCGACAAAGAGTGTTGGCTGACAGGTCGGCTTTGCGTCAGAGTCTCCAGGTCTACCCGAATTCTCGGTATCTAAGGGGTTGCTTTTCAGCCATCTCCACCGCGTTTTCTTGGGTCACTTAACACATCCATACGTCAGCCAGTTAGCTTTGTCTTGAAAAACAAGAAGCCATTGTAGATCGAAACAGAATTACCAAGGAACCAGTTCCTCTATACCCCTTCAACTCTGCAGAACGATCCTCCACCTGCGGGCGAAATGCTTCGCGGAACTATGAAGCTTGAAACAACACTATATGCGTGAATTGGCTAGTTAAGTACATGATAAACGCGTCACCATAGGGGAAGGCAGCTGGCCAGTTAGATGTTTCTAGGGGACTAAGGTTGCATACCTACCAGATACGTACACATTGCCGAGGGCAAAATGAGGCGAAGACATTTGCCTCGATGTTTGGACTGTTTGCCGCCAGCTCTCATCGGTTTTGAGGGCCGGCAATCGCCCAATAGGGGCATTTTCTACTACCTTAGTCGAGCAGGGCAATCGCCTTGCACTCCGTCGCAAAGCTTTTCCAGATGTACAGTACACGGGACGTCCAAGCAGATCTACATAAAAGTTGGGTGTTAATATTCCTTCGCCGCCAATATTACAAGTGACAAATTGTAAACGTTCGTTTATCTCCCTTGGCCCTTTACCTGCCACTCTCCATGCCGTACCTAATCTAGATCGTCCATTAACGCTGCTGCCCGCATCGAGATGAGGAATGGACATATGAAGCTGCACGTCTTTGAATGGTCGGTAATCACCCTGTCACCCCTAGCCTGCCTGACTGCGGGACCTGTCAAGGCTAGTCGAACGCATGTAGCACATCCCGCCTGGTGGCTGACCTGGAGCCTGCGTTCCTCGTTCGAGGGTTGCATACAGCTTGCATGGACGGGTCATGGAAGATGTAATGTGGCATAAAGATACGCAGGACAGCGGTCAACCGTCCCTTCGGGGATTCTGTGCATGGGATCCATACAAAGCCCTGGTAAGTCGGCGTCCAGCAATACCACACCCTCCCTTTTCGTCAAGAGTCTAGAATACACGAGGCTATAACGAGACTAGTTTCCCATTTCTACCTACATAAGTACCTGGTAAGTACTTGTAAGTATCTGTTATTCGGCCAACCGTACTGGAGCCTCTAAGTAGATCCTTGACCCTTTCCAGCTACCTCCTAAGCTAGGCGAAATGTCACTATATTTCATCGCTGCCACATATGTTTCTTTAGTACCTTTAAGTTCAATATTCTGTCAAATAAAACCTAGCCAAATACTAAAGTAGGTATGAAGTTTAAGTTATGGTATTCCCACTCACGCTGGCGAGCTTCATTCCACTAAGGTTGAGTCATCTAGGACCGTAAAATTTATATAAGTTTTATTCATTGAGTTATTGGATAATAAGCGCTGAATATACCCAGGTCGTTGCCAAGATGTCAGCTTTTGGCTCGGACGTCTTTAATAGGCTGAGGTATTACGGTATTACAACGGGCTTTTGTTTAGGTTACCTCACAGCCTTGCGATATTTAAGTAAACAATATGAATACCTAGCTTAGGATAATTTTGTAGGTTCTTTTCTGCAAATTAATCTGGAACGAGACTTTCCAGGCAGACAACGATGCCAGATTATGGACTCTTAGAAGTCTGTTCTCCGGAACAGGCGAATATTCATGTGATCCTAATTCATGGGCCTAACGGCGGTCGATCTAGTACCTGGACGAACAAGAAAAGCCCAATTCTGGCCTAACTGGATTGGCGAAGAAATCGCTGGAGCTCGTGTTTGGGTATATGGTTACAATGCTAATGTCTGGTTCGACGGAAGCCATGATTATATTGTCGCACATGCTACAGAGTTGCTCAGCACCTTGAGAAGAGCCAAGATGGGATGGGAGAGGAATAAACCCATCCCGACCGTCCTAGTTGGCCATAGCCTCGGGGGCATTCTAATTAAACAGGCCATGTTACTGGCGAATTCCCCAGGAAAGGAATACTCATATCTATTCGACGCCGTCGTAGCAGTTGCCTTTTGTGGAACACCGCATCGCGGTTCCGTTTGGGCTAACCGTCTTTTTGGCCTTTTCGTTTGGGAAAAGGCTCCACACCTCGTGAACCTCCTGAGACGAGGCACGCCTTACTCACTGATGGTCATCGCTGATAAGTTTAACAATATATGGCGCGACAAACCTGTCGTGACATTTGTCGAAACGAAAGGTGTGCACTTGCTCGGTAAAGTACCTAGGTAGACAAGTTCCCCAGTACTCTTGACATGCCTTTCTCAATGGGTTTCAGATCGTCCAGCCTAGCGATGCCGTCACAAACTGCGCCGGGGAGGTAGTTCACGAGATAGAGAAGAACCATAGCGCCTTGGTCAAGCCAGATAACCCAACCGACAAAATTTTCTCTACCTACTCTAAAAACGGCACTAGAAAGCTTTCGATATTCAACACCCCGTCTAGACGGTCAGTGTTCGAAGCAGTCTAATTTCATCCATGCGAACACTAACCGTAAAATATCAGGTTATCCTCATATCCCGGAAAAGTCAAGCACGCTATCTAATGTAAATAATTCAACCAGCGTCCCATCCACTAGCGAAACTCGTCTTGCCTGGGCTAGATTATGGTCTGAATTTTGTGCTACCCCCAATGGTGCGTGGCAGAATAGATTGTATCCATCAGGTAAACTCGATATTGGAAATGATGATCACAGCGCCGGCGTGACTAAGGATAATTTTGAAGGTGGAGTTTTATACTACAACTGGCCGCCGGAATCAACAACTTGCGTCACTATGGTGGTTGACATGACCACACTTGCCCTCAACTGGACTATTACCTCTCCTGACTCTCTGTATTATCCCGGCCGACATGCCGGCACGCTCCGTTTTTCTAATGAATACCCCCTTAGACCTATAGTTCCGCAGTGGAAAACGCCTTTTTTCTGCCCCTTCATATCACCACAGGGCTATCTAAGCCCTGCCTCTGGTGCATGGCATGACATCTGGTCTCCGGCTTTGAGAATAGAGAATATCACCACCAGCTTCGCTTCTTTTATCCACTACGGCCCTTTACTAGACAACATGCCAGAATCAGTCCGAAGAAAGTACCTCGCGCTTCATCCATTTGACGATCGCGGCTGGATTTACATGACCCAAGAGCCCTGGTTCCGTAACGCGACGAATTTTTTTTGTCGCGCTTACAACTCTGGTAACCTTGCGCCGGATGCCGAGTTGAAAGGAATTCTTAGATGCACCAGCCACAGACGACATGCGCCAGGACTCTGTTAGCACAATACGCCAACTGCTAAAGCGTACGCTCGGGTCTCCCGAAGTACCGATTACATTGAGGCCAGGCTCCCAGCCAACTTTAGAGGAATGCTTTTCGGAGGAGAAGGTGAAGACTAGGCAGGACTGGATCCGAGAGGAGAGAAACTGGGCGGATATTCTAGATATCCACTATAAAGTTAGGAAAGATCTTAGGTAAGCACCTAGTTATGTTGTATCTTGAATTTGCAAGGAGTCTAGGACAAGGAAGCAAGGAATAAGAATCGGGCTCCCAAATTATGCCCGATTGTGGACCAGATTCAATTTGTTCCATTACACTAGATTTCCCAATAGTCGCATTAAAACCTGATCAACCCTCCAGGGGAATCAGCCTAAGAAGACACTTCTTCCCTCGGGGTTGCGCAGAGATCAACTGATCCGACATTTCCATGTCCGAAGCGGTCATGGTTGGATCAGGCACCGTGGTGAACCGCGAGTAAACATCCCTGAGCAAAATTTTCATCTCTGCCAGCGCTAGACTATTTTCAAAGCATCAGCATTGACCATTTCGATAAATAAAACTTAGGTAGGCGCCTAGGCGCCTAGGCAAACAAGAACTCACTGTTTTCCGATGCAGCCTCTACCCCCGCTAGCAAATGCGAAGAACAGCCGCTTCCTATCTAGCTCGCCCGCCTCTTGCAGCCAGCGATCCGGATCGAACGTGCCGGGCTGCGGAAAGACGTTTTCGTCGATGCGGTGAGCGGAGTAGGCTTGGCAGCTCACTATGGCGCCTTCGGGGACGTAATAGCCGTCGATAGTCCTCCCGCCAGAGGGCACGTATCGCGGGAGGGACATGGGGATCGCGGGGAAACACCGCAGACCCTCCGAGATGACGGCGTCGAGGAAGGGCAGCTTGTCGAAACCTGCGTCCGGGTTGGCGAGGAGTTCTTCCTGGAGGCGCCGCTGGACGTAGAACGAGCGCGGCTGCGAAATCTCCCACATCAGGAAGCAGAGCGCGTCGCCGGTGGTGTCGATTCCCGCGGCCATGTGGTCGAGGCTCTCGGCGGCCATGTCGATGTGCTCCATGTTGTAATTCTTGTCTTGCATGCGGCTCAACAGGGTAAACTGCGCAGGACCCGTCTTTGCGGTTGCGGACATGACTAAGTCGTCTGCTAGAGGCGTCTCGCGTGGCTTGGCGAACAGAGACAAAACGTTGCCGATTATCTTGTGGAGGCTTGGATTATAGTAGCGGATAAGGCGATCTGATGCTGTTAGGAAGGACAAGTGGATGGTTCTTGGAGCTTAGACTAACTTTGAAGGCTGTCGTCGAAAGTGACCTGCTTCATGATCTCCTCGTCCTTCAGGTTACGGAGCGAGTCTGAACCATAAGGGTGAAAAAGGTGATGGGTCACACAGTCAAATGCATAGTCATGCAGACCTACACGCCGTGTTAGCAAGAGTTTTGTAATATCCGACTGGGGCTATTATACAGATCTGGATCTCTATTAGTACTTATATTCGGTACCAGTATTGAGTGATCCTGCTTACAAATATATCACAACTACCGCCAATGGACTTCGAACATCTTTCAATGAACCTTCGTGACCGTTCCTTAATCCCGTCGATTGAACCCGACTTTAGGATGTTGGTGTTGGCATATCGGTCAGCGAGTACCCTCTTCCTCTTAGCATGCTAGACACAAATTAGATTTTTCCTTTGCTTATATAACCTGTGAGTTAGACTTACGTCCTCCTTATTAAGAGTGCTAAACATTGTCCTGTGTAATCTACAATGAGCCTCTACGTGACCTTCAACTTGAAGCATCAACACAGCTAATTGATACGGTCTCTTACCTTCTGCCGTAGACTGTAAACAAGTCATAAAACTCAGTCTTGTTATAGCCACTTCCGCCGCTGCCATAGATCTCCTTAACGCCCTCGAGAGACGCGAATGACACCTCATTCGGCGCTATCCGGACAACGGGGCCATACTTCTGGTGGAGACTATGGACATACGTCGTCCGGTGAGCGTGAAATTCGTGATACTTGAGGACCCAAGAAGTGAACAATGAGATCCTGGGACCGGGGACCTTCCGCAACGGAGAGGCTATGGATCGCCAAACATATAAGCCGAGCAGAGCCAGGAATGCGGGGCCCAGTAGAAAAGGATTTAGGATTAGCATTTTGAACGATATTTAGCAGTGTCCAAGTATATTCTAAAAATTAGTAAATCAGACAAAGAGATAGCTTAATCATGGGTATAAGATGTTTCTCCATCTTCTCTTGATATCAAGGTGAGTGAAGGTTAGTGGCCGTTATCAAGTGATAAGTTTCTATAACTTGTCATGAGTGGGGCGACACCATGATTAAGAGAGGGGCATATTAGTGAGGAGCGAGGTCGCAGTGGAACCGAGACTAGAAAAAGCTTCCGGTATCATTAATAATATCTGATAGCGACGATTGACATTGATAGCCGAAACTCTCAAACGACTGCTCGGATTGGCTCAGAGCCGGGCAGGCCGGGTAGCAATCAGAGTTCGTCCTTGCCCTTTGTATCCGCCCCGTTCTTGCCCCGTTCAGCACCTCCGCTCCCGAACATGCTAGACAACCAAGATACGCCGGGGATGCTCATCTTCGCCGATGGAGGGTAGTCCTTTCCGTCCACCGTAACTCGCGGCTCGCAGCTGCACCATTGTTTCTCCGGAACTCCGGCGAGGGCGGCGGGAATGTGCGAGCCGCAGCCACGCCAAGACTTTCCTGCTACAAATCTGTCAATATACCAATTACGAGAAATAGGAAAGAAACGGGAAGTTTAGATCTGAGGCCGTATCAAGGAATTACTAACAGCAAGTCGGACACGTTGCGCCGAAACACATCTTGGCAATTATTTGTGAATGAGGGGTAGCGATTGCGGGGTTGGTGATAATGTTGAAACTTCAGCTTTGATGTGCGTTCTACTTGAGAATGATGAATTTAGAAAGGAAGAATGGAAAGAAAAGGGAAAAGTTAGATCTGGGAATCTCATTAGCTTTGTGTCCGGTTTTGACTAGTTGTCTGACCGGTGTTCACCTGAGGCCTCTCGGCGATGACAATCTGAGGGAGGTGTCCGAACTGTGCGATCGCCGACCTCTCACCCCGAAGTGGTGAACGCGGCTTTCGTGTACACCCACAGCCTGCTAAAAGACGCCGATTCACATATATGGATAGAATATCATTCAGTCATTTGAATGTCCCGCTATATTTCCTTGCTTCTTGAGCAGGTAATACACCCGTATACCTGTCGTATGAGCTTCTGAATGGATTATTCGGCGTTTCGTAGCCGGATACTTCGCATGATTATTTGATGCTCTGTAGGAACTTAACAACTGTGTTCACAAGCCACTCTTCAGCCTCCCGCTCCTCTACCCTATGACCAGCACCTGGGATCACACCAGATAATTCACTCGCAATGCCTGGTCGGCAGAGCGCTTTCCAGCGTTGAACCAACGCCTCTTCGTCGACATGAGCGGGTATATGTTCGTCGTTACCCGAATGAAGTATAAGTATAGGTTTATCTACTCGTTTCCAGAAGGGCGCCACTACGTCATCCGGAAGGTTTGGATCAAAGTAGTTATCCTCGCCACTAGTAGACTGGTTAGGCACAAAATTAACTTAGAATTTAGGCGTTGGATTACATACTCTGTGGCGGTAAGGGCGTACCACCGCCGCGCGCTAATCGGAGTGCCGGAGAACGAAGGTGGAAGATTTTCAGGTATCATACACTCATGACCTCTGCCGTCCTCGATAAGTGCTTTCGCAATCCTGAGGCTCGCATCTAGCGAGGATTCATCCATCTCTAGTGACACCGCACCACGGTCACAGACAGGGGCCTGCAAGATATATCCATCAACAGGCGCAGCACTATGAGCAGGCGATGTATACTCCATGCAATCTTGGCTCCCAGTGGAGTGTCCCAGGAGCACCACACGTTGTTTTCCTATACTTCGTAGGTATTTGACCAATGCAGATATATCAGCAACGTCGTTGGCCAGGCGGACAAAACCAAAGCCCGAGAAGGAGCTAGTCAATCTGAATTCGAAGACGGAGTAGCTTAGCTCGGGCTCGGCTTCTAGGCGCTTAGCTATGGCACGCGGATAGGGCACTGTATGAGGTCCGTCGCCGAGTCCGCCGATGAATACGAGAGCATTTCTCGCGTTGGCCGGGCCATTCTCATATGCACAGGCATGCGGCGTCGGTGATTCGAAAGGATGCACCGTCACGGTGAAGGTCCCCGGCGGCGGCATGATTATTCTGACGCCAACCAATCTTCCAGATGAGGATCTCTTGGTATATTGATTACTTCGATATGACTTGTAAATTTCTCGAAGTTCCAAAAGTGAATAGTTATTCGTTTGTGGTTACTGTTCAAGAAGTTAATGTGGAAATGCAGTTTACCGATCACATGAATATATATGCTTAGTTGCATATTCTTCCTAATTGCATATTAATCCTAATAAATGTCCATAATAATAATGACCAACTTATTTTTACAAATGAGTACGAAGCAATTGGGTACCTGAGTATTCAATCTGCAAAACTCATACCATTCTCATCGCATCTTTCAACGGGAATTCATTTATTATAGACGGAAATGATGAAAGCATTTCAGTATGACTAGTAGTAATCACTCGGCCTCCAGGAATGAGTTTTTCAAGGAGGTTTGATAGCCCATTATCGTTAGCGATGGAAGCGTATGACTAATCTGGAGTAGCTCAAACCACGATGCGTCGCCATCATCAATTTGGCTGTTCGTGCATCCGATAAGAAAGCGAGTGCAAAAGAACTATCGAACCTAGTGGAAGACCTCTATGCTGTCTTAAATCGTCAAGTAGATGCTGATGCCTCTGTCTTGGACGAGAAGCTTGCCGAATATGTCTTCTTCCCATTATCCAACATTCTGCGAAATCAGCAGCAATATCCTGTCCGATTGACAGAACTCACCATCAAATGCCTACGGGTGCTAATTCAGTATGGCTGGAAGGCTAAAATCTCACACGACCTTTCTCAGCAGCTCCTCATTTTTCTTACCTTCATCATCGGTGGTGTTCCTGGCCAAAAGAGAAAGGATCCTATTCCCGAGGAAACGGAACTGGAAGCATTCACGACCTTGACGTCGTTAATCAAAGCTACGGGATCTTCATCAGCTGGTGCGGCAGCACTGGTTGAAACAAACGCCGTTCCTGCTTTGGGTCATGCCGTCACCCTTGTACTTGATGGTATCACGGACGGGAGAACACTTGATATTCGTCTCGAGGCGCTAAGGACACTAGACGCGCTTTTGGTCGCGATTAGGGATCAAGCTGCCTTGGCCACTTTCTTGCCTGGAATAGTATCATCCCTGAGCCAACTTCTTACACCACCCGCGGCGTTTAAGAATCAGAGAAGAGTCTTAGTTAGCGGTATTAATGCCTTAAGGGATGTACTCACAAAGGTCCTAGGAGATATAAAAGTAGTGGGGATAACCAAGGGGCAAACCTTGGAAGAGAGTGAAAGGGGTGGCGAGGGGGTTCTAACACCCGCATGGTTGAAAGCAACTACGGCGAAAATAAAACTTGCTCTTGCGACCGTTTTAAAGCTACGAAATGCGGATACCGACGATGTTCGATTTGCCTTGGAAAGGTTATGTATTACCCTGCTAGATGAATGCCACCATTCTCTTGCAGAGTGTACCCCTATACTCGTTGAGAGTGCCATGATTCTCGCCGACGACGAAAATGAAAAATCCGTGCTTGAGACGACTTTGACCGATCTCGCTAGGATCTACCCGGAGCTTGGAGACTCGATAAAGACTGCGATATATAACTGGGTTATGAGCCTTCCTCGATTGATGCAATCTAGTGACAATAGGGTCAAGCAGCAAGCATTCCGAAATCTCACGAAAGGCCAATACTTCATTACGACTCTTCAAATTGACTCGTCTATCCTAGAAGACTCATTAGCTGCATCTTTGAGGGACAGCGCCACCGCGCTCGTCCTTGCATCGAAACCAAGTAGCATGTCGGAGCTTCCTTCGAACACCATCGAGTTAGATATGGATATGACTAAACGGGATGGACTTAATACCTTCCCACCCATACTCATCGCGCAGGAGACAGAGCGGTCTACACGAACCACGCTTCTCGAATTTCTATCAAAGGTCGGATCTATTTCTCAGCAGACTAAATTAGCAGACGATCTATTGAATTATGTCCGAGAATCTACTGGACCAAGTCAGGTTGCCTCATATTGGCTCACTTTCGAGCTGGTGAAATCAAGTTTATCGCAACATTCAGACCTAGATGATTTCCTTGATCTAAGCTCGGCGGCAGGCCCATCAGACGAGAGCGAGTCCATCTTTCAAGAATTGTATTCATTCTCAGTTGCTGTTCTAGATTCACAGACCGAGCCGGACGAAATTGACTGGCGACTACAAGCCCAGGCCTTAGAGGTTACGACTTTTGCCGCGTCACGAATGAAAGAGAGTTTTCGCCCGGAGCTCATTGACGTGCTGTACCCAATCACGACCTTTTTAGGTTCAGGGGTTCCCAAGCTGCGAGATCATGCAATTATCAGTCTCAATAACATCGCTGCTTCTTGTGGATACACCAGCGTCACGGATTTGATCATTGATAATGTTGACTACATGGTTAATTCAGTGTCACTGCGTCTGAACACATTTGATATATCTCCCGCATCGACACAAGTTCTACGGATGATGGTAAAACTTACTGGCCCACGATTAATTCCGTACCTCGACGATGTGATTGCCTCAATATTTGCGGCTCTTGATAACTATCATGGATATCCTCTATTCGTGGAAAGCCTGTTTAGCGTTCTTACGGAAGTCGTGCAGCAAGGAACACAGTCTGACCATTTGCTCCTGGAAGCGGTGAAGTCGTCGGCAAAGGATCATCGGAAGAACTTACATCCTTTGATCACAGTTGAAGAAATTAATGCCATTCTCTCTAGCCGTATAGAAAGACGGGAGAAGCGGCGGCTAGAAGAGATAGGGGAAGAAGAAATCGGGCCTCATCCGAAACGCCCTTGGAAGGGAAAAGAACCAGTCGAGGCCCAGGACGAAGAAGACGAGCCTGGCGCGGAAGTTGAGAAACCACCACCCCCTAAAACCCCCACATTCAAGATCCTCGCCCGCATCACAGACTTAACGCAACATTACCTGACATCTCCGACCCCCACATTACGGATGTCGCTACTCGACCTCCTGGCGACCGTTTGTCCGGCACTATCACCCGATGAAGAGGCATTCCTACCCCTAGTCAACTCAATTTGGCCCGTTTTAGTCGAAAGACTGTACGACTCGGAGCCATTCGTCGTCACATCAGCCTGCAAAGCGCTAGCCGCGCTATGCCAGAGCGCCGGGGACTTCCTTAACACAAGGATCAAGACGGAATGGTGGGACAACCTCGGCAAATGGTGTCGGAAAGTCAAGGCAGACGCAACCCAGTCAAGCACCACCACCACCAGTAAGAGGAAAGTCGAGACCAGAGGCAACAGCAGCAGGCAACAGGACCAGGACCTGCTAATCCCCATCCGTTCCCGAAACGGCATCGTGGGCGGCAAGGAGCCGAGCAAGGCTGGCGAAGAAGTCGTCGTCGTCCCGAGCTCGGGATTGGGCAGGTTTACCCAGGCGGCCCGCGTCTGGGAGGCGGTGCAGCAGCTCCTGGTCGCCGTTGTGTCGTACGTCCAGGTCGACGACGACGTGTTCGACCAGATCCTGCTGCTGATGGCGGACGCCCTCGCGACGAATGCCGAGGCTCGGGCCGCGCTCGAGGCTGTTGATCCCGACGCTGTCTGGTTGCTGATGTGCGAGCGTGGGATGGTCGAGCCGATGGAGAGGCCGGTGCTGGCCGGGGTGACATTCGTTGATGTTTGGGGAGGTTAGCGACTTTGGTTGTTGGGCTAAATGTATGGATGGATGGATGGATGGATATCCTTGGATTAGGCTGGCTGTTACTAGGGCACAGGGTAGTAGTTGGGCGCCATACACATACATACCTACATACCTACCTACCTATACATGGGCTTCTTCTAATGTATGATCTAGATGCTAGGTAATGGATTCGACGTCGTATGTATAACTGGCCTCATCTCGTCCCATGTTGTCTGATTGTTCATACGCTACCTGCCCATCCCCCAATCTTTCGAGCATATCGGCCGTCGGCCTCCGTTCCCAGAAGCGACGGCGACGAGCGAGCTGAGCTGAGCGTCCTCACCACTGCCGTACGACGTGTCATATGAGGCGGAAAAGTAATACCCGCGACGGCAGCGTCCGGGAATTCGGGTTTTTTTATCTACGCGGCGGTGAGGGCGGGAAAGAGCATATCGTGTATGTATGTAGCTAGCATGAATAGCTCACGTGCGGATTTAGACTACCGATCCTTCTACATACATAATTTCCTCTCGGAAAATGCCTGCGTTCATGAATTATGGTGCTATGGATGTATTGCGTGATTTTTTTCGGAAATGACGGCCGTGCTAGTGCTAAATGGCCTGACAGGAAGCGTCGAATCTGACGTCTAGGTATGAGGTATGGACGGATATCGTCGATATCCTCCCCCCTTGCTGGCTTCGACACCCGGACTCATGGACGACGCCGAACGGCGGCCTGAAGGCGCCGCTGTCCTGTTTCTTCGCGGAAATCACGGTTTTGGCGTAGTGACGGAAGTATCCGTCGCTGTTTTTTGTTTTTTGGTTTTTTTTTACTCGATCCTTTGGGTATTAGGGCGTGTAGATCTGGGCCTATATCGTTCTCGGGGGGTCCTTGGCTGTATCTCACCACCATCGTACGATTTGCGCCTCGACTAGGGAAGCGGATTTTGAGGTGGCTATTATGGGTCCGGCTTTCACGCTTCGGGACGAGTGGTGTGATGTTTAGCTTTCGGAAGCCTTTGAATTGCTATTTTAGGGGAAATTTGTTGGTATGTATCTTAATATAATCTTGCGGCACCTTGCAACTTGAAAAATGGGATCTTATGGTAGTTTATGGCGTCAAAAGTCAAGATACACGAATGACTCCGATTAATCTGTTGAGCCCTTACGAACAGCCTAATCTTTTCTCAAGACACTATTTACGAGCTGACATACTGCTACAATGAGAAATATATAGGTCCTGGATACCTAGTATTTTCACGATGGTTGTTACTGTACCTACATATATACAGCAGTTTCCTAGGTGATTGGGATACATGGAGTATGATGTTGGTGGTTGAAACCCAAGCTAGCCCTGTAAGTGAAGGTCAGCAAGGCAAGGGAAGGATGAATTGATAGTAACGATGGTCGTCTCACTATATAGGTTTCAATTTACCCAACCGCATTGCACTTTCTTAATATATTAGGGCTTATATAGGTAGGTTTTCATTCTTGATGGTGGGTGGCCAGAAAAGGGGGTTGAGATTATGCGCGATGTTTCACATAGCCGAAGAGACGCCACACATATCTTCAAAGCAGTTAAAGGTCAGATGTTGACATAGCAACAGTGACATATAATGAATATAGTGGAAGGAAATATAATAGGAAGTGGTAACGACCTCAGGTATAATAGGATCATTGAAGAAGGCCCCGAATTGAAGTTAAGTAATTACCTACCTAAGTAGGTAAGTAAGTACCTAGATATAACCATTTTTGGAACCTTTTCAACTAGACTGCACATGCGTAATATGAAATCCATCACCCATCAATTGGAGATGTCACCGATTCATTACCGCTTTCACCGTCGGAATCAGGGTCAGATGAGCTCGAGGCCTCATCTGGCGATGATCCAGGCGACGAACTTCGAGAGTGGGAGGCTACCTCGTCCATATCAAACTCCGGGCCAAACTCCTCAAATTCATGATCGGGGAAGTGCAACTTGTCCTTTGAGTTATAACACTTATAGCAAAGGTCGAAATCCATGCATGTTCTGCATTTGTACCTTAGACCGTAGCAAGACTAATTGGGCCATTAAATCGAGTGTCCCAACTAGGAGCAAGAGAAGACAATACTTACGAACAGGCAAAAGTCACAGGTAATGAGGTGATAGTTGAGACGCCTATGCTTTGGAGGCGTTGGTGATTTGTCGCTGAATAGTTGTCGGTCCTTTTCATCGCCAGGGATGAGAAGTTCTAAGATATCAGAGCCACAGCTGTGATATCTGGCAATTATTGCCGGTGTATACTCCCTCCCGTTTATAGATGATTTGATAGTCCTATCCGCACCACGACCTAGCAGCATCTTGATCGTGTCGTATTGATTCCCTCCCGCATGTTGGATTTCATTCCCGATACCCCTTGCGACCCAATACAGTGGGGTCCATCCGTCTATGTCTGGCTCGTTGATAACATCGTCACCGGTAAGATGTAGAAGATCATCCAATATTTCTATGCTGCCTCCTTGAGCAGCCCAACTTATAGCATTGCGTCCAATTTTATCCTTGTCGGTGACATTACCGCCGGCATCTAAAATGAAGGAAACTATATCCCGATCCCCGTGCACGGCGGCCATGTGAAGCGGCTGTCTGCCCATACCGTCAACAGAGAGGAAGCTCACACCTTTTGAAGCAAGCATACCAAGGTGAATGCTATTGCCGCCCAAAGCCGCAGCACCTGCGACATTGCCGAACAAGCCGCCTGTTATCATAGGATCGGCTCCCGCGTTGAAAAGGATGTTAATCAATTGGGACTTTTTCTCATAGGAGCTCTCGATGCTATAGTATTGAATGAATATCGACGAGAGTGGTGTTCCAACAAATTCATCGGCGACCAAATTGACATCTGCCCCTGCCTTTAGTAACTCTGGGACTAAATCCACTAGGCCTGCGCTGCAGGCCGTATGCAACGAGCCTCCATAGACAGGAGAAAGTATGTTAACGTCGGCTTTCCTTGACAGATAGTATCGAGCTGCTTCTTCATGCCCGCACCTTAACGCTTCACATAAAGGCGTTTGATTCCGGTACCCCGTGAGATTGATATCAGACCCCGCGCGGACGAGTAGTTTGACATTCTCAAGCGGCGTCTGCTCATAGATATAATGAAGCGGCGCGTTACCATCATTATCCTGGACATCTACTTTGGGTCTGAATTCCAGGAGTGCTCTCAACCCAGTGCTGTTCAGTCCTGTGAGTATGAGAGTCGAACCATCGCTGAATCGACGGTTGACATCCGCGCCGCCTTCAGCGAGGATCCTAATGATGTCTTCTTGTCCATAGAAGACCGCGCTCTTCATTGGCTCCCATTTCGTGTCGTCTCGTAGTCCATTCGGTGGGTCTATCTGAGCACCATACTGAACTAATAGTCTCACTGCTTCTTTGTGATCTCCCCGTACTGCGTAGAATAGGGCGGGTTCATCGCCGTCGGGACGTGTGTTTGGATCAGCACCACGTTCCAATAGCATCCTAGTCATCTGTTCGCTTTTCAAGGCCAAAACCAATGGTGTAAATTTTGTCCTGGTCGCAGTTTCCAGTACGTTGTTATGATGGTCGAGCAAGAGTTGTGACAATCTCACATCATCTTTTGATACTGCGATGTGTAAAGGGACAATTCCATCATGATTTTGATGGTTCACATCAGCCCCTTGTTCCAGAAGATACTCAACCGTGAGAAGCTTACGCGGATCATCTGACCAACATGCTAGATGTAATGCCGCATTCCCGTTGATATCGTCGGCATTCACTCTGGCCCCCATTTCGATAAGTAATTTGACTATGCCAAGTCGAAACCGGTCATCTTTCGAACCAATTGCCAGATGAAGTATTGGAGGTTTGATCAATTCATGATTTGGATTTACCCCCTTTACAAGCAGAAGCCTAGATATATCCAGGCAGCCATAATTAACAGCGCATGCAAGAGGAGTCCCGAAATATGGAGTGGGTATTTCAGGATCCGCGTTGGCTCCGAGGAGTATCCTAACGCACTCTATATTATTTCCTACGACAGATAATGCAAGAGGCGACCAGCTCGGCTCGTTCTGACTGTTGGGATTCTTCATGTCCAGATTTGCGTAAAGTTCCACCAAAAACTCAACTAATCTTGAATGTCCGGCTACACAAGCATTGTGAAGTGGCGATTGTAGATATTCGTCTTGAGCATCTGGATCTGCAGCGTACCGCACGAGGAGTTTTGCCATCTCTAGATAGCCACGAAACGATGCTAAATGAAGGGATGTCCATTTGAATTTGTTAACATGGTTCGAATTTGCTCCTCGTTCCAAGAGTAGTTTGGCACCATTGATGTTGTTTACACGAACAGCAAGGTGAAGCGGTGTCACAAGCCTCGAGGCTCCTGGTACTTCGACATCAATAGGACATCCAGCCTCCAAAAGCCTGACAAGGACTTCGTCAAGTCCTAGAAAACTCGCGCGAGCCACTATAGTCTTTTGACTATCCCAAGAGAAACTGCGGTAATTCTTCGTTATATATTCCACTAATTCGATTAGGATTGCCTTATCGCCGTAAGCACCAGCACCGACCAGTGCTTCAGTAAGGACTTCCTCTGAGTGTTTGCGGCGAAGGAGAAGATCGCGGAAAGTCTGTAAGGCTCCGTTAAGACATGCCTCTATCAATCCTTCAGACAGATCTTCATCTTTATTACACCAATTTTCAGCCTGCAAAAATAGTCCTGTACTAGCTAGATGAGGATATAGAGACTCACGAGGCTGCCGACTCCTTGTGAATGGATTTGCAAGCACCCAATATGCTCTAGACCAATATGGTACGATTTCGGACTTGCTAAACGATGTCAAAATATCTGTTGGTTCATGATCAATAGATGCAAGAGATAGATGATGCATCCAGAACCGTACAGCATAGTTTTGAAGCGTTGTGCGATCGTCAACTATGGCTACGTGGGAGTTGTTGTAGAGGGAATCGTTGTAAAACGCCTCCAAGTTTCCTTTCGTCCCTGGACGAGTCAGATAAGCCAAGCAAGTTCTGGCGATCATAATGTGCGCTCCTCTACCAGAAATACTCCAGGCATCGAAGTCCTTGGGCCCATAGCTGTAGTCTGTCATCAATATCTCTCGTACACCACGTGTAGATATAATGATTTCGTTGTGATCGAGGGCAATGATGCCTGAGAACCAGGCTAGCAACTTGCACAGGAACTTATTAGCTGATTGAGTGATTCGCAACTGCTCTTCTAGACCTGATCTTTCAATTCCAATCGTGATTGCTGTCGTAAGCTCCCAGGGCGTAAGAGGCCGTGTAGCGTATAAAATCCAGGATAGTGCACGAAAAACAAGTTCTTTGTCCGGGACATTGTTCAAGATCTTCTTGATGACTGACTTGTGACTCATTTCCTCTATAGGTCCGAGTATGTTCTCGATGGATTTATGCAATGGCCAATGTTCATTTCTCCTGACGTGATCAAGCACAAGGCCGCGAACTTCGGGCTTTAGAGCCGCGATGACTTTCAGTTCTTCTTCGAATTGTGTCTTAAAGGCTCGTGCCTCGGGCCGCTGTCTCTGAAGAGAAGCGTCAAAAGAATCGGCTGTAATTTCGTTTTCCGTCGTAGGAGCTGCCGCATCGAGGTTTAGCACCGACCAACTCGAAAGCTCTTCCAACAAGGCTCCTGGTATGTGGCTAGTCACTATAGCTTTCAATGACATATTTTGGTTTTCCGAGAAGGAATAAATACTGCTAAGAAAGGTCTTCCTGGAAAGGGGTTCGCAGTCATCGAAATTGTTTATGACGCAAGAGACTCTCCGCCTGTTTATACATAAATAGTAGAGGCTGAGCAAGTCTAACAAATCCATATACTTCCATCCTCGGTGAACTCGAATATCTTCCAGCCAATCGAAATCGGGTGATTGTAAGAAGCCACACATTTGAGCAAGGAATGTTGTAAGCATGTCTTCTATTTTATGCCTTCTAACGTCGTAGCGATTGAAGGTGAAATAGAGCACAAACCAATCATCATCCTTGCTCAAACTAAGGTTGTCAAGATGACCAAAAATGTACTCAGATGCCGCCTGTGTGTCAGACTTGCCATCCAAATATAATAAACTCGGTCCCCGTTGAGTATACCAGGATTGATACACCTCATTTTCGGTAACCCATGAGTAAGGATGGGTAGGACCCGCGGCAGTTCTGAGGGGTAGCGGAGGTGAAGCAATAGAGGCCAACAATCGTTGATTGTTTCGTAGACTCCTATCGACATTCGCCGCTATTGTGAAATCAGCTAGGAATTTATCTGGGTATAAATTATCTCTCTATGTGGTCACGCACATGAGTTTACCCCATTGAGGTTCTTCTCGATCAGGCCTCGGTCGTCTTTTAGGCCACCGGGGACGCGTATCTCAAAAGGTATACCTAATGTCCCAGTAAACCCATCATAGATCTATCGATTCCAGTTAGTTTTGACTTTGCCTGTTAATCCCAATTACAATTAGGTACGCTGTTAGAGCATAGGTACCTTATCAATGAGACTTTCATCAACGTCCGAGTATATGCTGAGTATAGATGACAGGAACATTTGTTTAGAGTCCGTGAAGAGAGCATTGATGGACATAATAGCCTCTGCAAGATGTCTCGTTGAGTTTACAAGTGGGGGGGGAGTTGGACCTTCTAATAAAATGTGGCCATATAAGAATTTTGACAACCTATCTTCCATTTCTAGGATGTCCGTGGTCCTGTGTAGACAGCCATAAAAAACCTAAGAAGCATCAACAAAAGAAGCCATAGTGTAAATCATAGAATCACTTACTAGAACACGGCTGGAATCGAAGATATCCCCATACGATCGAGGATTTAGCTCGGCCAGTGCGAGTGCCTTTTGAACTTATTAGCTTCCCTATAATTCTTAGCCCTTTCTCGTATAACTTACACACTTCACTATGGTTCCCCCGATGTCATGCGCAATTAACATGATAGATCTCTCCTAGGACAAGTCAGTAAGTCTCGTCCATTCAAAACGGCATACGACGCTGACAAACCTTGGTAGTCTCACACCTCACACGTACCAGGTCGTCTAAAAGTCTCTTTGCAACATTCATTATTACTTGATATGTGTAGATACCACACATGATCTTTGAGATACTGTATCCGAAAGACATCACTTTACGGCCACCATAACGGCCCTGATCGTAAAGCCAGATAGAGCTTCCAGCTCCGGGGTTTTCCCAAGGAGGTCGTCGGGCACCTCTCAACCCATGGACAACAACAATGCTTCATTCGGAAGTCAATTAGTAACCCTAACCTAACATATGTCAAGGTCAAAGCCCGTTTTACTCACTCAAAATCAGCAGCCATATAACTTGCAGGCTCTGGACTCGTGTCGTATTGAGCGTTCCAGAGAGTTACAAGCCCTTCGGCATCGTATTCCGGCGGCTTGCGGCGAACCATATAATCCTCCAAGTCTTTCCATGGTCTTTGCACTTCGTCGTCTTTGTCCTCTGTATCTTCTACTATCGAGTTCTTTCTTGATTTAGTGGCATCGCCGTCGCTATTTCGAGAAGTATGTACAGGCTCGGCCGCTTCGTTCTTTGGAAAATTTGACGTTTCTTCGCTAGGGCCATCATCCCGTGAGCTTTTCGCAGAATCTTCGTTAAGATCCTTCTGGGATGACGAATCAGCTGGGCCCGCGTCTGGAGTTGTGTGTGTAATGCTAGCCATGTTGATTGAGGGTATCCATTATCGACCAGATTGATGTGGATGAGGGTTGAAATGGAAGAAACACTTGGACATTACCAAGTAGGTAGGCCTTGACAGACTTCGGTGAGGAAATATTCTGCCGTACTGGGGGGGAAGGGAGGGGGAGGGTGGCTGATTACCTGCATGAGAAATGCTACACGGTATGGATTCTCAAATAAGTCGCTATTAAGCCATCGATTCGGTGTCCCCGCCGTCGGGGCTATGGACTGTATGTAGCCATATAGGTACCAATAATCCGACCATTGTCATTGCTAGGTAGACACCTAGGCGCCTGTCTGCCTTGGGAGGCAAATACTTACTTGGAGGGAAGAAAGCCGACTAGGTACTTAATACTGCAATCAACACATTTAAAGTAGAGGCTGCCCAAGTGGACGGAAGTGACAGGTTTTCCAACCGAACGACTTCGTTAGCAAGCTATCCGATATGTCCAACGACATCAAGTTTGATCAGAGCAATCCTATCTTTGAGCTTGAGCTTGATCTCAGCGAAATCGGCAATGAAGGTAGCGGCTTTCGTATACAGAATGACCCTTCAGCACCGCTTCAACGCAAAAACATCACGGAGCGGAGGGGTGCTATTGACGTTCGCTGCACCGGCGTGGATGTCATTCATGGTTACCTGAAAGACGGAGAGGACCTCGCAACTCTCATCGTACACGAATTCCAATTCGACCCCCGTAAGAAAGCTCGACGAATTGCAACTGTGGATATTGAATACATCTTCGGATCCGATGCTGGGAAAGAGCCTGAGGTCTTAAATATATCCCCTAAAGGACGCATGACTCTGGTGCCAACGGCACGAACAGAGACAATCACCAAAAGTGGTGAGTTTAGTGCTGGTGGGAAAATATTCGGGGCTGAGGTAGGCAGCAATTGGAAGTGGGAGAAGGCTACCAGTCGTGAGACCAGCAGTTCAACTACGATTGTTGGTTCTATAGACCTCAAGGGTCGAAACTATGGCGCCTCTAATGCTGTATCCTGGACGCTATTGGAGAACGAGTCGACAAAGACCGGTGTCCCAGCCCATTTTCGGACCGCAGTGCTCTTGTCTCGCCAAGACTCTGAAGAGTTTTATCTCACGTTCAAGATCAGAACTCAGGTGGACTTGGTAAGCCAGTTCGCTCGACTTTTTGGCTCGATACCCATAGACGACCCTATTCGCTATGATCCAATATTGCCACCCACAAATAAGTTACGAGAATACAATGTAGCCTCTCTCGGTGAAATTGATCTCCAGGAACTCGATATCGTCTCATTTACGAACCACGAACTCTGAACTTTGATGTATTAGGTATATATCGCTTTTTGCAGTTTGCAGGATAACGGGTACCTACCTACCTAAGTACCCTAGGGAAGAGATGGGTGTGAGATTAATAGATTTGAAGATTTAGAATCTTCCCGCACTGTATCATTAATTCTGGTGGCAACCCTCCAATTTGATTACCCAGCACCTATTGGTTGATGTTACAGCCGCATACACCATTACCCAGGCACTTCTTAAAGCAGCTGATCCTTTCTGGTACTATGGATGTATGTGGCTTCCAATTCGTTCGTGTCCAGCACTTGAATTTCAAACCCTACTAGTTGAATTGTTGTAGACTTGTTTCTTGTTCAATAAATCGTCCGTTGTCGAATGAGACTCTTTAATATGGCCACTCAGGGATCAGATGGCGATCTCGAAATCACCGAAAATCTGGATGGGAAAGAGGAAATACAAGATGATGACTCATTTGGAAGTGATGAAAGCATTTCACAATCTGGTGAATCTGGTGACGAGGAGGATGAAGACTGGCCTCCCAAAAAGGTGAAAGATAGTTTCGACAGAATTCTGGCTGACCTCAAATCTGGCGCACAAAGCGGCAAAATCAAGTCGGGAACTTTTGACTTAACAACTCCTGTTGGTGTTCAAGCCTTCCTAGATGCGAATAAGGCTGTGGAAAAATCAAGCACGAAGAAACAAACTCTGCTTCATTTGATAGCCGAATCTGAGAAAGATGATTTGCCACCTGCCAGGAAGATGGAGCCTCTCATCAGTGGATTAGTCGAGTTGTCCGGAAACCTTCTAGCAACGCAAGATGAAAACGGCAAAACACCATTATTCTGTGCCATATCCAATAAGAATCACATCTTAGCAAACATAATGTGTGAGGCTCATGCTGATGTTAATAGCATCTTGAGCATATCAAAAAACCCCAAAGTCTTGCGCTCATCCAACTGCATCCACCAAGCCATCATAAAGAAATCGTCTGCTAAGGATGTCAATCCGCTCAAGTCCCTGATAGAGAGAGCTAATGAGGACACACTCCTGGCCGTAGATGAAAACGGTCTCACTCCTCTTCACCTGGCAGTCGAGTACAGACGATGCGATGAGGCGCAACTTGGTATTGTCCAGAAACTTGTCGAGAAGTGCGATAAAGCTTTGGACATGACATTCAAACACCCAGAAAAGGGCTTATTATCACCTTACTTGTACCACGAATTTACCTATGAGGAAGCAAAGCAAAGAGAGAAACAAGTCGCAAACAGAAAACAGGGTGTGGACACTGAAGGAGCTCATAAGAGTGTACATTTTAGTGAGAAAGATAACTTCAAGGGCAAACAAAGAGAACTATCAAAAGATATGCCCAGAGAGCTACGAACACCAGACATATTGGTTCCCTCTTCCCGCCCCCAATCACGGCTTGCGCGTACGGGCGGCTTCAGAGCTACGCTACATATGCCAAACGGAAGTGAAGATTTTCAAGTTGGAACAACTTCGACGAATGATATTAATAAAAGAGAAAAGCTGAAATCAGTGGATAAGACGTCATCGAAGAAACCCAAAGCCTCGAGGTTGAAACCAACAGAATCCAGCGCATTGGAAATAAAGCAGCACTTGAAGTTAGAGTATCTACGCAAAAGGAACCATGATGATGCGGTAGAGTTTCTCTACGGATCACAACAAAGTATGGTACATAGCCTTATTATTCAATCTCAACCGAAACTAACGGCGTATAGATCGACATATTTACTTTGATTTGTCAGGGGTGTCTCCAAAGGTCAATAAAAGCGGAATCACGCGTGGACTCGGTCATCTTCTTCTCGAAGATATCTTGCAATACGTTGCCATTCCTCGTGTGGAAGTTGAAGATGATCCTGTCGGATTAAGGCCTGGTCAACGAGCACCGAAGCCTGATGGCAATGGCCGCACCGATATGAAACCTCTATTTAAATGGCTTAGAGACGAGAAGAAAGTTAAGATAATTCTCAAAGTCATTGTGGACGATCTTCAAGAGCCGGCGCATAGCGACGAAGCCATTGAATTCTGTCTGATTGGCATGGGTGTAGAGATATGGCAGTGGAAAAAGGTCGACCTATCACCTGAAGTTATCCAGAAAGTTGCCCCTGAAGCACGAATTGTGCATTTGTATTGGAGCGGTAATAACGCTGTCCTCCGAGGGTGGAGTGAGCCCGAAGGCCTGAGGAAACTAAAAAGGCTCCAGGAAGTTCACCTCCATGTACAACAGGTATGTGTTATCCGGTCTTCTCACATAGGAGATACTAACGTTTACTCATAGGGTCTCGAAACCCGTGCTCGAACTAGACAAAACATAACAGCTTTCAAGGAGCGCATCGAGAACGGTGTGATTAAGGTATATGATAGTAAAATGACGGACGACACCATCGATGGCGTACTCAATGGAAGCGACGCCATTCATGACCCGTATGAGAGGCATAAATGGATTTCTAGCATGGAAGAGTTCGCAGATTTCCTGCAGGCCGCTGAGCGGAACATTGAGCCGCCATTGATCCTTAAACACCCAATCACTATTGCTGTTATCGATGACGGCGTAGACATTAACGACCAGAGCATCCAGTCAAGGATCATCGGCGGAAGGAGTTTCTGTCACCGAGATGAAGAACAAAATCTGAACCAGCCCGTACGTATCTTGATGGGTCCTGTAGCATCCCCTGCCTCCTTTCACATAATTACCGACCTACTCACTCACGTTAATGCAGTACTATGTATCTGGTGGTGGCCATGGGACCGCGATGGCTCGCTTGGCTGCAAAGGTCTGTCCAAATGTCAGGCTGTATATATTGAGGCTAGACGAATACTTCATCGAGCCAGGCCGACGACAAATTACCGCGAAAAGCGCTGCGAAAGTATACCAAACCCAATAGAATATCAGTCGTCATGGTGCACTATGCTGACTCCCATGTAGGCTGTTTGTGCAGCTGTCGAGAAAAAAGTAGACATCATCTCTATGTCTTGGACCATCGAGAAGACCGATGGAAATAGAGACGATATAAAGAAGCTGGAGGATGCTGTTGGCCTCGCTGCTCGTCAGAATATTCTTATGTTTTGCGCTGCCACAGACCAGGGTGAGTATCAAATCACCAAGAGGCCATACCCTTGCTCTTGGCTATCCACAGGATTTCCTTCTAACGCAAATCCGATAGGTGCCTATAAAGATCAAACATATCCAGCAGCGAGTGCTACCAAGAACATATTCAAAATCGGAGCAGCCGAAGCCTCGGGCACAGCGCTGAAATGGCTCGGTGACCAATCGCTCGTCGATTTCATCTTCCCCGGGCACAAGGTGGTAATGGAACGACACGACAACCCTAACGTGAAGAACTATACGGCGCTTACCGGTTCGTCCGTGGCCACGGCCTTGGCTTCAGCCTTGGCTGCCGTGATCCTCTACTGTGTCCAACTAGCGGACACCAAGCGGTACGCTGGTCGACCGAACGAACTGAGTGCGTATAAATCCCTAAAGGACCATGAGAGGATGAAGGAGGCATTCTCGCAAATTGGCACAACTAAGGAGAGCGATAACAAGTATATCATGGTGTGGAATCGGTTTACGCGGCAAGTTAAGCAGGCCGAGAAAGACTCGGCGCCTAGGGACAGATACATCGACTACATCATCGGCCTTGCAGACGAACTGATGAGAAAGGCATGAAGCGCCAATAAGTGTCACGATATTATATACCTAGACATCCTTCATTTTATTGCTTGCTTAAATGCTGATGATGAAACGAGTGGGAAAAGATCTATTTATCCCATTACCACACGATTCTCGAATATGGTGTTTTCCACAAAAAGGGGGAGGGGTGAGACCCATATTAAAAAAGGGGGTTAAACGGTTACCGTATTAGTAACCACCGGGGTAATGAAGCTAACGGTCACTAAGATATCCCTCGTAATCTCAATCTTAGAATTTGGCACCATTCTGTCGACGCTACGAATGTAAATAACATGTTGCCAAGTATCCCGTCGAGAAAACCACCGGAACTAGGCGGCTTGGATCACTGTAGTCCAAATTGAATACCTACTTCACCTACCTACCTTAGTAGGTAGGTATTGCCTCCATATTTGGAATGCCTGCTTACAGTACCTCCCATCTTGGTATCCATGCAACCCGAGCTGCTGGGTCACTTGACTGATTCCATTAGGTAACGAATTCAAATAAGGTGCTTCGTCAGATTCTTTCTAAAGAGCCGCAAAGTGACATCATGTGTCAGAGAATTACATACACATCAAGTTGATTAAGTTGAGCTATCCGCAGGCCTTTTCTCAAAATGGGGATTTGCCAATAACAATTTCAGAAACCTATCGCTTTCTAACATGACTCGTGGTTGGTTTCACGATGGATTGACTGATTTTCAATAACGCGACTATTTGTCTGGTTACCTGAGCAACTTACAACTTTTACAATTCAATTACAGGTGCAAGAGCATCTAGACATATATAGGTATCTATGGATATAATATGTATTTAGGAGTTATGTCTACTCACAATTAAGTAGCACATGTTTTTCCAGCTGAATTTGTACGTACGTGGAGTAATGCATTATCGAGGATAACCAACGCCCCAGCCGCCTTTAAAAATTGGAGTAAATAGCCAATGCAGTGGACCCTACGGGGACGGCGGCGGTATAACGCCATTTTCCCCAACGGCTATTATCCTTCTAGAACCCTAGAAACACACGATTCGGGGCAGATGGAATGAGACTACTAGTAGTGTCCGCGCAACTCCAGAGAGCATATTTAATTGGATCTCTGCTAGCGCAAGGTCAATCGTTCATGCTTGAATATAGGATGACGACGCACTGGGTCTGCCAGGTCTGCGTATTGATAGGATGATGATCTCGCGAGTCAAATTGCGAATCGTAGAGTCTTGGCATCCAGGCCCGCAAACTCTCCCAGCATCCGGCCGAGTCGCCACGCATAGGCCTGAAAACTAGATGCGTATGCCTTCGGTAGACCAAGTCGTCTAGATAACCCCATGACTATCACACGACGCGGGAGCGACTCTGAAGCTTCAAGCAAGATGCATCCTCAATCCGTCCAAGTGCGAAGGCAAGTCCGAAGTAAGCCAAGTTCAGACGGACTTCGAGCATCGACAGTTTCAACTAGTCGCGGACGCTTGAGAGGAGCCTTTTCCAAGCGCGGCGAAAGGTACTTTTTAAAACGAGACTACCGGGCTCGTACCCAAGGCCCCTTCGTGAAAATCGCTGATAAGAATCTGTAAAAACTCGGAAGACCTTCCTCATTCGTCCCGTCTTATCAGGAGGGACGAGTAAGGACCGGAGATTTATCAGGATCGAAGATCTGGCTATTACTAGCTAGTTCTTAATTTAAACGGTCGATAAAGCGTGCTGCCGTCCTCTAGGATCAATTCCATTAGAGCAATAATATCGCCGAAACCACTCGTCTCTAACCGCCTTGGGCTTAGCGCTTGAGTCGCTTGAGTGACGTTATTCAAGAACAATATATGCGGACAGGTGGGTCTCTGATGGTTACACAGTACCGCAGTAGATGCAGACGTACCTAGATAGAACTACAGGGGGTCCCTTGAAGAACGACAAGGGTATACGCTGTCTGATTGGCTGGAGACAAGAAATGCCATCCCCCCTAAACCTTCTTATCAGCTTCCATGTTCTAGAATCTGGAGCTGAAGCTGAACGCGCCCGTTTCTCCATTTCTCTCTCCTACATACCTCCATACATACGAAAGATCTTACCTATACTCTAACGTCTAATAATCAACTAAACTGCCTTGCGTCGGTGAAGGATTCGTGGTTAATCCGTCCGGTGGAAACTAGGAAGCCCTGGTCTTTTTCGTCAAACTCCTGTTGCCCAAGAAAGCAGGGGACCACGTGCCCTGCTGAATAACTCGATACTGTCGACGATTGACCTCGGAACCTACTGATGCTGATATCACTCAGAACTGGCAGCTGAAGTCCATAAGTCGATAGTGCAATATCTGGTGATCAACAAAAACAAGCATCCAAAGTAAATGTCTCGGGCATCCTCGCCTATCTGTCTAGCCTCACTCATGCTCGCGCCACTGGCCTCGATAGATTACGGATTTTCTAGCCTGCTCACTCGTCCAAGTAGCGAGCCCTCCACTAATCTCACTGGATGTATTTATCTAACCGCGTGATAATGTTAACGAGGAGGATTGACAACGTCAGGCTATACAAGCCTGCTAGAACGTTTCTACCATGCTGTCTAGCGGACATAGTAATGAATACAGCTAGACCTATCTGTAAACGGATGCTCATCCCTCAGCATCCCCATCTACTTGCCCTGTCCTGCAGCAAGGGTCTAGACTAGCAGACACCTACGGTATATTCCATGTATCCTTGTTATTTTATTCATGGATGTATGTACATCCGTCCATACATCTATCCGCATTGCCTACCTTCCTATATATAGCAGGCATATATACCCCGAACTGACTACCTACCTGTTACCGCAATTGCTGTTTTGCGATCCCTTCTTTTCTACCTTTTCTTATTCCTTATGGTCGCTCGTTCCATCCCGGTGACCCAGACACGAACCCGCGAATTCTGACAACGTCGAAGCCCTAGGGAGGCAAACCCCGGATACTCCTCACGATGTCGGACACTACAGAGAAGCAAGTCAAGGACGAGGCCGCGGTCACCCCGCAGCCCTACTCGAACGGGAGCCATGACGAGGAGGTCGGGATCGTCAACAAGAGCGGGCAGCTTCACACGGATTTAAAGGGTCGCCATATGCAGATGATCGCGATCGGTAAGAACTTCTAGGAGCGCGTCGCATTTTTTTCGAGGATTTGGAATCGTATGCTGATGAGATGCGATCGCGACAGGTGGTGCTATTGGAGCTGGTCTGTTCATCGGATCTGGTAGCGCTCTTTACAAAGGTGGCCCGGCTGCGTTGGTATGTTTCCCTTTTTCGCCAACCCGCTTACTATGCGGAAATGTTTGCTCCTGGTGCTAATGTAGTAACGTTAATAGGTCATCGGCTACTTCATTGTCGGTATCATGTTACTGTTTACGATGCAAGCTCTTGCCGAATTAGCTGTGGTATGTATAGAATTCTCCCGCGCGTCCTTGCTCCTATCCCTTATATATCGAATCCTTTGAAATACGAAGCATCGGATTACTAATATGCGCGTAGCTTTACCCTGTTAACGGTGCCTTCTATACCTACGTTGTCCGATTCGTCGACCCGTCTTGGTACGCCCTCGCTTCGTCCGCAGACTTACGTGTGCTAATCTTTTATTCAGGGGGTTTGCTATGGGATGGGACTATGCTATCGCCTGGCTCACGGTCCTTCCGTTCGAATTGATCGCTGCCGGTATCACCATCGAGTTCTGGAGGCCTGACCTCAATGTCGCGATCTGGGTCACCGTATTCCTGGTAATCCTAACTTTGATTCAGATATTCGGTGTACGAGGTTATGGTGAAGGTAAAACGTTCATCAAGACGCAAGATTGTGATCAAACAAGCTAACGATATACAGTCGAATTCGTCCTTAGTATGATCAAGATTGCTGCTTGCACAGGTTTTATCATTTTGGGCATTATTATAAATTGCGGCGGAGTTGGTAGTAAGGGCTACATCGGCGGCAAGTACTGGTACGATCCGGGTGCTTTCAAGAACGGCTTCAACGGCTTCGCCGGTGTCTTCGTCGTGGCCGCTTTCGCCTTCGGCGGTACCGAGCTAGTTGGTCTCGCGGCGGCCGAGTCGTCCAACCCTAGACGCGCTATTCCCATGGCTTCCAAGCAGGTCTTCTTCCGAATTGCTTTCTTCTACATCATCAACCTCCTCATCCTCGGCCTCATCTTGCCTTCGGATGACGAACGTTTAAAGAACTCCTCCGGCGCCAACTCGAGCTATTCGCCTTTCGTCTTGGCCATTCAGGATGCCGGTATCGCCGTTCTACCTTCGATATTCAACGCGGTCATTACTATCTCGGTCATTAGCGTCGCTAACTCTTGCACGTTCGGTTCCACGCGAACTATGCAGGCGATGGCTGAGCGAGGAATGGCACCGAAATTCCTTGCTTACGTCGACAAGGCCGGCCGACCGATATACTGTGTGATCGTCCAGCTAGCATTCGGTCTCTTGGGTTACCTCGGTGTCGCTTCCAACGGGCTCGACGTCTTCACCTGGCTTCTCTCGCTTTCTGGTCTGTCATACTTCTTCGTGTGGGGCTCTTGCTGCTTAGCCCATATTCGTTTCCGGATGGCTTGGAAATCTCAGGGACGTGCCCTCAAGGAGATCCCGTACCGCGCGCCCCTAGGAATCTGGGGTAGTGCTATTGGCCTGTTCCTCAACGGCCTCTGCTTGATTGCGACTTTCTACAACGCTCTCTACGTAAGTATAGTTACCCAACTACCCCTTTTCCCCTCTTGGCGATATGTCGATATGAACTAACACATCACTACTAGCCCTCTCCCGATGCCACCCCGGATGCCGCAGACTTCTTCGAGCAGTACCTTGCGGCTCCCATCGTCATCTTCTTGTACCTGGTCTGGAAGATTTACAGTGGTGACTGGCAAATGTGGGTTAAGCTTCATGATATCGACTTAATGGCCGGCGCTCGCCCATTAGAGTTCGACGAAGACGACGAGGAAGTGACGGAAAAGAAGACGTGGAAAAACTTGCCCGTACGCATCTTCAGGGCTCTATTCTAAGTACCTAATACTAGTAGAAATAGGGGTAGATGACATGTCTAGGTACCGTAAGGGTCGTCGGCGAATGGTACTTTCACACTAGTCGTCGCCGTTGTAAATAGTAATAAGACGTGGCTTGTGCACATAGTTGGAAGGCATTGTTTACCCTTATTTTCTTAGTGTTTGGTCAATTTGGATTAGCTTTGACTTTTTCAGTTCATTTGATCAAGTGACCTGGGTTCTTGAATGGCATTAGGTATTCTTAGGACACTGCAACATTTTCCACTTTTTCATTCTACCCACAAACACATCCTAACTCTCATCACTTTATCCAGACAGACACCACACCTTTGCCAGAACACGTCCGTATGCCTTCTACACGACCGTTCCCTATAACTCATCTCAAAATACCGATTACCCTTGATTATCTTTGATCAAATAACTGCTCTTGAACTAAGGGATCACCGTCCTCAGAGTCTCGGTTCATCTGAACGAGGTTCATCTCCATTTCCGCATCTCGTCAACAACTCGTGAGAATTTATCTTCAATCGTTGATGCTATATGGAAAAAATCTCTAAGGCATAGAACGACTCTTGCTGCTACAAGAAAAAGAAGTAAGTGAACGAAGCCTGTCTAACGAAATAACCAAAGACTGACGAAGAATAAGAAAACGTTGAATTGAAAGAATACGCTACAGAGAGAAAAATTCACAGCTTTTTATATCATTGTCCCACCCTCGAGGACTCGAGGACGAGCATTTTCATTTTCGTCAATATTGACGACTTACTATCTATCACAACTACCTAAGGCGTATGTTATAAGGGGCTGTCATCAAAATGGACATGCCCTTTGGGGAGATCTTCGAGTATACGTATGGAGACGCTTCGGAAGACTTTTTAATGGACTCCTTCCCCCAGTTCTCCCAACTCCCTCCGGAGCTACGAATCATGATTTGGGAGGCTGCCGTGCCCCGTCGAGCTCTCTCGCTCATCCTCGATAACGACGAGGAACTGCCCGTGCTACCTCCGCCGGCTATCGCTCACGTATGTCGCGAGTCGCGAAAAGTCTTCCTTAAACACTACTGCGAAGAGCCGTATATAGCTCTCGGTTGGTTCAACCACAAGACGGATATTTGTAAGTATATCGCCATCTACCCTATCTTAGCCCTCTCATTTCTACATACCTACCTACCTAGAGTGTTACTCAGTATATACTAACACCCCCCACCCCAACAGTCATCTGGCAACCTCAACCAGACATCCTCTTCAAATTGCACTGGATCTTCCGCCGCGACAACTTCTTCCAGAACCTAACCAGCCTCACGCTCTGCGATCCCTGTCCATTCGACTGGGTCGAAGACCTTCCCTCTTCCTCCCCCTCCTCCTCCTCCTCCCCTCCCCCCTCCTCGCCCTGGGACCCAATCCAAGCCTACTCCTCCTGGCGCCTAAGCGCCGACCAAGACCCGACAGGAATGCGCTTCATATTCCGGTTCCTCCAAACCGAGCCCTGCGCGCTGCGCACCCTCAACATCTTCAACCACAACAGTCGCTCGCGCGACTCCTTCACCCTGCAAACCAGCCTGCTGTCACCGCAGATCGCAACACTATTCGGAACCGACTCGGCGCTGCTCGTCGACCACACTAACGCAGACGAAGTGGCGCGCGTAGCCCAGGTCCTGGAGACGGATGAATGGGACACGACGCGCGCGTGCGCTCTGGGGCTGACAAGGCTCGGCAAGGAGCTTAGTCCGACGCAGAGAAAGGCGCATTGGGATGGGCTGAGGTTCGATTACAAGATCGCCTGGCTGCAGGAGGTGTACCAGCAGGACCGGGTGCGCGGCTTGCCGGACGATCCGCCGGATGTGGTGGGTTGGGACGCGGAGAGCAATAGGTTGCTTATGAATTGGGATGAGGAGGATCCCGTGGTCAAGAAGTGCCTTGCGAAGATGCCGGAGATAAGATTCGTTTATGTTATTTTGACGGAGGATTAGGGGAGTGGTGGTGAAGGTGGTGGTGGTGGTGGTGAAGGGCTGGGTTACACGTGCTAGGAGGGAAACGGAGTTGAGTTGAATTTGAATCTTCAAATTCACTCGTGTTGGAAAGGAGGGAAAAAAGGAAAAGGGAAAAGGGTTATGGGATGGAGTTATGGAGTTGGGATTTGGGTTGCCGTATAAAGCTGACGGCAATGGACCGACGACGAACGATGGGGATGGATGTCTAGTGACATCGTTGAGGATTTCCTACGCCGTCATTAGGGTCACGGTTCTCATTTTCGCTACGATACTCTACTCTTTACCTCGGTCATAGTAGACTGGCCGGGATAACTATACGATCCCCAGGGCCAGTTGAAGGTTATATCCAGCAAGGTCTGATCGTCGATGGTTCTCTTCGAATAATTTGCGAGGGTTATCTCGATTCTACTATAATTCTCGTTAGCTCAACTATATCGAGGAATTACTTCGCTGGAATAAGATATGAATTCATGAGACTGTCTTCGAATTTCAACTATCGCTTTTAAAGGATCTTGTTGAGCCTCGAGATGGGGTTGAAAGGGCGCTAAGGGGAAAGTACAATTACTAAAGGTAATCGATTTTGCTTCATGTTCTCTTCTAAGCCTGCCAAACTTCAATTATTTCTGAAGAGAAGTCGTTGATCTGACATTATAAAAGTTGAAGCCATACGATGAGTATTACCTATCGATCCCCTGTCAAGGGGATACTCCATACTAGGATACGACACGACACAAATCAAGCAACCAAATACCTACACCTCGCCAACAACCCATCCACAAATCTCATTAATACGATATTATGTCTATTACAAAACCTCTTCACCTCGAACATCGAACAAAAGCATAACATACATTAGCAGGCACACACACAACACGCCGTACCATACATTACAACAATCAATAACTCAAGAAACCGATGCGGGTGGGTAACTATTCAATTGCCTGCCTGCCTGCCTTTCTTGCTTCAAACGCCAATCCCACGTCTAACAATTGTCTGCTCGCAGGCGTCGCCACTTGAACAACGAACATAGTAGTAGTAGTAGCAGTGGTAGATACCTAATAATAGGTACTAAAACGCCGCCTCCACAAAAAAAAAAGGTCACGTACACGTTCCGTACATTACATACACATACATAGTAGTACGTATAAAATAAATATCCCGTTGGATGGCTGGCTAACTTTCAAACCCCCGCTCCCGCTTTATCTTGCCTTTGGCTTTAACTTGTCTATAACCTGTTTGTTGTGGCCCCTCCTCTACCGCTTCTATTCTTCTATCTCATCTTCCAAGCCTCAACCCCCCCTCCCCTTCCCCCTTATATTATCGTCGAACGCGTTATCGGCTCGGCTTCCCGTCCACCTCGTCATCGAGGTCGCGCTCTACCATCTCGATCGAGCTCAAGCTCGGATATCGCTTGGTAAAGTCCTGTATGTAGTCCTCCTTCTCCTTGAAGCTCATATCTAGGATCGGCCGTCCGGGGAGCCCCACGCCGGCAAGATGCTCTGAAGAGCTCCGTTGGGCTGGGCCAGCGGATCGTCCTTTCGGTGGTGACCTCGCTCGGCTGCCACCTCCTGTTGGTAACTTATTTAGGTGCGTAGGTTTGGGTGGAAGCGTCGGTTTATTCGGCGAACTCGGATCAGCCGGGGCGCGTCCTCTTGGAACCTCGACCGAGGTAGAAACCGGCATGAGCGGAGGGCCATTTCCGCGTCCGCCGGTGACTAGTTTCTTGGGGACCTCGGGAGCCTGCTTCTCCGGGCGAGTCTTCGCCACGGCGGCGTCCGAGAACTTACCGTATCCCGTCGCCGTGCGCTGGACCTGCTGCGAGGACTTCTGGGACTCGTCCAGCAGGTTCTGCACGCGGTTCTGTATGCTCACAGCCCGTGATACGCCGCCGATGCTCTTGGGTAGCGGGGCCGATGGGCCTCCGGCGTCTCGTGCCGCCATTCGCTGCTTGTATTCAGCTTGCGCTGCCTCCACCCGCCGTTCCTCCTCGGCGAGGGCTTGGGCCTCTAGCTCCCGTCGCATCTCTGGCGTCATCTCGGGCTCCCCGAGAGGGTGACCGTCATCGCTACGACCATCAGTTGCTTCTGACCCCGCGATAGGGGTTAGATCGTGACGTTCCATATCCTTAAGAGGAGACGGTGTCCGTGCACCCGAAGCCGAAGGGTTACCCTCGAACCGTTTGAAAGCATCCCCAAACCTCCCAGCAAGGATATTTTTGGTACCAGACAAGGAAGTGATACTAGCACGCTTCCCATGCTGCTTGATACCTTTATCCTTCTTTTTTCCATCTGGGTCCTCCATCGATCGGAGGAAGTCCACGTTTGATTCTATCACCGTGTCGTCTTGGGGCTCAAGCCTCGGTGACAAGGAATTTCCGCGCAATTTTGGCGAAAAGCCAGGCGAACGGAGTGGCCTAGGTGCCGCTTCCCGCTCTCGAAGGTAGTCTATGTCGGATTCAAGATAAGTACTAGCAGGCCTGGGACGTCCTCCAATTGGCGGTTTGGATAGCGAATCTAGTTGTTCGGCACTCGGTCGACCAGCTTCGAGGGATGGGCGCGATGAGGATGAGTGTCGGGCATGTCCTTGCTGTGGTGGGAAGGAATCAAGACGAGGAGTTGGCGTGGGTCGTAATGGATAAGTCAAATCCGGCCGTTTTTGGCCAGTGCCTGTTAACTGTTGCTGTGTAGGTAAGCTAGATGCGCGCTGTTGATCCGCCACGGGGAATCGGTGAATTGGGGGATAATCTCGGATTTGTCTTTCAGGGCTAGGTGTATCACCGGTCATTGTCCCGATTGACACCATGGCCGGCTTTGCTGTATCTTGCGAAACCTGAGGCGGAGATGAAATAGCTTGGAGCTCGGGATTGCTAGAGATTATAGCTGAGGCACGGCTCATCTCCGCAGGCTTAGGAGGAGCAGAACTAGGCTTGTTAATAGAGCCGGGTGGGGGAGACGACCTTCGTATATCAGTCGCAGCGTTTACCGACCTCACTCGGTTTAGATCTGACGACTGTCGCTGGCTTGAGGGGGCCGCTCCCACTGTGGATTGAGGCCTAGCAAAAGCATCATCTGCAAGCTGGTCGGTAACACGTTGGCTTAGTGGTGGATCCGCAAGGGGTGCCGAGCTGTCGAAATCAAACTTCGTGCCCTGGTCGTGTAAGAGAGAGAACTGATCGAGTGTTGGGAATCTCGATGATAATTCGTCCGCATCGATTTTTGATCCCGTCTTGGAGTCGAGAGCAGCGAACGGGTCGCCGTTTGTAACCCTCGCTGGAGATGGGCTCGGTTTTGGCGCTTGTTTTGGCGTAGACTGGCTTGGAACAGACTGACTAGCAGCAGATGGCCTTCCACGCCTCATGGGCGTAACCTCGGGTATCGCCTGAGTTTGCGGTTGTGGTGGTGGAGAATATACTGCACCTATGCCTGGAGTGCCCCTGCTATCCCTACCTGAAGATGGCTGCTTGTCGCTTCTTGCATCTGATCGAGATTTTCCAGAATAAATCTAGAACATATTAGTCGGATATTATACAGAGTGACAACTACACGTACATCATGTATGGGTACATCGATACCCTGCATCAAGCAGCTTTCTCGGAGCACTTGGTAAATGGTTGGCCGAGATCGCAAGTCTTCCCGTAGCATAGATGCTTCGCGACCTCAATCAGCATATGAACCCGAGTAAGGGGTTACGGCCACTTACCAATTAGTTTTTTTAGTCTATCCGAAAAGGGAGGATAGCTAGGGAACCTAAAACTTGCGTTTAGGATAGCAAGTTGTCCTTGTTCCTCAAAGGGTGTAGTATAGTAGCAGAGCTTATAAAGAAGTACGCCCAGGGCCCAAATGTCCGACTTCTCGTCAATCGGTTGTTTCCGGTATACGTCAATCATCTCGGGACTTCTATATTGTAATGTAGTATGCCTTTGGACATCTTCATCCACCAGGCGGCATTCTACGACCGTCTGAGGTGCGGCTCTCGGCGGTGCAGCCGAGCCAAAATCGCACAACTTGAATTTCCTCCGGGATCCATGCATCGTAATTAGGACGTTCTCGACCTTCAAATCTCGATGTAGCAAAGGTGGCTTTAGATAATGCATACAAGCAACACCTTCTGCAACGTCTGAGAAAATATTCAAAATCTCGGGCTCGGTAAGACGATGTTGTAACCGGGTATTCATGAAGTCGATCAGTCCTCCTCCATTGCAATATTCCATAAGCAAGAAGACCTCGTAACCGCCACCGCTCAGCTCTGATGCATGCGAGTCGATGTATGTGACAATTGTTTTATGTCCTTTGAGTCGTTTCATTGTCTCAACCTCAGTCCGCATCCCACGAAGAGTCTCCCTGTCCGGCACGGCGACTCTCTTCAACACGGCTTGGTCAGTTCCATTGATAGGCTGTGGCATCTTCACCAGATAGACATGTGCAAATCCACCCTCGGACAAGTATTTCTGAATCACTACCCTATGGTTGCCGACCTGTATCTTGGTGCCTGGAGCGAAGGTGCCAGCAGGGGCGGGCGGTCCTTGTAAGGGGATTTGGCCATGCATCTGCATTGGCGCACCGTAAGCGGCCTGCTGGCCGTGGCGAGGAGCGGCCATGGGCATAGTATTCCCGTAGGAAGCCATGATGTCGGATCAAAGGTAGAGTCTATATCGTTAGGGAGAGGAGAGTGGGAGTCGGTAAAGGTTGGCACTGGCACGATCGGGGGACGTTTTTAAGGGTGTGGCATGGAGGCAGACAGGGTGCGCCTTTCAGCTATAATTGACGCATATCAGGTATACAGACAGGACGAGCCGAAATTCGAGAGTAAGAGTGAGTCTATTCGAAGGGTGCGCGCCAGAGGGCGATGTCTTGAGCGCCTGGTGTTTCCTAGACTTCTTTTCTATGTACAATACAATATACGGATTGAAGGTGGTGGAACTTGTAGGGGTTAGTGGATTTAGTAGTCTGGACGTATGGAGCCGGTCATTTGTCCAGTCCAGTCAGTGTGTCCATCTGTTTCGTAACAGCCCGTGCCACCTGTATTTTCCCCACTAGATCCCCTAATAAACCTGGACGTATATACTTTAGATGCCTTTAAACGCATAACCCCGCCTAACTTCGACGAACGTGGCTAAGTTTAGAAACTGTGCTTGTTTAGGTTTAGTCTACCGCAGCACAGCCAGCATTACCTCATCGCCAACGACTTATACATTTGTACATATACACATCCATATGTATGTCCATAGTGACCACCTATGTATGTGGTGTAGTATGTAAAGACTCGTTGAACATTAGATACACGCATATACGCAATGCGAATAACTCGAGGTTTAACCACATAGCGTATTGCGCTTAAAACACGATACCTAGGACGCCGCATAATGCCAATGAATCTTGAATCTAGTAGTATACAGTAATCATTCATACCGGTAGGTATTAGCCCAAATCGTTTACCGTAACGTCTTATACGCTTAGTCTGATCCGGAGCCTCCTTCTCCATTTCCTCTTCTATCACTTGGGCCACCATTTCCCCCATCGAGAAGAAGTTTAGGCTTGATATAGTCCTCGTCGAGCTGTCTGAATAACGCCTGAGGGTCCTGAGCAGTAAGCAGCTGCTTAAATGCTTCCCTAGCAGATACGGGCATTGCATCTCGGTGACCCGAGGTGGGATAAGAGAATACTCCTTCCTCGTCTTCCGTGGCGCTAGGCGTGAGGATAGGACTTGACCTATTCCGCGCGGATTTACGTGCTGGAGGCGGGAGATCTGATGTATCGATATCACTACCAAGGTCCGAGTCGGTTACACTGCCATTACGACCGAGGAGATCTGCTCGTTCAATATCATCACCAGCTTGGCGAGTGCCCTTACGGCTCGAGCTCGTAGCGCGCGACGTAGGGAAGGACGGTGAGCGGTGTCCCGATACATAACTTCCACGTTCTGGCTCTGCGACTGGCCTAGTTCTCCCGGAATCCACATGGTTAAGGCGCACCGACCCATTTCGTTGCCTAGGGTTGTACCCAATTCCGGTTCCAGACCGCTTATAATAAGAGCCCCCTGGAGCCGCTTCAATGTCGAATTCGTCGTCACTGTCAACCTCTTCGACAACCCCTGTCCTAATACCCAATATCTCCAACATTCGTGCCGTGGTGCCGCCAAAGATGATCACAGTCAGTACCACCACCACAAGCACAGTAGCCTTTAGAGCATAGGAGTTTTTTCCGGTTAAAAGAGCAGCCAACGCCACACCGACCGCCCCGCGCAGACCGGCCCAAAACAACATAGCTTGGTAGCTATAGGGCAATTCGTCGCTAACCTCGATGCCCCGACGTCTCGCTCGATAATGAATAAACCAGTTAATGGCTTTAGACAGTGGAAAAACAGCAACCCATCGTGCCGCACAGACCGCAATAATAGTGACAATGATTAGAGGAGGTTGGAACTGGAGGTCGTTATCTGTGAACAACGACAGTCCTAAATAAATGAATATGAAATTTTCGGATAGCTGGGCCAAGATTTGGAAGAAGTATTTGGTACTGAGCTGTGTTCGTCGTGACATGTTGAAATAGGCATAGTGTTTAAGAGTAATACCGCAGAACAGCAAAGACACGATACCTATGATGACTTAGTCACTCTAGCATTCATCGGGTTGAAATAGGGCAAGACATACCTGACATTTTTAATCCCTGCGAGAAGAAGTAGCTTGCATATGCGATCAACACAATCAAGCAAGTCTCAATCTGAGGATACCTTCTGATGTACGTAAATTTGAGAACGAGGGCAGTGCCAACACCAACGAGGACACCGATGAGTAAACTACCAAAGAAGATGAGCAAGAAGATGCCCACACCCTCGAAGAAGCTAAACACTCCATACGCCCCGGCGGAATCGCTCTTGTACTTTTGCGCGGTCTCGAAGATGACGATGGCAATGGCATCGTTCAGAATAGACTCGCCGAAGATAACGGTATAGAGTTTTGGATCTACTTTATAGGTATTGAAAATAGCTAAGATAGTAACGGGGTCTGTTGCTGATAAAGTTGCGCCAACCGATATAGCGTCGACAAAGGTCATCTCTAGACCTTCGAGGGGTATCCGAGTGTATAGCCATAATAGTAGACCTATAACCACGGCGGATAGGAAAGTACCGGCAAAGGCAAAGGTCAATATTGTGCCAATATTTCGAAAGAAGTTGGCCTGATGTAGTTCGTATCCCGAGTTCAGAATAATGGGAGGTAGCAGAAGGTTGAAGAAAATTTGGTAATCGAAGCTCACGAGCTGTCGAATGGAGTGGCCGGTGCTCACTCTTAGAACCAAACCTACGATCATTCCTGATATCAACTATTAGTAACCCATTGTCTATCATATTCTCTGAAGCTGTGTGCGACGAACCGGCAAATATGGAAATTACTGTTTCATGAACAGCTTGGACTTTTTTCTGCTGTAGCATATAACTTGTGAAGAAGGCAATGATAAGAAGCATGATGGATATGAACAGAGCCCATGATGCGAATATTTCCTTCTGTCCCGAGTCGGCTTCTGTTATACGTTTGTTAGATCAGATCGATATGTAGGCCGGACCAGAGCCGCGCAATTAGTAGAGGGTATTTCAATCATACCATCGGGATCCGTCTCTTCGTCCGCTCGTCCTGTAGTGTATCACGATATCAGCAATGTTGTTGTATTTAGGGATGATGCGACATAAAATTGGGTTTCGATTGACATACGAAGAAGCTCCATGGCGGAGCTGGCGATTTCTGTCAACATGATCGCGGCAAACAGTGGCGACGGCCTCAGGTCGGAGACGAATGCTTCGGCGGGACGTAGGCCTTTTGCTCTAGACTGAGCACAGAAATGCTGGCGTGTGGACGCATCAACTGTGGACAGTTTGGATCGGTCGCTATGATGGTGAGAATGGTAAAGGGTGGTCGGTTTTAGGTTCGGCTTTTGCGCGCTTGTTCAATTCGAGAAGTTGAAATCGACAACTTGCACTTTTTTGCTCTTCTTGGAAGCTGATTGCGCCGCGCCCGCGGGATCCCAGGGCACCTGCATTACCTGTGGGTCACTCAGCAAACCAATGGCTTACGTAGCTGAACCTCATTATAGAGATATCTATTATGTGTATATCTTGCATGTAAGAGCCAGTATCTAGCTATCAAGGACATCCTTTCATAGCGTAGCTGCCTACTAGCCTCTCGGCCTCTTTGGTGTTACTCCAAGCGGCCTAGGATTAATACCCCACGAACAGTTTCGATCCGGGCTGCCAGGTACGATCCACAGTTAAACGTCTTTAACTTTGTACGTGAGCGGGTTTCAATAGGGTTAATAAATATCAAACGAACATTCCTTTTTTATATTCGACCCTTACACAGAAATACAGATATCCCACAATTTACCATGCCATATACAGCTCACCGGATTTGCTCTGTAAAATAAACCTACTGAACCGTTCTTAGTTGATATAGCAAGACATTAATCTCCACATAAATCGGAAGTCGTCTCCATACTGATCTAGTCCTATTTCGTCTCAGGCTGGCTGATGTCATAACGACTAAAACCAATCCACGATAACCTGAACAGGCCGCCTTTCCGACTGGTTTATGAACTTCGTCGTTTCTTAGGTCATGCGGAGTCAAACGGGTGTCCCAATGATTTTCTAGTAAACGAATTACCTACTACCTTGGTAGCGTCCAACTCATACCTCGCGACTCGGTCTCGACCAATTACGACGCGCCACCATTCTACCTGGCCTCGGTCTCGTGGTATCAACTGAAGCCCGCCCAGACCGTGTGACAACCTGCACCCCTAGCTCCCTCCAACTACTAGTGGTCAAGACGGCTAAATTCCTCCGACCCTTGTTTACCGAACTCTTTAACTCTATATTAATCCCTTCACTCTGGACTTAGACATAAACATATAGCTAGAACGATTTAAGGGTTGATGACAACGAGCAAAATTGTCTCTGTATCCCCAGGTTCTCTCTCACCGGTCACGACGAACTCCGGAACGCCGTACCTAGGTCTTTCCTTTGCTCGACATAGCACTAGGTGCCAACGAAGCTTATTCGCGAAAGCGGTATCGTCCAATCGATGACCTCGTCATTGTCGAGTTCCCCGTCCTCGGACCACGAATCTTCGTCGAATCGTAAACATGACCCGTCTTTGAAACAAGACAACAATGCCGATCTCGCGTGGTCTGAAAGCACAATAAGAGTTAATGCCGGAGAGGCTGCCGGGTTAGATGGGCTCAATGAGAATTCTCCTCTCCTCTCTCCCACCGGGGCCGAACATGACTTTCTACAAGGGGAACAGTCGAGACAAGTAGAAGAGGATAAGTTCCAGAAGACTAAGAGTATCTGGTACCTTTTACTCTTAACCCTCAGCCTCGGAGGATTGCAGGTTGCCTGGGCAGTGGAGTTATCCAATGGCACCCCGTATCTCTTGTCTCTTGGTCTGAGCAAGTCTCTTATGGCTCTTGTGTGGGTTGCCGGTCCGCTCACGGGGACTCTAGTCCAGCCATACATCGGTATGCTCAGCGACAACTGCAGAGTATCTTGGGGGAAACGAAAGCCTTTTATGCTAGGTGGCGCTGCTGCCACGTCACTAGCTTACATGTTTCTTGCTTGGATTAGGGAGATCATCGGAGGACTCTTGAGCATATTCGGTGCCGATCCGGAGTCCCACGGTGTGAAGGTCACCATCATCGTGGTCGCCGTCATTTGGATTTATGTACTCGACATTGCTGTCAATACGGTACAAGCATCTATTCGGGCTTTTATCGTCGATTGCGCTCCATCCCATCAACAGGAAGCCGCAAACTCTATGGCCAGTAGGATGGTTGGCATTGGTAACATTATTGGTTATATTGCTGGTGGCATTAATCTCCCAAAATACGTCTGGTTCTTCGGAGGCAGTCAATTCAAGGACCTGTGCGCGATAGCGAGCATTTTCCTCTGCTCCACAATATTGTTGAGCACAGCACTCATCCCCGAGCGGAATCCTCAGCTCAGCGGACGTCCCGCAACCAAACAGCCTGGCCTGATATCATTTTTTGTAAAGATCTTCGCCGCTATTAAGAGACTCCCCCCGCAAATAGCTAAAGTCTGCATCGTGCAGATTGCTGCATGGGTTGGATTCTTCCCCATGCTCTTCTATACATCGTCCTATATCGGCGAAATCTATGTTCAACCCTACTTAGAAGCGAATCCCCACATGACTCCAGAAGAGTTGGACGAGCTCTACGAGAGGGCCACCCGGGTGGGGACTTTCGCTCTGTTAATATTTTCCATCACAAGCTTAGCAACCAACGTCCTGTTACCATTCTTCATCGATCCGACCTATGACAATAGCCCTGCTGTCAGTAATACACATGGAGACCTTTCGGACGGAAAGAGTTTTCTAGATCGCTTAGTCATCCCCGGGTTTACTCTGCGGAGAGCATGGTTGTTATCCGAGCTCCTTTTTGCTGGGGCAATGTTCTGCGCTGTCCTTGTTCGATCGGTTGAGGCTGCGACTTTCCTCATTGGCCTCATTGGTATTACGTGGGCTTTAGCGCTATGGGCTCCATGGGCCATTATCAGTGCTGAAATAAGCCGTTGTGATATACTGTATAAGGCTCGGAAACAACAGTTGAGGTCTCTCGCACATGACCGGGACCTAGATTCCGCTGGTTCGGCCGACGGACACGAGGAAGATTCGCGTTTGAAGGTCGACGAAGACGCACCAGACCAAGCTGGCGTTATCCTCGGCATCCACAACATGGCTATTGCCTCACCACAGTTTATCGCTACTCTTGGCTCTAGCATAATCTTCCGAATATTTCAGAAACCAAGAGGTGTCCCCGGCGACCACAGTCTTGGTATTGTTCTAGCTTGTGGCGGTTTCTTTGCCCTCATTGCCGCATACTTCATACACAAAATTAGCGACGCGGTGCCCGATCCAGAACTTTCCATGTACGCCGCGGAACAAGGTGATCCAATTAATTCTCGGCCAGGCACATCGCACAGTAAAAGGAGCATTACTCAATCCCGAGCCAGCCTGGATCGAGCGACCGAAGCCAGAAGTGGCAGCTACAGTGCCGGGTTGGAATACTGAAGGTTTGTCCGGTGGGCCGTTGTGTTAACCATGAGCACGATATCCATACGAAGTTGAGAAAGATTTAGCAATATATAATCTACGAGGAATGATGTACACGTGTATTTCGGTTGGTTATTAAGGATTAAAGGTCTAGATGTAAATTGCCTCGGAGCGCTGGCGACTGCTGCTCATGTATCGAGTTCTGTATATATACTCTATCTCACGAAGTTGTTTTCAGCATGCTAATGAATAAATTCTTGTCTAGTATCAATGTACGTTCTAGCCCACATAAGAAATCCCTAAGAGGTGTAATAGGAAAGCAGGACGGCTAGCATAGACATAATTCCCAATAGGCTAAATTCCACTGCATGTTAATCCCCCCACGTCTAATATAACATGACCATCAAAGCAAGATCATCGGAGGCTCTAATCCGCGGTTCTCTACGCACTTCGTTGTAGAATGTCTTAGTCGCTCAAAGCCACGGTCCGGGCTGCCAGCTTTAAATTGAATCTAGCCCGTACCTGGATAATCTTTTTCATAAACCCTTACCCCGTGCAGCTTTCCCCAGATAGGGTGCCAATGGCATCATGGCGGGTTGCGAATGTGTCGGTCTCGCAGTTTATATATCCTTGGTTCCCAGGATTCAGTACCCGGTTCACTCTCTCTTCTATTCAAGTACCCAACTACCTTCCGCACACCTAAGCATCCCAAGATGAAAGCCTCGCTCATCTCGGCGGCACTAGCCACAGCCGCTAGCGCAGCCGTCCTATGGGATGGGCGTTTCAACGACCTCAGCACAGCGGCCGACCTGAACAAGTGGTCGTGGGGGAACCAAGTCGGGCCGTACCAGTACTACATCCACGGGTCCGGGACGGTGGACAAGTACATCAGCCTCTCGCCCGAGTATAAGAACCCGGCGGACGCGGTGGCGAAGCAGGGCGCCAAGTTCACGCTCGACAGCACGGCGTTCTGGAACGGGCAGAACATGCGCCGCATCGAGCTGATCCCGCAGACCACGGCCGCGATTAATAGCGGTAAGGTCTTCTACCACTTCAGCATCTCGAGGTCGGATACGAACGCCCCGTCGGTGAATAGGGAGCATCAGATCTGCTTCTTCGAGAGCCATTTCACGGAGCTGAAGTACGGCTGGATTTCGGGGGAGAGCGGGACGGAGAACCCGAATTTGCAGTTGTGAGTGTTTGTGGTGCATACCTACGTCAAAAAGGGGTAGGGAAGAGAGGAGAATATGGATGACAGTAGCTAACTCTCTACCTCAGCATGGTCTCGCAAAACTCCAAGTGGAAAACGGAGTGGAAACCGAACGTATGGCACAACGTAGCCTTCGAGATCGACTTCGGCGCCGGCACGGTCGGGTTCTGGCACTCGGAGGGCGGCGACCCGCTGACGCAAGTCGTCGCGCCTGCCTCCACCTCGGCTTCGTCCAACGGCGCCGACTGGCACTTGGGCGTCCTCGAGCTGCCGCGCTCCGGATACTCCGACGGCGTCGAGGACTTCTATTTCTCGGGTGTCTATATCGAGAGCGGTCCTATCACCACTGCTATTGGTGGTCCCGGTGAGTGACTACCGCGCATGCCCCTTTTGTTGTTGATAGTTGGGCTTACACTTTTCAGCGGCGTAAAACCGACTACAAGTACGGGTATCGGGGCGAAATGAGAACGCATTAGCACCGAGCAGAGTAGCGGGCGAGGTTACGGGAATTATTCTTGTAACTAGCATGGTTCAATTTTGTATATACGAACAACCTATCCGAGTCTTCCTTTCTCACCCTTCCTCCAAGTGATATCTATCACCCAAGTTACCCCTGAAGATCATAAAGCGCATATTCGGTCATAATCTCATTTCCCATTCTCTTTTCTTTTCTCATAACTTCATTTTTCTAACCTATCTCCCGAACGCCCCTCCTCCCCCACCCTGCCCTTGCCCCTTTTTTCCCTAGAAAACTCGAGTAATAACCCCCGTAGCACGCTCCTGCTCCTCCTCCACCGTCGTAGCCGCCGCAGTCGTCGCAGCCGTCGTAACAACGCTCTCGCACGGCCCGAGCATAGTCGGGATCTCGCCGGGCAGCGGGCCGCGCGACACGTCCCAGGAGGTGACGCCGGCCCAGTAGAAGCACACGTTGGTGCCCTGGTAGCAGAAGCTGTACTCGCACCTGCCCGTGAAACTCGTCGTCGTGGATGAGTCGAGGACCTGTGGGGGTAGCGTCATGATCGGCTCTGCTGTTACGCTGCTCTCTGTTGCCGTCGGACTGGGAGTGGCTTGGGCTTGGGCTTGGGCTAGGGTGATGGTCGTTGGCTTGGCATTGCTGCTGCTGATGATAATGATGCTGTGGGGGCCGGGGCTGGTGAGTACCGGGATGGACATAGCCGTTGCGGTTTTTGTGGAGGTGACGGTGAAGTCGGTTGGGTCGGCTGGGTATGGTAGTGCCCTGGCCTTGAAGGCGAGGAGGGTTAGGGCCCCGAGGAAGCTGTGTAAAGCTTTCATTGTGGCTAAGTTATGATACAGTGAGGTGGTAATATATTTTTCTAGCTCCTCAGATGGCTTTGGTATTATGCTTTGAGCTCTTAGTCGAGGAGTTCCGCGGCGCATGAATTCCTTTATATACCTCGTCCCTATCCCAGCTTACATCAACAAAGCCGGTTTACGGCGGAGAAGACTCCGTCGCCGTAGGACAACGCGTTTCTGTGACATTGTGATCCAGGCATGATTCACGCCATCTAACCACATAGCATCGAAGACACTCCCGTTACTAGGTAATGACCCGTTGTTTGTCTGTTCGACATGTAACCTTGAAAAGCTGCCCGGGAGCAGAGGAATCCCAATTCGGCGACACAGGCGGCGGCAAGAGTTGATGTTTGGCGGCCCTGGCGTGTCTAGATCATACTCGACTGTCGCACAGGAAGGAATACTGAGACCCTGCCTTTTCCGCAATTGGATGCAATTGGACGTTTTCGGCCAGCTGAGCCGTTGCGAGGCACCATATTGACGTCTGCTAGATGCTGCAGGTCTCTAATATTGATAGCCCACGCCACCCTCAGACTTATAAATTTACGCCTCGTGCGACGACAAACGCAGGATTCCTGTCTTTGCTTCAAACGAGAGCATTTATTCTTGACCGCCTACCTAGGAAGGTAGGTTAGTTCTGGGATATATCATGGCTTCCGTCATTTCGTGGCAACTGAATATTGGATGTTTATCTGCGACTGGATCGAGAGATAGGTATGTCCGTAGAGGATGAGAAAACAACAATCTCTGTAGCACGACATGATATCGCTTGCAGCCGATCTCCGCTATCTTATTGGTAGCTCCATGAGAATAGTCAGCCAACCGAGGCATATGGAGTTGAAGATCCGGTGCAACACGGGTGGTCACATATTCGAACCGAGATGCATAGGGCTTTCCGTTTGCTTTCTTCAAGCATAATGAGGCCGAACCATACTTCTATTGAGATATCGATATAACTTATTCATATTCTAGGCTTTATCTCCATATCAAGACTTCAATTGCCTCCAGTTGGCCTTGAGGAGAACAATACATATCAGATTACAGTAATGTCTAATTCAATATTTCTTATGGCGGAACCTACCCCGATATAACGATACCGAGGCTTGCAGTCTCTTTATATCAATATTTAGGACGCATGCTTTTTATTAAGATATTATATGCGTATATTTTCTCAATTATTATCCTTCTCGCGAGAACCATTCCATGCCACCACCAAATCTAGGTACTAGACAGACCAGCTCCCACTCAACCCACTAAGAATCATAAACCATATATCGTATCATCGCCAAGCTCAGAAGAGGACCAAGAGCATAATTAACCATGTCTCCCCTTAAGAAGAAGGAAAGACTTGTATGATGTCGACGGGCTGGCAAGTCGGGTTGTGGGGTGGCGAGGTCGCCGACCACCCAATAGCTTGGTAATAATAGCCGGTGTAGTAGATGTAGCAGACATACCACTGATAATACGCCTTACCCACGCCGCTGGGGACGGGGTTCGTGCCCGGGGTGAACGTCGAGTCGTCGATGTAGTTCCAGGCGAACAGCTTGCCGTCCGCGTCGAAACCGACGTTCAGGTCCGAGGAGCACTCGCCGAGGCCGAAATTAGTCGAGGCGACGTTGCTGTCCGTCGTGAACTGCAGACCGAGCGTCTGCGGCTCTAACGCCGTGTTGCCGTTTGAATCGGTGTAGGGCAGCTTCCAGATAACCTGACCGACCTGAGCATCGTCGACCACGGTGTTTCCGGTGTAGTTGAAGTAGTACTCGAAAGATGCTACGATGCTCTCGGGAACCTGGCCAGGCCCGTAACAAAGTCCCTCCATACCGGCACCGGTGTGGCAGGAATTGCCGTAGCCTAGTCTATGTGAGTTCACGGTATTGTTATAGTTCTTTAATGAGGCTAACCCATGATAGAGCTATTCTTTTGACCGACTATCTGAAGATAGAATGGCCCGGTTTGGTTTTGTGCGGACGCTGCCGAGGCAGCAAGGCCGAGAAGTAAAGATGGAAGTTGAAACTTCATGATGATATCGATGTTGCGAGGATCTAATGGTCTTCAATGTTATTGCCTACCGATGGTGGATATTTTCATGTTAAACGTGAAGGTAGGACTCCCATTTTATATCCCGAGAGCTCTTTGATATATCAAACGAGGGATGGTGATCATCACGAGTTAACCGTTTAGTTGGAGAACGGAGATCGAAGATTGACAGTGCGGCGGAAATCCTTCATCTTGAGGCGGCGATCAAAGAGCGCTCGATATCATTGGCTCCATCGTATCAGCCGCTCTTCACGTGGACGTCAAGGTCGTAGGGTGAATATTCCTCAACATCGTGAAGCATACCTTCTACTCAGTGCTGTTACTTGGGTAGGCTATCTAGTGAGAATTGGTTCAATGAATTCTCGTATATGCGGTGTGACATCGTATGTGCGAGTATGCCCCTGGCCCTATGAGCTTCTAATGATATTCCATCCTATCGGCAGCATATCGACCCATTACTAATTGCAATATCGGCTTTAATACATACTAGGCGATTATATTCGTTTAACAGTGGTTTAAAGCCAAGCTAAGCGAGCTACGCTTTTAGAATTATTTTGCTTTTCTCAGCTGCGTACCCCTTATAGCGATATCCCACCAGGAGCTTTATACAATTTGCTTTTTCCCGCTTCGGCCTTAAGCGTTGTAAGCACTAGAGCTGGAAACGTTCGGTTACCGAGCTACGTAGGTACCTACCTAGGTAACAAGGGAACCATTCGCAATATACCAGGTAGGTATTTCGAAAGAAAAGCACAAGTGCGGTGACGTTGTTGATTGAGTGAGGCTAACTTGTGGGCTCGTTAGAGAACCTAGTGAGCTAACTCTTACTCAGCCTATGACAACTCGGGTTTTTATTAGAAAATGTGACATATAACGTCATGGGTACCCGTTGAAGAAAGATCGAGGCTAAGACCGGGGTGGCGCTCCTAAAGCTTAGACTGGCCATTTAAAGTGATGACCTAGCAGCCCTAGGTGGACAAACTGACGAAGAGTCCGCCGTAACGTCACAGCAGCGGAAGAAATATCGCGTCTTTCAATACCTATTCCGGCGATCATTGGGAGCATTCGGAATAGTCTATCACCGCATCACCCGACCATACTGTCAGCAATACGATGTTTCTAAGGTTCTTTCCATCCCTCGCGGCCCGAGGAGCCCGCCGAGGAGCCCTACGTACGTAGTCGCCTATGATTATTATCAACAAATCCACAAGGGATCGTGAATTATATGGGACACATGTATCTCTGTGAAGTTAGGAAGTGCTTCCATTCATACTGCCACATTAGCGATTGCGCGTCTGTTCCGTCTTCACCGTCAGTCGGCGAGATGTAGAAGAGAGCCCGAGAGGCTTGGCTTGTAGTAGTATTTGGAAATGCGGTAGTGAGAGTTGGTTCCTCGCTGATTGTCTACATAAGTACCTAGACATATACAGATACGTATTAGAACCCAGGATGCCACGCGATTTCTACGTATTACAGTGATTTGTTATACCGATGACAATGTCACTTTTGTTGCCTATCTTCGCACAACCCTTGCGTCAAATTAATTACCCTCATTGTATGTACATTGTGTTTTATGTGAAGTATTAAATAAACTTGAGACCGCCATCAAGTCTATTCTTAGCCTTGGGTTAGACATCAAGTCGGTGGTTTAGAATTGTCTTGAAATCCGCGTTCGGAAACCCCTTGCTAGGCACTGGAGCCGTGACACCGATAGAAATCTCCGGAGCATGTCGTCACATCGTCCACGTCATGCCGGTTGGTGGGCACCTACGAAACAGACTTCACTAACATTAAGGACACCGCTAGGAAGCTTTCTTCGTCGTTTCGTATGCGGGTATACTGCTTGACTCTCTGTCCCCGCCTCGATGATGAAAGGGCAACTCGGAATAAGTGGGTCGTATTTCGGCCGACTGAACGAGCCCCTTCCTTTGTAGCGTTCGTCCAGAACACCAATTCCAGCCATGAGCAGATATCTTCGGCTGTTGGTTGAGGGCGACGTCTAGCATCTGGTAAACTCGTTTAGCAGAGAGTTCGAATATCCGGTCGGACCCGAACATCCTTCTAGTGGCGGAGCTAACATGCGTGTTCCTGTCATAAGGCAACGCCGGACCCTGATGTCTCGTCCTAAAATATTTCACGTTGTGTTGTCGCTTTTGTGGACTCCTACCCCGCCATTCCCCTGGCATTCGATCAATCTGGAAGATGCCGACCAGAGTCAGTGGGCCGGTTTCAAATGTCCACCTTCTTCTGACAATGTAATGCTTTTGTCGGGCGGTGGAGCGTGTAATACCCTCTGGGAAACAGGCCTGGATGGTTAAGAAACTACACATCCGTTCCATCCTTCCGAAGATGTTAAATTCATAGGTTTTCCCTGCTTTTCCAGGTCCGGGACATGTCGGCTGACAAACTCTACAATGTCCCAAAATTGAGAGTCGTCCGGGCCGTGCTCTGGATTCTTCCACTGGGATCGTGGGGGATACGGCGATTTGTCAAAGAGCAGGCGAAGCTCGTACCTCCAGTCGCTGGAGACCGTGGAAGCAGGTACTACGAAGTTGCCTTTTTCGATTCTAACGGTGAATAATCTGGGTTGAAAGGCATCATCCGTAAGGCTCCTCTCATTGATGCCAGTGCCTTGCGCTAAGACAGAGGTTTCTGCTAATTTTGGCAGTCGCTTGGTGAGAGTTATCTCGAGATCAAGTTGGCCGAGAAGTTGAGGGCCTTTGTTCCAAGCGGTATTCGAGACTTGCCCTGGGAACTCAACGATTTGGCTTGGACCATGTGGTGGCTTGACGCTCTTCCACTCGATGACTGCTAGGATCCAATAGTTGAAGTTGCAACGGCACCATAACTTTCAGTCGTTAGTAACGGATACGGAGATATCATTAAAAACAGGGGTCTACACACCTCGCCCGTGCCGTCCTTGTTGAATTTGATGTGTCTACCTTCCTCATGATAGTACCATTCGTCTTCCCCAGAAAGAATTGAGCAAAGTGCCTCGTTCATGCTGACGGTAAGATGTGAAATAGAATATCGTTGTCAAACTGCGAATGAAAGTGTTGATGTTGTTTAAGAATGAAACAAAGAGCTGCCTATGCGATTCATAGACCAGGTTGCCGCTTGTTCTCTGTGGCCCGTGCTCTCTTGTCAGGCCACCTCAGCGGCTCAGCGCCTCACAGCTGAATCCTTCATAAGCTTGGTGATCCATGTGACATCATCAGCAAGCCACAATGTTTCCTGCTGGTAAGCACAATCTTATATCCTAGGTGGATTGGTATCCATTCTTCAATCTTCATACCAGAGCACAATCGTAACCCTTCAAGAACAAACCGAATTAGCGAATGTTGCCTACACTGGGCTTAAGTTTAGGCAAACGAAACCTCTCGGATACGCATGAGACGAAGGGTCGCAACGCCGTTAATGGGATGCTCCAGGTTGAGATCTTACCTACGAAGCACGTTTTATCACTAAGAGACAACAATGCACGACTGCAACTATTTTCGGTTTCATAAGCCTTCTATCTATATCCTATGGCATCATAGACAATAATCTCGCCGTCCTTCGCACTCAATTTCTCCTTCCCGCACCTAGGAACTGCCATATTGCGGCGCATTTACATGTTGCGGTGTGCCTTTTACGTTGACCCAGCTATACCAGTCAATGTATGCGCTTGGCATCTGTTTGATCCCTTCCTCATTCTTTTTTGCAGCGCACTGGACCTCTATGCCCAAACCACCACTTTTGCCCATTAACGTTGATGGAATCAGTATCTGCAGTTTCTCAAACTGATGGATCTGACTCAGCAGTACCGTATTCGCTGTTGTAAACCCCGGGCCGCCTATTTCTTTCAGGTAGGCGTCCCGGTTTGGTTCTTCAAGTACAATTCGTCAATATAGGATCGGTGGATTAAGGACATATATCGGATAAAAAATTGCAAGTTGAACTTACTTCCCAAATCATACCATAGCGGCGTGCAGCCATCATCCGCAGTCTCAGGTACCCATGCCTTATTGACCAGATTCCAGGCGCTGGAGTCAGCGAAAATAACGCAGTCCCAGAAGCTATCCGACATAGGCCAATCTCCACGAATGGGGCTTATATAAGCACCAGCCCCCAGCTGCTCGGAGCTACGACCTACTTTATCGGGGTTGTATGAAAGAGTATCGCCGGCTTCGTGGTATAGTTTAGCTTGGAGCTACGAGGGTAATGTTAGCAAGAGACCATATGTCGATTCAACGAGCGGAAAGGGCACATACTGCGGAGACGGATCTGTAACCAACGATAATGCTCGATCCGCGCTTCTCCAAAGCAAGTGCTACAATAGAGGCAACATGCGCCGAAGCCGCCAGGAGCTTCATAAACGACACCATGGTTATAGATACAGCGAAAAAAAAAAAGGTAATTAACGAATAACTGGCATGAGTATCTTCGCGAGAAGTAAATATAGATACATATAACGAATGATTCGGATACCAAGAGACATTCAAAGCTTCAGCAAGAGCTCCCTTGCTTTGCGTGCATCGTCTCTATATACAATATATAAATCATAAAGGGGCTGGTCAGACGATCGAATTATAAGCTATATCTGCTAAACTTAGATCTCTGAAATTGGCTGACAACCTGGGTAGACTGTGATCTCGCCAATCCCTACTTTCTTAACCTCACGCTGGCTGATGAATGTAACCCGGCCATGCAGCCCGATAGCTGAGCTGAGCTGAACCCGTAATCAACCACAGGATAATGCTATAACAACGTCATGCGGCTGAATTTATGGGTTTCAAGACATTTGGCGAGCGGCAACGAACTCCCTAATTTCCGCAACTTCAACATATACAAGTATAACTTTCTATTTTGATGGATAAGTCGTGAGCTTATCCCCTATACTTGGCGTCAGATGGATTGTCAGCTTGAATTCGTTAAAAATTTTAATTAGCTCCAGGTGAGAAGTGAGATATGAGATACGCATAGAAACGGCGAAGGTATCATCCAGGAGAAAGGCGTATTTAGGGATTCGGGTGGCATCTGATCATCTGCAGTTGCCTTCCATTCTAATAATGGAATTTACCACATCGGTCGACACTTGAATCGGCGTACTCGTCGAATTTATTTCTCATATACCCCTGAAAGTAACGATAGGTATCTATTCATGTCTGACTAAGTTAGGAAATTTTGCCTTGAGCCCATACTATATAACTCTACGATCGGCAAATCCCACCGGAACCATCGTGCATTCTTTTATGACCAAGACTTGACTCTATATCTCTACCTCTATTAGTGGGCAATTATCTGTCGTCATGCCTAATAGCACGCCCTCTCTAAGGGCTATAGTGCTCCTTTGCACGGTCGGGGTAGCGACTGCAACCCGCGGCTACTATCCACGCTTCGCCAATTCCAGTATACCCATAACGGGTACAGTTTCAATATCCCACAGTTCGAGTTCATCGAGGAGTGTGTCCACTGGTAGCCTCTCCTCCAGCGGAAGTCTCTCGAGTCAAAGCTCATCTATCTCCATAAGTACATCTAGTAGTACATCTAGTAGTTCCTCTAGAAGTGCCTCTAGAAGTACCTCCGGAAGTACCTCTGGAAGTATCTCTGGAAGTATATCGTCCCGAAGCTCTATTACCGCATCAACCAATTCCCAATCCCAATCTACTCCTCCGAGTAATTCCACCGGTCTCTCTTCTGGAAGCATATCTAGCAGTTCCTCCAGCAGTTCTCTCTCTAAAAGCACTTCCGGGACGACATCCTCAAGCATCACATCGTCAGGGAAGTCTCAATCGAGCAGCAAATCTAGCAGCTCGAGCACGGCTTCTTCAACAAAACCAGTCATAACAATCATAACGACGGACGGAACTACCAAGTCCTCGACTCTTCCACCCTCTAGCATCACGCCACCTCCAACTATCGTCATAAATTGGAGTTCGGTGACAACTTCCACCACATCAGGGGTCTCAACAGCAACTCATGACTCACATGGCTGGCCTATCATTCCCGTGCTGCATTGCTGGTTCTGTCCTCCAATCGGAGGCGGCGGAGGTGGAGGTTTCGGCATCGTGATTCCCGGCGTCAAGGGTCCCGGCATCTTACCTCCTCCCCCAGCCAATGTCATATCCTCCCTAGGATTTTCAGCAAACATGCCAACCATTACGCTGGATTCGGCAGGAGATCCCACTTACCCAACAGAAGAGCCCACTAGTTCGCCTACGGATCACAGCTCTTCTGCTTCTTCCGCCTCTTCCAGTTCTCATAGTTCTTCCCGTTCTTCCAGTTCTTCTCGATCTTCTAGTTCTTCTACGAGCTCCTGTACCCGCACTGCCACTGGATATGACCTATACGTCACTTGTACGTCTCTCACAGGATCGGCGTTACTGAGCACTTCAGTCGGCTGCAAGACGTCCACGCGTACAACAACGGGATGCGAAATAACGACCACGGCTTCGACGACTACTGTGGCCGCCTGTCCGGTAAGCGCCTCAGCGAGCATCAGTGCCGCGGAAGAAAGTGCGCGCGCAGCTGGTGGCGTAGTGGTTAGTGGAACAACATATCCACTTGCTTTCTGGCCGACAGATTCTCTTGTCCCGAGTGGCTTCACTATTTCGCAATTTGGAAGTATGTTCGAAAGTTCGGCCTCTAGTACTTCGAGTGCGGCTACTAGCAACACAAGTCTTCCAACTAGTACTTCGAAGACGGAATCCAGGAGCTCGAGTACTCTGTCCAGTGTCTCCAGTGCGTCCACGAGTAAATCGGTCTCTCCATCTACTTTTTCGACCTCGGCGTCCAGGGGTTCTTCGTCCTCTACGACGAAGAAAACATCGATATCTAGCTCGTCCACGCCGACTCCAAAATCTTCGAGTGTCAAGACCACATCCCAGGTTACGTCTCAAACTTCGGGCACTTCCACCACCAAGGACCCTGCTTCTACGTCTTCAACAGAGGCGGCACCGTCTCCGACTGCGTCCTGGTCCCTTGTTGCTGTAAGTGAGAGAATCCAAGCTCCGCATGTTCTTTACCTAGCGACGTTCTAATAGCTTCCATAGTATAGCGTAGACTGTGCCACTCAGGAAAAGTCCAGCGATTTTACTTACGTAAGTCCGAAATACTGACAGGTCTTCGTCGTCCCACTAATGCTCTTCTCCCACTAGTATGACTTAGGAGGCTACGAGTCGCAGAGCCCCGACGAGACATGTATCAAGCTCCAGGGCGACCTACCACTGCATTCCGACACCACGAACTCATGCTCATGGTTCGAGGATGGCGGCTTCGTAGGCCCATCTTCGTGCTCTGGCGCGAATCTCAGCCAGCCGGCTTCTTTCTTCATCCGCGGGGGATTCTGCACCATTTACAAGGGAACCGATTGCACGGGAGACTGGAACGGGATCGATTCTGTTCTCTATACCGGCTGTACTAGCGTCAAGGACGCCTTTGTGGATCTAGGCGGTTGGGGCTCGATAAACTGTTTTGCATATCCTTCCGAGAACGAGTAAGTAATCGGGGAATATGGGAGGGAATACGATAAGATTTAGATATAGCAATAGATGGCTTGATGAAGCCCCTGAACCCCTTTTATCCAATTGACGGCTCTAGCAAAGTGAAGTCTAAATAAGGTTCTCGAATGGGTCTCCAGTGGAGTAGGGACGAGGACTAGCAGGGGTAGGAAAAGTAACTTTGTATCCATTTCTGGAACTTACCAGGGAACTTAAAAAGCTTAAATTTTTTATATAGAAGATTCCTACTGCGTATATTGTCATATGATGTTGGATAATGTGTTCCAAGGAAGAATATACTGAGGACAGTGACTTAAGGATGTTAAGAAATCTTCAGGGCGCCGATTGTGAATAACCCCTCTTTCCTTGATTACATAAACTCACCCCTCATCACTGTTGCTAGGATAACCATAAAAAATAAACTCAGCAACAAACCGGAACAACTGAACATCGGAAGCTTCGGGATCCAAAATATCGTTTTTCATACCAGGCATAAGTTTTTAGGTCATTTCTCCATACCTGTTTTAAAAGCATTTACTATATGGTTAGATCGTTATATCGGCATATAATTGCCAGACTCTCGAATGCCATCCAAAGCATTACCAGCGTATGGATATCGTACGTTGGAACAGGGCCTTAAACAAAGTCCATCTAACACCCTGGAATGAACACCTGTGTCTCTATTTAAAGCAGTCGGGCACCCACACCATTAGTACTAGGAAATTTATAACATGACATAGTATTATCCCTGAGAGGGATATTCGAGCCGTAACACGATATTACAATATTAAAGTTAACAAACCTATCATCATGGGCATTGTCATTAACTATCTATAGCTGAGCCAGCAAATGAAAATCGTATTTCTACCTTGAAGCGTCCATATAACCTCATAGAGGTAACTTGATAAGTAACGCAGATATCTTATTGCATTTTTCTCTTATTATCCTATGATAGCGAGGTTAAAGCTTTTTGAAAGTTCCCATGACCCGCTCAACAAGACCAAATATCTAGCCAGTAACCGACTATCGTATCGGCGTCGTCAACACCTACCAAGTTTACGAACTCTTAGCTTTAAAAGTAAAGTATATGGCGTGGATGAACGACAAAAGCCCGCTGATCCCCAATAAGCGACGATACGCAAAATCGCATAAAAATGTGGGCCTTTTAATAGTATTATATCTCTCATCGACTTCAGACCATTGGCTTCCACGAGCATTCGTTCATCACCACATCCAAGGGATGGCTGATACTCCCCGTTACTCACTCACTGTTGAGGGAATATCAGTTTTCTTACTTTCACATGGAACAAGATTAGATGTGTATGGTTATCTCGCCAGGTTCGTTTACCGCCCCTTCAGATTCTTCCTTGGCATAGGATTTCTAACGGTCACCCAAAGTCTTAAAATGAAAATAGACAGAGTAACGAATTTTATATTCTTGCTTGATACTATGGGATGTTTGAACAGAGACCTTGGGTTAGTTCAAGTTATCATATATATGCCATCTGACAACTAACAAGAGCCTTTGCCGCCCTCTCATGTGCAGCGGCGATTCAATAATGGTAACCTTGATGCTATCGGTATGTTAGATATTGCAGAAGTACGACATACGCGATCTACAGGCAACATGAGCCTTAAGCGTACAGTGATACGAAAACTGTGTAAGCACATATTTAGCATGTAACTATATCCCTAAAATTAAGGACTTACGACACGTTTACACTCCTGAGTTTCCTAAGTTTATCTCCTACTATATTCTATCCCTTGCTTTAATGTTACTCATACTTATCAACGGACCAACTAGGCCTTGTGTATACTCGTATAGCTTTGTCACATGGCTCATATTGTATCTCCTCCTCATAGCTGGTTAGACAACTAGTATCTTTATGATCGGCCTGTGATCCTTCTCTCTACAACTGAACTCGCTTCTATCTGGATCATAACGTACGGTCCCTGGGCGAGAAAGACGTCACACCAACAGTGGACAGCTCCATATGAGAATAGCAGAGCTTTTGGGCCCGCTCGGGGAAAAATCCTTCCCTGTCACAGGAGTTACAACAATATGAGGAACATATGATCACGCACCTCGTCTTCAGAACTCAGGTAATGAGATTAGAAATTTAGAAGAATGTGGGAACACTGCACCCAATGCGAGGTACTGGGACGACACAAAGTCATTTATAAAGAATAACGAGAAGAGCTGCACACGTAGGTTGCACGAGGCGTTTCTCTGTGGTCTTTGGCAACCAGCCGCAGGGACTCTTTAAGAAAATGAGGGTCTGAAGACGGGACTCAATGTGTTGTCAGCGCGCCCATGACCGTGGCCGAAATCGTACTCCCAGGGTGTTGAAACATTAGGTTGCTGGAAGCCTACGTCTAGTATCTTATGGGTACCTACCTACCTACCTATATAACTACTATATATGGATCTCTACCTGCTCCTAGTAACTTAACCTTATAATGTAACAAGCATAACACTCATAACCTACGTCTATCTCAATAAATTGTATGGAGTTGCCAAGTGGCACATTAACCTCGTTAAAAGATGTAGTTACTGCGACACGAGTGAACCCTGCGCAAGGCTTTCGAGATTTTGTCCGAACATATATGTCTTTGGCCCTTATCTCGCACGACCTGGCAGAGGCCAACTCGGCCCAATAGAGTGGGAAAGAGATGCTTTCCTTTAGTGGGCTGAAGATAGTATAATATCCTCCTCGTTTTGCCTAGAGGTTTGACGCATGGAGTTTGAGACGGCAGAATACCAGGGCAGCCGGCAAAGAGTGATGGCTACACAGAGCTCTACCCGTGTTTGGCCTTAACGCCGACCGCAACGGTTTTCATTTTGCATACCCAAGCAACGGCACGCGTTTAAGATTGTGCAAAGACCCGGGCCCTGAAACCGAAGGCGGTAAGCGTCGACTTTGAAAGCCGTGACACCGTCCCCAACTGCAACCAGCAATACTTCGATAGTGGTGGCCGTGACACCATCATCGGCATATCAGATATTATAAATTGAATTCAATAAGCTTGAATCGAGCATCTCCGAGGACGTAGGCTGGCTATACGAACAATTGGCATGTTATTTGAGAGTTGAGACAAGTGGTCATTCGACCCAAATGGAAGCATCTAGCCTACTATGCCGGCAGGTCTGTGATAATTCTGCCAATGGAGCTCTTGGTATTGGTAATTACTAAATACATGCAAATGATTTCGCATTAGGCATCATTCAAGACGAAGAAAATCGCTCAATATTCTGGAGATCAAATAGGTACGTGTTTCCAGCCGGACTGGTGGCGCTAGACTAACTGAAGGGGACGAAGAGAGTACCTAATACGGCGAGCCTTCGGGTGAGACAACAGCAAGCCACGATGGCTCAGTAGACTAGTGATGCAGATCTTATCGCGGCTGCAGCCACCGAACAGCTACTTCTGCAAGGAGAGATGGTTGCATAATAGGTGGACCGCCGGAGTAACCAGAATTGGCCTAGATTACAGCACGAACGATCTTCACGATAAGATGCTTCATTGGTAATGTCTTTCATCATTTATTTGTTAACATTTTCCTCTTAATACCATTTTCGTCCCGCTCCGATTTCCGCCCCCTACTCATAGGGTCCGCCCTGTTCCGCCTCCCGCGAACTCTGTGTCACGCTCTCAGGGGCCTCGTAGCCCTCAGCGGAAATACTACCTGGCACGCTCTCCGGCGTGAAGTAGTTAGATCCCTTGAACTGCTTGCGCGGCTGGCCCTTAGCACCTTCGAGGTTGGATTGCACAGCTTCTCTTCCCTCGTTCATCGCCTCGCTCCGGTTGTACCCCACAGTTGGGTCCGTGACGCTCGACCCAACTTCGCGCCGGTTGCTTCCGGCCGGGTTGAACTCGTTGCTGCCGCCGAAGTCGCGGGCCTGTCGCTCTACCTTTTCCTGCGGGCCTCCCTCGCCTTCGAAGTGCTGGCCGCGGGTTTGTCTATGGCTTGTTAGTCGCCATTTTCTAGATGCCTGGAGTAATATCTGGAGAGTAGGGAAATTATTAAGGACGGCTTACCTTCCGCGGGCATCGACATCTCCGCCCTCCTCGGGCGGGATTCGCTTGTTGTAACCGGCGTTGGTGGATACGTCCGTACCGTATCGCACCTCGGCGCCGGGGAACTTCTTCTCTGCTCTCGTGTCTACACCGGCATCATCCTGTGACGAGGTCTTGTGGGAACCGGTTTTGGCGTCGTAAGTGTTCAGATCTTGCTCCGCCTGGTCGGCGATGTTGCGTAGAGTCTCGGGTGATGGTGCCATGGTGTTTGTCTATGTTCAAGCGATTATGTTGATTTTATTGCGAAATATGGCAATGAATTTCGTAGGTGTTCAATTAAGATCTTGAATTATGGTCTTAGATTTAATAACTTCCAACGTTCCTGCCTAGGTAGGTATATATCATTCAGTTCAAAGTATCTGACGTCAATGACGTCACGGTCAATTGAGATCTTGAACTCATCATGAAATCATAGACCCCGGTTTTTCAGGGACCTGTGTACCCCATAGTTCAACCAGACTGGCGGTTATGGCAATTTGAGTTTGCGAGCTACGTATTAACATCCTTTGAAGATGACCGAAGACGTAGGTAATTTTGAGTGATATCATCTCGCTCCATTTCCCCCGGGCGGCTCTTCCCACCCCTTTTCCTAACATGTAAGTGAGGTGCCATTATTGGCTATGATCTACCAATATTTCCTCAACTTCATCATATGCGACCATAGTTACATTAACAATCGTTTCCAGGATTTACTGTATGCTAGAATGCTTTGGATGCCCAATAATAAAGTACAGCTACTTGTGCTTAAGCTTGCTCGCAATTTGGAACATCAAATCAGTCGAATGCTAGGTACTAAGTTAAGGCATAATCTAGCATCATGGAATGCGATGGACATTTATAAATAAACGCCCAAGAATGTTGCAGGTTCTATCAGGGCACACACTGCGAGGGAATCAATAATTAAGCCACCGTGTAGACTATGCCTTGTTTCCCCAACGAAGGCCCCCAAAAGGCATTGACGTATTCATCGGCTGAACTGCTATTTCTAGGCAGTCATGCGCCTAAAAGAAATAGTTGGAATTAGCATGATTTAATGCTTTTAAGAAAACGGTAAAGCTCTATAAGCTCTTGGCGACCTCCTAACGACCTTTCTTGAAATTTGGAATCCTCCTTCTAGGAAGCTCGTCTGACATCTGTGCGACTACGTTGCGTATGTAATACTATAGTTCCCAAGTCCTCATAACTAATTCGATATTTAGTAATCACATGAGAGAAAAGAGCATGTCGTTACTACAGAAGCTCGCCCGACCTCTTAAATTCTCGAACCGTCCACAGTTGCGGAGCTAAAAAGAGTAACCCGTACCAGAACACTACTGGGCGATATGGCATAGAAATACGCCCGTACCTTTATCAAGATTCGCCAGTCACGGTGAATCCAGGCAATACAAATATCCCCAGAAATACATTTGACGCGCGTCTCGTCTCCCGCCGAACTTCCTGTTTTCCCCAGGCTACCTACCTATCAAAGGACGAAATAGCTGTGGGTCGTGAAAAACTGGCCTCGTCGAATCGGTGGCTATTATACGAAACTTCGAAGATTTTTCCCGGGAAACAAAGCAGTTCCAAAACCTTCTAGCTCACGTCGAACCGTCCTGTAAGAATGCTACGCGGCCCGCGATGCGTTAACCCGGCGGCGCAGCACCGATCTGCATCGCCGGCTCGCTTCCGGATGTCCGTGTCCGGAAATGGGAGATCGCTGCCACTAAGCCGCAAGACGCTATAAGTTTGAGTCCAATGCCGAGTAGGAATATCATATCAACCGTATACGAAGTTAGCGTTCCGCCCCTTGGGAGCATTCTGTGCCGTTGTTCAGGAGTAGGCCGTGAGGATACGGTAACACTCTTTTAAAGTAGCCAACTTCGATATAGCTCTAAGAATAGGTATTCTTAGAGCTACATATTGTAGTAATTTATATTGAATGTATGGCTGGGCATTGTTCGGTCTGTACTATATCTGCATGGCAGTTCCATTTAATATGTGTAGCGAAGACCTTTCTGCAGCCTCCTCGGCTGTTTTCATTCTAGCCCTGCGAGTCTGTTTACCTGGCAGCTCACCAATATCTAATACCTACCACCTAACTGCATGACTTGTCTTTGCAGTCGGTTAATTAGACAGGGGTAACGTCGCTTGCTAAAAGTCGTCGAGACTAGTCAACGATTATACTCGCCCAGCGGCTATAGGTATGTAGTAGCTGCCGGTACATGAACCGGTCGTTACATGATCTTAGCGAGGATTGGGAAATGCCACCGCACCATGCACCCGAGAGATGATCTATCAACAACGTCCCGCGAACCGACCAGCGTCTGAGTCAACTGGTCACCCCCCTCACAATGCGTTTTAGCCCGGTAATATACCCCCTCATGCAAGAACAACCCATCAACGTGGTTTTTGCGGAGTGGCTGGGGGACAACCGGAAATATACACTACATGAGAGGTATCAGAAGGCAAATAACCTATTAGCAATTCCCGGTCTTGGGGTCCGCTCATTCGTCTGATGTTGGAAGCGGATCGCACATGACTAAATACGTCTGCTTGCTGGCAGGAAAATCCCGATATGGCGCCGAGGTAGCAATCTTACCTGGTTCTGATGAGAAGCGGTGTCGACCATTTAATGCCAATATTACCTAGACTATCAATAGGCCAGCTTTGGAAGCTGATTTCTCACGATTGCGAAGACGGAGCTCTGGGTGTCTACGTAGACTTTACCCGGACTCGTCCATAAGACTAATCAAATCATGACCTGGCCAAGAGGTAGTAAGACCAATGCTTGTTACGTAGGGTGCCATGAGGAGTGGAAGCTTCTGAGTCCCGTCGTCGTAGCCCGTCGTAGTAGAAATGTAAGGGTGCTGATGGAGCCAAGGCAATGCGCACGCCGGCTAGTTTCTCAGGGTCAGATTTAGGGTCGATGCGGTTCCTTCCGCTCCATGGATTCGAAAAGCTCGAGAACAGCAACTGAAAATACCTAATAGCCGATTCGAGATTTTCTTGCTAGTTACAGAAGGGTATTCGAGGAGACATCCTAGGTATCCAGTCCAAGGAAGGCGCCTTGTACATCATCGTTCGAACCATTTATCAAGAATAAAATTATTGTCTCCTAAATTGAGCAGGTGTTAAATTTCAATCATGCCTGACCAGAGTAATAGCGTGAAAGTACGCCTACCAAGGCCAGGCATTTGGCTGATCCGATATTTCGAATTGGGACGGCACAAATTAGCTAATGTGCCAGCCAGGAATTCACCGCTCCCCGATGGGCTTTTGACATTGATAACGTCAAACACAGTAGCCAACCTACTGTTGCTGAAGCGAAGTATTAACGCAGCTGAATGAGGAATATACTACTAAGGTCAATGATCTCGATTTCACAATAAATCATCACGATTCGTGAATTTATCTGTAACTTCTCTCGTACAACTCTCACGAGAAGAGGCTTAGGGATAGCGGTACCGTGGCTTGCATAGCTGCAAGTCAAGGCGTGGGGATCACATCCATGCCCTGGTGATCGCCATAGGAGTTGAACTACTAAGCGGCATGTAAGCCGGTCCTCTGGTGCCCTAGTGCCCTGGTGCCGCATCGTATGATAGCGGCTGAAAAGGTGACTTGTCATTTCGACCCTGAGTTTCCGGAGACTTCAATGTTGCTCTGTGCTACCACGCACTTAGCTATGTAGTGGTAGTCGAGTTACTCCTTATTAGCTGCCTTGGTTCAAAGTTGTGGTTACTCAAACTTAAGGGCTGAGGTGACTTTAGATATCGAATCATATGTTTTCCCGAGGTAGAATGATATGACACACTGGCACCCTCCAAAAGAGCCATCCCTAAAGCTTGCAGAAGGAGGCGAGCGTATTTGTCCATTTACGGCAAATGAGACTCGAGAAAGGTGAATTGTTTGAAGATAGGGAAAAATCTTATTGGACCCAGACTTTCCAATCATTGGAACGAACCTCAAACCTGCTGTGAGGGTAGTATTCAAGGCTTCCATCAAGGCAGAAAATTTCTGAGTGGGCGTTAGCTCCAAGTTCCTTGCCCCTTGGTTTGGCTTGCTGAAGGGACACGAAGGAATGCTGCGGGGGGTCACTTTGTTAATCCTAAACTCTATCGTAATTAACTTGTCAGATCTGCGGCAGGGATTTAATAGACGTTTTAGCCGGAGTTGGTTGGCTCTATTCGCTTAATATGTCGTCCAGGTACTTGGGCGCCTTGGCCGCGAACTGCCTATGGCTCTGTGGGTCGAAGATGGTAGGAAGATGGATTTGGTCGTTCTGTAGATACGAATGCGGACCAATCAGGTATTTAAGCGGTTGCCGTCCTTACCAATACTAACCTGGGATATTGGAAATTAGGGACCAGCGGGTTCATAGTCGTGCTTTTTAATGGACAAAGCTTAGGTATAATCACTAAAAGAGTATAGGTACCCCGAATAGCCCGGGTTGAAGACTATTGGTGTCCCTGATCGATTTTGACGGCTTAGTAACCCGAGCCATTGACAGCCTTGGGAGTAATTTTCGTAGGATAAAATCCTTGATATGAGGAATTGTTCTTTCGAACAAGGTGGTGGGATGTGACTGCATAAACCTGGTGTGCCGACAGAGAAATATGTCCAAAGTAAGACGACGAAAGCGTGAGAATATTGTGACGCATGGGAGAGTAAGATTAGCATCTGCACAAAGGACCACAGGCATAATGGAATTGGACTCCGGGAACTTGGGTTTCGCTTTACGAAGGCTCGAACCGAATATTATTATTGTTCGGGCCAGGACTTGGAGAATTAGCTGTAGCTTAACGGATCGGTCAAGCTCTTTTATACTAAAGGCAATGTAGTGGGTCGGCGGCTTGCGGGATGATTCCACCTTTAAGCATGTTAGACGTCTTATGCCTAACCAGCGCGGCTATAGCGCCGTGCCGTGCCTTGGCGAACCTGACATAACTGCAATCGACCGGATATGGGTAATCGACGACGATTGATATCGGAGTACGACTGACTGTGTCGTTGCGAGTGCTATCTGACGGATAGAGAACGGCACAGAAGGTAGGTAGTTTCCTCGCACGTTATGCTGACAACGTCACGCGGCAAACTACCTGAGCAGGAAACAGCCTCATTTACAACCACAGTTTTGGCCCTGATCATTCCCGTTCGCCAATTATTGTCATCCTCATATAATGGATATCATCCACTAGGAGAAGTGCCGGTTTCATATTCGAGGCTACCGTTGGGAAGCAGACATAGGTGTCAGATAGATTTATGAAAGGAGTGAGCGTAACTTAGAAGAAAACTAGATCACTCGGACCGGTCCATGTGTTCGGGGACGCCTGATTGGATCGGGTTCAGCTAGGGACGAAACGGATGAAGTGTGCATGTTCGGTTAGTTTAGGCCTTTCTTGATCGTTATTGGCATCGGTAGGAGCCTCGAATTGTCCTAATGATGGATAGGTTTATGAGAGCCGTTGACGTCAGTAGCTAAGAACGCCTGATCCACAGATGTTAAGATATATATATAATGTAGCTCCGAGTTTTCCTTGCTTGACGTTCGAAACGCACATGGTGATGTATACTTGCTTATATGTAGTATGCAGATGTATCCCGTCGTCTAGAACGGATGGAATGTGATGGTGTCTTAGAATCCCGACATATCGTTCGTCTACTCCTCATTAGGACCCTAATCAATGTTACATTGTATAATTCTCAGAAGGTCTGTAGTATCGTGGAGAATGTCGCAGTGTTGTGGTTTCGTGTAGTTTCGTGTGGGTTGTTGGCGTGATGAATACTGGGTATCTATAGCGAATAAGTTGACGAAGAAAAAGCGAAGTTGGTGAGAACCTTGAATATCCACGTGTAGGTATCGAGTGTACAAATCTAAGGATATGCATGTATGTATGTAAGCAGACAAGTACGGAATATTGAATCTTGTTTTCTTCGACCGGGGAAGGATCCATGGTGAACTCCACCGTATACTGCTTACGCATCGTACAATGCCTAGAAGCTTAGATGTAACTTCCCTCTTACAGACCTAGGAGAGGGTGGTACCTAACTACAGCCTGCTACAGCGTAGCCCAGGAGCTCTTGCTGGTTCTTCTGGACCCCTGTAATTGCACTGTCTGGGGTGCCGGACCAGACTAATTAGAGGAAAACCCGGATTTTAAGGTAACATGGCTACCCACCGGGCTGCATCTTTTTTAACAGAAGGCCCTTTCATTCACCAACCCTCCCATCCTCCATCCCTCCATCTTACGTGCTTGGCGTACCTACCTATTCCGCAGAATCAGGGCGAAAAGAAACCCCTGCACCGCTGAGCATTGTCGAGAACTGGTTCTGATGGACGTTCCTGAAAAAAACAGCAGAAACGAGCCAGGAATCGTTTCATTATTACTGAACCGATTAGTACTAGGAAGTGTTTTATTTTCCGACAACCCGACCCATGATCGCCTCGAATTGGAGCCTCGAATTGGAATAGAACCATCTTCCTAGGTTCCTACACGTATATACATGCCTAGGTAGGTAGGTACGGTACGGTACGGCACGATACGATACGATGTGTGCTAGGTAAACCCCTAGCTCTACCGTACTCTGGTCGGGTCAATGTAAAATGCCAGGCACTTATATTAATAGGTGACCGGCAGGACAATTAATTCTCATTCAACGTGGTGCATGTAGACGAGACAGGGCGGCAGCTGCAGCATGCGCTCATCCGTCTTGTAGGTATTCCAAAATCTGGGATTGTGTCGTGCTTACGGTGTCACAGTGCCCACGCAACCCACGATCCTCCCCAGGCCGGTTGATATAGCACACGATTCGGTTGGATCGTCTACTTTCGTTCATCAGCAAGAGGACGACGGCCCGCGCTGCGCTTTGCCCGGTTGCCCTGTCTTGCTTACACTCAAAACATTTTCATGCTTGCCCGCTGCGGTAGTTAGTGGGAAGGGAAAAAATAAAAAATAAAAATAAAAAAAGCCTCGACTCCACCAAAATGCTACGGCGGTTGGTGATGCAACCGCTGACGCCCTCTGTTCCAAAGAGTGCCTGCGAATGGAACATCAGCAAATTTTGTGCGAGTGCATTGTCGAGTTCCGGGCTCACACTTGCTTGAATGGCGAATTGGCCCGAATAAGTCCCACGGGGTGCGTCTGTGTCCACACTTGTGGTTCGTCTATTCCCCTGGATAAACGATTGCATTGCGTCCCATGAAAAACACCCATGCTCCGTCGAAAACTCTGTCGGCGGAAAATGTCACGACATTGTCAAACTATCATGAAAAGAAAACAGCTGTTTCGAATGGAGGTGGATTTGTCTCGGTCTCTGGTTCTAGGCCATCGGTGACGAGAACTTTCAGCTAGGCGCGATAAACATCAACGTGCAGATCTAGGCGCTCGACAAACAGTGATTCCGTGGCCTTCGACTACTCGCAACTCTCCTAGAGTCTAGTAACGTCGTGTAATTCGATGCCTATAAGCTGGGATCCGACGCCATACAGGATTTGGCTCGATACTGCTGGGCAGTCCAATGGCAAAAGCGCGGAATGGGCCGTTGTTGAACTTTTGCAGGTGCGGAAGAAGCTTGCTGACAAGCAACAAAAAGCAAAAGAAAAAAAAAGAAAAAAGTCGTCTAGCCTATCTTTTCGCATTTTTGCCTTCCCCCTCTTTCCATTGTTTATTTACTACCTACGTATCCTTCGTGGTAGAATATTGTAGGTCGTTCATGACCGGCAGATAGTGAGCCATGCTAGTTGCATTAATTATACTGGCGCCCAGCGGCCCTTGATAAAGCGAATGGCGGAACGAGAGGAGTAATTAATGTCGCGCGTGGATTTCCAGGGCTGTCAGGGCTATCAGAGCACGGGTGGTAGGACCCATGCTATCACGAAAAGCCCGTTTTCGGTGGAGCAGAGACGGCACGGATATTATTAACGTTAGTGAAAATAATGGGGGAACATTGTGGGAGATGCCGTGGCTGAATCGGGATTGCTTGGAGTTGGTTCGTCCCGCTTTTGCCCCCCGAACCGACAAGGGTCCCTCGAGAGAGACGGCAAGGAAGAGGTAAGGGTGGGCAAGGATCAGATTGCCCCCAGTTCGCTAGATCGCAGCGACACCAGCAATATCTGCTGCGTATGTCTCTCCCTGCTCTCCCACGCCCCAGGGGCCAGGACAGCGGGCTGAGAGGAGGGGACCAGAGGGCCCAAATACTCGGTTTTCACGCCTCAGCCGGAACTCGCTTCCAGTTCCACTCCTGCAACTCTGCCGCTGCCAGCTTACTGTTTAGGCCTAGCCTTCTCATGTCCCTTGTTTGTGTGCGACGTCCCTCTCTGCGCTGTCTTGTATCTACCGTATGCCGGCCCATTCTCTCATTTATCATTCTTCTCCAAGCCGGGTCTCGTTAGGTACATCCCGAACTGTCACAACTGACGTGCCAACTGGCTCACATCTGAGTCCGGTTACTCGTCTGTGTACGTTTGTGTGTACCGAGCCTTGAAATAGAAAACAGCTTGAAAAGGACTTTATCATCCTTTTTTGCTGCCGACGTTTTTCTCTCGCAAGGGGATGCTTTGGGAAGGGCGCGTACCCGTTGGCCCTAATATAATCGACGGTTCTCGAAGTTAGGTCCCGCCACAATCAGCAAGCAGGAATCCCATACGGATACCAATCCCTCCCTCTTCCTTCCCGTCCGGGGTTCTACTCTAGCATCATGTTCACTGCACGGAATAGCTCATAAAAAATTCCTCGCTTACGTCTGTGGCCCTACAACCTGCACGTCAGACACGTTTTTTTTTTCACCTTCCTTACTCCATCAACGCCGACAATCACCTACATCATAAAGTCGAAATAGTATAATGTTATAGTCGCACGGCGTCCCTAGCAGCCTTTCAACTGCAAGGATATCCCCAGCCAACCCTCCCACCTCGACCTCTCAACGCGCTCGTCGACGACCACAGATATGTAAATATCCGCTTTCTGCTAGAATTCCTTAGCGGATCTACTTCACTCCTAGCCTCTTACCGGGTGGATTCGGGGTGCACTACGTCTAAGCTCTGCTGCTTCATTTGCTGCTACATCTCGACAATTGTTGTCTTAGCCGCCCTTTGCGTTTGCCGTTGCGCACCATCCATTACTTGAAGCTTTTTGGACAAGCTTCCGCGCAGTTGGGTATCACTAACACAGTACGACCAGGTGTCAATTTGCACTCTCGTGTGATTCAACCACCCCAAATTATTTCTATATAGTTCCACTACGACCTCTAGCCGTCGACTACGTACACCAGTGCCCGTTCTATTTCGTTTGATGCCGTCGAGGTTTCATCGCACGGCGGCTTCTGTTGTAATACCATGGTGGACACGATGGCTAGGCCACCGGAATCGTGGGCCCAGGGCCCTTATGCTCCGCGACACGCTTCCTACTATCCGCAGGAACAACCCCAGGAAGTGCGTCTGCCTCCACTTCCTAGCCTGGTGACCGGGCCACGCACCAACCAAGGCGCGCCCGCTAGGCAACATCCGCCGACCCATAGCTACAATTCCTACGAAGACTCCTACGCATCTTCTTCGCCTGTCTACCACAGCCCGCCGCAGTCAATTCCAGGCCCTGAATCGCACGCGGCGGCATCCAGTCCTTACACCAGACAGCCGGTAGACGTAGGTAGTCGTCTTCGTCCTGCACAATCGCCGAGTGTAGGTGAACGAGCCGGAGAGCCGCCGGAATATTCCCGATTCCGCCAGCCGGGAGGCGAATCAAACTTCATGCCAGCTCCTAGACTGCCTTTGCAACCAAGGCAAATTGGAGGATCTCCTCAACAGCAGCACTATGCGGACATTCAACCAGTCAGACCTACCACTGAGTACGGGTATCGAGAGACCCGCCCTCAACCGTCACCGCAAGCAATAACGGCTCCTCGACTGGCATGGCAACCTCAGCCCGAAACTCGTGCTCCCGAGCGAATGAGGATATCGGATTTAATCGATACTCCAAAGACAGGAGAGTCTGGCTCCTCGAAGGCTCCGGAACGTAGGAGGGCGCCTGTTGCGGCTTCATCGACGTATAAACTAAAAGTTCGCCAGCAGCCAGTCGCCGCGAGATCGTGTGGTTTTGGTGAAAGGGACCGTAGGGTTATTGACCCTCCGCCGATAGTTCAAGTATTTATTGAAGACCCAAAGGCTTCACAAGAGGAGATTCGTGCTCAACTAAAGTTCCGATTCTCAGTCATGCATTGTACGATCTGGAACGAGACGGGTGATCAGGATTGTTCGGGGATGCCAGATGACTTTCGTCAGCAGCGAAGGCTGATGGGAACGATAGTATCATCTCCCTTTGTCGGGTTTGACGAGAAGAATGAGGAGGGATGCTTTTTCTGTTTTCCCGATTTATCTTGCCGAACACCCGGCACTTTTCGATTGAGGTTTAGTTTGGTGGTTTTAGACCCAAATTCGGTCCCCGGATCAAAAACCCCAGTATGCGCCGTTGCTATGAGTGAGGTATTCACAGTATACAACGCTAAGGACTTTCCGGGGATGCGAGCGAGCACGGCACTGACCAAAAGACTAAAAGAGCAAGGATGTCTTATTTCTATTAAGAAAGGGAATGAGAGAAACCACACACGTGATGATAGCGAGGACGATGAGGAAGACGAAGACGAGGGTGGGGGTTCAGCATCGCGACGAGCGAAAAGACCTAGGAAAACATGACATTTCCTAGTTCGTCTCCGTTTTCAGTCACAAATTCAGAAAATACGATGACCTACATTATGACGACGTCTTATGCTTACGAAAGATGTAATAACGGGGCAGTTCCTTAACGGCGTAATGCTACCTGAAGGCTTGGACATATCGGCATACACGGAAAACCGCGAAAAGGGATATACAGCGACTCATTAGAGACGGACGAAATGGATACACATAGATATGGTATTCACCTTCTTCTGGCGAAGCAACATCGGTGTTGGTACGGGAACGGGAATGGCTAGAGGGAACGATGGGTTGTGGGAATCATCGACTTCGGATTGCTTGGACGAGGTCCTAGAATTGCTTATGGGATACCCCTTATAGGCCTCGGGGTTTGCTCTGGACGAGTACGGATGTTGCGGAATTTACGACTGGATCTATGGGTTGTTTGGGGGCGTAGACGCGGACGTACTGGCCGGAATGATTCCCCGTTGAGCCTTGTTGATCGATTGGATATATTCAGGATGTATCACAGAATTATTGTATCCTCTGTCACTATTTGTTGTCTAAAACCAAAACCATGAAAGTATCCATGAAAGTATGTATTGAGCATAGGGATTTCAATATTCAATATAGAGGCACTATGTGATTGGGTAAGCCAGTGTTTTCCTATCCTTTTTTTAAGCGATCGTGACAAAAGGGGGCAGGATTCAGCGTCCCTTACTGGTGGTATCCGTCAGACGAGCACAACAAACAATTGATTCTCCTATATACTTCCTTGTCCAATATCATGACGTATAAGCTATAGCGAACAGTATATTGATAACCGTAGGTATTCAGGATTATTATAGTCAATCAATTGAATTGATCCATGGATGTTTTCTGATAGAAAACGCCAAGAAGACTAAGTATTCCTTACCTTTTTAGCTTAGGTTAGCTCTCAACAAGCTTATCTCAGGATCCACTACGGAGTAATTAGTACCAATTATGGACTAGTCCCGCTTAAGGGTCCAGTAGTCTAAGTCAGCTACAGCGTAAGCGCAAGCGCACACAGCGCGGGCCGGAGCTGCCCCAAGGAAAAAGTCGGGCGGAAAATCCCAACGTTGAATTTTTGAGTGACTTTTGACTTTCCGTTCCGGAGCTCTCCATTTTAACAATTTCCCAATTCCAACGTTGAATTTCACTTTCACACCTCAGAGAGAGTTGAGTTTCAACGATAATACCTCTTTTCTCTCTCTCCCTCACCTCCTAAACTAGGATCCCCCTCTATCCACGGCAACGGATCACCATGTTCTCGCGTGCTCTGCGAGTTCCCAGAGCAGCGGCGCCTTTGGCGCGTGCCAGAGCTGCTCGACCTGTCGTCGTCGCACCTTTCCGTTCCGTCACCACAAATGCTGCTACCTCGCACGCTGATAAGAACGCCGTTCCCGATGCCGACGATAAGCACTTCCAGGTCACCCTGAGCGACGAAAGCTTCGAGACCTACGAGCTCGACCCGCCCTCGTACACTCTCGACGTTACCAAGAAGGAGCTCCGACAGATGTACTACGACATGGTGGTTGTCCGGTAAGCACTGCGATTGGCAAACAAGCCCGAGCTCGAGCCCGAGCCCGTTTCTGCCACCCACTCGCCCTCTCGGCCGAATCGCGTTTGCTTGCTAACAAAGGCCTTGCATAAATACAGACAGATGGAGATGGCTGCCGATAGGTTGTACAAGGAGAAGAAGATCCGGGGTTTCTGCCACTTGTCCACCGGCCAAGAAGCCGTCGCTATCGGTATCGAGCACGCATTGACCAAGGAGGATGACATTATCACCGCCTACCGATGCCACGGCTTCGCCCTGATGCGCGGAGGTACCGTCCGATCTATCATCGGCGAACTCCTAGGCCGACGCGAGGGTATCGCTTACGGCAAGGGTGGTTCTATGCACATGTTCACCAAGGGCTTCTACGGCGGTAACGGTATCGTCGGTGCTCAGGTCCCCGTCGGTGCTGGTCTGGCTTTCGCGCACAAGTACACCAACAACCCAAGGGCCACCGTCATCCTGTACGGTGATGGTGCCAGCAACCAGGGTCAGGTCTTCGAGGCTTTCAACATGGCCAAGCTCTGGAACTTGCCTGCCCTGTTCGGCTGCGAAAGTACGTATACGACATAGTCATTGCTTGTTTATCGCTATTGTAACTAACACATTCGGCTTAGACAATAAGTATGGTATGGGTACGGCTGCTAACCGATCGTCTGCTCTTACCGACTACTACAAGCGTGGTCAGTACATCCCTGGTCTCAAGGTCAACGGAATGGACGTCCTCGCGGTAAAGGCTGCTGTCAAGTACGGTAAGGAATGGACGGTTGCCGGTAACGGACCTCTCGTCCTCGAATACGTCACTTACAGATATGGTGGTCACTCTATGTCTGACCCCGGTACCACGTACCGAACCCGAGAGGAGATTCAGCGCATGCGGTCTACCAACGACCCCATCGCCGGCCTCAAGCAGAAGATTCTCGACTGGGCAGTCTGCACCGAGGACGAGCTGAAGTCGATCGACAAGGAGGCCCGCAAGCACGTCAACGACGAGGTTGCCATCGCCGAAGCCATGCCCGTCCCGGAGAACACGCCCAAGATCCTGTACGAGGACATCTATGTCAAGGGCTCGGAGCCGCAGTTCATGCGCGGCCGCACGCCGGACGAGAACTTCTACTTCAACGCTTAAGAAACCTATCTGCATACCTAGATAGCTTTTTACTGGCACGATGGTAACGAAACAACGTCTGACGACATCAAAGAAACCCTGTAGAATTAAAAAATAGATGGGGCAGGCTGGGCTGGGGGAAGGGTTGGAGTAATTTAAACGGGTTACCTACCTAATGGAATCATTATTGTTTCGATTACGCCCGATTCATTCAACGTTGCAGAACCTCGCCCTGTATATTTGTGTAACTAGTCCTGTCTAGTCTAGTCTAGTCTAGTCCGGTCCGGTCCGGTCTGCCGGCTTTGGGCTGCCGGCTTTGGGCTGTGGGCTTTGGGCTGTGGGCTTTGGGAGAAATAGAAGAGCGATGATACCATGCACGGTTCCTTGATATATGCTTTCTTGATTTGTTGGGTTACCTAGGTGTGATGATTTTTGAATGATTAATTCGACAATTTTATACCCGATTTCGTGCCGCGTAGCTAGAAATCCGAATTAAAGACGTGAGGATTGGAGGGGAGGACTTTTAAACTAAATCCGTAACCCTCTTCGTCGTTGGCTTATGGATATCGGTTTACTGGTGCTAATAAACTAATCAATCGGACGAAATGTAATCCGCATAGATCCGTGAGACCTGAACTTTTTAATTCGCTATTTGATATACCCATAACGTTCCTTTCTATACGAAGTTGGAGCATAGCCATTTTTAGACGCCAGTGTAGTGTGCTAGATATGGATGTTTTCTCGCTGAAAACCAGAGACCCTAGGCGCCTATACAAAGTCTAAACGCTTTCTCAACTCCCCTTCCTACCCTCCCCGTTTTCGTTTCCGCCTTTTCCCCTTCTCTCCCTATTATCCAAAGAACCCCCTAACCCCCTTTTCCCTCGTCCCTCCTTTCCTACCTACTTCAGAATGAAAAAACCTCACCGCATACTATCCCAGCTCCCCAACCAGCGCGAGCTCCTGGCGACCCCGGCGACGCAGGCGAGCGCGTCGCTGACGCGGCCCTCGGGGTCGCGGAAGCGGTGGCCCTCGAACTCGACGAAGACGACGTACTGGAAGGGCTCGGCGAGGCTGGGCCGGCTCTGGATGCCCGTCAGGTTGAGGCGCGCGCGCCGGAAGCACTCGAGCACGTCGGCGAGCGCTCCCGGGGACCGGTGCGGGACCGTGAAGGAGGCTAGCGATTTGGTCTGCGAGTAGATGTCTGGTTTGCCTTCTCCCTCCTCTTCCGCACCCTCTTTCTCGGCTTCACCTCCTTCTTTACCCTCGTCTTCCCCCTTAACATCCGCCCTCTTCCTCTTCCCCACCCCCCTCCTTCCCCTCCTCCTAGCGCTCAAAACCTCCCTAAGCGCCTCCTCGTCCCCATCCTCACCAACATCACCGATCCCCCGCCTCAGCACGAAGAACCTCGTCGTGTTGTCCTTGCGGTCCTCGATATCGCGAGCTAGCACCTGCAGCCCGAGGAGCTTAGCCGCGGCGGCGCTGGACACGGCGGCACTGCGACGGCTCGGGTCCGCGAGCGCGAGCTCCGCCGCGCGGCTCGTCGAGCTCGTATCCACGGTCTCGACGCCGCGTAAGTGTTGTCGCAGGAATGAAGCGCATTGGCCGAAGGCTTGTGGGTGGCTGTATACGCGGGTTATGTGGCTTAGGTCTACGTCTAGGTCCTGTCCTTGTCCCTGGTCCTGAGACTGGGGTGGAATTTGGGATTGGGATTGGGATTGGGATTGGGAAGGAAGGGGGTGCCCCAACAGGCAATGGTGCACGTCGAGATAGATCTCGGCGCAGGCGGATATGTCCGGGTACTCGCCGGCGCGGTCGGCGAACAGGTCCAGGGTGAAGACCACGGAGCCGTTGGACGAGTTCTCGTAGGGCACGACGCCGTAGGTGGCGCGGCCGGATTGCGTTGTTGCGAAGATGTCTTTTGAGGGTTGTTTAGCAGCTGATTTAGTCTTGAAATTTCATATTGCATTATATGATAGCTGTATCGTGATACAACTAATTTGTCATTCCAACTTCGTGGAGCTAAAAACATGAGAAACGTGAAGAATTACCTTTAATAGTCTCAACGGGTATCAAGTCGAATTTATCTGTAGGAAATGTTTCTAACGTAGCCTACACGCACCAAGAATACACGACCATTAGCTTTAAAACGAAATATAGGAAAGTTGTATCAGCTGCGGGTTGGCGCCGTACCTGGTGTGTATAAGAGGAGACGGGGCCAAGGAAGCACACAGTAGGCTTCGACCTCGCTTCCGGCGCCGCGGCGCCTAAACCATTCTGCTGTTGCTGCTCTGACCCCATTCCGATATCCGATGTCCGGGTTCCCGATTTCTATTCCTCGCCGTTTCGTTTGCAACCCGTCGATGAAAGACTCATGAATGAGAAGAAAAAAAAGACTCGTACGCTTATTAGTTAAAGAAGGAACCTTAGAAGGATATAAGTATTATAAGACCGAGCCTCCCTTTGTCACCTTAGCTCACCAATTATGCTTTATAACCTAACGCCGGAATATGCATCTTCGTCATTCGCTATTGCGAGAAAAGATAAAAAAAGGGGGGTTGGTGGGGAAAGGGAAAGGGCGTGCCGACGAACTACAATTCTCCGATTCAGATTTTTCGTTACATTTCCCGGGGGCCGACCCGAAGACGGACGCTACCTTGCTCGACTAGGCCTAATAATAAGGTACGGCTCGACGTCATTGGTTAACTTTGACAATAGGCGGGTCGTAGGGCGGTGCATGTCACTGGCATGTCATTGAAAGTTGATAGCTCAGCACTCGCCTATCTAACTATAGAGCCCCTTTTTACTAGCAGGTCAAGGTTATTACGCAATATCAGCTCAATAAAGCTAGTCACATCTACAATCATATATGCCCTAGAGTATTAAAGAGCGACTGGTATTTTTATTGCTATCTAAGAGGTTCTTCGCGAACCATAAACGAGTGGAATGAGTGGCTCGCCACTACGAAATCATGTGTTTCAAATGCTCTGAATCCCGAACGCACCGCAAAATCCGGAGGTTGATTGTCCAGAGCGACAAGAAGCGAAGTTAGTGCATCAAGGGATTTGTGAATGGGACAAATTTCTTGAATCACTCCCGACTGCTTAAAGGACGAAGCTCTATGATGTAGGCAGGTCCAACACTTCCGGACTTTTGGTAGACCCCCGGGTGTAGCATCTAAATATTTCACGTCAGTCTCTTCTGGTTACTAGGTAATAGGACTGGTGGTACCATACCTCCTCCTCATGCCATAAGTCAACTCAAGCCGTCATCATAGAGCGAAGCGGGCTAGGTGTCGCGACCTGTCTAGCCGTGTGCTCGGAATTCGCCGGGCCAGACTTCATCAGACGTCGCTTTGCAAACGAAGCCGCCGCCGGTTTTCGCGCTGGTCCAGAGACCGACTCCGGCGTGGGCGCGGGAGGCTGCGGTAGCGGACGCTCCGATTCTTTCACGACAAATTCCTGCTTAGACGAGACTGCTTGAGCATGCCCCTCGTCGTTAACGAGGGATTCCTCAAACTATGCAAACATCGATGTCAGCAGCTACTTTGCAAGGTATAGAGAAGTATTGTGGAATATGAATTTTTTCGTGCTTTCATAATCTTTTGGGATATGCCCAAGGGACTACCCAACAGGAACTTGAGGATTGTTGCTAGGGAACTTTGTGTTCATACCTGTCAATCGTCATAGTAGTCGTCATCGTCATCCACTTCGGCTAACTGCTCGAAGTTCACCTTGTAGCGGAGAATGCCGCCAACTCCACCGAATCCCTTCACGAATTGGTTGCCTTCAGTCGATCTATCAGATACGAATTCCAGATTCGTTCCGAAGTCTTTGTAATGTTCCGCGATCCACTCGAGGAACGAATCCTGAGAGACCACTTCCATCTCTTGCCCACTATCCTTATCCATGAACTTAGCTCGGTCGCCAGTTTCATCTTGCTTGGTAGTATGAAGGATGATCTCGGAGCCATTGCTGTCCTTCAGGACCCATCGGGTAATCTCCAGGTTCTCGAAGACGATCAAGGTCTCTACCGCACCAAGCTCCAGAGCCTTGAGGGTATCCTCAATTCCGTAGCAGACTTTGCCAGTATCCTGGCTGATCTCCTCGAAGTACTTGCCGATGAGTTTCTTCTCCTGGATAAACTTGACATTTCCAAGTGTCTCGGAAGACAACTCGATGGCCTGGTTAAATCCGTTCTCACCGCCATAGGAAACGTCGACGACCTTGATAACCTTGGTTTGGAGTCGGTTGTCAAACATGTCGGAGGCGTTAAGGTCATTCTTGAAATCGGCGGAACCAGCAAGGATGATACCAGCAACGTTGACTTTGTCGTTGGTGATGAAGTTCTGAACGGCCAATTCGGCGACTTTACGAACGTAATTGTGACGCTTCTCCTCTCGTAGACGGGCGAAACGAAGAGCAGACTGTCCACCACGGCCGTGCTTCTTGGGTAAGTCGACGGAAAACTTGTGGACGACGTCACGAGTGTTTCCGCTAAGAGTACCGAAGAGAGCACCGTTTCCGTCCATGACAATAAAGCCGAACTTTTGATCGGACTCCAGCAGTTCGGCCAAGGCTTCGGTATGGAATTTGTTGTCGCAAAGGTATAGAGAGGTGTTGATGGGCTTAAAAGGCTCGAAGTCGATGTTGACCTTTCGCTCCTTTCCTTCCGAGGTCAAGATTTCACCACAGTACACGACAAGGCCATTGGGAGGAACTTTGTTGTACAGCTTAAGTCGCTGTTGGGTGGAAGTGATGGCCGAGAGCACGGACTGTCGGTTGACTCGAGATTTGATGTTCGAGGCAGTTCCCTAATATCGACGGTCAGCTTACTGGTGAAAAATCTGAAGTGGCGGACAGAAGACGTCACATACATATTCTTCAGCCAACATCTTCGCAGCGCGCGAGATCTGATCTTTGGGAGCTGTTCTCAAGTTTTAGTATTTGGCATCTTTAAAAAATTCCATATGATGGAATTTAAAGCGGGGGAGGGGTAAATTGCATACGGATGATTAAGGAAATCATGGATGTGCCATTTCCTCTAGCAGCCTCGAGGCGCTTGATGAGCTTCTTCACCTTCCATATCTCGATCTACAGGCGCAAGAATTGTTAGAATATTTGACGATATTCGTTGTGAAGAGGCCACCAAATCTGACTGGAGTAGCGGGGAAGGCGTTGGAGGCGTTGCGACGTGGTAAAGTGTCTTATGACGATCATAGACTTACGTTCTTCTCAGCCTCGGTCGCTTGAGCGTCACTCATTTTGGCTTGAGGGTAATGAGCGAGCTAAAATACGGTCTATTCCTTTGTGGTGTAGTTCTTGGGTCGGTGAAAAGATCGTATGGAGTTAAGAGGAAAAGTTGGGGATAAATTTTGTGGTTGAAAAGGAAACAAGGAAGCGCAGACGGACGCCAGGGCGGGCCCTCGGGTTTGTTTCGAGGTACCGTACGCAGTACGTCAAAAATGTATTAGGTAAATAAGCGTAGAATGCGGAAAATGAGGGTTTTACTCTCCACTATTTTTAGCATGAAATGTTCTTCAATCCACCCGCACTCTCCATTTTCACATTAGGTACCTACTCCATATTAAAGCCACAATTAAGACGCCACATTAAGCAAGCCCTAGGTACGTAGTAATTTGAAGCTAGAGTTCAATGCTGCCTTAGTGCCTTAGCAGCCTTAGGCATCCATGAAGCTTGGCTTAGTTAAGACGCTAATCGAATTGAAATTTGACCGCCTTCGGACGGCTAGGCTGACTTTTGGCCCGTGACTCCTCCGCCCGCACTGACCTTCCCGAACCAAGCGAGTCGCAACCTTGCTCACTCACCTTTGAAAACAACACGTCAATCGAGTTCATTCGGCAGTTTCCAAGAGTGGCCGTCAACGACACCCCCTCCATCCATCCTCTATCATGGGACACGAGAATATTCCATACATACACCAGATTGCACATTTCGTGTCGATAAGGAAAATACCATGTCTATCACTTCTCAGTCAGAGAACACTATGATATAGCCTCATGGTTACAAACTTTGACAGAATGATCGAGAGGCCAACCTATCAAGCATTTTGTTTGATTTTGTTAGGCTCTAACGCACTGAAAATTGTCGCGGCAGAACGTGGATATGATCGTCAGTGGGAATGGACGACGGGATGCGATGGGACCGTAGCGAGACACAGTTGAGCGACCGCTCCTGGCTATCGTTCACACCTCCACTATGGCCTCACGTAGGAATCTGCATCCCTCATAAGTCTTCTGCACGCAGATGAACGGCACAGATTTTCTGTGCAACTATGAATTTGAGTCACGGACTAAAAGTATGGCAAGTACCTAATGCGCCTACGGCAATTTGTCCTAAGGGCTGTTTTTATTATCAACTTAACTGCCTAGATGTTTTTGAACACCATCAATGAGTTAATTCATATGTTGCTCACTAACCATGCAGTTGTTGAAAGAAGTTTGGATGTCATGATTGAAAGAAAAATTTAGGACCGTTGTTGATCACATGGGCTCTGCGCAGGCTTAAGGCTGCAAGAACCTCCCGGTACGACTTTCATGAATATGAGCCAAACCAGCAGCAAAGAAACAACATATTCCTCTAGAAACAGCCATCCGCACTGAATTGCCTCTCATCAATACATATGCTTAAATGGCTGTTATAGAGAGTTTTCTCACAATTTGGGCAGTGTGGCTATCCTACCAATGCCCAGCTGTGCAGCTAAAAATTGCCTCACCATGGCCAATGGGCAGTTTTTACAGGTTTTGGCGGTTCACGATAGCCTCAGTACGGTGGATGGACTGGGTTGGAAATTCTGCCGGTTACGGTGTCCGCTGCCCCAAACCGAGGTGGAGCTAAGCGGCTGGACCCAAATTCACCGCAATGCAACGGCAATACACGGTCCACGGTCCACGAATACGTACACCCGGAATACCAGAACAGAACACGATGCACAATTGAATCGAGACAAGTTGGATTTCGATGATGTTCAACTTATTATCCGGTCATTACTTACTATACCTATAGTATAGTATGGTGATGATCGTCGTGTCTAGGATTTCGGAGCAGGTTGCATTAGGCCTTTTCCGAGTCAATTGGGCATTCCTTGTTGGGGGTAAAACAGATATGTATGCCGACCGACAAAAGGAACAACACATGATAGAATTAGGCGGACAATTGCCAGCAGATCAACACCAGCCTTACTCCGGCCATGACGCTGGGTCAAACTCCAAACATTGCCTACATATATAGGTGATCGTTGGGGTACGTTGGGCTACATTGTGGCATTGAAAATCAGGTACTAGGTAGGTAATGCATGGGGTCGTCAACGATGATTGATGTGTAAGTCGAGGTGTTAGGTGCTAGGTGAAGGATCATGATATTATGACATGGACATATGTATGAGAAGGTGAGGTTCGAACAAGTGACGGTGGTGACAATGACAAAGGGTTGGGACTTGGCTATGACGATTTCGGAGAAGGATGAGAATGGGATGTATGTGTTCAATGGGATAGGAAGGGAGGTTGGATACATGCTGTATAGGTAGCTACCGTACCGAGCTACCTCCTTACACCTCCAATAGAAGTACATACATACATCCGTACAAGTGACTAACCTGCTAACCTATCAAATCTTATCCTTCCTCCCCTGGTTGATGTGCGGCTCAAGCCTAATATGAGTGGAATTTTAGCGTTGTCCCGAATTTCCTGCTGAGCTTTGGGACCTAGGACCTTGACTTTCTTCCCAAACCTCCACAACTTCCCACATCCCACCTTTCTTTTTTTAATCACTTTATCACCATCAAGCAAATAAACAACTTCACCTCGAGATCGACCATATCGCCGCCCAACATGGCCGACGATGATTCCAGTGAACTCTCGTCACTATCTGAGCTCTCCTCTGCCCCCTCTGAATCCGATGAGGAGATCGAAGTTAAGCGCGAAAAGGGTATCCTCAAGTTCTTTCACAAGCTCCCAGCCGGCACCAAGCCTGCCGAACCCAAAAAAGAGGCATCGCCTCCACCGCGCAAGCGATCGCCCTCGCCAGCACACGAATATGTTCTAGCCGATAATCCAGACGTGGCAGTACGTGATGCCCTCCCTTTCGCGCCTAAAAACGCGAAATGTCGCGTCGTTTTCTCCCTTTCTCATCAACTAAATCGCATCTAGTTCATTGTCATGTTCCGTGCACGATTCAACGATGCCCTGCCCAAGTCACTCGCCAACTTCGGCCCTCAAGAGATCGAGCGCGACGTTACCGAATCTATTCCCGGCGAGCGTGTCGAACACTTTTTGTGTGCTGTTCTGAGCTTGTTGTTGAACCGCAAGCAAGATGTCAAGTATGACGCAATACCCGATCCTACGCAATTTCCACCATCACAAAATCTAATAATTTTTACTTCGCAGGCCAGGCCATTATAATCGAGCACTAGAAGATGCCATTCACACGCACAAGAACCAGTGGGCGCGAGATTGGGAGGATCAGAGTCCTCTGTCGGGTGGCAAGACATTTACCACCATGGATCCCACCGAACGAGTACGTCTAGCGACATTTCAAGTCTACAATTAACTTGGAGAAAAAGAAGCAATTCGTGCTAATACAATTCGTCTAATAGCTTAAGTTACTACGAACCCTCATCGTGTGGACCCTATCCTCCTCCGAAGTGATCAAGGGCATAATCAACAAGTCCTACAAAGGCGGCCGCCACGAAGACGACCTCAACCAGCCCCTCTCCGTACAACCGTGGGGATCGGACAGCGACAAGCGCCGCTACTACCTGATCGAGGGCCTGGACGACACCCATTTTCGCGTGTACCGCGAGAGCAACCCGCAGGGGTTCAACCGCACCTGGTGGAGCGTGGCGGGCGACATCGACGAGCTCAAGGCGCTAGCCGAGAAACTACAAACCTCCGACGGCGGGCCCAAGGCGAAGAAGCTGGCGCATAAGATGCTGGCGGCGGTGCCGCGCTTCGAGGCCACGGAGGAGAAGCGCAAGCGGCGCGAGTACCGGCTCATGCGCAAGGAGCAGTTCAAGCGGCCCGAGCCGGGCTTCAGCATGTACGAGGGCCGCACGCGCGGCAAGCGCATGAAGTACACGTACTCGGACGACGAGGACTTCCTGTCCGACTCCACGGGCTTCCGGCGGTCGAGCCGCAACACGCGCAACCCGACGCCCGCCGAGCAGCAGCAGCAGCCGGCCGGACCCGTGGTCACCGCGAGCGGGCGTCAGGTCAAGGCGCCGTCGCGCATGACGGTCGACGCGTCTAGCAACATCGTCACCGTCAGCCCGACGACGAGCCGCGGGCCGAACGAGGCCGCCGAGTCGAAGGAGTCGTCGGTCGGTCCCTCCGGCCGGCCTAGGCGATCGGCCGCCGTGAACCACGGTACGAACGGGTGGGCGCCTTCGTCGAAGAAGGGCCGGGGATACAATTCTATGGATGACGATATGGAGGAGTACGATTCCCAAGAAGAGGACAGCGAACCCGAGCTCGGCGACGATGAAGAGGACGCTCACGAGCCGGAAAACGATAGCGAAGAGGAAGACGAGTATGATGAGGATGAGAAGATGGTCGATGACGACCTGGACGATGCGAATAGCAAGGGCAGCATGATGGTCAAGCTAAAGCTCCCGTCGAAAAAGCGGGATTCGTCCGACGCGAACGGATCCGCGTTTAACCTCGACGACTATCGCTATAACGGCAAGAAAGACGATTCTAAGAGCAAGTCATCTTCGACGGCGGAGAGCAGCGGAGCCCAGAAAGAACCGACGCCAGAAGAGAAGAGCGAAGAGGTTATCTCGGTTGCGACGACAAGAAAACAGACGACGCCGGAGAAGCCGGCCGCCCCCGCGAACAACGATCAACCTAGCCGCCGTCCTACCACGCCCGCGTTAAACGCCTTGCAATCGACCTCACTGGCTTTTAGGGAAAGCCCGGATAAGGTCCAACAGGCGCTGCCGAAGCACGTCGACGTCGGGGCCGGGGAGTGAACGGCGTGTTTCAAATTAAACCCATATTACCACATATACGGAGTCTCGGAAGAAACGAGACGTAAAGGATTCTCGTGATTTTCCTTACCTGTGAGAGAGGGGAGGAAGTCCTAATACCTATGGCATAGCATGAGAAAGGGGGGTGGGATATCAGCGTCTGCTAACTACTATTACGAGAGGATCGCGTTGTTCTAGACTTTTTGGTACGGAATGGAACGAAAAAAAAAACGCAAATGTCTCGAATCTGTAGGGGAAGAACTGGCAGTGTGGTATAAGGAGATGGATGGACAGATGGGTGACAGATCCATGTACATACAAACACATTGCTAGCCAGTTACCTTCGCATAGACGTGCTGCTTCATCGATATGAGCAGACGGACACGGTATTTTGCTGCTATAGTACAGATAGTACCAAATAAGGCTCAAGCCACTTTAAAAGTCCGACTTCAATTCATCACGTACGTTCGCCCCCTTCTTTGCCATCGGGTCTGAGACCGTAAACCGTGGTTCAAGCGTATTTCATACCAGTTATATCCCTTCTCGTAATCTTCTTAAGTGGAAGAAGTGTCCTTCCACGCGCTCGCCCACCCCTGACAGATTCTCACCACCTCCCTCTCGTACCTCTCGAGGAACCGGACGACGGCATCGAACGAAAACGACGACCAGGGCTGGAAAAACACACGTTCGTATAAACACTTTTCTTTTCCCTTAGTATACAAATAGTTTCACCACCTCACCTTCGCCTGTTGTTGTTGTGTCGTCAAGAACTGTACCTGTCTACTACGTCCCTGAGTCTGCGACGACTTGGCGGACGCCGGCAGCGGCCACTTGTTCACGCCGTACCACCAACGCCGCAGCCGCGCGCCGGTCGAGTTCCCGCTGAGCCGCGCGTTCTTGTTCCAGTGATGCCAGCCGCAGATCGCGAGGTTGTACAGGACGCCCTGGGCGAACGGCATCATGATCTGCGGTTCATCGTTCCATTAGCAACGTCCCAAACCTAAACCAAAGAAATAGGAGAAGAGTGTGAGAGAGGGTCGTATATACCTGATCCCGCACCGTAATCCAACCGACCCTCCACCACGTATCCGCCTTCGAAATGCTATGCAAATAGCTCTGCTCGAACCTTAAATCCGGCATCGGCGGAAAACTGCGCGTCCTAGGCCGGGGTCTCAGCACGCTAATCGGTATATCCTCATCGTCGTCCTCTTCCTCGTCATCTCCGTCGTCTATGTCATCCACATCATCAATACTATCGTGGCTGCGTCGGCGGTGATGTCGGGACGACGACGACAAGCGCACGGGCCGCTTCTCCGACATGGACGACGACGGGTTCAGGTCGTGGCGCGGCGACGGCGCCCGCTGTATGTGCGCCGTCTGGATCGTCTCCGCGATCTGCGTCGGTATGCTTTCCGCCATGGATGATGGATGGACAGGGGCTTCCGTGCGTTCTTTTTCTAACCTAAGCCCGGGGATTGCTAAGTAAGTTCCGGTGGGCAGATAGATGTTCGGATTTTGGCCTGAGCTTTGCTTTCAAATGTGGTGGTTTGGAAAATGACGTTTCGGCTGCAGGTGGCGGGCGGCTGATAAGTTATCAATAGGTATACAGATAATTGCTTATCCGATATGTGGGGAGATGCATTTACGCGTAATTACCTAATAGCTAATACTGTAGTATACACTTTTTAATATCACATCCTATTTCTCAAATAATTTCGAGAAAGAATGAAGTTGAAGATGTTTTCGGCTTGATCTATTTTCATGCTTCAGTACTTGGATCTTGAAATACCCTCTTGGCTCGGGATAGTGCAACGGTGCCGTCTATTCTCTGCCTACTCTGTCTCGTCCAATCTACAGCAGTCCACCGCCGATATTAAACGAAAGTCAACTAATTCTAACAAGTCGCGAGCTCTCCATAAAACTGTAATCAGACACACTGGTCTACGAACCCGTGCAAACAGTCACCCCTTCATCATTCGCTTAGCCGATGAAACCCATCCGCGAAGCTATAGTCATATCATAATCCTCCGTCGACATCGACTGGTCCGTCCATGACGTCTGCGAGTCCTCCATGAGCTGATTCGGGTTCTTCAACGGGTTGGTCTCGATGAGGATGGAAGACTCCGGCGACGGCTCCAGCATGCTGTAATCAAGAGTCTCATCGGATTCATGATTGCTAATGTTGTAGGATGGGGGCGGTGAGATTTCACACGTTCCCTCAGATCCGAACTCTGCCCCCGTGTCGAACGTCATTTCTATCGTCCCCTGGTCTTCTGTTTCTTCTTCCACAACGGATAAGCTGCGACAAAACAACGTGGATTCCCAATTGTCTAACGCCTCCTGCATGGTGAACATGATGCTACCCGGAATGACAGAAGTATTTCTCGGCAGTTTGAAATCGGCCGGGAAGAGCTGAACGGTACGGGTCAAATTTGTATACGCCGCGAATGGGGCGTAAAACGGCTTGTAGCGGGTGCAGATAGCCACGAGAGCTGTTTTCAGATCGGGGTAAGTTTTCTTCGGCCACGGCTTGGCATGATCGGTCTCGTCAGGAACAAAGACATATACCTTTTTGCTTAGGCGTGTGTATCTTTCTTCCTCTGTTTCGGTCGGTATACGAACCTGTCTTACACCATCTCGCGTAGCAACCGTCATTTCCAAAATAGAGTCAAGCCAAGTTACAGGGACTTTTGATGTCCCAGGTGTGTTGCTTGCATTATCCTTTGTTTTGTCTGAACCACTTGAATAACCCGAATCATCACTTGGGACTCTTGGTTGAATACGTTGTTCAGCTTTTGACCTAGCTATTCTTTTCGATAATGTTGGATTGGGACACTTGAGTCGGATCGGAAACCTCCCTAGGATGGGAGGAGGTTGTTCAGTTGCTGGCTCAGTATACTCCTTGTCTACTTTGTTGTCAGCATAGGGACAATCACGGAAACTTATATAAGTGAAAAAAAGAGACGTGTATCTAATTCTAAACATAACGAAATGTCTCATAAAACAGGTATATCGATGAATGGAAGCTCACTAACCAGGGTAGTCTGTGGCAATCGGGCGGTCAAGACCATCGAATATGCTCATACTGAAAAGTGAGTTTGGCGATTGGTCATCGGAGGAGAGCCTCTCGGCCCTTGCCTTTGCGATCATCTCGTCAAGACCGGGAAGCTGGGGAATAGAGTTGTCACCGGACGAGGCGTTAGATGAGCGTCCAAAGCCGCGACGATTTGAACGACCTGAAATACCGCTTGCGTATCCGATAGATCTCGAAAAATCGCAGTATGGAAGCTTTTCCGAGTCATTTTCTTGATCTTGAGATGGCCGAGAGCCCAAAGAAGTACGAAGGCCCCTGAGCGAGGACGACATAGAACCGAAACTCTTCCGAATCACGGAGGGTCTATTTTCGTCTTCGGCAGAAGAGTCTAAAGAGAAGCTGTCTCTCAAAGATGATGAGAGGGAACTGATGCTCTTTCGAATTAAGGAAGTCTGTTTCTCTTGATTGTCGTCGCGGGTCGTGCCATATTCCACCGACTGTGCTGGCTGCCATGCTGGAAAGGATCGTTTGCGGTTGAGACTCTGTATGAAGCGCTGTCGCAGCGAGTTTCGGCCGTTTCTCATTTCGTCTATCAATCCGTGGCGATCACTAATCGACGTCAAAGCAGCTGGATCCGCAAAGAACCCCATATCCGATACGTTTGCCTTAGTAGAAGGCGTAGTACGATTGCCCGTTCTTTCTCGAAGACCGATCATCATGCGAGCTATGGCTAGTATTTATAGATATTGAGTACCGAGAAAGACCGAGACGATATGTTGATAGAAAATGGAAAACGAGCAAGTAATGATAGAAACTAAGCCTCCAAGTATGGGTTGGTGGTTTTTGGGTGTCCAAGAACGTATAGCGACATACCAATGGCTTCCAGAATCAATACCAACCAACGAGTAAGGCAAAGAGAAATCGGATCAATAAGATCCATAAGTTTAGTAGTCAGAAGACTGTAATTTGTAAGTTGTAGGTGGGCCTACAATTGCCCTCTGCGCCTTCTAAAATAGTAGCAACATCTTTTATAAGCTGTATTCGGCTGAATATTTTTATAGTAGTGACGACCGTGTGCTTCCACCGTCTACCTGGTCTTTCTTGTCATAAAGTCTATATACATTTGATAGGTGCCTTCAAGCTTCTGGATGCATCCATACAATGTATGCCTCAGTAGGTACCTTATAAGCAAGAACACTGTTGTTTTTTATGTGAGACAGTTTATAATACAAGTGAATCACCCTTTGGTCGCTATAGAAGTTCATGAAGAAGCCTTCCATATTGTGGATATCTCCGTGTGACATGATAGTCCTATCTTAGCAAGGAGGTATTTCAAGCCCTATAATTCACTTATACACTATAGCGTAGTGATATTATACAGAGTACTCAATAGAACAAGTACTCATAATTCAATGCTTTTACGCCGCGCTTCTGCTGATATCTCTGAAATATACCTAATTTTATTCTTCGTCATCTTCTTCTTCGCTGATGTCCGTCTTCTTAAAATTGGGGTCGATTTCAGCCATTTGTTCGAAGTGGCGGGTAACGAGCCTGTTGAGGCTGTTCCGTCTCGGTTCCAGTTCCTTCTGTTTTTCAGGAGTTAATATCTGGGCAGTTATTATCCTGTCCGAGGCAGCAATCATCTTCCGCGCAAGTGCAACAAGCTCTCGTTTCTTATCCGATTCCGGCCCGTTGCTCGCATACTCCCTCGAAACCATCATATACGGTCTCCAGAGTTGATCAAGTGACTGGGCAACCTGTTTGGCCCATGCTATGATCCCGCCATTGGAGCCACTATCCACGAAGTGCCGCTTATTGGAATAAGCCACACGGAGATAAATTCGCAAAGTCTGCATATCTGGAACCCTAGATTTCTCTAGCATGATGTCTAACACAGCGGTAGCATTGCTGAAGGAATGGGGGTTGAGATTGTCTCGCAAACAGGCGCCCATGGCCGCCCGGAAAACCTTTGCGACCGTCAGCGCGGCCGGCATATCTCTCAAAAACAAAACCGCCTTGGTGCTGTTCCTCCCGCGCCGAAAAGTTGTAAATAGCCGGTACCAGTTGTCAGCATCGGGGACGACATTGTGTCGTTTGGTGAATATTTGCCAATAATGCTGCGCCAAAGTTGTCTTCCCAGTCTCCCTGACGGCAGTGATAATCAAAGAAAGGGAGTTATTTCCTGGAAGTGCATGGCTAGGTGTAGGAGTCCCAGGAGCCATCTTCTCGTAATCTTTGATTATGGCAGGCTGTTCTGGATCGGTATTCGTAACCCCGAGACTATCGGGTGTTTGGGATGGCCCAGAGATTGCGATTCCGCCTTCTCGTGGGATCATCATTGTTTGCTCCAGCAATGCCTCTATAGACTTGATGTCGTGATAGCTACCTAACAACAGGATCCTTCCCATCGCACAGACCAATTCTTCGTCGATGATAATGGATCCGGCTCTCCATTTTGATATTACTTCCTCCCACACGGCCCTAGCTCGCTGAATCACTTGCTGTTTGTTACGCTTGTCCTGGTCGATATCCTTTTGAGTGATAATGCCGGACGTTGCCAGAGGCTTGCCAACCGAGATTCGTAACGCATTGAAAATAGTTGTGTAAGTTTGGCAGTTGGGCGCCCTGATGCCTTCGTTGGCGGTCTGCACAACGCTAAACAGCGCATCAATATCCTGGGACCTGGCGCAGACATGGAGAACAGCGTTCATATGGATGGTGTTCGGTTTTATCCGCTCACCTCTCAACATAATATTGTATATCTTGAGCGCTTCCGAAACGGCTAGCTTTGGATGAGACGATGTGGCACATCCTCTGAAAATGATTGTGTAAGTCTGGGCATTCGGTAATTGACCCCGCTTCTTCATCTCGTTATACAACTTGAGAGCAGCATGAAGCCTGTTCTTCTTGAGCTGATAATCGAGCAGGTAATTCCAACTGACAACCACTTTTGCGTCCCGGCCAGCTTTTCTCGTTATTATAGCGGCTGTTTCAAAGTCGTCTTTGTGTAGACATCTTTGGACTTGCTTGGCAATATCTACTGGATCCTTCGCGAATTGCAAGTGTTTCCGAGCAGCCCATTCTGCTGGTGTCAGCCTTCGAGTCTTCTGGGTATCTTCTTTCGGAACTTTCGAATCATCTTGGAAGAGGTCGTCCAGTGTCAACCTTTCAGTATCTGGTGAGTCATCCCAGGCTGTATCATGCGTTGCGATGCTTGCAGAATGAGGAACTGGCGCATATTTCTTGAGGTTAGGTCGACGGGATTGGGCCAAGGCAGAGCCTGGACGTAAAGTTGCGAACGTGTTCTCGAGGCGGAGAGTATGGTTTACGAGGGTAGTGAAAGCTTTCCTCATGCATGATCTGCAAGTCAACATATTTACTTGCTTCACAGGCTTACTGGGAGAACTATATGTGGAAGGCTTGCGTTGTTTGCATATTCAGCTTTTCGTCTCTGTAGGAAATTTTCATTAGTAGTTTTACGCTGTCGCATGCGCAAACCAATTAGATGCTCTCAGTACCTACGCCACTATACTTATCGATAAGCAAGTTTATTTTCAAGATTGTGACGCAACTTGAAAGTTGCAATTTTTGGGGGGTTAGGTACGTACCTAGACACTTAGCTAATTGTCCAATTGGAAAACAGCAAGTTCAATGCAGCCACTTCTATTAGCGTGACGGATATGCGGGTCTAACAGGGATTCGCGAAACACGGGTTTGTAGTGGTGGCTCGCGCGTCGCGCGTCACTAAAGTGGAAAGATCCCCTAAAAAGTAGATCCCAGTTTAATTGATACCAATTGATTTACCTCTACACAAACAAACCCCCTCATCCGCACTCCGAACAACTTTGAACATGACTTATTCTTCGTAATCCATACTCAGGACGGTCTTCAACTTCTCTAATCAAGATGTCTAAGGCAGCTAGTAAACGGAATAAACTCGCTGAGCTGAAAGCTCTGCGGGCTGCTGGCAAAAAGGCCTACGACGCTTATGAGATTGAAGAAGAAGGAGCCTTATACGAGGAGGTTGACGAAAATCAGTACAAAAAGATCGTCCGTGATCGTCTGAACCAAGACGACTTCGTCGTCGACGACAACGGAGAGGGTTACGCTGATGATGGACGAGAGGATTGGGACCGCGTGCATACTTACGAATCCGAAAGCGAGGATGAAGTGTTGCTCGGAGGGAAACCTCGCAAGTCAGGTATTACATAGTCCATCCAGTTCCGTTCTTTGGAGCACCTGCTTATAATATGCCAGACAAGAAGAAGCGTGACGAGGAAAAGGCAAAGCGAGACGCGAACGACCGTGACATCAGCGAGTTTTTCAGAAAAGGCCAAAGTGCTGCTCAGCCAAAGCCAAAGGTACATGCCGTTAAATTACCAAGGTGCCACGTTCGCACAATGCTAATTGTAGTATTAGATCGTGAAAACCGAAGACGATGAAAGATTCCTAGCGAATCTACTTGGCGAAGTCGATTCAAATATACCCGCTCCGGTCTCGCGGGCTCCAAAACGACATAGATCTCCCGAACGACGGAGGGCCCGTGTTTTGTCGCCCATCCGAGAAAGTCGCCAACCAGTCACCAAGAAAGCGAGGCTTAGTGAAGAACGAGTATTACCAACACCTCAAGCCGAAGGTGCTCCTATTGATGACGATGACTTCCTCCCGCCCATGGATGACGACGATCTTTCACTGCCAGTTGCTGATATGCCCATGAGCGAGACTGGTCCGGCTCCCTCATCTCCCACGGCGGCGGCCGTTGCGCGCAAGGCCCAGGTTAAGATCGAGCCTGTGGACGAGGATGAGGAGATGATGGAAGTCTCTCATGCTGGGGCAGTCAACGCCGGCAGTGTGAACTTGTCTGCATCTCGACCTATCAAAAAGCTAGCTAAACCTGATCCCTATCCTTCCCCTGCCAGCTCGTCTCCAGCAAAGGCTCAGGAGGCAGCCGTTGACTCATCATCATGGAATAACCTCACAAGTAAACTGAACGTTGTGAGCAGCCCGGTTGCTGACAACAGAGTTATTGGCAAGATGGACTACAAGGATGCTATTGAGGAAGATGGCAGTCTTAACATGTTCTGGACAGACTATACGGAGGTCAACGGTTCGCTTTGCTTGTTTGGTAAAGTGCTAAACAAGAAAACGAACTCTTATGCAAGCTGTTTCGTGAAAGTCGATAATATTCTGAGGAAGCTATACTTCCTGCCTCGCAAGTATCGCCAAAAAGGTGGACAGGATACAAGCGAGGAAGTAGAAATGATGGATGTCTACGCAGAAGTCGACGAGTTCATGACCAAAATGAAAGTTGACATGCACAAGATAAAGCCTTGTACCAGGAAGTATGCTTTTGAGCTCCCTGACATTCCGAAAGAAGGGCAGTATCTAAAGCTTCTATACCCCTATACCAGTGGGTTTTCCCTCCTTAATTTTCCGTGACTCTGTACTGATCTAGAATAGAGCCACAAATCCCTTCGGAAATAACAGGGGAGACCTTTTCCCATGTGTTCGGTAGCAACACCGCATTATTCGAGCAGTTTGTGCTATGGAAGAACATTATGGGCCCTTGCTGGCTCAAAATACAAAATGCCGACTTTGGTGCTCTGAAGAACTCTTCTCATGCTAAACTCGAGGTTCTCGTTAAAGATCCCGATACTATATCCTCCATGAGCGACACCGATAATTTAGACGCACCTCCTCTCACGCTCATGAGTATCGCTATGCGAACTACCTTCAACGCTAAAGACAACAAGCAAGAGATACTTGCAATAAGCGCCCGTGTTTATGACAACATTTTACTCAGCGACACTACGCCTGCAGAGAAAATTCCTTCAAGAACATTCACGGTGATGAGACCGAATGGACCTACGTTTCCATTGGGTTTCGAGAGGCTGGCTGTGTCACGGAAGAAAGCACTGACCAAATTATATAAACAAGAAGGAGAGATTCTGTCTTTCTTTTTAGCTCAACTCGACATCGTCGATCCTGATGTAATTCTTGGCCATCAACTCGAAGGTGTTGATTACAGCGTCCTGGTAAATCGGATACACGAGAGAAAGACACCTCAATGGTCTCGACTTGGGCGACTGCGCAGAGCCGCATGGCCAGCATCAATAGGGAAGGCTGGTGGTAATGTGTTTGCAGAACGTCAACTTATGGCTGGCCGTCTTTTATGTGACCTTGCCAATGACGCTGGAAAGTCCGTTATGTACAAGTGCCAGTCTTGGAGCTTGACAGAAATGTGCAATATCTATCTCGGCGGAGACACTCTCAGGCGAGATTTCGATAATGACGCTGCTCTGAAGACCTGGGCAACGGAAAAGGAGGGTCTGATGGACTACATAACCCATATGGAAGCGGACACATACTTCATTGCCGCACTAGCCCTGGGTACCCAGATACTACCTTTGACGAAAGTCTTGACCAACTTAGCAGGAAACTCTTGGGCTCGAACACTGACGGGTACTCGAGCTGAACGGAACGAGTATATTTTACTGCATGAGTTCCATCGCAACAAGTACATCTGCCCCGACAAGCAATTCTTTAAAGGCCGACCCAAGGTTGAAGAAAACAACGACGAGGACGCCGCAGCAAACAAAAAGAAGGATAAATATAAGGGTGGTCTAGTCTTTGAACCAGAGAAGGGTCTATATGATAAGTTTGTACTTGTCATGGATTTCAACTCCCTGTACCCTTCTATTATCCAAGAGTTTAACATCTGCTTCACTACCGTCGACTGGAGCTCATTGGTAAGTTTACTGGAAGTTTCTCCGGCTAGATATTTGTGCTGACGCGTGGGACAGTCGAATGATGAAGACGCAGTACCGGAAGTTCCGACGCAGCAAGACCAAGGTATATTACCAAGACTTATCGCCACTCTCGTTAGCCGAAGACGAGCAGTCAAGTCACTCATGAAAGACAAGAACGCTACACCCGAGCAGCTCGCTACATGGGATATTAAACAGCTTGCCTTGAAACTAACAGCCAACTCTATGTACGGATGTTTGGGATTCGACAAATCCCGTTTCTACGCCAGACCTCTTGCCGTTCTCACAACCTACAAGGGTCGTGAGATTCTCCGTAGCACCAAGGAACTTGCAGAGTCGAAAGCTCTCCAAGTTATCTATGGTGATACCGATTCGGTCATGATCAACGCCAACGTAGACTCGGTCGCGGACGCACTCAAGGTTGGTCAGGAGTTCAAGAAGGCCGTCAACGAGCGATATCGCCTATTGGAGATCGATATTGACAACGTCTTCCGACGTATCTTGCTACAAAACAAGAAGAAGTACGCGGCCATCAATCTCGTCGAAGTACCAGGTGGCAAGTACATTGAGAAGATGGAAGTCAAAGGTCTTGATATGAAACGAAGAGAATACTGTGGCATATCAAAAGAGATATCATCTCGCATCCTCAACGAGATTCTGTCCGGTGACGAGGCGGAGGTCTCTGTCCAGCGTATACATGAGTATCTGCGCGAGATATCGGGCAAGATGCGAGAACACGCGATTCCCGTCCAAAAATATATAATCTACACACAACTAGGCAAGGCGCCGGAGGAATATCCAAATGCAGATTCGATGCCCCAAGTCCAGGTTGCTCTTCGAGAAATTGCACGAGGCAAGACTGTTCGACGCGGAGAGGTCATCTCGTACATCGTTACCGGGGACAGCAAGACAAGCTCAGAGCCCGTGGCCAAGCGCTCGTACACGCCGCAAGACGTCATGAAGGCCGGCTCCGATCTCAAGGTGGACGTCGAATGGTACATCGGCAAACAGATCTTCCCGCCCGTCGAGCGTCTCTGCGCCAACATCTCGGGAACATCTACCGCGCAGCTCGCCGAGCAGCTCGGCCTCGACATACGCCGCTACGCGAGCAACTCGTCCTTCAACCAGTCGGGCTCCAACGACCTCGAGATCCACCCGCTGGAGTCCCAGATCCCCGACGAGATCCGGTTCCGCGACTGCGCGCGCCTGTCGCTGCGCTGCCGCAAGTGCAAGGCCTCGGCGCCGTTCGAGGGCCTTTTGCCCTCTTCTACAGAACAACCGGAAAACCGCATCACGCCCCAGGGCGTAACGTGCCCGGCGTGCGGATCGCTGATCCCGAACCTCACCATCGTGGCGCAGGTGGAGCACGCGATCCGCGCGCAGACGGCGCGGTACTACGAGGGCTGGCTCGTGTGCGACGACACCTCGTGCGGCAACCGCACGCGCCAGATGTCCGTGTACGGCACGCGGTGCCTCGGGCCCAAGGGCCTCGCGTCGGGCTGCCTCGGCAAAATGCGCTACGAGTTCGGCGAGCGCGACATGTATAACCAGCTCGTGTACTTCGCCGGCCTCTGGGACGTCGACAAGGCGCGCGCCAAGGCGGCGTCCGGCGCCACGGGTCTAGGTGGTAAGGGCAACGGCGGTAGCTTGGATGCCGAGGAGAGGGCGAGGGTTAATGCGCTGGCGGAGCATAACCGCGTGAGGTTTACGACGGTTAAGGGCGTGGTGGATAAGTATTTGGATAAGTGCGGGCGACAGTGGGTTGCTATGGATACGCTGTTTGGGAAGTTGGGGTTTGTGGCTGGTCCTCCTGCTGCTGCTACTTAGATAGGCGGTCGTTGAAGTGCGGTTGCCTTGATCTGGGTCTAGGTACGTGCATGGAAATCACGGGTTGAAGTTGGCATGACGGGAAGGGACGAATGAATGGGTTAGGGTTTATTGAGGTTGTGTCTACTACTATTACTACCGCTGCCACCACTAGCTACATCTTTTAAGTAGGCATTTATCATGGCGACGGGAGTTCCGGTTGCGGGATGCGATGAATTAGTTACGTCTAGTTAAGTAAAGCAAAGCAAAGCAAAGCAGAGCAGAGCAGAGCGAAGCATGGATCCTGCTTTCGTCTAATGAATTTTCTCATATTGTTCCAATCTTGGTCTGTCTTCTCGTGGCTGTGAAATGTAAGTTTTAGGGGTTGTGTTGGGTTGGGTCGAATGTTTGGTTGCATAACACATAGACTCCAAGGTCAAAATATACCTAAGAACAGTTTTATTGTAGATAGATGTCCATCAAATTCGTGCTTATACACTTACACCGAGATTGGCAGGTCTGAGTTTGTTTGCATTCTGTAATTTTGGCTTGCTGGAGGTCGGCATACATATATGAATATATATAAGTCATTCGCGATAGCTCGTATAAAGAAAAAAAGGAAGGGGGGGGATGGGTGGAGAGGCAAAACGACCTGTGGTATTCATCACCACGGCAAAAGGCGACAGGGGCATCTATCCATCTAATAGATATCTTTCAAGCTTATAACTTAATTAGTAGCGACAAGGAAGACGACTTTACGTTGGTGATGTATTGCTTCGGAAACATCGCGTATGGTGTTGCTCTAGAAGAAACCATGTCTTAGCTGTGGAAACGTTTCTTCTATATTAGTCACATATAAAAGTCAAGAAGCGTAAAAGGATGTATCATATTGATGGCTCATATACGTATGGGGATGATGCAAATGGGTACCCGTTTTATTCTAGTTATCAGTTCTTTCGGTATGTAAACTCAAGGGCACGAACTGGATATGATTCCGGGATTCAAAGGTATCCCGATATATCATATCGCGTAAGGGTTAACTGCGTAGGTTTACGGGTTAAGCATACCTGTGAGATGAAATATTAGAAAAATAAAGGCCTAAAAGACATACTTTAAAGCATCTACGAGCACGTCCAAATAATCCAACGTTTGTTTAATAAATCAATTTTTCTGACTACCACTGGTTGCTGTCCACCTAGGTAAGGATCGAGAAGGATGTACGAGGGAGAGGACGAAGTTGCCGATGCAACACCCACTACCCATACCTTCACCTCTGTCGAGTCGAGTAGTCCCCCAAGCATCTATCGTCACCTGCCATTGGCCGTTAATTAGTAACGATCGATGGCCAACTTCCACCGCGGTCCTGTTCTTCCTCGACCGTTATTCATAGCTGCAGAAGCGCTAGCAACAAGGACAACCAGTGGTCAGCCATAACCAAAATCCAAACGCGATCAGCACGCAACCAGAGTCCGTTGGTTCCCGCGGTCTTTGTTAAGTTCCGATGCCCGGATCCACGTACGCAGCCCAAAGCCTGCGGCGACCACGTCCTTGAAACCCTACTCCGTTTTCCACCGTGCTTCCATGTCCGTATCGATCTCGTCACCTAAGTCCGCCACCCAACCGGACTACGATCGATGCCATGTTTCTAGAACGTGGCGCAAATTATGAATGAGCATCCTGTCAAACACCCCCCCAATGACTGTCTCGTGCCGCTATGGGCAAGAGAAAACGTAATGAAACACAATTTTGGGAAGAGAAAATTCCGGGGGAAATGTTCGTTTTATGGTGACAGGTCGTGGGAGGGTAGGTCTATTCGGCGAGGTATCATAAGAATGAAAAAGGAAACCTGAAACTTTTGAGACACATTTTATAACCCCCTCCCGTAAATGCAACGCAGTAGTCCTGTGTCCTAAGTCTATGCGCGACGATGCAACCGCAAATGCAAGACGTTCCTATTATCATGGAAAACGGTGTTTAGTTGCCACCCTTCTCGGATGCAGGGGTAGTGTCCGGGACAACTTTTGCAAGAGCCGGAGACGCCGCTGTAGATGGCGGTGACGCGGGATTCTCCGAATCCATGTTGGCAAGTAGACTGGTCAAGTTAGCATTTGCGGGATATTGATATAGAAGGCGGGAGGATTTACCTGAAGGAGTTGATACTGCTTTGCGTTTCCCTTACAGGAGGAGTGCCGGTTCTGGAGGAGGCTCCAGAGTCTTCGGCTCCTCTACTCAGAGAGCCACCAGGGCCCAAACGTCGGCCGCTGTTGCTACGAGAATTAAGCATCGACATGGGACCTAGGGTGACGTTCGAGCTCGAAGTACGGTTCGCACCACCCTTCAGACGACGCAGGTCGTCCATACCGACTTGGTTCTGGGCTTGCTGAGCATAGCCGGAAAAGTTCCTGGCGTCGCCACGGCCGATTTGTGGACGACCAGGGCCACCTCTGGTAGTAGTGCGCGCGGCCTCGGCAGCTTTCTGCGCTGCTTGGGCCTCAGCTTCAGCACGAACTTCTTCGAGAGTCTTAGGGCCCTTGTTGGTCTCTTTGGAAATCCAGTTAGCTCTTCTCAAATCGATAACGTCCATGAGCATGAACTTCAGACGACTAGGGAGTTCAGGCAGATCGACCATGTTCTGGATCCTAACGAAGTAGGCGTCCATCATGACCTTGCCCTTTTCGGTGCTGTCCAGGTTGCCTCCGATAGTTCGAAGTAACTTGGAGAGAGACTCGATCTCGGCCTCGTCGGGTACGCCTTGGTAGTCGACCAGCTTCCTAACACATTCATGCATAATACGCTCAGTGAGCATGCCAAGTTTGTACAGTTCACCGATGAACTGTACCAGTCCGAGCCCACGACGCTTGGCGGCAGCGGCGGCATAGTACTCCTCGGAGAGCATGACAGCCTCCTGAGACTTCGGTTTTCCATCTTCTTCTGGTGCGTCTGGGAGGTTCATCTTCCAGCCGCGCTCAAATTCTTCTTGGCATCGGTTGAGCAGGTACTTTCGGAATAATGCACCGCCATTGACGACCTGTCCGTTCTTGTCCTTTATATTCTCGTCCCGGATCTCCGGACTCATCATCTCTAGCATTCGCTTGCAGAATTTGGCATACATAGATGCCCAGTGAGCCTCGTCGGTAGCCTTCTCGAAAGTAAGCTGGATGACCTGGCGGAGGGTTCTGCCGTCAGTCTCGTCCTTAGACTGCGCGGCGATCTGGAGAATCTGGTCGGAAATCCTGTCGAACTTCTCGGGGGCCATCTTGTTCAAAGCTGCCTTCACCTTACGCTGCACCATGGACGGGTCAAGGAGGGTGTTTGGAGGTGGGCCACTTGCTGCGGCGCCCTTGCCGATGCTGGTAGGCTTCCAGCCTGTCGATGAAACGTTTAGGGCCTCAATCTTCATACCCTGCGTAAGCGGCATAGTCTTTGCGGCCTGAGCTTCATGCTTAGGATTATTAAAGGTATTCTGCTTGCTCGCATTCCGACGGCTTCCTTGTCGTGGAGAATGCGGCATGCTCATATTAGAGCTGGACGGTGTTCGAGCCATCTGGCTGCCGCCTGGGAATACACCGCCGGGTCGCTGGAAGCTGGCCATCGGATTGATAGCAGGTCGTCCCTTACTGTCGCTGCTCATCTCGAACCGCTGTGCGGACGTAGTTCCGGGTGGTAATGTCCGACCGATAGGAGCGGCAAAGCTGCCAAATCCGGCCATGCCACCAGGGGCGCCAGTCCTAGAGTTCTGTCGGTTAGAGAGGCCGGCAGGCGTTCGAGCAGACGCAGATCGGTTGCTGTCGCCGTCGCCGATAAGGGTCTTGACCTGTTGACCGAAGTCAAGGGAAGGTTGCTCCGTGAACACTTTCTGGAATTGCATTAAGAAGGCAGAGTCGTACTTGAACGAAGTGCCTTTTCTAGCGACCGCCGCGTTCAGAGCCGGGTTAGGTGACTGAATTCCCGGAGGATACAGATCCGCCTTAATAGAACTAGAGCCCAAGAGTCTCGCTGTTTTGAGCGATTGTAATGCGGCGCTAGGTTGAGGAGGCTCAACCGACTTGGTATTGAGAGGTGCGAGGTTAAGAGCAGCTGGCTTAGGGCCACGTCCACCTTGAGTAGATTTACCGGCTGCACCAGTAGAGGGTTTATCGGTGAGAGACAGGTTGGCCAATTTCGAGGCGGTCTCGCCTGCTGATGGAGCGTCAGTCTTGTCTGCAGACTTGCCGGTTGACGGCTTCATGAGCTCCTGAACCGATGGCGCCTTAGAGCCTTCAGCAGCACGTTTACGCTCCTTTTCATCTTCGAGCCGCTCCATCTCTGCTTCAGCTTCGCGGAGTTTGCGATCGTTCTCAGCGGCGTTCGCCAATCGAGTCGCCTCCTCGGCCTTCTTCTTGGCGGCCTTCTCAGCCTCGTACTTAACGGCGCGCTCTGCTTCCTCTTTCTCACGTCTCGCGTCTTCCTCCTCCATCTCGCGGATGATTCGCTCGAGTTCCTCTTCGTCGGGCTCGTCAGAAGCCTTGGAAGGTTCCTCCTTCTTCTCTTCTTTCTTTGAGGCCGCCTCCGCAGCTTCGCGTTCGGCCTTCTCTTTCTCCTCGGCCTCTTGACGTGCCTTTGCTTCTTCAGCCGCCTTAGCCTCCTCAGCAGCCTTCTCTTCTGCCTTCAATCGCTCCTCTTCTTTAGCCTTCTCAGCGGCAGCCGCCTTGGCCATCTCCTCCTCTTTGGCTTTATCGGCGCTCGCGGCTTGTTTCATCTTCTCCTTGAACTCGTTCCTGACTTCTTCAGCCGTCTTGGAGTTGCTCACGCTGTCGGCGCGTGAATGCTGTGCGGGTGTGGAAAGCTTTGGCGTTGTCGCTTTCGGGGGAGGTGTAGGTGTAGAGGCGATGACTGGGGGAGTTTTGGATTGTTGGCTGCTAGGTGCAGGCGAGGCGGGTACTTTAAGGCTACTAACATCAACGGTCTCGCCCATTGCGTTCTTGATTTTGATTGCCATGTTCTTTTTAGGTGGACGGTTGAATTGAGGAGATGCCACGACTGCAGGCTTGATCTGTGCAGGCTGGGGCTGTGGGGTGCCTTGGGCAACAGCTGGCGCCTGACTCTGGCCGGTGCTCGATGCGGGTCGGTGTTCTGTGGATACCTGCGAGGAGTTACGAGACATAGGTTGGGCCCCGGGAGGGTTGTAGGGACCTGCGGTGTAGGGCTGCTGATATGCTGGTACAGGAGATTGACCTTGGTTCATGATTGGATATACTGGATATCCAGGCACATGCATGCCAGGCCGCATGTTAGGATCAAACTGTTGAGGATAATATCCCTGCTGAGTTGTGGTTAGCAATCGGTCAAAGTTACCGCTCTCTGGCGACAGATCTATGCGTCCAGTAGAGTTCGATGGAAACGAGGAGACAATAGGAAAAGGCTGCTGCTGCAGAGGAATCGTTGGAGTGTCCGCAACGTGTGACGTTTCCGTTCTGTCGAACTGGGCCGGACCACGACGTCGTGAACCTTCCATAACAAATCTCTGATCCAGGCGCTTACTATAGCGTCGGTTTTTTTGACCAAAGTCTTGCTGCTCATTGTTGAAAGAGTCCGTTCGCCGATGCTGATTCGAGAATTTCTCAGACTCACGACGGTTTCCCTTTCTCTTGCCAACTTTGAGGTACGACCGGTCATGGTTAAGGGATAACATGGGGGAGGGGTGCTTTACTTGTGGTACTTGCTGAGGCCCGAGGGGCGGAGGTGGATAATAGAATTGAGGCATGCCGGTAGGGGCCATGTTGGGAGGATGCGGCATCGCCGGAGGAAGTGCCGGGCTTCGGTTGTGTGGCGGAGGAGTGCCATACTGCTGCTGGCGAGGGTTTCCGAATGCGGGAGGCATTCCGCCTCGTCCCGGGTTCTGAGGGGCTCGGTTGTAGTGGTTCGGAGGGTATCCCATAGGCTGATTGTACGAGTTGTTCGAGAATCCTCGGCCACGACCAGCAGACTGGAAGTTGCCTCCTCGCCCCATGTGGGGTGGTCCTGCCTGGTTACTCATATCGCTCACGTTCGATCCACGTCTCATATGAGGCGAGTGCTGAGAGGCTAAAGAGCCGGGGTCCTGAGATACGGATGTCGCTCGTGTGTGAGGACGCTAAGTGATCAGTTAGTACTGAGCCCATGTTTACCGTCAATATAATAATGGTTGATTTCGCTACTTACATCGCTCTCGCCACCAAAACTACCAAAAGTCATACCCTGTTGGGCAGTTCCAGAAGGAGGTCGTCCGCCGCTAGCAGAAGGCTGCGGGATAGGAGACGGTGAATTCTGGGGAGAGGTGACACGCGGGTTGCTGTCGGGGATAGGGATAGGAGCAGATCCTAGCTTAGGGTCGCTAGTAGATACGGCAGGTGACTGGTATCCAAATTGGATATTGGCCTTGCCTCCTGCAGTGCCTCCGTTAGTTGAATAGCTGTTAGGTCCGTTCGCGCTCATAGTAACCGAACTCTTTCGGCTGTGGTCGGCCAGTCCGTTCGCGTTCAATGTGCCGTGTGCTACAGGAGGGACGTTAGGAATAGCGGGCATAATGTTGGGTCGGCCGTTCATAGGCGAGATTGAAGACGATTTGGCATGGCGCGGGGCAGAAGCGGATGAGCCAGGAGCAACGATGGGAGGATTCGAGCCAGTGGCAACCACAGGCGTCGACGTCTTTGCACCAGCAGCAGAAGCGTATGACGGTGCCGAAGCGGCCGTGTTGCTGTTCGACGCCGGGTTGTTAGTTTGAGGTGAAGTCATAAGTGACTATCTATTCAAGCTACTAGAGCTGGAGGCGTGTGGGTTTTTTTTGAGACGAAGTGTTCTTCTTTTTTGCAAGTCTGCGTCGTAAATTGGCAGTCTTTCTTCCGTACGTAGATGCCAGAAAGAAAGAGATACAATCGCAAAGTAGGCGGTCGGGGGTTATCGAATATCAAATCCGAGATTTATACTGCGATCGATTTCTAGAAGTGAATGACGATCTCGGTTTTAACGAGATGAATATTCGTCAATTAAATTAAGTGGTGTTTAGTCGTCGCCTTTTTTCCGACTGACAGGAACAGAAACGACAAGCGTCAATGACGAAGCTTGAAACTGTCCGTGAGAGTAATAAAAAAGGCAAGGGCGAAAACGGGGTATCGGTCAGTAGAAAGATGGTGAATAAAAAAAGAGCGTCGTCGCAAATAAACGAAGAATGTCGAAAATCCCGGCGTAGTGTACCTAAGGATTACTGATGGCAGGGGAAGTTGCGCGGGAAAGGGAGATTAAAAGTCGACGATGAAGTTCTTCGCAGCACGGGCGCGCGCAGATACTCCTATCAATTTTTATCTCGTCGCGGAGAGGTATTAATTGAGTGGAGATATGTATTCCCTGGACCGAAATGCAGAGAAATACAAAAAGGAATATCCGTCCTTGAATCCTCGATAGAATTGTAAGGAGAGGGAAAAAGAAACACAACCTTCAGAAGGGGTATCTTCCTAGGTTGTCGTGGTTGATCGTTGATCAAAAAGGTGGTGCAGGAGTGAGAAAAAATTAAGATGGGAAATTTTTTTTGGAAGGGAAAATAATGGCTTGCTTGGGTTTTGCGACTGGGTGCTGCCCTCTCTCTTCTCACACCACTTGGACCACAATCGCACGCACTGGCTTCACTAATAATTATTGACTGGGTACCTGCTAGTACCTAGTGTATGGTGCTAGCTGACGGGTGCAATGGCGTAGATTGGTTGACAGAACTACCAGGGAATACGTACCCTGATGAGGCTGTTCCACTTTTTAAAAAAGGTCTGGGTGCCGGAATGTACCAGTGCATGTAAAATACATTGTCTTGGTACTTCCTTGCCCTCGACGCTTCTTCTAGATGGCCTTACACGAGTGGGTCTTCCTTTTTTTAACTGCTTACCCGTGGATGTACATAGTATGTGGATGTATGTAAACTCTACACTAGCAAATCGCAGTTTCCACATCTACGTAGTAAGGTTGTACTTATCCCCATGATGAACTCCCAACACTGAATTTATGGACTGATGTCTCGCCCCTTAACGGCATTTGAATTCAAACATTGTAGTTGTCGCAACAACATTGACCGCGTTGTTCTCTTTAGGTTGATGAGCATATGTATTAGGTAGTTCAAGATGACTTTGCCGTCTTTGCGCCTACCACTCTAATACGATTATTGGGGTTATAATGGATATTCTTTAAGTTTACCTAGTTTCCGACCTATTAGATGTTTAAGTATTTACATGTGTAGCAACACAGACATTATTGAAATTTCACTTGTTTGTGGCCGATTGATTCCGTCACCAGCGGTACATAGAGACAATAGGGAATGTGGGCATCTTGCCCTCCTCGCTCCCACACCAATCCGCAGAGAGCCCTTGACGTTTTTACCTAAGTGGTTAGTAGAGCTCCCCGCGTTCTAGAATATCGCTCCTAAGTGTTACCTTGTCTCCTAAATCCGAACGAGACCTAAAGATGTCGTTTACATGACCATCTATTTGCTGTATCCTCCTAAATACGCGAAATCCCCGAGACTTTTTTTTTTTTTTTTTTTACCTCTTCGCCAATTCCGATAATGACAATTACGTCCATAGGTAATTTTGAGAAACTGATCCATGGGATCTCCTTTCTTTTATGTGGCTACGAATTATGGAACCCAAGCAATATGTAAAAGTAACTTTAGCTCCGTGGATTTTCACTCATAAACGGCAATATATTGTCTGTCCCATATCTTTGTTCTTGCCCACTCCAGGGCATTTTTATATATTGCTTATTAATACGCATTTGCTATCTTACAATGTGGACCGTGTTATAATATTCTTTTTTATATAGCGACAATACTGACTTTTTTCTAATTGTAAGCATCCGTTGATCCTCTTTCTACTATGTATGTAAGTTTGCTGCCTGCAAAGACTCCCGTTATAGCCCGGCTTTGATTCCCGCAACCATCTAATGATGCGCTAGTGATCCTTGTATTCCACCTGTTGTAGTGCGGAACAATTGGCTTCATCCCATCTAGAAAATTTGAGCATGGCCAAGCCTAGAAGGGTATGTACTTTTTCCATAACTAGCAACCCGAAAAGATTGGCATTGCTGTTGCGGGAGATAACCTCTCAATGCCACAAGTTATTCGACATTTTCATAAGTATTACATACATACATATGTAGTTCATCGAACAGAAACTTGGAACTGTTTCGGGCAGGTAGATACTGGGCTGGTATTAATTTCACATGCTATCGATAATACACGCAAATCAAAAAGGGGAAGGAGAGGGATGAGGAACCAACGTCACCTCTTTCAAGACACAGGAATCGTTTAGTCCCGTCGTACATTCCGCCCGTTGTCGCGTTCTCTATAGTCCGTGGTTTCCCTAATCTCGGGTCAATACTAAAGTAGGTAATTATACGCAGTTGCTTCCCTTGGAGTATTTCGGGTAAACGGAGTAATTCCCTCATGTTTATAAGAATATTTGGTGTTCGTAGGTTTATTCTAACACGGAACATTCAATCTTTACTACATACCTAGGTAGTAGCTTAGAAAGGAAAATACCATGGTGGTGGCAAATACACACTATCTTTTCTTCCCCCACTCTAGTGTTGAACAATGTCTACCTAAGCAACTTGTCACAACCTAACTCTTTGCCCCTTTGCCATCTTTTGCCCATAAATCATTGCGTCTCACGATGCTGCTGGATAACATAACATTGCATCCCAACGTATGTGCCGCCCATATGCACCATGCATGCGTGGACAAGGACATGACATGTCAGATGCGCAACTACAACGACGAGGTTTTGACTCACAGCGAAAATCCTCCTTCGATGACGCAGATTCGACGTAGAATTAGCCCGTTGATTCGGTCTTTTCGAGAGCGAGCGAACGGGCGGGATGTGCATGGAAATCTGTGGATTATAGAAATAGAAAGGTGCATGGCGTGACTATGAACTGTCGATAGATCCCCGACCTATGTAGGTGCCCAAGTACGTAAAGAATCATTCTAGAATTTGATTAGATAGGTAGCGATCGGAGCCGGCCATGTACATGGTGTAGGTATGTAAATCATCTCTGTGCTGATATTCTCTACACGTAGCTGTACTTGGAGAAAGGGAATTTCGTCATAAGACCTCTGGGCTATTAATACGCCCAGTTACACGATACCGGGTGTGGCTAGTCTTAAAATGTCTTGCTAAAGGAAGCCCAACGGTTGCCGGTGCTTAGGATCTACCCCAGTGAGATTGGCGGGACCAGAGCCACGGTGAAGCCCCGTTTGCAGCCCTAACCGGCCAAGCGGCTCAGGGCTATCATTGGTACGATATCTCAGCAGTGGAGGTGTCTAGGTATAATTTGAACATTTGTGCCCGTTCAATATAAGATACTCAGGTACTTACCTCGCAAATACGTACGTACCTACGAGATGAGATGCTCTCGTCGGAAATATGAAAAAGCTGCCTCGTAAGTTAGTCTCTAGTCACTGCACGAATATTGGACATATATAATGCATTTGTGTATAGCAGAGATCGTCGAGGAAGCAACGGTATCCAGTTTACTTGAATTCGCCTTTACCCATTGTACGTTGTGAATGTAACTTTTCTGTGAGTCCTCCAGATCGACGTACAAGGACCTACTTCCTCATGTTCCATGTCAAGGTCGTCAATAGCACACCACCCATCCATGCAAACAAATTCACCCATGTCATAATGCCCTATAATCGACTCGTGATCCTTCCGAAGTTGCTTCATGACTACGCCTCCGCGGCTTCGACACCATCACTCGGCACCACCACATCATCGTCATCTTCCTCATCGCTCGCTTCAACATAACCAACTTCGTCATCTTCTGCGATGGGCTTCAATTCCTGTTCGACGGGTCCTGCTGCTTCCGGCAAGCCGCGCTCCGCACGCATTTGCTTAATCTTAGTTGACGTCATTTCATAGACGAACTGGCCCAGATGCTCAACGCCCTCCATCGTTGCTTCACCCGGTACAGCAGTTCCGTCTTCTTCCGCTTGGATGCGCTCTGAGGGCCACATCTCACCAGTTGCGAGAGTAAGTTTGTCTGGTCGCTGAAGTAATAGCTCGAAAGCGGGGCGCAGCTCGTAACACGCCTCGAATACCTCTCTTCGCCCAAGGATGTACAAGCCAAGCCGGGCACGAGAAAGTGCTACAGTCAGGCGTCGAATGTCTCGGAGATAACCGACCCTCGATGTGCGCGTGAGTGAGAGAATGATATCTATCTAGAGTTAGATCTAATTATCACCAGAGAACAGAATAGGTATTACTCACAATCGTTTTGTTCGCCTTGATACTTGTCGACGGTAGTCACTACTTTAGGCAAACCGAATATCGCATTCTTCGCACACCGGTGGGATAGCACATCTTTAATCAGGGCTCGCTGGCCGGCATAAGTAGCAAGGATGCTGATCTTTGACGCTGGGTATCCTAGAAGTCGCATATACTGGAATATGGCAACGGCGTATTCCGCCTCGCCTAGGTTCTGGATGAAATGTGGCGTCGGCTCGACTTCTCCACGACCCTTATAGTCGGGAACATTGATGAACTGGTAATCATATTTGAACCCGGCATTGGCAGTCTGAAATTCCTTCATACTCTCAACATGTGGGAGGTTACCAAGGTTGGGGTATCTCCACTGATATAATGCGGCGATAGATGGACGAGCACGGCCTTGCTGGTCGAGGGTGATGACTGGTACTCGTAAGCGGATAAATCGGTAGAAAAGCGATTGCTCAAGGTTGGCGTAATGTCTAAAGGCGAGACTCTGTATGACAGGTGAGTTCTGGTAATGGTCACCGCAAAGAACGACCCTCTGAAGCGCCATCTGTCCACCCTCAGGCTTTTGCATAGCCAAAGGGATGAAACTCTCAACTTCAGTGATCTGAGCTGCCTCTTCCATAACGACATTGTCATAATGGAAGCCGAGTGCAGCAATCTCGGTACGGTGCATTGCAGCATGTGTCGCCGTCATAGCGACGATGCGAGCTTCGTTAATGAGAAGGTAATTGGCCTTATCTCGGTCTCGTCGTAGGATTTCGAATGGCAGGACATCTTCTAGCTCAGAGAATATTTTCGACACGTGATGATAGCAGCCATTTGCTATATCGATGACGGTGTCTCGATTGCTCTCTGGAGGGAATAGAGGCTGGGGGGCATCAGAGAAATAGTTGTGGAATGGGAAAGCTTCAGAGATAAGAGTCGGCGATGAACTATCGGCCTTTGCTATCTCTTGAAATTTGGCCCAGGCTGGTTGAATATAGACAGAGTTGAAATACCCTGCCGTCTCAGCGGAGTTCCCGTGAGCACCGGGAGCACCCATACTAGCTGCTAAGCGGTTGACTTCTTTTAGATAACGATCTCTGATCTCGAAGAAAGACTCAACCCGCCCATGTTTACTGAAACTACCATCAGTATCGAGATCTTCCTCGCCATGACCGAGGCGGAGAAGGTGACGTTCGTCAATGTCCAGAGCGACAATCTTCGCAAAGAGCTGGTTCAAGGCCTGGTTGGAGTGAGCGATAAGCAATGTGCGTTGCTCGGGAAAGTTGTGGTAGATGTTGTTGATGATTTGAGTCGCAACATCCGTCTTACCAGTGCCAGGCGGACCAACAATAACAGTAAGTCCAGGCTGGGTTCCTGATATTATGGCGTCAATTTGAGCAGGTGTGAAACGAACGCTGTTTAGCTTCGGAGCATCAACAGGATACGGCCCAGTGTTGGGCGGCTTGTATGTCGACACTTTATACGTCTCGGCTTCAGCAATTAACGCAGGCTCTACACCCCTTCTTCGCTTTTTGGAAGGCTTGACGGTTTTCTGTTCTGGTGGCCTATCCACTGACTCTAGCATGTAAGGAGGACCGAAGCTCTCCGTCACATCATCTCCTGGCTCAATAGTTTTATCAGGCAGACCTGTAACGAGATGTTGCCAATCTAAGAAAGTGTCCCTGAAATCGAGCTTCGCGATCCGATTTGCTAGATGTTTATACGTGGCGCCGGCAGGGTCTCCATAACCGAGGAAGGTCTCATATAGCCACGAGGCGAGGGGGACTTCGGAAAGACACAGGCTACGAATAGACTCTAGAACCGGCTTGAAGTTGTTCTCTCTGCCGCTTCGCCGAACGATCAAATTAATCCGTTCATATACGTCTGGCTTGCTATTCGAAACACGATCCATATCTTCCTTATATGTCTTCGGGTCCAATCTGAGCTGTACCTTTCTTGTCGGAGACCGATTCTGGCCGCCAAAGTAAGCAGTAGGATCTCTGATAGATTTACCCTTATCATCCATGATCTGGGAAATCTCTGCACTTCTCACAGAGATTAGTCCCAGCTTCTCTGCTTCGGAAATGTTTTTGGCGTTTCCATTCGAGATACTTTTCGAGAGGGAAGCATCCACTGCAACAAGGAAAACGACATCGTCTGGACGCAATGAATCCCATTCTCTGCGAATATTGTCGGCAAGTCGACGCACGTCGAGCGAAATCTCGGCATTGACTGCAGACGGCTTGTCATCACCAACAAGAGCAGGCACCACCTCCAAGATGGACGGGCGAGATATCGGTAGTGCCATCCTTGAAAAGCCGGTAAACGTCGTCTCTCCGGAACGGTTTGTCTCCGGTCTTAGTCGTCTCAGCGCATCACTGATATCTTTTCTGATACCATAGAAGGACTCGCATCGATAAAGAACGAGAGCCCTCCAAAGGAAATCTCCAACCGACAGGTGCTGGAGTTTCAGCTTAGGAAGCGCAAGGGGTGTTGACCCATCATAATTATCCGTCCTCAGCAGACCTTGGTCAAAAAGACTGGCTTCAGTCGGAAGAATACTTGTATCTCGGACAACTTCTTGGAATGTCTGGCGCTTCTCGTAGGTAGACAAGAGCACCTCAATTAAAAATGGCCGATCGATGGGAATACCAACTGACTCTGGGTATTCCGTTCTAAACTCAAGCAAGGTCGCAAGCCTCTTGATCTCCTCATCTGTTAGAGCTTCTAGGAGATTCTCAAGCTCATCCCTTTTACCTATAGATCCATAATTGGACAAAGCTAATACTGTAAGCTTATCCTTGAAGTGGCGTAAGGCCACGCGTTGGAGTTTCGCGAGCTCGGCACAGTGCAGATCATATGCCTCTGTACGACTATGTTGGACTCCCGTGTAATCGTCAATAGTAAAATAGAAGTAGTGACTCAATAGAGCATATTGGTCACGAAGCAAACCATTGTCTTCGTCGTTAAACATGGGGGAGAGTCGTAGAGCGGGTAAGATGTGTAGGTCCTGGAACAAAGTGTTCGTGTATCGTCTTGTTGGGCTTTGACTCAACAAGTCCGAGATGAACTCGACGAATCGTTCGCAATAGAGCACATGCTCTTCCTTCCGTTTCTCGCTATATAGTAACTTGAGAAAGTCCAACGTCATAGTGTATAGCCAAGCTCTCTCAAACTTCAATCGAGCTTTGGTCGAATCATCTGCCGAGTCATATCGCTTGGCCGCCGCTCTCCAGGCTTTCTTGGGCGATGGGTTTTGTGCCAATTTGCTTTCACGCTTCGACTCGGTGAGGTTGTGCCAGATACCGATGGAAACTAACGAAGCGCACTTGTTACGTACGCTCGACCAATCCAGGCTCTGGAAAGCATAGATGATAAAGCATAGAAGGTTCGTCCGTACAGTCATGGATAGTGTGTGGTCGAGACACATGGATAAAACACGAGTGAAGAAGCTTTCAAACTCGGCAGGTCGATCTTCAAATAGACTCCATGTCTCAAGCCTCTCTCTTGCCTTGACATTGGTGATCAGGGCTATTAAGAGGACGTGGAAATTCGACGAGTCTTCGGAATATCCAGGCCATAGGTAGCTCTCAAGTGTTTGTAGTCCTTCAAGGACAAGTAATGACTTGTAGGGGAAGCCATTCTTTTCGAGGACATCCCATATGTCGCGCTTCAATACGTCGTTCTTGACTTTAATTCTCGTAGTTCGCTTGGTAGTCTTCAACCAATGCTGTCTCGCAAGTTGGGCAAATTCGCTCTCGCCCTCTAAGTCGGCAATGGTAGGTCGTGGTTCAGTGTCGCGTGACTTGGACTTTGCGTCACTTTTCTTGAGGCGCTTTGCGGTCGGCATGGCTCACAGATTGCCTAGAGACCCTGGCGAGGTGCCGAGCAGAATTATGCCTAGCTTACAAGCTTGGACGGTACATTCATGAAGTTCTTTCAGATAGGTGTCGTATATACTGGGATAGAACTTGGTTGTAGGAATAGTTGGTTTCACGTTGTGGCGCAAATGCCTTCTTAAAATTCTCAGCCTTGTCGCGTTGGTGTTGTTGATTTGATATGTAATTGGTACGTATTCCTTGCTATCGTCCGTACAACTTTATTTTTTTCTTATCCAGCTAAGTTGACCCCCCTGTTCGTTCTTGCATGCATGCAAGGTAAAGTTAATCCCTGCATTCTCCATAAAATATTGGCGGTGAATCCCGGCAGAACTAGGGACTCCCATTGCTCAGAGGTCATTGTTTCCTCATTGAAGCTCAGCCTTCTGCATAAATGTTCCTCTTCAATCTTCAATGTACTTGAGCTGAACGTCTGTCTTTTGTGTTGTTCCGACAAAGACCAGCCAACATTGAACCCAAACCAAACTTTTGAGAATGTTCGTGTTTTGAGCATGGTCAAAATAGCTTTTCTCTAGTCATTCATTTAGCCACCACCAAATCCGCATCCCCAAGATCGCCATCAATAGATACGGAGGAACTTTCGAATACCCTCGCTACTATTCGAGATGCCTTCCGCGAAGAATTCGGATTATGAGGTACCCCAGGTAGACGCCTTCACGGCGCTGCTAAAGAATACCTTGGATCATGCGCAGTCTATCAAACCGAGCGCATCGATCGAGCCTCCACTCACACAGGTCGATTTTGAGAGCCAACTTGCACAAGTTCCCACCATATTCGAGTCAGAGAAGGAAAAGGCTCACCAGAACGCTGTCATAGAGATAGCTACACGGAATATTTTTAGTAGCTTAGTAGTAAGTCGTGAAATACCGACACTTCTACTAGCAATTAATAGCTAATCTCCTAGGCCACAACTACAATCGATTCACCCGAGTTCGTCCAAGTTTGGAACCTCTTCGACTTCCTATCGGTTTTGTCCGATAACGATCAATGTGACCCTGCCCTCCTCTTCTGGCTTGTGGAAGAACTTCTCGACAGCCAGACGACTGAAAAATGTCGCAAGATCTTCGATTACCTCGAGTCACGACGAGAGCAGATAATAATACATAACCTTATTGCGAAGAAGCTGGTCATCCTCAGATTCTGCAACGATCTTCTTCGTCGACTGTCCCGTGCCGAGGACACGGCTTTCTGCGGTCGGGTTTTTATCTTCATGTTCCAATGCTTTCCCTTAGGAGACAGGAGCTCGGTCAACCTGCGCGGGGAATATCACGTTGAGAATGTCACAACATTTGAAGACATCCCTACCCAATTAAACGATTCGGCGGATATCATGGTAGTGGACACAGAACCCGATTCCGGTAAGGATGGGAAAGGGGAAACCAAGTCGACAACCAAGGCTGTTTCGTTCGATTCAAAGAACAAGCCAGCACCCGAAAAGCCTCTCGATACAGACGCGCTATATCCTGTTTTCTGGTCACTTCAGCATTACTTCAGCCAACCTACGGCGTTATTCGATTCGGCTGAACTGGGCAAGTTTAAAGCTGGATTGGAAGCAACCATGTCTGCATTTGAGACAGTGGAGAAGCTCCAGAGGACTACCAAGGGCTCAGATGAGAACAAGTTAATACCTCAGAAAAGGAAACAATCAGAGGGTGATGATGACCTACGCAGTAGCACCAACAATCCTAAATACCTTACAAGCAGAGAGCTTTTTGAGCTAGAGGTACGCCCCTAGTTCATTCCCGTTGATAATGCCATATCTAACCATTCTATCCAGATAAGCGATCTATATTTCAGACGCCATATTCTCATTCAAGCCTTTATCATATTGGACTTCCTCCTGTCGCTTACTCCCAAGGCCAGGGCGAAACTTTCCAATATCAAGGTTCAGAACAGATCCGTGGTATACGCCGACCAAACACTAGGTACCGATGATGTAAGTCTTAATAGGAGCACCCCTAACTTCGACATCACTAACCAGACTCAGATGAACTGGGCAACGTTCATGAAGATCCGAATTCAAAATTACATCCAAGCCGAGAATGATGGGTTTTTCTTCTTTCGTGTTCTCGAGAGCGTCATCTCGAGAGATAAGGGCTGGGTGCGTTGGAAAGTCGAGAGCTGCCCGCCGATCAAGAGAGATCCAGTTTCTCCCGAGGACTTCAACGAGGCGAAAGCTAGCGCCAAGCGTATGACGACTAATAAAAGGTTGCGAGCCGTGCCCATGGGCTCGTTGTCTTTGGAGTTCTTGAAGGAAGAAGACAGCGAAACGGCGATGGAGAAGTTAAAGGACCCGGAGAGATGGAAGCTTCCCGACCTGGCCGTTTTCAAGGACAAGATTGCTTCGGACGACCTTGACCTCGACTTCGCAAAGAGCGAGAAGGAGAAATCCGAGATACTCGATGCCAAGGCCAGCAAGACGTGGAGGGCCCTTAGGATCGCCCGGAGATCCAAGCTTGCCGTCTTCGACAAGATCGACGACTGGCAAAAAGTCGACGTTATCTTCCAAGAGCAGCCAAAGGCTGCAGATGGAGTCGAGGGGGCACAGACGAACGGCCAACTTCCCGAAGACAGACGGCCGATCATCATAACGGGCCCGAGCAAGGTTGGCAAGTCAACGCTGGTCTCCATGCTCTTAGAGAAGCACGAGGGTGTGTTTGAAAAAGTCATTCAACATACCACGCGAAGTCCGAACGACGGAGAGGTCGACGGCCAGGATTACCACTTTGTGGATTCCAAGGCGTTCAATGCCATACTGGACGGCGATTACTTCCTCGAGTTCTCCAACCGGGACGGAGTGGACTACGGAACAAACCGGAAGGCGGCCGATGCTTTGGAAGAGTCCGGGAAGGTTCCCGTGATCCAGCTGGATCGCGAAGTAAGTCTCAAAAGCGCATAATACATATCTAAACACCCGGAAATTACTTACTAACCTTGCTTCAGGGTGTTCAAATGGCCAAGGACAACGGCTACGCCGCGCGGATCGTCTTCATCTCGCCGCCCAGCATCGAGGAGCTAGAAGCCCGGCTCAGGAAATCGGACGGCTTTACCGAGGAAACCATACAAAGCGCGCTGAAGGCGGCCCAGGAGGACATGGAGAAGGCGCAGTCCGAAGGCTTCTGCGACGCTGTTATTACGAACGGAGAGCTGGAGGTGGCGTACAAAGCGCTAGAGGAATTCTTGTACGGCGGCGCGCCTGCTGAAACGAATGGGGTCAATGGTAACGCTGACGCTGATGCTGCGCCGGCCGGCGCTGGAGAAGATGTGGCGATGCAGGATGCGGCGAGCGGTGAGGTTGCAGCGTAGGTAATGGGCGGTGATACCTCACGGGTTTTGACCGATTTACAGGTTTATTAATAACCCCAATCGATGAACATGGACGACACTTTGACTTGGGGAGTCGTTGGGCTACGATTGGATCTCAAGTTCTCGAACACCATCTACCTATTAGGTCAAAAGGAGGCGCGAATTGCAAACTACTACCTACCCCTAGAACAGGGGCTGTTATGGCGTGTGTTTAATGTACTACTATTACGATAACTACATAGGCCGGAAGACAAGACACGGGCGCAAAAGAAAGTTGCTAAGTTGGTTGGCAAGGTTCGGATACATACATGGGAGTGAGAGTGCCGTTATTCCATAGTTGAGATACCCCATATAATGAATGCGCTGCTACATGAGCCTCATGATATTGTGGTTGTCTAATCGTGGGATTTTTTATATTGTGAATTGTGTGGGTAAGACGACTAAACGACGTTTCTGTTAGAGAAGTTAGGTACAAACGAATAGTCGAGTGAAAAGAAAACACCATCTCGATATAAGTAATCTTGCATCTAATCACACGAACCCAAAGCAACCTTGGAACCTAGAAGCTATGACTTGAATACCCTATAATGGGGCTATTTCAAAAGATGTCTATCTACATATCTACCCACCCACCCCTTCAGAGTTGGTATCTAATCCATCTAGTATCTATCCACCGGCTTTGGTATCCGCAATAGTCCGCAATAGTATCTACCCTCGAGCCTCAGGCCGACACACCCGACTTTAAACCCTCTTCTATCCATTCACCCATCCATCTTCCCAGGATATTTTCCAACCCACGGATGTATATAGGTATGTATGCCGATTTAGCATTCTCTATTTCTCTCCTTACAACTCGCTCGCCGGCCCAAAGAATATTCCTTTTATCCTAGATGCTAGCCCTAAGCCCCCTCCTGTCTAGAGAATGAACGACACGCTAAAACAATACGAAATATATAGGTAAATATGCGGTTTTAAAATAAAAACGCCATCGCTATGCAAATGCAAAACCGAACCGACCCAACCGAGACATAGTAAAGCCGCGCCCGCCTTTTTTGTTTTTCCTTCTTCTCTTATGATGATGTTGGAAATTTGTTGGAAATATGTAGTAATGTGTAGGTAACGGTGTCTAGACAAGCACCAGCGTAGCCGCAACAAACGCAACCAGCGCACCGGCGCCCATGCCCAAGCCGCTGCCACCGGTCCTGCCCGCCGCGGCCGTCGTGACGGTGGTCGAGGTCTCGGCCTTAGTGGAGCGGCCGACGGCGGTGATACCGTTCATGTTGTCAGCAGTAGTGACAGCAGGGCCCTCGTTGAAGAAGTCGACGAGCACGAAGCTGGGGATCTGGCCCCAGTCGCTCTTGCAGTTCTGGGCGTGCAGGCCCAGGTTGCCGGTGGTCGCGGTCGAGGGGCTGTTGGTGGTGGCGATGTCGTCGACGTCCGGGATCTCGATCGACGCTGCCAGCAGGTCGTACGCGAAGTGGTTCATCAGCGGCATCAGGCCCGCCGAGATGGCGGCGCTGGCCGAGCTCTGCGTCGTCGGCCGGTCCAGCGTGCAGTTGAAGCCCGAGAGCGAGGTCACGTCGTACGCCGTCTCGAAGATGTGGTCGAATTCGTTCAGCAGGTACGGGTACGTCGTGCTGGTAGTGATGGAGGCGATGAAGGTCACCAGTCGTGTGTTCGCGGTGATCATCTCCTGCAGCGTTGGCCAAGTGGTGCTCGTGTGCTCGTACCCGTACGTATCGATGCCCGAGGCGCTGAAAACGGTTCCGAATTCATCTGCGGTCTTGCTATCGGAGTTGACGAGGAGGAGCGTCACTACCTCGTTCGGGTTGTTATCCATCCAGGTTTTAATGGCCGTTAGCCAACTCTGAAGCGTCCCGGCGTCGAGCAGACTGCAGGATGTGTGACATAGTTCGATAGCACCGTTCAGGTCGTGGACTTGGGCCTGAAGCAACCGGATCCCCGCATCTAGGGCGACGGTTGCGTTATAATATTGATTTCCAGCTACCGAGTTACTTGTAGATGAGTCTCGGAGAAACGCAGAATCGTGAGCACCCATGTGGGTTATGTTGTTGTAGTTGCGGCTGCATAGGTCAGGGGAGTTATTGCAGGCCGTCGTCGAAGTCGAAGCTGAAGCTGAAGCGGTTGCTGTCGAACTAGAGCTTGCTACTGCGAAGGAAGAACTTGTCGAGGAGGATGAAGATCCAAACCCAAACCCACTACCTTCTTGTGGGAGTGCATGAGCCGTTGCTGACAGGGCAGCGGCGGCAGTTAAGAATGTACATAACGAAGGAATCATACTGTCCTGTTTATGTAATATGTGTTGCTAGGAAAGGAAGAAAACTGGTCTAATAGTCTATGACGATAGAATGAATGAGAATATAACGAAAAACGAAAGCAAGAAATATAAACTTACAGCAAAAAGAGATGGTGGGTGTATTACGATTAAGTACGAATACCTACATGTTTCGAGGTTGGCCCAGGAGGCTAACTGAGCCCCAACCATCGTACAAAACCGCACAAGACGACGCAGAGGGCATGGGAAGCAAGAATGGATCCCTGCAGCCCAACACCGGCAAGCATAAAGAGAGCCTCCAGATCGACTCTTGAGTGGCTCCCCTGGACGTCGTATTTTATGTAATTTGTGGGGTTGCATGGTGATCCCCGGCGTCTGGGTGGGCTGCCGGAGGACTGCGCCTCGACGGGACGCGAGGACGTCGTCAGCCTCTTTGAAGCTTGCCAAGCTCACCCAACTTGAAACGACCCAAGACCCGCCCAGGACGCTTGAATTCGCGGCGCCGCGACAGTCAAGCGGTTTTGGATTTAGTCTTGGTTAGTCTTGGTTCCGGCATTGCGGACCCCATCGACAAAACCCTTACCCTTAACTGCCTTAACATTTTTCGTTTGCCAAGTTAAAATCTATAAGAACGCTCTATATCCGAATCCAAGATGCGAAGACTCGAGGATTCGGGAATTGAACCTTTCCAAGTTGCTTATGGAATTGGATAAAAAGTGAAATGAAAAAGATGGAACTTGGGGAAAAGGGGGAGGTTGTGAACTTGTTTATTTGTGGCTGGTTGGTACGAATTATGCAATTAGAATTCCTAGGTTAATCCGCTACCTGCATACACGATCGTAGCACACGCCACAACAATAACGTAGATCCCTGTCCTATTTTTGGCACTTTCTGCACCTTTTATGTGCGATTCTCGCCATTGGCAGCCATTGGAAACTTTTCTCGATTTTCAGGGTCCAATCACCTGCGATCAGCCGCGCAAGCGTTAGCGAACGCCTTCCGCGCCTCTTTGGCCTGCCACGCATCTGAAGCAAAATTGACCTGTAAGTTATCACACGTTTTCAGCGTCTAACATTTATGGGTACTATGTATATGTATGGGCGGCCTCTGTGCCTTTCTGGTGGATGGGACCACCTATTTATCTATATATATATTTATATCCTGAATTGTCGGAAACTTCGATGAATACGGGGTATACGGGGTAGATCTCACGCATAAAATTGTGAAGTGCTGTGAAGGCTTAGAAAATCTTGGTACATGCGTAGATCTTCGACCGTTGTATTTAGTCCATACATCGCCAGGACGGCTACCGAGACGCTATTCAATTTTCAGTTTAAAAGTCCGAAGAATGCTCTAAGGTTGTCAGGTAGATGTCTGCGCTGCGCCTCCAACACAATGAGCCAGTTTGTTAAAACTGAAAGGGGCAGAGGGGACAGCAAATACTATATTCTTGACAGCACGTTAATCAAATTGTATGACAGGACATAGGTCATATTTGATATATAAGATGCACAGGCAATCAAGAGTGCAACCCTTACGTGGTTTAATCATGAATTGAATCATGAACCCGTCCTACTAGGACAGTCCTTTGGGTCCCTTTCCACCCGTGTCAGACCTGTTCGGGGTGGGGGAACAATGTAATACAGTAAGTCATAAATACCTACCTATCTAAGGGGCAGAGCTCTACGCGATCAGGTTCCAGACCCCTAATTATTTTTTTCTTTTTCAAAGTCTGAATTGACCAACCAGGCCATGAACAACCGTCTTCCGAACAGGCGAGATGGACTCACTTATAGCAACAGAGAAGACTTCGTTGTCGTCCGGATGAATTTTATTAGACCAAGTTGGTAATTCCGGCTAGAATATCAATTTTCGGCCATAACGCCTCCAGAACATAACTTCCCAAAGGTAAACAATATGCTATTATGCCTTAGTCATGAGATGTGCTTCGCCACCAGGACCGGCCTCGACATGGCTACTCCGGATCGTCCGCATACGACTCCATCGCAGCCTCTTCTTCCAGGTCCTTGAGATGCTTCTGACCCTCCTCCGTCGTAGCATCTATTATCTGTTCTTCCACGCTCAAGATACCCGCCTGTGTTACTGTTAGCATCACCTTGAAACCTGGATTCAAACAATGAATGCGTAAGGCATCTTACCTCGCTTAGAAGGCCCACCACTTCCTCGGCATCCTCGACACTCATCTTACCCAGAACTTCGTTGACCTTGTCCAAGCTTCCGGATTCCAATGCCTTCTGCATCTCCGGAGTAAATCCTTGGAAGATCTCGCGGCCTCTCTTCTCGGCTTCATCCTCACTCTTCTCGGACGGGATCCTGATCTTGATTTCGGTACCTGGCTCGACGGCGTGCAGTTGGATCTGCTCCACTCCTCCTCCACCGGACGCAGCTTCGGCTTCTCGCTGTGCATTGATCTCGGCTGCTCGGTTCTTGATCCTGTAGTAGGTATCTTGAACGTCCTTGTAGAAGACGTCTTGGGCTTGGTGACCCTTGGTGGTAATACGCTTGAAGAAGAGCGCGACACCATCCTTGCCCAATGCACGGCAGTACTGTAGTAGTAGGGCTTGGTGGACACACTGCCGTGCGAAATCGTCTTTTCCTTGAAGCTGGGCATCGAATGCCATAACCAGAAGGCCGTCGGTTTCCTTCTCGGTCAAAATGTGCGGGTGCAATCCAATGAAAATGTTACTCTCCCGATAGTCGGATGCCTTGATGTTGGCAAACTTTCGAGCATCTGGCGAGGCCTCGATTTCATCGTCCTCATCGTCCGCTTTGGTCGAAGGTTTCGACTCGTCTGGTTTGGTCAAGGAGAAGTTAGGGTTGAGCAGCTCTACCTTATTATCATCCTCTTTCTTCGCTCCAGACGTGGACGGCGTCGATTTGGTGACATGGGAACTGTCGAAACCCGTATGAATGCTCTCACTGGTAATCTTTCGACTCTCCTCTTTTTCCAGCTCCGCTAACTTGGTCAACAATTGTTGCTGTAAATCTTGAACCTTCTTTAGGTGTACACCAATCTCATCTACCATAGCATTGTAACGGTTTTCTGGTTTCTTCTCGTCCAGCTCCTTATTCACCTGGTCTAACAACGTCGCCATCATCTTAGTGTATGATGGTGGTTGCTCTTCCTGAGCGTGAACGCCTTCGGGTCGCTCTGGGGGCTTGTCTTCTTCTGGACTCCCGACAGACTCCATGACAGCTTGGAAGGCAACCTCGCCGGGGTTTCGGGTCTCGGCCTCGGCGGCGTGAGCTTTGAGGGCGTTTAGGAGCCCGGATATTCTCTTGATCAAGCCATCGTTGACCTGACGTTCATATTTGTATGTCTCAATCTGAAGTTTTCGTTGTTGGCGCTCTAGATGAATCTGGTTCTGCTTCGCGCGGATGAAAGAGCGCTTGTCGACGTTAGGGTGAACCTCGATGTCGGAATCGTCGCTCAGCTCCAGAGCATCCTTGGGAGATGTGTTAGTTTCATCAGAGGGCCTTTTTACGTGGTACGCGATAGTAACTTACCCACTTGCTATAATCTACAGGCATCTTTGAGGATAATAATTGGGAACGAATAAGTGTTGATGTAAGCGGTTGAGAAGATGCAAGCTTCCAGGAGCCAATGCTGTAGGTTCCCTTCCGCGTTTTGTAAAGGTGGGATGTCCCTGGATGTCTGCCCCGCCATTGGAGATTGGAGATGGCGGGGGTTTATCGTTATCGAGAATCTTCTTGCAGTCTCCAGCAGACGTCAGGGGCTGCAGTGATATAAAGGTTTACGTAAGCAGCTTACATCTACCTATAGATGAATACATTGTTCCTTCAATTAAAGCATTTTGAGACACTTATGACTACACAATTATCTTCATAACGTCTCAAATCTCATTGTGACAACTTACAATCGGATTTTAAAGGGGCTGCTGAGACATAGAATCTGTCACACATCTTATGGTATCTTGGTTCTACTGCTATGGTGAACCCGGTGGTTGCTCAACGCAGCAACGTCTACTTATTCTAAGCTCATGAAGATGCAAGTGCCTTCACTGTTACTTCCACCGCCTTAAGGCTGCGATGGCGTCTATGCCCGGTCCCGAATGAACTTCTCTAGATTGAAGCTCCCCACCTCCAGCTCGTCTCTCTCCACCGTCGACACGAAAATGCGTCCGCCATTGATCACATCTCCTTCCTCCGTGGTGATGTCGCAGAACTCCATGCGATACGCATCGGTCTCGTACATGCAAAGTCTGCAAACATCCTCGGGACGCTTGCACTTCCAGTACTTCCCAGTGACCTTGCCGCCTTTTTTAGGAACTAGGGCCGGGTATGGTCCCCACATCATGACTAAGGTATCTCGAGTTAGTAAATGTCAATGTTAGAAGAAGAGGTCTAAGGGGTAAGAAGGGAAAAAAGAGATAGAAAAACTGAAATACACTTACTTTTCCACCCCTCGATAGAGCCGGGTTTCAAAATTGGCTTGTAGCTGGCGCCTTCGCCTCCTCCTCTCACTACAGTCGTCACAACATGCGGTATCTGAAGCGAGCCGTAGAAAAAGAAGTAGAAGGGCTCAAAGGTCAAAGCAGGGCTCTTGTGAACGAGTTGGTTCTCCGGCGACGATTGGGCGGCGTCTGCTAGCGTGGCGAGTTGGAGGCCGCTCAGCTTGACGTTGATGCGGAAGCCGTAAAGGCTTAGAACCTTTTCGTTGTGCTTGATAGCGGCTTCGCTGTTGGGATCGTATCCGGTATACGGGACGAAGGCAGGATCGTTGCTTAGGATTACGTCGGACTCGGCTACTTTGCCTTGGTCAAACGATTCGCCATCTTCGCTGGACATGTTGACGTTCTTGAAATCCTGCGATTCAAATTCGGTTGCTAATGAATTTATTTTTAAAGAAAATACTATTCGCCGTGGATGTTGTAGAAGTAGGATGATGTGATGAATATATTTCTTGCTATAGCAACCGAATGTAAGTTAAAGTTATAGTTTTATCCGAGATATTTATAAGTTTATATCAAGCTCTGAGAGAGCCGCCATCCTAAGGAAGGTACGATCCCAAACACAGTTTCCTTCTACGTAGCTAACCTAATACAAAGAAAACTGCATAATTTATGTTTGTTCAAAAGCCCAAACATCTATTCTCAAATTTCATGTGCATTATGAAGGACCATGTTCCTGAGCTTTGTTTAAGAAAAAAACGAGCCTATCTCGTAGCAAACAGGAAGATTCGAGAGATATGAAGTCAAAACCAACACTGTGTGTGACAAGATCCAGCCTGCTTTGATATTCAGGTAGACGAGATTTCTGCCTATCTTTTATCCATTTTCAACTACGTTGGTCGATGAGCACCTGTCTGCTACGAGAAGTGCGCCTTCATTTTCCTTCCTCGCCGTATCGTAACGACCTGAAAATTCACTTTGGTCAATTCCGTGGAACCATAAGGAAGAAGAAACTGGTTGGCATAGGCCACGGCAGACGGTTCGCCGAAGACTCTGTGCCGCTCCAGCCAATTTTCGCCTTCAGATGCATCGGCGACATCGACAAACACAACAACGCCGAAGCTGAGATATTTCACCCCTTGACCAACGAAGTTTCTACTCTCTGACATAAGCATATTGAGAGCGGTGGAAGCATATCTCAGCTAGAAGGCGTCGGCTAAGATATAACTCTAAACGAAGACTCGTTTAGCAGTAGCGCAACCGCCACCGGGCATGTAGGGGATTCAACATGTGACTACCTAGTCCTTGTGTTTAAAAAATTACGGCATGGGGAATTTGTACCAATTCCGCCAATCACCTAATGAGCGAGAACTTTCCTTGAGAGTCCGCTCGGAAAGTTGCCCAGATGTTGGCAATGCATTAGCTACCACGCAGGATAACTCTGAGGACCGCTTACTCCGAGAATAAGCAACTTAGGAGCCCTTCTGACGGTAGACAGACATCATCTATGGGTACGCCATACCTCACAACGTTCTTCTCTATGAAAGCGACATCGAAGAGGACTTGTGCATACTCGAAGTAATTGACTTGATTCTGCTTCCCGGAGCGGAATCGCCAACGATCCGGTCACACTTCCCAGATCAAGATAGCGGTATGCTCTCCATAGTGTGATAATAATCCTATGGAATGCTGTGCCATGGTTCTTGTTCGAAAGACTCTTTTCTAATTTGACGGCGGACACTAACAGAGAAAATCAATTTTTCAGCTATGCTTCTTGAGCTGGGCTGAAACCTGCATAACGTGCCTTGGCACATCACCATTGGATAAATCTACTATGTATCGACGATCTGGCCTCGATTATGAGTGCCCAAGGGTGAGATGGAGATTCCGGAGAGCTGAAAGACGGCCCTGTGTAAGGCAATGGTAAGGCATCCAGCCATTGAAACCGTGACACTCAGATCGCATAGCGCGTTTATCCTGGAGTAGATTGCTGGACCCTATTTCGACACATCTCTTCGCAGCCTCAGGATAAAGCAATTGCGTATATATCTGGTAGGTATGCTCCCAGGACCTTTTTCTCATGTAGATCGTTATCGTCTCAACGTTGTGTTTTGCAAGCTTGCAACCTCAAGTGCTATTTCCACCTTCCTATCCCCCTTTCTTTTGGCAGGGGATAAGACCTTATATTGCAACCCCCCCTTTAAACTGTCCTAGCAAGTCGATTAAATTCTCTTCAAGTATGTTCTTTGTTATACCCTGTGGCGCTTCCCATCCCTTTAACTAATATGCAAGTCCTAGGTCAGCTTTACATTGCTACAGCTCATTATGGGGAATGCGCAGTCTCTTCCCGTCGTTGGTGAGGTCGTGACAGTCGCGGAAGCCGGGGGGAAGTCAATTGCCGCAGGGGTTTGTGCCCTCGTCGGCGAGGAAAAAGCCGCAGGGGAACTCATAGATGGTGCGGGGCGCTCCGTTAAGAAATACACCGAAGTTAACTGTATCGCTTCCAACGTTCGCGTCATCGCGGCAAAAATCGAGGGCGACGAGAAAGAATGCGACCGCCTTCTGGAAGCTCAGAAGGAGGCATGGATTGGCGTCGCCGAAGGCACTCCCGTTGTTGGGCATGTTATCGGGATCTGCCACTACGCGACGGGCGATACTGAGGGAGGTGATCGGATTATGATCGACGCAACACGGTCGACCGCCGTCATCGCGGCGACGGTCGCTACAGGGGGCTTGGGTGCAGTTGCTTGTGCCGGTGCTACCGTCGTCACCGGATTGGCATGCGATGGAGTATCCACTGGACTCAACTCTCTTGGTAAGCAGCGGTTTGCACCCACTGGAACGATCGCGGCAACTGCACATGCGATTAATACTGGATCGGCGGATGATATCTTCAATGCTACCGAAGGCGTCATTGCAGATGGCGTTGCCGGGGCCACCGCCGGGGCCGCTCGCAGCCGGGCAGGGTTAAGTCGTCAAGGCGTACCCGCCTCAGAGTTAGCTGAGCGTTCAGCTCGTTCTCGCGCATCTATGCTCGAGAAGTACACGAAGTTTAGCGAGCGCGCGGAGGCTAGTCATATAAAGCAGGCTACTATGGCAGACGTACGAAGTTGCACGGAGATAAACGCGATCAAGGAATCTGCAAGCCCACGCCACGCTATGAGAATGTTAGAACCCGGCCAGAGTTATGACTTTGTCCGCTTGGAAGATGGGAGCGTTCGGTATATCAGCCACGCGGACGCGAAGACGATCTCGAATAGAACGGGGTTGCCTGTTGGACATACGAGTCTTGTCGAACCCGGAACCAAGGTCATTGCGGCGGGGGAGATTCACCTCAACGGCAAAGGTGTTATAACGAATCTCAATCCCCAGAGCGGCCACTTCAGGGTCCCGTGGAAGGTTTTTAGGAAACAAGTCGGGAAAGATTTCCCTCGCTCATCGATCATGGAGGTATCGCAGCAGGCACTGCAATTCGCTACCCGTATCACACCGGTACGCTCCGGAATCCGGCTTACAGCCAAGTTTGTGGCTGTCTACACCTTCCCAGCGACCGTCCTCATTATAACTGAGCCTGGTCATGTCGATAGCCAGACTCTACTCAAGGATGGTTCCCCAGTCGTGGCATATAAAGATCCGGACTCGGTCAAACTTGTCGCTTTCGGCAGCGATGACCATGCTAAGGCAGCATACGATGGTATAACAGATGCACCAAAAATGCTTTGCAGAAGAAGCGCTAATATTGGGGGCCTGGAAGGGCTCTATCGTTTCCTTGAGAGCGAAGGGCCCGTGAATGATATGATTGAGTGTCTTCTACACCTGGCGAGCTTATAACTTTGCCAATCGTGCGATTAGCGGCGGAGTTCAGGGGGTAGAAAATTGGGAATTTGGGAAAATTGAAATAATACCTACAAAAGGGGGATTTAACCTCGTATCTAGCTCATTATATTAGCATCCTTGTCTTTAAGTAGCTCTGCAATAAGCTTCCTCATATCATGATGCCTATGTAGGTCTAGAGACGCGCCATGGTGCTATTAAGCAAAATCCTTCGAATTCCAAAAGAATTCTAGTCAGTAGTGAGTAACAATGACTCAATGTTCTTCAAACAAAGCTCTCAAAATCGAACGGGTTACTCATCAACATGTAAATCGGCAAATATTCATGTTGAAATTCGCTATCAACATCTATGCTCTAGATGGCAGACATGACCACCACATACCTATGTATAGATAGGTTTAATAAAATAAACCCCCTCCCAGTTGTTGAAACCCAGCAAAAGAAGACGAGACGACGCAAGCTACCTATCCTTTTTTTGAATTCAGTTCGCCTTTGCACACATGTTAAAATGCTCCGCCTACCAGATGATATAAAATCCCATCTCTATGTAACGCCGAACCTTTGCGTAAAGTTGAGTAACGTCAAAGCTTGTTGGTGTGATGCTGATGTTTCTTTCCTATTTACTTACTAAGACTTTGCTGTCTTTAACAGAAAATCTACGAGTTGGTAGTTTATTTCGAGGGTTGGTAGCTCTGCTTGGGGAAGGGGTATCTGGTGTCCTTATTAGCAACGTCCAATTAAGAGCTATAAATCACGAGCAAAGAAAATAACTTACGAAGGCCCCAACTCCTGGATACTCAACCGCGCGAGCCACTGCCCCATATCGACGCTCTCCTCGAGGGACTTGCCCTGGACGAGGCCGGCGACGAAGCCGCCGGCGAAGGCGTCGCCGGCGCCGTTCGTGTCGTTGATCTTGGAGGCGTCGATGGCGTGGACGGGGAACTGCCTGACCTCGTCCTGGCCCTGGACCGCGACGACGGTGGGCAGCGTGCCCTGCGTGACGACGGCCACCCGCGGCTTCTTGGCGTTGGCCTTGGGCAGGTTGGCCAGCGCCTTGGCGATGCCGGGCACGTCGGTCTCGGCCACGGGCAGCGCGTGCGACTTGGCGTACGCGGCGGCCTCGGACTCGTTGCAGATCACGTAGTCCCAGTACTTGGACGACGCGTCGAGGGGCTCCTTGAAGAATTCGGCGATGAATGGTGCGCTGATGTTAACGACAAAGGTCTTGTTGTTGGTGGCGGCTTCCTCGCCTAGAGCCTGGATAGCGGGTGGGCATACTAAGTTAGACCGTTAGCATGGTTCCAAGTAGACACATCACGGGAAAGGGAGTAAGGGAAAAGGGGGGGTGTACCGGTGAAGTGATAGCCACCGACATAGTAGAACTGGGCATTCTTGACAAGCTCCCAGATCTTGGGACTCTTGAGATGGTCGAGGTCGTAGTGGTTAGCGGCGGCCAAGTCAGTGCACAAGCTTCGGTTGTGACCGGTGATAACCACGCCACACCTTCCCGTGGGCTCCTTGGGATCAACACGGTACTCAACCCTCAGGCCGACCTGCTTGACGGCATCCCGCAGGATGTCGGCGTACTTGTCGTTGCCGACACCGCCGAAGTAGACGACGCTGTTGGGAGGGAGGATATATTGAGCACCTCTCGCCGTGTTTTGGGCGGCGCCACCAGCAATCAGCTTAGCGTCGAAGTTCTCGAGCAGATCATCGTAGATCGGGATGTGCTCCGGAGACGCTAGGATCGCATCATTATCCTTGAGGTTGTACTTCTTGAGGAGGTCTGTAGTGCCTACGGCCTGGATGTCTGCGAACCACTTGTATATTAGCAATAGTTCGGTATAAGAGTGAGTATATGCACTTGGACTAAATTTCAAAGCACGCTCTCTTAGATTCAAGCTATAGTGTGAGTGTAGCTTCCGTGAATCCATCTGCCGGAGCTTCGGCTAACACACCCCTCGTTGTCCATTTTGAGGCGGGGCTTTTTTCTTCTTCTCTCTCCTTTCTTTAGGAGCTCAATTGAACTCAATTCATAGAAATATTCAAGACCAACATACCAAGTAGAGGGTTCTCCAAGCACACGAGTGCGAATTCCTTGTTGGCGGCCATAGTTGAGTAGAATCGTCGTCGTCTCACGGCGGTTACGGAAGGTAGAAAATGCGGCGTTGGTGTTGGAAAAGGAGCCTTACTTTGGCGGGGTGAGATTTTATAAGAGAGCGCATAGGTGCAGCTGTTGGTGGGGTTATAGTAGGACCGCAACGCTCTTGAGATTGTCCGAGGGATCAACCCGGAGGGTAAGGATGTGGAGAACGGCATGTCGGTGTATTAGTATCCAATTTGGAAACAACTTACTTATAAATTCCGATTACTCGGTGCCTGCCAATAATCTGGTCACCTAATGTTTATATAATTAGGCAGGCAGTGGTGCTGCGTTTTCCCGGTTGGGGTGCGATGTCTGTTTTTAAGTTATGTATGTAATTGGCAGCTTCCTCATAGATTCGCCCCAAGATCCGGAGAGCGGAGCCGGGCTATCGTATGATATCATGTCCCTAGCAATACACTCATACTAAGCATATGGTTCCATTCGTTGCAGGTGATCTCGTCACACTAGAATCGGCCATAGTGTACACAATTGGTCCATATGTTGGAAATTTGCACTTATTCTTTGTTCGGATATGTGCCTATGTATATATCTAGGACCTAGTACACATACCGAGCATCAGGCGAACTCAGACGAATTCCTCCTAATGACACAGAGCTACCGTTTGTAAACCGTAGTTCTCCTTCATCAACTTCACGAGATCCATGTTTGTCAATCGAAAGGACACGTAGAAAGGATTTCATGCCGGGTACTACCATTGAGCCTATCTCATTATCATAGCTCACCAGTACCTAGAGAGATGCAAAGCGCAATCAAGTAAAACTCCAACCGCCTTGATGAACCATGACCTGGATAACCCATTTTACTCCTTCGTCTTCTGGGTACCACGTAGCAGACCCGTCCGTCTCGCCGCAATAAGACCCGCCTTTTGACCTTGTGCCGCGTATCGGGAGATTGTGGAGGCTTTACCAATGTGTTGATGGTTACCCTAAGTACCAATGTCAGCATTTTCATCCATACGTTATAAGACCCAATGCTACTTACACCACCGTGAGGATGGTCGACGGGGTTCATGGCAACACCACGAGTCTTGGGCCAGCTGTTGCGCTTGACGGCGAACTTATGCTTAGCACGCGAGGCCTTCAAGAGAGGCTTGTCGGTTCGTCCACCACCAGCGACGATGCCGACCATTCCTCGGGAGCTGCTGCTGACGATCTTCTTGGCACCGGAGGGGAGCTTGATACGGGTCTTGCCCTCGTCGGGGTTGTGGCCGATGACTGTGACGTAGTTGCCGGAAGTTCGGCCGAGAGCACCTCGGTCACCAACCTTCTCCTCCACGTTCGAGATGACGGTACCTTCGGGCATAGAGGCGAGGGGGAGGACGTTGCCGACAGTGAGGGCGGCGTTCTTGCCGGCGTAGATGAATTGACCGGTGTACATACCCTCGTTGGCGATGAAGGTCTCGGTGATCTGCTTGAACTTGTAGGGAGATCGGAAGACGACGCGGGCCAGAGGAGCACCACGACCCGGGTCGTGGATGATCTCCTTGATCACACCTCGTACGTAACCATGGCGCTCAGCGTAATCTAACGATCGGAACTTGGCGGGGGCCTTTCGCAGACGGGTGGTGGCGGCTAGAAGAGATCGAATGTAAGTTTAAACGGTCCTCAAGAGGGGAAATATGCCGCTCGTAGTCGACTGAAATCGGCGCGAATGCTAAGTTCGAGAGGCGTTGCTGGTAAAACTTACTGAAGATACCACCGTGACCCTTTCTCTGGTTACGAATCTATTTGTCGCATTGATTAGCAGATAGTCCAAATGAATTGGTAGAACTGTATTGTAAATAGTAAACATACCACGCGACCCATGGTGCTGGTCTATTGTGCGTAATTCGTGATGTTGAAAGAGAATGGAGGTTTGGAGTAAATTGGGTGATTGAAGAATTTTGGAAGATGCGGCCGAAATTACAGATAGAGAGCCGACAATTTTCCCTCAATGTAGAAAGTTTGTGTGGGTTGCGCCTCAGCCGTCTGACCCTAATCGCTTGGAGTACGTATCTTTTGTGGCTGCACTAGCTTCTTTCCAGCTGCAAGCCCTGCCAAGCCCCGGGATCCAATGATGCTGCTTATGTAATTGAAAAGTAGGGACTCTCAGGACTCTGTACCTGTGTACTTGTACGAAGTGCCAAGAAAGATTGGACTGCCCCACAGATCCATAATTTGATTGATTAGACGCGCGACCCTTTTTCAAGTTCGCGCTTTTTCTTTAACCTTGCAACTTTCATCCTTCGTCAGCTCCACTCAAGTTTGCCATTATCTACCTATTGAGCTCGTCAAGTTCAGCCTTCTAACGTTTTCCAACTTCCAATTTCAAAAACGTCCGTTATCTCACCCGAGATAAAGAAGGCTACCTGACTTGATAATACTTCATCGTTCGCTATTTTCAAACCGTCGCATTTGCAAATCCATTGGAATCCTACTTTCCTTCTATCACTCCTTCACGTCATTGGTTGCATAGCTCAAGGCAAGCACTTACGGAACGATCATGGCGAAGCAAAACACTTCCAAACAAAACGTCACGCCGCAGCACGCAACTGATTTTGAGAAGATCATCAACGCTGGTAAGTAAATCATTGGTACCCAATTTTAGGAACGGTATACACTTTTATCACGGCCTACAATCTCGACCATCTATCGTAGTCACGACTACAAACGATGAACTTGACATGCTAATATATTGACTAGGCCGCGAGCGCAAGAAAAATGAGGCTCTCGCCGCACGCATCTTCAAGCGCGACGGTAATCGCCGAGCTAGCGCGCCTAGCGGAGGTTCATTGGCAAGTCGCGCGGGAGTGAAGAAGGTATGATAATCTCTACTGCTCAGCTCTTTGTTTATGGATGTATGGCTAACTTATTACTTTGCGAAGCGCCAATCTTTGACCGCGCATGTCCCCGCCGGCAACGTCAACAACGAATGGACTCACGATCTTCACAATGCGCATGGCAAAGGTGCGAAAGCACAGAAAGACCCTAATTCACTAGCTTCCAGAATCCACGCCCCGGGCACTCCGATCCCCCGACAACAGACAACACCGCGTCGCACACCCAAGCGCACAGCCATGCTGCGCAATGCTCTTGAGCGTGCCGCCTCTTCACCTGCCACAGAGCAGCAGATGAATTGGCAACGAACACCAACTGGCCCGTCGGGACAGGGCATAAAGATTAAGGGCTCTGCAGGACCTTTCGTAGTGATGGCCCAGAACTTTGCGCCAGGAACCACTGCTGCTGACATTGAGAACGTCATGACGCCTGTTGGCGGCCTGATCAGTAGCTGCCGTATACTCAAAACCCATCCGATCATCATAGCCGAGATCACGTTCGAGAGCAAGGAGGGAGCAAATCGGGTGATTCAACAGTTCAACAACCAGACGGTTAGTATTATCCCTCAAGATTACCTGATAGGCAGCGAACCAACAAAACAACAGGCCGATGGCAAAACATTGAATGTGTACATGAAACCTGGTGACTCGTTCACGTCTACGCCCCCGACCGGTCCCCGAGCCCAACGCGACCAAGAGAGCCGACAGGCAAGCAACATGGTGGTTGATGGACGAATGGGTTTTAACGATCTCATGGACACCGATGACCAAGACACCTCGTATTCGAACGGAAGTCTTTACAGCGATAAGATGGTCGCTAAGCCTAATGGTGTCGGTGGTGGTAATGACGGTCGTCGGGGCAGAGGATTTCGTGCTGGCAGGTAGGATTGCCAATCAGCTGTCGAGCCGACGAATGATATGCAACTAAACAACAACGACTTTGCTACAGAATACGGTGAGGGGTTTGAACATGGTTTCCGCGCTGCCTGCGATAAAAGGTCTAGCAATGTCCATGGTGGTAGTGGTGGCCATAGTAATGATTTCGATAATAATTATGGCAATGGTTACCACGATTATTCCCACTACGATTACCCTATCGACGCTCACAACTACCACCGCATTAACTCCTGCCCGTACAATCCGACAAAGTGGGCAGAGCACTACTGCCACCAATGTTGGTCGTGGTAGACAGTTTCGATCCAACTACTCCCCGTCAGAGACTAGACCCCCAAGTGTACCATATTTCCGCAATTGTCTCTATTACGAAAGGGGGGACACTACCTAGGCATGCAGCACAGAGTTACCAGGTGCTATGGATATGGCAAACGAAGCAGAGAAAACCAACGTCCATGACGATTTCTACTACCGCCCCATACCTGCAATTGTACTAACAGGAAGGAAAAAAAGAAGCATCTGCATGTTTTTTTGTATGATGGAAGCTTGGGACAAAGAGTTATCCTTCATATACCTAGGTAGTCAGTCAGGGAAAGGACTTTTCATAACTTCGAAAAAAAAACCTCGTGCGGGAGGTGGTAATAGGGGACTTGGGGGAGTTCTTGGAAGGCGCGGTTGGGGCTTCGTCATGTCATATTGTAATGAGGGATGGTCTGCCTATTTTAGGTAGTCCGGCTGACGATTATGGAGTTTAATAATGCCTTTGATTGATTTTGAACTATGATCGCTCTTGTTTATTATTCGTGAAATTGCTGTGTATTCGTGAAGCTGAAATTTATCAAGGCGTGCTTGCTAATATTAATTAGTACTTTGACTGTTAATCTGTGTATCCTACGATCCAAGTCTAGAGCTCCTTCGCTTGATGGTGTCGTTTTGCCCTTCCTCTTCCCATCTGGTAGTGCAATTATTCCCTAGGTATCTACGCAGGAGCACTTGCTTTCACTAGCGAGTCAATTCTACATCTCGTCGTTCTTTCTACGGTAATATCATTGGTTAGTAAATACGTATAGTCTTGTATAGTCTTCAATCCCATCCACGACCTCTCCCCTTTATCTCCATCCCTATCATTTCTACAACCCCATTCCCCTAACTTCGCTCACCCACCCCTATTTCCTCCTCTCCTACATATCTATCCACCCACCTACCTACGATCTGTACCCTGGGCACGCATACGTCCGCATTTATACATATCACATATCCATACACGCACACGCACATCAATCACGAAAGCCCAGGTTAATTCAAGTTCATGGATGTTTCTCTGTTCAAAGCAAAGTTAAGCACCCACCACCCCCTTTTCGACGACGAAAAGGGGGGCCCTAGGTTTGTTTGTTTACCCACCGGCGTTAGGCTAGGTAGACTACCTAGTCCGCAGAAAAAAAAGCAAAAGACCGCCCGCCGCCGCTATTAGCACCCCCGTCGTCCCCTTTTCCCCTCTTCCCTCAGGCAAGTCTCGCGTTCCCGCTTTCCTACCCCGTCCTTACCTTACCTCTCTCTCCTAGCTCATCCATTCGTAAAACCCGGATGCGATGGTACTGTGAATGATGATGATGATGATGATGATCCCCCTATTCGGGCAGGGGTGGGGTGGGGGGGAAGCTAGAGAGAAAGTCACTGCCAGGAAGTCCGTCGTTGCCGCCCCCTAAAGTCATCACGCGTAAAAACGTCGTCGCAAATGAATTCCTCAGCGGCTATCCACCCGCGCCGCGAGACCGTTCCGCGTAACTAAAAGGAGCGAGCACGTTTCCTATTTAACACACCTCTTCGCCCCCCCGAGTTTGCCTCCCACGGACGACCCTACCCTATCCTTCAACCTATGTAAATGTAGAGGCTCTCCCTTGAATTGCTCAATGCCAATGCTATGTGCGTCCCCGAAGAAATCAATTCCCGATTGTACGGTAACTGGAGCAGTGAAGGGGAAAACAAGAGGAAGAAAAATAAAACTTTTTGGGCAATCTAGAGTTGCACCCTATGTTCTGTGGGTATCATACATGCCTGTCCGGTCCGTAAAAGGCGGAGCCGACAAGCCAACGTAGAGCTGTAAAAAAAAGCATCCCAGAGGTATCCCAATATCGAAGGTCATCGTGACCGGCTACTAGCCGAGTGAGGACTTGTTGAACCTAGACGATTCGGTTCTTACCGACCTGTCTTGAAAAGGCGATACATGTGCGTCTGATTCGTGGGACATCATCGTGTGGAACATTCTTCAAGCCCACGGACTTTGATTCCCAGCTCCCATGAATCCCTCTTCGAGAGTCCTCTCCTCCAGATTACGAATGAAATCTCGGTTGCCTCTGGCACCCCCTCTTTGCGCTCTACTATCTCTTCTACCAGCTACCCTACCTGCTCCGGGATCTGTCAGACCCATGCCGTCGGCAGGCGGCGGGTAGTATGCGGGACTTGGTTGTAGTCTGATAGGCTGGCTAGGATCTAAGTGGCTAGCGACTCGCTGAATAGCGGCCGGAATACCGCTCTGTTGTTGATCCATCGTTGACGCGCGTTGACGGCCTGCTCGGACCGTAGCTTGCTGATACAAATTCGGCTGCGGAACACCGTAGTTTGCCGGCGGCATTTGCGCGGGTGGTTGTCCCATGACCATTTGGCCGTAAGGAGACTGTTGAGCGGAGTAAGGCGGCGGGGCGCCGGTATGGCTGCCTCCAGGAGTATACAGACCATTGCCCCCGTACAACGAAGGTTGGGCGTGCGGAGCAGCTGGATACTGGGCGGGCTGCATCGCATAAGCTCCTTGGGCAGCTGCTTGAGCCTGAGCTTGCGCTTGCTGTGCTCTTTGCTTGCTGAGTTCGGCTGCCTGTTGTTGCTGCTGAGTTCCAGGAGCCGGAGAGCGGTTGAGCGAGCTGGACTTCAGATTCATCGGAGGAACAAAGGGTCCGGTAAACTTCTGCTGGGTTATGAAAGGGTGTAGTTTAGCTTGTTGGGGTGACCATCTCTCTAAGGGGCTGATAGTTAACAAGCCTCGAACGAAATCGATGAAGGCAACTCGGTTGTTCATTTCTAGAAGTCATGTTAGCCTCAGGAATCCACTTGGCGGATTAAGCTATGCCTACCTCGATCAATTTCGCTCTGTTTCATGTTCTTGCGCGGCATTGGGTATGACTTGATAATGTCGGGCAGGGTACTCGCTTGGAAGTACTTCTTGCTAGGTTGTTCTTTTGTTCCGCGCTCTCGAGAGTATTGTTCCATACTCTTGAGATGGTATGTCTTCCTACCGAACTCATCCTGCCTCTTCTCGAAGAAGTCGCCAGCCTGCTTGCCTACCTCGATCATCCAGTTTGGGGGGTTCCCAAGCATCTCGACAATTCTCGAGACCTGGTTGTACTCGGACGAGCCTGGGAACAGCGGCAATCCCAAGAACAGCTCGACTACAATACAGCCGAGTGACCACATGTCGATGGCCGAAGAATAGGGTAGACCTAATAATACTTCGGGAGATCGGTAGAACCGGGACTGGATGTACGTGTACACCGTCTGCCGCTCATCGCAAGCCGATCCAAAATCTATAATCTTGATGATCGGGCTCTCGAGGTTCTTCAATAGGATGTTTTCCGGCTTCAAATCGCAGTGTATCAGTCGCGCCTTGTTCAGGAGAGCCAATCCGTTTAGAAGCTGCTGCGCAAATACTCGCACGAGTGTCGTACTGAGACCTCGGAACTGATTCTGCTTGATTAGCTCGTAAAGGTTCACGCTTAGTAATTCGAATACTAGGCAAAGATGCTGTCGGTGGATAAATGTATCCTTAAGTCGGAGTAAATGATGATCATCGTTCTTGTCGAGCTTTGTGTTTAACTGGACAATGGTCAGTACGAAGGTACGGATAGCCTGGTGATTTGAAGTTTTGAGCCTTACCAAGTCTAGGACAGATACTTCCATCATGCTCTGGTTGAAATACGCTGTTCTGTTCTTGATGACCTTGACAGCGACAACCTCCTGGGTCTTCAGGTTCTGGCACTTTACAACCTGACCGAAGGTACCTTGTCCGAGAACATCTAATATGAGATAACGGTTCCTATTAAGATTAGTATGGTTACCAAGGGATATTAAAAAAACGCAACGCACTTGTGACCGGCTTCCTCCGAACCTAGAATGTCATTGACATATAGAATATAGTCGCTATCTTCGTTATCATATCCATCGTTCTTCGTCCCTTTGCTCGGCTTGGTAAGCACCCTGCGGGGATTACGAGAAGACTCATATTTGAAGTTCGGATTGCATATGCGATACGTGGCGGGTAGGTGCACGGTAAGAGCTTGAAGGGGCTGCGAGAGTAATTAGAATCAATACGCCCGCAGAGATACTTGATAACAACAAGTCGTCATACACTTATAAAGCCTCCCTCTGGATTTGCGCGACGAAACGGCGGCTGAGAGTTAACCTTGGGCCGCAAATCCGTGACGGCGCTTATCTTCTTGAACTGAGGCACCGGTCGTTTCTCCATGGGCACGTTCGCGGCGGGCTGGAGCGCTCGCCTCGGTGATTTTGGATCATTAGCAAAGGCACCATCCAAGGCCGAGACAGCGGACGACGGGTAATTCTCTTGAGAATTGGCGTATGGCGTGATAGGGGGAAGCTGAGAATTCTGTCGGGAATAATATGAGCTCTGAGGCTGGTAATCGCCTCGAGTAGGAGACTGGCGCTGGGTATGGGGCGCTGAAAATTGACCCTGATTTGTTGCCGACTTGGGTGCATATGGTGACGTTGGCGATAGTACTTCCATAGGCGAGTACCGCTGGGCGGCGGAAGAGGGCTCGGAAGGCGAATGAAGGTTTGCAGCCCGGCCGCCGGACAGATGCGACTGATGATGTGGTCGCATGGGATACTTCATGCTTCCGTAAGGATCATGAACGTCCTGCATAGGGACATCGCCGTTTCCATCGCGAAGCTGCGGGGTGGTGACGGGTGATGTCGCGCTCTGTTGCGAAGCATGCGAATTCAGCGCACCTTGGTATTGATCGTACTTAAATCCGACGGGCGGCTGGACTTGGGTAGTTTGCTGGCCATATTCCCTTCCTGGAGTCATTTGATTACCGCCGTTGAATCGTCGAGGACCGCCGGCGGTGTCGGAATAGCCCTGCCATTGATCCATGGCGTTTGGGCGGGAAAAAAAGGGAAGAAAAGGCGCGGAGGTAGATCCAGCGGGGGGTTAACGATAGATGAAGTCGGTCGAGTAGAGATAAATTGGGGAAATACGAATATGGCCAATTCCGGCCAAAGGATTGTTGTCGTCGTGGTTCCTTAGTCAGACGCGCATTAGCAGAGGAGGGGAGCGAGCAAAGAGCTCAACTACGCTACCTACTAATGTTAGGAAGCGGGCTTGGCTAACCGCTCCTCACTAGTTCGTGCTGGCTGACTTGTGTGAGTCGAGTGTTTGGACCAGAAGACAAAAGAGAAGAAAAAAAAGGTTGGCCGAGAATGGGGAAGGACAAGGATGATGAATGGGCGAGGGCTGTAGTCGTACCCAAATGCGATATACAGTGGGCTGTAGTAGGTTTTCTTTTAGTATGGTTGGTTCGCTGTTAACTCGATGCAGTAGGCTGAATGAGTTAGGATTTAGGTACTCCAGCTATTCATGATGAGGAATTTACGGCAAGTAAACTAAGGGCTTCTCTCGGTACGGGCTATTTTTGGTTTGCAATGGCTGACGATACGAAGAAAAACAAAAGGTAGAGGGAGGAAGAGAAGAAAAAAGAGGAGAGTAATAGTATGGTGGTAGAATCAGATTGTGTGTCGTGAGGTTTGGGGATTGGATGGCGGGTACGTCAGTCAGGACAAGAAAGTGTGTGAGAGGGACTGAAAAGAGTGATGGAGGGACAAGATAAGCCCATACCAACTAGACCCATGGACTTAGGTATTCAGGTATTTTCATGGGTTAAGTTGGTGACCTGCAGCTGCCCAGGACTGCCCAGGTGCTGGACAAGATTGCTTTTTATTGTGGATTTTGGTACCTAAGGAAAGGCACGACTTTGCCCTACCTAGCTAGTACTAGGTACTTACTTCGTGCACTATGTCGAGTTTCCCAGACGCATCCACGGATGTACCTCCACCATTTAGGTTGGGTGGATTGGGTACTAATTAAGGCACTGAACTTACTAGGGGGGAAAGGGCCATGAGCAACAACAGCCAAGGCTTCAGTGAGCGCAAACGCAACAAGGCGGGAGGAGGGGAGACCGATCGAATATCCACGTAGCACAAAGCATAAAACATGAAGGCGTGACGGAGATGTTGAACAGTTTTAGCAAATCATTAGTCTTACCATTGTGAATAATTATTCAAATTTTATGCTGTGTATACCAAGTATTATTCGTATGCCGTGATAATGAACAAACTTCCAATGGATCTTTCTAACATTAACCGATTGATCTGGTAGAAGAGGGAACATGCTATGTAATACCCAGCATAACCAGAGGAAAAAGGAAAAGAAAGGAAAGGAAAGGTAAAAGAAGATACAATTTCAAAAACAAACATCAGAATCACCAGCACCGGCACCGGCAGCAAAAGCGCATCTCACGTTGCGTGCATAGTTACAGTACTCTCTGTGCGATGGTTACAAACGACGGAATCAGATGCATGGCAGAATTGAGATTGCGGGATTGGCACCAGGAGTTAGGATCGCAACATACAAATCGGCAATCTAACCTGTGGATTGTAATAGTCGAGGAGTTATCTATTATTAGATGGTACCTCTAACAACAGCAGAGACAGAGATGTAGACGTCAAGAAATTCGATATATTACTGATGGTCTTGATCGTGCCAGACTCGTCACTACAAAGACATCATTGGCTGACTTTCCGGGTGCTTCGACCAACAGCACGACGAAAACCTGATAGACAAAGCAACGGCCGTCCTCGATGAGCTCAAGTGGTTTCTGGAGCTGAAAGCGCCAAAGCTGAGAGCTTCATGTCCTAGGTTAGCTTGGCTATCTTTGTACATATGGCATTGGTAACCAGAAAGAAGAAAAGGTGGAAAGAAAAAAAAAAGACTACCAAGCTCTAAGAGTAGACGACATATCTAGCAAGGGCACCCGTGTTTCGCAAATACCCTTCGAGACCTTTAAAACAGTTACAACCGGAAAAGAGAGCAATGGGTGATATCAACAAGCGAGAATCGGCCTTCTTCTCGTCGACGATCTCTTATTCCCTACTAACTCCAGGCATACTCGTTTTATAAACCATTATTTGCCTCCTTCTTTAGCCTATCTACCTAGGTTATCATCGAACACCCTCTGCCGGGTCTGATGATGACAATGATGTTGGCAGGAATGGTTAGGAGTGGGCGCCCGGTCCACAGGCCGCGAACGTCGTGCCGGACTAGGGCCTTCTCATAGGCAGCCCGTACGTAGATTAGCACGTTAGCCCAGACCCCTAACCGACCAAACCCATTCGACCGTTCTCTATGTGCTGCATTGCACACACGCTCGTCGATCTGACTGCGATACTACCTTTTGCCGACCCGGCCGGTGGCGCGCCCAAGCGTTCCCGACCATAGAGGCACCGTCCACTAATCCGTCGTCCTCTTAAATAAAACCGGCCTGGCTTAGTGAACGTTCCATCCCGGCCAAAAAAAAAAAAAAAAGAAAAGAAAAAAAATCTTTTTAAGGACATCCAAATGTAAGGATCTTCCGTCTTCCCAAAGAGAGGGAAAAGGCAAGGGTAATTAATCCCCTTGTTTCGTTAATAGATTGAGGTTGGGCATGATCGCTACGTTCCGAGCCCAAATGACGCCAGGACGAGCAAGGGGCTTTTTTCCTTCGGCCGGAGTCGTCACATCTCACCTCTCGAGCCGAGGCCCGAGATGTAAGTAGTATGTTGTATTAGTATCATGTGGCATATAGAAGCCATGGTTTTGGAGTTTTGAATTTTGAATTTCGAAGGCTTTGCTAGTTGTAGAGAGTCCGAGGGTAATATAATGTTTCTAGCTGTTACGTGTACCTACTCCTAAGCTAGCTCGCGTAAGCCCTTTAAATGTCTTTAATATCACAAATCTCCAATATTATAAGAGATCGATTATGACAAAAGTCAAGGCACTTTCGATTGCTATAAATTAATGTTAAAAATGCTCACCCAGTTAATTGTGCTTACTACACTTGAAGAGACACTCAGCAATCATCAAAATATATCCACACACACACACACACACACACACACACACACACACACAACTTAGCTTATCATCATCTTTGTTCAGGAGCTACAAACTGGTCGCCTTTTCGGGCCAGGATACTCGCTTAGGACTACATACATACAATCCAATCTCCCCTCGGAGAGGCATCACAGCATCTTCTGCTTTAGCTTTTCCCAACCGACAGTAAAAAAAAATTTTAGTCCTCGCGGGCCATCAAGAAGCCTGCTCCCCGCAGCCTTACAGGAGGTTGAAGTGGTGTCAAGTAAACAATAGCAGCACCGTAACTTCGTTAAGCCCGACAGAAAAAAAACGGGTGTCATCATGACCGTATCAATAGATGCTTGGAGGTATCAAAGAAGCTTTCAAGGAAATGCCAGAAACTTTTTCTTTTCAGAATGGAAACAAACGACATGAATGCCTTGGGTTTTTTAAGAACCCGAATTAAAATCACAACCACGAAAACCAGCAAGAGAAGAATGGCAGGGAAAATAGGGAGAAGTAGGAAGCAGAAACTGGAATGCATCGATCTAAGAGAAAAAAATCCCATGGCAGATGGGTAGCATACCCCCATCGAAAATACCTAGGGATGCCTATGCTCACCATGTGTGAGCTCAATCAATCGAAAGCGACTAAACCAGGACCAAGCGTACACCTAGTGCACGCGTTCGGAGGACCTCCGTACAACCAAATGTTCCACCAAAGAAATCAGCGTCCTCGACGTCCTCGACGACCGTTGTCCCTGCCACTACCCTTACTGACCGTGGTCTGCTAACCCTGGTAGCTAGGATAACCGCTTTGAAAGCCTTGCGCCGGCGGCGGCTGGGTCCACGGCTGGTTGGGCGGCTGCTGGCCACGACCGTAGCCTCCGGCACTTGGCGGACCACCGTAACCCATCGGTTGGGCCCCGTAGCCAGCAGGAGACTGAGCCGGAGGGCCACCATAAGCCTGTTGCTGACCGCTAAACTGACCTAGAAAGAAGTGAGCACGCTGATAATGTAGAAACGCCCGAGATATAATTACTAACCTCCATACTGTGGGAAGTAAGTCGAGGGCGTGCCGGGGTACGCAGATGCTTGGGCGCTCTGAGGACTGAACGCTTGCTGCGAAGGGTCGAACCCGCCCTGAGCGTTAGGGGTCTTGTCCTTGCCCCACTATCGTATTGTTAATATCAATACTTTCTCCTAATTCAAACTGATCGGTCTGGGTTCTACTTACGCTGCACTTCAGAGGTCGTCCGTTCACGTTGTATCCGTTTAGTTGACAAATGGCCATCGCTGCGTTCTCGTGGGTGTCCATCTTAATGAACGCAAATCCACGGTCGGCTTGGAAGCGCGATTCTGTCACGTAACCAAAGTTCTGGAAAAGAGGAACAACATCGTTCTGAGTAGTGTAGGGGGTTAGGTTGCCAACGTAGCAAGTGGTCTGCCAAGCGGGGGTCTGGTTGACGATCATGTCGTAGCTCTGGATGCCGTGAGTTGGGAAGTGGTGGTGACCATAGGGGGTAGTAGGCGTCATGCCCATAGCCTGCATCGCCTGCTGTTGAGCCATTGAAGGCTGCCCCTTTTGGTTGGCCCAGTTGCAACGAATGGCGCGTGAGCCCAACCACTCTCCGTCCATGGAACTCAACGCCTTCTCAGCATCTGCGCGGTCTCGGAAGGCGACGAAGCCGTATCCACGAGAACGACCAGTCTTCATATCCCACATGACACGAGCTTCCGAGATGGTACCAAAGGCGGAGAAGGCCTGTAGCAGAACTTCGTCATTGACTTCGTTGGATAAATCACCCACGAAGATATGGAAGTGGCTCGATGTGTCCTCCTTGTTCGTTGTGTTGGACTGGTAAGCCCAGTTGACGCGGATCTCCTATAGATTACCTGTCAGTTTATGCTCTTTTTAGGCCAATGGGAGACTAGGTAGCCTTACAGCTTGATGAACACGTCGACCATTGAGCGTTTGCATAGCACGCTCCGCTGCGCCGGGATCATCATATTCAACGAAACCATAGTTATAACCCTTCTGCTGTTATAAAGTTAGCGCATTGCCGATGATGGAGTCGTCCTATCGCGAGTTCGTAGCCGTGACGCCCAGATAGGTTCCAGAATTGAGCTTACGTTCTTATCCGGAATGATTTTCACGTTTTGAACGTGACCAGTAGTCTCGAAGATTTGTCGCAAAACATCTTCCGTAACACGAGGGTCAAGGCCGCCGACATACAGGGCGCGCTTGTTAGGTTCGGGCGCAGCACGACGCGGGAAAGGACCTCCACTGCTCGGCGACATCACGGAACCCTTATCGACGGCCGACATGGGAGAGGTGATGGCGGTAGGGATAGGGTTCGTGTTGGGTGGGATGTGGAGGGGAGGCGGCGGCATGTGAGCCGGGTTGGCCTGTCCGTTCTGGCCATCAAACCCCGGCGCACCTGCATTCGGCTGAGGCGGCGGGGGTAGCTGTGAAGCAGCTGGAGTGTCGGCCATGGTGAATGAATTGTTGAGCAAAGGATTGTTGTTTGTAGCTAGAAGACGAAATGCGACCGTCGTACAAAAAATAAGATTGTTGCCGAAGACGCGAAGAATTAGGTAGGTAAGAAGAAAAAAAAGGTCGATGTGCGAAAAAAGAGGGGTCTAGCGGTTGCGGTGTTCTGAATAAAAAAATCGGAAGATTGTCAATTCTTGTTAAGGAGTTGTCGTAGCTTCGTTCAGTTCGGCTCGAGAACAAAAAAAGATGAGGTGGTAAATAACGAGGCGGGGTATTGGATATTTGATCCTGTTGTCCCAAGCTTTTACTGAATTCACGATCGCGCGCTTGTAGTTGACGAATCTATCGGTGTTGTTTGTTATCGTAGTAAATAGTAGGCAAAAATGCGCAACGACGATTAGGAGACGTAACGACGCAAAGATGTGGAATAGAGAATCCTCGAAATGGAACTCGATCTCGAAACGTGACGCCGATACAATGCGATTCTAGACGAAGACGCGCGCAACAGGGGATGATCACTTCGCAACCTAAAAAGGATTGAGAAGAGTCACCGACCGGAAGAGACCAAGACTTGACGTTCACTTTGGTTTTTCTACAGTGTTGCTTGTCGGCGGTATGTGGGTAGTAACGGCGGGTGCACAAGAAGGTATGCAGATGCAACGCCTCACGCAACCAAACCGACGTGCTGTAATGGAAAAAGGAAAAGTGAACCTTAACCGAGGAAATAACGACGAGGACACGGTGACGAGACGACGAGAACAAAGATGAGAGGGAAGAGAAAAAGGAAACTGCCTTGAAAGGAGGAGTCCCCCGATTTTCAACACACAACGGCACCGACGAGACGTGAGATTTCTGCACACGATAGGGAAGATGGAGGAGGAAGGAAGAAGTAAAACGGGGTCCAGTTGATGCGGCGTGGATTGGGTTTTTTTCAGACGAGTTTGATGGATAGGTGGATAAGGTGGATAGGTGGAGAAGCCTTGACAAAATATGTGGGTCCCCTCCCGTCTTCCTACCTCCTATCACTTGTTGCTCGCTGGTACCTTCCTTGCTAAATATCGCCTACGGGATACAACTTCCTTCCTTAAGGCTTACCCAGCTACCAGGTAGGTACATATTTGCCTTAGGCGCATGTAGGCATCTTAGGTCTAGCGGGGTAGGCACCTAGGCAAGTATATCCATACCTGCTAAGCCACAAAGAACATTTGAAGGCATTTGGACAAGAATATTGGATTCATAAACGTGGGGTGGTCCATTTTATTCCGTGCTGGTTGCGGGCAGAGAGGTAAGCAGATATCAAAAGGTCTTCTCTGTCTCCTGTTTTGTTTCGTTTGAAATCATTGTGGCCTGCTTGAGAACCTCCTGTACATAATGATTCTTTATTCTTATAGGTCGAATTCTTGTTAGGCAATTCGCTAAGCAGTTGATGTGACAATTTATTGAATTGCTAATCTAACTTGTTATAAGTTGTGGCATGTTGCAGGGCCATATAATGCAGCTAATATGAATATTTCAGGCACTATGTAACTGTTTGAAAAGCTACATATCCCCTATTTAGGGTGAAACTTCAAGGCATAGGTAGCTTAAGTATGCAAAGAAAATTTTAGGACCATGGTATCGATAGAGTAAAACAATATATAAGTGTATGCAATTCATGAAAACGATGATTGCCATGACATCCACAATAAGAAACATAAGTGACTCTACGCATTTATATGATGGGTAAGTTTTTCATCCTAATATCAATTCGAATGAAAATTCAACTTCTCATAATAAGAGCTTTTTGAATGCATTCCAAACGTTCATTTATCAAGGCACACTTAGATCATTTCGATATGAAGGTCCCGTGAGCTCTTATTGGTTGTGCTGGGAGTTTCGTCACAATTGTGACTTAGATGTGACCCCAGAATTAAATACATATCAGCCACAATACTTGTGCTACGCTGGTAAGCACGGACGGGACGCTAAGGAACCTTGGAAACTACAGCAAATCAAGGACATCCGCTGCAAACCGGCGCATTGCCCAGGCTTTAGCGTAGAGACGGTAACCTTAATTAATCCATGGACGTGGGTGCAATTGACTACACTGTACCTAATAGTACTGCATACTTCGATTCTCTAAATTCAAAACTTACCTTCATTCTCATCTCACAACTTACTAATCTACTCATTCTCAACTTTACTTGGGAATATATACGCTCTTCGCTGGAACAGCTCAATCTGCCATTCCCGTTAATTATTGAGGACACATCGGAGAGCTCTAGGCGCAATGGCCGCTCCAAACCAACCACATCCTCTACAGGTCCTAGACCAAATGTTTAAAGAAGTAGTAAGTTACCCAACAATACGCACCTACATCAACGCATATAGCTAACAGTATGTCAGCTCGTGCAAACTGGCAAGAGCCTTGTGGCTAGTCGTAAGGATGGCCCAAAGAACATCGCCGGCGCGGGCAGCGCAGTGCAAACTAAGACTACGGATTCATTGACGGCCTATCAATATGCCTTGGACGACCTTGAGAGCGAGATCGTAAGCGTTCTTTTCTGCACTTGGATCTTTGTAACTTCAATGCTAATTCTTAACGCAGACAAGGGCGAAGGCCGTCGTCCTGAGGGATCTGGAAAAACTACGCGCTGCCCGAGCTCCTGCTCCCGCTCCCGCGCCCGCCCCTCAGCCCGTAGCGCCGCCAGCGCCGATGATGGAACTGCCGTCGTCAGCAGCGCATACAATCAGTGCGCCAGCTTTCGCTCCCAAGAAAGAGGTCAAGACAGCCGCCCCCTTTCCCGATATGGGCATGGGTATGTCTAGCGAAGTGGTTGACTTGACTACCAACGACAAGAAGCCATCCCCGCGGGTCTCGGCCGGTGCAATCAGGCCTCCGGTGAAGGCGGCTCCTCCGATTAGGAACGAAGTAAAACCCTCGCCAAAGCAGACTCCGAAACCGACGCCTAAGCCAACGCCAAAGCCGAGCCAGCCTCCTAAGGTAACGCCAGTCCCTCTGCCGCAGATCCCACGGCCCCAACCTCCCCAGCAGCCTACTGCAGGACCAATGGCCGCCGCCAAACCTCAGCCAGCGGCACCTAGTCCCCAGATGGTTAGACAAGCACAGCCCGTGCCAGCGGCGCCGCCTGCTCAGGATGCCATGATGATGCCTACCAACGCCACAGCAGGAATGGACTCGACGGGAGGCAACGGGCCGAACTTCACGGACATGCGATTTTCCCTCGCGCAGCCCAGCAGCAACGACGCGCAGGGCGCACCTCCGGCACCGAATCCTGATTTCGCGCCGCAAGAGGCGGGTAAAGATATGATGTCTCTCGACAACTCTAGGCCCGGCAACAACACAGCAACGAACGGTCAGAACACCAATACGACATCACAGCAGCAACAGCAGCAGCAACCACAACCACAACCACAACCACAGGAGCAAGATAAGACCGACTCTAACCTGGACGATTTGTTCAACCTGGGCGACGCCAACAGCGCTGACGGCATGTTCGATTTGGGAGGTGGCGGCGTGAATGATAGTACGTTCGACGACATGATGTTCTTCGACAACAACAATGATGCGGAGATGGCGCAGTTCGATGAGGCTTACTTCCTACCGTAGTACTGGACGTCCTGATTTGGACCCTGTACAAGAAATTCGTTTGATACACATACTGGGTTGGAAGGAGAATTGCTAAAGGGGAGAACCGTGGGAATAGTTGCACTATAGTCTAGTAGGAAGTCTTTGCTTGAACACTAAGGTGTACATTTGGTGCATTTCCGCTTCGATTTTCAACTCGTGATTCTGCGTTTTTATACTTCCCCCTTTCCCCTCTGCAAGGACAAAAAATAGCAAGCTCCTTGTGCGGCCTTTTAAAATAAAATACGGCCGAACGAAACATATCTACATAGGTACACACCTAAAAATTCACGAGTATCCCATTTTCCCCTAGAGAAATCTTCTATATATATCGACATTAAAACTATATACATTTCATTACAGCGAATATGGGGGTATCTGAACCAAGCTACCTAGCCAAATACATATACATACTATATCCATCGTCAGCCTCGGATCTCACAATATCCATCCAACCATCTATATACATCCCTCACAAACACACAAATCAACCCCTCACTCCCCCATTTCTAAGATCACCCCAAGATCGCCTATTTAAGGACCCTGAGTAACATTAAACATCGGCGCCAGCAAACCCGTGACATTCGGGTTCCTCAGCCCGGTCCAATCCGTGTTCATCAGTCCCCAGCTCTCGTCGGCGTCGACGGTGCCCTGGCGGATATAATACGAGCCCTGAACAGCCCAGAAAGACCACTCGGCGTCGTTACCAGTCATGTACTCGCGCAGGCACTGGAAGTACGAGTTATCGTCGTCGGAGAGACCTTCGTTAGGGCCGCCGGTCATGCCGAAGCCGAACTCGGAGAGGATGAGGGGCGCGGTGTAGTCCTCGTCCTGGACGAGGACGAAGCCGTCGAAGAGGCCGTAGGCGTCCTGGGTGGCGCCGCAGTCGCCCTTGGTCAGCGCGAAGGTGACGGTGAACGAGTACGCGTGGAACTCCCACACGTGCTTCCCTTGCCACGCGCTCCAGTCGATGGTGTGGTTGAGGCGGATGTGCGTCAGGTCCGTCGCGCTCTGCGTCCCGCCCATGATGATCAGCAGGTCCGGGTTCGCCGCGTGCACGCGCTCCGCGCCCTGCGTCATGAAGTTGTACCAGTCCGCGCGCCCGTTCGTGCCCTGCAGCAGCAGCTCGCGGATCTCGTTGCGCAGGCTCATCGCGATCACGCCCGGCTGGTTCACCGACCACTCGGCCATCGCCTGCAGGCCGTTCAGCCAGTCCTCCGTCTTGAAGTAGCGGCTGTTCAAGGCGATATACCCGAACCCTTCGTCCCACCACCCATTTCCGTCGTCGAGATTGCCTATTAACGATTTTTAGTTAGTTCTGTTTCCCACCCCGGATTTCGACAATGCCTGTCACTTTTAATCTTGGGTGAAATTGGAGGGGCTAAACTTACAGCACCAGCTGGCCTTGCTGACATGGTTATCCAAGATCGTCATCACACCCCTTTTCCAGAGCGCCGCGATAACGGCCTCGTACACCGCTCGCGTGGTCGCGCCGTTGACGAACGAGTTCTTCGCGGCGACTTGGGCGTACATGTCGCTCATGTCGGTGACTGAGACGTTGGCGGCGCTAGCAGCGGCGTTGAACGAGTCCGAAACCAGAACATCCGGGTTCAAGGCATGATCGATGGAGTAAGTTAAGCGTACGCAGTTGAAACCCTGCTGCTGGATGAAGTCGGCGATGTAGTCGATGGACTGCTTGTTTAGACCCTCGGGTAGGTTGGCTTCCTGATGACCCGCCCAGTTAACACAGCGCAGCTTGACACGCTGCCCATCGGCATCTAGGATCCAACGCGATGATGTAGAGAGCGGAAGCTTCTGAGCAGAAACAACGGCCGCTGGAAGTACAGTGGTACTCAGGACCGTGAGGAGCGAGAGCAGCTTCATCTTGAGAGTTGACGTAAGAAAACTTGGTCAGAGAAAGGTTCGGCCGTATCGTGCCACGTTATTAGAGCTTTATAAAGCTAGGTGATTATGCTCGGGGAATTCGCACATCAGGTGGACCGGGATGACTATGAGTAGGACGACTTGGTATAGGCCCTCTACTCACCCGGCAGCTGTTATTATTATTAATGCTAATGACGAGTCCGGCAACACAGAACCGTATACTTGGAACCGCAGACGAAAACGGGATCTCGTGTGCGGGCCACCCGTTATATTATAACGACCAGCTGGGGTAATCAGAAGGGAGAGAAGAGGAACGTGATTCCCTTAGCTCGGCGAGGTATTAGATATTATAAGTTGACGGATATAAGTCGACGGACGCCGCTATGCGTATGTGCCCTTAATCCGAAGGAGCTTTCTACACCGGGACGTGGACCTGACCTACCTGCATACTTACCTACTGACCTTCCCAATATAATAGATGATAATCAACATACGCCAAACCAGGAATATACGTGTCGCCACGAGATCGGACGGGGGCCGAGACCCCCAGGGAGGCCATCTTAGAAAACATGTTTGGTCCAATAGGATTCACGACCCTCGCCCAGTTTGAAGATCAGGTACCGGGACCCCTTTCAGTATAATATCACCTCCGGCACGAAATATGTGATGCGCAGCGGGGAAGACCTACCGAACCAATGTATGGACATGCCTGATCCGGCGAGATAATGATTAAGGAACCGTCCATTGAAATCAACGGAGAGCCCCCATGCAAGAGACGAGAAACAAGATCTGGTCAAATGTAGAGGAGCGGCGGCAAACAGCCAGGTGCGTCGTCCACGCCGTCCATGCCCAAGACAAGGGGGGTCATATAGGGATCGCATGACTTAGACATATGATTGGATGATTTACTATTTGACGTGAACGAGTTGAAAGTGAGGTCGTAGCGGTTGTGGAGACCGGGAAAAAGCCAAGACGGGCAAGTCTTGACCTTGGAAATTTGGAGATCTTAACTTCTATACATAGTACATTAATACATGACGATTTCCCACGCGACAATTCAGGTTTAGCGTAGCTGCTGCTTTTATGACGCGTGATATCCTTTTATGAACAGGCGCTCTGTATTGACGTATTAAACGGCCGTTTATTGAAAAGGGGTAATACCCAGATGATTACTAAATAAGGAGACACATAAATGTATAACACACTGGTTACGACTTGCTAGGAGTTGTTTTCTGTTTATGTACATCAGGTAAATATACCAATTAAGTCGCATTGGGGTCACTAGAGGCTTAACCGGGACACATACCTATACTTGCTGCTCTCAAAAATCAAACACGTCAAGTATTGACATTACTGGCAGTTGACTTGCGCAATGACAGGAGGCGATTGCGTACGCGTGGGCTACATAGATGAATGTCTCTATGCTCCTACCTATAGGTTTATCTTATAGAAAACTCATACGGGTTAGGTCCTTACATAATTCTCTTATATAGATGTGGTAATTCAGACTTATATCTCGTAATGGATGGTGGCCTTGAAAGGGTGAAGAGACGTAAGAGAGAAAATTGCGGGACTAGTATTGTGAATACCTTGGCCGTGACTCTAGTGTAATACCATGGCATTTTGAGGCACTACTGAAGAACATTAAATAACTGACGAAATATCCTCTTAGGAGTGTATGGAAGCAGGAGGAGCTGCCAATGCAGTAGAAATACAGGCCAGAGAAAGAAAGCCACCAAAACAGACGCAAGAGGAATAAGACAAATATGTTCGCAAATCGAATGAATTAGCACTGAGATCCTAAGCCAACAACTCAGTATAAGACGAAGCAATAGCGATGTTAATAGAGGTCGAAAAGAACTTCAAGCAGAACTAAAGGAATGAGATCGAACTTTGCCAAGGCAATTTGAACCTATTGTTCAGGTAGTAATTACGTCCCGAGTATCAATTTTCCGCTGACGAGTATGTTCTCTAGGTTGCACATATCTTCAGAAAGTCCAGAGAGTACCCAACTTCTCAATACCTAGTGACATGCCTTTGAGGTACACCTTCTATCTCAGCTGCAATGGTACGTCAACAACTCCTAGCTCCTTTCCTGAGACTGCCGAGTTCTAGATAGTCTTCTTTTCGGCTGGTGTTTCTACTAGGACTAGGTATCCCGTGGATTGCCCCTTTGATAGATTCCCGGTTCTTCATAAAACAGCAACATATTGATGATCAGAAACTACAATCGACAGAGCCCAACTTAGAAGTCTTTTGTTAAGAAGGGCTGTTTTGGTCTCTGATACCGAGAAAGATCGCTGTTTCGAAGACGACGATTATGCGCTACACTACTATTCAATAAACCCAGCATTTCTGAACCTGCCGTCATGAATATGAACTTTGATTGGTCTGTAAAGTATGTCATCGGTGGATAGTTGTGAGGTTGTGATGATGATCGGAGGTGGAAGTGGTAAACATGGATATAACAAACGCGGAGACCACTCAACCACATACAATCTTACCGTTTTCCCCAGCCCGTTTTCAATACACACATCTCCGTATCTAGCTACGACACGTGACATATAGCAAAGCACATAAAAGCAGCATGATGAACCGAAATCCGCATGTGGCATATTGGTGGCTTCAATTATATACATGACAGTGGCTGAAGGATTCAACACCAATCGAACGCATCAACGGCACCGCTGCCGCTGTGGGGGGGAGAGCGCCAACGCCACATCCATAATCGGATTCGGTATACAATTTGAGCTTTCGAAGCAATAAATAAAGGGTGGTTGCAGCGGGACTTTACCTTACCGTTACATCGGCCTCATCGACCGGCATTCAAGAACCCAAAAAAAGCAAAAAAAGCATCACCCTTCACGTCACCTGCGAACCCGCATCTGATAGGGCGAGGTCTCAGATGACCTTTCGAGCGACACACTCAAAAGTTGTAATAACCTAATTCCCAAACCCGGCGGATGCAGGCCAAGAGATCCCTAATCTGCAACCTCTCTCGCCTAATCTGTCATCCCCTACCCGCCTGTTCCATTGCCTTTACTACCGTGATAGGTGTGAGTGGCTGTCAATATCGTGAAATTACGCCGTAGTAGTATAGATACCGACCTACCTATGTAATAGTGACGGCGGAAAAGAAAATAGGTAGATAGATAAGCTTAAATCATGATCATCAATCCGTCTCACCTATGAGAGCTATCTATAGACCTAGGTAAGGATCTCCCTCTCCCTCTAGCGCATCTATCTTGGACTATCCACCTACATATGCCACATATGCCACTCACCTACATACACATATGCTAGGTAAAGCATCTAGGGTCCTGAGCATTCCTTTAGCTTCAGGTACCCGCCCAGCCGGCTCCGCTCCTCGTCTTTGCGCCGCAAAGCCAGGAAGCGCTATAACACACAACTTTCGAGGATCGACGGCCGGTTTAGGTAGGTCGTCGTCGTCGTCGGTGTATCCCATATCGTTATCGTGTCTTCCTTCGTAAGGGTTGGTTGGGAGTTCGCCTGTTAGCGACGCCAGGAATTGAACCGATATACGCAGCACGCTTAATTCCCATTATCGAAGTTGGCATATACAGTAGCTCGACTTCTTGAATAAGCGCATCTGCACGTTAGCTGCCATCGTAGCTCGCCAACGACATGCACTTTCGGGCCGACCTGTCAGTATCTACGTACCTGCCTAGACGATCTAGGTAGTCTCAGGATATCTCCGAAGCACCGCTATGCAACGCAACTCTAGACGATGCGAGCGGAACTAACGAGGCCAGCTGAAGAGCGGCAACACCTCACCTCAATCCACCAGCTCAAAAAACCACGCTATACGGGCGCGGCATACTAATCACTCACCTTTCATCACTCGCAAACCAAACCGACAAAATATCAAAAAATGTTCTCTTCTTTGCTATATTAGGTAATATAGATACCGACAAAAAAACAATCCACCACAGCCTCGTGTCGCGTGGTATCTTGTCCCGTTCATCTGTCTTGGTGTCTGGGGGGTAGTAGTTTTAATAAGTACTAGTATTAAGAGCATGCTCGCTTGTTTGCTTTGCTTTGCTTTTGCTTCGCTGTACCAACTTGAACTCCCCTCTCTGCTCATTAATAACCGCGCCGTATAACACGTGTATATCGGGACCTCTGAGTAATACTCCAGCCTCTTTTTGTAAATCGTAACATGTCGTTAAGGAACGCCAACATCCTTGCTCCTCCTGCGTCAGCCTCGCGCTGGTTTCAGTTTGCGCAACGTACTGATGTATGTCAAGTAGCACCGAAACACGTATCGCTGTGTGCTGACTGTCCCACGTTCCAGCTGCGGCTCCAACTACCTGTATAGCTCTTCCTTGGGGGGTATCACAAAAAAACAACGACTTATTTAGGTGATGTCACCTCCACTCGTCATTGATTTGTTTGAGCTGCCACGTTCCCCGACGCAGCTACGCGAGCCTCCAATTCTCTACGCTTAGCCAAAAGGCTTTTAAATGCCCCCAAGCAATGCACCAGCGTCTCCTCGTCGCGGGCGCAGCAGCGATAAGTCTTCTCGTCCGTGATGATCTGAAAACAGTGCTTTTTCGTCTTGCTGACCGGATCGATATCCACCACATTAACAATAACCGATAGAGACAAGATGAAAGAGGCCTTGTACTCGGACTCATCCTTGTAAAGTATTAAATTCCGTGGTCGGAGAACAGCCCAGCGACTCTTCCACTGCTTCACGCCACGTTTGCTGTTAAGGAGCCACAGCCAGCCCTGCCAGGCGATACGATCCGGGTCGCTCTCGAGATTAAGGCCGCTTAATTGGCTCGCATTTCTATTTCCTAGCATTGGGCGATCGTTAGAACCGGACTCTATCTGCGTTCCTGACGCGGCGGGCGATCGAGCCGTAAGACTTTCAATGGAGGCACCGTGGATTCGTTGTCCCTCGTTGTCCGACATGTCCGAATGCGAAGCCAGTTCATTTCCAGAAAGTCCAGAGTAGTCGTGGTACGATAGTCGTTTTCCGGTTGATGGTATAGACCTCGTCGCGGTCGGATCGATGGGTTCGGGAGAGCTCGATAGCGGTCTTTCGCCGTCCAGCAACTGACTTCGCATTGCTGATGATCCCTTCTGCATGCTAACGGGAGCGAAGGTCTGCCGGCGCACAACGGGGCTAGTTAGGAACATCTCTTCCTCCTCTTCCTCTATCCTCGCATCCTTTCTGATCAGATCTACCCATTCTTGCGCGTCTTTCAAGCTCGGGGCTTCGAAGTGGTAATTCCTGGCCGGCGAGAACAGGCCAAAAAGGTGGTGGCGCTTGTTCTTCGGGTCCTTCAGGAGTGTAACGGCCGAAAGTTCCGAGGTGTATATCATATGCCGCAGCTTGCTCTCGTTGTCCGACTTGTAAATGGAGAGTGCGCTAGGCCTGAGGACCAGATAGACGGACTTCCAAGCCTATGCGGTGTTAGTTTAGCCTGCTGACGGGTGGCAATTGGCTTCGGGGAGGCTTGAACATGTGGCGGCTTACCTTGGTCTTCTGGGTCCGCTTCTGGAGGTATCCAGACTTGAGGACGCGGTCAAACTCGAAGCTTCCATTCTGGTTGACCGGGCTGGTCGATGGTAAAGAAAATTGGTTTCGTAAACGACTGACTTGGGAATTCGCAGGCGCTGCCATCGCGGAAGGAGAAGGAATACTAATCGTCGCGCCGCGACCCGGGATATTCGTGGCTGATGGTTCGTGAAGGCACTGTGTTGCGGTTTCGGCCATCTTTCCGACCTGAGAATTCTGTGTTTCGGGGGAAATGTGTCGATGATTGTTGAGTATTAAATTAGAGATATGCTCAGGGCAAATTATGACTAAGTGTGTATCGTATTGTTGACAACAAGAAAACGTATCTGGACCGTAATGTCAGGGGGAAAAGTGGACTGAAGTGTGAATAGCTCAGAACGCTGAATAGTGAGCACGATTCATTGCCGATTAGTTTGATGAATTAGCAAAATGGCAGAAAAATGTGGATGAACCTGACGAGTCGCAGAAAAGTCAAGAAGTCGAACAAGAAGAGAGCACCGGTATGGCGTATGATTAATATCGAGTAGGAGTCGTGCAACCGAAAGTCGGAAAGCATGCGAAGGGAAGAAGCCAGAAAGAAGCGGTCGTAGCCCGTAGCTTGTAGCCAATAACCAATAAGGCTGGGATCCGCGGAGTGCCCCTCTCAACTGATCAACAAGATTCAGGGTTGCTGCTTAATGCTCCAGTTGCTCCAGGAATGGGTCGCAGAAATAGCTTCGACCTTCAGCAAATCAGCGCGTTTGTTGATGTGTGTTGCAAGAATCTCCGACACTCGCCATTAACCAAATAAAGACGAGTGCAGGCACAAGTAGGAAATTCAATAAATCGGAAAAACGATATTCGGGAAATGCGCGTGGAAATTATGTAGACTTTTGTGTAATAAAGAAAGTTTCCTAGGGACAGATAGAGAACATTTCTACAACAACAAATCATGGACAACCCTGCTAATAATATTAGTATTGTACCTAGGTATCGTCGCACAAGCGCCTTCTTTTTCCTAGGAGTCCCCTACCAAAACAATCAAAATAAGCTCTAACATTACGGCAAGGGCCAAGGCGTTTCACGAACTGCCGGTTGCTAGCCCCCAATTTCTTACCTCAGCCACGAAAACTAAACCGTGATATGAGGCTTGTGACCATGTTCGTGGCTTTATTCTCCAATCACGTCCTGCCGTTGGTATGCGCCATTACGTAGATCTTACACGAGAACCTCCGTATCTCCCGGAGCTTTCTTTTGAGACATCTGGCAATTTATTAATAAGACACGTCAATAGAGGAAGTTGTAGACAGACAGGGATGATGTCATGATATCTATGAGCTATGAGGCTCTTGAGGTAAGGGCAATCATCAGATATGGATTGTCCTGCAAGTCTCACCAGACGTCGCGATTTCAAAACTATTGGATGATTCGATCCACTGATGATCTTTGATTTCTTGATGGATCTAGCCGACACTTAATCTTACTGGTTATGCTATCGATAAAGTTACGTCTATATATAGCTTGTGGAATATCATTTGAGGGTCCCGCGAATGATTATTAAGGAATGCTGCATAACTGACCGCAACTACATGAAGCTATGTATAGCTTAGTAAAGCTTCGTCAATACCCAGTAACTACATACAGCTACATACGTACCACCCAGACAAGCAAGACAAATTTTGGTGAAGCTGAGATTTCAGGCTATGATTTCGAATATATAGTTACAGAACAGTCCATATTTATACGTCCCACGACCCTCAGAACAAGAGCCCCAAGCCCACAGAATAAGCATTGCCATCTAAACATTCTATCCTAAGTCTACCAGGGGTATCATTACTACTAGCCAGCCCATATACTTTACTTCACTTCCCCTCGAATTGCCCGCGTTCATCCTCCGACCTTCCCATGTTTCGGGGAGGGAGAATAGGGGCTAGATAGCGACAGCCTCGAGCGCTCCTAGGGCTTAAACTTAAACCCGCTTTATGCTCCTCCCATATACCCATCTGTCTATTTTATCCTACAAGCCACCCCTACAAAACCTTATCGAACCCAAACACCTAAATTGTACAGGTCTCGTACTCTCTTCTAACATCCTACTTCTTACTCCTAACCTCCACAACCCTAACTCCCTTCGCGCTCCCCCACACGCTCTCCGTGACCTTCCGGGGTATCTTCCTACCCCTGAGCCTCTGGTCCACGAGCCACATGCCGACCACGAACTCCGTGCGATCTAGATACCCCTTACCCCTCCTATCCACCAGATCCCACACTTCCGCGAGCTCGTCAATCGGCAGGCGGCTGCGCGCCCACAAGTCTCTTACCACCACATTAGCCACGCCCTGCTCCCTATCATCCTCTCCTGCTGCCTGTGTCCGTGCTTGTGCTTGTGATTGTCCGTTCGTAGACGAGGCCCTCGACCCGTCCGGCGAGACTAGGAGCAAACCGCGGTTACTCGCCCATACGCCCTCGTACCGTTTCCTCTCTCTTGCCGTGATCTCATCGCGCCAGCGCTTGCGCGCCCCCTCGTGATGAGAATGCTTCTTTTTCCCACCTAGTTTTCGAGCTTCCCGGCGTTTCTCCTCGTCATCGGATTGAGAAGTGTGCTGCCGCAGTGTCTGACGCATGTGTGGCGTCTGTCTGCGTGAGGGCGGTTTTGGCGGAGGTGTCTTCGAAGGCGTGATGCGTGATGATGCTAGAGAACCTGCCATGATGGCGTCGGTGAGAGACTCTAATGGTAGGGTTGAAGTAGGCCGTGACTGTCGTGGGGGCAGGGCTGGCGGACGCTCGACGGTAACGGTTGTAGACGTAGTTCGAGAAGACGTAAGTCGTGCCGGCCGCACTGTATCGGGGGTTGATGGTCGTGACCTGCCTCGTCGTGGAGGACTAGGTTGGGGTGAGGGCGCCGAGGAAGCGGACACGAAGGTGTCATTTGATGAGGTTGAAATTCGGCGTGAATCGTCCTCTAGTAGGGATGGCTTTGTGGTGACGTGTACGGGCGCTGGAGGCTTTGACTTAGGTTTGGTCGTTGGAGGCGTCACACCTTCGGACATAGAACCTTGCGCCTGTATGTCATCAAGTATGATCTGGTTTGAAGTATTTCGTCTTGGTTGAGGTGAAAGGATCGCTGTTTCGACACGGCTGATAGGTTTCGGCGGAGGCGTCAATGCGCGTGGTTTGCCTTTGGGTTCTAGGACATTAGATGGCGTAGACGTCTGGACCTTATTCTTCGTCCTTGTTGGTGGGGGAGCAGGTGGACGCGCCTTTGCTTCCATAACCACATTCTGAGGCTGGCGAGGCTTCTTTTGAACTGTATCAACCATCGAAGACGAAGGAGATGCCCGTTCCCACGCCGTGGTACTAGCGAGTCTCGACGGAGATAATTCGTTCTTAACGATGGGACTCATGGCCCTCGATGGACTTAAAGTTCGAGTTGCGGTCGTTGCTCCGAATGGTTTCTTATTATCCGACTTCATATTGCCTTTCTTCTTAGGGTCTGTGTCTTCTCTCTTTTCAAACATTGATATCAAGGCGTTCGTTGATGGGATTGAGGTCGAATCCGTTCCCAAGTCAAAGCTCGTGACTGAGCTCGCAGCGCTATTATTTGCGCTGACGCTGTGTTTCTGTTGCCTCACAACCGGCTGAGGCGTCGACTTCGATTGGGTCATTTGATGGCGAACCGGGCTACCGGATCTACTGGCGGCGAGTGTTGCGGCTATGAAGGACGGAGAACGTGGATCTGGGCTGGCCTGCTTGTTCGCAATAGCTAAGTGTGAAGAAGCGCCAAGGCCACGCTGAGACGGTAGCTGTAAACTGTGCACTGACGATCGACTCGCCGCCCGTTGTTCGGTCTCGATGTCGTTATTTCCACCTTGAATACTGCCGCCTGTCGTCTGTCGGCTAACGGTTCGTGAATGATCTCGCGAGGCTGAAGCAGCCGAGGTAGCTGCGATAAGAGCTCCATTATCGATATTTCGAGATGCGGGACGAGAGGAAGGCGGAGGAATTGGTTCTTTCTTCGGCGTGGATTTCTGGAATGCAAGTGAGGCACCTTTCAAGGCGGCGTTATGAGAAGAAGCATCGTGAGCTCCGGGTGGATTCGGCGTCAGTCGGCTCCGATTAGGGGTCCCTGATCCATTCATGAGGCCCGTCGTTGGAGTAAAAACCACCTAATTGGGAGGTTTAATATAACGATGTTTCATTCATATTTAGAATATGTTGTGTCTGATAGGTATTGCCACACAATAATGAAATAATCAGAAGGGTGAGATCGGTCGTCCTACATTGCACAGGTATGTAATTGTTAGAAACCTGGAAGTTGGCGTTTTGGCGCGGAGGTAAGACAACCTTGGAACCTAGAGTCGATTAAGCTAGGAAGGAAGTAGGGGGTAGGGCTGAAACATCCAATCCGACAAGGTTTAGATTCCAAAAATGGGAACGCACTAATACTGGATCCAGGAGACCGAGTCAAGGACCCCTCTTTCAGGGGCACTGAATCTGTGAATGCACCTAATAAACCTTGCTATGCCATAGCACTCCACGCGTTTGTTATATTCACCTATGTACCGACATACCAAAGCACATAGGTTATTCTGCATACGTGCACTGAGACTATGACATTGGGGGCTTGTTTTTAGGCAATTTACCGACTTCAAGTCGGTCTTTGTTTCAGTGATGACGAATTTTACTATTCGCGATCATGTTGGTCAGGGAAATCAGAGTATGAAAAAATCAAGCATGCACATCTCCATCTTGAACGCCTTAATGTACCGACGCCTATTCCGATAATCCGACCCCCCTCCTGCTTGCTGACCTTCCGCCCTCGACCCCTTTCCGATTATGTTCCAACAGAGAGTATGTAATTCCACAGAAAGTTGTCCGAAGCGACCTTGAGCATCTATCAAAACGTCTCAGGTGCTATGTGTTATCGACTGGTTTCAATTGGACGGACGCCCAATTTGTCGAAAGAGGATTCCACCTTAGGGGCCTTGCGGCGGTAGAAATCCTAATGCAATTAAAAACAAATACAGGAAGATAAAGAGAAGAAGTAGTGTGCGGAAATCGAAAGTGTCAAGAACTGACCAAGAACGTTAACGTGAGGGACTTTCGGAAGGGCGCCGTTGATGATGACCGATCGTGAGAGGCATCCAATGAATCGTAACAGAGAATCGCGTAATTTGTCGGAGCTCGTTATCGTCCAGCAGTAAGAACAATTAAATACTTAGTAGGCATCCTCATCTGTCCACTCACTGCCTGAAATGATGCGGTTGCCCTCAGCGTCTACAGCATGCCCAGCATGCATTGCCGGGGGGATACCTCGCTGTCGCTTAGGCTGGTTTGCTTGGGGATGCGGATAGCCGTTCTCGGGCGTAAAGCGCTTTCCTCTCGCAGCTCGTACCTTAGCGTAATATGCATCAGACGCATCCGGCTCAGGCTCGGAATTATCATCGTATGTCTCCCAGTTCTCCGATCCGCTCACGACTGTAGACGTGTTCGAAATCTGTCTAGGTGGAGGCGCTTGAGGATAGGCTGACTGTGCAAGACGCTCATTTTGTATAGGCATCTGCCCATTTTGATGCGGGTGGGACCTCGTGTAAGTCTGATATGAGCTTCGCTCGTATGGGTCATCGTTAAACACCCGGTCATCGTACACATCCTCAGGGTCGACAGCTCGAACAAAGCTACCTGAACCAAGCCCAACGTTGCGGTAAGGGTTGGTCGGCGTCTCCAACTCGGGAGGCGGTCCTAGGTCTCTCATCTTGGGAGGTGGCGCGCGCATGAGCGGGGGGCCGGGGCGCAGGACGCCTTGACCTGCTCGCGATTCAGGTCGGGGTCTCTCAGGCGAGTTGCTACCATGCTTGAGATTTGACAAGGGAACTCGTGCCGGTATCCTAGACGGGCTGCCTTTCAAGTCTTTCAGGTCTTTCGACTCTTTCGATGCATGGCCAGGCCCAGCTCTCTTGATGGTACCATTCCCATTCCCATTCCCGTTCCCGTTCGCTGTCGGCGTCTTCGATCTTGTAATAGTAGCCGCCTTGCTAGTAGTGCTGTTGCCTCGGCTGGGTGGCGCTGCTCTCTGTACGCCCCTATTTGCCGACGGTGGAGGGCCTGCAGGAGTCTTCGATCTAGCACCCGGGGCCTGTGCAGGGGCTTCGGGTTCTAGTAGATCTAGGTACCTTTCTCCGTGAACAAGGAATGGGCGACCGTACTCGTCTTCCCATTTCTCCAGCATTTTAGCAAGCTCCGCGGCGATCTTGGGCAGTTCCTTGGCAATTCTCTTTCGCATCTTCTCCTCTCGCAACAGCTTACCAGGATCTCGTCGTTCTCCCTTCTGGCCGCGCATCATTAGTCGAGACGCATCCTGGCTAGAAGCAGCAAGCTCGTCACGATCGTGGACGAGGGTACGATGTTTCTCGACCAAAGCTAAAGTGGGGGCACGCTGCTCTCGTAGGGTATCTAGTCGAGAGATCTCGCGTTCGTGGGCTTCTAACAACGCATCGCTGTAGACGTCAGAGAAAGCTGGCGTAAATTCGAGCATCTCATCCTCTGAGAAGTACAACGCGTCCCATAACTCTTGGAGCTTGCATCGCGCATCCTCCACGAATAGATGAAGGTTCTGTCTCTTGAGCTCGTTTAATCTTGCCAGTTCGTCTTCGAACTCGTTAATTTGTCGGACGCCGCAACCACGGTTGCTGTTCAAGAACGCCTTACGCTCCGATTCCTCGACACCCAGCTTATTCCATAGTGCTTCGACAGACGCTTTGAGATCCTTCAGGCGCTTCTCACGATTCTTCTTCTCATCCGCTAGCTTATCCTTTTTGCTGCGGAGTCTGGATATATCCTCTTCGTGCAGGCCGAGCTGCTCGGGTGCATCGCGATAGTACTTGACGATCGCCCCGTCGGTCTGTGCTTGGGGCGTGCCCAGTTCTGCCCATAGCTGGATGATGTGTTCTGACAAGGATTTGACGATCGAGACCCGCCGAGTATACTCTTCATACACTCGCGTAAATTCGTCGTCGAGTTCGTTGACATAGGAAGGAGACAGGTCAAAGGTAGGAGGAATAGACTGGTTCTGCCCAGTCGGCGGCAACGCGATCTTAACAAAGGTCGGCTCGAGGTGGGAGGAATAAGACTCGAGTGCCTGGACAAGTTCTAGGAGTAAATTAGCATGGTCCACTCATTGTCGTGGTTCTAGGACCATCTTGCATGTCTAGTTTTACTTACTCTTGACTTGTTCAAATCGCTCGCGATGAAGCTTGCTTATTTGCTTATGCTTCTCCTTTAACATAGGCAGGCATCGTGTGAGCGGGTAAGTGACGCGGAGATCGTCGTCTCCGGTATGGTAGTTACGCTGCGAGTGAGTACCGTCGAGAGAAGCTTCCATCTGACGAATTGTGGTGATAATTCGTTGCGCCTCGTCTACCAAACCCTTCTTCTCAGCCGTCACCTGCTTGACTTGGTTGTTGAGGGTTTCCGAGAGCGCTGCGAAAAGCTGTGTATTGCCCCTATTAGTGCATGCGGATGCGATATGAAATTGTTTATGCTGCTTACCTCGGCCTCCCTAGTTTCGCGATCATGGCTAGTAACACCAATCTCGTCGAATAGGCCATGTAGCTGGCCGATGATGGTGTTAACTTGTTGGGAAAGGTAGCTCGCGTCCATCTTCAAAGCGATGTGGACGAGAGTCAGCTAAGTGTTTGGTGGTGTGTATTCATGGAAGTGTTTTTTTAAAAGAGTTGGTTTGGTTTAATGAGTGGTGGTCAGAGTGACTCGTATTCCGCAGCGCATTGACCCAGCGACCTGTTGAATTGGATGTTCAGAATAATTCTGTGCAAATGCGTAATTGCGTAAATGGGTATATGCGCAAAATGTGTAAATAAATGTGTAAATTGGCGAAAGGCAGCCTAGTGAATGCGGAGTGTCGTCCAAACAAGCTAAAAGCTCGATGAACTCGGTTGACGCATCTCAGGCGATCAATGTAGACGGGTAGAAAGTGTTTCGTGCGTTGTGCATACGCAGCGCCGCCGGGGAAATATTTGCAGGATGCAGAAGTGCGAAGTACAGAAGAGGATCAAGATGCAAGTGATTTCGCAGCTGGCTCGATGATGTGTCTTGACTTTAGAGGATATGTTGAGACGGTGACCAAGAAGCTAAAATGGAGGGGAAAGTGAGGTGCACTAGAGTAGCCTGTCTGGGTAGATCAACAATGAGCGCAGAATATTATTTGTCAGTTGGACCTTCCACCCCTTCCACCCGTGTTGCATTGACAATCACCACGGCAACTGCTCAATTTAGCACTGCTCTGCACTGGTTTAGTCCGTTTAGGAATACTGTACCACTGTAGCTAGCTGCGCTTGGGTTTCAAAACTTTTGCCCCACTGTAAAGCACATGGGTCTCGGGCATTTAGATTCTCGTGGCTCTATCAATAGAGTTCGACCAGCGCCAATCAAAACAAACCTCGATTTCCCAAAAGAGAGCGAATATTCGACATTTGATATGCACATCACGACCAGGCGCAGTACATAAATAAGTACGGATATTTCTTAACAGTTTATAGCTTCCAAACAACGAATACCGTATTACAAGGACTAGTGTAGAATCCCCTATCAGTGGACAAGACCTATGGATTTAAAAGTAAATTTTATTTATTGAATATTGTGGAACTGCAATGGCATGATTTTGGATGGTTAAGCGGTATATTGATTTTACGCCGTCCAAGATGAGAAAGCCTCCCCCAAGTACCCTACTTGAGGATACCATGGATGTCTTGTAATGGGCTCCGACCACCTCCTACTATGTACACCGAGGATTCGGAGTCCCACTTTGCGACCGTCTGGGAGAAAGTGGAGTCACCGAGGACGCGGAACCTGTGCTTTGGAGTAAGGGATCACTTTTTGAACAACAACCCGAGTTTTCCTTTTTCACATCACTAAGTCGGTATTAATATACTCCGCTCTCTGGCTACAGGACATCTTATAATTACACTTTCAAGAGACCTATTTATAGAATTCGGATACCAAACTATGTGTATGTAAGGCGGGGCAGTTAGGCGATACGCCGGATGCCTGAGCAGACCCGGAGCATCATGTCCGCCACCTTACATCCTAACATTGAAAACTTCAGCCTGACCACGGTTGCTCTTACAACTAGCTCACTATAGCACTTCTTCCGGGTCCGAAGTTCGCGCCTCATCAGCTATCACTGCTCAGCTCCTCGAGACCTCTTAATCTGTAGAAGCCAGCCCTTTCAGTTGTCGCTTCTAGGTAATTACCGCCCGTCGCAAGCTACCTCGCCATGGAGCGCGAATCGGGAGCTGTGGCATCGCCTCTAGAGCGCTTGCCACCGGAGCTAATCAGGGCGATTCTCTCCGAGTTAGACAGTCTCGATACCCTTCACTGCGCCGTTCTTAGTTGTCGCGTGCTCTGGTACTGCTTTTCAGGGAACTCATCGGGGATCTCAACTCGTATCGTATTCAACCATCTAGATCCATGTGATGTACGACCCGAAGCACTAGCCGCGTTACAGGCGTCAAGCTTGCCGGGGCCGACAATATCGTTGGTGCGGGAATTCTGTGCGCTCCATCTTAGTAACAGGCATGTGGACTCTGGTATCTCTGTCACGATCGCTGAGGCCGCTGCCATTGCAAAATTGCAGTCTACTGTCTCTAGGCTGGCCGACGAATTTGTCAAGACAAATATACGGAAACTGCCTACTCCAACGCATGGTGAACAAACTTCCCTGTCGCTGGAGCCCTCAAAGTCCGAGAAACGTCGTATTATGCGCGCACTATATGCTATCGAAATATTTTATAACCTCTTCCGTAAGACCACGATGTCTGATGAAGGAGTGGGCCAGTGTATGAACGAGTTTCTCCTCAATTTCGCGCCCTGGGAAATTGAACAAATAGCCTGCGTCCACGAGTTTCTATTCCTTCACATCTCTCCAGGTCAGAGCACCAACATTATCGAAGCCCAATAATGTACTAGTACAGAGCTAATGTTTGCAAGTAGCTTTTGATGATATAGCAGCACACGATGTTCTTTGGGGAGAATTCGAAGTCGAGCCAGCCCAGTGGTTTGGCTCGCCTGATCTTCAGACTGTGCTCTTCCAGGGATTGGTTACTCTGGAGAGTATAGCAAAAGCAAACACCTATACACAGAGGTATGATCTCCTTCACCAGGGGCGCATTCCTCCCACACGGGATCGGACCCTTTACAGAGCCTTGAAAGATATAAACTACGAAGGAATCGACGATAGAGATGCCTCGGTTTCCGGCTACGGAAATTCGCAAGATTACGCTTTCCGAGTCAAGTCGGCCTTCTTCGAAGACCCTGATAATGGCCCGTTCACGATCTGGAAATGGGCTCATGAATCGCAGTCTTTAAGACAGTCCGTCTACCAGAGAGAGAAGGCTCCGCTACGGAAGTGGGGCTACGTTATGTGGGATCGGGATCGGCTCGATGCATGTGGTATTCTCCAGGATAGGTGGCAGCCACCTGTGACCGGCAGATCCCTACCTGACGACCCGCCTAGGGAGATGGATGACGAGAGATGGATCTCCTCCTGGCGAGAAAGGTCGCGAATACATATGGAAGGCGGAAGCGGGTGGTGGGATTTCGGCGATGAGTCGAAGATCGTGTGGGCAAGGCGCAAGGCCGGTGGCGTTGCAAAGGCTCCGGACACACCAAAATCTCTAGACGAGGCTAAGAGGGCCATCCTTGCTCTGCAGCGACATTGATACCATAGTCGGAGCTCGTCGAGGCAGCACGCATCTATTCATAAATCTTCATGAATCTGGCTGCTAATAGCACGTGGCTGAGAATGAGCTGAGCCAAGCTGAGCGAGCAAAGGCAGCACTGGCGCTAGATCCGATTTGGCGGGTAAAAAAGCAACTACGGACACCCGACCGCATCACCGCCGTTTCCATGTTATGTAGGTAGTTCTTGGTCCTGCAAGTGAACTTTAGTCTTGCAGAGATCTCGCGTGTGTGCATGTCTCGGATCTTAACCTTTGTTGTATGCAGACTTACTAAAACACGAGTGTTTGTCAAAACAAATCGATTTTGATCTTGTATCACCATGATAGTTCCTATTGCCGGTCGCCTGAGCAGCAGCCATCGAAGATCAAGGACGACCTTCGATTACTTGGCTGTTATGGCCATCCACTATATGCGGACCTACGTAAATATGCAGTTACCCGGCGCTTGGACCGAGACAACATATATACGCCACCAGGGAGCGACACTTTCGGCCGAGAAACCCCAGGTTATTAATCTCGGAGCAAGAATGAGACATCGACGAACTCGAAAATCGGCAATGTAAACGATATCAAATTCCACTTCTATTAAGTACGCCAATCCCTCATCGATCATATTTGATAAGTCAATCACTTCGATCGTTTGTTAGGTATTTGACTAATCGATTCTGTCTAGGTAGTCAGATATCGATCCCTTTCGCGAATTCAAGAAAAGGGGTAATCATCAGCCCCCTTTTTCTAAATACCTACTATTCCTATTGATAGCTGACTAAAAATGCATCTCAGGAGTCCATCTTAAAACTTGAAAATATCTACCTGTTCAATTTTAACTACAGTTGACGAATGCTGAAGTCGTCGGCCGATTAGCAACCACGGGAAATCCTGATACTTGAAACAAACTTATGCAATATCAATACAACTCTACTACTTCGTTCACATCGCCATAGGAACAGGATCTTTCAGAACGAGCCACGATTGACTTGGAGAGTCTTGATTGAACTTTGAGCCATCAGGTTGGCTTTCGGAGTTACTACCTGTATCAGTCAACTCAAAAACACGAGGTGGGAGGAAGGGATTAACATCCCCTATTATAATTCGTCGAATGATGCTAAGCCTGAAAAGAATCAAGGCATGAAGATGCATGGCATAAAGGGCCACAATTCAAGCTAGATTTTGTCCCCGAGAACGGGCCACCTAGGCCGTCCAAGCAGCTGCCAAGCCAACTTCGGCACTTACCGAAACTACTTGTGATCAACCGCATGGAATCCGGAGCACGGTCGGGAACATAAGAGTGTCGTCAAATATTAACTACCAACGAAAAGGCAGTTGCCGTACTTTGATATTAAGGAGATCGTGTTAGTTGGAATGTTTTGACCGCGAACAGGAGAATTGTCTCTCTGCGACAACTTCGAAATTAAAAAAAAACTAACCGCGACTACTAGGGAGTATGGCATTGATATAGTAGTGTATTGGACGGAGATACCAAGCGACCGGAACCCCGAGCCAAGACAGGCTTTTACTGCGCAGATCTTGGCTAAGGCTGAAAAGATCGCATGGCATAGGCATGTGCTTCTGCCCGTCCCACATCCCACCTACGGTAGGTATCTAGTCTTTCTTTAGGACAGCCAGGGCAGCCATGTTAGCCAGGATATCGCATTACATTGTATATTCCAATTATCCCGACTGTCCCGGACGTACACAGATGTTGTATTCTTCCTTCTAAGAAAGCTTGTCCATGTCATCTATGCAACGTGACGGAGAAAGTTGTATGTACGATACTCTATGGTCGTGCTGAATAGATTGGGTAGGATATGACCAAGAAGGTAGGAGGTAACGAATAAGGAAGTCTGTTAATCTATTGGCTGTTTGCGCCGCCTCGACGCTTTGTTTCACAGTTTCAAGATCAACCAACGGATGGATCCCCATCGATTTTCTGGGGACACAGTTCAAGCCGCTCCACACCCCTTACGCCACTTGTACCTGAACGGCAATTCCCTAGAAGGGTTCCGGGGTCTTAGATGCCCTATGTAATGCCGGATTCGAGGGCATGCGTTGAACTTTGCAGGACCGTTTCGCCTAGTTAATTGGTTTGCTTAGCGTCTCGCATGCAATACGACAGTTACGATGGCTTCTAAGCCGGCTTGTCAGAAGGGCTAGATCTATCGCATGAGTGGTCTCCCCAGATGGCTTGAGCGATCATAATTTCGCAGCAGGGTCAGTACTTGGATAGGGTAGGGTAATTGGCCAACGGACGAACCAACCGCTCTCGTGCATCAAGCCATCCCAAGCCGGTCTCCCCACGTCATTCCCTGTTACTGCTCCATGTCTCCATCCCTATATAGCAGCTCAAGGCTACATCATACATGTACATAGTATACACATACCGGTGAATGACGGGGATCAACATTGGTGCGCCGGTCAGCCAAGTCAGCTCACTCAGTCAGTGACTAGGGACTATGACTTATAAGAACCACAAGGACGTCAAGATGGGCTCGATTCGATTTTACAAAACTAGGGGGACTTATCTTTCCTGGCGGTACCGTTCATTCATTCGCTTCGTTCTTCATATTCTACATTCATTTGACTATCGAGCAAGCTTACCTCTACATTCACTATGAGACCAACCAACATTTTGGCCAGCCTGGCCACGGCAGGGCTCGCCGCCGCACAAATTCGTAACATCGTATACTTCGACCAGTTCGTCTCCCTCTTCCCCTCCCAATCTAGAATCGTATAGGTTGGTTGGTAGGTGGGTCGTCTAACCTTCACTCCCAGATATCACATGTCCATCTTGCCTGGCAAAAACATCACCGCCGGCATAACCCACGTCATCATGGCCTTCGCCAACTCCTCTCTCTTCGCGCCCGAGACGGCCGGCACCTACGAGCCGTTCATGCCCGTCGACTCCGTGCGCGCCATGTTCGACAACGGGACGCAAGTCGGGATCGCGCTGGGCGGCTGGGGCGACACGGCCGGTTTCTCGGCCGGCGCCAAGACGGAGGCCAGCCGGGCCGCGTACGCGAAGAACATCGCCGCCATGGTCGAGGACCTGGGCTTCGACTTCGTGGACATCGACTGGGAGTACCCGGGAGGCAACGGCGCCGACTACAAGCAGATCCCCAACGCGAACAAGACGTCCGAGATCACGACCTTCCCGCAGCTGCTGCACGCTATCAAGGCCGCCATCGCGCCCAAGCAGCTCTCCATCGCCGTGCCCGCCAAGCAGGGCGACCTGATCGCGTACACGCCCGCCAAGGCGCCCGCCATCTGGTCCGCCGTCGACATGGTCAACGTCATGACCTACGACATCATGAACCGCCGCGACACGACGACCAACCACCACACCTCCGTCGTCGGCTCCGCCGACGCCATCCACCGCTACCTCGAGCTCGGCTGCCCCCCCTCCAAGATCAACCTCGGCCTCGCCTACTACGCCAAGTACTTCGAGACCCCCGCCAACGTGACCTGCACCCAGCCCCTCGGCTGCCCCATCGTCAAGGCCGAGAACGACGACGGCAGCGACGCGGGCACGTCTGGTGCCGTGACCTTCGAGAAGGCGAACGTGTTCCCCGCGCCGCCGCCTACGAATCTGAGCGCTACGTCCGACGGCTCGTGCGGCGCCGGCACGGGCTTCACGTGCGCCGGCTTCGCCGACGGCGCGTGCTGCTCGCCGTACGGATACTGCGGGTCGTCCGCCGCGCACTGCGGTGTCGGGTGCCAGTCCGCGTTCGGCACGTGCAGCGGCCCGGACATCAGCGCCGCGTTCCCGAAGGCGCTGGCGAACGGTATCCTCGACGAGCAGCAGGGCGGCATGTGGTACTGGGACGCGGAGAGCCGGCTGTTCTGGACGTGGGACACGGCCGCGCTCATGGAGCGCAAGTTCCGCGAGATCATCGAGCCGATGGCCCTAGGCGGGGTTATGGCCTGGAGCTTGGGCGAGGATAGCGCGGATTGGAGCCATATTACGACGGTGACGAGGATGGCGCAGGGGGTGCAGAATGGGACGGTTGCGGGGACGGAGACGGAGACGAAGAGGGCGGTTCGGAAGCTCAGGGGGAGGATTACGAGACCGCATGGTAGGCAGTGGGCGCATTAAATATCTGCCTAGGTAATAGGTAGGTAGGAAAGGAAAAGCATGATGGGACTAGATTTATGCGTTCGGATGTTTTTTTTCGAGATGCTACGTAGGGTCGGCGTGCTGACCTTTTTCGCTTCGTAATGTATATTGTTCTTTGGGCTAGCTGGCAATGATGACGCTGTGCGGCTGGATTGTGTTATGATGAAAATTGGTCGACTTGGTACCGGGCTATTGTGTAGTGTGTGGTGAAACTGATGAGCTGGCAGCTGGCTAGTTGACATGTCGTATGCCAGGACTGATCTCCTTAGGGGGATATGATGTGTAGGCTATGTGTACCTAGCGTCATACAGTTCAGCCCCGGTTGTACACATAGGTATGTTATTGGAACTATCTTGACCTTGATTGCTACGGGATCTATTTACGCCTCCTAGCTACGTATGAATGTAACCTGGCCTAAGCTAAGGACTGCGTGGCAGGAAAGAGAAGGTTTACTGCAAGGGCTATGGTGCTGCTAAAAAAGTCAACTCATCATCTTCTGATATATATTCAAATATTGAGTAAGTGGAGAGGTATCCCGTATGACCAATAACTATACCCCCTTACAAAAACTCCGATCCCCTTCGTTATCGCCATAACCGCCTCCAACGATCACAACCTTCTCGAATTTCACCACAGACAAGAGTACACTACGTGTAAATACTCATCCACAAATCCTTCCCATCCTTCGCCAGCCCCGCCATCATAGCAGCCCGCTTCTCCACCTCCGAGCCGGTGTCCGCGCCGAGCGGGATCCGGAGGCCGACCTCCTCCTCCTTGCCGGCGAAAACCCCCGTCCGGTCCACCGCCTCGACGATCCGCTGCGCGACCTTGGCCGGTGGGGCGGCTTGGCTGAGGTACTCGGGCGACTTCACGATTTCGCGGGTATAGTGCACCGCGGTGCCTTCGTAGGCCGAGCCTAGGGGTACCTGGACGCCGGTCCCCGACGGGTCGGCGAATTCGGTGGCTGTCGCCCCGGGTTCGATGAGAAGGGTGCGGATGTTGAATGTGGTTAGTTCGGCTTGGAGGGCTTCGGTGGCGGCTATGAGCGGTTAGTAAGATATATGCCGATATACCTGAATAGGTACTTATGTAGGTAGCTGGTGCTCCACTGACCTTCCAGAGCAAACTTCGACGCGGAGTAGATGCCGAAGCCGGGGGCAGGGTTTACGCCCAGTGAACTGCTGATGTTGACGATGGTTCCCGAGCGACGCGATCTCATGGACGGCAACGCAGCTTGAATTGTGCGAAGGGAGCCGACAAAGTTGGTTTTGAAGATGCCGTCGATCTGATCAACGCTGCCAACTGTGTTAGGGTGTTGTTCTTGGAACTCTCCTGAAAGGATTGGTATACATACCTTGTGTCCTCGATACTTCCATGCATGCCGTATCCGGCGTTGTTGATAAGGACGTCGATATGTCCGTGTTCAGCTACGACGGACTGGACTTTGGACTCAACGTCCTCGGCAGCTACGTCGAGCTGTAACCAGGTTCCGCCAAGAGCCTCGATTTCTGCCAAAGCGGTACCGAGTTTAGCCTTGCTTCGGTAGCACGCGACGACTTTATGCCCAGCCTTCAGGGCAGTTTTGGTGAGTTCGAGACCGAGGCCACGGGATGCCCCTGTGATGAGCCAGACTTGAGTTTCAGCCATGATGTTTGAAGAGTTTAGGCAAGTATGAATTTATGATTTAATTTTGGATCTGAGAGTGAATTCTTTGTACGATGGATGAACATTCTCTTGAAATATCGTTCTGACTACTAGTTTATATGTTGTTCAACAAGCCCCTATACTGCCTGGGCGCTTAGAAATCCGACAGTCTCTCTTTCGACCACGAATACATGCCAATCTTTAGTTACGCATCCTCAAAGATGCCTAGAAAGCCATCTATCCCACTCAAAATGCTGGCATAGTCTCCATAGGGAGGCTATCGTGAGTCACTGCCCGTACCCGGGACCCGGGCGCCCGAAAGGAAGATAACAGTATCCGGGTCTACGCCGCTATTGTCAAATTAGGTAATAAATTTATGCTGAACATCATGCTGAGTGTTATGTTGAATGGTTATCGGTGTGACTTTAGTCCCGATATAAGACGGCGATATATGTCTGCTGCGCCTGCTCCGTACATGTTTTATCCCGATAGTAGAGCGGACTAGCTGAGAAGGCCAAGTTGAGAATCCTGCGGGTTCCCGCGGGTTCCGCCCAGGTACAGATCACTGCCGGAGATAACGTCAGCTTGTTGGAGATATTTGGCCAAAGAGCCTCGGACTGGAACCATAGTATGGAATCATTGTGTTGAGGTAGATATCTAGAGCCTTCAATGTTGGTCCTTCGAAGATTAGCTTTAATCATTCATAAATCGAATATGCAAAGTGAGGAATAAGACAGTATTGGGTAAGAATAACAGATTATGTAATATTATCCGGTTGGTTGGGTTCGTTCGGATAAATATCGGTAAATCACATATGCCTTGATTAAAGTCTTAAGCTTCTTTTGTGCAGAGCTTCAATAATTAATGCATGCGCATCGTTGTCACGATCAAAAATCACCAAGCACCAAACCTCAATATCCACCCCACAACACCTCACCTAATGCACATTCGGTAGCACTGCCCTATACCTAGCTTGCCTCCCGCCGGCTAGCTGGGTATGCGCCGACGACAATGCGCGAGTTCATGGACTATATCCAGTCCGCCTTCTACGCTGCCACCGGCTGGAACCGCGACAATAGCTACTCCTCGCTCAACGCCACCTCCGATGCTCTTCTGAACTTCCCTACGCCTCGTGGCCTTCGCCTCACACTCTCCTCTCTCGCAACACCCCAGTTTGCAACTTCCTACCAGCTTGGCAGTGTGGGCATTGTGGATGGTTCTATATCGTACCTGTACTCGACGGTACCCCTCAGCAATGCTATTGCTCAGAGCGAGAAGATACCCCTGCCTGATCTCCTGAGGAGTTATCGCCCACTTGCGGAGTTGCCCCAGAGGACGAGAGGATTAGGCGGAAAGCTGATCAAAGATACGGTTTCCTATGGGAGGCTCTACTTGCCGGCGTCGATGCTGGAGGCGCTGGTGGTTAGGAGGGTTTCGCCTACGCTACAGTTGCAGCTGAGCGCCGTGTCGAGTGAGACGCTGCGGAATGGGGGTACCATCTTGGGTATGGCACAATACGACGAGGGTCGCTATGCGGTAGAGGGTCTTGCATCGACTGATGGTGGATTACTCGGAGTGCGCGGACTGTACAATTTCGGCGGTGATGTTGGACACCTGAACACGCCGGTTCAACTGGTAGCAGCTAATGGCAACGGAACGGGAAACGGCGAGCGAGAACGGATTTATGGTCGGTTCAGTACAGGCGCTGAACTATATTACGGAACATTGAACAAATCCGGCGGGATGAGTTTCGGTGCACGGTTCGCGACGCTGCCTACGCATAAAGGCACCCCTCTTACGGCGACTATGACTATCAACCCGCTGATGGGAAATATCAGCTGGAGCTACGCCGTCATGGCTGGGAGTTACTGCTCTCTCGCCTCGAAGATGGATTTTAACGTCTACAGCTACGAAAGCGATTGGGTGGTCGGCATGGAACTCTGGAGGAAGAGAGGATCTTGGTCTATCAACGAAGAATTAGACCAGGTACCGGCACCGGCACCAATTAGCGCTACGTCTGATGCTACGTCTGATGCTACGTCTGACAGGAGTTTCCAAGCGAAAATGGAATGGAGATTAGACGACACCCTCCCCAGTCCACCTCTAAACACGGGTGAGGTCGTGGCGTCGCCGAAAGAAGCAATCCAGAACCAGCCAAAGAAGAAGAAGGAAAGGAGTTTCCAAGCTAAGTTGGAGTGGCGGCTGGATGATCCAGATGTGGACCCGCCGGCCAATGAAGAAGACGAAGAGTACTCGGGCGTCCTGAAGGCGCGCCTAGATCAGCACTTACGAGTCGGTCTTTTGTGGGAGGGCCGAGTCAAGTCTTTGCTTTTTAGCCTTGGCAGTAGCATCGACCTAAGGCGTCTCGACTCGCCTTTTCGCACTTTGGGAATGGAAGTACAGTTCTCGTCGTGATGACCGAGAAGATGATTGACGACAAATGCAAACCTCGATCCCTTAGTGGGTTGTAGTCACGAAACCCTCGCAAAACGCCGCACCTGCATCGTTTGTCAAACTCGAATTGGAGATATATCATTGACCGATTGTAGAGTCATTTACGGTCGCATCGTCTGCTCCATCGGTGGCACAGTCCACTCGCGGTGATATTGGTCCTCCCGATATATTCCGCATATCCAAAAGAGTCGTTGAATTGACAATAAATGAAATTTGACGACAGGCAGGCGCGTCGAGTTAATATGTCATATTACCATGGGCAATGCTGCCATTCGGTGAGCCAGGGGGCTTGGACACCTTGATACCAGTTGTGTAGGTACATATCTGCCCTGGCTTGCATATTGGTGCGACCGGACTCGTAATGACCCCAAAGGCGGCCTCACCCTACGAATAGCCCTGCGACTAACACTTGCAAGGCGATTTGAGAGTACCTAGTTGATATAAGTTGGACCACGCGGAGGAGCGCCGCTCTAGGATCTCAGCATCCAGCATAATGTCCTCTTGCCGCAAGGGTAGCTACTCCCTACTACAGACATAAATCCGAGCCTCGTCTGACCTGTCATTTGGTTCATGACTATCGCATGATAGCCTTATCACTGGCGCCTAGAAAAGGGCCGCCTAAGAAGAAACTTGCTTGAACTACCCACCTGTACCGTATATGGCAAGCTGCTCGAAGTTGTTGGTCTTGGGTAAAACAACCGCATAAAAACGTTTATGCAGTTGGGGGCAGGTTTGGATGTACATAATGTGCCTTATAAGTAGACTCTACGTCTACACACATAAAATCAGGATCATTGACCAGAAATTCCTCTTGCCCTCACTCTCTCAATCATAATGTTGTGCCTTGTAAATTGTCAATCGAAAACCAAATATATATGTCGTAAAGGAGGGGTCATGCACGCCGAGACTTGGACGTAAAGGTGAGGTTCAGCTGGGACGGTCGGTACGTACTGGAGGCTGAGAACCTTGAGGGCCAGCCAAGCCCAGCTGAGTTAAGCGTAAAGATGGAGAACCTTGATGGGCGGGCTAATGCACCGACATGGGGTTTGAAAACGCCTAGCCGCGGTCCCAACCGACGTATCACAGCACCCTGAATTCTGATAGAGGGGGGATTATTCATGTCAGCAGGTGGTGGATATGTATTGGTACATAATCCTGCATGTAAGTAATAGTTAAATCAGAAGGAACTTTTCCGATTTTTGTGTAAGAGGGTCTATAATAGATGGACGAAGTGTTAAAGTGTCACCGAAGAGAGCGCGATTTGAGGGCATTGAGGCCTAAATATCTCAGGCGGACGATGCAGTTTGGTCGCGATTTCAACGTTCGTACCAACGTCGGTTTCCATACTTGTGATCTCGGTCTAATCTAATCTGTTAGACAGCCCTGGAGCGTCGCGAACTGAGATATGTTGCAACATTACGTAGTTCATATGGGGTAGTAGACGTTATTTTTACCTTTTATCACACGACAGCCAAGCCATGTGAACGCAATACCCGGGTGTCACGTTGCCCACGAAAGTAACTGGGAAATGCTTATTTCATGTAATGGTAAATTGATTAAATTGGAGAATACAAGATGCTTTATATGGGATAATGTTCAAAAAGGAAATCTGCAAGAAGGGTTGGCATAAACAAATCTGCTTTGGTTTACCGATGATGAAGCTTCATGTTGATCCAGGAAATATCAATTGATCAGATGGATAAACTACACAACTGTTAAGTAGGTATCAAGTAAAGTTGAGGAGTACTTATACTCCACCGGTAATCCCTGTCCACCGATCAGCCAATGATTGGCCAATAAAGCGAAGATCCTTGTTCCCATTTCCGAGGAAGGAATGGCCGCCCGATTATATGGTTCCAGTCTAAGCCGTTCTAAGCAATCTTGGGCCAGAGCCCAGCGGAGAGGGACTAGAAGGACCAACCACTTTGCTGACAATTATTTCAACTTGGTGCGGTTGTGGTTGCAAGTCCGGTATTGTTTTTGGCCATCAAGGTCCTCACTTTTACCGTGATCATGACATTCTGCGACGTTTGTCTCTCTTTAGCTCGCCTAGTTTTTCTCAGTGCCTCTCCTACTCCCTCTTCAAATCCCTCGTCTGATTTTTCCTTCCTCCCAGGCCCTTGGATGTGCCCACTCTACTGGAGCGTTCCCGCACACAAAGTAACCGTACCGTTACCTTTTTACTTTTAATAGACAAGCTGAACAAATTAAATTCCATAATGAAGCTTAGAGATAAAGGGTGTTATGTCATTTCCGTCATTCTGCCCTATCGTCTGCCCTGGTTCGGTCTGTATACTTTGTGTAATTATTTGTAACATGTATAACATTCGTAACCTTGGGCCATCCATTCATATAGAGGCGTCGGGGCGTCTAACCTTGAACTCACCCTCCTTGTCTAGAACCCTGGATTTCTTCAGCTAATCTGAAGCCACCATACTTCCCGTCCTTTAACTTTTCCACGCTACGCTAGTTACTTACCTAACCTTGTTGTAGCCTTCAACTCGCCGCCATCGTCCCCAAGGATCTAGCCTCTAATCCGGTTGTCGTGTCTGTGGGGCTTACGGTCTTCGCCGTGGTTCTCGTCGTAGTCTTTGCTGTGGTCTTCGTCAAAGAGCTCACCTATCCTTCACGGGCTTTGCTAGTCTTTGCCGTGTTCGCCGTGGTTCTCGCCGAATACTTGGTTTTCGACGCCGTCTTCTCACCCTCACACGCGGGTACCTGCCACGGATAGGATCTACGTGGATTCCAATAAAAGTGTATTCTTGGATCACTCCCGCTCTCTGCAGGATCGTACATCTTTCCGGAACCTTCAGCAAGATCTTCTAGAAAGCTACGAAGCGTGGAGAATAATCTACCTATAGAAACTTATCCATTTCACGTTGTAAAACGCGCATCTATTTTCTCCCACACCAACACCAACGTTATTATCACCATTGTTGGTGCCATCCGCCAAAACAATCCATTTCTTTATCCTTTAGAAGAAGGACTATTTATTCTACGAGACTGGTACTCGTATCCGTAAGGCCTGGGTTTTTCTCCTCAAAGGGGAGGGATAGGAAGCATCAATATCATCCACCTCCAGTGCTTCAACAGGTAAGACGCATTTTCTTATCATCAGCCCATTCCCCAACTTGGGGTTTTTACTATTTCCGCCCTCACTTGTTCATCACGATTTAGCATGGAAACCCATGAATTTGGGTACGTAACAAGCTTTTCCTGCGCATGGTATTAGGTTGACGGCGTAAAGCCATCAAGGTTCCCTTTCGCGTGAGCCTTCTCCGATTAGTGGCTCTAGTTCCATGTAAAATCCCACTTCCTTTCCCATAAGGAGATTGTTCTTCTTCATTCAAGGACATATTACCAAGTTAGGACATACACCTTGTTGGGACATTCCTTTATTCTTGAACAATCTCACCGAACCCTCCCTACCAATTTTCTGCGGCTGCAAGGACAAGAATTTTTATACCTGCATCTTCCCGCTCTTACATACCCGCTAATTCTATTCTTTAGCCTTGGGACGTTACGAAAAGTTCTGAACCAATATTCATCTGGAGTCCTCCTTGCGCTCTCGACAATCTTCTAGCGTCTAGTTAGAAAAAGGTCAACTACAAGGATCTTCATCACTATCGTACTTATCCTTACGCGAAACTACCTCTATTGACTTGGTCGTCGAAGCCTTTCAAGATGTCCCTCTTACATCAGGTCTTGGGCGCGGCCCTACGAGCCCGACAGGACGATGCGTCCGATGCCCCTGAGGCAGGATCCAGTGTAACAGTGGATTGTGATACCGGCAACGATTACGACGGACGAATGGGCCTGCGAATTTCCGCCATTTTCGTCATCCTCGTCGGTTCGCTTATCGGCGCCGTCTTACCCATCTGGCTGGGACGCAGCTCAAGAATGAGGGTAAACGGAACGGCATTCTTCATTGCCAAGTACTTCGGTTCGGGAGTCATCATTGGGACAGCTTTCATGCACCTCCTATCGCCCGCGTTCGACGCCTTGAATTCGCCATGCCTTCCTGATGGGCCTATTACCAGCTACGACTGGGCGGCAGGTATCTGCCTCATGACCGTCTTTACCATGTTTACCATTGAACTACTCGCCAGCCGCTTCGACTTCTTCGGACATAACCACGGTAACGACGCTAAGGCCATCGACCACTCCGTGGATGCCCTTGGAAATGGCGCTCAAGGTACTCCCATGGCCGACCGCGACATTGAAGCCGGCTCCGCTACTAAGGAGAGCGCAGGCGGTATGAACGGACTGCCCACAGACGTTAGTTACCCGCCTGGCGGTGACGACCACCTTGGTCACCAGCGCGAGCACCACGAGAACGATAACCACGCCGTGTTTGCCGCGCAGATGACCGGCCTCTTTATCCTTGAATTTGGTGTTGTATTTCACAGCATCTTCATTGGTCTTACGCTGGCTGTCGCCGGAGACGAATTCACCGTCCTGTACATCGTCCTCGTCTTCCACCAGACCTTCGAGGGCCTCGGTCTCGGCTCCCGACTCGCATCCGCAACGTGGCCTAGTTCGAAGTGGTGGATGCCGTACGTTCTGGGACTGGGTTATGCGCTCAGCACTCCGATCTCTATCGCCATCGGCCTGGGTGTGCGCGCGACTCTTCAACCCGGAAGCCCCAAGACTTTGATTATCAACGGCGTATTCGACTCTATCAGCGCTGGTATCCTTATCTACACTGGATTGGTCGAGCTCCTCGCCCACGAGTTCATGTTCAACGAGTACATGCGCAACGCCGGCCTCAAGGTCCAACTCGCTGCGCTTGGATGCGTGGCGCTGGGTTGTGGATTGATGGCCGTGTTGGCCAAGTGGGCTTAAATTTAAGCCTACCTAACGAACGGAATCGAACCGAGCCGAACCGAACGAAGAGAGAGAAAGAAGGAATTTGACGGTTCGGTAATCTAGATGATTACTCCAAGGGCATAAGGACATATGGATCCTAATCTCGACTTGAAATCAGCATAGAATCTTGCTATTGCTCTGCTTTACTAGTTGATATGGGGGAAATGGAATATCTCATAACGGAATGAGATAAAACAATGAATCGAATTAGGATGGAACGATACGACAACGGTTATCGATATCCCGGCACATTACAAGGGCGCTTTGCATATATGGGATATCACATCTATCACATCTCGATTCCTACCCAGCTCTTTTTTTTTAAATACTTTTTACGGATTTTTCTCGAAGTCTGACCGGGATCAGATTTTTTTCGAGCTATCAAACAATCAGATGGGTTACGTACATACAACGAATGGGTGTATGTACCGTGCTTATGGGGAATGGAAAGGATATCCCATCTGGAATTTCTGCAATATTTGCACGGCCTTGGCGCACGAATGGTTGCATGAGAGGGACTCGGACTGGCTATATAGAATGGGTCGCTTGAGCTAATACATTTCTGCTGTTGCTATATTTTGTTCCTGGTGTTTCTGATGCGTGATGTGATTGATCATTAGGTATAGGGAAGTTCATGATATAGCCGCCGTCTACCTAGGGGTGCTTGTCGAGAGTTCTTGTAGACGGCAGCTGTGTGGCTTCCATTGACGTTAACGTGGCATGTCCGGTGAGTGTGTCGTTCGTACTGTGAGCCCCCCTACCCCCCCGATCCAGGTTCCTCGAGAATATGACTTGTGATAGAAATTCGAAGCTCTGACACTTTTTGCTTTTTTTTTTCTTACGCCCCCGCACGCCACCGGATAGTTGCCTGGCTCATCCTGCTCGCCTCGAAGAGCTGCTTGCCCGTCTTTCACGCACGGTATGCTTCTAGTTAGCTGGAAAAGCAAGAGGCTGGCTGGGCCCTATGGCTCATCCTTGATACTGTACCTACCCCGTGAATTGTGTGTTCATGTTTTGGGAGCATGGTGAAGAAGGCGTTTTGTAGGTGTGCGTCTTCTGGGTAGTCTGTTAAGCCCGTTGCTAGCATTATAAGGTGTGGGTGAGCTGTGAGTCGAGGTTCTTATTGCCAGGTAGGTAGGTAGGGTTGATAGTCATGCAGGTATCCTTTCCGTCCTCGAGCACAGACGGGAACGGCGTAATCATCCCCTACCTCCCGCTCACTGGACTATAAGTGTTTTCGTCTGCCTAGTTTGCTTATATACTACAAAGCTACCTGTCTTCTCACCTAAACTCTTCTCTTCTCACTTGACAACCTAGGAGTAGTCTGGGAATATCATCATCTCTAGTAAGCGTTGATCCTCTTCTTACGTGTATCTTGTAATAAGATCTCTATGTGCCTTCTTGGATATATATTGAGTAGATTCCTGTTAAGAATCTGAGCCATCCCCGAACGATACTTGTTACCATTATTTAACGTCGTAGTCGAAGGCGTTCCCCCTTGACTGTAATCGCCCCGTTTAAGACTCGTCTCCTTATTCACTCTCATGCTACCTTGAAAAAGTAGGATTCAAGACTTTCACCGCATCGACTAACATATAATAGTATACTTAGATTTCACCCACAAATATGGACGATAACCTCTATCTCCCCGCCGACCCCGAACTCGGCTTAAGACCTATTCACCGGGCATGCCTTAGGGGTGACTTCGAAGCCGTCGTTAAGCTAGCTTGCCAACCGGGCATCATCGATGCACCGACCGAACCTCAGAACGGGGTGAAACGGGGACTTCGTGAAACACCTATGTGGGTGGAGTGACACCATCTCCTTACTACATACATACCGCAATGTGGGACTCTCCAGCATAGACGGTGCTAATCCGTGCCCTGCAGCAAGCTCGCGGCGCTCATGGGCCATGTCGATATAGTATGGTTCCTCGTCGAGCAGGGCGCTGCCCTGACCCACGATCGCGTCCTCGCCTCGTCGTATACGGGAAACGAAGGTCTCGCGGCACGCCGGAGGGACTTCTTCCTCAACACAGTTGGAATCGGCCGAGAGCACCCCGATGCTGAGAATACGCGCAAGATCATCTTCGACATCCTGTCTTCACCTGGTCGTAGGAGCGTCGTTCGAGCTAGTGAGTAAACCCGAGTTTCTCAGGCGTTGGCGTCTCCAAGAAGCCATGATATACAACCTTGAGTTTGTTAGATAGTCAGTTATTGTAAGGAATTTATCTTACTAACTAACCCCCTTTCTTTTACAGTGCGCGGCCCGCGCTCTGACCTCGGGTTCCCGGACTACAAGCTGGCGAAGCAAGGGCGGGACATTGTGGTCTTCGCGCCCGTGCTGCGGATCCGGTCCGACATCCCGCTCGACCGCAGCAAGACGATCGGTATCATCACGTCCAAGGCCGCCTCGGGTGACATCCTGATGTCGGCGCACAGCGGTTTCCGGGCCGGCGGCGACCGCCACGACAAGTGCCTCGACACGAACCAGTGGAACTACGTCGCGCTCCACCACATCGCGAAGCTGCTCAAGTTCCACTTCCCGGGCAACAAGCACGACAACGGCCCGAAGAAGCTGGAGGACGACATACATAGGGGGCGCGCCCACGCCGGACACGTCGAGGTTTTGCTGGCGGCGTGGTACGCGGTGGAACTGACTAATAAGCAGAGGTTGGCGGCGAATGGCGGACAGGGGAAGATGAGTTTGGACTGGTGCCTTGCGAATTTGCATACACTGAAGCACGCGACGCTGGGACAGGCGCGGTCCGCGGTCATCATGATCGACTCGCAGCCTTGTGCCACGTGCCTCAAGTTCATCAATTACCTCTTCCAATACACGGGCGTACACTTTTCCGTGAAGGGAGCCGTGGGCATAGGCCCGACATTAGCCACCAAGGACGAGAGAACCGGTGTTAGGCTTGATACTTTCGGGGACGTGTTTCTGGAGCAGGATATTGACGGGGCGGATGATTATGAGGAGTCGGCTTATCTTGACACTGAGATTGAGACAGTGTTGGAAACTCCTATAGCTCAGGGGGTTCCGGGTGGTATCCGGGATACTATCGAGGGTAATGGGGACGAGGAGGATGATGCCATGAGCGTCCACGCACAAGCGCAAGCGGCAAGTGAAGCATTCGCAAGGATATCGAGCTTCTCACCGGCAAACATGGATACCGAAAATGTGCCCATGACGACTCCTGCTCCGGAACCCGTCACGCCCCAACGCGCCGCTCCCTTCACGCCACTGCGGCCGCGCATGCGATGGGGCGTGCCGGATTCTGGTCCTCGATCTAAGAGAGGAGATCCGTTTGGCAACATCCCCTCTCGCAGACCCGCGAACCCGGACGAGCTGATAGCCGAGTACAAGAAGAAGACGCCGGTGTGGACTTGGCCGGGGTACGATTCAGCGGAGCCATCGTTTGTTCCGTTTTGCCAACCTCCTCGTGTCTCCCGTGGTATCCTCGGTTCCCCGATGCCGCTTGCGCTACCAGGGGCTGCTGGCCGTACGTTAGTTACGGATGGCAATATGCCCATTAAAGATATAAATGGCGACTCGGCCATCGTCATGGATGAAGGAGGTACGGGAGAAGGCCCTGTGACAGGGGAAGATCCGATCATCGTCGACATGGTAAACGACGACGTCTCATATCCGTCTCCGCCCAGGAGCTGCCTTATCCGCGACACGTTCGCCGCGTTCGACGCCCAAGTCAAGAACCACTTCGGGGACACCCCGACGCTGACGGGCCAAAAACGGGCGGCCTTCTCGTACAGCAGCTTCCAACCGATCCCTAACCCGGCTCGTCAGAAGGCCAAAGAAATGGCCAGGAACCTTAACACGGCCATGGAAGAACCTCCACTCCAGCCTCCATCACGGGCACGCGTAGACCAAATCCACTCCGAAACTCCCATGCAGCTTAACTCCCCGGATGATGAGGAGGGCTACGTCCACGTACCCGACCTCTTCCCGCTTTCCCCATCCCCACAACCCCAACCCCTGTCACAGCAATCGCAACCCTTCTCACCATCCTCACAGCCACCCTCCCAACCACAACAACCCCTCCTCTCGCAAAACGGCTCGCGCTACTACGCCGCAGCTCTACTAATGGGCGCCGAATCGCCGGACCCCACGCCCTGTCCAATGCCAGTTCCGACTTCAGCTCCAAACTTACCCCCGTCTCCCGCGCCAACAACCACACCCTCAAACTCAACCACAACCGCGATCCTAACTCCAGCTGCAACCCCCGTCCCCATCCCTGCCCCCAAAACCAACCCAAAGCCGGCGGCCCCGGGTCCGCTGAACTTCCAACGATGGCGCTTCGAGCCGCATCCGCATCCGCAGCCGCGGCCGCGGTCGCGGAAGCCGTGGCTGGCGGAGCAGCAGCAGCAGCAAGAGGTGGTCTCGAAGCACTTCTCCGGGCCGCGGCTGGCATGGCATCAACAGGGGCTCGTCTCCTTCCCGGAGGTGACGGGGATGGGGAACGGGGTGGGGCAAGAAAGGCGGGACGGGGCTGGGAGGAAGGGTTAGGATCCCGGTTCGGTTTATCTATGAGGGGTATATGGTTTTAGGGGTTTGATGCTGGAAGTTGAATGAGAATGTGGGATTTGGCTGGTGATATAAGGGTATTAGGGGAATGGGAGGTAAGCTAAGTTAAGGTAAGGTAAGAAAGTAAAGAGCAGAGATACGACATGCCTGGAAGGTGGAAGGGATGTAAGGGGGCGGGATGTTTGCTGTGGACTACGATAAGGAGTCAGGGGGAGTCGGGGATAAAAATGTAAAATGGTGAGAGCAACCACATTCATTATAAATGCCAGATAGTACTCGTCTGTTGCAGTCATTCATTCAATCATTTATTCGTTTCTACAAACTGTAGTATGAGAAAAGGATAACTCTCATAAAAAGTATATGAAAAAGATGGGAGGGAGCAAAAAAGAACCCACAAAGCTCAGTTAAACGAACCTCGATTTGGGAGTCAGGGGGCTTGTCACGAAAAAGTTTCTGGCTGGAAGCTGTCAACGTCGGTTCGCTGTTGTCGAATGTCACCCACTCATCAGTTAGAGATATAGCTGCCGCACCTACCCAGGCAACAGCCCGGATTTTAACCATTGTCAAGATACACGGGTACATACCTCTACGGTCACGTATATATATGTGTATGGACATATTGATATGGATGTGCTTGAGCCTTCATGTTGCGGCATTATCTACACACACACCCACCCACATCCACACCCAGGTAGGTATGTAGCGCCCGAAACGATAGCCCAGATAGATAGTCACTTAAGTTAAACTCTGATTTGTCATGGGGAAATGCGAATGCAAAATTCGCCAATCAATTCATTCAGCCAGCCATTTTCAGACGCCGTGCCCAGAGACCTATGCTACCTAGACCATAGTAGAATCATTCCCGCATGGTATCATCATTTATTCCTCATCTTCCTCCTCGTCAGCCTCAGCGGTGGTCTGGGCAATTCCTATAGGAAGTTAGTTTATGTTGTAAAAGAGACTAGAACGGGTTGGGATAAAACATACGGTCCAGATCTCGCTGGCCGGACTGGGTGATGCGGCGGCCACCGGTCTCCTCGTCCTGCTCGAGGACACCGATCTTCTCCAGAGCCTGGAGGATTCGGCGGTCGACAGCACCGGAGCCGTCGACGTGCTTGGAGGGGCGAGTACCCCGGTTCTTGGCGGTACCGTGAACCTTGCGGAGACGGCCAACACCGACGGTCTTGCGTAGGTAGACGTGGCGGGCGACACTGGCGGCACGGACGTAGAACCAGTCAATGTTCTGAGGGGGGAGTTCGCGCGAAGGGCCGGTCTTGACGGTATCAACCCAACCTGGACAATCGAATCAGTATTGATGTTTTGGAATGGTTAATGGAGAGGAGATAAAACTTACCGGGAATGGGCAGCTTGCCCTGTCGCTTCAAGAAGCCGGCATACGCGTTGATGAACTTTTGCGCCTACATTATCCGAAAACCCATCAGCAAATATTCCGTCATCAGAAGTCTTGCGACTCCCTCGCGCCTGCTCTCAAGAATTTCCCATTGCTAGCATCAAGTCTCGCTGCTGCTGCTTCCGGTGGGTATATTTCTCGATTGACGATATCTCTCTGCTTCGTGCTCGTGAATGAACGCCGACTTCGAAGTTGCACAGTTCATTCACGGCGGCGCATGCAAACTACATGTGAAAGGTGAAGAAACCTACATCAACATCGCGAACGGAAACACCGCCAGTCATTTTTGCGGTATTGGATTTGTTTTTGTCGGTGGAAGGTGTATGGAGGTTCGGTTGATTTCGTCGCGCAAGAAGTTGGCTGTGTGCGGTAGAGAGGTGTGAGGTTTGAAATTTTGGGAGAAATTGATTTGGTAGTAATTCTGACGAGTTGGATGTGGGGCACTAAGATCTGTGGTTAAGATAAGCTGATTAGGGCAGACTCTTCCATTTTGGAAAAATAGACGATTCAGTGAGTGGACCGTGCACAGGATCCACACGGTCCTCCACCTCAACCCGACGCTGCGGATCCGTTGGCTTTGGGGAAACCCCTATCCCGAATCTCACTGTACCTGAATTATCAGGGTTAAATGAAATATGAGCTCCGATATCAATATCTTCAGTAAGAGCATATTGTATTTCCTCCTAGATGAAGTCCTCTTCAATGTTGAGGTCTACTTTACCTACCTCTCTTCAATATTAACCATCCCCGCCGCACCTAGATTGGAACATATACAGATATCATACACCATAAACAACTCTTCTTTTGTTAAAAGTCCAGATGGCCCCTTGCTATTTGGAAGATGGACTCTACAAGGCATACAAGAACCTCCTCAATGTTCTTTTTCTTAGTACATGGTGCAAGCAGCTTCCTCCAACACGACTGCTCAGGTCCCCACCTGTACGTAGACATGTACAGATGCATGGCTAATAAGCTTAAAATTTAACAGCGAAATTCTACATGGCCAAACCTAATAGTTTCCAGTAGATCTGAGGAATGACGTACCTAGCAGTACGTCAGTTACCAGTGATATACCAAGTTGATACCTACCTAGGTAGGTAATCAATAAGGATTGAACGTCGTGTTCATAGGTCTAACGAGTGTCATGTGTACTACCCAGGTATGGGCTAGGTATTGGCGGTACCGAAATCTAAACGGTGCTTCCCGGCTGCTTAATCGATCTTCGTCCAGTCAGAGAAGCCACTCGGACCTATACTTTCATTTACAGTTTAAGGTTCACGATGTGCTTCTCTTAGCGGAAAGCTAACATCTTCTGTTGGGACCAATTCATGGCTAATACATGTCTCCGATGCTACTTTCCGTCGTCCGGCGCTTTCGAGAAGTCTATACTTGCCGCAACAAGACTTCGGAACTGATATAAACTGAACTTTGTTCATTGTTTTGGCTGTGATCTTCCTGTCATGTCTGAAATTAAGCAGATTCAATTCTGCATTTCACTTCTATGCATTGCATTGCTTGTCCGATATCGTCAATGTATCTACTAGCTTTTAATCTGGTTCTGTCCACGAGACCTGATCGTCATTCGGTCACCTCTATACATCTCCCGTTCGTTGAAATCCTCATAATCATCAGCTATGAATAACAGTAACTACTCACTTCTCTCACGACGGAGCTCCAACTCCAGCACTCACCGTTTTGGGCGACTGCCTTGCTTCGGCAACATTCACTTGAAGCGTTTCCCAAGCACGCGCACCTTGGATTCACATGCCCTGGCTGAGTATCATGGTGAGCTCGATGCTCTATCTCAAGATTGGGAAACGCGCGTATTTGAGTACTGGGAGATGTACTGGGACAGAATGAGCTCCGTTCAGGGGAGCATGGGTCAGGAGGAGCCTCTAGAGTATGTCAACTGTTCATCCTCCGCACAAGCTGGGTCGCTGCATCCATCGAAGTCACTCAAAGACTACCTTCGAGGGCTCGCGACACTCAACAAGCATATACAACAATACTACAAGCAACAAGAGTTAAAACGGCACCAGACCAAGGCAATCAACACTAAGCAGAAGATCGATAAGAAGTATCGCAGTCAACTTGGAATGAGGATTCACGAGACCACCATCGAAGATTTTCCAACTAATCTCGACGAGATGACGTGCTACTGGGATCCATGGTACGTCACGGAACCTGAGCCTCGGCCATACATGAGACCCAAAATCGGAGGCAACTACATCGTCAATGAGTATTACTCATCTGACCATAAGCTACGATTAAGAAAGGTCTACCAGAAGGACGGGGAGGCTACGGTGACCTCATGTCTTCGACCAGATGAGTTTGATAAACTCGACGTTACAACGCTGTATATTTACGACCCCAATCGCCAACCTGACGAAGGCTTCAGCTCATGGACGGAGAGAGATGACGAAGATGAAAAAGAGGAAACTAAGGTTTGAAATCCATGGAAGAGCAAGCGTGAGCGGATAGAAGATAGACTATAGAGCCAACTGCTTCACCATGCATGGTGCCTCTCGTTTACATCCCCGTGTGAATCTGGCCAGGAACCCTCTCTAGACTTTATTTCACTCTTAACTCGCAAATGGTACTGCTAATTACTCAACCACACAGGAAACACTCAGGACGTTTTGACCATGCGGGGTTATCCTTGAGCTAAGCATGTAGTCTTCAGGAGGCGAGATGCTTCACTCAGCCGTTCATTTAAGCTATTCGGCTCACCTGAAATCTTAACCTTAGCAACCTCCAACTTGCACGTCAACTTTAGGTAAACCATCGAACATTTTTACATGTGAAGACGACCCAACGCTCAACGGTAAAAGTACCACTAGAGCTTCCGGGAATCTTACACCACACACACGACCACACACACAGACACACACCCACACACACCCACATGAACACACTTGAGCAAAGTCGAGACAGGAAAAGAGAACCGCTTGCTATTTGAACTCCGGAATTCCCACCTAAGCACAATATATACCAAAGTACTATATGTACCTATATCACTCAAACGCACTTAACCTGGCCCGGCCTAACCTAACCTATATCCACACCTTGTCATCGGCGCGGTTCGTCTCCAGGTAATCCAGCACCTCCTCGTAGTTCTTGCAGACGTGCTTGGCGTCCCAACCGTCGCTGCCGTCGAAGCCCTCGGGGAAGGTGGTCTGCTCGCCCTCGAGCGCCACGTCGCCGCAGCACATGATGCTCTGCCGCAGGTAGTCGAAGCAGTGGTTCAGGTGCCACGGCGTCTCCTTCGGCACGCGGCTCGCGTCTGATGTGAGGGCCGAGTAGGCTTCGGCGATGGCGTACTGGGTGGGGGATGTTAGCTAGGTTACTCATCTACTTACTATACCTACTTAGGTGTGTCCATGGGTTGATCTACCTATCGTACGTAGGTAGACGAAGAGGGGAGGAGAAGAGAGGTAAGGGGGATCGGGGAGGAATTTACCAAGCAATGCAGCTGGTGCGTCATCGACGACGTGACGACGAATTCGCCGGGGTATGAGTTAAGTCGCGCGGGCAGGTTATCGTAACTCTCCGCATTCTTGATCTTTAGGTACCCCAGGCCCTCTATTCAACGGCGGAAAAGTCCGATTAGCTTGCTGCTCTCACATGTATTTGTCAGTTGTCAATTGGCTGGGTATGTACTTACTCGGCACCAGGTCCAGCCATTTCTGCTTAGTCTCCTTGGAAAAGAACTCGGACGTGTTTTCCGGGACGAAGCCCGGGTCCGGGGAAAACGTCGTGATCTTCTGCGAGAATTCCGGCGCGAACCCCGTCAAGTCCCCGCCTCCCTCGAATAGGTGGTATCTGCTGTGGCCGGTCCAGCTGCTTCCTAGGAGAAGCACTATGATGACCACTAAGAGAAATGTGTCGACTATCCACCAGTACTCCTTAAGAACGGCGCGGAGCCCGCTTTCGTCCTCCTTCTTCTCCGTCCGCGACTCTCCGTTCAAGTAGTCCTTCTCATTCAGATCGAGGGCCTCCAAGTCGACGTCCGTGCTGCTCGAATCATCGTGTTCCTCCTCGCGAACGGTGTCAAGCGACCGGTATTCATCTTTCTGTTTTCTGACGTCCTTCATCTTTTCTTATTTTTTTTTTCTTTTACCTTTCCGCCTCTGAAACTTGAAACCTTGGAAACGGCTCTGCCGCCCGACTTGTAAGAAGGAATGGCTTACGTATTAAAATTATAGCGTCGAAAACCAAAAAAGGGAGCTAGGATCCCGCCCCGCTAAGAAGAGAAGGAAGGAAGGAAAAAAAGGCGTCGTAACTAAATGACGCGTCTAGACTCTAAGCCTCTCTATTAAATGAGCGTCCAGCGAAATCAATTTAAAGATTCGAGGTGGAATTAGAAAAAATAGGATAGAAGGTAATTATTGAAATGCGGATAAAATAGAAACAGAGGGATTGGAGATCAGACGATCAAAGACCCCGGTGTTCTGCGACTTGAGGTGTCGAGGCATGCGATGTGAAACAGGAAACGTCGCGGCACTTGCCCAGCGCTCCTCTTGCCGCATCCTACATAGATGTACCACGTCCCTCATAGATTCGCCAATCGCACGTTTTCCCTATTTATCGTAAGATTGGAAGCTGTCCAAAGCTCTGAATTGATCATGTACACCTGATAGCCACAGTAAACCATTCTTCGATGCTTCGTAATGTAGGAAATACCTACCTCTCCTGCCCTACCCATATATTACTGTCTTCTTCGATCTGCCAAACGCTTTTTAACGAGGGTATTCTCAAAGGCTGGCTTATAATTAGAGATTCGAGTCCGGTCTGTATTGTACACATATTTGGTACTGCAGCCTGGCAATATCTCGAGGGTTCCATCACCTGATCCTAAAAGAGAAGGTCCCTAAGACAACCTTCGTCAGTGTAGTTAACTGAAGAATTAACCTTGGATTCGCTGAAGGAATCATATGTCTAGTAGGTATGAATATCTCGGAAGCTAGATTCGGGGAGGGGTTCTGTTACATTAGAACTGGTATGGTATCTCATCAGGGATGGAACCTATAGTCGTTAGCTATGTCAAAGAGCGAGATATTCTTAACAAGAGACTCGCTGATAGATAACATATATTGGTTTGTATTAACGCCTGAGTCCTTTAATTCCAAGGGGCGGAAGGCCTTCTTTATATATTGGCCAGATAGCGCCCCTGTGGAGTCCACTTGAATCGCCTTCTAAAGAGTTCGGGTCTGGAAACGTCGAACCTCTCCCGGGTCGAATCTCATAGTTGGTGCTCAAGAGATTCTTGTAAAATACTCCAATCCTTGTCTTTTGTTCAAGGCAGGGTGCTGTCTTCGGCAGTTTGTGGCCAACCTTTGGACATTAAAGCCTTCTAGATCATATCTCATCTATCACGAGGCGGAACTAAAGAGAAGGCAAGCAACGACGTTATTGCGCGAGGAGCTCTAAACTTTCTCGACCAGGGACTACGGTGTACATACAGGAAATGCCCTTTGTCTACTCTGCTTCAAGACCAGCCACCAACAGGTCTCAGCAAGACCTCCCACGGTCTCCCAAGGGCCGAACTCTCACTGGGCCGAAGTGGTGCTTCTTGTCGTACACCTCTTCGAAGACCTGTTGTTACCATCATCCGAAATCACCAGTCCACGCGAACCATGTACTGCCGGGGCGAATAATATGTCGTCCTCCAATATGTATTTGAAATGCCTGACAGAAACATACTTCACATTTCTTCGACAATTCATCTTCTACATATTAAGGTCTGCTTCGATACTCCTGCTCGTCCAACCCGCCAATCGAGCCGCCACCGTCTCTCCTAGCTGGGAGAGCGACGCCCGCTCTTCCAGCTGAAAGGCTTGTCATGGCGCCTAGTAATAGCCATCGTTGTTGTCTTCGCTATCGCTAGCTGAGTCGTTTTCGTCTAGATCGACGTAGCCGACCGAGGACTCTTCTTCTTTGCGGATATACTTTCCATGCTTATCCTTCGGCCATGGGACCATCGAAAACACTTCGCCGGTCGTCCTGTCGATCTTTAGTTGTTGGAAGAACAGCCGCGCCGTGGTAAATATGGCGGTCCTAGTCGCGTCAAGGGTTGACTTGTCCATACATGTTATGTATGCAAGGTTTTGTAGATCCTCCTGGATTTGCTTGGCAGCTTTGTTGCTGGCGTTCTCCTTCATCATAGCCCCGATGTGGGAATGGGCTATGTCGTTCCTTTTGCTATAGTTCGTAATGGAATTACGGGCCTCGAGATACGCGACGAAACACTGGTCGTCGGTCAACTTCTCGAGGAGGTCAATCATTGGGGTCGAAGGGGGAAGTTCGTTCCTCCCATCTAGTTTCTTCGAAGCCCATTGTGCTACCTTCGTGTCTTCTCTAGACAGGATATCGTCTATCTTTGCCCAATGTTCGTGAACAAAGGTATTTGCTGCTTCCTCCCCCGCCTCGTCGAGCTGGGATGGTGATGATGGGGGTGACTCGCTATCCTTCGTCACGCCTTCTGGTTCTGCTTCATGTGAAGGCTTGAGTTGGATTGGTTTGCTAGGTCCGCCTTCGTTCATCGCCTCCCTTTCCCACTTTCTGTGTTTTTTCATCTGCCTCTTTAGGCGATTTTTGGCTGCCTTTCTCTCCCTAAGTAGTGTCCGCCTCAGGAAGTCGCACGCTCGTGCAAAATAGTCTTCGTACCGGATGAAGAATATATCAGAATTTAGCTTGTCCAAACGCGCTTTGGCCTGCGCGTACTTCTCATCCGTGGCGAGGCGTTTCGCAACCTGTTCCTTCAACATATTGGTGATAACCCGTTGTATTCGCTTCCTTGGTGCTGACTCTGCCAAAGTCTGTATCTTCGTATGTGGCCATAGGCTGATTTATCCTTATTTCGGTTTCTGGCCTCATAACCCTCATCCTCTCCGCATTCTTCCTGTGCAATAGATCCCTGAGCCACTCAGTTGTTTCTGTTATGTTTGATTGGGTAGGCTCTCTATCCTCGGCCAGAAAGCAGCGCTTTCGAACAGTCAGAGTGCCAGAGTACAATAAGTACCTAGGGAAGTCGCATATATAAGGTCTTTATCTCTTAGTTTTGAAGAGGTTCGGGCGTTAATAGAGTTAATTACCAACCTCTAATTGCGAGCCACCGGCAAGCCTCTGGTATCTACCTCCTACTCGAGACTAGCCAGCAACTAAGGACCCCATCCCTGACACAAGCCTTGAAGAGCAAGGTTTTTCGTTACCCGACATTCTTATAGTCAGTGAATTTCGTCAGAAAGCTTGGATAACGGGGAAAATGACCGGATACTGGTTAATGAGCTAGAGAAGATAGTTCAAACGAACAAACGGAACATTGAAATAGATGTTCAAGTTTCGCAACTAGGTGGATAGGAACGTATTTATACGCGGAAGTGAAAAGTAATATGCTCAGGTTGGTTAGAAGAAGTGCAAGTCCTAATGACGTAGGAAAGAAGTTGCGGCGTCTAAATAAGTTGAAATATAAGCGCAATTTCCTATGCTGTGTAAGTTGCGTGCAGGCGCTTTGCCATAGAACCCCGGGATTCTTTAATTTTGATATCCTGAGAGGTAGTTGCGACGTTTTAAGTTTTAACTACCTCTAGGTACCTCTTTACCTTTCCATCGCTGAAGGTAAGAAGGTACATGATTACATGATGGCGGCGTAGTCATTGCACGACCCCTGACTCTTACCTTGGCTGCGGGAGCGTAGGGCTCCGTTATTCTGCTCAAATCGGCAACTAGCCGACAGCGGCGGGAACCCGCCTGCATTCTCGCATAACGGCTGAGACATGATGGCCGACCGCTCCTGATTGGCTGGAAAGAAATATATGCCTTACTACATAGGTGCGCCTGGTACGGCATAGTGTAGTCCTAGTAGCGCTATCCATACCTAACGTCCGACTTCGTGATATGTTAGGTAAGGAGGAAGTCGTTTACTATAAACATTACTTGCATATAAATATATATATATTTCAAGATAATTTCATTAGTACTTGGTCTTCCTATTTCAATTAAAGACTTGCCATAAAAAACTGTTTGAGCAGCCGGCTTTCGCGACATCGGACACAGGAGGACGGCGCCACCATGTCAAAGCCGTCACTACCTCTCAAACTCCCACGACGAATGGTCTGGGGTCAAAGAAAGGACATTGGAGCTCCCAGCTATGCATCGCTTACGTCATTATTCAGGGACGCACCGCCACAGCCGCAATACCTCGAATCCGACCTAGGGACCACCGCTCTCTACGAGCTGCCCCCTCCCTCAGGCCGATCAGAACGCCACGTACTAATCATCCACGGCCTAAACACGCCCGCGCTCGGCCTGTGGCCTCTAGCGAAGGAGCTGCAAGCCCTGGACCCGGATGCCCACGTCGCGCTCTTCGATCTCTGGGGCCACGGCCTGTCCTCCACGCCCCTGGTGGCGCACACGCCGCAGATCTTCCACTTTCAGATATTCCAAGTCTTGGGGTTCCTGCGGTGGACGCGCGCGCATGTCGTCGGGTATTCTTTCGGCGCGTCGACGGCGGTCGGGTTTGCGCTGCACAATCCCTGGATTGCGTTGTCCGTGGCGTTGCTGGCGCCTGCTGGCTTGTGTCATAAGGGGCTTTGGGGTGAGCGGGTGCAAGACCTCTTGGATAATTCGGAGGGCAGAGAGGGGCAGGCGATAGACGCCGTGTTAGATTGGCTTGAAGGGGGGCCACTCGTCATCCCGGCAGATTGGCGGGAGCGGGTGAATGCTGGCGAAGTCGTCGCCGAATTGCTTCGGGAATGGGAGCTGCGAGAGCACCCGGGATATCCTCATAGCGTTCTAAGCATGTTTCGAGAAGGCGGTGTTTCTGGTTGCGAGGACGACTTTCGCAGGTTCGCGCGGTCGCCGATAAGAAAGATCGGAGTCGTTGCGGAATTGGATGTTATCTGTAGCAAGGCTCAACTAATCGACCTTGGATTTGACGACGTCGAGGTCGTCAAGGAAGCTAACCATGGTTTCGTACGTGGTGCTACGACAGGAGAGGTTGCCCGTATCGTGTATAGAGTCTGGACCCAATAAAGCTAAGTAACGGAGATTGCACTTTCAGCTAAGTTGTTCAGCAATGTCATGCCGCAGCTACGGTGAACTAAATAGAATCTAGAGGCCTCAATTTGATGCTAACGTAATCTATGTGACCATTCGATGCTGAGCAACTCGCATGTCTACCGGTTACCTACCTAGGTATCTTGCCTTCCAAAACTTATATTTGTCCTTTACCCTTTGAACAGGTAGCTACTTGGATAATTGAACACAGTTCTTAATCTCCAATCGAGAGTCACCTTTTATCGGCAAAGAATTCCTTTCGAAACGCTACATGATATTGTCAGTCTTCTATACCCGTTGATCAAAATCTTCCGCTGTTCAACATTACTCACCCCCAGGAATCAATGCCGCAGCAAACATGGCCAAATTGGTTGGCCCCTTGTCCTCCCATGAATCTAGTATAGCCTCCAACCCCATCTGTAAAGGCTGGCTCGGATCATTCAGGTAGCACTTGATGCCCAAGCAGGCAAAGAAGTCCCGAAACTGACTCTGCCCCCAAGCGATGGACGGGTGCTTGTCGAGGAAGTTGTCGCATACGGCTAGAAGACCGGCTTCGGAAAGGTTGCGCGACCATGCCGCTGAGCGGTCAAAATGGCTTAGCCACAGGCTCATACCAAGGACCAGGGGGCTTTCTGGGAAGGTTATGGCGTGGTTAGTCATGATGCGGTAATACTGTTGAATTTCCGCATCTAGCGATGGAGAGTTGTTAGGAACACCCGCCTGCTTGGCAAAGTCTTCCGCAGTGCTCTGGAGAAGCTGGTATATGAAATATCCGACCGCATCGTTTAGATGGTCGTCGCTAACGCAGAGGATGCGCTGCATATCCATCGATGCCTTCCAGACTACCCTCTCCTGGCCGTGCCGTGTAGTAATGAAGTGGGGGTGTATGGCCTTGGCTAGCTGAATGGCAAGCGCATTCTAATGCGGCTCATCAGTTGCCAAGGATAGCCGGTTCAGCGCGAACATCCAGAGAGTCAGGCAGTGGTGGTATTGGCCATCGATATCACGGTCGAGGTGGTCGGGCATTCCGGCGCGGAGGCCCCCTTTCAGGGGTTCCTCGTTAGTCGCTCCTCGGAGCCGTGAGCGGCCATCTCGAGTCCAGGCGAGGATGAAGTGCACTGTTTCTGCGAGTCGTTTGGCCATTTGTAGATAGAGTTTCCGAGAATTTTGGTCTCCCTTCTCGCGAGACAAGGTGATGAAATTGACGACGCCGAATGCGTCAGTCCAGAGATACCGACCGCGGTGCCCTCTTCGGGGATCCTCAGGGGGTTGCCAGTCTCGAGTGCATGGGCCGTAGATCTGTTCCATTGCCTCTTCAAAGATTGCTAACTTCTCAGTAGGAGGATTCATTGCTGTGCATATATGACAAATATGGTATGTTTAATAATTAGTAGTCGAGAGAAGATCTATGTTAAACCGTAAATTAAAATGAATATGGACGAGAAAGTATCAAGGTTGTTAAATTTACTACCTAGGTATACCTAGGTAGGTACCTAGTAAATACCTACAAACTCTAATAAATTTCCTACTGGTTAGAAGTAATCACAGATAGCTTTAGCTTTAGAGCACATACCTAGCTACATAGATGGATGGATAGGTAGGTGCCAGGCATGTACATAGGTAGGAAGCATCGGAGCTCTGGTTATCAAGGGCGACTTTTTTCCTAAGGTTCATCTAAGGAGGTTTACCTCTCTTCTAGTCCCATACAAGACCTTGTTTCCTTTTTACCTTCCGGCCTATCATCCAGGACATTGTATTACGAAGCTGCCTATATACATTCCCCCTTGATAATCTTGCAAAACAATTTCCGTCAAATTTATGTTAGAACAAGTATAAAGTGTTAAAAGTAACAAAGGGTAGCTAGCTAGATAGTTTATTGTAACCCTCTGTTAGAATAAATACTTCTACCAATTATTTAGGGATTCAATGGTCTTACGAAAACAATACCCTTGTTCCAAATTCGCGATTGAGTATAATATAAGGCCATGGTTTAGCAGCTATCTGATGACAATACTCATATTACCAAGAAAAGCATACCTGGAAAATATGGATACCAGGAAAGGCTCCAAGATGGCTCCCCTCTCGACCTTACCGGTTGAATTGATTCGAGAGATCGGGAATAACCTAGACTCCCCGCGGGAGCTTCTCAAGTTTTCCTCTACTTGTAAGTATGTTCATTCCGCCATTGGCGTGACCGAATTGGCAGTCCAGGACGTAAAGCGTCTGGCGGCAATCTGGAAACTTAACACATGTGCCTATAACGGGAAGTCTTCCTCCCGCTGTATACGGAGTCCGGTCGATACTCATCAGCCGCTGCTCCTCGAGGCGATCGATACAGGTAAGCATATCGACTACATCAGACAATGCATGAAGATTTATCAACAGAACTTCCCGGATTTCCTTCGCGGTAAATGGTATGGCGCGCTGGGCAACATAATAGGTATCCTTCCTCGCTTTCCTGAACCAATATATCTAGCGGCGAAACTAGGAAGGCTGGATGTTGTACAAGCCCTTCTCGAATTCGGTATCAAAGCAAGATATCCCATGAAGTTTGAGAATGACGAATATATGGCCGCTTGCCAAGCAGGGCATGATGATATCGCATGCTTCTTTGTCTCTAACGGACTACCGTTAATACCCGAAGAGGATCTGATATGCGCTGTTCAGAACGGTTGCTTTCAAACTGTTTCGTCGTTGTTGCTCCACCCTTGGTACAACGGAGACAAGGGCGAGGACTTTAAGCTGATAACGCTTTTTAAGGCCCTTGGTTCTGTACTCCCCAACAAAGATATTATCTTTCCTCTTTTGGACGCGATTCACATACTATCTGATGCCGAGAAAATAAGCAATATTAGAGAATCCCTTATGGAAGTGCTGATAGATCCTTATGTTGGTGCAGGGCGTGATTATCAACATGCCTACAATACTCTATCGCCCGGAAGGGTAATTCAGTCGTTGAAGGTACTTGAGAAGTTGACTCCTAGCCTATCAATCGAGGTAGGCGATATCGTTCGAGAAGCCGCTAAGTTCGATACCTTTTTGCCTGTCATCCAACTCGTGTTATCGGGGGATCAATGGAAAATAGGACAGTCTGAAGACGAGCGATCGAAAGTCGTTGAAGATGCAATGAGCGTCGCCATCTGTTTCCATTCTTCCGATATTATCCAATGTCTCGTTTCCCGAGGCTGTAGGTTCTCTACAGTCCATTTGTATCAGGCAATCCAGGCCGGAGAGCTGAAATTGATAGAGGATATAATCAATTCCGGGGTCTCAGTAAATTCTTCGTTTGATTTTGAACACGAAGCATTGGAGCTGAATATCATGAATATCATACCACATCCTAGATATCGAATCAGACCACAGCATAGATATCCACACTTATTAATTGGGAATGAAATCCACAAAACTCCGTTGGAGCTGGCATTACACATGATCCCAAAAGATTCCGACTTCCTAGTACTGTCTAAACTATTATTTCTCGGTGCTGATCATACTAATCTCCCGGAAGACGAGAAGAATTGGTTATTTCGACGGCGTTATTTATTCGACTTAATACACGACAGGTATTTCGATGAACGAAGACTTGAAGAGAAGCCAGCGGATCCCGACGGTGCGCTAAATGAGCTAAACCGCCAAAGCCACAAAACCCTTGATCACAATGTATAATTACTCCAGGGCTGTATTTCTTCGGTGCAGCTCTTATATTATTAAGAGGCTTAGCGCCTAATAGCGCTATAATTACAAGGAGACGTATCTACAGTGATCATTCTTAACCAATCAAATAAATTGGATTGCTCTTAAGCAATAGCTTGAACACAATAACAAACACCTAAGTATAATTAATAACCTAAGTAGGTAGTTAAAAATAATATAACGTATATGAAAATGAAGCTCTTCAATTACTGAATTACTTGATATAATTTTGTTGCTGTATGGCTCGTATAGGTTTAGCTGTTGTTCGGCTGTTGCTGCAGGTGAGCCTTCGTTGAGCCTTCGTTCAGCCTTTGTTAAGCCCTTAAAAAGCTTCTATTTACAGTTGGAATTTATTATTCTCTACCTTTACTATATCCATTTGAAAGCGCTTTGGAAGTTCTATTAAATCATATATGTAATAAGTTATGAAGTGCGTTATTCAAGCTGTTATTTGAGGTAAAGTAAAATACTGAAATGTTTCGATGCTTTGGCGATTTAGTGCAAATGGCCCGCCGTCGAAACCCCAGGCAAAAACACTTCTGCCTATGATTTGACAAGGCGGTATTATTATCGCCATATCAAACATCCATGATGCGGTACGACCACCACTTACCTTTCCGGTCTCTGTCCACCCCGGCCACCTTGGTCCTTGGATGCTGTAAGCGCCCCCCTTCCGTTTCGTAGTGGGGCTGGAAAACCGTTTTCTTTGGAATGAAGTTATCGAGTATGTATGTAGATTATTTTTAACTGTCGACTTAGTATGTTTGAATAGGAAAAGATGAGATATATTTGAACTCATACTCAAGGTCCAGTCTACCAAGTCTTCACGCCGACAAGCCGCGCCGCGTCATTCACCATGATCGAGTTGAGTTAGAAGGCCATTCACTTTGAGGTATATAGATCCCGAGACACAGAGCGATCGAACCCGAACTATTTGCTTCTTGCCATGGGTGTCAAGACATCAAAACACCCAGGGGCTGAGATAGTAGGATATTAGGATATTCAAATATAGGTAGTACCAATCATTTCAGCCGTTGGCACTGTGCATATCTTCCGCTACAAGATTCACACCGCCATTGTCTTTATCAGTGAATATCACCCGCCACTTGCCAGCGGCCCTGGGGATGAAGTCAACGAGCACCCGCTTACTTGGCAGAGGCAATGCTCTGCCGGCTGCCAGACCAATCGGGGCCGCTGGCCATTCGCCCCCAGGGGGAACGACATCGACACGCGCGAGGATCAGGGCCATCAGGGCCAGCATCTCGGTACTGGCCAGATGCCGCCCCGGACATAGGACATGGCCGCCGCCGAAGCCCCGAAACGCGGCAGCCGGGTGCTTGGTGCTGGACTTGCGACGGCCCGCCTTCAAGAAGCGCGTGTGATCGAACTCGCCCACGGAAGGGCCCCAAAGCGTCTCGTCGGTATGGAACAAGGCATTGGGCATGAGCACGGCGCCGCCCTTCTTCAATAGGTACTCGTCGCCGAGCATGGTGTCTTCGTAGATGAGGCGCAGCGAGGCAGATGCGCCGTAGAACCTCATGGCTTCCTGCAGGGTCGACACGAGCAGCGGGCATTCCGTCCTCACGCGCGCGAGGTCGATGGTGTGCGTACCGTTTACCTCGTCCACCAGCCGCATGACTTCTTTCCTGCAGTCCTCGAACACGACGGGATCGGACAGAATGGCCCAGACACACCAATACGCACCCGGTGCCGTGTTGAAAGTCGCTGCGGCTACCTGACCGACCTCTATCCGGGCCTTGTCCACTAGGCTCAAGCCGGTGCTGTCGTTAACTCTGTTCGTGAGCTGGACGAAAAGAGAGCCGCCGTCAAGGTGTTTCTCGTTGCCGAAATAGTCGATGAAAGCTGCGACTAGGCGTTGCCTTGCCTTGCACGCCCTTCTCGCCAGGATTTTGGGCAGAAAGCCGAGGAACAGCATTGGCAGTCCGGCTTCGAAGATGGCCCAGTCGTTGAGGTTCTTCTCGGTACGGAAAGGGTTGTGGGGACCGTACATGGCGTCCGTCGTGGCGTTGAATGTTGCGTCGTGGACGAATTCATACAGATCCACGGCCGTGCGGCCTCGTGCCTCGACTCGATCGAAAGCAGCGGCAAAAACCTTGCTTGCTGACCGTGAGAGAGCATTCAGACTGGCGCCCGGTGCGCCGGCTTGGGCGGAGGCGCGTTGGTGACTGTTCAGATAGCCGTCCTGCGCCAAGAGGTTGTTCCCATATATCTTGCTGATACCAGCTTGACTGACGCTGCAGACCTTCTTGCATGTCCGGGCTTTCATAGGGGCGAAAGGTAGGGTATCGATGTGGCGGTCTACGCGCTGGAGCACCTCAAGCGAATTGACAATGTAGACAGGTACGCCCGGTATATTCAGCGTGTAAATGGGCAGATGGGTCTCGTCTCTGCTCAGCTCATATCAGCATCAGCAGCCTGCCAGGGGCAACATGAGCTTTGGGCTGTACCTCATTCGCTTATAGAACTTGTCCTGTTCGATCAGCATGCCTAAGAGGGGACTGAGATAGGGGATGGCGCCAACGATGGGCTTGGGTTCTCGGGAATCATGTCTGAGATAGACGAGGGCACGGAGGAAGGAATAGATGACGGCGATTGCTGTCGCCGCCAGGGCCAGAGTAGAGGGCATGTTGGGCCCTCAGAATACGGACAACTTTGACGACAATCGAGCTAGCTGTATGACGGACGCTGAGCGGTGGTATTCAGTCGATCGAAGACATCAAGAGCGACGAAGAGGGGAGAGAGGGGTGGTGAAAGAACGGATGATCGAGCGCTATGATCTTAGTTGGTGGAGAAGTAAGTAGACACACACGAGATGTGCCGCAGTATCGAGAACGAAAGGATTCCGTAGTGGCTTGTTGGCTGCCACGCTACATATTTGTTCTAACACTTACCAAGAAGAAGCAAGGGACGGGCATATACAACACCAACACCTGTGGGTGGTGGGGTACCATACCCGCAGGTCGACAGCATGGGATGTGTTGAATATTTGTCAGTGTCAGGCGATGCCAAAAGACAGAAAGCCCGAAAGAAGAAGGAAGCCGTATGGGGGACTCTATTTCTGGATGCCAGAACTTCCAATCCTTGAGGCTTCCATACCAACACTTCAACATTTGTATGCAAAACCGCCGATGTGTATGAGATGATACATGCGATAGCTCGCCTAATCCTAGGCGATGACTACCAGAAAGAGCTCAAAGAAGTACACATGTCGGATAAGGTTGACTAATACGTGCCGCGATTATTCAAATATAGGTACTCTGTAAGTAGGTATGAATAATCTTGAGTCGTGGTAAAACGTGCCTGGGAAATTGCTATATCTCCGTTTAGGTATAACCTTATTAATATAGCGAATAGTGAATAGAGTAGAAACGAAACTTTTCAATATTCTATGTGAGTACGGCGGAAACGGTAAAATTTCCGAACCCATCTAATGTCTAATTATCGTAATTGATATCTGTATTTCAAGTTACCGTCTCAAGCTCCATTTGGTTCCCAGCCGGGAGGCGCAAGTTCCACACCGTCCGGGACAAACCCCGGCGCCACTACGTCATCGCCGTCAGCTTTCATCGTACAACTTTCCCCAACGGACAAGGGAAAAGGAAAACAAATTTATTATATTTTTTTATAAACGAAGATAGAGATAAGTTTCTTACCGGTAGTCCCGACCAAAGTCCACGCCCCATGCGACAGCGCGCTCTGCCACGTGCCCTTCGGAATCGGGACCTGCGGCTGCTGGCCGTCGAACACGTCGGGGCCGAGCAGCTTCTCGACGGGCGGCGCGCCGTCGTTGCGCGACAGCGACAGGGTCAGCGGCGCGCCCGCGTAGTAGTGCCAGACCTCGACGGCGTCGACGCGGTGCCAGTACGAGCTGCCCGCGCTGCCCTCGAGCAGGTAGTAGATGAGGGTGCTGGCGGACCGCGTCGACTGCGTGCCGTTCGCCGCCGTCCGGATCACGGATTCCGGGTCCTCGAAGGTTTGGAGGTAGTACCCTTTCTCGTCGTTGGGGATGAGGTTCAGCTGTGCGACGACCTCGGCCGCGCTGCGCTGGTCGATTGGGATGGAGGAGTTGGGGTACGCGGTAGTGGCGCCGATTGGGGATGCGATCAGCAGGCCTAGAGGGCCGAGAAATGCGGAATTGAATCGCATGGCGTTCTGCTACCTGGAGATCTGCGGACTTTGACGGCAAGTAGGTAGGTGAGATAGTTTTAAGAAACAACGATTACGAATTTAGAATGCGATAAGTTGGAATGAATTGAGGTAAGGTTTAATAAGCCGTCATAAGAGCTGAATGGCAGGAGCGTTGGCGATTTGCGCTGTTCATAATCAAAACAAAGGCAGCGGTGATGCTGACGCATGTCCCAATGTGGCGCCCGGCCAGGGATCGCTCATGCGAATTTCGGATATGAGTGAATATTTCGGTCCCTTACATCAGATGAGGTACTAAAGAAGCAAACTGAACATTATCGTAGTCGGATTTAAGGATAGATGGCTAAATGATGTGATAATTGTTTGTTACTATGCCAAGATATTTTACATATATGTCTTACATGAGAAATCGCTTACTCGTGATTGTAGTATATATACCACTCAATGAAATGGTAACTTTGGTTTCATATTTGTTGAGTTTTGGCTGCCCTCCATAGTCGCCATGGGAGCTTCCAGCTACTTTTCACCATGAAAGGGTCGAAGTTTTGAGCTTCAAGCCTCGTCAAATAATCGCCGACCGGGACACCTTCCAATAGGACGCCAAACCCCCGACGAAGGTCCCTCTTTGTGTCATCGTCTCCAACAGCTACTAACGGATATTCGTGTTGCTCTTCACCATGGTGCTCGTATTCGTGACCCGGATTCTGTCCCGCCTGGAGGTTTTTCAACATCTCTCTTGCGGTAATAAGATGATCATTAGCCCGGGTGGCGACTTTGAAGACGGCATCTTGGAAACCGTCTGCTTGAGGACCGTTGCGATAAACTTCTTCCTCCTTCAGACCCGTTTCCGCCATGACATCGAGAGGCAATAATAGGACGGGGTTCCTGCCGCTACCTACGCTAGCTCCCCCAGGGGACTTCACAGGTGGTGAAGGCGCTGCCAAGATCGGTATGCCCCTCAGAACAGCTACTATACCGCACGCCTTGCCAATGTGGCTGGCTAAGTGATCCATATGCATGGATTGGATAGGGAGTGCTGCCAGGTTCGAATACATAAGCGTTGAATATGTATTTTCCGCATATTCCTCTAACGAAGCTAAGCTGGGGAACGGCCGATTATCCATATACTTCTCCCGAGTATTGATCAGGCGTAGCAGCCAGAACTTGATAGAGCTAGGTGCGCCACCTTTCTCGGTAAGCTCCTTGATGACCTTATATAATAGGATCATGATTGGTTCTTTTGGCGGCTTGCCAGAGAATGTGTTGTTCACGGCATCTCGCCAGAATTGCATTCGCAATTGACCGATCGTCGGGTTGGAAACGAGCTCGGGGAGTCGCACCAGCTCAAGATTGAATGCTCGTAATGCATCGTAGATGTCTTGCCGCGACTTGGGCAACAGATTCCGAATCAAATAAGAATCGTAGTCTGACTGTCTATTTCAATTAGTCTTATAGCTTCGTAGTGTTATATGAATGTGCGTTGTAGAAGCCCTCATCCGTACCTCAGCTGCGCAATACAATATTGCCGCGCCTTTTCTATTTCGACATCAGTGACGTAACATCTTCGCGAAGATCGTAAAAGGTGTCTAGGCCAGCTAAGGCCCTGTCGTGCTCGAATTGCACGATACATAAGCAATTGAGATTATCCTTTATAATCGGTCCATGGTCTTGGTATGCTCAATGTCGAGGACTAAGAATTTCGAGATAGAAATTCTCTAAATCGGACTTCTGCAATTGGTGGCTTCCCGATGGCAAGGATGAGCTCAGTAGAGTAAAAATGATATCACGTTGAGCGGGATGTGGGGCCTTTACAGGGATCTGATATTTCCACTTTTAACTTTAATTGAGACGTGATCACATGATGACCCGCGTTAAGGGGATCGCGTCTGGTGCTATTAATTACTAATTAGGAAATCTCGACGCGACGTGCTCTGCCGTCTACCTGGAAGGCATCAACGCTTCCTTTTCGTGACACTAGGAGCTCTTGTGCCTGCTTTACGTTTACTTATCGGCGATTAGTTCTTTTGCTAGCCGATTTCTTCCATCATTGACCAAAATTCCTCCGCTGACTAATTATTTCACTTAATTGTCAAACGATAGACTAGTCCCGCCATTCACGAACCTAATCTACTCGTTCAAACTCCTTTTTATTGTTCAACCTTCATATAAGGCATATTCTCTGCTTGCCATTTGCAAGTGTTCCGATGACTTCACCATGAACTTGGAAGCATCGGGAGAACCCCCTTTCAAGAAAAGGAGGTTCTTTGCAGACCCAGAGGAAGAAAATGATCCAACCCCACAATGTTTACAAAGAAAGCCGCCTCTTGCAGAGAAGGCGGTCGACAATGCCGCTAACCAGACGCCCATCACAAATACTGCTGGTGCATTCTCGGTAAAGCCTTCTTCCGCCTCAGATAATAATACTAGTTTCGACGGAAATGCATTCCAAAGCATTGTTGGCGACCAGGTCGATTCCGAGGCTCTGAGCATTATTGGGAGTAATTGTGGAAATGATCTCGAGCAAGCTGTCAACATGTACTTCGACGGCACCTGGAAGAAATACCGCACCCCTAAACGTTTAAATACAACCGCAGCTCCTTTTCTCCCCCGAACACCACCAACAGTTCAAACCGACAACTATAAGGAACCTCGCCCTCTACCGGTACGGCCCTCGCAGTCACAACCTTCGATGACTAGTCGTTATATAGGCGCTTTCGGTGTGGAGGGGTGGGCTACTCGAAGTGGGACGAACCTTATCAAACACGGAGACAGTGTCAAGATCGAGCGCCAGAAAATTATACCACCAAGCTTAACCATCAAGAGCAAAACAGGTACACTGGTGCCAAACCCCCGAGCCAATTCGGCTGCGGCTAGGAGGGTTGATGTAATCGTACGCTTCACCGATGCTCGAGGGACCGAGATTGGTAGGCTAGCAAAAGATACTGCAAATTGGGTATCCTCGCTTATGGATCAAAATGTTTGCAAATTCGAAGGTAGCTGTGTATATGCACCAGAGAGGTTGAGGACGAATGATACCGTATTCCTACAGCTGCGATGCTTCTTGATGAGTTCTGCTTTTCAAAACGCGGGCTTCCAATTATCAGATAACCGCTCAACCGGCCTTTTCGAGGAGAAGGAAACGAGCGAGGAACGTAATCTACGCCTGCGTCAAGTGTCACTTGTGCGATTGTTCCAGGAGATCAACCTCGACCCGACAAGAGGCAACGCAACCGCCACTAGAAGTGCGAGACAAGGCCTTCTTTCTGCCGTTGAGACTGACAAGAAGAGCAACGAGACGAAGTCTAGCAATCAAGGGACTCCAAGCTCATCTCCACCGGCTGAAGACGCCGAAGAAGGACAAGAACTTGAGCAAGATCAACTAGACGCTCTTTATCGGAAGGCTCAATCATTTGATTTTAATACACCCGAAGCTGAGCCGGCAGAGACTTTCAATATGACTCTCCGTCCCTACCAAAAGCAATCGCTACATTGGATGTTGGCTAAAGAAAAGGATCGGAAGAACGAGGTTCGCGAAGCTTCAATGCACCCACTTTGGGAAGAATATACCTGGCCAACGAAGGATGTCGATGATCAAGAACTTCCTCAAGTTGATGGCCAGCCCAATTTTTACATGAACCCCTATTCTGGCGAGATGTCTCTGGATTTCCCTGTCCAAGAACAGCACTGCCTGGGCGGTATCCTTGCCGATGAGATGGGCCTCGGCAAGACAATCCAAATGCTGAGTCTCATTCATTCCCACAAGTCCGAGGCCGCTATCCAAGGCGGAGATAGATCACATAATGCTATGAATGGTCTGCGAAGAACCTTTTCTAGATCTGGCGTCGTCCCTGCACCAAAGACGACTCTGGTCATTGCCCCTATGTCGTTGCTCGCCCAGTGGCAAAGTGAAGCAGAAAATGCGTCAAAAGAAGGCACACTGAAGTCTATTGTTTATTATGGCACCGAGAAGACAGACAACCTTCAAGCTTTATGTTGCGAGGATAATCTTGCTTCTGCCCCTGACGTCGTAATCACAAGTTATGGAGTGGTATTATCCGAATATACTCAGATTGCTTCTAAGCATGGTCTATATAAAGACCTGCATAACGGCTTATTCTCGTTGGATTTCTTCCGTATCATCCTCGACGAAGCTCATACTATAAAAAATCGGCAGTCGAAGACAGCCAAGGCTTGTTACGACCTTTCAGCCACCCACCGATGGGTTCTCACTGGAACCCCTATCGTGAATCGCCTAGAGGACCTGTTCAGTTTAGTTAGGTTCCTTAGAGTGGAACCTTGGAACAACTTTTCCTTCTGGCGAACTTTTATCACCGTTCCGTTTGAGTCTAAGAACTTCGTGCGCGCTCTTGACGTGGTACAGACAGTATTGGAGCCTTTGGTGATGAGGAGAACCAAAGACATGAAGACTCCGGAAGGACTACCGTAAGTCGTGACCCTGTACTTATTAAATTTGAAAGATACGGTACTGATCCTACTTAGTCTCGTCCCCCTACCCCCAAAGTCAATGGAAATCGTCGAGGTTGAACTGTCCGAGGCTGAGCGAGCTGTATATGACCACATCTTCACCAGGGCTAAGCGTACGCTCTCTGCCAATGTTGAGAAGGGTACTGTCATGAAGGCATACACCACCATCTTTGCTCAGATTCTTCGTTTACGCCAGACATGTTGTCACCCAATCATGGTGAGAAATCAAGATATAGTCGCCGAAGAGGAGATGGCTGGCGCAGAAGCGGACGCCGCCGCAGGACTCGGCGATGACATGGACCTTCAGTCTCTAATCGAGAAGTTCACCGCGACTACTGGCGAAGAAAAAGATATCAATGCTTTTGGTGCACACGTTCTCCAACAAATTAAGGATGAAGCTGTGAACGAATGCCCCATTTGTTCCGAAGAGCCTATGATCGATCAGACAGTTACTGGCTGCTGGCATTCTGCTTGCAAGAAATGCCTCCTGGATTTCATCAAGCATAGCACGGACCATCACCAGGTACCAAAATGTTTCAACTGTCGCGAGCCTATAAACGGCCGTGATTTATTCGAGGTGGTTCGGCATGATGATCCAGACGCATTTCACACAGCACCGAAGATCAGCTTGCAGAGACTAGGCACTAACGAGTCTTCTTCCAAAGTCGTTGCTCTAATGAAGCATCTACGTGACCTGCGCAGAGAACACCCTCGTATCAAATCAGTAGTGTTCAGCCAATTTACGTCCTTCATGTCACTCATCGAACCTGCACTAACTAAGGCTAACATGCGATTTCTCCGTCTCGATGGGTCTACTAACCAGAAGACTCGCTCTACCATCCTAAGCGAGTTCAGAGAATCGGACAAATTCACAATTCTATTGATAAGTTTACGGGCCGGCGGCGTAGGATTGAACCTGACGCAGGCGAAGCGGGTATTTATGATGGACCCCTGGTGGAGTTTTGCTGTCGAGGCTCAGGCTATCGATCGCGTACATAGAATGGGTCAGGAAGATGAGGTTAAGGTGTATCGTTTCATCGTGAAGGAAAGCGTCGAAGAGCGGATGTTGAAGGTCCAGGACAGGAAGAAGTTCATGTAAGCACCCCTACCCCTTTTTACCTCGCCTTACTCCTCATTCCTATGTTTTTCAGTTACTGACAATCGCTACTTTTAGTGCTACGTCGTTAGGCATGATGTCAGATGAAGAGAAGAGACTTCAAAGGGTTGAAGATATCAAGGAGTTGCTGAGTTAACCTGGCTGTATAAAATGAGCTTGACGAGTTGGATTGCTTTTATCATAATATAGAGGGACATGATCGGTATACCCCATGGCGGGATAGAAATGGCTTTGCATTAGGGAGCATCCCTTGGCCGTCATCGGGCTGGTCTTAGACCGTAGTGGGCGTAGAAGCATGGGCATTAGCTTCTTGATCATGAATTGAGGAGCACGGCTCGCATGATGCACAGCTTAACGGGATGCGTACGTGAAAAGGTGAACACGATCAGGTATTCAAATAGAATTGATGACCACCAACCATCCCAACACACATCTAAAAATCTCCGCAAAGATAGGTATGGATACAAGTTCTATATCTAACCCGCATTCTGCGCTCTCCATCCCACAAGACTGAACCCAATTTTTTCTTCGCAGATCTCATCTTAAACATATCGAAAATCTACCTCCAAACACCCCCTACCCCCTACCCCTATGTGTCTAATAACCAATCTTAGAAATGAATCGTCGAATTCGTAGATTCGTAGCTGCGTTTCGTACACAACGTCTCATCCATCGTATCGTAAGTCGTGTATCAATATATCGTGAAATACATCGTAAAAAGTTTAGCTCCTAAAAGAGCTTATAAATGGCTTGTGCCGTGTCCAAGGCTCAGATCAACTCAAGCGATCTACGGCTCTTTATGCGGGTATACGGGTTTGTCGGACGTATCCCAGAATAGTAGAGCCGTGGATTAGCTGAGTTGATCCGAGCCTTTATGTATTGTATCGTAGGTGTGGTCAAATGGTGTCAAATGACCAGATTGGATCAATCCATCGGACGCCGGAACCGGAATACCACCCGCTGCTCAGTGAGCTTGGGGATCTATATAGCTTCCTCGGTACCTCTACTAATACCTGCCCACCTACCAGGTACGTAGGCAAGCAAGCAAGCAAACAAGCAAGGTACCTCCCCAGAAAACCTAAGCCAATCCCCAGCCTACTACACCTAGCTCTCCATCAGCTCCTTCATCCTAGGCAAGAAGTCGCCGAACCGGGAGCCGAGCACGCGGGTGAGGTACTCCGAGACCAGCGTCCGCGAGAGTCAGGTGTGCTTGGGCGGGGGCGGGGTCCTCAGCAGCTCGGTCCCCGCGTCGGCATCGGTGTCCCCTTCGGTGTCCGCTTCGGCGTCGGCGTCGACGGCTTCCCCCCGCCGGTCGATGGATAGCTTCTCATACTCGCGGAGCAGGTAGTCGAGCGTGCGCTTCGACGAGTCGTCGCCGTCGGTGTCGGCCGGCGCGACGATGGGCGCGAGCCACTGCGCCTGGACGTACTGCGTCATGAGCGGCTCGTCGTCGTCGTCCACGACGACGGCGGCGCCGCCGCTGGTGGTCGAGGGACTGCTGCTGCTGCTGCTGCTACCGCCGCTGTTTTTGTTGTTATTGTTACCACCGGAGCCGCCGCCGCTCGGCGAGGGCGAAGAGCTGGAGCTGCTGAAGATGTGGGTGCGCAGGATGTCGAGGTCGTTCGCCTTCATGCGGTCGCGGAGGAGCCGGTACAGCAGCACGGCGATGTGGAAGTTGCGGGACTGGTCCCACAGGCCCTTGGCGCAGAGGATCAGGGTCGAGCGGAGGGATTCGGGGTTCGGGCGCGGGTGGTACGGAGGGGAGGGCAGGGCGGCGGTGGGGGTGTCGAGTTTGAGCAGGATCGAGTCGCCCAGGAACATGAGCCAGTGCATTAGCAGAGGGTCGTAGGACTCGTAGCTGTGTCGCAGGTAGTACAGTCGCAGAAGCGTCTCGAGACGCACTTCCGAGTGCGTGATCACGTTTTGCCAGGTTAGGTCTAGGGGTGTGCCGCATTGGGCGAGCAGGCGGACGAGGGTTATCATGGTGCCGTAGTATTCTATGCTGGGTTGTAGGGAGATGGGTTAGTTGATGCCAAGTTTGCAGAAATAGTGACGAGGGTGGCGGTAGGTAGCCGTTTTTAGATGTATTTATACTTACTGTATCTTGATATGATCCGGCAGCACGACCTTAGTAGGCATAAGAGGCTCTGGAAGATTGGCAAACCAGTTGTCCAGCTTGGACTTGCACTCGAGGGCCTTCTCCGCGTTCATATGAGGGGGGCCATTCTCTTCGAAGAGCTCGGAACCCATCTCGTTCATCAGCTGCCGTAGCTCGAAGTTCGCTTTGATGGTGCAGCCTAGGTTTGTCGGGTATATGTTCTGGCTCAGGGGGTAGCGTATCCATACCTCGCCGTACCACTTGGGGTCGAGCATCGGGTCTGGAGCAGGGTACGCTGGGGGTTTTTCGAGGAGAGGGGGCCGGCCGAAGTAGAAACGTTGCCACCTTGAATATGGTCAATTAGTAAAGAACTACAAAAGGGGCATTCCGTTTTAAGCACGCTTACCCCTGCCAGCAGAATAGTCCCCACGCAGTGAATGCTCGCGCCCTTCGCATTTCCCCATCTCGCGTACCGCAGGTAGGAGTGAACAGGTTCAGGTTGGTTGCCATGGCCATGGCTTGGAGCAAGTATGACGTGCCGACCTTATCCATGGCGGTGGTGGTCGCCACGATGCTGAGGACGATGGACGCTTGTATCGTTGTTAGCTTACCAGGCACACACTTGCTTTCGATTTCCCAAAGCCTCTTTGCTTCGGCTAGGAATTGGTAGCCGAGGGTTTGGGGAACCCAGAATTTATTTCGGTCTGGAAGTTCACGGCTCATGGCCTACGTAGAATTAGTTACAGATTTTCGTGTCAGGGGTGATTTATCGGCGGAGAACTTACGCATGCAGAGGCAAGAACGGCGTTGACTAATAAAGCTGAGCAGAATCGTGTCCGTCCCGAAATCATGTCTTTGAGGAAATAATCCATGTGAAATGCGGCGGTCCAAGGATGTTGATAGTATAAGTAGGCGTGGAGAAGCCTTCTTAATATGTGATCGTCCTTTATCACAGGAGTCCATTCTGAGATTTTAAGGTCGGAGAAGCTCGGGTCAACAAGTTGAGCTGCATGATACGGCTTGAGGTATCTGTCATCACCGTACCCTTCACGATAGGTATCAAGTGCAGAACCATGAGTGGGATGAGCGTGGAATGTGGTTTCGTAGATGAAAGAGCGTAGATACAAGTTATCTGAGACCATGATCGAGGGGGGCATATCGGATATATAGGGGAATTCGTATCGGCGACGGGCTTCAGGGGCCAAAGAAAGCTGCATCAGGAGATCGCCATCCCTGGCCTGGCGTAGGATAGATCCAACATCGTTGCCGGACCGGATCCTCTTCAGGATCTCGAGAGATTCAGTCTCGGATTTAGATTTGAGGATGTCGAATAATTCCTCGTATGGAGTGATGCGATCCTGGAGTTCGCTGTGCTTCCGTTTCAATGCCTGTGAGTGTGTCTCCGTCGGAGCGGTTGCATATTTGCACTCCGTTTCATGCCTAACGCAGAGGCTGCACTTTGGGCGCTCAGCATTACACTACGGAAGACGAGACGACGAGTTAGTAAGTGTAGCTTAATATAAGATTTGATGCCAACCGTTCTCCGGCATCACGTGTGAGTATTTCCTATTTCATCCTTACTTTTGACTTTCTTCTCCGACATGCTTCGCACGCCGCCGTGACCTGCCTCCTTCCTTTTGTGGCAGTTCCCGCACCTGCGCCTTGTCCCGAACCGCTTGCGGGAGCCGGTGCCAGTGGAAGGAGACGGCGTTTATTAGGACCTGAGCTGCTTCCCTCACGTTCCATGATCGGGGTATCCCGGTCTCCCCGAGGCGATGTTGTACAAGTGACACCCTCGGGGCCGTGGCTTTGGGTGACGTGATATATCGATATGTCGATATATAGATGGTTTCAAAGTTACTTAACGCCCAAACGCCGCCGGACCCCAAGGTATGGTGGGCGCAGACAGGCGCAACCGTATGTGGGCGTTTGCGGAGTTTTTTCCGGTCACCACCCAGAGTCTTATTCTAAGGCGTTCTAGGTACCTAATGCATAATGTACCGCCTAACCACAAATAGCAGGATAGATACGAGCTTGATACCTCCTACTGCACGACAAGTCGGTAAGCTGTCAGTCTAACCAGTCTGGGGTTAAACCACGGAGAAATGTCCACAAATAATATTCTTTGGTTCATGTATAGCTACCCATCTTGGCATCGTGAAGTAATTCATCGCTGAAGATTTTATTAACCCATGCTTGTGACACCAATATGAAACATCTTCGCCAAGTAAATATAGGCAGAAGAAGCAAACAAATTTGAATATTCGTGATAATGGTCGATAGGAAAGTATACGTACCTATCTTGATACCCTCGGTCCATGTCCTTCCTTTATCTTCCATTCACCACCTTTTATCTCGGCATCTAACTGGACAATCTTCCTTGTCCATTGTCATATACTAGTGTAGGCATATCATGCGCTTATTACCGTTTATCCACCGTAGCGCTCCGCGATGTTCGTTTATTCTCGGCAGGTTTGGGGTTTAGTGAGGTAGACTTGTGCGGAAAGGGGTTAGCCTGATTAAACGGTGTAGATTTTACGTCCTTATTTGATCTAATATGCATATGCTAGTCGCCTGGTAAGAGTCTTAGAACTTGATCAGCGAAATTACCTGTTGTACGGATTAGTCGTCGAAATATCGACACTTTGACTACCGGAAACATTTTCGTGGATTTAGACCTGGTCAAATAAGAGGTTGAATCGGCCATGTTGTAAAGGAGAAGGTTGAAAGAAGTACGATAGCGCTTAAGTTGTTGATTGACGTGAGGGCTTGGCGCGCCACGTGGGGTTACACACACGTATACTACCTATGACCCCTATGACCTGCCTCAGACTAGAGACTTAAGTAAGAATTTAGGGCCAACTGAGTATACAGGGGTGGCAGTATGTGTTCAAATAGGGAATATTCCTTTTGATACCTTAGACTTCGTTGGACATCAATTCTTTCGTTTTTCGTGTTTATTCTTCTAGAAAATTACTCGTCATTATAGAAATACAATAGTGTTGCTCACTCAACGACTTCTGAGCAGTGCAGACGGATAGGGGGTTCGGCAGAAGAACCACATCGCCAGAAAATAGGGGTTTAGCTTACTGCTTTACGAAAGTGACTATCATCTCACATATTCTAACAAATCATCTTCCAGACTAAGCAACTTTAAAAGTGGTGAAAGGTGACATGAATAAGCGAACAAGGTCTTGAAAACCCCTTCCCTTGTACCTAGTGATAATTACCTAGGTACTAGATCCTAATGGGTAAAGACATCGACGATGACCATTTCCTTCAGAACAAGACTAGAACATTCCCCCATCATACACAACTGGGACTAGACCGTCGCACACTTATGCCGGTAGGAAGATATATAATGACATACATACCTACATTTTGACTTCGTTCATCTCAAAAGAACCAAGGCCCTGGGTCCTGTAAGCAGGTACCAAGTCCATATTCCTATTAAATGTACCAAATCGAGCTCGTACCCTTAACATTTCATACCAAAAGAATAGGTAGATTAGAAGAAGGACGAAAACAAATCTATAGATTACTGTTACTAGGTGTAGTATCATGATATAAATTTCTTTAAGAATTTAATCTCTGATATGCCAAGTCAGGGGCTAAGAGCAAGTGGCTACTAGGTAGCTAGCAGCGCTGTGGCTGCAGTCTTGTGTAACATCTACGAATATATAAGGGGCCGAAGACCCTTAAAGGGTCTTAGAGGAGGTTTAGGGGTTGAACAATGTCATTCCCCGCTCCATACTACCGAACTACCAGCGTGCTTCTTGCTTCCAACCTCCACTCGAGACGTAGCTTACAGCTGCAGGCAATCCCCAGACATGCATGACCTTCGACATAAGAAGCAAGCCTTTTAATCAATTATAATTTCGAAGACTCTTTATGAGATTGCGAGTATACTTATGCCGAGTACCCTCTGTACACAGTTTCCAACTATTGCTCAATTTGAAAGGGCAGAAGAGACTTAAGACTTCCCAAATACAACCGCGAAAGTCTTGAACATTCCAAGAGCTATATCGACTTTCTTTGAAAATTCTCGCCATGCCGTTTTAGAAGTCCGAATACGTGTTTATGAAGCGGTAATTAAACATCGGTTACTTTAATTTTTACGAGTGAATATCAAGCTTTTGAATTTCCTATGCAGGTCATAGCCGTCGCTAGAGTTAAGACCGAGCCCCTTTTCTAGACTTCAGCTGCTGCGAATTTAGGAAGGCAGAGAAAAAAACGAATGTGCCCAGCGGAAAGGAGATAAATCTAGAGTCCCTTTCTAGAAGTCTTGAATATTCACCGCCAAGCAAGTCCGTCGCCTTAAGCATCGGCTCCCAAGAAGTAGAAGACTATTGCGAGCTTCCTAGGATGGCTAGTCGATTCGCTGACCGAGTGTCGTACGAGGAGTTTCCTGAATCGGGACTCTGTCATCCCTAAGCGGAAACGGGATTGGCTGCTCGACCCCGGCTTCGTCAGCCCGATGGAACCCGTATTCGAGGCAGATCGACAGGGAAGATCGCCAGCGGACCTTGGCATTGGAGAGGTTGCACAACAACGGTATCCGGTGATATCTGACTGGCGGGTATCTTGCGTTCCCCGGACGCCTCGTCGCGGAGGCTGAAGGATCATCGGCGTCAAAGTCCGGACGGGGGGATAACCGCAACACTAACTTATCTTCGAATAAGATCGCGAGTGGAAATTCGGCCCTTTCTCATTGTGTTACCGATGCGATTCTGCTACGTCGACGGCGATAATAATTTGATCGCAATCTAGCCCGCGAAAGATTTCATTGATACAACCGCGCATGTGTATGGCGTGCGTGCGCATAGGATATACCTAGCCAGTCGTCCCATTCAAGACCCCATCTCTCCCCTCCTCACCCCCAACCGCCTTGCCTCGACGTCCATCTTTCCAACCAAGCAAGAGGGTCACGCAGGAAACAGAGCCGCCAAGAGCCTCCATCGACGTGGGGATGCTTGATTGTGCTCCTGCCTCTCTCGGCAATTGATAGGGGCAACGGCAGAGATGCCAACCTTATTAATTCTCCAGCATCATATGCTATATAACCAAGATACCTTCGCCGATTGGCCAAACCATGGCCTAAGCGCAGGCTGGGCGGAGCAGGGCTTGTCTATAGAAACCGTCGATTCCCTTCAAAGCGTCCTAATCAGATGGTGGGCGTGAGTCGTCCGCCAAGGGCTGGGCACAGCGAATTTGCCGGGGTAAAGAACCAGAATTCGACTGATGCCGCGGGCGCTCTACAAATTAAATCTGTGCACCTACCGCTTTGGGTAGATTGAGATGCTACGACAGTATCTTCTCTCATGATGCCATTGCCCAAGACGAAGCTACCCTCGTCGATATACGATGGTCCAGTATTGGGGTTACGGCATCTTGACCCGAACCGCCTTATCGTCGGGACCTTGGTCTGCGTTCGCGGCATGAATACTTAAGGATCGTCCGGGAGCGCCTAACTTCTCAGCCAGCTTCCTCTCCTCTGTCCCTCACGCCCGAAAAACGAAGATCACAAGGATCTGCAATCGCAAAGTCAACCCCGGGACAGAACACCAAACCAAGATGAGGTACTCTCTGAACGCAGTCGCCCTCGCGGCGCTCTCCAGCTACGCGGTAGCCAAGGAGATGGCGCCAGACGAGACGTTGGCCGCAGAGCTCTTCGACAGCGGCATCCGACACGAGACCATCATGGCGACTAAAGAGGTAAGGAACTCTCAGAGAAGAAACAAACCCCGCTACAATACTAACAGTACGCTAGTCATACTGGGCCGGCCGCAGAGCCCAAGGACTCTTCGACTCCTCACAATACAAGAGCATGGACGCCTCCGTCGCCTCAGTCCCCTGCACCGACGGCGTCGCGGAACTCGTGGCCGGCGACCCGCTCTACACCTTCAAGTGCAGCAAGCTAGACCTGTACGACTTCCAATCGCACGCGGACCTCGGCAGCAACGGCGGCGAGGGCTCCGGATCATGGGGATGGACGAGCCCCGACGGCCGGGAATTCGTCGCCATCGCGCAATCCGACGGCGCCGCCTTCGCGGAGATCAGCCCCGAGGGCAAGCTCGTGTACCTGGGCCGGCTACCCCAATACCCGACCGCCCAGCCGTCGCTATGGCGCGAGATCAAGGGGCTCAAGAGCCTGATCGTGGTCGGGTCCGAGGCCGTGAACCACGGCATCCAGGTGTTCGACATGGCGAAGCTGCTGGACGTCGACCCGGCGCACCCGGTGACCTTCAACAACGAGGACGACATCGCGTACTTCGACGGCCTGCCGACGGGGCGCTCGCACACGGTGCAGACGAACGAGGAGCTGAACTACGCGGTGGCGTCGGGCGCGCAGCCGCGCAACTCGAGCTGCGCCTCGGGTTTGATCTTCATCGACCTGTCGGACCTGTCGAACCTCACCTCGCCCGGGTGCGCGGCGGCCGACGGCTACGTGCACGACGCGCAGTGCCTCGTGTACCGGGGCCCCGACGAGAAGTACGTCGGCGAGGACATCTGCTACGGCTACAATGAGGACACGCTGACGATCTACAACGTGACGGACAAGGCGGCGCCCAGCGTGATCTCGCGCACGTCCTACGAGGGCGCGAGCTACACGCATCAGGGCTGGGTGCTCGACACCCAGTGGCAGCAGTACCTCGTGCTCGACGACGAGTACGACGAGTACGACGGCGCCGGCCTCGGCGCCGCGGGGTATCCCATCACGTATATCTGGGACATCTCGTCGCTGGAGGCGCCGAAGCAGACGGGCTACTACCAGGCCTCGCGCAAGGGCATCGACCACAACCAATTTGTCGACGGCGACTTCGTGTACCAGAGCAACTACGGCGGCGGCCTGCATATCTTAGATATTTCGTCCATCCCGTCCGATCCGACTGGCAAGAGCGTCAGCGAGGTGGCTTACTTCGATATCTACCCCGAGGACGATGAGGAGGAGGGCGGTGGCCAAATCGAGTTCCAGGGTACTTGGAGCCACTACCCTTACTTCAAGAGCGGGTACATCATGATCAACACGATTGAGCGTGGTGCTTATGTTGTTAAGCTGTCTTCCTAAAGGAGGACTCCGTCAACGGGAAAGGAGGCGAAGGGTTGATTATTTGAACTAGTCTTAGCGGGATAGATATAATCTTACGAAATACTTCAAAACATTGTTTGGTCTCTTCCACCTTTGGTGATGATACAGTGTGTAGAGTACCTTACGGCTGCTATGACTCATCTGATACCTGACAAACTGCAGAGGGTTAATAAGTATAAACAAAGCATAGACTTCCATGTGAAATCAACATATAGTGCAGTGGTACCAAGTGGTGTTTGCTTCAAGTGAAGCAAGATCATGAGCATTCTATGTTGGTTTCTCATTTTTGTTTTCCTCAACATACGTAGGTTCGATTCACCTTTTGATCCTGCCATTTTTTTCTCGTTTTTTTATTATTACCATTATTTATAGGCGAACAACAATCTAGAACTACCTATGGAGACCATTGATTTCTTTAAATTTTCATTTTAACCCCTGCGAATCCTGCTTTGGCGACCCGTCTGCATTAGTCGTCTCCCCCTTCTTCTGCAAAAGATAGTCGCCGCCGCGCCATGCCTTGTAGACACCGTACAAGCCCTGGAAAGGCCTAACATGGCGGAGGGCCGTAGGCATCCTCGAGTTCTCTATAGTTTTCTTCTTCGCATACTCGTCAACCTTGACCTTGTCGTAGACACTTGGCAAGTGAGCCGCATGATACTTCTCGCGAACACCTTCGTACGCAGGCCGGTTATATGACTGCCAGAACTCCTCCTCGGTGTAATAAGCCTGCGCATATAACGTCTTGTTACCGCCTAACTCGTGCAATTTCTGTTCAATTGCCCGATTCAAACGCACCAGCTCTTCGTAGTCGCTCGGGCCAGGTCCCCAGATGCCGAAGTTGAGCATAAATTCGGGGCCCTTGGGATCCGCGAAATCGGCATGCAGGCCGTGCGCCGAGTCGGGCGCGTCTCGCCGCGTGCGGATCGGGCACAGCCAGATGGGGTAGATGCCAAGGGTCTGGTCTACCCAACGGTAGAACTCGTCGACAGCGCTGTAGGGCACACCAACGTCCTGGATTATATAAGTATCCGATAATCCGCTCTTATGCAGTGCATGGTACATCACGCGGGCGTGCATGTACGTATCTAGAATACTGCGTGTGATTCGGTTGAACGGCGTGAAGAAGTACTTGTAGGCATATTTAGCCACCCAGAATCCGCCACGATCCCATCGAAACAGGTAGTCAATCAAGGGAACGTAATCAACAACTGGTTGTTTCGATTTTTCAGCTCTTTTCTGCACGTCGAGATAGAACCACGAATCGTGGCGTCGCAAGTATCGCCGCGGTTTGGCACCTTTGGGTATGGCGTCGACTAAGCGACCGGAACACACGACGGCTGTCTTTGGCGAAAACGCGATCGCATCGACAAACTCGACAGCAGGATTCGCGACTTCTTCTTGGATCTTCTTGCTGGCCTCCGGGACGCCACCCACCGGGTAATGCGTCAGCTCGACGAAGTCAGCGGCGTCTCTTAGCTGAACTTCGAGAAGCGTGACGATGCCGAGCGTTCCGAAAGCCGACGCGGCTCCCCAGAAGAGATCCGGCTTTTCGGTCTTGGAAGCTCTTGATATGTCGCCATTTGGAAGAACGATTTCTATCCAATTGATGGTCGAATCAAACGGTCCGTGGCGACACGAACTGCTCTCACCAGCGGAGCCGCTAAAGCCGCCGCCTACGGTGATGCCGGGGAATTCCATAACAACCAGTGGGACCAACCCATGCTTCACGGTCGCGTTGACCAGCGCGTCCATTGACACATTTGGCTCGACCAGTGCGATTTTGTTATCCTCGTCAACCTCTAGGATATGGTTGAGCTTGCTGGTGTCTACTGTATTGTCGCGGCTCTTGTCGGCCACCCGGGTACTATTCGTAGAGCCATGGTAAACGCGAAACGGCCGGCGCTGCGCGTAGAATTGCCGTAACCTTTCGGAGATCGATGCTACCGCGCCATTGTGGGCTTCCATAATCATTAATCGACGCGTCTGTTAGACTGAGTTGAACAGTGAAGATTCGCGTCACCGTGCTGTTAGATTATGAAACATAATAAGCCGAGCTGACTAATCAAGCTTGCAGCTGGGAACAGCTGACGCGGATTAATCCCTACCCCTATCGTGTTACTCTCGGGGTTGAAGACGTTGCTTATTGTAATAGGATTCCAAATTCCTTTTCATGGACTCAATGGGCTTTCCTCTAAAATGAATAGAAAGTTATACTATGAAGACGAAAAATACCTACCATTTCACCATGTTAGATCACTTGATCATTGTAAATATTCGTATTCCTCAATGAGTCCTGCTATTTCCCAAAATTCGAAAATTCCCACACTAGCTAGGTTTAGATTAAGAAAGTCTTACCATTCATATGGGCGGGTATATCTTTTCCTAAGTAGATGGGTGTACATTTCCCACATTTAAGGATAAGTGGCTGTGAATTGGCATGACTTTCAAGCTAGCCAATCGCCCTCCAATCTACGCAATGGATATATGTCAAGATATTAACAACACATGTCGGGACTAAGAAGATTACCAGCTAGGTAACCTATAATAACAGTCTCATATGCCACTAGCGCATGAGTTCTGGTAGAAATGTGGTAGGACTCGTTCATGCTCCCTTTTAGAGGGCAAATAAACTATAGCTAAGGGGCAATCTCACTGGAGACAAAAGACAGGTAGCTTGACTCACCAGCCCTACGAAGTGCTTTGGAGGTTAATGGTGAAACCCGTCTCGTAGTTCGCTGCCGCCTCGTAATCGTTCGTAATTTCGTATCTTTATTTCGTCCCACAACTTTATCTTCACTCCCGACTATCCCCTCAACTCCGCAATATTTCTCACCATTCCAAAGGGTATCAAGTAGTTCTCGTATTGTCGTGTCGCCGGATCATCCACCTTTCGCATCGTTCACCTAATGCAGAGGCTAATTAAATGCGTCTTGGCTGACTCGCAGCTCATGAAATGGGGTAATTATCAACTGGCTCTCAGTAGCTGTCAAGCTTCGTCGACTAGGCAATCTTTTGGATCTTGACCCACTTCTCTTTTTTTGCCCGTCTTTTCTTACAGAGCTGGAAGAACCATTTCAACCATTCAAGTACTGTCTCGTACTTGATAATAAGAATAGTTCCCAATTCGACCGGGATAGCAATATGCCAACTATGCTTTGTTAGTATACCACAATCGAAGGTATGCACTCCGGACCGGGCAGAAGATAAACTTACAAATACTCTACCCCATGATCCTTGACTGCTGGAAACTGCTCGAAGTTCTGCCCAAAGTAACTTGTTATGAGCATCATCGGAAGCACAGTGGTGCCTATGACCGTAAGAGCCTTCATAACGCCACTCTGTTTCGTCGACACAGTACTGAAGATTAATTGGACTAGATTCTTGGCCACTTGTTTGAGTGTGTCGAGATCGCCTGTTACAAGGACACAGTGGTCGTACTAGAAGAAAAGAATTAGTCGCATACTTTAAGGGAAGGGATATCGTAATGACTTAGTAATGTCGATTAAGTACTTACAACATCGCCGAGGTAGGGGTAGCTTGATGGTGAGATAGTAACACCCCCAAATGTGTTCTGGAGCTCTGCCGTGGCAACACCTTTCTGCGCTAGCTTTGCTCTATCGCGTAGAGTCTTGACAAGCGTCTGAATCGGATTAACAAGGCTGAACATTTTGTTAATTTCCGCGATAATGATGTAGAGCTTCTTGGTATCCTTGATCATGGGCTTTTCCAGAACATCTAGTTCCAAATCTCCCAATACGTCGGCGTAGCACGCGGCGACAGGTATAGCCATGTCGATAATGGCGTCAATTATGGCTTGCATAACCATCGACGTAGCACAAGATCGTCGTAGGATCGTAGACGGGCCTGCCAACCTAGCCAAGATGGGTTTCTCTACATCATTGGCGGACTGCTCAAAGAATGAGATAATAGTGTTGTCCGTGGTCATAAACACGGACACCTGTTCTACCAACACTGCCAAGCCTCTAGCAGCAAGAGCTGAGTGCTCTTCCATATACTCATTACGGGCGGTATTTGGGGAGGCGCGGTATTTTTGCAGTGTGCGAAGTTTGTTGAGATCAAAGGTATCTCGAGGAGGGGGAGGTAGGGGGCCTTTTTCGAGGTCAGAAGGCGTCGTCGAATCCTCAATGTCTTTATCGCCGAACCATGTCCGAACTTTCTTCGCCGCGCCTTTTACCGAATCAAAACTTCGTACACTCCATGTGTCATTACTACCCTCGTCATAATCCTCATCTTGTATCACACGAACCAATTTCTGGCACGTAAGAGTGATAAAAGCTTGGTCGTGATGCCTATAAGGTAATTAGAGTCGATCGTTAATCATATTCATTGATCGTAACGAGGTATACTTACCAATCAACTTTAGGAGGATTGCTTGTGGTTATTGTGTCCTCAATGTTGAGAGGGTCAAGGCTCTTATATGAGCCCAATGCTTGGACTACATCCCACGACAGACCGTTAACGTTAATCCAGCGGCATTCTACCCATCTGGGCTGCGGTATCTTGATGAAATTAACCAATTGCTGGTTATCTAATCTGTGGACCTGTAAGGTCTCTCGTGAGAAGTCGATGACTGTGATCTGGCACTCTGCCTGCAAGTTAGGCACTGTGCCCTGCCCACCATCCGGCTTTGAAGGGTCAATGCCAGGTTCAGCACCTGGCCGCCATCCTGGATGACCTTCATAGTCCTGGATGTTCTGAATGGACTTGATTGTGTTGGATCGACTGTTGTGTTGGCGAATGCCAGACACAGAGGATAGCGAGAAGCGTGGCTCAGACTCGGGGATAGCTGACATGCTGGCATTCTTGGTAGCATGACTAAGTGCTTGAGGTGAGCCGGGAGGGATTGATAATAAGCCTGATGGTACATCCGCGCGGATTAAACGGCTATCGGGCAATGATAGCCGCGGCGACGATGCCTTGAAGCTATCGCTTTCTGAGGATTTAATTGACATTGTGTCCTCATCGGCGATAGCTAATACAGGCGTATCCAGAAAGGTAAGAAGAAGATAGATAGCCAATGTGATTAAAAGAAGTTTATAATAAGTAAAGAATGACTCCAGGATTTTCAAAACGATTACCAGATATTTCATAAGTGAATTTGGTAAATAATTGCTTCTTAATCTTGCGACTATTAAGTACACACGCGGTATTAATCCTTCGCAGGCGACTTAGCTGCTCAAAAGGGACGTGAATAAGCGTTGACAAGAAGTTGAAAGTGCATGAAGCGTTGAGGAGGGTTGGAAGATTTAGTGCAACTGCCCTGAGCATTTATTTTTTTAGAGGTTGTCAGTACGGAACGCACAGGCCTGTCGTTACGGTCCTTGGTAGGTGACTTTAGGTGTCCAATGCGTTGCTAGGGCACGGTATCGCGCTATTTGTAAGTTGGTAACCAAGGAGACTCATTCACAAAATATGGACTTGAAAGTTTAAATCATAATTCAAGCTATTGTAATATTTAAACACCTTCATAAATAATTGGACTAGAAGTTTTTTATTTTGGAGAATAATTGGATATGGTTAGACTTGGATATATATAAGAGGGAATGGTAATGAGTATGATATATTGATAGCATATCCTGAAAAGACCTCTAAGACTAGAAGTCTACCTACCTAATGACTGCAAGGAACAATTGCCCTGCGAACCTACGTACTAGGTAGTTAATGATCATTTTCTATCGGTAGATAAAGAATCCTCAGGAGGATATATATTTAGTTCTAAACAATTATTCTTAAACAAGCACAAACACGTATACCTCTGATTCTACGATATTGTCTAACAACAGCTTTGCCTTACAAAACAGTAGCCAATCAGATTTAAGACAGCATGACCTAATAGGAAATCACCATGTACCTAGCAGTCAACTTACTGTCTATAATTGGTTAGCGCTGGCACTAGAGGTAGACTGTGGAGATGACGTATTTGGCGTTCCTAAGAAGCTGTCTTGGATATAATTTTTACTTTTCCCATATTAACAACTGTTTAAGTAACTGGAAACTTATAAGTCATCATGTCTGAATACGAAGCTCGCCGACTTGAGAATATAAAGCGAAATGAGGCGCTTGTGAAGAACCTCGGGCTCCAGACTGGCTCCATTGCTAGGGATGAAGCGGGACGAAAGACCGCGGATCGGAAACAGCCCGCTGCAAAACGTCGCAAGCTTCATACCAGCCAACCTACACGAACATCAGCTCGAATTGCAAGTACATCAACTCAGCCAACTTACAATGAAGACGCTCAACAAGACCCGTCTCTGTCAAAGCGGAAATCTCACAAAAGCGCACCAGTTCCTAGGAGTCCAAGTCCGCATCTGTCGCCTACCCAAGATCTTAAAGCCTTAATCGCAAATTGGTCATCATGGACTCCCACACAACCCCCTCCAACGCGCGACGTAGAAGGGACCTACCACTTCGCATCGCACCCCCAATTCACCCCCAACAAGTCCCCCGAAGCCATAATCCGCGAAGGTTCCTTCGGCGGCACATACTGGCGGCCCCTCTACTCGCACCACCTGCACACCACCATCTCCGAAGACTGGCGCGAGTTACCTTTATCCTGGACCTCAGGCCTCGACGCGCAAAAGTACCTTACTAACGAGACCTACGACCCCGAAGTCAACAAATACGGCGTTTCTTGCGGGCAGTCCATCGAGGAGTGGGAAGCGGCCGGGTGGATCGCGCACGAGCACGACGTGCGCGGCTGGTTCCAGTGGTACTGCCGCTTCTGGCTCGGGCGGCGGTGCGCGGATGACGAGCGCCAGATTAGTCGGTGGCGGAAGTGCGTTGGGGAGACGGGGCGCTGGCGTAGGACGTTGCTTAGGAAGTATGTGCAGATGGGCGTACGGAGCGTGACAGACGAAGGAGACGATGAAGGAGATGGGGAAGAGAAAGGGGATGTGAGTCCTGTTGTTCACCAGACTTGTCACCATTGGGCTTGGGAGGTGAGACAGGAGGCGCTGGACCGGTTTTGGGCGGAGGGGAAATAACGCCATGCAGTGTGGAGGTGGTTCACGATACCCTACGCTCACAGTTTGGAGGCATGATGTCTACTGTCCAGATGCTCATGGTTTGCGATAAAAGTGGTTGATTAAAATTGATGTGTTTATCAAACAGATTAGAAATTTGGATTATTCAAGGTACATATTGTCACAAATATGGTCGCTCGCACACGGTTTTCACTCCTCATAACCGTATGTCAGGAAACTACTTACCGGCCATCCGTTGGCCACGGTGTACTCCTTCAGAGAAGTTGTTCCGTGGAGCACCTTGTAGTCCGTCATCGTCCCGCAGCCGATCGTCGAGTTGCTATCGCATTGGTGGCTCTTGGTCTTCTTCACCAGGCCGGCAACGCGCTCTCCGACGTCGCGGCCCTCGTACCAGGCTCCGTGCAGGAATCCGTAGTATTGCGCTGAGGTGGCTTCGCCGGCAAACCAGAGCCGGTCCAAGTTGGCGCGCAGGTTCTGGTGCTTCTCCAGCGTCATGCCGACGGGCCAGTTGCTGTAGGAGCCATACGACCACCTTCGCGAAAATGGTCAGTTCACTGCAATTATTCGGAAATTCCGGGGTTTGCTTTTGTGGGACTTACTCTTCTAGACTCCATCGTGGGTACATGAAGTCGATCGGGTCGGGGATCTCGATGTCGGGGAACATAGCACGGATAACCGCCATAACCTCCGCCTTGGTCACCTCGTCCGATTGCTGCTCAACATGGTATGACTTGTCGCCGACCACCGTTACGAAGATGATGTTGGATTCCTCGATGAAGCCAGGGGCCGAGAGCGACTGCCAAACGGGATAGTAGCCCCGCGTGTCGGGATCGGCGTATAGGAAGAACTGGGTGTCTCGGTCCCAGAAGGTCTCGTTGAACTGCAGGAAGATCTTGGTGTATGTACCCATCTGGAATTGCTCGATTGCCGCGCGTTTCCACTGCGGTAGTGGTGGGTCGAATTCGACCACCTCGTTCTGCAAGACTCCGACAGAAAATGTTGTGATAGCGTCTATCGCCCGTTAAATTAGTAAAAAATGCTTATCGTGGAAGAGAGAAAAAGAACGGGGCAACTAACGTTGAGCTTCGATGCATCCGCCGTCCTCGAGCTGAACAATGACGCCCTCGGGGCCGTACGTGATCCCCTTCACGACAGTCTCTAGCAGGAGCCTCGGGTCATTCTCCTTAAGGAACTCATACGCCTCACCGATCACCCACGTGTTGAAACCCCTCTGGTCCCAGACAAAGTTGTTGGCGTCGCTGAATTGGTAATATGTTAAATTGTATCCGGTAATACCGAACAGTTCTCCGCTCTGCTCGGGTGGGTAAGAGGTTTCCCAATCCCACTCCCACCATTCGAGGGCCTGTGCGTGCATGTCCTTCTTGGGCTTCCAACCAGCAAGGCTTAGGCCGGCACGAATGCTCGTGTCCTGCAGGTTCTGTGTGAGGATGTATCCTGCGTCCTGCTCCAACGTGCCGTATGCATTTTCGAACGAGTCAAATAGGTCGCTGTAGTCGTTGGCGCCGGTCTCGTCGTACGTAAGGATGGAGCTGTAGTTGGAGTAGGTGTTGTTCACGCCGTACTTCTTCGTCAGCGTCCAGACCGGGTTTTCCGGGCCGCCCTCGGAACCGAGACCCTGTACCCAGTTGGCGCCGAGCTCAACCACGTAGGGGGTTCCGTCGGGCTTTTTGCCGAAGTTCGTGTGCCTCACTAGATTTCAGCATTGGAGTTAGCACAATGCAACTTCTCGTCTGTTGTTAATTTTCCAAGGCATTGGATTGAATTTCAAGAATTTCGGCTCCATTGACCTTGCGAAATGAGGGAAGAAAGTGAAATCTGGAATATCTATGAGAATTTGAGCATACCGCGACCTCCGATGTAGTCATTGCGATCGATGATCAGGAAATCCGACACCGACGCGTTCGACAGCGCCTGAGCTGCCGTGATACCGGCAACTCCCGCGCCGAGAACCGCGACGGTCGTCTTACGGCACTCTGTCGCATTATGTCCTCCACGCTCAATCACTCTAGCAGTACATCCGAGAGGCGCGACGAGCGCGCAACACGCGGCGAGCAATCGCCTGTCCGTAAATCTCATCGTGATGTATTGACGTCCTCGCAACGAAAAGAAGTCGTTATTGGCGGGGCGTACTTAGAGAGTGGTAAGCTGCTGTTGAAGTGCAACGACAAGACGCTTCGCTCTTCGCAGCTGGCCCAAAAAAACGAACGAACAACGGCAACAATTTATATCACAGCATTCTCATCCTCCCCCTCCGCAACAGCCGATAAGTAAGATTACCGCGGCAGCGGAGGCTGGCTGACCTCACCTGAGAGCTGTGATATGAATTTCCGATATCTCACCTACGCGATCTGCGCTGCGTTACGATCCTTGGCCCTTTTCCGGCGCGGGGCTAGGCGATTTCGAGCAGCTCTCCGTCGCGTTCAGGTACCGATTACACTAACCTGGGTACGCCTTAGCCCTGTTCCACTGATAAACCGATCTGGGCAACTCTATGCGGGACGTTAGACTATTGTCGGCCTAGGTGCTTCGTCATCGCGGACCTGGGGATTTTATATAACCTGTTGTTGATGATTAGGTAATTGGAACCGCGCCGGGATAAGGATTATGCTTGAATTTATCAACTACATGGTAGATGCCTGGCTTGGAATTGAACTCCAACTTCATGGCCGCATCGTGCCAGAGATAAGAGTATTTGGGGTTAATGGCCTTATGACGATCTTAATCGCATGGATGCCTCAAAGGTTGTGGCCGAGGGTTCGGGAACATGCGCATCAGGTCATAATCGCCTAGTACGAGTTACACTAGCATTCTCAGCTAGGAATTGTACGAATAATACGAATTTCAACTGAATATCTTGTGGCTATGTTTGGGTATCTTCTAGGCCAGTCCCATCTTAACGTGACGCCGAGAGGGGCAGTGGTACCAAGCAAGCAAATAAAACAGCAAAAGCAGAAGGGAATGTTATTCAATGGATATCATAGAAACCAGCTGATCCGACTTCCACTTGAAAAAAAGCAATTCTAACAACAGCCTACCTACTTGTATTTACCATAAAAAGGCCCTCTGAAATAATGTCTGGTATTCGAAATTGGATATGACAAGTAAAAATGCCGGCCAAGGTACGCCTCATCAACGACACGCGGTAGTAGCTGCGGACTGATATTCCTGGCCAAGCAGCTAGTCTCAATACCGAGATGTTGTGACACCAAATAGGTAACCAGATGCGAAGACCATGGATGGGGTATATTCAAGTAACGTGAAATGAAGGGCTGGTTAATCTTCCGATGTGCCTGGCAACCTCGCCATCATAGCTCCTCATTCCCCAGGTCTTCGTGTTCTCCACATGCCTGCCCATCCGCACAGGCCGACGGCTGTGGTGGCGGCCCATGAGGAAATCCTCCCAGGGACCTCCAGTAACTGTTGCGGCCGTGTCCCATGGCTGTGTAGTTCAGACAGCTCGGGCTGTAATGATCCTCGATATTTCCCATCGGCCACATGGCAATGAAACATACCTCATCAGCTTTACACACGCCGCAGTCCTTGAAGTTCGACCAGCCCAGGGATTTTACCAGCGAGCCGATGATTTGCTTGGTAGCATGCATCGCAACTGGCTCGTCTGCGTCCGGGTCCTCGATGACAATCTCGCGGGCTTTGAAGAGCGCGGCGCAGATCGTGGAGGTTGTCTTCTCGAATGCCGCATATACGAGTTTGTCCTCCGAGGTTCGTGGCTGGACTGGCTGGAGGAAGAACTCGGCGCAGCGTTGCCGTGCGCCTGCGAATCCAACGTCGGTCTCGGCATAGTCGATGTATATGTTCAAAAGGCCGTTCAATTCGGCCTTTATGATGTCGATGGAATCCGTTTGGGCGATGAAGGGTAGGCGTTTAACGTATCGAGTAACGATCATATCCGAGACTCCTTGCCAATCTATGGGAGATTGCAGGTGTGATATCGATCGGGCTATTGACTCGGCGACGTGTTCCCTCACAACGTCCAGCTCTTCACTGCTCGCTCCTATCAGTCTAGGCAGCTCAGGTCTCTTCGGATCCGGGTTCGTGAGATTGATCGGGTAAAAGAATGCCGACACCACGGAGGAGTAGTCGAGTATGACACGCGATGATCCAATGTCATTGTAGCGCTGCGAAGCTGCCCTCGCCCACTCAAATCCTGAAATGCCGTTACTATCCTCTGAACCGGGGTTGTCCATGGCTGGTCGTTTATTGGCGGACAGAAGCTTGAGGCCGTCCGTAAAGTCGCAGTATATAATCTCGAAACCGGGCTCCATGCGGATAAACCCGTCGATCTTCCAATCTTGAGCTAGTATGCATAACTTATCGGCTCTTGACCTCTCTTCCCAACCGTCATGGCTCTTATTGCCTAATAGTAGGATATCCTGCGTGTCTGTCGTCCCCGCATCAGTTTTACCGGCAGCCATGCCATCTATATATAGCACATTGAGCGGGCGCACTGCTTGATAGATGTGTAGATGGCCCGGTTCTCTTGAACGTGGAGGACGGTCAGGCGGGTGATGTCCGTCCTGCATTGCCATGCCCATTGGAGGACCTCGAGGGCCTCGATGTGTTCTTCCGTCTGTATGATTAGGACCAGGCCCGGGACCCGGGGGACCACCGCGAGCAAACCCCTCCGCGTGCTCTATTTCAAATGCGAGCCATTCGGAACCTTTTGGTATTTCCTTGGTATGAGTTCCATGGTACAAGAGGACACCCTTCGGAATGACTCCAGGATATAATGACATCCCATTGTGGTGTAAGGATGATCCGAACTGGCGCATCGCATCGTGAACGGAGTTGAAGATTTGAAGTCCATTCTCGCGGGCGCTTTCGAGCGTTGGACCAAAGCTCTTCTGAGATCCAGCACTGCTGAAGCCAAGCGAGGTCACCGCTAGAACCAGCGCTGCCAGCCGGTTCGAAGTAGTTAAGACCATCCTCATTAGAAATTGTCAAGAGTCGCTTGTTCCAAAGCAACAAAATAGCGTAGTACACGAAACATACAGAAAAACACAAGAAGAACAAAACATAAATAAATTAATTTGGGATGTCCCAACCTACCTCATGATCATCGTCGACGTGGTTCGCTAGCTTACTTTGTATTACGCGTCACTCGATACAAGGTACTTGCTTATCGGGCCATGCAGAGGATTCGATAATTCAATCGCATTGAATTAGAAGCCTTCGATCTTGCTTATTTCACGATTTCTTTGGTAAGTTGCCTAGGATAAATGAGCGGTGTATTTTGATGATCAATGAGATCCTGAGAGTATTCAAAAGTTAGGTTTGAATAAACATCAAAAGTTCCAAGTTTGACTTTGGGAAGTTTTACAGGGCCGTTGAAGAATTGATCAGCTCCTAGTTCTGATAGTAGTATATTCATATACGCAGATATGGCAAGCTGTTTAATGCAGATCATTGAAGTTGTAAGCGCATTATATGCTTATGCGATGACGCGAGTTATCTAGTATTGCATATCTGACTATTAAGATAGTACTAGGTACCTAGTAAGTGTAGCTTACGTACGTCTCGTTTTCGGCTGAGGCACCCCTTTTATGGGTATGGGTCTTTGAAGCCTCATTGACGCCTTATTACTTTAAAAACATCCCTACCTGATCGAAATTCCTTGCCTTTATTGAAAAGAAAATCCAAAATATAAGTCCTTCGATTAAAACGATAAAACTAATAAGAACGGAGGAACGGAAAAGGGATAAATTATTAATGCTCGTAATTTCATTTATCCCCCTTTCTCTTGTTTGCTTATTAATATACGAGCTCCTTTTCCTAGCCTACCTTTAATTCACGGGGGCGAATATATTTTATAACTACTTACCTAGGTATTAAGGAGTAACAAAAACCGTGAGTACCACATATGGGTAGTAGTTTGTAATGATATTTACGTATTATCATTTGAAAACACCATAAAAAGTCGCCATTTCTTAACATCAAATATCTTCGTTTGAGCTACCGAGATACCGGTAAGTTCAATTATTCCACTGTAGATTCCAAGTGGTATAAGCCCAAGCGAGCATCATTTAGATTGGAGGCTTGGAAGAAACTTTATCTACCCCATGGTATTATTCAAAAGTGCGATATGTAAGACTCTTGTTGCCACGAAACTCAGATACCACCCTCATGCCTTCTCTAAAGATAATAGCGGAAATATGGTTCATCCAGCAAAGTATTCATGTGGATAGCTTAACCAAAAAATCAGCAACATTAAGTTCAGGAGATGCTTAAGATTAAGCCACATCAATGATTCCCATTCCACGATATGTCCACGATATGGACGAAATTTTGAGGGAACTCAACTACATAGCTTGTTAATAAAGCAGGTAAATAATTGGCTTTAATTTATTCACCAAGAGATGTCTCCTTAGGTATGTATCTACCTACCTGGATACTGTTCATGTTAAATTGCATGGTGGCAACGTAGTTTTAGTGTTTGTAGCCCTACAGAACAACTCCATTGACAATCTATATTAACATCCTGTGACTGAGGCGTTTTAGTTCATGCACCCAAGCGTAAACTATCTCTGTCGAGCTTGCTGATATAACTTTTCATCCGAAGCTTCCATTCTTCTACCATCCCATCTCCGAAACCCTGGTTAATTCGCATTTAAATTGCATAGCCATCTCTAAGTCTATCCAAACCTGTCACGACGAACCATAACCCAACTTCGGAGAACAACAACGTAGATAGGTAATTCTCAATTTCGCAACTTCAATTACGTTAATTAGTTATTCGATTCACTCTGAGATCGAATTTGTTTACATTGAAGTCGGAATTTACTCCGTTATCAATTGAATTGCCGATTGTCTTACGATACTATGGAGCAATCATCAAGCGAGTTTTCCGGCTCTCCTTCAAAGAAGGCAAAAGGCAAAAGACAGAGCCTCACGAACATATTCCCGGAACTTCGGATACACACATCGCCCACTCGTCAACCCCATTCCACATCATCACCATCTGCGTCACCCACTAAATCTCCCACGAAGTCATTGGCGAAAACAATTCCGAAGCTGAAAGCATCAATGCGCAAGGGTTGGCCGAGATGGTTGAGCATTCGGGGAAACTCAGGGGAAGAAGTCGACCTCACCATTCGTATCGCTGACTACCTTCGAGAAGAGGCCAACAACAACGATTTCTCGGAAGATCCCGCGACAATCATCCAAACTGTGAAAAATAAGTCTGGAAGATTTGGCAAAGAAACCGCCGCTCTCTGGGCTAAAATCGAAGATAATCTGGTTGAACTTGTCTACGGATCCAACTATATAGAAACGCTTGGGTCCGATTTCGACATAACAGAAAAGCTTTGCCGAAGGATATTTAGAGGAGAAGAAGTCAAGGCTTATGTGGAAGCAAGGAGTGCGGAATACGAGGCCGCACGAGCCGCTCTTCTGGCCTTGAAGAGGCCAAGCACGTTTGACGACGTGGTAAGAAGCCGGCAAGAAGTCATAAACCATGCCCACGCATTGAATTATGCAATTGACCATGTCGTACTGGATGGTCAACAAATCACAGAGAACTTCCTAAAGGAGGTTCACCGGAAGTTATGTTTTGGTGGCGTTCTGGGAGAGGACGCCGGCAGTCCGGGAGACTATCGGACATGGGAAATCGCGGCCAGACATGGGAAGGATATGAGGTCAAAATCCATATTCATACGGGCATCCGTAGTCGAAGACTACATGAAGGCTTTCGTGGAAGACTTAACGAACGACATGATATTGGCGGAGGAGTCAAAGACGGTGGATCCATTCGACATGGCCAACAGATATTGCCACCGCCTTGTTTGTATCCATCCATTTGGCGATGGAAATGGTCGGATGTGCCGGATTTTGTTGAATGTCCTTCTTTTAAAATATGCAGGCCATGTGAGCACGTTTGGTGGCTCCGACAACGAGAGAGAAGAGTACTTGGATCTAGCAAGACGAGGAAACAAAAAGTTTCATGAAGAGGACATGGAGGTCGCAGAAGAGGAGAAACGGGGACATCGTGAACTCGCAAGATTCACACTAAGAAAATGCAAAGGGACGCTGGAGCATTTGTGGGCATGGGTATCGAAGGACGAGACGAAGCAGTAGAAAAGTTGCGAATGGTATACTATAGGATGCTGCATTTATTATTAGATCGGCTTAAACAATTATTATTATTATTATTATTAACCATGTTGTTATAATAAATAAGGGTGCTTTATTCCATGTAATCGATACCTCTTTCAATGGCAGTAAACCTTAGCCTTAACCAAGGGTTAAAAGGTAGGTAAATTATATTTAAACATTCCGTATAAAAGTTCGGTTTAAAATATCACTACTTATATAAATGATATTGGGGATAATCATAATAAAATCATGTATTGTTTGTGCTTCATATTTGTCAGAGGCCTCCTCTGTGAGAGCTGATAGCCAGAGGTCTCGCCAGGATTAGCTAGTAGCCCAGAAGGATCGGGGGTTGGTTTATACGAGGCTGCCCTGTTGGTAGTTGGCTTTTGGCTGTAGATAAACAAAGATCTACCTACCTATGTATGTATACCGTATCCCCTGGAAGGGAGTAGTTAGAGGTCTTCGCGCAATAACATCGTCATTCCCTAGCCCTTTGGTTCCGCCTCGTGACATCTGGCGAAACTGCGTTACGACTCGAAACACCGACCTGTATCTTCTAATGTCGGAGGGAACGTGTACTTGAGACTGCACAAAGGCTACAAACTACAGGGAGCGAGAGATCAAAAGTATGGTGTTCATGGAGGATGAAGTCATTTACCAGACTGATGCTCTTGTTTTCTTTTTTTAGATCTACCTCGTGGTATTATGTAAGGTAAATTCGTCAGTTGGGTGACTCCTTTGGCGACATATCTCTTGAATGACCGTTTTCTTTGTTAGTGGTATTGACCTTAATTAATACTATGGTCAACAACGCTCAAGTCTCTTCCTTGTTTTTCTCAACGTGAAAAGGGCTCACTTGGTAGAAATTACGATGTCTGCTCCTTACTACACATCGTTGTCGCATTACTAATAGGGTAATGTTTCCTCTTACTTGCTGCGTTGGAAAGAGACTTATTGAACTAGCAATCTATCTGACTCGCTACAACCCAATTCCATTCAATTTAACCTGTCTATGCTAAAATTGAAAGGAATGTGTCTCAGCTGCCTGCCACTCTTGCCCGACCAAGTTAAGAACTCGACCCTACTATCCTACACCCAGCCTCAACTCGCAACCACCTTGGTTGTTCTTTCTTGTAAATACATCCAGTCCTAACCTAGAACATTTAGAAGAGCTTCAATGACCGTAACCAGCCCCTCCATGTTGTCATGAGTAGATAACTTATCCAGAAGAACGTTCCCATGAGACTTGACGCTGATATAGCGTATATGACCTTCGACCGATTTGGACCTCGGTTCAACCGTAAGGGCGAAGCGGTCATCTGCTTTCTGAATTGCATCCCTGAGCTGTTCGGTATTGCCGTGACAATGGACAGGTCCCCAGACCTGCCTATCTTTGAAATAGAGGGTGCATTTCGCAGTATGGCCCTCCACCGAATGCGGTTTCTCCTCAAGCCAAACGTGGAGCTTGTTGTTCATGATGATAGTGAGTTTCCCTATTGGAAGTCAACATGTTGGCAGCTCTTGTTTGGAGTCTTTGAATTTACCTGTTTAGGCCTGGGTAATAAGTAGAGCGAAGGGTCAAGTAGTAAGCTAGCTTTGTCTCTGTAGTAGGTTAAGAGTGCTGGTGTTTCTGTGTCTTGCTTTCTAGCTTGGGAATGTTAAGTTCTATATATACTTGGTGAATAATCGATGAGATTTCTGAAAACAGCTTTGCTAGCTGTGACAAGGTGATAATAGCTTGGAACAATAGTTCAATTCAATATAATAATTCTCTTGGGTCTTGAGGTCCTTGATTTCTTCGTTTCTATTGGAAGGGGATATCTATTCTCTACCCAATATCCGATATTCGGCGCTTACGCGCTGCTCATATTCCTATTGAATGGTATTTTTCTATACTATGCAGGTATATACTAGTCGGATAATAGTTTTAACCCAATAATCTAAACATATCGTACCTCAATATTGTGACACTAGTTCCTAATAGCTGCATCCCCATCGCTTCCTCTGCGTCCGGCATGTGCGCATTTTCAGATTGTATAAGATTGGCAAGATTTCAGCTGGAATTCTTCGTTTTGTATTGCCAGGTCATCAGAAAGGCCTGCACGAGGTAGTTTTATTTTCAGCTGCGTTCCAAATTATCTAATGTGTTTCCGGATTTGTATAATTTCAGCTGGTATCACTTCCCAAGCCTATAGGCTACTTTATTTTCCGGTAAGCTATTATCTGCCGTTTTTCCGGACTATACGATTTCAGCTCGCATTTTATATCTTAAAGGAGTAATGATGTAAACATTCACTGCAAAGTATCCCACTTGGCAGCTGTAACCAAAGGTTATCGTTCTGACCACTGGGCAGAAGATTGGCCATAGTCGCAATTATGGCGACGAATGCAGGTGTAAAGTCATAGTGTTACCATGATATGCTGCTGCAGCACCAACTGGATTCGCGAGTCAAAGAAATCATGCACGGCCATAACCCTCTGTTTATAAAGCCATAGCGTCCTTCAGTCTAATATGCCCCGACGAAGTATACATGTAAACGAAACCACGGACATCTGTTGAAGAACGCCAAGTCAACCTTAGTTATCGAGATACTGTTTATCAATCACCAACATTACATCAAAATTCGAAGCACGTTACCAACTGCGAACCCGCGAGTTCTCACAATATGACTATCAAAATCGTTCAAGTCGTCAACAATACATGCGAGACGGTCCGTTATGAGAACCTCCAAAGCGGATACTCAGTCCAGGTTAAACCCAAGGATCCGAAGAAATGGGAAAATAATGACTGGATACCCTGCTCAGACTACCACGAAGATACAGTTCCGACAAAGTCCTCCGGCAAATATATCCGCATCACCGTTGGCGATAAAGTACCTTTCAAGCTTTCCGACGACAGATGGACATTCAGTTTTGTTGACTACCCCGACGGTGATACAAGAGAAGGAAACGAGCGTCGGCTTGGTACTTTCGAAGGAGGTGAGAAATTGGTTCTTCGAGTAGATGGGCTCGAAAACCTGGACAAGGTCCAAGTTGCTACCACAATCTACAAAGTGGATGAGTCATTAGGTGCCGGGCATGTTACAGCGTCAGTGCTTTCCAGCTTGGCTACCGCAGTCTCTCTTGTTCTCATGGCAGTCTTCCTGTGAAGGAAAGAAGATGCAAGGTGCCACTAGCTTATATAGGATAGATGAAGCTATTTGAATTGATGATATTTCTGGAGAATTGCGATCCTCTCGGTTTAGTAATGAACTTAAGCCGCCCCTTTAAATAGGTAACGTATTCAAAATACTAGGCGAATTCTTCAATTAACGATTATAAGGGTGAGGCTAATTATGAAATTAATTCAGTGTTACCTATACATGCCTAGGTATATTATACGTTTTGTCATATAATTATTGTCGCAGGATAGTTTACCTACCTAAGATAGGTAGGTGCTTAGATATCCAACTGTTTTACCGACGTTCAACGCTAGTAACCCCCCTTTTGTCTAGTAATACAGGTTTGTCGTCAATGATAATATGTAGTATGCTATTCCCATCTGATTATAGGAACCAACAAAATATTGCAAGAATGAAATTTGGCTGTGGATTTGTCCCTGTTATGTAGACGGAATAGCATCTAATCATATAATCAATGTGCGGAGCAGCGACTCTAGCTCTCCTATAATGTCGTTAAAAATAGCGGACCGAAGCTCCGGGTCGTTCAAATCTTCCGTGCCTAGGCCGAAGTCGCAGTTAATCAGTTTGGAAACCACCTTCTTGTACCTCTTCCCAAAACAGGGGAGATGCGCTACCGTTTTACGGACCAGTACGTGGTCTCCCCATGGGATATCAGACCATAGTCCAATTTGTATAAGTGCTACTCCAAGGCCATATAGGGTTAAATTCCTTATGCCGTAGTTCTCCATAGCATCTTGAACTGGCTCTGAAAGTGGGCAGTCAGGAAGACAATCTTCTCCATTTGGGGGTGTGGGTGCCAAGTTGACAGTTTCCATTGCAGATGAAGCCATTCTAACCTGGATTAAAAGATGTAAGGTATCAATATATGGAGATATATCTCTACCTCCATTGTGGAAGATGTAGACTTGCCCGAGTGTGGACTCTCGGGGCCACCACGGTGTTGAATTATATTTTAGCATAGATTTCACTAAGGTGATTCCGAGTTTGATGCGGTCCGTATCCGAGACAACGTCGTATACGGGAAATCGTAGATAATCAGTGAGAGGAATGGGCGTGTATTGACTGGGATTCACTTCTAACCCCTGTAGGCCCGGATATAGGACAAGCCTTTGATTGCCCTTAATGTCGAGAAAACCAAAAGATTGTGGTGAGGATTTCGAGAAAGCCACAGAGCGAAGAATCAATTTCCCACAACTGAAGCCTGCTTTTGCCAGATTTTCATCATCCTGTTTGCCATGGTCATTCAGGCAGGGAACATTTGACTGGCCTGTTACGAGATGGTGACTATGAACTTTATCGCGGATACGCGGTCGCCTTGGAGTTTGGCTAACCTCGCAGCTCGAGTCGGAGAGTGATATACCGGAACCACTGTGAGCCAGGTCCTCGCAGCTTGCGTAAATCGGTAATAATTTCCTATTGCACTATTAGGATTGTGGTGTACAGCTGGAGTGTTTCACTATACCCTTGCAACTGCAGCTTATGCTCGAAAAATAAATTTATCTTTGGGCTCTTCTCGTCCGTGGAATTCAATAGGAGCTTCATATTATGTTGAGTATCAACGCCGGTATCGCAGGATGCCCTAGTCTGCAGTAAATCATACAGAGACAGAGACATATCTTGGACTATCTCGTACCCAGAGGGTAACGAAAGGAGGTTTGTTGCTACGGGATAGTTCTTTATCTTTGGGATCATCTCTCGGACCATTCGCATCTCTGTGTTCGACCCTTTCAGCATTTCGATATAATCTAGGTAATCTTGCTTCTTGAAAGCAATTCGGAATGCATCCCGGATAGATTTCCACAGTGGCACCTACTAAAGGTCAGCCTGTAGCTCTTAAACTTCTATAAATTTATCATACTGCAGTTTCAGGTTGAGTAAATGTGGAGATTTTCACCAGGAGGTCTTCCATCGTTTCCCGCGCTTCGTTGAGAATCTCTTGGAACCGATCATATTTGTGGCCCAAATAAGATCTTAGACTTTTCTCGAGTCCTTTGTCCTGCCATATTGGATGCTTTTGATCTCTTATCATGGCGGAAACTATCCGGCGGTCAAGTATATTGAGAAGGAGTAGATGGATTTCATCCAGAAAATAACCCCGTTGGATTTCAAATTTCTTCCGGATTTGCTCAATCTCCTTACCATGGCGACGCAGGAGCTTTATCTTGGATGATAACTGGATTAAAATACCGATCGCAGTGACACAAAGGGGAGCGATCCCGAGGGCCAGTGACAATGGATCTGCCATAGCCTTAATTTCAACAACGAGTGCCCAGGTGAGTTCGTTTTGAATAACTCTACCGTAGAATAGGTACCTATATATTCAGAGTAAATGAGAAGTGGAAATCTAGAGGATTAATTGAATCGGGGGTTTAGGTAACTAAGTTATCCTCTTAGCTTAGAGGTATTATCTCTTCAACTGGCAAAAGGCAACAACCTATGAGATGCATTTGCGTGTCTTACATATTACTATTGGCTGTGTGTGCCCCTACAATACAGTGAGTCCAGGTACCTTACGAGGGGGCATTGCCGGCACAGGCTACCTGCTTCGCCCTTCTTTACCACCACTTGAAAATATCATTTGCTGCACATGACAAGCTATTCGCTCAGACGACAACACATAGCCTTATCATTTGGGTTACATTGCATGTAGATATTCCGCCCGACTAGCAAGCAGGGTTTTCATAGAAATATCTTTGGACGGTCTTGTAGAAACCACGTTTTTAGAGGTAATTATACCTACTCATCTACACAACATTACTACGCCTCACAATATATCTCAATGTCTTCAACAAGTGAGCCGAAGAATGACGACTCAGCCTCCCAAAGAGTTGATCGAGTACACAAATGGAGAGACGATATTGCTGTGGAGCAAAACACAGCTGAGGTCGTAGCCCGATTGCATACAACCAGTCGAGAACTATACAAAGCATTTCTACTAGAATTACGCGATAAGAACCGACAGTCAAAATCCCAGTATCGGCAGCTCGAAAGCGGATATACAAACTACTTGATATGGGCTGATGACTACGGAGTACTAGATGGTAGTCTGGATGCTAAGCTCCAAACCTCCCAGCGTCTGCTAAAGTTCACCACCAAGTTATTGATCAATATATGCACCATGCTATGGAAAGGTTCGTTCTTTCGTATTGATTCCCCAGCTCTAGCTAAAGTTTATAGTGTGCTGGACGTACGAATTCGTGAGAAGCGATGCACATTTGCAAAATCTGTACCAAGTTGCCTCAATTACGGCAGAAGAAAGCTCACATATAGTTCACGGCATCAATGACTATTCCGACAGCGAAAGTGATATAAGTGATGATGGAGAGGAGCTTGATGCCCATGAAGAATCTCTACAGGTTGCCTCTGAGACATTGTTAGACGAAATTGGAAATCTTTTAGACCTTGGACCAAGGCTAGAAGAACCAGTACCTGATTATTGCACGAAGAAGCAGCCGCCAATCCCCAAACCTTCTCCCCCTTGGAACGCCGTACAATATTTCGCTGATACCGTCTCAACTAAGTTTCCTAAATGCGATGGCACCTTAGCCAATGCACTAGGCAGATCAAATTGGGATTCTATGATAAGACTACTCACGAGTCGAGAAGCCATATCAAATGTTAAGAGCGGAGAACACATAGGGGTGAAAATGCCAATATCGGCCGATAAACAAGCAACCGGTTTCAAAGATTCTGGCTTGGGAACAAGTATGCCATCTACTAATCTTTATGCTGCAACCGTTGTCTCCTATCGTAGGGATGGGGACACAAGAGCAAGGATACCTCCGCAACCAAAAAACATAAAAGGAGGCCAGTTATTCCAGTGTATTGCATGTGGGGAGAATATAAAGAAAGGAAGCACGAAAGCATGGAAGTAAGTCCTATCATTATTTCCCACTCTTAACGTTGAGATTTGCTTAAAATGAATAGGCAGCATTTACTAGCTGACCTCAAACCATGGGTTTGCTGCGACATTTCTTGTCCGTGTGAGCGTAGACCCTTCGACAGTCGAGAAGAATGGGTTGAGCACCTCAGAAGAAATCACGAGATACATCCTGAATGGGATGACAAAACCTGTCCTATTTGCTCCGAGGTAGTGGTTGGCGGCGGCTATGCAATGATTTCCCACGTGGCACTTCATCTGGAAGAGATCTCTCTCACAGTCTTGCCATGTGATCCTGATAACGACGATGTGGATGAAAATCTAGCAAATTTGGATCTCAATAAAACTAAATCGTTTCATAGAACATGGCAAGAAGATGCCAGCCCCTCTCTGTTTGGTGGCGGTGGTAGCGGTGGTGGCGGTGGTCGCTCATTGGTATTAGAAAACGGAGAAAGGATCAACATTTGGTATTGTGTAAGCAACGCTCTCATTTATTTCTATTATTTACGTGCTAAAAAAACTAATACTCTTAGTGTCAATGTTCGGAAGGTCCGATGGTTGTCCTGAACACCCCGGTTTGTGTATTTTGTAATAGTCACATCAGGTGCCCTAACTGCTGACTAGGATAGGCTTTTGCTAGGCCAGAATAAATGCTTTATTGGCACGTGTTTGAAATTAGGTTCTATTTAAAATCAAGTGATTTGTGTTTATCCCAGCAGCCTCAAACCAGAACTTCAACCATAGAAAATGAGCTGTGGAAGAAAATCTAGACAACATGATATCCTTCGTGAACTCGGGCACTACATACATTACTCGGACTTCATCTCATCCCGACCCCAAAGAGTCATCGTTTGTCCAGGAGCACACTTGGTCGTCGCAGGCATCTGCATAACGACCGACCAACTGCCGGACGCACACTGCTGGTATGAAGTACCGCCAATGCAGTTGAACATACCTTCAGAAGTACAAGATCCCGTAAGTCCTCCAGCGGAGCCCGCTCCCGGCGAGCCGCTACCCGCCGGGCTCGAAGAACCTGCCGGCGACGGAGCGGAACTAGCGGCGGCAGCAGACGAAGGAGCCTGGAAGGCAGGAGCACTGCTCCCTGCCTGTATGACGCTCGTTACGAACCCAGAAGGCGTGGGGGCACCAGTCGACGAGCTCGCTGCTGCGGAAGAAGCACTGCCGCCGTCCGAGGCCGGGGCCGATCCCGAGTTTCCGTTATCGCTCGACCCGCTACCAGCGTTCGTGTCGACATTTCCGCTCGATCCGCTCGATCCACCCGACGACTTTGCACCTTTGGGGACACAGTTATCGCCTTGGACCTTTGCGAATTTGTTGCTCGTGCCTGGACGAACAACGTTAGATCCGGGGTCGGGGTACTCGGGGTCGGTGCCGGGTTCTGTCTTGCACGAATTAATATCAGCTAGGTTAGCGACGAAAAGCTCGGGGAATGAGTTATCTCTTGAAATAAGATCGTATGTCTCATTGGCATTAGATCGCTTTTTGCCTCCCGTGACCGTGATGGGGGCGCAGTTCATGTAGTACTCGGGCTGCCCTGCGAGCTTGCTGATCCAAGTCCAGGCGAAAACGTAGTTCCCGGGTCCTACACCGTCGGGAATCTTCCAGTCGTAGGTGTCGGCCCCTTGGCCAGATTTGCTTGGGCAACCACCTTCGATAGATTCGATTACTTGCCAAGATGTAGTCGCACTAGGTTGCATGTCTTGGGTTATAGCCAACTGACAACTTCCCCCACCACTATAAAAATGTTAGCGCCGAAATTCTGAACAGATAGGGTAGGAAATACTTACTGAACTGCAGAGCCCTTGAAGGACAAAGTCTGACTTTCCCCAACTGCCATTGTGTTGTCAAGCCCATCAGTCTTGTAGAAGGTTGCTGGATCGCCCTTAAGCTTACAAGGATAGTTACTTGAAGTCAACGGAGAGTTGTCGAGGTCAGGGCCTCCGAACGGTTTCGGATTTGCCATAATCATATGGCCATTCACGGCCGCGGAGGCCAGAATGAAAGTACCTGTGATGGTTTTAAAGAACATCTTGATTTCTTCGTGCGAGGTATACTTATTTCTCCAAAGTGATTTATAAAAGTACCAGACTAGTATCGACGTATTATGAGGCCGGCTCGTCTAAAAGTCGAATATGAAATATAATGAATTAGGTAAGGATGAGTTAACTGACCGATTTCTGAGATTAGGCCTTGGCCTCTTATACCATACAGGAGGTTATACATACAAAAGATCTGTGCGGATTGTTCTCGAGCAAACACCCACGACAAAGGAATATTAACAAGAGTCACCGAAAAGCTACGCGAAACAAAGAACCACAACTACGGTATTGTTTGAACGAGAAATAACGAGAAATGGTGAGCAAAGTGAAAGGCATTGTCTAAGAATCCATTTCTTAGTCATTTTATTCCTTAGAGTCTTACGGTACCAGGAAGATCTCAAAGTCTTCAATAATGAAATATTGACGATTTCCTTGTGCCGTTGAACTACGAACTTACGTAATCAACATTGTCTTAGACTCTTAGCAGCCAAGAAGAGACTTAGCGAGAAGTATATCGGTTTATAGAAATCCGTAGTCCTCAAACATTATTCATCTCGTTTGGGTATTCCTTGGGGAAGTAACGTGGGAACATACTTCGTAACTTTTCTATTTAAGTCTGAAGGAAGAAGATAACCGTGAGGATTGTTTGTGTGAGCCTGAGAGGGCTTGAACTTAGATGCCATACAAATGTCCCATTAAGTTTAATGTTTTCCTCAACGAAGCTTAAGAGGTCTGAGTGACCACCTACTTCTGTGAAGTATCCACAGCTTCAAAAGAATTCGATTGTCTGTAATCTTAAGTCTAAGACAAAGGCCCTTTTCAGGGGAAACAGGATAGATGAATATAGTAATACCAGGTATTTACTACTTATATAATTCTTTTTAAGGTCATATTATTCAATTAAGCAGAACGCCAGATTTACCCTCCACCCTTGATGTAACCTAATTGTTGCGCATGATAACGTCATGGGAGCCGGCTTATGCATGCAGTCCCGTTTCAGGGACCTATTGAACTTAAACGGTATAGGCTCCGACTTGTGCAACCATCTTTATCCCAACATAACTTACACTGCCGCCCATGTGTCTTGGGTAGGTAGATCCCATTCTCTACCTCATTCTCTACCTCCCTCTTACCTCTTTACAGCTGAGGACTGATGATCAAAGAGACTTGATCAATATGGTGAGTATACCACCGAATTATTACCCAAATTCAATTTTGAACTCTTAAAAGAAGTGTCGCAAATTTACTTGGATTAAGCATGTGATCATCTCTTTGATACGGACTAAGCTGACAATGTCCGATCATCTAGGCTAATGCGACGACACCTCTTCTCGCCGACGACCGTCGCGACCCCGATGCAAACTCGAACTCGCTAAGCGACTCCGAAGAAGATGCTCTCCGCGGACAATCTAGAGCCACACACCACGGCCGGTCATGGCATAACCGATTGCGAGAATCCCTTCTATTCGCCTGGGCACTTCTCGCAACCGCCGGTGTTCTAGTTCTCGCCGTCTGGGCGTCGCATCAGCAACAAACCGCGTTCGATAAACCCGCCGGCAAGCGTAATCTGATTTTCATGGTCTCTGACGGCATGGGCCCCGCGTCTTTATCCTTGACTCGAAGTTTCAGACAATATACTGAAGGGCTCGACCATAGCGACACTCTCACTCTCGACAAGCATTTCTGGGGCAGCAGCCGAACAAGAAGCAGTTCTTCTCTAGTCACTGATTCTGCTGCTGGGGCGACGGCCTTTAGCTGCGGGATGAAGAGCTACAACGGAGCTATCTCTATGCTACCCGATTCTACTCCTTGCGGGACCGTGCTCGAGGCGGCTAAGAAAGCTGGATACAAGACCGGTTTGGTTGTCACAACGGATATCACCGATGCCACACCTGCCTGTTTCGCTAGCCATGTAGACGTCCGCTCACAAAACGACGATATCGCAGTGCAAGAGGTTGGTAATGGGCCCCTTGGTCGCGTGGTAGATTTGATGTTTGGAGGTGGGCGATGCCACTTTTTGCCGAACGAGACCCATGGAGGATGTCGCGCGGACAATATCGATGTAGTGGAGATGGCGAAGAATGATTACGGATGGAACTATATCAGCGACCGGGCAGCCTTTGACGAATTCTGGGAGGGCGAGAAAGAAGTCCCACTTCCTATGCTGGGTCTTTTCGCCGATACGGATATTCCATTCGAACTCGACAGGCAAAACATGAACGACATCTACCCAAGTCTCAGTGAGATGGCCAAGACGGCTTTGAGGGCTCTTGAGAAGGCCACTGAGGGCAGCGACCAGGGATTTTTCTTGATGATTGAGGGTAGCAGGATTGATCATGCCGGACATGGAAACGATCCAGCTGCGCAAGTCCGAGAAGTCCTTGAATATGACCGGGCTTTTAAGGCTGTCGTGGATTTCCTAGAGGAGAGCAGCACTCCAGGCGTTCTTGTCGCAACTTCTGACCACGAAACAGGAGGATTAGCAGTTGCACGACGTAAGTCTTTTTTCCCCTCTCCAACAATGATTATGATATTTGCTAACCACGTCTCCAGAGGTCAACGCCAATTACCCACAATACTTATGGTATCCCGCCGTCTTAGCGAATGCCTCGTCATCTTCGGAATACCTTGCTCATCGCCTTCACGGTCATATATCAAAGACTTCTGACAATTCCGTCGATAACCTGAAGAAGTACATTAACGAGGAGCTCGTCATCCCCGGCCTTGGTATCCACGACGCCTCTGACGATGAGCTCACAGCGTTGGCCACTAAGCCAGAACAAGCTCAATATACGTTTGCGCACATGATCAGCATCCGCGCGCAAATCGGCTGGAGCACTCACGGTCACTCGGCCGTAGACGTCAACATCTACAGCTCCGGCGGTCCCGGCGCGGACGCTATTCGGGGTAATGTGGAGAACACCGACGTAGGGAAATACTTGAGGGAGTACCTTAACGTCGACGTAGACGCCATCACCAAAGAGCTGAACGAGAAGATGAGCTCGGAGAAGAAGCTAGGCATGCTTGGCCAGGAAACCGGTATAGATGTTGCCGAGCAGGCGGCTACCGCGGTTGAGGACCACTGGGTATCGCATGAGGCGATGGAGACCCAACGGATGAACGTAGTAGATGTGGAAGTATAATATCTTGCTTGGCTTGGCTTTAATAGGGTTCGGGTTGTAACTGTTTGGAGGCTAGAGCTGCATTTTCTTTTGGATTCGTTCATTCATTGGGTTAGCATTTATGGCATTTGAGTAGAGGTGATAAATACAGAATTGATACCCACATATGAGCAAAGCTATACGGAGTCCAAGATTAGGAGAAATACATACATGCTTAATGGCGCAAAGGTGGACTCGGCCTACTTAGAATCTTGAAGAGGATGTAGGCAACTTTCGGCTCCCTTAGCAGGAGTGACTGGGTGACTAGCTGGCTGTTTCGCTACCCCGTTGGAGAGATGTTCGACTTCGGCAGGAGAGTATGTCTGCTACCCTGCGTTGCCGGGTCCCAGACGAGCTTTTGTTGTGGGTAGGACTGTATTGTTCGTTTTGTTGTCTGTTGGCATAGGTTCAAGCCTTTCTTTTTTCTATTTGGCCTTGTTCCTGGGAAATCGGAGAGGACTGGGTAAGATAGATATGTAATCGGGGGATGTTGCTTTGAGTTTTTCTTTGGGGTCATATTCCTTATATATAGATGTCTACCTAGAAAACATCATGGTAGCTCATTTAGAAGCTCGAATAGCAAAGATGGTTGTGGGCGCTCCAACCCAGCACCGAACTTTTGTATTGCTCCAGTTAGGGTATTGTAGGTCTAAGAAATCGAGTAAGTCAGTCATATATCGAGAATTTGCATACATTGAGACAATGGCAAAACTTACTAGCAAAATCTCTCCGCTAAATTCCAACATTATGTTGGTGATCATGGCTGAAAAAACGCAGACCGTTGTTCCTTTTCTCATCTCAGTCTAGTTTTGAGTGTCGACGTGGAAAGGCAAAGGGGCCCTTTCGCTCTTTTTCACAGTGATGTGTGTGTTTAAGAAGTCATATGGTAGTAAGACTATCGAATGTGATTAGTCGTTGTATTAACCGTTTTATTCGTGGTCGTCTTCTGCTTTGCCGAAATCGCCTTTCTCCTCGGTTACTAGAGAAAACCAAGATACGAAGAGGAATCATGTCCCCCTATGTCTAGAGTACGACCTACATAACATCTTATTGTATCTTCTTACGTTTACTAACAAGCTATGAGGAGGCAAAAACAAGGCGGATATACCTTTTCGCAATGTACTGGGAATGAAGACCTCATGCTAGCTTTTACTCGGTCTCTTTAATCAATATTGTATATTTGATCAAAGAATAATTAGCTGGTTTGATTCATGGATACCTATTAACTCATAAGTGAATACCCGTGCCGAGATGATTACCTATTTGCCTGTCCCTAGAAGCTGATGTATGGTACCACATAAATACCCCTTTAATAGTAGATCTCATGTATACCCCTATCCTGACCCGTGAAGTCGACCCCTGTATTGGTAGGTAGTAGTTACATATTATATCTGCACTTAGAGACTAGTATATGACAACTAGGTACACGATAGGGACATCCGTTAGATGTACCTACTAAGGTAGTATTCGTAAGGGGCCATTCCACTCATAAGGCTGAGCGTTATACTGAACAGGTCCCCGTGATATCTACCCAAAGAGCGTCGACGCGTCTTTATATGGGCAACCTCGTACCTCTAATCGCTAAACGCAAACCTTTCCTCCTCACCTTCCCCGTCTCCTTTCTTCGTCCTCATGGCACAACACTGAGCGACGGTTCTTATACGGGAAGCTCAAGCCCATCTCGTTAACTCATTTCGAGTTCGAGTCTGCTTCCCTTCATTGTCACGCATCATAATTCAATCTTTTAATCATTCCTCAAGATTTCCTAGCTTTCTTTTCTACATAAACGCAGGTATGGCACCCAACATTACCCTACTCCTACACAACACCCGGAACCTATTTATTCTAACACTTCCAACCTACTAACAGATCCTCACTAGATTCTGGTGACAGCTAACCAGAACACTATTGAGATCCAACCAACACAAATCCTCGCAACTTTCTGATCAACAACTTCCATCGAGCTTCATCAAGAACCTCGGACATCATGTGTCAATTCGTCTTGATCCAGTATCGCTGCGAGCACACCGAGCTCACCGCGGGTCCTATCTGCCAGGCCATGTTCATCGAGCTAACCCGTGCCAACATTGACCCTACTTCATGGACTATTGAGGGCTGCCAGAATCTCCCCTTCCACCTGCCTGACGCTGTATGTGTTCACCTTCTCATTCGTTTTTTTCCTTTCCGTTATTACCGTTTAACTACCTCTCCCTATCCCGTCTTGAATTTTTTTTTCCAGCTTCATTTTATTTTTGGTTTGTTTTGATATCCATATATTCAAGTCCATCGCTTTCGAGCCGCGTCCGCGATCGTCATGCCACCCATATGGTAAGATGTGGGATACGACGTGATGCTTATCATACGGATTTGACTGCTTGAATTTTTTTTCCAGCGATCGGGAAAACCCCCATCATAAAGACGTTACCAAAACTAACCAATAACCTCCCCTCAGTGCTCCCCTACTGGCCAGAACACCCTCCGCGTGGTTTCGACCCACTGGTGTGGTTGGGAATGCGAGAACACCTACTACTCCGATCTGGCGGCGATTGCCGCCGAGGGCCGTGTCGTCGCGCAACAGCTAGCGGAGCTTAACATCGATTTCCAAGGTCAGGAAGTCCTCCAAGCCATTCACGGCGCGCTCTTCCTCCCCGAGGACCAACCCCAGGCCGGAACCCAAGACCAGGCCCATCAACAGGCCACTCGTGCCACTGAAGCCCAGGAGCAGGCCATCCACCCCATGCAAGCTCAGACCCAAGCTCCTGGTCTCGCTCAGGCTCAGGCTCAGGCTCAGACCTTCCGCGCTCCCCAGGTTCAGAGCCAGACCACTCACCCTGCCCAGCCTCAGGCCCAGGCTACTTATCCTCCCAAGGTCCAGAACCAGACTATCCGTCCTCCCCAGAGCCAAGCCCAGGCACAGATGCAGTCTCAGGCCATGCAGGCACAGGCCAAGGCCGCCGAGCCCCGCAAAGACCGACACCAGGAGATGAAGGACGCCCACGCCAACTACGGCCCCACTCAGCCCACCCAGATCCGCGCTACTTGTCCTCCCGCCTGGGCCAACGTCCCCGGCATCGCTGCACCCACGACCTTGACTCCCGCCAACGAGAACAGCGGCAGCGGCAGCAGCTTCTACAGCGACGACGGCACGTACGGCGGCAGCAGCTACGGCAGCGACGGCAACAACGCTAGCGCTTCTGGCTTCGGCCGCGGCGTTTACACGGGCCCCGGCAACGGCCTCCTCGACGCCGTCCGCAACCGCGACCTCGCGCGTGCTCGTGAGAATAGCCGTGGTCGTACCTATGGCAGCAGTAGTGCTAGCACCATTGGCAATGGAACCGGTGGCGCCGGTGGAGGAGTCAGTCTCGCCGGCAGCGTGAGCAGCATCAGCGCTACTACTAGCGACGCTAGTAGCTACGGCGGCGCCCTTCTCAACGCGTCTCCGTACCGCGCTCCCGACGCGCACCGTCAGTCGCAGCAGCACTTCGGCTTCAGCAACGCCAACGCTGGCGCCGCGCCCTCTTACGCGGGCACCGGTAGCCGCTACTCGCAGGCACAGGCGCAGTCCTACGGCAACGTCGACGCCAACCACGGATTCTTGGGCCTCGCGCGCCCCGTGTCCCAGGGCCAACCCCAGCCCCGGGGCGCTCCCGTCGCGGCGGCAGGAACAGGCCGAGCGCAGACTCACCAGGGCGGTATCCGGGAGGCGCTAGGCCTGAACGCTCATCAGCAGGGAGGTTCTGGTCCTCACGTGCATTGGCAGCAGACTCACGTCGAGGAGGAGGACGATGATGATGATGAGTACGAGGACTGTTCTTCCGACGAGGACGATGACATTTATGACGAACATGTCACGTTCATTATGAGCGCGGAGAACATGGCTGATGGCGATGTGTTCAACTAAGAACGCAGCAGCATGAAGAAGTCCTAAGGACGAATGAAGTCAGAAGCAAGGTGCCGGGATGGGTCGTCTTGATACGAAGGAACCTGGTTTAATAAGCCAGGAATGAATGAACTGGGGTGTCTACATGAGCTAGGTTAGGTACCTTGATAATAACACCACAGTTAAATTTCCTAATACTCTAAGTAATGTGATCCTCAAACGTAAGCGCGAGTAAGATATTCATTCTGCTCAATGTCGGAATTAAGCCCAGTGCCTAAATCGTACCTATTCAGCGTCTACATACTACTCGGTGTCCGAGAAATCCGTCTCATGAAGCTCGTCCGGGTCCATAAAGTAGGTAATCTCGATTCGACCTTGGAGCGTTCCCATAAAGTACTGTTGTAACTGCGCGAAGTCGGATTCCCTGAATTTGAGTTCTCCCACCTGGTTCAAGATATCCACCCTAATCCCCATATGATCCGGCGTGTTAAGCTTCGCGGCAAAATCATATAGCCCGTCGAAGCTAAAAGCAGAGAGAGCATTGACAGAAAGAACCTTCAACTTGGAAAGACGGCCTAGATGTTTTAGTATAGTATCGTCCATCATGTCGCCGCTGAAGCTGAATTCGGAGAGGTTTGGTAGCGACAAAGCAAATTGAGTTACTTCAACAGCCGTGACATACGACAGCATAAGATTCAGGGACGTCAGATTCTTCAGTAGACAGATCGAATCCACCAATCTCATGCCCTGGTCAATGATGAGACCGTTTGTGTTCAAATTGCTCATTAGACCGAGGGTCAAAGATTTGAGGCGATCTTGTGAGCGAAGCACAGCCCAGTCTAAGTTCTCTGCTTCTTCGGATACCAATCCAATATCCAACATGGATAATGAGGTGAGGCGGATGTCGGGCGCCATTAATACCCCATTACCTATAATTAAAGCTTGCGGGACGTGTAAGCTTAGGTCTTTAAGGGATTTGCAACTGCTTATCCAAGCAATTATCCCTTTGAGTACCCCTTCGCCGTAGTCTTCCATGTCTACCCAGTTGTAAAGACCGCTGTTCTCGATTACAAGCGTCTCTAGACCAGTGCAACTGAATAATTGGTGGAGAGCTTTCTTAGCTTGTACGGTTATGCTTCTGAGTGAGAGGCTCCGAAGAGATTTCGCATGGGAATTCAGCGCCATCAAAGTGTTCGGACCAATTTCATTCTTACTGATGATTTCAAAACTTCGAAGGCTATTGGGGCGGAGTGTCAAGAAAAAACTAGCCAGATCGTCGTCGGCATCGGAGCTAACGTCTACTAAATGTCAATATATTATGTCCAGATTTAAAGACATTAGTCAAGTATGATATTTCGTCGGGAAGGGGATCAAGGATAAAAGGAATTGCAACATACTAGCGACAGATTAGCCTTCGTATCAATAACAGAACGCTATAATAGGTTAGATAGACGTACCAATAGTAGCAGGTCAGGTCCGCAAAGTTAGGACAGTATTGAGATATGGCTCTGGCAGCATCAAGACCGAGCACCGACCCGTCTCTAATACGTAGAGACCTCAGACCGCGAAGCTGTGCTATCCAACCGGGCAATATATCGTGAGGAATATGAGTCCCTTCTAAATGTTCCAAAGCTACTGTTGCACCTCTCGAATCTGCCGACATCTTTATGCGTTTGATGATGGAATCGGCGCACTTGTTCATTATAGTCGCGATAGCCGGGCGTCCATCTCGTACCACATAGAATTGTTCCATAGGACCTTCAAAAAAGAAGTTTCTAACTCGTGTCTCTTGGTGAATATCTCTAAGGCAATCGTCTAGATTGCCAATTGAGAGGGAGCGAACATAGACGCAATAGGGATATGCGGTTTCCCCAATACTGGAGAGAATGATAGATCTCCATAATCGTGCCCATTCGAGCCGATTATTATCGTCACCGGTGCTAATCGAGGATAATTCTTGGATACTTTAAAAGACGAAGCTGTCAGTTTACGGACAAACATAGTTACGTGCCTTGGGTATAGTAGACTCACCTATAGATCTGTTCCAAGGCGATGGACGCAACTCTTCTACTGGCGAGAGAACAGCTGAAAAGGGTACCAAAGTCACGACGCGCAGCAAGCTCTTGGCATAACAAGAGAATGATCTCCTGGGGCAGAGAGGTAGAGCGCATTTTTGGCGCAATGGGCAATGGTCCTGGAATTAAAAAAGATGTCTATAACGTGGAATTGATGATTTTTAAAAGCGACGTCTAATCTTGGGTTTGTCCGAAATCGAAGGTTTCCTAAGGTCTGTTAATCTAGATGCACGGTAGCTGCAGCCTGCAGCTCAAGTGTCTCGCAGCATTGATGTTACAGTTACTTTCCAGGGTAAGGTTATTCTCGGGATTTGGATCTACCACGTGCGAAGTCAGTTATGGCACTGGCTAGTACTTTCCTATTCGCTGTCGATACTATTACATGCTAAAGTATACAAGAGTATTCTAAGATGATGTCAGCAATCCTTTGCACTGTACCCGCCGTAGCTAGATGTACCCCGCGACGCGTTAAACATTGGAAGCTTAACGCGACCTTGATTGGACCTCGGACCATATATTCCTAGATCATTCAACATCCCTGCAAGGTCAACGCAATACCAATTCAATCAGCGATATCGTTACCTAGGTATTTCATGGAATATGAACTAGAACTATCACCAATTATATAACACCCGAATTAGAAGTTCGAGACCATCTATTGAAGACCCAATTTATCAGGTTGACTGCGATCCTACGCTGTCTAGGTACTCAGTTCACCTCGTCAATTCTTCGAAGCCAAGGGTAGAGAATTTGACCTCTTCTGGATAGTCAAAGCCATGGCTGTCCTTAACTTCACATTAAGCGAAGAAGGAGTCAATGCTCTGAGAGATGCGTTAGCTTGTCTCGGTAAATTCAGTGAAGAGGTCTCTCTCGAGGCTATGAAGGATAAGGTATGATTATCCTTCTAGCTTACCTAGGTAACCATGATCAATTGCTGAGTCTTTCACGTAGCTAGTTTTCACTACACTGAATTTGTCCAAGTCAGCATACGTATCTTTTACTTTCCAAGCCAGTCGTTTCTTCTCCAAGTACCATTTTGAAGGAGGGCCTCAGAACCGAGAAAAGTTCTTTTGCAAATTGTATAATCGGGTATGTTATTTACTCATATATACCATCACTTCTATTCTTACTTGAATATTTCTAGGCCCTGCTATCTCTGTTTAGAGCTAGGAGCGGCGATAGTGGACATGACAGGGAAAGGGACACGATCATCGAACACTGCGATGTCGCCATAGTAGATGAGCCTGGCAAGAAAAGCAGATTCATCGCCAAGATCGTCTTCCGGAATGGTAGGTAATTCCTAGCGTATTACGCTACTGGCTAACGGGGACGCAGGAATCACAACGAAATACCGCCTCCCCTTTGAAGTTACTCCGCCAGTCCACGCTAAATTTGATAGGGATCAAGCAACAAACCATTGGTCTATCCCATCTCGAACACTGCGACAACTCATGGATCACTTCGGCCCCGGGATTGAATATCTTGATATTCATTCAGAGGACGATGATACAGTTAGCTTCACATGTTTCACCGAGAAAGTTAAGAACGGCGAGGAGGTCCTGAAAAAGCCGCTCCACACGTCTATTGCTGTCGAACGAGATGAATTCGAGGATTTCGTCGTCGAAGAAGACAAGCTACACATCGTTATCAGCGTCAAAGACTTCAGGGCGATTATCCAGCATGCAGGACTTATTGGATGCCCAATTTCAGCTTACTATTCCATCCCGTCTAAGCCTATGCAATTTAAGTACGATGGTGACGGGGTCAAATGCGAATTCCTTCTAATGACAATTGGCGAAAGAGGCGCACCTGGCCAGAAGGCCAAGAAAACCCGCGGTGGCGCCAAAGGACCGAAGCCGCCGCAGCTCGAGGCTTCCAGTAGGGCTGCATCGCACGCGCCTACACCAGCTCCTCATATACCTCCTCCTAAGCCACAAGCGCCACGAGTCGATCCAGTTCCTTCTCTGAGACCGCCCATTACTCGTCCTTCTCAACGACCGCCCCCAGCAACAATGCAATCCGAGTCTCTCTTTGTGCCTCAGGATGATGAGAACCAGTGGGATCCTGTGAATGTCGGCGAAGATGAAGACGAGGAAGAAAATACTCGTCTAGAGTGGGATGTCAGCGGGGATTTCGTGAGTATCTCCTTTTTCCTAATCGTGTGATTCGAAGTTATTGACATGACCGCAGAATCAGAATCAGCCAGCCATGAGTAGGAGGGCTATGATGGCAAACCAGGACACCAATGAGTCGAGACCAGACGATCCGAGTGAGCCTCTCCCTTTTCACCTTGAACCAACGCAACGACTCTCGCAAGTTCGTAAATTTGGCTTCTTTGACGACTAGCGGTTTGCATGGGCACCTTGGGGTCTACGCCTTATTTCTTCATGGGCGAATATATGACAGTCGAGCTTTCGCTGCTTAGGGAGGAGGGGTCAAAATGTCTGCGAGGGGTAATGTCTCAGAGGTAAAGTCCTTCTGTCGTGATATTGATCCAACTTGTAGCACACCCAGCTCCAATAGCTGTAATCTTAGATCCCTCTGGCATATTCTTCAATGACGCAAGTACGTTCCATCGTCCCTTAACATCTCCGTACTTTTCGGTTTGTGGTCCGCAATTTCCATGCTCACCCCAACCCCAGGATAAGACATCTCCATCCTTGGTCAATGCCAGAACATGCTCGCTTCCAGCAGCGACATTCTCTAGCTCTGGAAGTAATAGGGGTGGGAGCTGGCCGTGGTCGTCCCGGCCCCATGCGACAAGTTGACCGTTTCGCTGTAAGACATAGATACTCCCCCAACTTGCGCCAATCGTATTCCAATTAGGTATCTCAACAGGTGCGGCGCTTTTCAGACCCCATTTATCGGCCCCGACAACAATTATACGGCCATCTCCAGGCTCACTAACGAAACAAGTCGTATACTGACAACATACCGCATCGGACACCTTGAAAGGAATTCCTTTGATTTTCTGAGGATGGTGAATTACGCCTTTTGAATCAGCCGTATCAGCTAATTCCCCTAATTGGCCCTTTCGGCCGTTACCCCAGCCGTAAACGTCCCCATTGTCTAGCAAGACGACAACGTGTCTAAATCCAGCGGCAAGACTTCGAACTTCCGTTCCTGACGGAGGGAAATTATTAAGCAAAGCCGGCGTTTCCAAGGTAGCTGATTCGGAGTTTGCGCATGCCGCCCCTATATCAGGTACTCCACATGTGTAAACTTGCGTCGCTCTATTATCTTCATCCTTTAGAACAATAACGGACGAGTCCCACGTGCAAGCTACGTGGGCGACGGGGCCGAGGTGCTCCGAGGTTGAAAGGATTAGCTCATGGAATTTGGATGCATCCGTATCCCCAGCGTCTTTCACGATCCCACAGGCGCCGCTTGACGAATCCCCGGACCAATACGCTTTTCCGGTTTCCGTGACGATAATGGAATGGTTACCTCCGGCTGCAATTTGCACAATTTCGTCGTCGGGAGCTTCGCCGATGAACTCGACTTGCTTCGGTACGGAGACGTCCTCCTTGTGCCCTATGCCAAGTTGGCCCGACCCATTTGAGCCGAGCGCGAAGAGACCGTTCATAGTGACTTAATCACAGTGCACAAGTCATGAAATCGTGTATAAGCTGCGACACACTTATTCTAAAGTCGGCCGCGATATGCCTCTAACCTTGTGGCTTAGGTGTTTATTGGTGGACTTGATCCGAGTGGCTGAAAACAAATATAAGCCACATTCTTTCCGGGTTCATATTGTTCCGCACCTAGTCGATAGGCCGTCCCACCAGCTCGAGGCCCACTTAAAAATTCCCATATCTTTTTCAAGCATGACCAAAATTTTCCTCCTTCGCTTTAAACTTTTCCAGGTTCCGTGAGCAATTCAAAATCCGAAGCTCGACCGCGCTCTGACTCATCTGATCCTCTGTCGCAACCGAAAGATATAAAGAATGTGAGCTCTCTGCTGCTTTTGACTCTCTTCTAGTCAATTTCCGTGGGAACTTCTGTCAACCATGGCAGCAGACGGCAGCTCCAGCGTCCCTCGCGGCATGGAGAAATTTATTGTCGGCATCATTGGCATGGGTGACATGGGAAAGATGTACGCGCAGAAGCTGAGCGATGCTGGCTGGAGGTAAGATGTACCCAACGTGACGGCAATTGGTGCCTTTGGCATCCAGCTTCCTTCAAACTATCTGGTAAGTCGATTTTTCTAATCTAACACGTTTCCCTCGCATATGATGACTTGAGTGCATTTGGCTCGAGCATTGCCCTCGGCTGTCGGGGTTGGCCATTCTGGTTCCCGATGGCCGTTCGCTTTCCATGATGTAACTTCTCAGCTACCTTAACTTTTCTTGTCTGAAGCTTCGACACACTATCGTATTTGTTTGATCTCGCCTTGCTTTGCAGTCTGCTAACATACGATATAGATATTCTAGTAATTGCGGAAACATTACCCGATGTACTAACGAGCTTCGTCATTAGAGTAATAGCCTGTGATAGAGAAGAGCTATATGATGGTCTACAGCAAGAGTTCGCCAGCAGGGTACATATATGTAGTTCTCCATTCTCAGAAGGTAGCCCATGCTGAGAGGTGTCTAGAGCAATATACAAATTCTCCGAAATGGTCATCTTGTATCCCGTGCGAGTGATTATATCATCTACAGCGTAGAAGCTGCAGCTATCGACCGCGTCGTCGCCGAATATGGCCCTTGTATGACATGATACACCTAAGCGTATTGAAGACGTTACTAAGTATGAACAGCAACCAAGCTCGGCGCCATCGTCGGTGGACAGACGTCCTGTAAAGATCCCGAAATTAAGGCTTTCGAAGACCATCTCCCAGCAGACGTGGATATCGTCTCCTGCCATTCTCTCCACGGTCCAAAAGTCGATACGAGAGACCAGCCACTAGTAACTATCCCACAAGCACGCCTAGCTATTCGTCAGCTTATCATAGTTAGGTCATAATCAAACACCGCGCATCCCAGGACTCCTTCGACAAAGTCGAAACCGTCCTGAAATGTCTACACTCGAAGCACGTGTACCTGACGGCGCACGAGCACGACCGCATCACGGCGGACACGCAGGCGGTGACGCACGCGGCCTTCCTCAGCATGGGCAAGGCGTGGCACTCGATGCGGCAGTTCCCGTGGGAGAACACGCGGTACGTGGGCGGGATCGAGAACGTCAAGATCAACCTGACGATGCGCATCTACAGCCAGAAGTGGCACGTCTACGCCGGCCTCGCCATCCTCAACCCCGAGGCCCGCAAGCAGATCGACCAGTACGCCAAGAGCGTCACCGAGCTGTACAAGTTGATGTTAGGCGGTCACCTCGACGAGCTGCGCGCGCGGGTCCTCAGTGCGAAGGAGAAGGTCTTCGGAAAGGAGCGCGAGCCGAAGTGGGAGGATAAACCCTTGCTTAAGGATGAGGTGCTGGACCAGTTTAGCCTGGGCGCCCCGAGACCGGATAGCAAGCCCCTTCCGAACAATCACTTGAGTCTCCTGGCGATGGTGGATTGTTGGAGCGCCTTGGGGATTGTGCCGTACGACCACATGATATGCAGCACGCCGCTGTTCCGCCTGTGGCTGGGCGTCACCGAACACCTGTTCCGGGACCCGGATCGCCTGGACGAGGCGCTCAGGATCGCGGTCGAGGATAACACGTTCAGGAGCGACGACCTCGAGTTCACGTTCGCGGCGAGGGGCTGGGCTGAGTGTGTCGGGCTGGGACACTTCGAGACGTGGAGGGAGCGGTTCATGGTCACGCAGAAGTTCTTCGAGGAGAGGTTTCCGACGGCGGTGGAGGTGGGTAATAAGATGGTCAAGGCGGTGCTGGAGAGTACGAAGAATTAGACGGTTCACTGTCTACACTACGTATCTAGGGACTAGGGGTTAGGGGGTAATGGGGTGGGTTGGCTACTTTGATTTATGGTGCGTATACGTTGTGCTTTAATGCAGTTCCTTATGCTTATAGAATCAGTTTCAGGGGAATTCGCCATGGATTTATATTCATGCCCAATTTTCAATGGAAGAACTGGTCGTATAGACAATAAAACAAAACCTCTAGAACCCCAGAACCCAACTAGAACCCCGGAAGAAGTTGAGTGGCTATGATTTCCCTTTGAACATTAATCTGAACATACATATATGCGATCTTGAAGTATCACCCCAATTCATTCAGCGCAACTATTGCAAGTTCCTTTAGAATCGATCGGGTGCCTAGGTACACTGCTAACATCTGAGCATTTATTCAACCGCCACATAACCAGCATGGCAGTCGTACCTGCTTCAGAGCAACCGCTGCCAAACTGGTTTAACTTTTGAATCTGATTGTCTTTCCTGCCATATGAGCTTGATGCAATTATCATTTACATACGTGCCAGAAATAAGACCACCTGCATAGAACGTGTTATGTATAATGCAGAAACGCCGACATCCTACTATTCAATGCTATTTGCCCACCTTCTCGTATTGAAAACGAAACAGGTGAGAATGGGATGACGAGAAACGATATACACATTTGATTCGCGAAGGGACAAAGATGAAGAAAGGAATAGGAATGATGATGATCATGCGATGGGGAAGAAGCCTCGGCACATGTGTAAGCGCATCTTACCGTTACTGCTAGGTCACCGTTGTAACCGTTGTAACCGTTGTAACCCCGCCATCCACCGTGCCAAGTTCTGCTCTACACCTCAAAACTCCTCCAAATACCCTCAGGACATTCCTTGATTGGATAAATCCAATTGTCGATTTTAGAACCGTTATTCTTAATCTTTGGACCTAGGTATTTACCTATTTGGGAAGGCATTGAAGAATCTGGGGTATCTAGAGTATTTTACGGAGGCGGGTAACAGTGGACCGGCTTTTACGGAGTTCCATGTCGGCTTCAGCCACCTCTTATGTTCCATTCAGATCCTGATAATACAACAAGTTATACCAACTAATTATCATCCTTTCTCCCCTTTCATCTTTTGTTTCTCACACTTCTCTACGCACTCAATGTGAGTAGGTTAGGTCGGTAGACATTTACCCGTCCTCGTCCGATCATCTTGTGAGAGTTTATTAGTTCAAAAGTGGTAGTATAAAACGACAATGGCAGCCGAAAATGGCGCCTCGGAGCAAAAGCTCCCTGTAATTATCGTCGGCGGCGGCTTAGCCGGATTGGTAGCGGCCTTCGAGTTATCGGAACGTGGCGTGAGAACAGTCATAGTAGACCAAGAAGGGGAGCAGAACCTCGGCGGACAGGCGTTCTGGTCTCTCGGCGGCATTTTCTGCGTCGATTCGACGGAGCAGCGGCGCCTGGGGATCAAGGACAGCCGGACGCTAGCTATGCGCGACTGGCTCGGCTCGGCGCGCTTCGACCGCCTCGACAGCGAAGACATCTGGCCGCGCAAATGGGCCGAAGCTTTCGTCGATTTCGCTACGGACGGCATGGAGAAATACCTCAAGGACCGGGGCGCCGGGTTTAGTATGTATTCTCTAATTCCTTGTCCTTCCCCACTCTGTCTCGGATGCCGGCATGATGCGCTACAATGTGTTTTAAGGCTCCGTAATAAAGTGTAGCTACCCCTCAAACATAGATAAAACTGCCTGGATCTTTAGCGCGAGTCAATGATTAACCTTCGTTGCAGTGTTCAATGTCGGCTGGGCTGAGCGCGGTGACGGAACAGCTGATGGCCACGGCAACTCAGTCCCACGTTTCCACATCACCTGGGGCGCTGGACCCGAAGTCGTGCGCGTGTTCGCTGATCCCGTCAAGGAGGCAGCAAAGAAGGGGATCATCGAATTCAAGTTTAGGCATAGGGTCGACAAGCTCTTGGTCGATGAGAACGGCAAGGCATCTGGAGTTCGTGGAAAGGTCCTCGAGGAGGACTCATCGCCTAGGGGAGTGAAGACGTCGAGGACGGAAGTCGGCGACTTTGAAATACACGGCGCAGCTATACTTGTCTCTTCTGGAGGCATTGGAGGTAATGTGGAGGCTGTGAAAAAGGCTTGGCCGGTGGATCGTCTGGGCCCGAAGGTTCCGGAGAACTTCGTTATCGGCGTACCGGCGCATGTCGATGGTCGAATGGTGGGAATCGCCGAGGAGGCTGGCGCCAACTTCGTCAATCGCGACAGAATGTGGCACTACACCGAAGGCCTGCAGAACTGGAATCCCATTTGGCCAGACCACGGGATCCGTGTTTTGCCGGCACCCTCCTCTCTATGGCTAGATGCAACCGGCAAGAGACTTCCTCCATGGCTCTATCCTGGATGTGACACTCTAGCAACGCTCAAGTACACATGCAGCACAGGATACGACTACACCTGGTTCGTCCTCGACCAGACGATCATCGCACGCGAATTCGCCCTCTCAGGTTCGGAGCAGAACCCGGATCTAGTAGCGAAGAGCATCTGGCAAGTGCTCAAGAACCGCCTTTTCAGCTCCAAGGGCACCGTGCCCGTCCAGAATTTCCAAAAGCACGGCAAGGACTTCGTCGTGCGCGATAACCTCGAGGATTTAGTCGAGGGCATGAACGAGCTCGCCAAGACCGTCAACGGGCCTCTGCTCGACCCTAAGGCGATCAGGGAAACCGTCGAGACACGCGACGGGCAGATGGTCAACGAATACTGCAAGGACTCCCAGGCGATGCTGATCCGGAATGGTCGCAACTACTGGGCCGACGCACGAAGTCGTGTGGCGCCGCCGCATCAACTGCTAGATCCGAAACATGGTCCACTAATCGCCGTGAGGATGAACTTGCTTACGCGGAAGACGCTTGGAGGACTCGAGACGAATCTTGAGAGTAATGTGCTAAAGGCCGGTGGCGAGAAGTTCCCGGGCTTGTACGCGGCGGGTGAGGCGGCCGGGTTCGGAGGCGGTGGTGTCCACGGGTATAACTCCCTTGAGGGAACGTTCCTTGGGGGTTGCATCTTCTCGGGCAGGGCGGCGGGACGGGCGATCGCGGATGAACTACTGGGGTCTTAAAGATATTGAGCGAACGTGTGTTAGCGAAGAAAATTGTATGTAGGTAAATATGTATCTGTAGGTATGCAATCGTCAGCTAATTTAGCTAACCTGTTTCTTGATATGCTTCTGTCGTATTATACATCCTATGTCTAACAGATCTAGGCCTTACTTTGAGGCGCTAGATACAGAGATATTCGGGGCTTCTTGCCAATAATAACATCGTTTCCTCGCTTGCTAGGCCAGACTCATGACACCAGAGGAATCTAGCATCGCGAACAAGATAGACTAATCGGATAAGTTCCGGGATGCAGTAACTGAATCAAAGCACGAACGTTCATGAATCTCGCCACTTCTCTTGCCCAGGGAGTGCGATATACATAGAGGAAGCGTCCATTGCTTACTCCGCTCTATGGCTAGCTGCCAACAAACAGGCTCTCAGGATCTCCCACGAGCCTAACTCTACTATCTAGGTAGCCAAACCTCCAACCACCGTTCCTCCGACATACTAGATTTCTGTCACGGTTGATCTGACTTATTGTCATCATCTGTCCCCTCTGTCCCCTTCCATCCTTTCCATCGCTTCCATAGGAAGAAGATCCCCCGAACTACGACATTCATCCCCAGAGCCAAGGAACTAAAGATTAGGGCCGCCACCAAACTTTTCCCTTGTGAAGGGCAAATTACAACTTGCTCTGTGGTAACAACGACCGGGGCGTTATACATGCTAACATCTCCCTTAGTATGGAATAGACATGGTGCTGTGTACGAAAAAGGGCAACATACTTTGTTGGTGGGACCTTGGGATATGCCCCGGAATTGCAGTGACCGTAATGGACCTGTACGCGACTGTCAACGCCTGCGAGTTGAGACGGGCTGACGAGTGAATTAGGTAATTTACACATATGAGGTGGATGCGGGAGTCAACGGAGCGGAGGTCATGGCCGCGAACTGGACCGGTTCCCCCATAGTCATGGAGGGTTCATGGTTGTCCGCCGCGCGGCGGTGCTCTCGGTGGTTCTTGGTCATTGTGGTGGTATGGAGAAAAAAAGAGAGAAAAAAGAGAAATCAAGTCAACCTGTTAGAAATGGGATTGAGGTAGTCCATCACCTCGTCCACACAAGGTAGATATGTTTTCAAACATACTATCAGGTAATAGGCCCTTAGTTGTTAGAATATCAAGGTCCTATCCCCAAGGTAGGAGTAGGTAAGAGAGGTAGGTAGACAGTTGATTGCATTAATGCTCCAACCTCTCCGAAAAGAAGGGGGGGCTTCGCCTCTATATATACACAACACCTTCTCCACTTTTATCTCTGGACACATACTAAGGTTGAGCAAATATTTAAATCAATTGGCAGCTCTATTGCAGATTGTAACGGTTTGAAGGAAGTATCGGTTCCTGGTTTGACGTCATGAGAAATTATGAGCTTTATAATTCGAGAACTTTGCTTGCTAGGGGAAAGCTTTTTCGAGGTCATGAACGAACATGATGTACGTAATTCGAAAATTACTTCGAGGCCTGTAATTCAGACAGTTATTGCCTCACGTATCGACAGTTTAGGAAGTCATGTTTCTGAATGTCGGATTGAGTAGGCGCAACTCCGATAATAGAACGTCACCAGCTGCCGTTTACAATGTGACCAACACTGCCAATTTCTCAAGCTGAGGATACTATCAAGCTCACTACGAGAAAGTTAGAAGTAGAAATATTTTCCTATGGCAATTTGTCTCTTCTTAGGTCTACGTATTGATTCTTCCCATAATGGTCTATAGGTATGTAGGTAAGGAGTTGGATACAATGATTCAAGGCTGGGTATAATACAACAGAGGTTACCTAGGTAGGTAGTAATTTACCTACCTCATAGCAGATGATTATAGTATCTCGAAAACTCAGCAAGGGTCTAGCTAGGTTCGCAACAGACTAGGTCGCTTGAATTTACCATAAAACTCAATCATAGACAACAGGTCGTTACGGATGTTACTCGATGTGATAATGAATGATGGCCATGAATAAACGCATATTACAATATAATACTGGCCTTTAGCTTATGTTTTTGAGTCACCATAGTGGCTACCTAATCGTATCAGTATTTGGCATCGTCTCAGATGTGATGTTAAAAACGTGTTATCTCCACTAGGTACTTTTATTTTCTGCTCATGGTGAGATGCGTGCCCCACCACGATGGGACTCTTGATCGGGACGGCTAATCAGACGGATTCGAAATCAAATCAAGGCAAGTTGTGTATAGACCTACTCTAAAGTACACTTCCCCATATAAACTCAAGTACATTTTAGACTTGTTGCCCTCAAGGTATCCTCCTCATCGTGAACCTTGCTGTCGCCCCTTTCCCGGCTGTAAGAGAGTCGCCAGCGATGATCTTGGAAGACTCGGTATCAGGGTTGCCAACTGCAACATCAGGCATTTCGAGAAGTTTGTTGAATTTGATGTCTTTGTTGACGAAGAAGGGTAGGTCATCCATAGTGTAGGCGAGAAGGTCAGTAGCAAGGCTGTAATAGTTCCAAGAAGCACCTGAATTCGTGTAGGTATTGTACTATACGTAAGGTAAGGAATCCACCCCGATCTAAATTAGAGTCTGTCGTATTAGCCATCCCGCCCTTGATAGCACATGCACTGGAAAATATTAACATAATGCGACCAGTCATATCAATCCTTAATTGCTCCAGGTTCCATCATGTCGAAAGGCCTCAGCTAATATTTGTACTTAACTACCTACCTAGGCCTCATCGACTTTATTTAAGGGAATTTCAGCTTTTACTTGCGATGACTTACCGGGGACGCCTAAGTTCCGAGGGTCTCGGAGTTAAAATTATAGGGGGGGACGCTTGAGTCTCTACGAACGCCAGCCCTACCGGATGTGCTCAAAAATCTTCCCTTAGGGTATCCGTAGTACGGCAGGACAGTCTAATTTAAATTGATTCAAAGTGGAACTCAGTATAGGGTCATTGGATTTAGACATGATAGGCATGCTACCGGGTACTACTACCTGAGATATTAATCTAAATGCACCTGCCTACATGTATGTATTTATTATTGTAGGTGCTAAGTATCAGGTACGTTGGTACATACCTACGTCAAATAGATTCAATGTTACACAATACCTATTGAAGGCGGGGTTATATTCAATTCCAAGTCGATACTTCACTTAGGACAGCCAACATATGTATAGGTACCTGGGTTATGCGGTGTAAGGCTATCGGCTTTTGTATATACACATCTATGTAGGTAGCGGGCACCTTGGAGGCACAGCCCCTTACTTCACCGACGACCAGGCTTTCCATACTTAGCATATAATTAACACATTACCTCCTACATCCTCCCTCCAAAAACCTTTGCACTCACTGTCTCAATAATTACGTACCTAGATACTAACTCAAGACTAACTTCACGATGGCGACCCACCATGTTCTCCTACTCGGCGGCAATGGAAAAGTGTCTCGGCTGTTAACACCGATGCTCCTTCAACGATCATGGGATGTCACGAGCATCATTTACAACCCAGACCAGGTCGCTGATCTACAGAAGCTCGGAGAGAAACCATTTAGCGCAAATAATTACGGCAGACTGGATGTCCTTGTTCGCAGCCTCGAGGATGTCAAGAGCGAATCGCAAGCTAAGAGCTTGATTGATGAGGTGAAGCCCGACTATGTAGTCTGGAGTGCCGGTGCTGGAGGGAAAGGGGCACCAGAAAGGGTACGACTGCCAATGCCACCTATGGATAATCACATTTCCAATCAAACCTCGTGGATGCTGACTATTGATCTCTTTGAAAGACCGAGGCAATCGACCGCGATGCTGCGATCTATTTTATCCGTGCATCAGTGGCAACCCCTTCCATCACCAAGTTCGTGATGATATCCTTTATCGGGTGCCGCTATAAAAAGGCACCCTGGGTGGACGAGGCACATTGGCAGCAGTATCTCAAGTCAACGCGAAATCACTATCAGAGGTACTACGAAGCCAAGCTTCCGGCGGATGAGGTTTTGTATGTCGAAGGAAAGAAGAGAAAGGACTTCGCAGGAATCTGCCTCCGCCCGGGGCGGTTGACCATGGAGCCCGCCGGCAACGTGAGCTTAGGGAAATTTCCACGAGCGGAAGGGACTTCGAGCCGTCCGGCTGTCGCATATCTCGCGGCTTTGTTGCTCGATGCCCCAGGTGTCAAGAATTGCTGGTTAGATATGCTAGATGGTGACGAGGATCCGGAGGGAGCTGTCAAGAGATGTGTTGAGCAAGGGGTGGACTGCGCTGAGGGAGAACATTTTTACTGATACCTACTAGGTACTCATACTATTGGAGAATAAGCAATATAGGTGAAATTGAATTGACGCGACGATGGTTCGTAATGGCTGTATCTTAACATCTCAAGTTATGTGCTACTCAGGCATGTAGGTGGTGATTTCTTAGCACTTTGCGTATTGCACTCGTTCGGTACTACGTCTTGAGAATGACAGTGAATGAAGAACTCTGAATTGGGCATTCATCTACGTTGGCTAGTGTAACATAAGTCTAAGCTATAGGGGCGATACCGCCCGATGAAAGCGTCTATATGTGTCGTACAAGGTCTTCATTCATGACCAAAGTTTAGGGGTATTCCGTTGGTAGGGGGATATTGTACGCGAAGACATTATCAGGATCCCACGTCTTTTTCAATGCAGCAAGACGGGGTAGTTTCTCTGACCCGTAAATCTGCTCAATCGTCTCATCTCCATATGCATAATTGACATAAACAGAGAGGCCGGGGTAACCTGAGGTCGCTACAAAGTCATCGCGAAGCTCACGGCCTAGGACGCTTGTTCTTCCATCGAGGTCGCTAGAGGCTTGACCCGACCAGATGAATTGGATTATCCTATGAGATAAATGTAAACTATTAGCGATGATATCCTACACATGAGGATTGATTCAGTACAATTGGCCACGTACATGTTGCCCAGGGCATCTCTCCAAGGGTATGCAGTTGCGTTGTTAGGCACAGATGACATTGCTTGATTGGGAAATATCTCAAATGTGACAGCACTACCACGTGCCGAAGGGTAGTCGTTGAAAAACGTAGTCATCTTCTTAAACGCCATATCGTAGGTTGGCGCAGAGAGATTTAGCACGTTAGCTGAGTAGATGCGACGGGCCAAACCATTATCGCAAAGGCCCACATCCATTCCGAACCCAGCAACATATAGGAACTTATTCCAAGACACGTTCGTGATCTGGGTAATAGGAGGTTTGAGATTTAATATTGGCACAACTGCTTTCATGGCTTCAGCTTTGGGGCCCATGTACACCCAGTTAGCCATTACCTGTGGCTGATAATCTGATTAGCGGATAGGGCAGACATATATTAGGTACCAATATTCTGAGACTTACCTCGCCAATGGTTTCATTGTACTCTATTGCAGTAACCGTCGCAAGCTTAGATGGCAGTGATCCGTTGAAAGATTGTAGAGCGTTGAAATAGTCGCTGGTTAGTTCTGCCGGGATAATGAAGTCGAAATTTGTAATCTGACCGCCACTGACAGGCCTCGAAAGCTTGAAAGTTGCGGACGTGATGATTCCAAAGTTTGCACCGGCGCCCCGGATGCCCCAGAAGAGGTCCGCATTCGTATCCTCAGACGCTTCAACTAGGCGCCCGTCCGCAGTTATAAGGCGAACTGAGAGAAGGGCATCGGTCACTAAGCCGTAGAGGCCTTGCCATCTTCCGATCCCGGCTCCGATCGAAACCCCAACGTAACCTGGACATGAACAAGATCCAATTGCTATTATATGAGATACGTTAGACTGCGCGGATCTCTGCGAACAGAATTTTCTTTTCACTTACGAACTTCAAATCCCGCATTGTACACAATATCTAAGAAATCTCTTACACGGGTGCCCCCGCCAACTGTTAAAGTTCCTGTGCGATCATCTAAGCTTACAGAATTAAAGTGGCTTAGGTCAATGGCGAGCCCGTTTTGAATATTCCCTAGGGTCGTTATGTAGCCATGGCGGCCACCTGTGGGAAGAAAGGGAATATTATTCGATCGCGCTATTTTAACCTTGTATGCAATATTAGTATTGAAATTCCTCCCGGGTGTCTGAGTAGTATCACTTACGCTCTTGACTACGTCTGCCTCGGCTCCAGGGCTGATAGCGGCGAGATAAGTTGGGGGTTTGAACACCGTCCATCGTTCAGTAACGTTGGCGAAGCCCCCCACATCTGGGAACGATATAGAAGTATTAGATGCCCAATGAATATCCTCATCCGTGAGTAGGGCTTTGAGGTCAAGCGCGTTCAGGTCACTAACTACAGCAGCGTAGACTGGAATGAACCAAAGCCAGAGCCACATGCGTCGGGTTCTAGCAAACACCGAGTCGAACTTCATGCTGATGTCTTAAATTAACTAGTAATATGATCATTCTAAGCGTAGATATGAGAATTGCTCGCCTCCAGGTCTCACCATACCACCAGATCTAAGTTAGCCAATGCTCTACCACTAGCCTTATATATTCTTTCGCTCGCGATACCCATGAGGGCCGGTAATAAGCCCTCAGAACGAAATATGAATAGCCATTGTATACAAGCGGCTTCACGGAGCAGCTAAGAGCCGCCTTGAATGATTACTATTCCAGCATTTCTAAAAGCATGATGATCCTCATGAGCCATGTTTCTCAGCCCGATCGAGCAGCAGATCACAGATCTCCAAAACTTCCTTTAAGACTTCCCGTGTGCGGCTGGATTCCCTATTAAAAGCTTGGCTTACCATAGGCTAGCAAAGTTGTATCCCATATTCTTTCTAATGTATTCGTTGTAGCTAATCGCTCTCATTCGCTATTTCAAATCAGCCCTTTGATCCTGAGTGACAGTTGTTGCATTCAATGTTCTGAATGCTGTCTACTTTCTACCTAATAAGTAGTTAAGTCTGACACACTTAATCTGCGTCTATACGGACGACCCCACCGAAAATATAACCCGCAACATGACGTGCATAACTGGATGTGATAGCTCATACATTCATCAATTACCTAAATGTATGTAATACCTACAGGTAAGTATATACTGCTTAGAATTGCACATAGATACTGGGTAAAGGAATAAAAGGTATTTTAGGTTCGACTCCTATTAGGCCTATTAGTGCCTGCCTTTTATCCCTTTTATCTCACATGTGCCTATCAACTAGGTACCTACAGGTATGCACCGAAGTAACTCTTAAATATGTACTAAGGTACCGTGTGTAACCTCAACACTTGTTATTTGCCACCACATTACGTTTCTGTTCGGGTGTTTGTTCGGCATGTCTTTGATCGCCGTGACCCTTTAAGACCATATTTTCACTATATGCGATTGGGACCAACGATACCTACTTGATGTCTCTGAGCCCTACTGTTAGTTTACCTACCAACACCAACACCAACTAAGTCAACAACTTCCTAATCCCGACCTCTATAGTTTCATCATGGCCGTTACTTTCGACATTTCGCCGGAAAAGGAGGCTAGCGTATCCCAATTCCTGTATCGCCAACTCTTTGTGACGCCTCGACCGACTTCAAGGCGGGAAGTCGACCTCAGCGGAAAGACAGCCATTGTCACAGGTTCCAATATTGGCATCGGCCAAGAATGTGCTCGCCAGCTTCTAGATTTAGGTCTGACAAAACTCATACTAGGTGTACGCGATGAATCAAAAGGAGAGTTAGCCCGCCAGAATCTCGTATCAGGTAGGAACCTGAAACCGGATGCAATTGAAGTCTGGAAGCTCGACATGTCCTCATACGACTCCGTGACCATTTTTTCCGAACGCGCGAGAAATTCTATCGAACATCTAGACATTGCTGTTCTAAATGCTGGCGTTTATCATACAGCGGAGAACTTCAATGAGAATACGGGCTACGAAGAGAGCGTCCAGGTAAATTGTCTTTCGACAGTACTCTTGGCGATACTTCTACTCCCGATCATGAAGCCAAAACAGTCATGCACCAAATCTAGTCCAGGCCGTATCGTCATTGTTTCGAGCGACACGGCTGGATGGGCCAAGTTTCCAGAGAGGAAAGAAAGTCACATTCTACCAGTTCTCAAGAAGAAGGTTGATAACTTCGAGGTTCCGGAACAATACGGCAGATCAAAGTTGTTAGCCCAGTTGGCATTGGTTGAGCTAGCCAAGCGCGTACCGTCATCTGCAGTTACCATCGATGCGGCAAACCCAGGCTTCTGCTATGGTTCTGGACTTCAACGCCATATGGCCGGTACATTTATCGGCTTCGTCTTTGCAGTCTATGTCCGGTTGATCGGCCGCTCTGCAGCAGTTGGTGCCCGCACAATTGTCGATGCTGTGGTAAACCATGGAGAGGAAGTACACGGTCAGTACATCGAAGATTGTACGCTCAAACCGTAAGTAACCCAAGCAACTAAAGGGGCCACTAGCAAAATGCTGACAAGGAGCTGTGCAGTTTAGCACCAATTATCTACACTTCGGAGGGCGAGCGTGTGTCAGCATCCCTTTGGGATGAACTGATGGGAGAGTTTACATTCTCAGGTGCAGCGGACATTATTCAATCTCTCAAGAGTAGGCGGTAAGGACATGCGGATACGATCGTAATCTAGGAGATCTAGCTCTAGTCCTACTAGAAGGCTATCATAGGCCTTTTATGCGTCATTGTTATTTGCATGCAACCTGGCGCTGTATTGCTCCCTTCGGCCGCTTCGTCGAGTTGGGCAAGACGGACCTCTCAGCCGGTTGTCGTATAGAGGCCGGGCAATTTCTTCGTAGTATTACATTCACTGCTTTCAACTTGAGCTCTCTTTATATGAGCCACAAGGAGCATCATCGGATGCTTTGAAAGGAGCTGCTATCTAAAGTCCTAGATCTTTACCGCGAAGGGAACTGGCTGAGCCAGATCACCTAGAAGTCTTCGACATTTCCAACGCGGCTCAAGCATTCAGGCGCTTCTCTTCCCGGAACAAGATCGGCAAGATTGTGCTAAACCTCGAAACCCCTGATTCCCTCATGAATGTTCACTACCGAAGTACACCACACGTCTTAATAGTGCCAAGGCGTATATCATAGTTAGCTGTTTGGGAGGGCTAGGTCGAACTCTAGCTCGGTGGATGGTACTTCGTGGTGCCAGACATTTTGCTTTTCTTGGTCGGTCAGGATTGGATAAATCTACAGCGCGCGATTTGATTCAAGATCTTGAAACCTTAGGCGCTGAATGCGTCGTGATCAAAGGTGACGTCTGCAACCCAAAAGATGCGATGAGACTTATTGCCGCGACCGAGAGAGACATTGGTGGTGTTGTTCAGGCCTCCATGGGGCTAAAGGTGAGCATAAAAGCTAATGATGGTGTTGGCTTGAAACCATCCATGAGTGGATGGGTTTTTGACTAATTATCTATAGGAATCGCTCTTCTCTGACATGTCTAATGAGAGCTGGCACATCGGCATAGATCCCAAAGTTCAGGGGACATGGAATTTGTATAACAGCCTCCAGACGACGGGTCGGCACCTCGGACTCGACTTCTTTCTTCTCACGTCATCTGTATCTGGAAGTGTCGGTACTGCCACGGAGTCCAACTATTGTTCCGCTAACCATTTTCTTGACCATTTCGCTCGCTACCTGCGTAGTCAAGGGATACCGGGTGTCTCGATTGGACTTGGCATGATCTCCGAGGTCGGGTATCTCCATGACAACCCAGAAATCGAGGCCCTCCTTCTACGTAAAGGGATCCAGGCACTAGATTCGGACGAGTTGCTCCAGATCATAGATCTTGCATTATCCAGTAGCCTTACCGCGAGTACTCACGATGATTATGATTTACTCGCTAATGCACATCTACTAACTGGTATGGAGGCGTCTGGCCTTAAACGATTACGCAAAATGGGCTTCGATGGCACAAATGTTGCTTGGGACGATCCGCGCGCCAGTCTACTTGCCAACGCCCTAGACGGGCAACAATTAACTCAATCGCCTAGCCACAGTGGAAAGCTCCCAGCCGGGGTTATGAAAGAATTGGATCAAGGGAAGACGTTAGCAGAATCCGTATTAGACTGCATAAGACGAAGATTTGGAAATTTGGTGCTCATGAAATATGAGGATGTTGACGCAAAGAAGCCATTGGCTGATTATGGAATGGACAGCATGATAGCAGCTGAGTTTAGGACCTGGTTCTACCAAAACATGAAGGTCGACATTCCTATGTTAGTCTTATTGGACAAGATAAGCAATCTCGAGACACTGAGGGACACATCTCTTTCTCAGTTGGAATAGAAGTTAAGAGCTGATGGCTAAGACCACCATAGGCTACCATCTTAGGTTGCTGACAATTCAATCTATTTGATGCGCTAAAATCTATTTCGGTTCGTCAAAGTAGACCGACCCTCCATTCCTCTATTCCTAGCGTAAGCTAGTATGGTCTAGAGTGTCTACCTATGTAGGTATCTCCATAGGTTAGAGGTAGTCAGGTGGAAGGTCTGTATGACTTGACGAACTGATCTATTCACTTTTGACATTCCTCGACGCAGAGACATTCCCAACCGCCCACTCTGTTGGGGTTCCAATTGATAATCGCTGCCTTTGGGCATTCTGTACCATTGTTCGAGTTGCCATGGACTAGACAATGGCATAGGGGAGGTGGTGATAGTGCCTGGTGAGGCGGCAACGGCGTGTGGAGCCCAACTTGCACGATGTCGACGATCTCTTGAAGTCGTCGGTCAACCTTGCTGCTTTCCGTTTGGTTGCAGATGTCGTTGAGGATAGGATCGAGCGCGTCCAGGACTCGGGGGAAACCCCCCATAAGCGAAGCGGGCTCCGAGATCTCGTCGTTTAAACCCCGGATCGTAGCCGTGATGGTCGCGAACGTGGCCTGGTCCGCGTCGCCCGGGATGGACTGCTGGAAGATCTTGTACTGAACGAGCCTCGTCAGCGCCCGGGCCCACGTCTCGTCGCCTCGGATCTCCTTCTTAGTGAACCGTTCCATTCGGTCGTAGATGTCTTCCGGGTCGATAGGCTTGCATCCCAGCGCGCGATTCTTCCTGATGGCGTTGATGACGATTCTTAGCATCTGGACCCGATCAGAGGCGATCCACTGAGGCTCGGCGGTGTCAAGGGTCACGTTGTGCGGTGCCGTGTTGTTGTTGTTGGATAGGAGGCCTCGTGTAACCCCAGATGAGGTAGGTATTGCTGAACCGGAGACAAGTAGTGGTAGCGTCAACATTCCCATCATCAGAGAACGACTCATAGCTTTTAGGCTGCTTTTCCGCGATGATGGACCCATTTTTTCTTAGCAATGTTGCAAGGAAGGAATCTGGCTCGTGAAATTTAGGATACTTGACGTGTAAAATGTCTTCTTGGATAGGAAAGTGTCTGAGGAGGACTCTCTTCTTGGGATCATTGGGGCACCTTAAATACTTGTTATTTTATAGGTATTATGCGGTTTAGGGAACTTAACTTCGTGGCTCGCTTTGACTTTTTATATTTGATATTATGTTCAGCCTATTGATCTGACATTGAAGACTATTTGCTGAGACTTTCACGCCTCTGGTAGAGAGTCATAATAGGTACTTATGTAAGCATGAATAGTAAGTCTATCTAGGGACCTAGTTAGCAATTGCAAACTTTCGAGATAATTTTGGGATCATTTTCCAGCTAAGTTTACCTAGTCGGGAGCTTGAATCCTCTTTAATCCTGCTGACCGCACTACCTGTCGTGATGCAAGCCTGGCATGTTTGTCCCAAGATCACTGCTTCCAAGGTCATCTTGCTGCAATCACATCCTCGTGCGTCTAAGGAGCTCCCTCTATGTCTATAGGCCGACCAGGGAAGTATTAGGCCCTTCAATACCTACCTACAGAAGAGCCTTCCAAAAGTTTTTTCCATACATCAGCCCCTGTTAATCTTGGCACCAGCTGCAATATCACCGATTTATCTCAATACCCTACTAACTTTAAGTAAAGATTCTACAGCTTATATCGACACTTATTTCGTAGAACTTACGAGAAGCACTATTCATCCAGTTCTCATTATATAGGTCAGTACTACAATTCAAGCTTTTTGAGTTAGTTGTAAGGGGAAATAATCAATTAAAACTTAAGGTCTAATTTGGCTAGAGTTGCAGTTGATGGGGCAGCTGACGGAACAGCTAACAAGTGGCTGCCAAATCTGACAGGGGCTAGTGTATGGAAAAAAACTTTTGAAAGGCTCTTCTACACAACTTCTTCCACATAATAGAGACTCATACGAAAGTATAAGTCAAAAGTCTCGCACATTTGCTCGTAGGCCAAAGTCTTATCATCCAATATGAAGCATCCAGTATCTGAGCTGTGCGGCGCCTTACCTTAGTGGCCCAGTTCCCTAAATAGTGCTTAGCAGCCTCTAAAGTCCACTAGCGTCCACAAAAGCTTAATTATGATTGGCTAGGTTTCGCATTGCCCCTCTGAAGATCACTCTGCATTTAGATGCCGAATTTCTACATTGCTAGATACTTTTCCTTTCTCCTTTTTGACTAACAAGATACACACCTGCTCCGTCTATTTGCAAAAGTCTACCTAATATCCTCTTGACTTGCTTACTCTATTCAAATACTCCTTGCCCTCGCTTAGTCTGTGAAGATTAATGTTCAGGATATCTAACAGGCGGCGATTATAGCTCGTCGAGTTACCGCTGACATGCGGCGTGATGATTATGTTCTTCGCATCCCATAAGGGGTGTCCTTTTGGCAAGGGTTCGGGATCAGTAACGTCTAGGGCAGCTCCCCGGATCCAGTTTTCGTTGAGAGCTGTTATCAAGTCATCCGTGTTGATGACCGGACCTCGTCCGATATTGACAACGTACGTCTTCTTCCTCTTTAGCGCCTCCAATTGCGGAGCGGAAATCAGCCCTTTCGTCTGAGGCGTTAGTGGCACTGCGAGGACCAGCAGATCGAGATCCGAGGACAGGAACTCGATAACTTCCTCTGGTTTCGTGCCTGAGAACCATTTCGATGGTAGAACACCCTCTGGATCGCCTAGGCCGGGCACGATGTACGAATTATCCCGGCGTGACTCGGGCGTGGGTCTGGGCCTGTTCGTGTAGGCGTAGACGTCCATTCCGAGGGCTTTGGCAAGCCGCGCTACTTGCCTGCCGATACTTCCATACCCGAAGATGCCTCTGTTGGACACCGTCAATTTTGTGTTCATATACTGCCCTTTGGGTCGTACATAAGAACTTACACTCGTTGGTTGACGGCGTCTTGGGTGTCCGAGTCGTCGAAGCTATGTTCCCATTTGTGTTCCTTCATGTTATCAAGGAAACGTGGAACTGTGAGCGGTTAGGTAAGTTTTCACTACAAGATTCTCATGTCGAAAGGAACCTACTGTGGTGTTCAAAGGCTAAGAAAGTGGTTATGACCCACTCCGAGATCTGAGGTCTATCACAGATAAAGCAATGTTAGCTTCTAGATCATACCCAATTGATGGAAACAATACTCTAGCGTAATAAAACTTACGGATGGACGCCATTGGCGGTGCAAAAAGCAATATCCGTATCGGTGAACAACGGGTTGTTCAAGATGTAATTTGCGCCCGCGCTCTGGAGCTGGACTAGCTTGAGGTTTGGCGCCGCCTCCTTGGTAGGAAACTTCGGGCCTGTGAGAAGAATAGTGACGGTCTTCCAATCCTCTTCCTTGATCTGACTCGGCAATGAGCTCTCCTTCCACGTGTCCCAATTGGCGTGAATGACCTCCAGGCCGGGAAACGATTTATGCAACCCGTCGATGTACTCCGCGGACGGATCCCAGGGCACGAGTAATAGTAGCTTGTGCCCTTTTAGATCCTTGTTCGACGCCATCTCCACGACAGCGGTGCCTGATGGGTTTTCCTGTAGGATATTTCTCATATTTCGATGTTGAGATTGGGATTGAGGAGCGTTTGAATGAATGACGCCGAACTCTTGAATGGTGTCAATTCTGATACACTTAGATATGCAATTCCCCGCCTCAATTTCACCGCTGCCGACTTAGGCCAGGGGGATGGCGCAATCGGAGTTAAGCGACTACGCAAAGGGCGTAAGTGAACTGTTACCTTGACGCCCTCCTATTACACATCCCGCATTTCATACGCAGTACGCGATTGAACGAATTTTTTATTTTATTATTTTTCAAGTTTCAAAGTGTTCTATACGAAACGATCACCATTTAAGATGCAAGTGTTACCTACTCCTAGGTACCTATACGCATATGCTGAGATTACCCCGCGTAGTACCTATTCTTATTGTGAGAAGATTGATTGGTTAAGACTTCAAAGCTTTTGATTACATAAGCAGTGGAGTGGTGATTATGTAACTATTTACCGGCTTATATAATACGGACACACTTGAATTATCATTCCTTTTCAACGGCAAGTTCATCGAATTGAGTTACTGTAACCGAGTCAGTATTATTCTGTGTTCATAGGAATTTCATCTTAACAATGCACGGGGCCTATTCGCCCCATCAAGCCAAACCCTCGATCTTCTAGGTATGGGACAGCAATGCTTCACGCAAAAAAGGGGTCAAAATGTCACCAGAAAACTCATGTTCTATCTTCCTTCCTTCCTTAACAATATCTATTCGCCGAGCGCTTGATTTTTTGGCTTATTGTACTTTTACATGTAATTCTCGAATGGGTTTCTTGTCGGGAAGCCAAGTGACTACGACGACACCACAACACCCCGGGGGTCGGTATTAGAGCCTGTTGACGGTTAGAACAAAATCCATAGCTCTGGCAGCCGGTTATTGTGAATAGGTACGTACGTTAAGCTACTTCCTGCGACTTCTCTGGGGATTCGAGCGGAACAAGCATCTCAACGCAATGAGAAGGTCCGTGGCCAGTGATCCAAGACAAGTATAAATCAATCAACGAGGGGGAGACCCGCCACACAAGACTGCGTGTTCGATGCAGGGCAATATTATGGCCAGCTCAAAATCGTCCGGGCTAGTAGGTACCTACTCATCTAGGTAGAGCTCCAAGTCTAGCTATGATACGCTTTGTATCTCTTCATTCTCTAGCCAGATCCGAGCTGCGTTTTCTCTGGACTGCGAGAAGATGTGGGTTTCCCTTGAATCGACATGTACCAAAATTATCAATGAGAGGGCTTATCAGGAGCGCTCTCCCTAATAGGCGATCTGGTGATGGTTTCATCAACTTTACGGTTGAGTTTCCTCAGGAATATCCTTCTTTGCCATAACTATTATTTCGTATCCTCCGATCGCAATCTAGTATAGGGAAGTTCATTACGAAGACCTACTCGTACTAGAGCCCTTTTCCTCAGGTGCCTGTAGACATCCGTTTTTTATGCCTTTCATCTCTTCATCTCCCAACCCCTTAACGTCGATTATTTGCGCCTGTCTCAGAGACTTCCGCCTGAGTTGGAATATGTTTTCCCGGAGTTCCTCCTATCCCAAACGCATTGTTCAGGTAAATCAAGAACGATAGAAAAACGAAATTTTAAGTAAATTTTTTATGGTTTCATATATATAATTGCCAATGACCTATCCCGAGCTGCCCGATATGGGTTCAAGATGTAATTAACATTACATCTTTAACGAAAATTGAAAAAAGAAGATGATGCGACACCTGTGTGATTCGAACACACGCCCCCGAAGGGAATGCCTACACTACTGCTAATGACTTAGCCTATAGCAGGGCATCGCGTTAACCACTCCGCCAAAGTGCCGTGGGAACTCCCCCTGAGAGCGGATCCATACCTCTAATATATCAATTACATGATGGAGTCAGGGGCCCGCTTGAACGTGGGAACACGTCGCACACCAAACCCATCTATTCATACGGTCTAAGTCATTAACAATTGCAAACTCACAGTTTCTTCACGATGTCATTTCAAAATTACTCATATCATATCATTCTGACCATTAATATTAGCTATCAATTGCGTCGTCGCAGCCATTCCTAGCAAGCGGTAAGCTATGAGGTGGGTATGCCTAACCCTCAATTTTCCCATCCATATTTTACCTCAGACCAGACCATTGGTCTTCAAACTCCATCCCATTCCATCCCAATTCACGTACGGTACAATATCCGTTACTGAGATGTCCTTAGAAGTAAAAAGTCAAATCTAAATCCTCGCGTCCCAAAATTTTCCTCTCCCAATGCAAGTAGCGCTCTAGCCTAGCCCGTCCTTGGGGGCATCGCTAGTGGGGTATAATTCGTTCTCAAAAAGCATCCCTTACAACAAAGAAAAAGGGTTGCGGTCGTAACCGGTATTACTTCCTCTTCCTCCTCCGCCAAGTCTCCGACATCCATCTCGCAATTGTGCATCGCCTCCGATCCCGCGTCTCCTAGCGCGAGGCATCATCGGCTCCTGATGCTGGTGGTGTTGGTGGCGCCGGCCCTTCATAAGCCGGACTTGCCGTCCTTCCAGACTCCGCGCTTCTCCGACTCAGGCTCAGATCCTCGACGCTTTCGTAGGGGATATCGCAAGAGTAGGAAGGCGGACTTGGGGGAACGTCTTGGTAGATAGGTGGGGCCTCATTATCCCAGCTGACGCCTAGGCCCGCACGCTCCGTAACCACCACACCAAAATGCATACGTAGGATACGGGCCACACCAGTAGGCGTGATGTGCTTAGGATGGCCGATGGGCGCATACTCTTGGACCACGACCATCTCCACAACGAGTTGATGCGTGACCTCTATTCCGTCCTCGCTCTTCAGATCGCAGGCAGCTTTGGTAGAAGGAGGTAGCGCGCACTGGATCTCCAGCTCAATGCATCCGGATGGTGAGTAGTCCGATTTCCATCCAGTGTGCATGTCAGCGTGGGCAATAACGCGGGAGTCTGTGCGCTTAGCCCCCTTTTTGGTAGAGAGACCGGTTTCCGGGTCCTTCGGCGCGTGTTTATCGCAGGCTGGTGCTACGATTTCCATGTTCTCCTCTAGCTTCCAGGAGAGGCGCTTGAGCTTCCAGTACTCAACGCTCTTGGCCTCGAGGTTGTGCTTGACAATGCCATCAAGGCGGAGTGTAACCGGATTGGTACTAACAGGATGCATAACCTGGGAGAAGTGTACGCTGGCTGCGATGTTGGTTGGCGGGAAGATGCGGATGCTGTGATGTGGTAGTTCTGGGACCTGTAGCGATCGCTTTACATCTATGCTCTTACAGAGCTTAATTGCAGGGCCGGGTATCCTTGGTGTGACTTCGGCAGAGAAGTCGTACCGGATAGCGACGACTGGGTTGTCAGTCGATGCAGGTAGATGCCCGTCTAACAAGACGGAAAATGGGAATTCATGGATACCTAAATGTGATGTGAGTCGGGTGCCGGTGTCGGAGATGGAAAAAGGAGACTTACGTTTGGAGAGGATTGTGGGTTCACTCAGGAACGTCCAAGATTTTAGCTCCTTCGTTTGGGTTGAGCAGCTTTGACAGTGACCTGTAAATGGCCTCTTCTGCACGACATGAATCTCTAATTTGGCTGAGAAATTGTCGACTTCGAAGCCCTCTTCCTTGACGTCCAGTAATAATTGCCCGGAAACCAATGCGCCTGTGCTGTTTTCCGGCTCGCCGTGCATTACTGCAGGGGGCGACTCAATTTTCCAGCTGAGCGACGCATTTGGGTTTTGGGGCTGTTCTTTAGATGCCTTGGAACCACCGAGATGCAAGCTTGGAAAGCTTAGGCGGTGATGAGCATGCGACTCCTTTTCTTTCAGCTTGTCTTTTACTTCGGCCATCTTTACGGGGGGTGCGGTGTAAACCGGGGTTTGCGTGTTGTGATCGGTGATGTCCTCAAGCACCGAAGAAGCGGCAGATGAGTGGCGAGTAGGCCGTTCTCTGGAGGCGGATCGAGAGTTAGGGTTGCTCCTCCGCTGTACCGAGGCCTTGATATTGTGAATGCTGTCGTTGGAAGACCGGAAAAAATCCACTACCCGGTGTGGCATGTTGAACCGATGACTAAAGGTCTAAAAAGACCTTGTGGATCCTTCTTCCTTAATTCTTCGATGTTCTTCTTGGTAGTCTTGTGACTAAGGTTCCTTTTCTTGGACCCTGCTGGCCGGGCCTGGTCTGGCCTAATATTAGCTTCGGATTGGTGGTTGGCGAGGTGCTGTTGTAAAGCGCAGCTGCGATTTCGCTGTAACTTCTAGCGTCTAGCGTGTAGCTTGTAGCTAATGCATCCAAGCGCCAGCCGGTTCTTCGTGCAACGGTGGGAAAATCTGGGGAATTACGCCTAATTTCAGGGCAATGGCGTAATGCAACCCAATCCTGCCACCAAAAAAAATATATCGAGTCGGCTGATGCGATGCCCGGGATATGGCTGAGTCGTATACAAACAGCTAATGCAACTAGCTGGTTAGATATGTGGCAGACTCGTATGGAAGGAAATAATAGTTCGGCTGATGACTCTTTCGACAACCTTGGAAACCGTCCAGTTGGCTCTTTATGATTCTTCGTCGACTTCTTCGATGTTCCGATTTCCGGAATGCGGCTTCGCCTCTATGCAGCCAACGTCGAGTTTGTTTTGAAGGTGAATATTGTTTGTATCCCGATTCGGGCTGTTCGAGATTCGTTGCCGGCTCTGATTGGCTATGATGACAAGCGTTGGCTGTGCGCAACGGCCGTATCGTGATGGAACAGTAATGAGGAAGGCGGCTCAAAAACTCGTTGATAACACTTTGAATATCGATAATATCCTCCTGTGTACTCCAAAGAAACTGTTTGTTCGTGAAGTTATTCTGCGTTGTGGTATATGTGATATATCCAGTGTCTTGGTTGAATCGCGGGGCAGATCGTGTAAGTGGTAGTGAGATGATGATAGGGTGGATAATAGATTCAAAAGTTCAGCGTTTGTCGACAACTGCTTGCGTGCTTAACTAGCAATAAACTTTCCATCGTAAACTCCGTAAGTTTTATGGGCAGTCGTGATGTTATGTAGCTGGCGTAATTAATAGGTTCCTTCACATCATGCTTTCTCCAGAGCTTTCCATCAAGTAATTATGTGTCATGGATTGAGGCGGACTGGGGCCGGGTCCTTGTAGCTACAGCGCAAACTCGACAAATTTCAGCGTTCAAGGCCCTCCAACTCCATGCACCGGGTACCACAAATGCCACAAAGGTCACAAGCAGACAAGGGGTACCTAGGGTACCTGAGCACGTACTCGAACGCCTGTAACTGATTTGTTACCTCTTTCCTTTGGCGGTTATTCTTTTGTCTCGTTCCTGAGGCTTACACTCCATCTAGGGGCGCCGGATTTACGTAAGGTCGCCTGAAAACTAGGATCAGGGGATACTTAGGTCCACTAAAATTAATATTTTTTAGAGGCATAATGCTTACTCGATACATCAGGTACTTAGGTATTAAGGTACATCTCAGCTGGACATAGAAATCTGAAATTCTCGTTGTTGGCGCAAGGAAACAACAATATCATCTATATTTCGTGCATACTTACTAACATAATATCGATGAAGACAAAGGGGGCCGCAATCAGCCCTGTGCGCATTGTTGCAATTCCGGGGTTGTCAGATCGGATGGAATTGGAAAGTCACCGTATAAGGCTAGCTCTTAAGACGTAACAGCTGATGTGATATTGGTTAGAGAGTTGGCAATGCAAACAAACAATCGCAATGTACCGAAGACCTCGCATATACTGACGATGACGCCTTCATCAGATGTGGTTATACAACGTTGGCTATCAAAACACCGGACAAACTCATGAGCTCGGGCCATCCACACACTTGACTCGTTTAAGATAGAGACAGAAGCTTTACACATTCGTGGACCGTGGCGCGTTCCTAAAGGCTGAGCATAGCTTGTTCGTCTAGCCAAAGAAAAAAATTCCATGGGCCCACTTGAGCGAAGCCATCGTGAAAAGGGTAGATTGACTGAGAACCGTACGATGGCCATCTGGAACCACTAGAGGGTCATAGAAGAACCACGATCCGTCGATTAGTGGGCTATGTTACTCGACGGTTACCCAATAAGATCCACCGCGACGCATCCGATACCAAATCGGGGGCCGGCGGGACTGAGCGAAGGAAGCGTAAGTGCTCTAAAACGGGTTCTAGAAGTGATGGAGACAAGGAAAGCGACGGCAAAGAAATACGTAAAACCATGATTCTGAATTCCTCTTTCGCAGTTGGCGCTCGACAATTTCGAAACGTGTACATGAATTTTATGTGATAATAATCTAGTAATACCGAACGCCGAGATGAAAGAAATCGATGGACTTCTAGGGCTGCTCTAGTCGAGGAGAATCTATGATGCTAATAATTGGAAGTGAAAATATTTCCTAGGGCTACTTCGTACCTACCGGTATGGGGTAAAACTGTACTACGGTAGTGCTAGAAGCTTTTTTAGGCGTCCTCTAAAGGCATCTCTTGCCGTGGGAAATTTTTGTTCTTTCTCTCTGGAGCTTAGTACGTACAGTAATCAGGTGGGGCAGCGGGGCTCGCCGAACCTGGAAGTCGACCTTAAGACTCGGGACCCATTTAGAGTCACGAGCTCAAGACTTTTCCTTGACTTGACCTTTATTGAAAATATTTTCATGAAACTTTTTATTCCTTGATCGTCTCACCTCTCCACACCATATCCACCTTCACGATCCTTTTTTTGTTACTTTGTATCGGTGAAGGAATACGCCCTTGATCCACCGCCTAGGTAGGCCGAAGCTTGCCGCTACTCCACAAAATTGGAAAAAAAGGAAAGAATTTTCCATCGGGCGAAATTCAAGGTAAAGGAAATCTGGCGAATTAGAGATGCTCTGTGTCGCTGTACCTGGCATCGACCTTCGTTCGTCTATATTTCGCCTCTCCAATTGCATAGTTCCTGACATGGCAATCGTCAAAGTCGATAATTAGACCATCGACAAGACTAGCACGCAATGTTAGTAGATGCAGCGTCGATCGCTCTGCCAGCCTTTCCTTGTGGGACCCGTCCTGCCGTCATACGCTATTACTTGATCGATCGTCGATCTGTGTAGGTACCATGTTACGTCCATGCAAGCATTGAGATGTGAGTTTGCATTGACGTTATGAGATGGCTTCTCACCCAGCATAGCTATGCCAAATCTTTTCTATCCCCCATTTTCAAGTGACTTATTCAATAACACGAAGCTCTAATAAAATAAAAGGGATATTCGTTAATCCTTGGTCTTTGCGGGATAGCGGGCGGCAGAGCGGGAACGCTATTCACCTCACGCATCCTGCGTTGATCCGATAGGGCCGAAACTTCGAAGTTGATGAAAGTGACTTTGACGTTCCTGGATCTATCCCGGACCTGCTGTCGCATTCGCCACGCGGCACACCAGGCTCGGATGGGTTACGGTCAAGGGAATATTTCTAGCAGCTGACTTCTTGCCATCCAACCAAAGTTTGTACGTTGTCGTGAACCTGTTGGAATCCTGCTCCTAACCATAAATAGGGGTAAAGTTCCACTAGCATCATCCTAGATATGCATCGGTAACTGAGATCACAGGCCTGTTCGTGACTTTTTCCATCGCTATCAGCCCGCCCATTTCTTTAAATAACTTAATACTACCTATTAAATGTGCTACTAGCAGTATATATTCCATCTATTGTCAACAGTTAAATACCAACGTGCTGTTACCTACCAAAAACATGCTTAGAACAAGGCTCTGATCTTCTTGTTCGCCTGAACCAAGCACTAAGACAGGCTCGTAAGAAACACACTAGGGCATTGAGACTGGGTGGCACTCGTGAACCTTTCACTTCTATCGATGGTCTTTCACTTGCCATAGATGCCGGCGTTCGCGAAATGAAGAGATTCAAGTCGCAACTATCAGGATTTCAGTTGCCAGGGTAACGGTTAGGTATTCAAGTGTGTTCCATCTTAATCGAATGCCTTGCGATGAAGTATTCATGCTTCTAGGAGACATATTAAGGCTCCATTGCGAAGGAACTTTTTACTTTCTTATAACTCTGTTGGGGCCATAGACTAGATCAGCGTTCTCGACATCGAAACCGACTTCATCACGCGGTACGGTCGAGCACAGAGTTCATAGTGTAAGCACCAGGGTTCAGGTCAACCATCACCTTCCATTTCTGGCTATCTTAGTGATCTCAGCCTTCGCTGAGCACAAATTCATCATGAACTACAATTGACGGCAGGTTCGACATTGATTTTGCTGAGTAAAGGTCTACTTGTCGATGTGCATCGCCGCTATACATCATCGTGCCATTTCGGCTCGCTAGACGTGACTTACAGCAAGCAGATTCATAGTAAGCCTAGAAGCCTGCGATAGCCAGACATAGACTGTTATAAATTTCACCTATGAGATGAAGCTCTGGATCACAGTACATATGTCAGCCAATGGGTTAAAATAGCGATGATCAGCATTTCCAGCAGCCCGGGTCGTATGTACCTATGAAGGAAGCTTTTTCACCAGTGAGACCTAAACCGGCAATCGAGGTCCCATTTCGGCATGTAACCCTTCGTAGATCATCTATGCTAGATCTCGAACGCGGGTCGTAGATTGGATATTATTGCCAGCCGAATACTCGTCGGGGCCCAAATCCTTACCCCTACGTAGGGGTAGCTCTCTCAGTTTTCCCCATACGATTATCTCCTCCCCATCATTCACCCCCACGAGTTCCCCGCTTCATGTGCTCCAAGTCCGGTTTGGAGACCCCAGTTTCCCCATGATGCACTAGCCTTAGCTTGATCTTGCTCCTCCTGGGGGTTTGTTTTTAGACTGCTTGGTTGTTGATCTCTGCAATGTGCGAGGAGCATCTAAAAGGATTAGATGTCACGTCCCAGACAGGAGACACATGGAAAGTGAGACAATTTATTAGTACTAACTAGCCATCTAGTATAGCCCATTGAAGCACTTAGGTACTTCCTTGTTTCGGGTCATGGCCCATGAAAATGTCCCCAGAACCCGAGAGTGTATAGGGGCCACTGGAGACCTTGTCTGGAGCCTTCTCTAAGGCCTTCTTTTGAGGCTTCGGTGGCTCCTTATCGGATTGATTAACGTAATAATATGTCGAGTTGACCGGGTATTTCTTCGCATTTTCTCTATTGACATAGCGAGGATTCACAGATCCAGGGTCTTTCCTCTTCGGCATATTGATGATGTTTTATAAGTGGAAAAGCTAATGAAAATTGTGCAGAGAATTGAATGTCGCTCACTACCAAGAAGATGGACAGTATCTGGGGTTATGATAGAAATAACTCAAATGAAGATTATGGTGCTTAGAGATTTATATGCTTTGGCTCATCTCAAGACACTGTGAAATCGATCAAGCCATACGTGATATAACTACCTGGATACTCATAGTAAGACTTAATGGATTTCTTCAAGAAATTGTGATTCACTTGTAGTTTAGTACAGTAGCTTTAGGGTCATCGTCGTCCGATGAAATCATATGCAAACATCACCGAATATGGGCAAATACCATGATTGTTCAATATAAAACGCGTATACTGGTCAGCTGTTTCTGTTCAATAAAGTCACACGTAGGTAGGAATGTATTCTATCATACCTCAAGGGCAGTGAAGGACGTTGCCGGTGAATGGTGTATGTTTCCCCCATGTCGTAATATATTCAACTTCGTAAATACCGTTTTGACACTCCTTACGCGATGAATAGTAATTTCTCGTTAAGGGAGAGAATAGTGTTTCCAACTCAGATTCCAATTCATAGCTACCTGAATAGTTAAGGAGAATCAAAGTTACAGAGAGTGAACAATATTCGGAATTACATCACGATGATGGTGTAAGTTGTCAGCACAATGTTGCTGTTGACATTCAAAGGATTATTTGCCTAAAACTTGATATGTGACTCCTAGGCCTAGAGAATTAGAATCTGATGGCTACAAACAGTCACATTATTGCCAATATGCGACTATTTTAGCCGTAGCTATATATTGTGAAGTCGGATAGAAAACATGCGTATGGGGGCAGGATGTAAGTTTTCCTTGGCTGTGAAGTCTGATTTTCCCAGTCTAGGTACCTATCCATAAAACTCCCTTCTTTTAGTTAATAGATCTATGTGGAGTTGTCCCAGGTTCGTCTTTCCTATGCGCATTAAAATGAACAATTCTTAAGTACCATGTATAATTAGGTAGTGTTTTTGATACTGTTCTTAACATTGATAAAAGGGGTAAAAGGGGTAAAAGGGGCTCCCGGTGAAATGATTATCCATTGCAGATTACGTAAGCATTCCATCATTGCAGATTGAGTAACCCCGATGCCAAGTGCGAAAATGATCGCCCCACTCATTGATATTTCTGATTCCTTTACGGGACTAAAAGTCTATGACAATCATCAGTCAATTATCCTCTAGCTATTTCAAATCGGTACACTTCCGAGGTCAATGTTTACTACATTAGTCGGAATGGCTCCGGGGGTTACTAATTCTAGCGCTCCTTCGCCTCCGGAAACTCCGAAGTTCCCTAAGAGACAAAAGCGGAGTCAAGTGGCGAGAGCCTGTGATTGGTGTCGCGTACATCGCATCAAATGTGATAACCATGTTCCGTGTTTGAATTGTAAGAAGAGAGGTGGTCAGTGCAATCAAGGAGAGGTAGAGGTTCGCACCCTTCCTCATGCTTTCCGAAAAATCGAGCATCTGGAAACTCGGATCAAAGAATTAGAACGGGAACTCGAGAACGAACGCAGGAACACAAAATCAAGTACCGGATCTGAACCACTTCATAACAGGCAATCGAGTTTGAGCTCTTCTGGATCTTCTGGCCTTGGAACTGGTGGAGCTTTGAGTTCTCCGAGCGACAATGACAGAAGTCCAGAGAGAAAAAGATTAGGGGAGGGAGTCCGCATTCGCACTGCACGTCGACAGGAAACGTGGTATGGTCCCTCATCGCTATTCTATTTCATCAGGCGTGTAAATACATTCCTGAATGATTCCTTTCAGCAAACACATCCGATTAATCGCATGCTCCCTGACTCGAATAAGCTGTTTGACGGGCCAACCCAAGTCTCTGAGAGCGAACATGGTCATCGCCATACCCATACAGCAGGAGGTGAGCAAGTCACAGAAAACGACTACTTAACTCCGACGCAAGAAGAGTATTTCATTAGTCTCTTTTGGCAATCATTTCACACCACCCTCCCAGTTATAGACGAGATCGCCTTCAAAGAACATTACCAGTCACTATGGACGGCATCAGGCCGAGAGCGAAAACCGTCGGCACTTGTTGACATAGTTATTGCGCTGTGTATGCAATACGGCATGGCACAGCAATCAGGTACCGAGAAAGTGAACAGTGTTTCGCCAAGCTTGAAGTCCGATGGTAGCGGTGCCAATAATACATCTATAGCTGGGCGGTGGCATTATCAGCGTTGCCAGAGACTACTGACGAACGAACTAGAAAGCCCTACTATATTTACGCTCCAGTGTCATATCTTGTCTACAGTATATCTCTGTGCTGGCTCGTTTCCAAACATGGCGGATAGCACTTGCACTTTAGCCGTACGAACAGCTTATATGCTTGGCCTCCATTTAGATCCACCTGAAGAGACGTCGCAGAGGGAGAGAGAATTGCGAAAACGCTTATGGTGGACTCTTTATATCTTAGAGAGCAAGATCAGCATGAAGCTAGGCCGTCCGTTTCTCCTGGACCACTCCGATACTACCTGTAGCCTTCCGAAAGACGACCGGGAAAGCGTCGCATTGTCGGGTTCCGTATTGACTCCGCTCGGACAGGATGCTACATGGTTGACCTTCCATGTTGAGAATATCAAGCTCTTCTTAGTGGTCCGAGCAGCCTACACAGCCTTCTATAAAAAACAACTGAACACTACCAGTAACCCGAACGATCAAGCCCCACGGGACGAATCAGGGATTGTCGAGTCTCACGCAGAATACTTGGGTCCATATATCGACCGAATAGAAGAATGGGTAAGGACGGTGCCCGACCCCCTTAAAACGAAACGCCAGGACCACGGTATCCCCTTTTCTACTGACTTCACCCCCCTTGAGATTGAGCCATTCGCATCTCTCTGGCTGCAGCGCCAGCGCTTGTTGCTAGAGCTTATGTATCACAATCTATGTATCAATCTGTTCCGTCCGTTCATCCGCTTTATTCCCTCCACGAGGCCCACGCCCACAGCCGATAAGACGGCTGCGAATTGTGCCGCTCATGCCATAACGCTGACGCGCATCATGTATCAAGTGTTATCATCGACGTCTGTTCTTACAGGTTGGCATGAATCGTTTCAGTGGCAGTGGAACGCGACTATGTCGCTTATCGGTTTTACGATTGCGTATCCACAGCACGTTTCGGCGGCGGAGGCTAGGGATGCTATTGATCTATCTATTGCCGTGTTCGAGATCTTTGAGAGGAGCCTCCCGAGTGCCACCAGTGCGGCTGCTATCGCGCGCGGTCTTGGCGCACAAGCTGATTTACTCGCCAAGAATATACAAGGCCAGCAAGACTCGACGCCAAAGACAATGAGCCTACCGTCGACTACTGGAAGTTGGGAACCATTAAGTGATGAAAATCTTGTCTGTGGCAACCCTAATGCATCACAAACAGCAACCGGGATATGGAATAACGATGACGGAAGCGCAGTACCACTGCAGGATTTCTGGGCCGACTCGATTGATATGGCATTGTCCGTCGACACGCAGGATTTTGGAATGATGTACTGGCCAAACATGAATAGCGACTTCTCGAATCAATGGGCCTATCCACAGATATAGGTTTAACTTCATAAACTACCTATCTATCCTTAACGCCTCATGGAAGTCGTAGGGTTAAAGCTCCACATATTTCCTACACTTTTGTTTGATGTGCTCCATTGCTTTAAAATGAAGCGCGTCGTCTCAATTATTAAGTGGGACAATGTCGTGGCTGGGTGTCGCGCGGGTCTGGACACTGTTCGAAATCGTCCAGCTCTACTAGATAAAACTTGACGCGACAATAGAGCGACAGTAAACACCAGAGTCAACGAGAATGAGGTTATTCGCCCATTTATTTTCAATTAAAATGAATGGCAGGTCAGGATTTTCTTGGAAATATAATCCGACCAGATATGGAAAACTGAAGTATACCGCCTGGAGTGGAGTGACTGCAGACAAAGAAGATGATCCTGAAGCAGCGCTTAGATGGGATCCCGCTACAGAATATAAGCATCCCTTGAAGTTGTCGACCCAACCACGTTAAACGATTGTAAATTCCTCTTCCGAAGCCGCCTCATCTTGTCGGAAACCTACAAGTTTAGCATACACCTGAGGCTCATGTTCCCCGGCTTGGCTTTGGTACTCGAACCAACCACAGCGGACAAATACCTGACACTGATCCTTTTGAATCTGACGAAGCAATACACCTCTAGCACCTAATACCTCACGATTTTTGTAGTAGTGGGCGTAGATAGGCCAAGCACGGTACGTATCGCCCCCGCTTGCTCCTTTTCTTTCGAGAGCACGGTCGAACTCGTCACGGCAGTCCCACTTCACGGGGCCTCTCCCAAGCCCTTCCAGATGCAATTCAACGGGATCTGGCTCTACGAGATCTGGCTCTGCAGGCAGAACCTCCACCGTCGCAGGAATCAGACTGCCGCAAGCTCGCACGCTACCCGCAGTAGCGACTCCGATGGCGTTGCATTCTTCGGCGGTGGAGAAGCGTGCCTTCGCTACTGGAGAAAGGAAAATGTCCTCGGGTAACATGTTGGTATTAAAAACGCTAGGGTGCGTCGAGATTGGAAACTCGAAGTTCACGTATCCAGGAAGGTTCAGCCATGACCACGTTGGGAAGCGGTCTGTGGTACTATTTCGATGAGGGAGTGTTCGTCTGGTCTCGGCCTTATCGTATACAAAGTGCCAAGCAAGTTGTTCGACGAGGTCTGTAGACCAACACCCATTGGCATACGATAATGAGCTAAAAAGATCGGCAACCCTGGGTGCAGCCAGGAGCGGTACGCATTCGGCTATACCGCCAATCACGGCAGCTCTCTCTTCCGGCGTTCCTGTAGGAATCATGCTGTACGTCGCGATGATCTGCGTCCACATCGCAGCCAGGCATTTCTGTGGTGATTCGAATCCACGAAAGTCAGCATGGTCCGATGGACCCGCCTCGGAAGACGACACTGATGGCCAAGGATCGAAGTTTGCATATGACTTGTAGAACTCCCGCGCGTAGGGCTTGCTTACTTCAAGCTGGCCGAGAATGCCCTCTCGATTATCGACACGCCTGAAGTGGTTACCCGTCACAGCGAGGGATTCGCTGCACAGTGCTCCTTCTCCGTGGTAACATTGCCACCAGAGTTGATCTTTCCCGCAGTAAAGAGTAGCCGGAGAGAGGAGGGTTCCTTGGTAAAAGAGTGCCGAATCCCACAGGGGAGAGTTGGCGACTGAATCTTCGAAACTCGCGCTACTATATATCGCAAGTGCATCCTGCGGGGCCCATTGGGGTCGAACGATAGGCATTCTACTCAATTCTATCGAGGACAACCAAGTGTCAGACGACGTTACACAAGCCATGGCGGCGATATTGAATGCGCCACCAGCAAATATGTGCGCGGTAGTGATTGGGTCTTCAGTAGGGTTGGCGCAGAGCTTGGGAGTCCAAAGGTATTTGACACCGGCATCAAATGCGACCTGGGCAGCCTGCTGGAGACAAGTTGGGAGTTGAGAGGTCGGAGTCCATGAGGACGCATTCTGAAGTCCGAACCCATCTGTGATGGCTGGATTATCAGCCCAGTCTAGATGGCTGACCGTGGCATAGAGAGGGTTTGGTGACGGTTCTTGACCTGGAGAATACTGGCGCACTGTATAAGACAGCTGTACATCACCACCATCTCCTTTCAACTGAATAAGGCGGGAAGGACGCCTCAGGCCTGTTTGCGATCTGGTGCGATGGTTCCGGCACGAGTTATGTTGCCCAGGATTTTCGGAACGCAAACAGTCCGAGATCCAATGGTGGCAAAGATCCAGTCCCTTGAGCTCCTTATCATGGCTATTACCTTGGCCTCCTTCCACTAGACAAACCGTTAGTCATTCTCAAATTTCGTCATGCGAGGTTGAGTTGGACGGACCTTGATATGCGTTAAGATATACGGGTCTTCTCAAATCATTGACGTTGATGAAGATTGTGATCCCGAACTTGTTTTCGTCCCTTTCGTCCTTGGTAATATGGAAGCTGGTCGCATTCTCATCTGGCGAAGCCGAAATGGGCTCGGGGGGCAACGCAGCAGCTACGGCGACGCAAATAGGACATCTAGCTTCAACTGCCTGCTTTAGTGAGGCGATAGAGTGGTGATGGGCCCTGGCAAATCTGGGCAAGAGATCGTAGCCTGAAGTTGGAATCTCAGGCTCCGTGGGAGAACTGAAGATCTGCTGGCAAGAAGAGCAGAGGGGTACTTCTCTAACAACAGCCATTTTTTCGGTAAAGCATTGAGGTCTTAATCACAGAGATGAATTACGATAGGTAGTAGAAGAACGCGGATATGATGGCATTTTATATATGGGAAAACCAAGTCCCATACTGACTTGTACGTATCAAGGTATCGTGATACAGCCCCCAACTTTCCAAGTTGCCTCGCCGCTGACATCCATGTTGCGTCCTTAGTGTGGGCGCGCAGGGTGATTACCAGCCAGCCAACAATGGTAGATCATATTACACAGTAGGCCTGAATCCAAGGCTTTGATTGGAGGACAAGGATGAATGGCTGTATGTGACCATAACATGCCCGCGTTCTATCTACTGCATGCATAGCCCTGGGTGTGCTAGCATTGTCTTTGTGATCCATCCCTCCCCGCGCCTTCAACACAGCACTTTAATTAGGAAAACATGCAGCAATCAAGACAATGCTTCTCTTGTATCACCTAGAACATCTATTATATTATCGTGTATCCCTAAGAAGCATACCAAAACCGAACGAAGTAAGGATCTTCATAAGATAAAGACCACGCCAAAAACCAGTTTACCGGTCAGCTTCAGGTATGTCTTAATTGTTGCCTATTCTCCTAATTAAAGAGCAGTGTCGAAGGCACGGGGAGGCATCGCAAGCCAGTGCTAGTAACATTCTAGATAGTACGACTTGAAGAATACTGAGGCACATTAAAGATTCGTAATCTACAGCTATTGGGACTCATACATTAATTAAACTGGTTGGTAAGTTATAGTATTGAACGTTCATGTAGGTTAATACAGTCGAGACGATGTGACGGCTTGAAATGAGACTGTTTCCACCAAGCGAGATTTTGTCAGGTTGGGTCGGCAAGTCAACGTGAGAGGTAGTAGGTAGGTATCATATGGGTATATTGGTGACTAAAGTATCCCGCAACCTTCCCTTATATAACTGCGGGCTGGCCGCTAGCTAGCCGCAGGCTAGCACCTGTCTCTCTATCTTATACCCTGACAGATTTTCTATAAAACGAGTGTTTTTTCTGAAGCGAAAGTCTTAACGAGTGTATAGCTACCTACGTCTTAGCGAACGCATAGCTGCTTCTTAACGAATGTATGCATGCTGTCTTTGGCAACTTATCAACCCTAGCTCATCATACGGAGACTGCCTCCATCCCTCTAGAGGCACAAAGTATATCCTTCCAGTACAGTCGATATGTTGCAATAATTGCCGTCAGCAGTGCACTATAGAAGGGTAAGCTTCATCAGGTTCATGTGTAGAGCTTTCATTCTCCTTGAGAAGACATACCATAAAGTTCGCGTGGCAGTTGCCCACCCAACCAGCTCTCCCTGTGTAATTCTGGAAGCATACTCCCCATGGGCCAAATCGATCTCTTTTGGTGTAACATTGCTAGTAATAAGAGGACAGTGTCTGTTAGCTGGCTTCTTCTGACCGTTTATCATCGGTGATAACTTACACCTTCTACGATTTGACCAGGGGCGCGCTCGATAAGTGCACCAGGCTCATTCTGATTGATAGGAGTTGCACTTCCGATTGCAGCAGTGAATCCGACGACCAAGAAGAGAGACAGACGCATCTTGATATGGGTTATAGTTAGATATACGATAGATAAAAGATGTAGAAAAGAGTGTTATGAAAATACTGTAGGTAGGATGGTAAGTAAAGCAGTAGAGATCAGTTGCAGGAAAATGGCTAACAGCGCGCGGATGGTGTCTTTTATCTACGCCAAAAAAGAGAGAAGTCTCATAACGCATTGGTAAGAGGTGATTCTTACCCCTAAGAATGATAATGATATCAAACATGATGACACAGTAGCAGTTGCGCCACCGAGCTTGTTGGTGGTGAAAATATCTCGATATCCTTGCGATGTGGCTTAATCTTCGTACGAAGTATAGGATTGGGCTCAGGAATCCATCAACTCGTTGCCTCCTAACCTTAGTCCATCTTCACTGGTGAAGTTGCGTCCGCGCGACAAAGCTTTCTTTCGATAAGTATGTACCATTTGAAGTTGACCAGAGAGATATCAAGATTGCCCATATTTAAGTTAGGTGTTAGTTCTCTAAGCTGCTATTTGATAAACTAATTAATTGTTAAAAGATACGTTGACGGTATTTGCCTGTCGGTCCCGATGAACACCAACCGCCACAAAGTCGACTAGTCAAGGGAACGCTGATGTCGTTGTGCGAAGAATTCATATCATCTTATTGAAGGGCTACCTGATAATAACAACAGTATATCTGTTACTTGAATAGTCTCATCACCATAACTTCATATATTCCTACGAATCCACCAACTGTGCCTCCATCCCTTTCCCTCCGCCAAAGGGAACACTTTAGATTAAGTTGTTTAATTGCAATAAGCATACAATGGCTAGTGCGTTGGCGGCAGTCTGTTTAGCCCATTCTTGTCAATTTCCAAAATTCACGTAGTCCTCACGAACCTCCAACTCCTTGCTAAAGGGGATCAGTGATCCTACAAGCGTGATGTAAATGGATGCTAAGAACTCCTTGGGGATACTTCCAACATATCCTTTGGGTAGATAGCTTGCAACGGATGGCAAAAGAGATCAAGTATAAGTAGGATGGCAATTCTCTTCCACAAGTCTCTCTTCTATCATACAACATCGTCAACCAGATCCTTCCTTTCAGATAACTTCACCCTTTCATCTGGTTTCACTCATTTGAACCACAACTTTCAACGATCAAAATGAAGGGTATGATCATGATTAGACAAGCTTCTTGCTCATTCATAAACAACTAACTTTTTTTGTGAAGTCTCAAGCAAGACCATCATCACAGTTGCACCACTGGTGCTAGCACTCGTTGTGAACGGCAGCCTCAACACTACCCTGAGTACAACAAGTATTACTGCGGCAACTCCGTCTCCGTCTCCGTCTTCGCTCGTGTCTTTGCCCAACCACATCAACGCACTAGATGCGGCCGGGCAAATCAGCTGGACGGACGTCGACGGAGGACGAGCTGCCATCCTCCAGCAGCCAAGTACCCAAAAGCGAGATGACATTTGGAACGGGTTCGCCGATCCGCCCCAGTTTATCCACAGCGTGTGGAACGCCTTGCACGCCGATATCGAGGTCCAGAACTACGACGGTCGCGCAATGTGCCCTGCTGGCGGGAGTCACATGGCCAAGGCGCTCGTCGATTCCAGCGCAAAGCTGGCCTGCAGGTACTTCGTCAAGCAGAGCGTGGTCGGCGAACTTGGGCTGAAGGTCTGGCACGCCTACGAGGTCCACGACGACCAGGTGACCAGCGATGGGCCTGGGTTTATCAGATGGCTCCTGTGAGTACCTACCTATCGACTCTCTTAATGAATGGCGAAGACTGGGTGAGATCTGGCTAACGGGAAATTTTAGTGGAAGCGTAACTGACCACCCTGCCCCGTTGACCGAGGATTTCTGCTCGGACTTGTGGGATGCGGTCAAGAGCATGTGTGTCACCGCAGGCACAATCGCTGATACGCAAGGACAGGTGGTAGAAGCGGGTGATTGGATGCTGTATGCAGACCCTACTAGTAACAAGAACAATACTTAAGTTCAGGGTTGTCGAGTTTTCCAACTGATGCTGTCGAGCGGTTCGAGTTAGACGGATAGGTTCTTGCTGGACGTTGGGGGTCTTGTTGGAAATGGGGGCTGTGTTAAATTTTAGAATGCCTGGGTTGTTAGTTTCCTTGCCTTGTCATCCACGCTCGCTACAATAAAACAAATTGAAAGCGGTTTCTACCGCACCATGTTATTCGTACCCTATATAAACTACCTCCCAGTGTTGCTCATAGCATAGGAGATGTAGATAATTTTCAGATCCCAAAATGTCCAGCCCTCCAGGATCATGTTGGCCCTGTTAACTTTGGTGGATAACCGTTGCACATTTCTATATGAAAAATGTGTGTATAGCGTTCCTATACAACTCGGCATTAAGCCACTTGCATAAACTCCTTTCAAAACAATGATGTAGTCCCTACAGCCACTACCCAGTTCTATAAACCCACACTACGTTGCCTGGATATGATACTAACACCCCAACATATACACAATCGTGTGATAGGCAAACAGCGCAATGTAGATCCATAGCTAATCCAACCAGAGACTTCTCTCTGCGTATACGATGCTGCCGTCACTGTCGCTGTCGTCCACGGGGGAATCGACCGAACTCTGCCAGAATAGCCGATAATCGTAACCATCGTCATCCCCGTCACTCTCATACCCTCTACCCAAATTAGGCCCCTCAAGCAAAGTCTTAAAGTTCTCCACATTCGCAGGGTCTCGACCTAGAGCGCGCGGGTCTCGCACGCCCCAGTACATCGTATTGAACTTCCCGCTGTGTATCCTAAACAGATGGGCCAACCACAGGTCATCCGTAATCCCCGTTTTACGCTTCAGCATCGTCACGTGGAACAGGAAGTGCAAGAACCGCGCCCTAGGCCGAAAGTCGCCCTTGAATTCGAGGAGCCTTTCGTCTAGACGCCCGACCACGCTGACACCGTTGCCCCGACGCGTGTACTCCGTCATCTCCGGCTGCGTGATCCGGAACTTGTACTGGCGCGGCTCGGACTTCCTCCACCTCTCTACGTGGCGGGGCAGCGGGTAGTTCGGCAGGTCGGGGACGATGACCAGCGCGCCGGCTTCGAGCGCCTCTTTTACCGAGCGGTTGACGACTAGCCCGTTCAGAGGCGAGTACCGCTCGTCCCCGCAGTCCGCGCCGAAGGCGGCTTCCATGAATGTGCTGCCGACGTCCGGGGACACGATGTACATCGGCTGCATGTCCTTGCTCGGCATCTCCATGCCGAGGGCGCAGTCCCAGATCCCTTTCGAGCACTGCACGTCGTAAGCCCTCGTCGTTCTTTCTTCGAACTGTTGCTCTCGCATCCTCTGAAGGGCGGCCTCGTCTGGGATCACGATCTCCTGGTCCTGCGCAGGCTTGGTTTCCGACTTGTCGCCGAATATGCTTGACTTTGGATCGGACTGGGCCGTGCCGCTATTTTTGGTGTTTTCGAGCAGGGGCTTTTGTTTCTTGATTTCATTTCCGCCGTCTGAGTCATCCGGGTCCTCGCGATGAGAACGTTTGTTGTCCATGGTGGGCAGGTTACCGATACCTAGGTAGTCAGTGTAGGACAGGGAAAGTAGTGGGAAAGTAAGAGGTTTGCGAAATATACCTAGGTTTTCGCAATGCGGAAAATCAAAATGCTTAGTTATACGGAATATTGAAGTATATGGTCTGTGTGGGATTATTCTTTCGACTATTCGACTATGTGAAAGATGCGGACGCCCTTATATACCTAACATGTATTGGGAGATCCGGTCTAAGATACTGGTCTCTTACCTTAAGGCATCGTGGATATTTACTTCAGCGCATGGACGCGCGAAGAAGTGTACGTTCAATATCAAATTGAAACCATAATCATGATCAATCATGATCAAGTGACAGTCGAAGGGCTGATTTAGTATCTGGTGTTGACTGGTAAAAGAGTGATAATTCGGCGCCGGTGGCTGAAGCTTACGATGATATCTGAGGACAAAGTCTATTCTGAAAGATCCATGACAATATGCAAGTGGAACGTTAGTTACGTATCCATAGCAGCATGTTTCAACCTGTTACTGCTGAAGTTTTAACTAAAACGACACAACACCAAATCATCTGACAATTTTCCTAAGAGGAGCTTAAACTGAATGCCGCCGGTTATTGCAAATTTAATGACGGGTGGTTGTGACGTATGTATGCAGGTACGGTAATGTGGGGCGTTTTTAACTCCGGAATTCAGCAGACTCGGGAGGCGCGATGTGTCCCAAAGGAGAAGCCGGAGCATGTAAGGGAGGGTTTGACTGATGCCACTTATGATGACTTTATAATCCAACTTTTTCCCGCATTAGAAAGCTAGCCGCGCAAACAACTTCAAGCAGAAGCAAAACGGCTTTGGCATTTACTTTTGCCCGGATTACTCAGGCCGGCGATTAGAAATGAAGATGCATGAGGGCATGAGTAAGGCTGCAGCAAGTTGAGACAATGGCAAACTTGAGAGATATATATAGGCCGACGTATTCGAGAACAATGAGATGGCTCCCGCGGCTTTTATTCATAGACGCAAGCAAACAATAAGACGTTGCACAAATTATCCAATTCTATCCCTCAAACCAATATTGATTCTACTGCTGCTACTTTGAGATTTTCTAAAACTCGCATAAGTACGATATGGCTTCGTTCACCGTATACAAGGGATCCAAAGACGGTATCGTCGTGAAGAGTAGCGCCACCAAGCCACAACTCACCGGCGATAAAGTATTGATGAAAATTACGGCATCCGGACTTTGTGGGACGGATCTACATTACGTTCGTGACACGCCCCTTACCTACCTATCTACGCACCTAGATAGCGCAAGCCACAAAGCCTTTTCTTTGCTGACAAAAAGCCACACAGCTGGACCAAGATGTCGTCCTCGGCCACGAGGGCGTCGGCATCGTCGAGGAAGTCGGTCCGGACGCCAAATACCTGAAGAAAGGCGATCGCGTGGGGTTCGGCTACGAGCACGATAGCTGCGGGCACTGCCGCGAATGCCTCACGGGGAACGAGACGTATTGCGCGGACCGCGCCATCTACGGCACGGAGAAGGTCGACCAGGGTAGCTTCTCTTCGTACGCGGTTGTGCGCGAGTCGTTCCTGCACGAGATCCCGGAGGGCATGAGCGACATCGACGCCGCACCCCTGCAATGCGCCGGCGCGACGGTATTTGCAGCTTTAAGGGCGCATGATACGCAGCCTACCGAGACGGTTGGAGGTGAATTTCCGAAAACGCTTCTTTCCATTCTCATTCCTTATGCTGACCTGATATGTTGCAGTTATCGGACTAGGGGGCCTCGGACACATGGCAGTCCAATTCGCAGCTAAGATGGGCAACCGCGTCGTCGTTTTGTCTGGCTCCGACAGGAAGCGCGAAGAAGCCATGAGACTCGGCGCCCACGAGTTCGTCGTCACCAAGGGCAAAGACAAGCTAGAAGTTTCGTCCCCTCTGGACCGATTGCTGGTGACCACGTCGGCGCAGCCGGACTGGGAGCATCTGATGCCTATAATGGCGCCCGGCTCCGCCGTCTACCTAATGTCGGTCGCGAGCGGCAACCTTGAGGTGCCGTACATGCCCTTGGTCTTAAACGGTATCGCGGTGCAGGGATCCCTCGTGGCGTCGAGGATCCTGCATAGGCAGATGCTGGCGTTTGCGGCGTTGCACGGCATCAAACCGATCACCGAAGTTTTCCCTATGACAGAAGAGGGCATCAGGGAGGCGATTGGGAGGCTTGAGCGCGGGGATATCCATCTCAGGGCTGTGCTGACGGCTGTGTGATGAGACGAATACGTTCACATCTTGTCCATATAGAAATGCGCGTTTGAAAATATTAGAGCTTGTTAAAAAATTGAGGATACATGTATTTAAGTCCGGTTAAGGGAAATGATTCTGAATGTCAGAATGTTTAACTGAACTTAGTCTTCTGAAATTGAAAGAGATCCAGGTAAGTCTTGTGACTAGTCCAATTTTACAGTCGATCAATGACTTCCTGAAGTGACTCAGATTCTGACTTCACCTTCCTCACCCTGCTCACCTGAGACAACTTGAGAACTCTATCGCTATCTAGGTAGTATTCGGATTAGATCCGGGGTGGCTGAGGCTCCCGTTAGTGTGGCTGCCCAGACTCCACCTGTCAGACTAGTCTCTCATTGATTGGCAGATCGTAGTTCTACTAGGTTATGACGGTGTTGTTGCGCTTGCCCCGACGACTTCCCGATGTTGACCGTGTTACTCATAGGGAAACTTACGACTGATGACTCGAACGTTTAATTCTATTTTCTTCCACCACATCCTCCTCTTCATGATCTTGGAGTATATCTGAGGCGTTCTATCTTACCTTACCGCCTAATGCTGGTAGCAAAGCGAATTTACCCACATACTCCTATCAATATACATATTGCCTCAATGATCACCCGAATACACTGGCATTTATACTCCGGTTGAGAGTCTCCATCTTATTATCTGCAAAACATGATTAGCAAAGGTGCTAAACAGTTGCTGCATGAGCGGCGAAAAGGGGAAGCTGTATGGAGATTCACCGATCCCTTATCCACTTCTATTCTAATTCTAACTCCAATGTGGCAGTTAGGCCTTAAGCGACTTTGCCGAATTCGTTGAGAAGCAGCAAGCCTTGCGCTATCCCAGTTGCAAGCCCACGACGTCGACGGCAGCAACCAGGTCCGACCAGGCTGAACACCATGAAGAGCTCGATATACTTGACTCGCTCAACCTTGGCGAATCTGAGCCCCGCGTACCGCTGCGAGACCTTCTATTGGCCCCTGACGACGATGCGACAGCCCAACAGAAACTAAGTGAGCATATCGACGAGCGACTTCTGGAAGGCCATGGCGAGGCGGTTTTCGACTTGGGATTTGAGACCAATGGCGAATCAATGCGTCTCACCCGCGAGGAATGGGATATCGCCTTGAAGCGGTTGAGAGAAACGGCCAAGAAAGCGCGTGGCGATTGCGATATTTTACTGACGAAGAATGTCGGGGGTGATGTTGAGGCCGAGTCGACGAAGCCAGGGAATCAGGGTAAGGACACAGATTGCACTGGTAAAATATTGATACGGCAGGCTCCTACAACAATTGAGAATGTCATTGAAACCAGGATAGCTGTCGTTGGAAATGGTGAGTCATGCACCGTCTCAAGTACGAGATACAGTTATACTAAGGATAGAGCATAGTTGATGCTGGAAAAAGCTCTATGTTGGGTGTCTTAGTTAAGGGCGACCTCGACGATGGGCGGGGAAAAGCTCGTGTCAACCTTTTTCGTCACAAACATGAGATGGAAACCGGTCGAACCAGTTCTGTTGGGATGGAAATAATGGGATTTGACACCTTCGGTAAAGTCGTAACATCCGACACTCCAGGCAGTAAGTTTTTGCCTCAAGTACCTACATACATGGGTATACTTCTGTCGTATCTTCCTTGCTCATGGCAATGTAGGAAAGCTTTCATGGGAAGAGATCGGCAAGCGGAGTGCCAAAGTGATTACATTCACGGACTTGGCAGGTCATGAACGCTATCTTCGGACGACCGTTTTCGGCCTCTTATCTAGCAGCCCTAACTACTGCTTACTCATGGTTGCTGCGAATAATGGGCTCATCGGCATGAGCAAGGAGCATCTGGGCATCGCTTTGGCCTTGAATGTGCCAATTATGGTGGTAGTCACGAAAATTGACATTTGTCCTCCCAATATCCTGGAGCAAACCATTCAGCAAATAACCAGAATTCTCAAATCTCCGGCGGCGCGGAAAATGCCCATCTTCATCAACAATCGCGAAGAGTGTATAAACACGGCAACTCAGTTTGTGAGCCAACGAATATGTCCGATATTCCAAGTTTCCAACGTCACCGGCAAGAACCTCGACCTCGTTCGTACATTCCTCAACATACTTCCGCATCACGGTCGCTACGATTCGGATGCCCCTTTTGAATTCCATGTTAATGACACTTTCTCCGTCCCATTTGTGGGCACGGTTGTAAGCGGGATAGTCAAATCCGGGGTAGTCCATTCTGGCGACAACGTGCTAATCGGCCCTGATTCGCTGGGCCAGTTTACCCAAACCAGTATTCGTTCCATCGAGCGAAAACGAATCGGCGTCCCCGCAGCTTCTGCTGGCCAATCAGCTAGCTTTGCGTTGAAGAAAGTACGTCGAAAAGACGTACGAAAAGGAATGGTGGTTTTGCCAAAAATTGAAGGGCAGGCGCTTCCCAAGGTATATCGTGAATTTGTTGCGGAGGTTTTAATCCTGTCACATGCAACCACCATCAAGACCAAATATCAAGCCATGCTTCACGTTGGTCCAGTTTCACAAACTTGTGCGATAATCGACGTCGATCGCCCGTTTATACGAACTGGTGACCGTGCAACGGTAGCATTCCGATTCGTTCAGCGTCCAGAGTATCTCGCCCCCGGCGACAGACTCTTATTTCGTGAAGGGCGGACTAAGGGTCTAGGCATTGTCAAATCAGTTGGATATGATCCTAAGAAGCCACTAATGCCGCGTCAGCTAGATGGTGAAGCAGCAGAAGACCCTAAGGACGGTAACTCAACGGAAAGAAGCATCCAGCCCTCGACCAGGGTATAAGCCGGGGCCTATGAGTGCAATGAAGTCTAGAAAATCGCAGACATGGAATGGTACTCTACGTAAGGTCGTATTGTGGCGTCGTAGACGGGGGTTTTGTGCGTCTGTCGACGATAACCATCCCTTCCTGTGCTAGTATCTGCTGTCGTATTTGCAGGAGGGATTTAGTTGACGGTTCATTGCGGCGTTAGGCGTTTTCAGGTCCAGGGGCCTCTTCACAGGGACATACCCCATCCGAGCGGCCTTTATGCATTTCATCAGGGTTTAGTATCTTATTTTACTCCTACTGCAGGTATGAGGCTCATCAACCGCTTTTGTTTCCGCGGTCATCCCCGGTCGTTCGTTGACAGTGAGATTTCTTTTTTTATATTTTTAATTTTGGTATTTGATATTGATGAACCCACTACGCGTAAGATATATCACGGCCCCAGAGTTGATCCTGATGAGATCTTGGTTTTCTAACATACTGGACCTTCTTGGCAATGAAACCGGTTCCGATGGATCATCTAAGGCAATGCGCAATGCAACCCTTGCCACGAGATCAGTGCACGAAACAATCTCTAAAAGTTTACCTAAATAGGAATGAAAATTGTGGCGTCGTCACCTCGGAGACATTGTGGTTAAGGCGGCTCAACGATACCCCGGCCTTGTCCCACTACAATAGCCGGGGGAGGTCCGGGGCTCTCGGGTTCTTGGAAGACTCCGTAGCTCCCATCCACGGTCCGTCATTCTAGAGCCTAGATAGCAGTCGGGAACACCTCCCGACAAAAATCTTTGCTCTTTACGGTGTAGGATGGCGTTGGTTGATCATCACGGGACCTAACGCACGCACGTTAGCGATTATTGCTATTTTTTGCGGCAGAGCAGATATGCTTAAAATTTCCGAACCTAGGAGGAGACTAATCTCGGGCGGGAAAAAAAAAGGTATCGTACGGTAGAATTATTAGTGAAACACAATTAATGTATCGCGACTAGGTAGCTACCTTACCCATGACCGAGATCTAATAGGGAAGGGGGGGGCAAGGCCGTGTACTCAACCCGTATAATAGCGTTCCTTGCGCTAGCTAGCGGGTGATCTGCCGGGACTTCTGACATGCAGAATAGCCATGGCTATGTAACTTCTTTAGCAAAAAGGAACGCTGCTATTGGCTGGTGGCCTTGTTTTGTCGTCGACGTTGCTTCGAACGCGGCAGACGGTATGCGACTACGCCCTGTCGGAGGGTCGGTTTGCTAATGGTTGTACTGGTATAGCACGGACATATTGTGTATAGGGCATGGGAGGATAACGCGAAGCTATGCTCTTCCGAGAATTTCTCTCGCCTGCTCGATCAAGGTTGATGACATCGTATCCTGTATGCTGTATGCAGCGTGCATGGGATGGGATGTTGTTTCCTAGGATCAAAGTCCCGCATGGCGAATGGCGAATGGCAGGGTCTAGCTCTATGAGATGTGATAGAAATGCAATGCATACAGAGAGAGAAACATATAAAGCCTAGCTATGTCCTACGTTAAGAGAGTTGAAAACCAAGAAAACCAGGAGTTTGAGTTACACAGAACATTACCCTTGAATACGACCTTGAGTACGACCTTCAGAGAAACTACCTACACTAGTGTTATAACCTCATCATGGCGCCTCCCCTCCCCATCGTGAGCCCCATCAGCGCCACGATAGCATGTGTTTCGATAGTAAGTCGGATATTCTTCAAATATCACCACCAATGTGTACTAATATGATAACTAGGTGACCCTATATATTGTTGGAGTTATATTCTACAGACTTTACCTACACCCTCTCCGCGACTGGCCTGGCCCCCTTCTCTGGCGCATATCGGGTCTACCTCGAGCATACCATCTTATGAAAGGTGACCTAACTTTCAAGATAGCCGAGCTTCAAGGAAAGTATGGCAGGTTCTTCCGAGTTATGCCCAATGAGGTTGCTTGCAACGATCCCCGGGCATGGAAAGACATCTATGGTCATCGAGTCGGCGGCCAGAACCAAGAGATGCCGAAGTTCAAAGGTAAGCCACCGTTGGTATTGATGTTTCACGAGCCAGACTCGTATTATTCCCGCTTGCCCAACGTCTCGTTTTATTTGGAAACGTTGGTTGGCATTCAGAGCAGAATTCTGGATACCCACCCTCTCCCCTTTTTTCCATTTCCTTCTTTTTTTCTCTTTTTACGTGTTTAGGGGGCACAGTTACTAAGATCCACTTTACAGGCTCGTTTATCGTGCCATCATACCTTCCCCCCTCTATCATCGAAGCAGACCGGGAGCAACACTCCCTCCTCCGGCGGCAGCTCTCGCACGGGTTCTCGGAGAAGTCGCTGCGGCAACAGGAAGGCATCATCGGGGCTTACGTCCAACTGCTCATCCAGCGGCTGCACGAGCACAGCAAGAACGGGTCGGTGGCGCTCAACATGCGCGAGTGGTTCAACTACGTGTCCTTCGACATCATCGGCGACCTGGGGTTCGGGTCGTCGTTCGGCTGCCTCGAGAGCTCGTCGTACCACCCGTGGGTGCAGGTGATCAGCAACGCGCTGCTGGAGTCGGCGGCGTTCCGCGCGCTCAACACGCTGGGGCTGCGGCCGCTCGTCGACCTCATGTTCCGCCTCGGCGCGACGAAGAAGAACGACGAGAACATGGAGCTCGTGCGCAACAAGGTCCAGGAGCGCATGAAGCTCGGCATGGAGCGCCCCGACCTGATCGAGGGCCTACTGAGGAAGAAGAACGAGTGGCAGATGGACCTCGAGGGCCTCGCCGCCAACGCCAACGTGCTCATCATCGCCGGCTCCGAGACCACGTCTACCCTGTTGTGCGGCACGGTCTCCCTGCTCACGTCGAACCCCGATAAGCTCGCTAAGCTGGCGCAGGAGGTCAGGTCTAGCTTCAACAGCGACGAGGAAATCACGCTGCTGTCCGTTAACAACTTGTCATAGTGAGTCTTCCCTTGCGCTGCTGCGTCTCGCTTGGTCGAGTACAGCGATGTTTGCTAACATGGGATCCTAATAGTATGCTGGCATGTCTCAACGAGGCGTTCCGCTTGTACCCCCCCGCTGCTGCCGACTTGCCAAGGGTCGTACCTAAGGGAGGCGCTACCGTTGCTGGAAGATTTGTCCCTGAGGGCGTAAGTTGTTTCACTACCTCGTCTGCTAGTGTCCTTGCCCTACCACAACTGTTCTTGATGTGTTTCATGTCACTGACTTGACCCATCAACATAGACCATCGCCGCAGTCTGGCAGTGGCCCATGTACCACAACCCAGAGTTCTGGACTGATCCCTACGACTACGTGCCAGAGCGTTGGATGGGCGACCCGAAATACAAGGACGACGTATTCGACGTCTTGCAGCCGTTCAGCTTCGGGCCCCGCAACTGCATCGGCAGGAAGTAAGTATTTGACCAGCCATTCCCCCCGATAGGAAGACAACGAGCGAAAGGAGATAACGATGCTGACTCGTAGCGATCTAGTCTGGCTTACGCGGAGATGCGCCTCATCTTGGCGAAGATCGTGTTCAACTTCGATATGGACATCGCTGACGACAGCCGGAGATGGATGAAGGATCAGAAGACGTATGTCCTGTGGGACAAGCCGTCTTTGAATGTCTACTTGACCCCCGTTGCCAAGAAGGGGGAGTAAGCGGATATGTATTAATGCATTAACGAACTACTTAAAAGACCTTAAAGGCGTCTCTAGAAGATCAAGCGCCTGGGTTGGTTCGTAAATAGGTATTAGATAGGTACGTTTGGTATGGTTTGGACATGGCTCACTTCCCCCCCCCTTCCCGAATCTCCTAGGAGGTGGATTGGAGTTCAGGGAATGTACTATTAAATTAGCTGGGTATGACACCCCATCTTCACTTTGTCGATGATGATTTCGACTTCACGGTACCCCGGGGATTAGTCGGCTAGGGCCATTTTTAGACCTTTATCATAGATGGTAGCTTATACTTTCTTGACACATTGGATATACACCAGGTCTACCTACGAATAAATAAATCATTTTACTATGTTAATTGTCACTTTCTGTTATATGAAAAAATCCTGAGATTTCAGTACTCATCTTGGTTGGTTTAATTAGTGATTTCTCTTTCTATGTGGAATTCATCTTCCAATCAAGTGAGAATGTTCCCAGTAAAGTAATTCTACTGGGTTGAATTCGTGGCTCAATGCTATTTAGAGGTAAATAACCCATTCTATGTAATTACTAATGTCATGTCGTCCGTAATTAGTTAGGTATACTTTAGGATCTGCTACTATTGTTAACTGGAAGTATGCTGTCACCAGAATGAACCGTTACACTTATATCTGAAGTCGACGATGAAGGAAACTTCATTACTTCATACCAGACTGATAGGCTATCAGTAATCAATAAGTAAATTCTATTAGATGAATTCTCACGTTATTATTTGTGCGGAAGTGCGGACGAATTATGCAAGCCATCCGGTTATAGTACTTGCCGCGTTCATAAAGGGGGTATACCAGTCTTGAACAAGTGAGGTAGCAGTCTACCTGATATGTTGGGAGGGGCAAAAGAGAAATTGACTTATTAAGTAATTCCAATCAAGTTGGTTATTTATAACTTCACCGCCAAATGTGTGGGTCCATCCATCCCCGGCATCGTAAATAGTAAGGCAAGAGCATGAAAGAAGGTAGTACATTGATGGTGTAATAACTTCAGATATAATTATCTGATTGGACGGTGCGCGAAATCAGCTTAATCAGCCGTCTCATGGTAACTACCTAGTATTACCTAAGTCCCTATTCGGGATAGGCCTCAATATTGTGTCAGAATTCTATCTGAAAACGATTAAATCTAAGTAATCATATCTACAATATTTTGATGATGGGATGGTAGTATTGGATCAAGTAATTGTAGTTCTGTTATTCTGTAAACACTTTCCTCATCCTGTCATCTCCCCGAGGATAGGATGGGATTGGTGGGTTCGTAAAAGGAGATAGATACGCCAGCGCCCGCGCCGGCTTTTCACGGACACGTCGATATATGAAATATAACAAGCCATCCTCTTCAAGTAACTAGGTATAATACGATACCAACCAGCTTCCTATAATCTTTTCTGTTGGACACCGTTGGGTTTAGTACCCTCGTGCAATTAAGATGGTTGCTATCAACGTACTAAGATTAGTCATCGCTCTAGGTTTAGCAACTGTGCAAGCGACTCAATTCTGGCATAATACAGGAACGAAAGCGGGTTGGGATACCTTCACTCACGAAGACAAGGGCACTGTCGATGAGGTGACGGACATCGTCTACAAGGGCACCACAGCTCTACGCATGACTCAAGTATACGACTCATCTTACAGCGGCCGCTACCACTCCGAAGCAGTCAAGTTCAACGCTTACCAGAAGGGAAACACGGGGTTCTACGGATTCGCCTTCCGGCTCCAGGATAACTGGCAGTTCGATCCCGCCCAGGAGTTCAACCTCGCCCAGTTCATCGCTGATTTCTCGGATCTCAACTGCGGCGAGTATTACATGCCTAGCTCGATGGTGTGGATTGTGGGGGACCAGTTACAGACACGTGTGAAGTACGGCGATGTGTGTCCTACTACGAACCAGAAGACTAAGTCCTTCACGAACCTCAAGAAAGTCACGTCAGGGGCGTGGCACCGCGTCGAGATCCAGGCTAGCTGGAAGAGCGATAACACGGGGTTCTTCAAGCTATGGTATGATGGAGAGAAAGTGGTGGAGGCCTACAACCTTCCGACGACAGTAGGGGATGGGCGATATTTCCAGTTCAGAGTGGGCTTGTATGCTAATGGTTGGCATGATCATGGCTATGAGGGTACCCAAGGAACTAGACATGTTTGGTATGATCAGATTGCCGCTGGTTCTGCCTTCCAAGACGCCGATCTAAATGGTTGGGATACCAGCTCTTAAGGATTTATGTATTTTAAAGGTGCTTATGGAAACCTCTGGTCGTTTGGAATGCTGTCGGACATCTGCTTTCTTTCAAATGTACAAGCTGTGAGCATAGAAACACCTATAAAAGTGATAGTCAGTGACATGAGGCGAAACTAAGGAGAAGCAAAATAACGACATTATTGCGCGAGGAACCCTAAGCTCTCTCGCCTAGAGGCTACGTAAATATATAGCTAAAGCTTCCATCTATCTACTCTGCCTCTAGGCTAACTACCAATAGGTTTCCCACGGTCTCCCATGGTCTGAACTCCGGCTCTACTAAACCCCTAACTACCACCCCTGCTCAAACCAATCAAACCTCTGGCACTTTCAATTCTGTCATCCGTAAACCTATCCACTCTTAACAAAAAAACAATATCCATAGTGAATATTTCTGATAGGTAAGGATTTTTCAAATTCTCTGGATCTTTGTAATCTACCTAAGTACTTAGGAGCCGTCCGTTAGCGGTACTCCGCCATCTTCAGTGTCAGAGTCCCAGCTCTCGGGGTCTTCCGAGTCTTCTAAGTCTTCGCTTGGGTTGCTATGCTTGGTCGAATATACTTCTGACGATGGCCAGGGTAAGTCGTCCCAGTACGGACAAAGATGTTCTCGACCCTGCCAAAGCTGTTCGAAGTCTTCGCGTTTATAATCTTCAGTGTACTGTGCTCTCCGACAGTATTTCTCTGTCCGAAACTCCGCAACGTCATAGCCACAGCTTTGTAAGGCAGAATCCCACAGATCACCAGTGACCTTCCCATCATTGAAAGTGCCAACCCTCTGATTACGGCGGTAGGCATAATCAGAGACGGTAAAGCCGAATTTATTAACAGCTCTTACATCAGCACCCATTTGAATGAGATATTTGATAGCCTCAAACTGTCGCAGATCTCTATATAGGACTATGAGCTGTGAATTAAAACATACATGTAAACATGTGTTTAGTTCTCGGTCGCGAGCGTGTATATCTGCACCTAGGTCAAGCATTGTGCGGAGAGTCTCCTTATCGTAGTTCTCTTCATGGCAGTGGATTAGCAAAGGCGATTGGCCATAGTCGTTGGAAAAGGTGTTAATTGACGTTATGTGACCCGTTAACTCTGGATTGAATGCTAAGCGAATCGAATCCTAGAATTGTGATTAGCAAGCATCCAAAAAGAATTTCTAGGCGGAACTAACTGAATTTCCAAAGGCGCAGATATTACACAAATATGAGAATTCAAAGGTTGAGGGAGCTAGAGTTGGGTCGGCACCTGCTTCTAAAAGTATTCGACGGCAGGATTGCCGCTTAGTGAGCTTGTCGGGATTTATCTCGAAATCGCTTGGATGAATCTGCAGTGCGCACCTAAAAGATCCATCAACTTTAATCGCAATTCATATCAATTATAAGGCTCTTACTTTGTATATGGTTTATGACCATCACATAGTCCGCTTACATGATCCACATCCAACCCTTTTTCTACTAGAAATTTGCACATCTGAGGTTGTAACATCGAGTACTTATAATCATAAGTATGCGCGCTTTAACGAACGATTTATTCTATGAAATTCAATCACTCACAAACAATAGAGATGCGCCGTATTCGTCATGATCCCGGAGCGAAGCTTTGCCATTTTGTAGCATCCGCTGAAGCTCGCGAAGGTCACCGTCCTCTACCACTTTGAATACGCGCGATCCATAGGGCAGGACTCGATTTACAGAAAGTCGTGATATTGATGAAATAGCACCGAGATCTGTCTCACGTTGAAAGGTAGATGCAACCCACATATGAAATCGTTGTGGGTCGTTTGGGAAGAAGGTCGAAGTAATCGAGTAGTCGGAATATGTCTTCTCTTCCGTATTCTGATGGGGTTCGATTGTACCTGAGGATCGAGTTCGATGATTAAACATAAGTGTTAATGTACCGACATCCAGACGTATTTTTTGGTAAGCATGTTTCTGATTCGTGATTCTGTACTGCGGGCGTGTTTGATTCCCGACTTTTGAATGGTCAGCCTATTTATAGATAGGGAAATAGGAATTTACTTGCCTCCCTGATTAATTTGGATTTCGTACTGGTCAAATCCGCGCTCGAATCGTCTTGATATACTCTTGAATAATGCTTTGCCGTCCTGTTTAGTCTCGGCGTGCGTTTGCCGCGATTCAATGAGTTCCCCTCGTTGATAGGCCGATTGCAGAATAGTCTGCAGATCTTCTATGATGCCCTTAGACTCTTCGTCATCGTCATCGTCGGTGTAGGTGTAGGTGTTTATAGTTCTCTCCTTATCGTGTATTAACCCACATAGCCGATCAATACTCTGAATTAATTCGCCGTCATCGTCTTCCATTACATGACAGCTGTTTGACGATTCACCTCCAGTAGCTCCGGCAGCGCCTGTTTGGTGCTGATTGGGAGAAGTGACTAGCAAACCCTTAATCTCTTCGAGTAGGCTGCGCATCGAATCTCCTTGAGACTGAGAGATTCTAGCCCGTGCAGCAATATCCTCCGACACGGTGCTCAAACGTGTGAGGATAGTCTCCGATCGTGCATCAACTGCGCCGCATATTCCTTCTCTCAAGTTCGAAAAGCTGGTCTCTTGTACACGTGTTTGCGTCTGGATCGCATCCCTCAACACCCCGATCGTTTGTTCGGTCGTTATACAATGCTTTTGAAGATTGTGTACGGCATTGCTATTCTAGTATTAGGAATAAATATTCATCAGAGTTAATCGGTCGAGGTTGATGACGGACCTTGATATGCCTTGAAGTCTTAGATGAAGAATCCCAACAAGATACGCTAATTCGTCATTGAGTCTCTCCAATTCCTTCTCGCTGAAAAAAGTCTTTAGCCTTTTCCATATCTTTCCTGCATGGCGCTCACCCGGAGGTATCTGAAGCTTTTCGATGAAAGACGCCGCCAAGTTGAGTTTCTTGCAACTTTCTTGTAGATGGCCTGCCAGGGAGTTGTCGTCGATAGCAACCCGAGACCTTTGTAGGCCATCTAATATCCAGTATAATTGGTTGACATTAGCCGCAACATGCCTGACGATCTCAGGTCCGTCTTTGACCGCAGAGAGCGTCTCATAAGTAGTCTTGGCAGCCTTCAGTGCAAGAACGACGAAAGCGAGAACATTAGCCCCGACACCGATAGCCTCCATATTTAAGGCACGAGCACGAGCGCGTAAAATACAGCCTTACGGGGCGACACGGTCGCTGTGGATACAGGTTTGGTGCTAAATTGGTCGCAAATATAGAAATTTATTGTTTGTGTGTATAGGTCTTATTAGAGCACAGAGACGTGGACTGTGGTATGGTAGACTGTCAGGAAAAGAAAAGACGGACGAAATCAATTCTGTTGAAGGAAGGGAAAAGTAGAAAGATTCTTAATTAATTCCCGAGCTATAAAAATCTAGTAAGGCCCATGATTAAGAGACGAATAAGGTGAGGCTATGTACAGTAGGCTGGGCAGTCATGGAATCTGCCTTAGCATTAAGATGTGGCGGTGATGCATGGTGTGTATATTATATGCAGATGAAAAGGGGGTGTATACCCTATCAAGGCCACCAATGGAAGGTAGGAAAAGCACATAGATGGTATGTGTCGAAATCGACCTACACATGATGGCCGAGTACGACACTAATTGAATCGCCGCATCTCCTCGGTCACAGGCACCTACCTATAATCTATCATCACCTACACCTAAGAATCCGTCCCTATAGTTGGATGGTGTACCTAGTCCATAGGTATACGCAGGCATACTAACAAGCGGCCTGCTGTGCAACCACACCTCAACTGCATATATTGTCCTGGGCTATGTGTCAAAGGCTGAAAGCCCGGCCGGCCAATTCACTGGCGACACGATTCATCCTGGATGTCGATTATACCAGAACTAGGCATTGCAGTTAGCCCCCCATACCAGATACCTTCCAGCCTCACATGAAAGTCATAAACACCGCCATGATGCTTCGCTATGCGGCGGCTTGCCATTCTCCCACCCGTCTGCTTCCATTCCCACATCCATATCGCCACCAAGTCGACTAGGCACATAGAATTAGACGAGATCCGTACTTGGGCGAGATCCGGGTGAATCGACCGGATATCGGCTACGACGTCTAAAGCTTGAGTCAAGGCCTTGAAATCCGCGTGCGCGCGCTCGTACCTATGCGGTACCGTGTGGCGCAGCAAGCCGCCGCGGTTCCAGCGCGATATGTCCCCGGCGAACATGCCCCAAGCCCCCTTGCACCGGCAACCATGTAGACCACAAGGGACCAGGTGCTGAGCCGGCACTCGTTGAATCGCGGGCGGATGAGCTGCCGCCGTCCCAGCACCACGTGCAATACCTGTTGTCTCTTTTGTATGCAAATCTCAGTCGATAAGGGGGGGGGGGGGGACGATGAACTGGTTAAAAGTTGCGACCTTGGTCGTTTCGTTTGCTAAATATTAAGACAAAAAAAGTAGGGTTCCTTTTAGTATCTACCTTTTTGAAAAATAGGTACCTATGCTCTTCTGTTACTAAGGCGAATGAATTTGCGGCGTTGCTTTAAATATCAACATAGAGTGGAATTTTCTCCCAATACATTCGGTTTGATGGGTGTTCGGTTTCTGTGGCTTTCTAACGTGCGCATATTCTCGACCTGGGACTGCTGCCTGGCAGACCGATGTCGCTTTCTAGGTACGGACTATGAAATGAATTGGAAAGGAGTGAAACTACTAGCGTTTGGTGTGCTATGCATATCTCTATTGCGACGGGTGACCGAATAGATATTTCGGGGACTGCTGGTAGACAGGTTCGCATACGAACATCAGTTGCTCAAAAAACCCCAACGCGATTTTTAGTGTCAGGTACCGAAAAAAAAAGGGTTCGCCAATCAACAGCAGCCATTACAAATGGGAATAAATTCTTGGCGATGAGACTGACCATCGAAGGTGGAGTCCATGCAAGAGTGAATATCAGGGTCGCGGGGGACAGGGAATAGCAGAATTAATGCTTGAATATGGGTTATATTTAACCATTCGATTTTTATACATTCAACCCATTCGACACCGTACAGGAAGTCATTTCAACCCGTTACCCCACCGGTCTCAACATATATACACATTAGAAGCAGAGCAAAACTCCAAATTATGGTATCTCCAAATGAAACTCCGTAGCCCTTAGCTTATTTGCTCGTGTCGACGACATACCGACCGGCGATCTTGCTCTCCTTCATCAGCTCGAAGATCTCCTGGAGCTGGCTAAGGCCGACGACCTTGTAGGGGGCCTTGATGAGGCCTCTTCGGAAGAAGTCGATGGCCTCGGCGGTGTCTTGCCGGTTTCCGACGTAGCTGCCCTTGATATTGATCATGCGGACGACTGTGTCGAAGACGGGTGCCTTAAGGAAGGCGTTGCCGGGTAGACCGACGCAGACGATGCTACCACGGCTTCGCACGTACTCACTAGCCTGCTGGAAGGGACCTTCGCTGACAGCGAGCAATAGGACGGCGTGGGGTCCGAATCCGTCTGGTGTCTTGCTCTTAACGTCCTGGACTAGGTTCTTCGTCTTGGTAAAGTCAATGTAGTCTTCGGATCCGAGGGACTTGCACATCTCGCCCTTCTCCTCACCACCATCGATGGCAATCGTGTGTAGACCCATAGCCTTGGCGTACTGGATGGCCAAGCTGCCAAGACCACCACCAGCACCGACGATGGCGACTTGCTGGCCGGGTCGGGCACCGGATTCCTTAAGCGCCTTGTAGACCGTTAGACCAGCGCATAGGATGGGCGAAACGGCCTCGAGGCTCAAGTCCTTGGGGATTCGGGCGACGTGCGCGGCCTTGCCGATGGCGTACTGTTGGAAGCTACCGTCTACTGTGTAGCCCGACAGTAACGCGTCGGGGCATAGAGATTCGTCGGATTGCTGGCAGTAGGAGCAGCTCAAGCATGAGCCGTTTAGCCACTTGATACCTGCGTAGTCGCCAATCTCGATGTCCTTGACGAGTTCACCACGTGCGACGACGACACCTGCACCTTCGTGTCCACCGACGAAGGGCATCTTCGTGGGTAGCGGCCAGTCGCCCTTCATGGCGTGAAGATCCGTGTGACAGACACCGGAGTACTTAATGTTGATGAGGACCTCATCGGGACCCGGCTTGGGAACCGGAATTCTCTTGTATACCGCGGCTAATAAATGTCAATTACTTTGTCTGTGGACTCTTCCTATGCGCGGCAGTAGCTTAGGTAAGAGAAGAGAAAGGTATACTTACGTCCGCCTGTCTTCTCGACGACCTGTGCCCATTGCTCAGTCGGGATCTGGGGAGCGCTCATGGTTGTTGAGGTTGAATGGTATCTAGGATGAATGGAAGTAGCAATTATCGGTAATCGATGCCTGGTACCTTGGGTGATACCTCGTCTGATAATTTTATAACCGAGTGGTTTGATTGTTGCTGATGAGGCAAACTTGAGAGGATTTAAAGCGGCCAACATGGTGAATTATATAGTAGATCCAATGGTGATACAAATACGACATAAGACTTGCATCTATGACAACCACCTACATGAGAAGAATGCCACCTTACACGAGAGCTCGCGGCCGCCCGGCGAGACTTTTCAGGATGGCATGCACAACGTCACCTTACCCCTCTCACGACGCCGGATGGGCACAGCAAATTCCATTACAATGGGCCCTCCTACTCTAGTTAGGATCGAATCCATGTTGGCCAGTCGACCTAGAATCTTAGCTAGAAATTCTGGCCTCTGAGTGCAGATACGGAGTAGGCCGGGGGTGGAAAATCCTTGGCTAGTCGGTGTTGGTACGGCTTAAGGGCATAATATGGATAATAGGGGGGATCAACGCGGCGCTGAAAACCGTTAAGAAAAAAATGTCAGGCGTTTTCTTTGGCTCGTGCTTGTGGTGCAGATCTGGCTCCGGCCGGAGCACACTCACCAGACCCGCGCCACTTTTCCAACTGGTCAACAAGCCTCAGGTCTGCTTGGTCTGGAAAGGTGCCCTGCTTAGCGCTGCAGATGAGGATCCTGAATTGCTAGATAGCGTCGAGCCTTCGGCCGCGCGGAACCCCGCCGGTGCCGTATGCCCATCCCGAGTGCCATCTGCGTCATTGCATCTTGAAGATATTACCTATTAGAGCATCTTGAAGCTGGGGAATTAGTGTCCGATACGCACAGATTGAAACGCGGGGAAAGGGAATATGCGATGTCGACTGCCTGCATGTTGATGTTGACTTCCATTTCAGCGGATTACTCCAGCTATGCACGGACTATGCAGAGTTCCGCTTACAATCGAAGTAACTTTCTGGATTTTAGGGATGGTGGAAACGGATAGGGCTAGACTCTAAGCCCTGGGCGGTAGCTAGTCGTATGATTCTGAGAAGAGGGTGACGAGAGAGGGACAGGGGACTTCCTCTCGCATTACAGCGCGTCAGTGTCAGTCCACAACCGCTAAGCGGGGGTGGGTCATCGCTGTCTTCCAGCCTCTCAGCTCTGTCGCTGGTGTCCGGTGGAATGGAAGTGGGAGATGCATCATGTGCCCCGATATGAGTTCTCTTGCAGCCAACGACCAAGAAAGACGAAAAGAACTAGTTACTGGGTAGCCTCATTTGTCACAAAGGATTCGGAAATTATTACGCGACAGACACCTCATGGTTACGAAACTGAGTCGCTGTAAATAGAAAAGAGGGAAAACCGAGCCCTGAAGCCAGACAGCTCTGGTGGGGTTCTAACGCTGCAGCTAAAATTTAAATAAGCCGAGGCAATTGACTAAATATTGAAATAGCATCCCACTCTTATTAAATGCTGTCTTCGACGCATGGGATAGTTGATCTTCGGAGATGCCGGGTTTTAGAGTAATGAGTGAATTGGAAGTTGAAGGGTTGAAGATGAATATTAACGGCATGAATGTTATTTAGAGTATAAATTCGCTTGAGTTAAATCAGATCTTAATAAGTCATGATTACCTAACGCACCATACACATGAAAAATCGGAAAACTCTATTACTTACCTAAGCTTGCGGCTCGGCCTCGGACTCGGCCTCGGAAATATGCATCAAAGTTTAATACCTATAAGCCAAGAACTTCGAAACTCAACTCTTTTAAAGAAAACAATCAAGTAAAGCGGTGATGACAGACCTGACCATTCTCTCGTGATAACTTTAGTTAGGCTAGTCATAGTCGTTGCTTAAAATAATCATGACATGTTTTATTACAAGTGTATGTAGTACACATATTATTCTATTCCATGCATTCCATTCCCCTTAGTCTCTCTATGAACATACCATTACCGAGAGATCTCGACAGATCCCATTATTTTAAAAGGTTCCATATATACGACGAGATCTGACAGATCTTTTCGGCCCGTTATCAACCATCCAAAGTTTGATGTAGAACGTTAACGCGATAGCTTTCGCTACGACTTAACAGCTCTTCGTGTGAACCCCTCTCAACACATCGCCCATCCTCAATCATGAAGATCATATCGGCTCGACGGATTGTATGTAGTCGATGCGCGATGGCCACGACTGTTATACCCCGCGTTGCCTTCTCCAGTCCGTCTTGCAGCAACCTCTCCGATTCCGCGTCTAAGGCGCTAGTTGACTCGTCAAGGAGCAAGAGACGTGGCTTACGTACTAGAGCTCTCGCAATCGAGAGTCGTTGCTTTTGTCCACCTGACAGTTGCCCACCGCTAGGTCCGCACTGTGTGTTGTAGCCCTCTGGTAGAGCTACGATAGTGTCGTGGATGTTGGCCAGCTTGCATGCTTCTTCGATATCGGCGTCTGATGGCTCTGTGCCGGGGCGCGCTCCGAGGGCGATGTTAAACCGGATGCTACCGTCGAAGAGGACGCTATCTTGCGGCACTAGGCCAATCTCGTCTCGAAAAATGGGCTCTTTCTTAGCCGAAATGTCTAGCCCGTCCACTTCGATACTACCTGACTCAACGCTGTACATACGCTCTAGCAACGAGATTACGGTCGATTTACCAGCGCCGCTAGGGCCGACGAGGGCGCAGAATTGACCCGGGCGAATTTCGATGTCCAAACCCTTTAAGACCTGTCGATTCGGCCGCGCCGGATACGCGAATTTGACTTGCTTGAAGCTCACGGCGATGCCTTGACCATTCGACACCACGGCTCTCTTAGATTCGACGGCGGCTTCCGGATCACGAGATTCCGAGTTTTTGACCGACAGCGTTTTCGATGAACCCAAATCAATGAGATCGAAGATCCGTCCTACTGATCTGCCCGCCTTCGTAATCTCGGGAGCAAGTGTGAAAAGTTGGCCCCAGAGCTGCGCACTAACAAGAAGCGCGACTAAGACGATGAAGAACTGGACCTGTGTGTAGTGACTCGCGATGATCTGTTTTGCTCCCCACCAGTAGATGAATGCATAAATAAGATTCGAGATACTGAAGGAGATTGCGAGGAAGAGGTTGGCCCACAGACTCGAACGTGTCATTTCCTTCCGTGGGGCTGAGAGCGAACGACGATATGTCCCGAGCACTTCATGCTCTAGAGATAGTGCTGCGACGGTTTTGATCGAGTTGACAGCCTCGACGGTAATACTTACGGACTTTGAGAAGGCTTTCTCGTGTCGCTCTGCAAAGCGAGTAAGGATACGTATCTGCATCACACCAGCGCCAAGCATAAGTGGTACGGTCGCAAGACAGACGATAGCAATTTTCCAGGCGATGACAAGTGTCAGGATAACCGCAACGAAGAAATTGACGCAGATGGAAAACACAGACCCAATTATGGAACCTGTCAGGCCCTCAACAGCAGCCGAATCGCTCGTTATATATGCTAATAACATCGATGGTGTGCGATTCTCGGATTGGTGCCACTGAAGGTCTTGCTCGAACAGCGAACGGAAAGAGAGTACCCTGATCGTGTATAAAACCTTTTGCGCGACCCAACCAAAGGCCGACCAGCTGACTCCATTTGCGAAGAATTCCGCAATAGCAAGCACCAAGAACATAAGGCCAAAGAAACTACCCTTTTCTCGGATAGATTCCTCAGAGTTGCAAGGGCTGAGGGCACCAACCGTGTGGCCGAAAATTAACGCTGATCCTGAATAAGTTCCGCCCACGATTACAGACGCGAACAATGCAACAAATAGCCAGAATATATGGGGTCGAGTTACAGAGGCCATACTTTTGATGGTAGCCCATGTCGGCCTCGAACGTTCCGGTGCTTTCTCTTTCTCTATTTCCTTGTCGGCCTCGCCCGCAGTTTCCTTTGGGGTATGCTCGTCGGCGATCGTGAGGGATTCGGATATTTTTTCCATATCGATATCTGAATGATTCATGACCTTCGTTAGGCTCCCCTTGGCGGTACTAACGCTCGAGGTTTCCGAACCCATATTCTGCAACCTGACGAGGGCAGCGTAGTCGCCATCTTTTGTGATAAGGTCAAGGTGACGGCCTTGCTCCATAACCTTCCCATTGCGCATGACAACGATATTATCAGCGTTCTTCACTGTCGCTAGGCGATGCGCGATCGATACAACTGTCCGACCTACGCAAACCTTTTCGATAGCACCCTGGATACGCTGTTCGCTTGCCGAATCGAGCGAAGATGTCGCTTCGTCCAGGATAAGAATCTTTGGGTCTTTTACAAGAGCTCTTGCCAGCGCTACTCTTTGTTTCTGTCCACCACTTAGCAAGTCACCATTGGGCCCAACAACTGTACCAAACCCGTATTCCAAATGTCCTAGGAAGACTTCAGCATCGGCAAGGTTCGCTGCTCGTTGGACCATTTTTACAATTTCAACTGCCTGGTCACCATGAGACTCTGCTGCGGCTATGATATCTTTTCCGTCTCGCACAGATTCTGCTATGAGGGATAGCTGAGTGCTTAGGAGGACTGGCTGTAGGGACGCATGCTCTGGACGGGACGAATTCACAAGGCCAAGGGCAATGTTTTCTAAGACCGATCGATCTAAGAGTAGGGGGTCTTGTTGAACGAGTCCGATGAAGCTTCGTAGTTGGCGCACGTTGGCATCACAGATATTTCGGCCATCCATGTACACGGTACCCTGGTCGGGGTCGTACAATCGAGTGAGTAAACCGGCAATTGTGGATTTTCCGCTGCCAGATAAACCGACGACTGCAGTGTGTTGGCCTGCCGGTAAGTGAAGCGAGACGTCTTGGATCACGGGGACATCTGGTCGAGATGGGTAGGTGAAATCTACGTTTTCGAGTTTGATGTCGCCTAAGAATGATTCGAAATCGTCGCCCTGTAAAGGAACAGTGCCGTCGATTTTAGACTGGCGTTCCATATCTGTCTCAAGTTTCTCCAACGCCGCCGTGGCGGAGCCGAAGATCTGCAGGTAGGGTGATATTTGGCTGAGCACAAGAGAGGCTAGAAAATTAATATGAGATGACCGTGTTCGCCGCATAGAATAAACTTACCATCAACGAGAAGGAAGATGATTGTGTATATCGTGCCAACCGTCACTCCCTCGGTTCGGCCGCCTACAACATCTGCGATGATCTTGCTTCCTTGCCAATATGCCAGTCCGCTCGCCGCGAAAGCAATGAAATAGAGCAATCCGGACTGAACAGCTGTCACCATAGCTTTCTTCGCCCCATCAGACTTTGCCGCAACAAGTTCCTTAGCAAATTTCCCTTCTAGCCGATCATTGGCTCTGAACGCGTGTACGACCATCACATTGGACAGGCTCTCCAGGGCGATGGATGATGCAGCCGCAACGTGCTGCGATGCTAAAGCAGAGTATTTTCCGATGAAGTGACCGCCAACGAAAGACATCAACATGAATGCAGGGACCAACGAGACCAAGATACCGGCAAGTTTGGCATCCTTGATAAATGCCACGATATAGGATGTGACGAACATAGCGAGCGAACCCAGGTATACACCGACTTTCTCTGACGTGCCGCTTTTAATGATGTTGATATCGGCGCTCAGACGTGACGAAACTTCTCCGGCCGGCAACTTGTCGAAGAAAGATACCTCCTGGCGGAGCAGGGAACGAAAATACCGATCTCGTAGCCGGTGAGCAAGCCGCTCGCCGAATAAATTAAAGCAGACGATATAAATGTAAACGAGCGCCATCTGAGCTAGAGCGCAGGCCATTACAAGCAAGACCTTCGAGTTTACCGAGGCCTCGTAGTCGGCAGGCGAGATCGATTTTTCGGTCGCACATGTTGCAGAGTCCAGGTCGTCCAACAGCTGTCCGAAGAGAATTCCGAGGAGCGGGAACGGTATGCCGGCGGCAATTGAGGAGATTGTGCCAACTAGCAACAATGCAATATCTACTTTGCTAGGTTCGGCGCAAACGAGAAGTCGGAAATATCCCAAAAGACCTCGTGCAACCTTCAAATTCTATCAGTCAGTCTATCGGTTGCTGTTGATATGGTAGGTTGGATGCTGGTGATTTACATGTGACGCCTTTTTCCCGATTCTTTTTGAAAACGTATCATTTCCGCTTCCGTTGTCACTCGAGCCACTGCTGCGAGGCACGACATCCATTGCGGGATCTGAGGGAGAATCCTTCGCCATCGAAACAATGTCTGGTTCGGAGGACCTCTAGCAAAAAACGCAGGAAGAACAAAGCTTCAACGCGATCTTCGAGAACGTCGAAGATTTTTCCATTTCTCCTCAACGGAGCCAAACCCCATGGGCCCACCCGGTAGCATGGTGTCCCGCAATCAATTCCATCAATTCCCAATGCTATGTCACAATACTACCCGTACTATCCATTAGGATACGAGCCCCAAGGGCCTAGAATTGCTTGAATTGAGCCAAGGGCCGGAGTCCACAAGCCAAATAACGAAAAGAACCCTTCTCATTTCGGCGAGTTTACATCGGTATTTACTATGCAGGTAGTTTTCATGATGTAACGCAAATACCAAGATGAAGAGAGTACAAGTCTGTACACTCGCGAGAATTAGGTACGAGAGGTACGAAGTAGGGGAGAGCATGAGGCAGGTTAGGGATGCCCTGGCTCCGAGGACGGGGATGATTACAGCCACTAACCTTGGTGAGGGAGGTCCTGGGCTTGGTCCTGGCTTGTTCTTGGTAGGGGATGGCTTGTTTCGAGGTCTTGGCATGCAGCATCTGATAAGATTTCCGGCACTAATCCGAGATAGGATGTGGATCTTTCCTTTATTCCAATCTATTCTTTTATTACTGAGTTATCTGATGGCGCTAGAGTCCGCGCTACTGGCCTTCGACCCACAAGGACAACACATCATATTTTTAAGATGGGTGGCTTCTTCATCCATTTTACCGCGTTAAGGCGAGATGCGACAAGATTTGGGTTTAGGTTAGAGTTTCAACCCTACCCGTCGGACGACGTACCTGCCTAATATCCGGATCGCCTCATGTGATACTTTGTGTTAACGTACTAATCAGCCGGACTACTTTTTTTGGAACATGAGATTATCCTGTATTACCGCATCGTCCCTAAATGTTTTGTTTTCTCGATATCGTACGCGCAAGACTTGCGCAAGACCCCTGTGTCTAAGCCCCGCCGGATTCAAGCTGCGCGAATAAGGCGCCAAAACACCCCCGTGTGTGTGCCTTTGCCCTGTTTAGGGAGAGCTGAAATCCTACCAGCTGACAAGGTAACATGGTGGCCTGATGACCGTTATTATCTACCTAACTGCCTAGAATCCTGAGACATACATATCCTTTTTTTTTAAATAGAAATTAGCGCACCCTGCTGTGTATTACTACGCTACCCTTTTCCTTTCGAGGTTTTGATATGTCAAATCTCCATCGACGTGTTACCGGTACTCCGTCGCCAACGTCCAACATGGAAGACAGCAGCAGCCAGGAGCCGCTGTTAGGTCGGGAATTAAGTAACGCCGAAGGCAGCAGTCATAACCGGAGAGGTTCATACGGATCTAATTCAAGCAAAGATGATGCGGTAGTAACTATCGACCCGGAAGGAGAGGAAGAGGCACCGGATGCCCCCGTTCAAAATGGTATCAGACAGGCCGATGCTATCAATCAGGTTTGGTCAAGAGCTGCGCTCATTTTGGCATACTGCTTGTGAGTCGCGACCACAACATTAAAAACAAGTGACATATCACAACCGAGGTCGCAGTCCTTTCTGACCACGCATCGTGCTGTAGCATTTTCTTGTGCTCGTTTGCGAATACCCTACAATGGCAGATTATGTCGAACCTGATGCCATACGTCGTCAGCGAATTTAGCGCCCATTCTTTGATACCGACAATCGGGATAGTGGCGTCCATAATGAGCGGCATCTTCAAGTTGCCGATAGCCAAGATGATCGATTCCTGGGGCCGTCCGCAAGGTCTTGCAGCCATGATCGCGCTTGCGACGCTCGGTCTCGTGCTAATGGCCGCTTGCCGGGATGTCCAGACTTACGCCGCGGCCGAGGTCATCTACCAAGTCGGAATCAGCGGCTTCACCTACATTCTCGATATAATCATCGCCGACACCTCATCCCTGAGAGACCGAACTCTCGCATTTGCATTTAATTCTTCTCCAACTCTAATAACGACGTTTGTTGGTCCTATCATCGCGAAGGCGTTTTTGGAGGGAAGTACTTGGAGATGGGCATTCGGCTTTTCCGCGATATTGTTTGTTGTGCTTTCGGTGCCGATACTTTCCATCTTAGCAATTAATACTCAGAAAGCTAGAGCGCTAGGTCTTCTTTCTAAGTCTTCTAACGGCAGACCATGGACTATTTCGAGAGTTCGACAGGCGTTGATTGATTTTGACGGTACGTTGGTGATCTATATGCTAAGTCCCACAATGTTAGCAGGCGGCTAATTTCTAGTAGCTGTGGGGATGTTTCTCGCCGCCGCGGGTCTGACTTTGATACTGGTGCCATTTTCGCTGCATGGTGCGTCAACTTCATACGATAACTCAGTCGCCATTACCCCTATATTCGGTGTCTTCCTCCTAATCGTTTTCGGCGTCCACGAGCGCAAAGCAAAGCGACCATTTATACGATTCTCGCTCCTGTGCTCCAGGAATGTGGCGGGATCTGCTTTGCTGTCCATCACAATTTTTATCGCTTATTTCGCGTGGGATGGGTACTACACCTCGTACCTACAAGTTGTGCATAACTTGAATGTCGCACAAGCTGGATATATCGGCCACATCTACGGCCTCGGTTCGTGTATTTGGGCCGTGGCTGTTGGTTACTTGATCAGACGGTCTGACAGATTCAAGTGGCTCGCCTTGGCCGCTCTGCCGGTACATCTGTTGGGCGGCGCGCTGATGATTGTCTTCCGTAAACCCGACACCAATATTGCCTGGGTAATCATGTGCCAAATTCTCATCACTATCGGTGGTAGTACTCTGGTTATGTGCGAGCAAATAGCCGTTCAGGCCGTCGCGAGCCACGCAGAGCTGGCCTCTGTCATGGCTATCCTAGGTCTGGCTTATTATATCGGCTCGGCGATAGGCAATTCGCTAAGCGGTGCGATCTGGAACACGACGCTCCCGCGATTGCTTACTGAACTATTGCCCGAATTTTCGCCCGAGGAGCTGATTCATCTTGGGCAAGATTTGAAGAAACAACTAAGCTACCCGTTGGGCAGCCCGACACGCAACGCCATTATTATAGCGTATGGCGAAGCCCAGAGACGCATGTGCATTACGGGGACGCTTATATCCCTTTTTGAAATCTTCGCGGTGAGTATATGGAGGGACGTCAGAGTGAGCCAGTCCAAGCAGGTTAAAGGGACCGTGCTATGACCGTGCCGTGATGATTTTATGACGTATCGCATATAGAATTGCGTTCCTTGGCATACATTACATTAGAGATACACATTTATGCTTATCTTGCGACAGCGTAACGTAACGTGTTCGCGGCAATGGAATACGACACGTTGGCATAGATCTTAATACCATAAGACATGATTTCGAAATACCATGTATCGTGAAGTCTTGGAAAGCTCAAGTTCTACATAACCACGACAATAGCTAACCACATAGGTCTATGTACCATGTACAATTTCAACCCGAACACGATCCGAGCTAGAAGATGAAATTTAGGGACAGCGCTAGCTTGGACTATGCTAATTAGGTAATTACATCGGTGGATACATCGGGAAGAATGGGATACACTGCGGTGTATACGGAAGTACCGAATAAGTACACTTATGTATACAACCCACGCATAGGTTTCCGTCTAGGGCAGGTAAGACAGCCGCCATAACGGATCCGAAAGGTCGGATGCTCCACCTCCACGGGCAAAAGCTGCAAAGGCACCCTTTGCGTGCTCCGATCTCGCAACCAGACGCACGATGGTACGGGACCGGGCACCACAGTGATTGGTTGGTCATCTGGAGATCCATTTTGATTGATCTTATCTGATCCGATGATTAGATTTCTTGTTCCCCGGCTGCGACCCACAGGCATCATGGTTGAGGAAAGCCGGTCCCAGCAAAAATCTGATGGTACTACGTACATGGACCGGGAAGGCAAATTTTCTGCTCGATCCGGTTATTACGTCTGTCGATTTTACGCGCTTGTCTTTTATTAGACTCGTTTTACGTGCGGATACTACCCACCAAGACACCTCGTGTCTTGGGGCGGACTGTGAATGTCTTCGAGAAGATGGGTAGGTAGCTCGAGGATGGTTGATCACCGAGATGACAAGGTCTTTTTTTTTGTCTCATTTAAATTACAGGTTCCTAGTTGTTTGAATTCTATGAGGGATCGGCTGCTAAGCGTTGAACACACATCCTGACGTAAGTGCGTAGCTAGGTAACCAATACCCGCGGCCGTCGAGAGACAGGCCCGCCTATGGATACGGCAGCATCTAAGACAAGTTGCATGGGTGTGGAGATCGGGTTCTGCATGCTGCGTTTAGTTCTCTCGCACGACATTCCTTGGAATCTTCGAAAGGAAGGTCACGGCAAGGCCAAACCCTGATTCTTCTATTTCCATACATAGCTCGAGTACATAGCGAGGATCCCGATAGGAGGAGAGGTCCTTGTGTAATCTTTACACTAGACAAGTCGCACACCCTCTTCCCAACAGAGATCCTTCGAGATGTCTACAGAACCGCTTGTCCCCTCTTCCATACCCAATTCTCAATTTCAAAGGCAGAAGTTGTCGTATCTGGAAGGACCTGTAGATCCTCCGTTGGTAGATTTGACACTTGGAGAGCTGTTAGATTTACAATGCCAACACCATGGCAGTCAGGAGTGTATCGTCACACCATGGACGGGCGCTCGGTGGACGTACAATGAGCTGAACCAGCAGAGCTCACAGTTGGCGAGGGCGTTGATGTCACTCGGGATCGGTGTTGGTGATCGTGTCGGTATCATGGCTGGGAATTGCGAGCAGTACGCCGCGGTCTTCTTCGCTGTCACGCGGATCGGCGCTATACTCGTGATCTTGAACAACACCTACACGCCGACGGAAGCTATGTACGCGTTGAAGTTCTCCGGTAGGTCATTTTATGATAATTCATAACTACCGGATAACTAAACATCCTCTAGACTGCAAGGTGTTCTTCACAACGAAGAAGATCGGGAGAACAGATAACACCAAGATCCTAGCAGAACTCGCGAAGGAGAAGCAAAGCCCCAACATCGTCATCCTGAGAGGCGAATCGGGGTCCTACCCGACGTACGCGGACCTCATCAAGCAGGGCCGCAGCATCAGCCCGGAGGACGTCAACCGCGTGAGCAAGAAGGTGCTCGCGCACAACGTGTGCAACCTGCAATTCACGAGCGGCACGACGGGGCTCCCGAAAGCGGCCATGCTGACGCACCACAACATCGTGAACAACGCGCGCTTCATCGGCGACCGCATGCGCCTGACGCCCGAGGACGTGCTGTGCTGCCCGCCGCCGATGTTCCACTGCTTCGGCCTCGTGCTGGGCATGATGGCGGTCATCACGCACGGCGCCAAGATCGTGTACCCGGAGGAGACCTTCGACCCGGCAGCCGTCTTGCGCGCCATTTCCGACGAGCGGTGCACCGCGGTCCACGGCGTGCCCGCCATGTTCGACACGCTGTTCAGCCTGGAGCCGCCGCCGGGCTTCAACTGCGCGAGCCTGCGCACGGGCATCATCGCCGGCGCCCCCGTGCCCCGGTACCTGATGGAGCTGCTGGTCGACAGGTTCGGCATGACGGAGTTCACGAGCAGCTACGGGTTGACGGAGGCCAGCCCGACGTGCTTCAACGCGTTCACGGACGACGCGATCGAGAGGCGGCTGACGACGGTGGGCACGCTGATGCCGCACGCGCGGGCCAAGATCGTCGACCACGACGGGAACATCGTGCCCGTGGGCCAGCGCGGCGAGCTGTGCATCGCCGGGTACCAGCTGCAGGCGGGGTACTGGAACAACTCGGAGAAGACGGCGGAGGTGATGGCGCGCGACGCCGAGGGCGTGCTGTGGCTGCGGACCGGCGACGAGGCCGTCTTCGACGACGCCGGTTACTGCAGCATCACGGGCCGCTTCAAGGATATCATCATCCGCGGCGGCGAGAACATTTACCCGCTCGAGATCGAGGAGCGCCTGCTCAAGCACCCCCGGGTCGGCCGCGCCGTGGTCACCGGGCTCAAGGATGCGCACTACGGCGAGGTCGTTGCCGCGTTCCTGGAGCTGGTGGACGAGGGCGACGCCAAGAGGCCGACCGATCAGGAGGTCAGGGAATGGGTCCAGCTCAAGCTGGGGCGCCACAAGGCGCCCGCTCACGTGTTCTGGCTCGGTGAGGCGGGTGTACCGAGGGATATCCCGCTTACGGGCAGCGGGAAGGTGAAGAAGTTCGAGATGGCGAGGTTTGGGGAGGAGATTTTGCGGACGAGGAGGTTGGAGAAGCTGTAAGGGATGGTTTTGGGGGGAGATGGTGGTCGGGTTGGGTTCCCTTACTTTTGACCACGGGAAAGATGTTGAAAATGGGGCGACGATAATGGTGTTTGATAGCTGTTTGGGAAATAGACTAGAGTAGGTGTATGTTTGGGAACAATTATCATATCTTCTTTTACCCTTCTCGTTTTATCGCTCGATAGAATAGGCTAATACTTACCTCTTTCGTCTTGACGTTTGGCCCCTTCTCTTTAAACGAGAAAAATCCTCTGAGCCGGTCCCACATCATCGAAAATATCTTAGGTCTAGGCCTTCAGACCCTCCCACCCGAACGTATCAAGGTCCATGCGCACATTTTCGAGCCGATGATTCTTTGTATGCTAGTCCACCACCTCCATCCGGTTGGTTATTCATACGCCGTTGCTATAGGTGTGCCGAGGTCCCGAAGTTCCATGATTGTTCAGTTTAATACCTCGGGAGCTCTTCAATAATAGAAAATTGGAAGTGAAGTTTTACGTTTAACCTTCAGAAATAGATATAACTCTAAGACGTTAAAACTCACATAGGGAAATGCGAGCCTACTGATGGCCCGGGAAATGCTAGCACTCGCGCTCGCGGATTCACTCCCGTATTGGCATATAGTTAATGGCATATCTCCTACGTAATACTAGATTATCAATAAGGTCGGAAAATCCGGAACTCCACGTCTGATTGAAATCCTGTAGCTCTACCTACTAACGGTTTTATATTTGCAGAAATTCGATGAGAAAAAAGTAACGAAAAACTTGAGAGAGCACTTTTACTAGTTCTTGAAATGCAAGGGGGAGAGCCTTTGGCGGTCACAAACCGACTAAGTACCGCTGCAGGCCTTCTTGATCCTAATTGGCCAGAATAAATGCAAACTTTCCTTAAGGGGCATATTTCTATTGTTTCTGGAGTTTGATTGGTTATATTTTAGTTAAGTGGTACTTACGTAGGTGAGGGAGTCTTTGCCAAGTTCATAACATTTATTTGGACGGTACCTAGTCTTATTGAAAAGGGGTTCAAAGAGATATTGTTTAACTAGGACTTTAAAAGATTATATCTTCGAATGATGATAAACTACACACACCCATTAGAGAGGTAATGTGCTTTAAAGCAAGTGACCCTCAGAGTTGGTCTTTTCCTTGGCATGATTTACGCAGTGTCTACTGTTCGGAGATTCCTGGTTCTCTCCTTGCTCTTAGTCTCAGAAGTGGGAGAGGGGAGTTCTATATTACAGGTGTTATTTCGAATTCGCCCCATCGATGTATCATTAAGGCTTGCCCTTTAGCTGGCATGAGACTACAGCTCTACCGCAATTAGTAACCGTACTCCCAGCAACCGCCGAGTTCCACTAGCAGCCACAAAAGCTTATCTCTGGTTGGCTAGAAGCCTCTGAAGATCACCGTGAGAGCCTCAACGCTTATAGGCTTGGAGGGCCTATGTTATCGCCAATGTACAGTCACCAGTTCTATTGAAATTGTAGTCTTATGCCAACTAAAGGCATAGGAAGAACGCAAATGATTCTGGCCTCAAAATAGTGGCCCAGATATCCCACTCGGTCCCTAGGACCCCGAGTCTGGCGGGTTATCTATATTGGTCTAGCATTTGTGAAGCAGTAGGTTTAATTTTGGTTGGAGACTTTCCAGTATTAGTATTCTAGCGACATATCAGCGGAAAACTTAACCTGGATATGGCAGGCATAAAGCCTGCGACAATTGCAACATTGCTCTCCAAAACGTTTAGAGCTTGAACAGCTAAACGTTAACTATGCGATTCTTAATATCAGCGATATTAATGCTGCAGCAGTAAAAAGATCAGGGGAGCATGATCTTACACGCATATCGTCAGATACGCCTTTTTGAATGCACGTTCACATTTATGAGATACGTGGATGCATTGAGCAAAGTCCCAGATTCTAGAAATACTCTTTTGATTCTTGATTCATATTTCTCAGAAATTGCAAAAGATGACTACCTGCCAACCCCGGATAATCAAAGCGTTCACAGCAGTCCAAGGCCAGGAAATTTCTATCTTTTTAGTTACTGGTCCTCATGTATTCGTTGCTTAGATAATAATATATTATAGCCTCACGCAAAATTACCTATCCCCACGTGCTGATGATATAAATATGCCCCAAGTTACCTACCGCTCCATAGGTAGGTAGGTAATTGACATGTGATATGGCTACATGTAGTAAAGAATGTCGGTTACGTGATACAGGAGAGAGCTTGACGTCTAGGTCGGCTTACTAAGTGATTCCCTTACGTAATTAACATTAGGTAAGCTACTTGGTTCGTCGCCCTTCATGTAACCCCACTTTGGGAGCTTCAAAACATCTTGTGTACTTGCCTCATATTTACCAACCCAAGTTAAAGTTTTTATTGGTGTAGATACATAACATCTTTATTCTATACGCACCTCTAAATATACCTCTCTTATGAGATGCTAGCTCATTGGAACATGGCAGAGCTAATATTGAGGACTTCCATGCGCACGAACGTGCGGATTTTCCGGAACGACCTACGGCGCGTATGTTGGCCAAAATACTGGAGAATCCGTCTCTTCCTTAGATCTAGATCGAGTCGGCTATTCATTATAGGAAATAAAGCACGACAATCATACGAAAGCTCTAGGTTCGATCCGTATTGTCGGTATGGGATGCACCGAACGATGAGATCAATCCGATGGAATTGATCAATGAGAACCCCTGCAATAGAAAAAAAATAAGCAAAAATAAGCCGTCCTATTGGAGGCTTAGCTGTTATTATTCCGTTTGCCATTGCGACGTTAACGTTACGCCGCCGTTGTGGGGATGATCCTTCTACACCGTCCGATCCTTCACCGAAGATCCTCTCACCAACTCGCCCATGTGCGCCGTGCCGCGGTCCACTTAGCATTGAGCACAAACATACCTGTTTTCTTGCTCTTTCGCTCTGTTTGTGAACCGGATGGGGAACTTTGTGATCTCCAACGATCTCCAAATACGGCCATGTATGCCGATCTTTTCGCATTCATTACCCCACAGTACCCCAACTCGGCTCCAGGTCAGGGGCTTCTTTGTATGACGAACGAGGTACTAGGTGAGCTCCGATGGGAGTGTAACCCAAGCTTGCAGGTAGCTACCGCAGCTACATAAATAATTAGAATGTAGCTTTCTTTCTTATTTTCTTCTTCTTGGTAGCTCTCTTTCCTAACCACTTCCGCGCCGCCGGAGTTCCTCGGATTACGTTAGAAACTGGCAATGAAGTCGCCATTATTTCTAATTGTCGCGGTACACGCTCTCCTGAGCCATGCCTTTGGCTCTGGAGGGCGGCCGGATGCTATGATCTGGGACTATGCTGAGAAGAGATCGCTTGCACAAGACATTGTTACTTGGGATTCCCATTCGCTCTTTGTCCACGGTGAGAGGGTGATGATCTTCAGCGGCGAAATCCACCCTTTCCGACTCCCAGTTCCGTCACTATGGATCGATGTCTTGCAGAAAGTCAAGGCTCTCGGGTTTAATGCCTGCTCGTTCTACATCGACTGGGCCCTTTTGGAAGGAAAGCCTGGTCAGTTCCGTGCAGATGGTGTCTTCGATCTCCAACCATTCTTCGATGCGGCTACGAAGACGGGAATTTATCTCATCGCTAGGCCTGGTCCTTATATCAATGCCGAAGTAAGTTCAAGGAAGCCTCGGATCGGATCATATGAGACATTTAACTAAGAAGAACCCCAATAGGTTAGCGGAGGTGGTTTCCCGGGTTGGTTGCAAAGGAATCGCGGTGCTCTTAGGACTGTTGCACCAGATTTTCTCAATGCGACGGATCTTTACATGTCCAGCGTCGGCAAGATGATTGCAGACAACCAGATCACGAATGGCGGCCCAATTATTCTAATCCAACCGGAGAACGAATACACAAATGCCAACGCCTTCGTGCCTTTCCCGGACGGGTCGTATATGGAATATGTTATGAAACAATCTCGAGATGCCGGAGTGGTCATCCCTTTCATTAGCAATGATGCTAGTGCCTCTGGACACAATGCTCCCGGAACTGGCCTAGGCGAGGTCGATATTTACGGACACGATGGTTACCCCCTCGGCTTCGATTGCGCGCATCCCACGGTGTGGCCTACAAATGGTCTCCCGACGACGTATAGAAGTCTTCATCTAAAGCAGAGTCCGACTACGCCTTATTCCATTGTCGAGTTTCAGGGCGGATCTTTCGATCCTTGGGGCGGATGGGGTTTTGAGCAGGTGGGTTCAAGTCAATTCTCATATTCTTTCATTACTTTCGACTGACAAAACAATAGTGCAGTGCGCTCGTCAATTTCGAATTCGAGCGAGTCTTCTACAAGAATAACTACGCAGCGGTAAGCATGACTTGTTAGCAAATGGTGATAATTGCGAAAATCTCTAACTTGATTGGCATAGGGAGTGACAATCTACAACCTGTACATGATCTTCGGTGGAACTAATTGGGGAAATCTGGGACACCCAGGTGGATACACTTCATATGACTATGGCAGTGTCATCAAGGAAGACCGAACCGTTACCCGAGAGAAATACTCGGAGCTGAAATTGCAGGCGACCTTCTTACAGTCAAGTCCTGGTTACCTGACTGCAACTCCTGGCAACAGTTCTACTAGCCTCTACAGCGACAACGCTGATATCACTGTTACTCCTGTATTAGGAAACACCACAGATGATGCTTCGTTCTTCATCGTACGGCATACTAACTATTCGAGTTTCGCTTCAACCCAGTATCGTCTAACGCTGCCCACATCCAAAGGAACTCTCACTGTTCCCCAGTTGAATCAATCACTCAGTTTGAATGGTCGAGACTCGAAAGTAGTAGTTACGGACTACGACATTCAAGGTAGCAAGTTACTTTACTCCACTGCCGATGTCTTCACCCACGTCAAACAAGCCAATCATACAGTTCTTATCTTGTATGCTGGAGCTGGCGAGAACAACGAGTTTGCCATCCAGGGATCGACAGGTGGACAGGTCAAGAAGATCTCAGGAGGAACATCTTTCAAAGCGACAAGCAGCAACTCGTCTGACTACATCACGGTGAACTGGACAGCATCTTCAGAAGGGTACATTCTACAGATTGGCTCTGGCCTCTATGTTTATCTGCTTGGTTCGTCTATTCTCTAAAAAGTGGTTTCTGTCGCTAACCGTTACTAGATCGCAACACCGCTTATAATTATTGGGCTACCGACATTGCTAACACGACCTCTAAACTCATCATCAACGGACCTTACCTCGTACGCTCTGCCTCCATAGATGCTGACGAACTACACATCAAGGCAGACTTCAACGCCACCACGAAGGTTGAGATCCTTGGTGTCCCAGCAAGCGTTTCCAAGCTTTTCATAAACGGAAAGGAAACCCCAACGGAGACGGCAGGCCTTGCTACGGTTGCCAACGTCTCAATAACTGCTCCGGAATTTACCGTCCCCAAGCTCTCGGAACTCGAATGGAAGTACACCGACTCTCTTCCGGAGATTACAACGGGCTTCGACGACTCCGCATGGCCAAGTGCTGACCAGACATTCACGGATAACACGTATCAATACCTTCAAGCCCCAGTAACGACATACGCCTCGGACTACGGATTCCACACTGGTGTTCTAGTATACCGAGGTCACTTCAACGCCACAGGCTACGAAACGACCTTCTCGCTCTGGCAGTCAGGTGGAACTGGGTTCGCCGCGTCGATCTGGATAGACGACTATCTGCTTTCGTCGTACACCGGCAACCCAGCAAATGAAAGTTTCCAGGGTCAGTACGACGTCACCGGCCCCGGATTTCAGGCTGGGACGGAGCACGTCTTCACCGTGGTGGTAGAGAACATGGGTCTCAACGAAGACGGAATCGGATCCGACGAACAAAAAGCGCCACGAGGTATCCTAGGATGGCGGCTCGCAACTTCCAAGGCGACCAACACTCCTATTTCCTGGAAGCTAACGGGCAATCTTGGTGGTGAGGACTATCTAGACCGAGCCCGTGGCCCACTGAACGAGGGTGGTCTGTTCGCCGAACGCCAAGGTTTCCACCTCCCCGGAACACCGACGGATGATTGGGAATCACACTCTCCTCTTGAGGGTATTGGCTCTCCAGGTATCGCTTTCTACTCTACCACCTTCGATCTGAACCTCCCCTCCGCTGAATGGGACATCCCTCTTTCCTTCTCGTTCACCAACAACACTGCCACGTCTGGCATCTACCGAGCTCAGCTGTACGTCAATGGGTGGCAATACGGCAAGATCAGCAGCAATATTGGACCACAGACTGTGTTCCCCGTGCCGGAAGGTATCCTGAACTATAATGGCTCGAACTACGTCGGCATTTCTCTGTGGGCACTTGAGGCAGGCGGTGCTAAGATCCCCGCCCTGGAACTCGTGTCTGATGTGCCGGTGTGGACGGGCAGGGAACCAGTCGAGTTGGTGAATAGCCCGCCTTATAGCAAGCGGGAGGGCGCTTATTAAAGGCCTCTAATAATAAGGATAATTAGGTACCTACCAACTTAGTTTTGTATAGTAGTAATGTTTAACGAGTCACTTTTGAATAAGACCAATTTTTGCGTCAGAAAAAAACAAACTCTGTTCCATCAGTGGCGATCTGTGCCACGTCCAACCCCAAGAACAAGAAAATCTCGGGATACCTATGGTACAGCAACGCTGGTAACAACTAAAACAACAACTATAATAAAAGATGGGCCGCGAGCCTCATCTTCTGCCGTCGAGGAATGTCAAGAGGAACGGGTGGCGAGCCCGTCTTCCCCTGCTGGCCGTAGCTCAGCATAAGCCCCACGCCTGGGGAGAAGTCCCAATCTGATCAACCAGTTAGCTCGTGTATTTGATATCTTCTTAGGCTTGTGTTACCATACCTCTCCCAGACAAAGGCTATAAACGGAATCTATGGGCACGGTGCCCATCGGACTTCCAGCGAGGAGTCCCCCTTCCTGATTAAACGAAGTTAGTTAATGTTAAGCATTAGAATGTTGTGTATGTATATCCGTACCTCTCGCTGCAGAATGTCCAGAAGGTCGGGGGGCGAGCCCGCCTTCCTCTGCCGTCCGTCACGGCATAGCCCCACGCCTGGCGAGGAGCATAACTCTGAAAAGGTAACTAGTTAATTTAAATGTATCTAAGATCAATAGAATCCTGTAGTACTTACCAACTCGCAGGCGAAGGCCCAGAAAAAAACAAACGCTATGGGGACGCCGCCCCTTCCCATCCCTTTTTCTCCACCATCATCTAGCGACGGCTCTTCTCGAGCCGCTTCTGGCTGATGCCGATGATAGTCCGGCACATCACCAGCTCCTCCTCCTTCTCGATGGACCTCATGGGGTCCACGGCGTCGGGCCGACTCAGGCGCTGCGTCAGGAGCCGGACGACGGACTGGTCACAACCGTCGTGGAAGTGGACCCACGCGGCGAGCTTGTAGGTCAGAGCGGCGCCGCACTCTGACCAATCGAGCTGCCTGACCAGCCGGCGCACGAACTCCCGCTCGCGGCGGCCGTCCTCGTCGACCTCCAGGTACCCCACCAGGAAGTCCTGCTCCTCGCGCGTGAGCACGGTCACGCCGTCGTCCAGGCACTTCTCGAAGTAGCCGTGGACGAGACGCGCCGCCTCGGAGGAGAACGCGGTTCTCGAGGCCCGTTTGCGGCGGGGGGCGGGGCAGGGGGAGGAGCCCGAGCGGCGGTGGAGGCCGGACTTTCGGCGCGGTCCGGACACCGGGGAGACGGGTTGGTGTCGGGCGGTGCGCTCCTTCTCCCTCCTGGAAAATGGTATGTTAGATAGGAGGGTCGGTGACGAGTGGTAGAACAGGTGATGGATAGAATAAGAGGTGGAAGGGAGGGGTTGGATTGATAGATGAGTAGATGGAAGTATAGGTGGATGGGTAGATGTGTATGGGTACGGATGGATTGTTCGATGAATAAATTTTTGAGGAAAGGCATTTTGTAATGAATGGATGAACACAGCGAGGAAAAATCAGACAGGGAAAAAAATCATTCAATCGATTGTATGGCGGGAATGTTACGAGTGATGATGAGAGTGATGATGAGATAGGCATTTGTACTTACATCTCTCTTCGACCACGGTGCTGGTCGAGACGACGACGACGTTCGGACTGGTCGTCGGGAGGCGAAGGGTATAGAGCGCTCACCGACGTCTGGTGAGGTCCCCGAGGGGTAGACGTCGGGAGAGGAGAGGAGAGAAGAGGAGAGGAGGGGGGAGGAGAAGGAGGGCGGTAACCCGCAGGAATTGGGATACCAATCCCACGGTGAAGGTCCGCGAAGTTGACCTTGGGGAAGGGCACCGCGGGGGGTTTGGGAGGGAGACGAGAACTAATGGGTGCCATCTTTGGTGATGGCAAGAACACACGAAGAAAAAGAAGAGAAGATAGTTGGTATGGATGCTGGTAACACGCACACAGTTGATGCTTTCGAGAAGACGCGAGAAAGAATGGTCTGTTCTGGTTCAAACGATCTGGCATATTCTTGTGTTTGTGTTGGAGAAAAAAAGAGGAAAGAAAGTTTAGAATTTGGGAATTGGTCCCGGAGTTTTGTAGGCGCCAACGAGTGTCAGAATCAGTAGCAGGGCGGTGGACGAGCTTCGCCTGGTCATAGCACCATACAACCGATTTAACAGCTCTACAGCGTACCTTCTGCGCAGTTTAGGTGTCATAATTATTAACTTCCTTTCTGTTAGTTGCATTATAGCACCCATGTGGTACCTACAACCACTTTAACACTTGATTCCCGTAGCTATCGTGATCTCGTCTCATACCCAAGTACACATGTACCCATGCGCTGGTGGTCATTTTTACTGAGCACTTCATACATCGACACCGGAACAATTAAAAATATTAGATATCCAGATACAGAAGAGAATAAGTAAAATGCATTTGGTTTAGTCTTCAAGGTGTAATTATATATATCGAGACTCGCTTTTGATACATCTTGTCTAGGTACTGATAAAATGGGATGTGGACGCCCGTAATGAGCAGAAAAGGCAACAAGAAGCCTCAACCTACATTCTATTCCGTCCATCAGTTAATTATTCCTACGATAAATTTAATATATCTTCTGCAGCTACACTTAGGTATCTAGTCAAAAGAATCAGCACTAGTAAACGCATTTATAGCATTTCCCGTAAACACATTCTCATAGTTCTTTTATAATCTAAACCTAAGCACTTAAGCAAATAATATATATCATTTTTGTTGCTATTTGCACTGGCAAACTGTTCTTCCACACTGGAAAGATTACATAATCACGCTTTAGGGGAGTAGCTCCCCACCTTTTTCCATTTAACGATTATGATTGGCCAATTGACAATGTTTCTTTTAACTTCACTTCGGAAGAAATAGGGGCAGTGGAAGGTGGCAAGGCACCTAAGTAAATTCTACACCGTGAGAAGATCAGGTCAGTAGTTCAAGTGTTGGCACCTTTGGCGCTCGAGCCTGAGTTCTGTCACTATCATTTTACTTAGCTAAGCACTCAGACATATTAATGGATATTGGTAGATAATGTTGATATCCAGTATCTCGTATCTATTAGACTAGGCATCATATCATTCCGAAGTGCAATTGATAATTTCTAGCTATCTTTGATTGCAATAGCGAGTACGAAAGGGAAGATTTCCCCTTGTTTCTTCGTGCTTTTTCCCTGTGTCTTGGATTATGAGCGTGGAGTGCCATCTAGATAAACGAAGATATCTATCACTGCCGGTGATCCATGGTTCAAATGTGCAATTTTCGAGTCCTTAAACTCCAGAATTTGAGAATATCATAGAAAGGGGCTATACGAATGGCCTTGGCGTGTACATCTACTCGTTTTGATGATCACGCCTAATCTCGAGTCCTAGATGCATTTGCAATTGAATCGACAGCCTTTATCCCCCATAACCATTATGACAACATTTTGTAGTGTTAAACTCGTACAGTCCATATTATTACTCTTACGATTGTTTTAGTGGCATCAATGAATAGGTCATATTCATAACTAGTCCGACCCGAGCGAAGGTATTCACAGTTAGTAATACGATCAGTAGGTCAGTTTCCGATTTTGACTATAGGCTTATTTGATCAACAAGTGGTAAGTAACGAACTAACGGTCGCAAATAATCTTCAACGGTTTTCTCCTTCCTCATCATTATCTAAGCATACCATATATGGATATGCTTCTATGGATTCTTACCTGTTAGATGCAATCGTGTTTGCAACAATACCGCTTAAGTACCTAAGTATCTTGAGTAACATGGTGTTTAGATGTTAGATCAGATAAACAACCTTGATACACATAATTTCGGTTAAAAGAGATGTTTCCCTGTAGAATAGATGATACATCATAAATAATTTAATTCAATTCAACTATTCAACTTGTTAAATGATCATGATGACATCAATGGGCAGATGAACATTGTACCTGTGTACTCTCAATGCAGGGTCCGATACCGGTCCGAGGATCCATTTGATTTTATCAGATCCGAACGTGCCCCACTAAACGCTCGGGCGCGCCATTAAAATGAAACTTGGGAAATTTTTATCTGATCCGCTGCTAGCCATCCACCCTGCCCACCCTGCCACCATCGCGCACTCCAAACGACGAAGCATGGGGATTCGTCCCCGGTCCATCCGCTTAAAGTTATCAGATCCGCCTCTGCAGACCGCCAAGAACCGTGGCATTGGTTTTGCTGACACACCTTAACACGCAAGCTTCCCAATATTTCGTGTATTACACTGGGGATGTGTACTACTTATGTATTCGGTCGGCCGGGTTTGGGGGACTAGGCCAGGAAGAACGCCAAATTGCGCGACCGTTGAGACACGTTGACCAGTTGACGTTCGGCCGGGCGATCCCTTGCATTAGCGCAAGAAAAGTTTTGGGCTTCGAACCTATACGGAGATGGAAAGTGGGAATGAAGGCCCAAAAGACCAAGAACTACCCTTTCAAAAAGGCAAGTCGATGTAGGTATTGTACTTTAGGGTACCTACGAGCACAAATGCTACCTCGTAAGTAAAGCTACCCACTGTAGCTAGACACTAGCTGAATAGGCCATACCGGGGTGATGGCGGAATAACTCGGCCTACACTTGCTTGCTGTTTGGTATGCGTGCTCGGTTTTGCTGGCTGAGGAGAAGATTCGGCTTCTGTAGGAAAATAAGAAATTCTTTTCTATTGTTTACATCTAGGCAAAAAAAGTAGTCTTCCGGGAGGATCAAGGGACGAAAAAGGTCTGCAATTGAAGGCGTATCTGAGTATCTGACAACCCAATCACACTTACCGGTCACGTTACACTACACACCTAGCCCAATCTTCATAAGCAATGGCGGCGCCATCCACGAACGAGCCGGTACTCAAGCTACCGCACCCGTACCTCACACCCTACCTTCTCGTCAAGACCACCCGCCCCTCGGAATCAGCCCCTTGGTTCCAAGTCAAACCCCAAGAAGTAGTCAGCGAAGATAAAAAGAAAAAGACTGCTACACCCTTACCAGAACCCCTCCACAGCGACAGCCTCTTCTTCACCGAGCCCGCGGACCTCAAGTCCAGCGAGCGCCCCGCCGAATCGAACAACACGCCATGGGGCCGCGCGCGCCGCTCCCCCAGCTCGACCCTAACATGGGATTCCTCCTCCTCCTCCTCTTCCGCGACGCCGACCCTAGCGCAGGCCTGGCTCGTCATCTACGTGCTCTTCACCATGCGGCCCTCAATGGAAGGGCTTCGCCTAACCCTCTTAGGGCCGGGTAAACAGTCTCTCGGAGCACAGCTCAAGGCCGTGCTCCTCGCGATCGAGCACCCGACAGCGGCGGGCCTCAGCGACGAGCTTCTCGTCCTACGAAGCACGTTCTGGCAAGGTGCGGGCTCGCCCTTCGGGCCTCGCAGCGTCTGGGTCCCGGAATCGACGGACCCGTTACCAAAGCCTTTATCATCTTACCCCTTAACGCCGCTCGCGCACACGATGACGGAGCCGGCGTCCTGGCACCCGCGGCGCGCGGCCAAGCCGCGCCCGGGCAGCGTCGTGTACAGCCGCTGGATCCCGCACCTGCGCGAGACCTTCAGCATGGTCGCGCTCGACTGGGAGGACCCGGCGCACCTGGACCTGTTCCACACCTGGCAGAACGACCCGCGCGTCTCGCAGGGCTGGAACGAGACCGGGTCGCTCGACCAGCACCGCGAGTACTTGCGCAAGGCGCACGTGGATCCGCATCAGATCACGCTGTTGGCGGCGTTCGATGATACGTTTTTTGCGTACTTTGAGGTTTATTGGGCTAAGGTACGTCTTGGGAAGATGGGAGGAGAGGGTTCTATGGGGCGTGAGGGGTATTATGGGTTGTGTGCTAATGTGTGTCTTTTCGCTTTTTAGGAAGATCGTCTAGGCGCGTATTACAGCGCGGGAGATTTCGACCGTGGCCGGCATTCGCTGGTTGGCGATGTAAGGTTCCGTGGCCCGCATCGCGTGACGGCTTGGTGGTCGAGCTTGATGCATTATTTGTTCTTGGATGACCCTCGCACAATGCAAGTTGTGGGCGAGCCAAAGTACATAAATAGCTCCGTGCTCATGTACGACTTCATGCATGGTTTCGGGCTTGACAAGTTCGTTGACCTGCCGCACAAGCGATCTGCCTTCGTGACATGCTCCCGCGAACGTTTCTTCCAACTCTCGCCCCTCGGCGAGAGCGAGAAATTCGTGGGCGGCACGTTGGTCGGATTAGTCCCTAAGTTATAAGCGTTATGGGCGCTGTGTTGTCACGTGTTAGGTAGTAATATCCAGTTACGCGTTGATGGAGGGGTGAAGAGGCTGAGAAAACAAGATCTCATTATTCATAATTGCCAGCTAGCGCTTATCTCTGTCTAAGATTGGTGCCTCATTTCGGGGGAAAATTCATACGATTCATTTAAATATTTGTATATTCATTTACCCACGAAAACAATTGCGCTATATTTTGACCAATATATTCACGAACTAGAAAAAAAGACAGAAAAAACAAACGTCATGACCGAACTGAACGTTAAGCTTTCACGATCTACCTAGTTAGTGTACGCGTTGATCGCGAATGAGCGCCGCTGAGCTGCATACAGTGCTGTTTTGCCCTGGTAACTCCGATTGCGCCGATACCACCCAGACCCAAACTAAAGGACAGACCGAAGTAGTTTTCATGCCTTCGTGCCTCCGAGATTAAGATGGTCCCAGACGACTGCGACAACATGTTAGCCACCGATTTCAAGGCTATCAGACGGGTGCAAAGGGGGGATGCAAATATGCAACAACTTACTCTTGAATCCTAGGTCCTCCTCGAAGAACCACTCCATCACCTGCTTGCCATGCTTCATACCCTCATTGCCGTACGAAAGCGCGTTCTTGCCGACCGCAAGACCGATCATAGGCGGCACCTCGGCAATCTCGTTGAACACGGGCTCCTTGCCTTGGATGTCCTTTAGCATCAGCTGGTGGATATTCCAGCCGGCGTATTTGCCCTGGTGCATGGCCCCACCGCAGCGCTTGATGCCGGACCAGTTGATCAGGTCGCCGACAGCGAAGTGCGACGCCGCGTCGCGGATCTCGTCGGAGGCAACTTGCAATGACGGCTTGATGTTGACATAGCGTTGCTCGTTGAGAAGTTCATCGGGTAGATACGTGGTCGTGGGCACGCTACGCGAGATGGCCATGACGACCAGACTAGCAGTCATCTTGTGGCCGTTTTCAAATTCGACATCCAAGACCTCGGTTCCGTCATCGTTCTTGACGGGGGTTTGGCTCTTCAGTCGGTGGTCCAACAGTACTTCGACGCCGGCCTCTCGGGTCAGGTCTAGCGCGCAGTCCTTGACGTTATCGGGCAGCGGCTCGGCCGAAAGGAGCTTACTCCGGGAGTGAGCCAGGGTAACCTTGACGTTGGGCTGGACCTCCTTGAGCTCGGCGGCCATCTCGATACCCACGGCACCTGTATGTGTGTGAGTGCGGAATCAATTGAAATGAAGACGCTCATATTAAACTGAGCAAGGGAGTAAAGGCTCTACTTACCACCACCAACAATTAACACGGGTGCGGTGCTTTTAGCCACGGCGCTGATGTGTCGGCGCGCCTCCTCGAGATAATCTTCCCGCTTGGCCGATTGCGGCACCACGGGCCAGACCCTCCGAAGACCGGTGGCGGCGACGAAGAAGTCGTACGCTTCGGCCCGCTCCTCCTGGTTCGGCTGTTCGACAATCGTGGCCGTCTTGGTCTCGGGGTCGATTTTGCTAACGGTGCCGTGGACGAAGCGTACGTCGGGCCTCTGCAGGATGGGGATGTTCTTGTAGTAGACCCACGCCTTCTCGGCGTAGGTGGCTGAGGCTAGAGCCAGAGGCGAGCCGATCACATGGTCTAAGGTATGGGCGTTAGTGGGAGTTCGCAATGCAATTGTTTCGGCCCGGGACACAATCGCAGCAGTTCATGCATGGTGGAGGATTTGGATGTGATAGGTCACATACAGAAGCCGTCGCGCTCGTCAACGATGGTAATCTCGACCGGGATGGGAGACTCGATGGTGTCGCATTTATCAAGCAGATTGATAGCTACTGCCAGACCGCTATAGCAGCCGCCGGCGATTAGGACTTTGTAGGGGTTGGCCTCGGAGCGGGCGGCGCTGACGTTGGTAAGGTTGGAGGCCATTGCGAACCTTGCTGTCGGAGAATGGAAGGAAGTGAAGTGGAACCGCGGAGTAGTTGTTGCGTTTGCTCCGCAGAAGAGGATGCAGCAGTATTTCAGAGACGGAGTCGAGAACCTGACAGCAGAAGCATTCAAATGGGAAAACGTTGACCGCAAAAACATGAATTTTTACGAACCCTAACTAGGTATCGAGGAAGGTATGTATGATTTTTCCCTCTTGCTCACGGCTAGCTGCGTTATAAATTGAGGAAAATAAAAGGAGAAATCAAAAGGAGTCGAGGGTTAGTCAGGGTCAGCTTCTCGGTACACGGATCACAGTCTGGAAAAATAGGCTGATGAATCTGATAGACATTGGCATTATTTGATCATTGGTGAGCCAAAGAATTATGAATAAGAGAAGACGATGGCGGACAAGGTAGCCCTGGTCATTATGTATTCGCAAGTACCTAAGGTAGGGGTCTAGCAGTTTTGGGGAGATAGTTACAGTTGGATCCATTCTACGAAGTACCGTGTGTCAATTCCCGCCAAGGGGGACACATGTCAATAGCCTACCACTTGGGTCTTGGGGAAGCTGCCCATCGTCGTACTTGGTGCCGATTATACGGTACACCCGGCTTCGTTCATCGTTGCTTCGTAGGTACTTACAAGGCAAATAGACACACGAAGAATAAAATAAAAGAAGATAAATAACTCATTTGTGACATTCGGGGTTTAGCTGAGAAGCTAATTGAATAATATTTCGACTTCTTACTAGGCTGCTAGGCAATTTGGTTGCTAGCTCCGGTGTGCATAATGCTTGGCCGGACCCGAAGATTCCAATTTCCACACGGATCTGATAAAAAATGAAAAGAGCGGTGATCACTCCCAGACGTCAGCGCCGCACAGAATTAAACGACGCGATGAGCATGTGGGGCGGGGACAAAGTTATCAGATCCGCAGTTTGCAGGGGTGCGGCATCGACTAACAGCGAAACCGGCCTTGGATTCGGCCAATCTTATCCGAGTATTGAACTTGTGTGTACTCCCATGTATATGGCGTTACACCTCGGTTAGAGTACACTGCATTCGTTCTTCGTTCTACTTGCTTTAGAACGGGGAAACTTTACCCGCTCCAATTCCCTACTAGGTATACTTCCTAGTCTGTTCTCTTTTCGTGTAACATGTGACTTAGATGAATATTCTTATTCGATATACTGTTATATGAGATTGCTAGATTCCAACCAGATATTTCGTGTCATTGACATGTTGTCTTTAACTCAAGTAACACCAGAGCTCAACTTGAATACGCAAGAATACGTCGAAGCGGAAAAACGGAAAATCGATAATCTTGTCGGTATAACAATGAAAGGAATTTTAGAAAAGTCGAAACTATCAAAAGGATTATAATCCTTGGCTACCATGTTAACTCCGGAATTTCGGGCCAAGGGCCTCAACTACCATTTACGGTAATAGCCAAGTACCTGATTACCTACTTAGGTAATTACTTACTATCCAATGAACTGGACGTAACTAAGCCCGACAACATGGATTTATGAGAATAGGGTACCACTTGGTACGGAGCCTCACGTCACGAAATAAACTCATCTCCTGAAGAGGGATATAAGTCAACTGGGAATTCGAAGTATTGCGTCTAAGCAAGATTTCAACTATATCGAAAAGGCTTAATTTCAAAGACATTTCAACAGTATGTGCATTACAAATATTTAACCCCCAACGCCACCGCATCACCAGCTCGTATTTGTGATATAAGGCTCTATGATATTAGTCAAAGCCCTAGAGTCGTAGTCACCAAGCTCCGACTCAAATCCCATCATGACACTATCCCAATCTTGCTGCGCCATGGGAAAGCCGTAATCAACGGGGCCTGGTTGGGCGGGGCTAGGCATTCGCGGTGAACCCTTCGAAGCCTCAACAGCTAGATCATGATCATGAACTTGTATTTGGTATCCCTCACTGCCCAAGGGGCTTTTATTGGCGCTCGATACTACGAGATTGGCAATGCGGCCAAAACTCTCACAAGCGTCATGAATCTTTTGGATGGTGGGGGAACTTGCACTTGTCGGTGCTAATATCGACACTACCGAAGAAAGAAGAGCCAAGTCGGTATCAGACGATGTCGCGATGGCATTTCCAGCCAATACAATAAAGGGCACAAACGGTACCAGGGATAAGGTTCTTCAGCAGACCATTAGCAACAGAACAGCGAGACTTATTCATAAACTTACATATTGAGAAACATCACCCAGTTTGCTGGGTATCTCCGTTGCACATTATCTCCAACTTCTACGAGTTTCGACAATGCCCTACGTGCCGAATCTACGCATTCATCCGAGCACTGCAGTGGATGAGGTTGCGTGGAACGGGGTGGGAGTATTCGGTACACAATAGTGAGAAGAGAGTAGGATATCAATTCGACCAATAAGGCGGCTGCTGTATACATTTCGTCCCATGTAGGATCCGTCTGGGTTGCCTAGTGATGGTTAATACAATTAACCGACGATCTCTAAATTAATTCTATTTAGAAAGAGACCGAAAGGAAATATACGCTGAAGCCATACCGATTTGACAGACTCTAGGATGCTAATAATCCGCGCAGCAAACCCTCTCACATATTCAGAACGGGTCTGTTGTGAGGCATGTCGCGCTGACCCCGAAAACAGGGTCTGTTGGATTTCGCCCATGATGATGGCTTGATGGAGAAAACCGGAATATACTCTGGTAACATTAGCATTGGTAGGAAAATTCAGCTGAAAAGACTCACCGGGCTGGAGCGTCAACTCGACCCGTTCTGATGGGAGTCGTCACGTCATAGTGATGAATGATAGGTGTTCTGCCGCTTGTCATAGCCAACCCCTTTTCCCAGCAATAAATATTCCAGAATACGGAAGCTTTTTGAGATTGATCCTGACTTCCAACATTTTCAGATAGACGATGGAAGCCCAAGTCCAGACAAGCTCTCGCGGCGGCGCTGATTAACCTCCATGCGATCGTGCTGTGCCCTTGTTTAACATAAAAGGAGCCCTAAATTGTCAGCACCGCCTTCCGCGTGTATGGAACAACTATACTTACAAGTAGTGCTAGGGCTCGGCACGACTCCCTCGAGGGCTCCGAACATAAACGAAGACACTGCATCGCTGCGTCTGCATTTGCCTTCAACAACCCACAGTGCGAGCGCATCGCTTCGACAGTGGTACCCATGCGCCCACGCTCGACTTCGTTGACGCCCGAAAAGAGGTGGTAGAGGCCAACATTGACACATATCCAGGTCCACAGCGAAATAGGTTCTGTTGCAAAGTAGACGCCTCGACACATGTCAATGAATTCATCCTCCTGGAAAAAGGGGATGTCTACGAAGAACTGTTGCTTGTGAGACTTAGCTAAACGTAGAAGCTTGAGAACAAGATCTACCGGGGGCAACGGTAGTTTTCCAAAATCTAAATCATCTGTTGAGGGAAGAGAAGACGTGGCTGCTGGCGCTGAAGGTGTGGTATCGGACGCTTCTGCGCCACGGAGCAGCTCTGCGACTTTCCGGGGGGATAGTGTCGTTGAGGCCTCCTGAGTGTCAACGTTGAGAAGTTCGGAAGCAGCGAGTGCTGCTTCTAAAGCATTTTTGACTTGATGGGCGTGTGACTGGAATGAAGTATCACCATTGTACCCTTCACGAACTTTAGACAGACTAGGGACCTGTTCATCAATCATCGGTGGTGGTGTATGATGTGTCGCCTCTGATGTTTCCCCCGTCGAGCAAGGTGTTGATGTCTTGCTCAACATAAGTGCCTGGAGCATTTCTTTGACATCGCTCAGCTGACGTCTAACATCTTGTACAGCTTCATCATATTTCGATGATATGAGGACGCGCTGCCGCTTCTCGGACGGCCGGGGAGTGGTCCGACAAGCGATATTAAGGGTCACGCAGCTTGAGCAGGGTAACCGCCTATCACATTTAGTCTATCTAAAGAGTTAATCTAGCTCAGATCAGGATTCTGTGAAGCATCGCACATACCTTCCGAGACTTGCAACTATCACACTAGATCAGATATATGCTTATATTAGCGCTTATTGCCAAATAAGGGTTAATAGATTTGCAGGGGGGTACTTACTGCCGGCCTTCGCTCTAACGGGAGACTAGTAGTTTCCGTTTCATTCATTTTTTTTTAAAAAATCGCAATATTCCTCGATAAACAAACAGAACATGGAATAAGAGATTCGCTAACTTCAATTCCCGGACCCGGGCTACTTAGATTCTCATCGGGTCCCTAGGCCGCCGAAGGAATAGGTGAGATGACGACACTGAGGGCTGAGGTCGGGGGTAGATATCTAAGCCACATTATGCACAGCCACATATAGAGACAGGGGTAAATAGGGGTAAATAGGGGTAGTACACAGATCTAAGAGACCTAAAGAAAACGGGTCTATTAAAACAAAACACGAAATGAACTAATCATACTGAAATCTATCTATACCAAAGCCTCGATGTATCCCATTTCGAAATAAAGTAGCCCCGCGGCTCTTTCATCACTTCAATCCATGAGCGATGTACTCATAATCCGAATTTCATCTTACGCGACCCTCGAGATCTTGAATCCTCCCGGGACGCGCCTCTGAAAAATTTCAGTCGGGTCATAAGAAGCGGCCACATCTCGCATATGCTGGATGTTCGCAGCGCCATAGCTTCCAAGAACATCCTGGCTGGCGTCCGCATAGTTGAGGTAGACGAAATCCATCTCCCCGTTAAGCGATCTCGTCGCCTCTTTGACACGTGCCGTGAAGATGCTCGCCTCCAGCTGTGCTACTGCGAACGCCGCCTCGCCCTCGCTTGGGTCCACCGCGACGCCGCTGTCCCACAGGATGCCGTTGTATGGGATGCTGTCTAGCCCGAGCATATTCCCACCCTTTCGGTGGCTAATTTGGGCCATATAGGAGGGTAACGGCTGGAAGAAGATGTATGTTACGAATTTGTCTGGATTTATGGAGCGCTTGAGCGTCTCGACGTACTCCTCGTGGAGCTCGACGCAGCGGCGGATGATCTGCGGATCGTTGCGGAAGGTTAATGTTGTCCCAAAGTTGCTACAATATGTTAGTCAATGATTTAAAACGCGCCCGTGGACAAAGCGGGGGGAGGGGGGACAAAGTACTTGGTGCCGCCGGGAACCTGAGATCCAACCGCAGCCTTCGCCATACTTTCAAGGGCAGTGGCATTGCGTAAATTGGGAAGAGTTCTCAGCTTGTCAAACGTCGTCGATGAATTCGCGTTGCCTTGTGTGTTGACGTGGATCAGACCGATGTAGATATCGGGGCTGGCAGAAGAGTTGTAGCTATAAAAAGTCACGAGAGCATTATCCGCCAAGGACTGGTTCTGGTTAGTGAATCCAACGACAGCGTCTACCACGTCATCTGAATAATCGCTACTCAGGATGCGCAGTTCGTAGTATATGTCCTTGGCTGGGATAGCTTCCATGTCGTATCGCGTCACAATGCCGAAGTTGCTACCGCCTCCTTTGAGAGCTCGCCATAGATCCGAATTGGTCGTGTTGTTGGCATTGACGATGGTGCCGTTAGCCAGCACCACTTCGAAATTGACAACAGTGTCGCAGCCAAAGCCCATTCGCCCGGAGAAGAATGAATTGCCGCCTCCTAGCAGGAACCCGCCTACGCCGACATCACCATCGCGACCACCCGTCACGGTTACACCATATTTATAAAGGTTCGTGTATACATTTCCCCATCGGCCACCGGGTTGGATCTTAGCGAGGTTGGTTTGTTTATCGTAACTGCTCGAGTTCATCATAGTCAAGTCGATAGTCACGCCGTCGGCGATGTTGTTGCTTCCGGGCCAGCTGTGACCTCCGCTACGAATTGCAATATGCCAATCGCCTGCGCCATCATTGGCATTAACCAGTGCAGTCAATGCAGTAGAGACTTCCTTGGTATTGTGCGGCAAAACGAGACAGTATGGCCTCATGCGGGCGTTCGCAGAGTACCAGGATTCGATTTGAGGTTCGTATCCGGCATCGGTCGCGAACAGAAGTCGATCTCCGAGACCAGCAGCTTTCAAAGCCTCGCACTATCAGGGGTGAGCAATGATGCTATATCTTATTTCCTCTGTAGGATACTTACTGGCAAGATTCCGCTGATGTTAAGGCTTGGATCATAACTACCATTCCTGGGCATCAACCAAGGAGTTGGTGACAGTTCTGCTGATGCGGAGGTAGTACTCGCAAGAGCTACTGCGGCAATGGCAGCGAAGAGCATGATGTCGGCTTTTAAAGTAGAAAGATATCGAAACTGTAAATTCCAATAGAGAGTTGGTGTGATCGATGAGAACTGTAGTTCAAACGATAGTCCCTAAGTCTGAAATCATCCATTATTTATATCCATTTCTTTCTTGCGCAGCAAGTCCTACCCTCTTCGATGTAAACGATTGCCATAGCCACCTACAGCTGTTCAGAATTCGGTGTTGCGATTTCCAATGTTATTTGACATATCATGCGGCTTCTCCGTGCCATCGACGATAATTGTGGGGATATTGTGCGGAGGCCTAGGGAGCCGATAGTGGAGAGATCCTCCGGGCATTTGGATGTTAACTTCCGATGTCAGCAATGCTACGTGCTGCGGTCATCAACCGACGTCCTGTTGGGGCGCTGAGGGTATAATAGCATGTTAGCACCCTAAAAAGAGGATTTGGTAGGACTTGTTCCAGTAAAATTCGCTGTCCTGATCGTCCTGAGCTGAATACCCTTACCTATCTGACTATTGAATGATTACCGAGGATCTATCAAAATGCTGCGTAGAGCTAATTATAAGAAATATGAACCAATTTCCTTGGTCCGACCGAAATGAGGTGTGGCTAGAGTGGAAGTAATTGGATTTGTTTTTTTGTATTCTGGCCCTCTGTTTTCTGTAGGTCCTACGGCAGGAAAGGAAAAAGGAAGAAAATTAAGAAAGGGACAAAAAATTTGGTTAACCCACCCTCCTAGACCGAAGTTCATCTAGTTTCACAAGATCAAGTAGCAGGTTGGTGGTCAGACGCCATAAGCCTACATGTCGCAACCATAGAGCTACTCCCGAGTCGTGTAGGGGCACCCAGCTGTTTAAGGTGTGATTTTGCTAACCGTCAGAGCATCGGTCTGTAAAGGACTTAGTCCTTTGGGAATTTAAATCCCTGGTGTTTTGGCCATCTAACCACTAGACCAATTGCCCTTGAACTATTGGGTTTTAATTTTGATTTATATGCTTTCTCAGGTAGGTAGTCACCAACCACGTTTGCCTATGGATACAAGACTTCAATACAAGTCGTCGTCAATAGATTTCACTCGCCACATTAATCCTACATACGAGTAAACCTCCAAGATAAAAAAAAAGCGGCAGCGCCATTTTTACCCCCTATTTCTCATATTGCACATTTTAAGCAGGTTTGTATCTGAACTATCTGCCTTTCTTGCTTCCTGCTCCCAAATACTTCCTTTTTAGAAATTGAAATTGTTTAGATATTATAAATCATCATGTTACTAAGGTATTCTGGTTCAGAAATCTCCGACGGCCTTATTATCGTAGCACTCTAGTGTAAACTAGTGATAATATGCATATAAATTCCTATGTAGAAATCTAAAAAAAAAAAATCAACTTATAGCTATCACTTTTAGCTAAAACGAGCGACATATAGCCATGGTACATTCTCCCACCAATATATAATGACCGACTCCACTGATAGTTGTTCCACCCGCTATGTATCACGGGTTTCCAGATAATACATCATCTTACCCCTTCCAACTATACCATTCAACGTTCGAAGCCCTAGTTTAGCACAAACTGGGGTTGCTGCAGCCGGGGCAGAACGCCTCGTTTGAGCCATTCTCGTAGTCAACAATGGTGCAATGAGCGCCATCGCCACCACCAGGCCCAGTGCATGAGCCCGACCTGCACGCGAGGTTGTAAAGGCCCACTTGGCATGAGGTGCCATTGCATCTCTAAGTATGGAAACTCGTCAGTAATCATTAATATGACATTGGGGTGAGCAGGATACCTACGCCGGGTTTGGTAGCGGTGCTACGCTTGTCGACCTCATTTCCTGTAGGTGAAGCAACCGCCGAGACGACGGCGAGGGCGATAAGGACGGAGCTAAGAGTGAAACGCATGGTTGTGGTTTTGAATAGGTAAGAATTGGGGATTTTATTTTGGATATCGTAGGTAGATGTATTTGATACTGTTGCTTGTATGATGGTGTTTGGAGTTGAACGGTCTTGGGATGGAGATTTCTAGGCTTGAAGAGTGCGATCACTCAAGGTTTATATATCTGCCGAATTTACTTCTTTTGGGCCAGAATATGTTAGAAGCATGATTGAGACCTTCTTCGAATCATGCCTATTTCATTTGTCTCCCCAACATGTATTTAATGTGTAACCAACGCGTGAGCCTTGCCAGTAAGCTTACTCAATATGCCATGATATGACCTCAATGGCAATATCTAATCACCGTAGTCACACGAGGCCAAATACATATGAATATATTTCTTCTAGCATCGACTGGCTAAATAGTTTGTCGATATATTGTCAAATTCGACAAAGGCCAGTGACTGAACAGTTAAAATGTCTACCATGAGACTATTGCACAAATGTGACGATTCAGTCGTATCCTGAAGAGGTAAAGTTCTAGACATCTGAGAGAATGCAGGGTTCATCCAGGTCGTTGTATCTCCCAAAGTTGCGATTGACCACAGAAAGGTTTTACTAGATATAACATACTAACAGATAAGTAGAATACACTGGCAATTACGACAACCGGATTTTGAACAGCTATGAATGTCTTCCCGTCAGGGGCACATTTACATTAAAAACTTTAAAACCTTTCTACAGACACTACTCGCTAAGGATGTAGTATATACCACTGATATTATGCTGTATTGCGGATTCCATTTGATATAGTTGGCTTTTTCCCGATGCCTTAACATAGGTATACTACTGGGTGAGGGGGGTATTTGGTTATTATTATAGTAATAGTCTCTAGGGGTGAACATAATGTCAGCCTGCGCGTTTATAATTAAGCCATTTGGACTTAATTGGTTGTTGGTGTAAATATTATTACCCTTTAAGGCAATTATATCCCTTATATTAGAATTATTTAAAAGGAAATAACTATTTTAAAGATAATATCACTTTTAATTATAACAATTATAGATTTAATATAATGTTAATTAAATAACTTTATTAAGTTTAATAATTATTATTAAGTTTAAAAAAAGAAAAGAAAAAAAAAAAAAAAAAAAAACTTATTATAAATAATTAAATTTAAGGTTTTAAAATAATATTTATAATGTAAATTATAATTAAAAAGTTAGTTTTTTTTTTATAATTATTTAAACATTTAAATTATTATTAAATTATAAAATTATTAAATATAAACTTTAAAAATTTAATATATAAAGTTTATTTAAAAAAATTAAATTAATTTTTAAACTTTTTAATTAATATAATAATAAGTTTTAACATATTATAATAAAATTTTTAAGCTTTAATATAATTATTAAAATAAATAATAATTATAATTTAATAATATTATAATTATAATAATTATTTTAAAACATTATTAATTAAAATAAAATTATAAACTTATATAATAATATTAATATAATAATTATAATAATTAAACTATTAATCCTTTAAAAGGATTATAAAAAGTAATAATTAAGTTAAAGTATTAAAAGGTTTATTATGATAATGTTTAAATACCCCCCCTTCCCGGTAATGTAAGTATGTTACAAATCAACAAATAACGTTATACGGATTCGATCTAATACCATTGTCTAACGTAAAATGGTATCTCGGTTATTCGAATAAGAGGAGTAATTTAAAGAAGATGTTTTCGAAAGATATGCCACGTAGCAATGATATTAATCTGTATGGATATTAATATTATATTAGATGTTGCTATCGGCTGTGCGTATCAAACAATATCATTGAAGCTGCAACTGAAGTTCTTAGTGTAGTTTAAAAGTACAATCACAATGTCACGAGTGGCTACCGTATGATATAGTGGTATCATAATGCCAAATAAGTAGGTAGGTTAGGTAGTACCCCTTGTTTCGTTGGTGAAACAAACGTACGCTAAGCCGCAGGATCAGATCGCTGACGGTTGCATTCTATCTTGACTTAGACATTGATATGATATATATGGATTCATTGCCAATCTCTGCCTCTTAACCCAAAGCATCGAATGATATATGAAGTTTTCCTGGTCGAATAAAGACGTCAGCTTAGCACAATATATCGCGGCCGACTTCAGTTTGAAGCTTCAACTAGTGTTGTGCGCAGTTGTTATTGACCATTTACCTAAGTGCATGTTGGTTTAAATGATTGCTCGGAAGGGATATTCATCGCTGTGAAAGTACAGCTTCAACACAATCTACGTCCCTGGAAGTAACCAATAAGAGCGGGGAGAAATTATGAGCGCTGTTCCATGGTGATATCAACCTATGTCCATTCAAGGCTTTTCGGATCATAGCTGTAAGGGAAGAGCTGAGTAGCCTGACTGGCGGTGTAAAGTGGTCAGCTCGTGTAAGGTTGCAATATACCTAAACTAACTGTGCCACCAGTATACACCTCGATTAGTAGGAAGGCATGCTCCACTGAGATCAAAGAGTAGTACAACGTAGATAAACTCTAATATGTACTAAGACATGCCTATTCAAATGATTTGTTAGACTTAATCGTTGGTTCTTGTATCGTAAGTAAATAGATGCATTTTGCCGCTTATATACTAGTAGTATCATCCGGCTGGATTCAGTCATCATTGTGGCACATGATCCCCTGAAATGCCCCCACTAATATCATACGTCGCGACGTGAGGCCTGTAGAAGTAAGACGAAAGATTTCAATCGGCAACAAGTAGTGAAGTCATCGTGACTTAAGTTGTCTGATATTGGTTTACCTGATGTTATTAACCTGGTCGATTATAGCATGGAAAGAGAGTAATACGGCCGCTTACCTAATAATAGTATCATTAGATGTTGAGTGCTTGTGGTACATGAACCAAGGCAGAAGGGAGGGAATCATAGATTCTCCTTTGCCTCTCCAATTAATTGAAGACGGTAATGGAAAACAAAACAAAGGAAAGACAAAAGAAAAACATGACGGAGGAAAAAAACCCTAATAGGGGAAAAACCTCTGGGAAGGGGGTAATTAGGAAACATAACTGAATACATGACTGCAGAGAAAAAGAATAGAGGGATCGAAAAAGAGAGTAGTATGAAGGAAAAACGCAAGGCACGCCCCAGGGCAAGGGAAAGGGGACCACTACGATCACTAACACACCAGGCAGCGCGAGATGCCGGGCCCCATGGCGACATCCCAGGCCGCACGCCAATTCCCACGTCTCCCTCGATGGCCAGCGGGTTCGGTTTCGGGAGGGGTTTTCTCTCCAAGGATATTTGACCCTCGCCAAGGTAGGAGCTCCCAGCTCCAGCTCGATAAGGACATACAATGGGAGTCCCGCAGATATACCACCCAGCGAACAACCAATCTTCTCGAACCCGGGGCTGCAAGCAGGCCTCAACTGGCCAGGAGGCAACACACTCGTGCCAGGAAATGGATCTCGAGCCACGCTCTCTCCCCATCGGCCTCACGGTACCGCTGGGATGTGGGGCGACGAGGCTTTCAGGAGGTCCAGGGACATCCAAGTGCCGAAACACTCCGCGAACTTATCCACACGCCCCAATGGACAGTTCCCGTTATTACTATGACTGGAGTTTATCTCGTAAAGTATGCTAGCGATGACGGAGTGGTGGGGAAGGAAGGGGGAGAGTAAAGGGTTTGATTACACTCGCCGTATGCGGACTGGTCCGTACCAATGGTTGTCGACAGTTACGCCCATAGCGGTGCTTTCTCTCCCCCTAGCGGGAGGGTGTCCAGGGACCCCGGCATAAACAGGAAGATAAAGCCTAGAGTACACTAGTACACGTCCACGATGAGGTGCAAAAGGGTCGATATAGGAGTTGATAGAAGTCAATATTGTTAACCTCTAGGCTAGAGTTACTTTATATTATAAATGTGGTCAGCTGACGTCGAGCAAATGCTAGCAATTTCCAAGAGGAAGGAATTCTAAAAGCGACAGGCTATCATGGTTATAGAAAGGTTGTATGGGATTGACGGTAAAACCGGTTAAAAGTAGATGTGTTGTATGATTGTATGGTGGATGACGAATGTGTTGGAATAAGTTGTAGTGTGGCTAAGAATTGAATAGTAGAAGTATTGCGGATGATTATAAGGAAGATGGTGAGGAAAGGAAGTAAAGTAGAAGATGAATGAATGAATGTGTGCAATGAGAGTAGTAGGCTATGGGGAAAAGCTTACCATAGCTGGGGAAGGCCATTGAGAATTGAGATATTGATTGTGTGGGGGAAAATGCAAAATGGAAAAGAATTATGAGAACGAAATGAAAGAGAGTGGATCGGCAGATAAAAATGACACAAAGGCCGAGAGGTGAGTGGTGATACAGAAATAGTAGGAAATTAGTAGATGATACGGAATAGTGACAAGAGGCGGAGGGAACTTCGTTGAGTTGGGTTGAAGAAATGGAAGTGGTAGGAGAAAAGAACTTTTGTCGGTTAGGTGTCAGGTTCTAAATAACTAGCAGGTAGATACCCTCCATTAGTTGAAATCAGCGCATAACCGGATACCTGAATACTGATTCTTTTGAAAAGACGTTCAAGTACCTGTCCTCTATCCCGACGTCAAAGACCTTACATAATCACCAGTTGTTTTGAGTAGGTACGTACTGTGCAGAACTTATCCAAAAGGGAGTAGCTTATCTATTTTCAACCAATCATAAGCCAGGCTTTTACGTATTAGCCTGGGATCCAATTTTGATTGGCCTATCGATTTTTATATTTGAGAGTCAAAGTTGACTACACAGTTACAGTGAAGTATCTAGGTACCTTAATCATAATTTTAATCCAAGACGTTCTAACCAGTGCTGTTAAGCTGGTTCTGCCTTGGTGCCTGAATTGCTGACTCATCAACAAGTAGTCAAAGCATATCTGTCGCTATCGGGGTACCTGAGTATCCTCAAAGAATCTGTACGTAGGTAGGTTTTCACCACCTTCGTGCTTTACCCTTCGACTATCAAAGATATATTGGAGCTAGGAAACTCCGAGTTCTTGTCAGAGGTATCTGTACGAGAAGCGACACAAGATAATATAAAGACTAATACGGTTTTCTGGGGATATCTATAAGAGTTCAGATATCTAGGTACCTACCACTAAGTATGATCTATCCATCCCTAAGCCGCAGCTACTGAGAACCTTTGGCCTCCACCAACTTCGTTTGGATTTACAGATACTCCCAGAGGTATCTTCCGTGTTACTATTCAACTTCTCGCTACTAATATGACTATACAAGAGGAAAGTCATGCTACTTCAAAGATGGCCAGATCAAACCGCCACAACTTTCTCCTAGATCCGACAAGTACGTTTAACAAGGATTGTACACAGCGATGCTTCATACAGAAATGATCCCGCTGCTAGTAGAAGCCTTACTTTATTTCTACAATTCAGCTTTAAATAGGAAATCTGTAGTTTATCTGTCTACCTCAGCGACCGTATAAAACTTTCTAAGCCATGATGTGAAAATCGTTAATCACCGTCTAGGGGAATGGGCTTTCCTATTCGAACATGCATTTGAGTAGAAACGGGAAGTGACTCGGTTCACAGCGTGTAAATAAGAAGTAGTATTTAGTCTTATGTGTTTTCTCTTTACTACTTTTCTTTGACCCGTTCACCCCTTCTTTACCCCTGAGAAATTAAAGGGGTACGCCGCTTAGTAAGCTGTACCTCAGGGTATCTATGTTCACTCAGTACTGTTTAGGGTATAAGTGCGCAAGTACGGTAACTCCAACTTAACTTGGCCTACTGCTTAAGATCGGTCCTTAAAGTATTGTTGTGTTAATTTTCTCCTTCATGGAAACATGCGTCTAATCATCCACTCACCACACGCGCACTATTACCGTGAAACATGCGACTTGCATCATCGTCTTGCAATATCATAACGTTGCAAAGCACGAGGCCGGGATGGCCAACATAATAAAACATCGCTTTGAATACACATGTCGTTCCGATATATACCTATACCTAAATACACCCTTACACCAAATCCGGCGACTGCATGTGCGTGCATCCCAAAGAGCCGAAGGAATACATTCAGCCCCAGTACACGGTACATAAATAAGGTCCTGCCGCTTTCGTAACCGCCCTAATACGTAGGAGAAGTCGATGAGATATCGAAAATCATGAACGTCAGAGTTGTAAGACACAGTATAGCACAGGTAACGCGAGCTCGATAATGGCACGCCTTTGCTACCTTACAACTCCAGAAGACCGTCAACACCCTCGCTAACAGCAAACTATCAACCCTCAGTTGCGCTAGCTAAGACAGGACCCATGTATTCCATCATATACACGACGATTTTATAAATTTCCTTGATAATCCCTAAATAACCCTTCCCAGTGACTGGAGCACATCCTATGAGTCATCTATATTTGGATATAGATTCGGATGAAACCATAAACTATCAATAAGCGACTTGAGATGGCCGAGCGTATGACGACCACAAACGCCCCGAGGGCCGACAGTTCTGAATGAAATCCACCCATTTTCTACCCCTTTTCCGGCGCCTTATCAACCTCTTTTGATTCAGCGACTTATCACCAACGTGAACTTTGACCCATGGAGGCGTTAGGTATCGTCTCGAGCGTAATTATCATGTGACATTCCGTAATATCGTGATTGCATAGATTCCACCGGCATCAAGACTGCGGTGTAATTGGGGGTGTATGTGGCGTCGAGTGGAAGTAACTGGCGCCTATTTATTTCTTTTCCGTTTTTGAACATTCATGTATCATCGGGAATCTTTCCCTTTTTGAAAGGTTGTATCGACATATCGGGATAGCTGCTGCGAGTGTTACAGATATGTACAAGGAGCGATTAAGCCTAGTAGGATTAATCCGCTCTGCGCCTATGTTGGATGTTTGGTCGAACATCTTTGGCAATTCTTCGGAATTTTCCGAACCATCATAACATAGGACTGAATTAGAATTGGAATGTTAAGTTATCCGTAGATTTGTGCCCTTGTAGATGCGTCATATCTATATTACTTAGGTAAGCATCTCGCGGAGGCTAATGGGGCTCGAAGGACGCCGACGTCGATATAAATCTTCGCGTCTAAAAGATCCGACCCTGGCGAATGGCGATTATGGAGATTTAACCTTGCTATAGTTGCTTACTCACTAGCAAGGATCGACTTATCGGCTCGTGATGCCATGAAATTAGCATGACTCTCGAGGCAGTGGGCCATCAGGTGAAGCACTAGAGAACGATCAGTAAGTCTCGGATTGGTTCAGTCAGCTCAGCATGGATGGCTTACCTGGCCATATGGCGGATTTATCAAGCATATACGCCGTGACCCTCAAGATCTTGGCCGCATATCCGCCATGACTATCCATCTGGATGCGAGAATCAATACCACCATTGACATTGCCGCTTACGATGTCCATATTCATCTTCATCTCGGCAGTAGCTAGGAGCTCCTGAATCTTGTGAATGAGTTTAACATCCTCGTCCTCAAGGAGCATGATCGCAGGGACTCCTCCCATGTCAACATCGTCCTTGCCGAGGACACCAAGGTATCTCCCAACGCGATCCTGAAGCGTGGCAACCCATTCAGCAAGGACTTGTGCACAATCAAAGGAGCACATTGCGGACTGCACTGGAAGTTCCCGGCTGTTAAATTCAGCAAAGGTCACGCCTAGCTTGTCAGACATGGAGAGAGAGTCTGCAGCGTAAAAAGCAGCCTTGCGAAGGTGTTTCTCCCGTCTGGTTATAGTTCGACTGTTTGAACCTTGCGCCTGCGACTGTGCGGATAGCGGGAACTTGACAGCGGAAAATTCGGGGGATGACGATTGCGTTGGAGGCGAATCGATGAAAATTGAACTTGTGGCGGAGGCGTCGGATGGGTCTGTCGTAGATTCCGCGTTCGAAGACGGAGAATGCTCCGCGTGTTGGACAATCTCAGTTCCGCGGGAGAGCTCATCGGCTAAGCCATCCCAGTCTCGCTGCCAAAACTTCTCTTTAGTCCGGGACATATTGACAAATAACCGGATGTAAGCTAGGTCGAGCAAGGGAATAGCATCAGCTGATAAAGGGCCCATGCCAAATGGATTCGGACGTTCTAGGCTGTGGTGTGGGTTGCTCGCCCACGCCGATTGCCACGCTTTGAGTGCTGGTTCAATATGACGGTGCATCTTCTCGGTTTCTTCGTTTGTCCACATCTTGTTGTGGTGACGTTGCCGCGTTTCCCATATGTAATTGTGGAGCGCGTTGATCAAAACCAAGCAGCCAAGAGTGCTAGGTTTGAGCTCACTCGGTGGGATGTCATTAATCTGAACTCCTGGACCTAATTGCTGCTGCCCGTTGCCGAATGCTAACTTCTGTTGCTTCTCGTTAGTACGAAGCAATTCACTCAGAGCCTCGTGGAAAGTTGTTCGGTTGTGTCCAGCAGCCCGCACACCACCCTTCAACTGGAAAGACGCGGCACTTTCGGCTGCGAAGAACTCTTCATCGCTAGGTAGATCTAGGACTATTTCGGAATTTGTCAGTGCTGGAGTGTGATTATAGGCGGTCACCAAGAGGCTCGAGAGAATGAAGATGACGTAGAGAGTGCGCTTTCGCTCCTCCATCGTTTTCCACCTCAACCACTCAGCCTGTTCTTCGGATTCAGCCTTAAGTCCACCGTTCCAATTTCCTTCACCGTCATTCATTTGAATTTCTCGAATCTCCGCCGCATCCATTTTCACTGGTCGAAGCAGGCCGGCAGCTTGGGCAAGGCTGACAAGGGCGGCAGAGTGAGTCGAAGCGATATCACTCGCAATCTTGTCACCGCAATTATGCCCATACACAACATTCAAAAGCATCGCCTGGACTAACCACAGTGGCGTGTGGATGGAAGATTCCGGCCCTTGGGATCCCTGGTCAGACGACGGAGTGCGCCTGAAATCAGCCTTTCGCATGTCAGCTTTCCTTCGCTCCTCCAGATATAACTGGATCATCTTCTTAGCCATCTCAAATAGCTCTCTAGACTGGCTACGATCCATCTCATACAAAGCACCGATGGCTGCCATTGAAAGGACGAGGCATCCACTTCCACCAACAATATTCGGTCGTCCATTGCCTGAATTGGACGGGGTATCAAATGACAGGGTAGGAATATGTAAGAAGGGAAGGTGAGGATGGAAATAACGGAAGTAGCCTGAGACGTATCGTTGTAGATCCTGAGTGCTTGGTAAGTTCTTTATGTTGTCGGGGGAGTTGTCTGGGGTACTAGAGAACTGTGGAGACATAGGCGAGGTGGGTGATGTGAATGAATATTTACGGCCGCCAAATGGGGAACATTGGGACAACGCAGCGATAATTGCATTCCGTGTAGTGTCGGTAATGGTCGAGACGGGGGAGTGCGACTGATGGCCACCACCGATAGAGGTGGGCGTCTCCGGACCAGGGCCGAAGTTCATCGATTGATTCATGCCATGCGTAGTCAAGCCAGGCATTACCGATGGGCTAAGCGAACTCATAGATGGAGGTGGTGTCGAGAAATAGATGTCGCTCATATTCTTCTGAGATGACGGCTGAGGAGACACTGGTGCTCCATTCAAAAGGTCCGGAAACACGGTCCCGCTCATTTCCATGGAAAAGGGGTTCGTCATCTGAGGAGGACCCATCAATGCCGGTTGCCACATAGAGCTAGATGCGGTCGTCACGGCTGTAGGGTTAGAACCATCAAGCATCACGTCGCTGATACCACTCTGACTGGTGGTGCTCATCGCGGAAGGGGACGAGCCGTCAACAGCATTCTCGCCCGGATTGTTGAATGACATCTGATGCTCGAACCCCGTAAGCCAGTCAAAGCTATCATCTATATGCTGGCTGGGAGTAGACATGTCCGTCATTCCATTGCCAAAGGGGGACGTAGGATCCAACGACATTGAATGTGGAGATTCGGTATAGTGAAGCGCGTTTGGATTAATAGTCGAACCAGGCTGACCGAATAGCAACCCCTCGAAATCATACTCCGGTTGGAAAGGAAGAGGAGGCGCGGTCCGCAACCCGGCGTTGAAATCCATGTTGTTGATGCTGTGAGTCTCCAGTTTCGGGAGACCATGGCTCATACCTCTATGGCCCATTACGGAAGACATGCCGGCAAAGCCGTTGTCCATATTGTGCAATGGTAGTCCTACGAGGCTCTGGTGCCGGCTGTGGGTGGGAGGCATATGATGCTGCTGATTTCTGGCGACCTGAGCATTAGCAGCAGCAATCATATGCATGTGATTTCCGTCAACATGGCTAATTGTGTTTGCGCGAGGCCTCATGGAGGCATTCGCCGCGGCGGCTTGGGCGGAAGCATTTGTACTAGCAACACTATTCTTTCGAGCTCGGCTCTGAGCAGTGGCAGTGCTGCTAGTACTTTCGCGGCGGTTCCTGGGCCGCGACGAGGGCGTCGTGGTCTGGTGAAGCTTCTGCTGGTGGCGCAGGAGTAAGTCTCGTCGAGCAAAGCATCGCGTGCATTCAGGGCACTCGAATGGTTTCTCCTTGGTGTGGGAACGTTCGTGGCGTTTCAGATGTTCCAATCGGGCAAATGAGCGTTGACAAGTAGCACAGACGTGAGGACGAGGCTTGTCGGTCTTGGGCGGAGGAAACGGCGCGGGAGCGGTAGCAGTGGCGGTGGTGTTCACCGTAATGGAAGAGGCTTTACATATCAGTCAAAGTCAGTTAAACGAGTCAAATTGGTCACATTCGTGGTGGTTCGAAGGCAAAATAGTTCAAGCGGTTAATATTAACGAATTGATGTCGGCGTAGCTGACGGTCGCCGAGGCTAGATAGGATAATACGGATGGGGGACATGGAGGGGCAATCGGAAAGCTTTCTTGGAGGGCTTGGAGGGGATGTTTAGGAGCCATACCGGAGTCATCGTTGCCAGCATTGTTCCCTGAGACTGCAGCGGGCGGCGATGGGTTGGACATGACTGATTGAGAAGTGGGAGAAGCGGAAGAGATGAAGGGGGGGAGGAAATCCAACCGTCGACTACCGTCGAACTCTTGAAGGTCGCGGAATTGGAAGCAAGCAGTTTGTAGATATTTCCCTATTCCCTAAGATAAATTCAACGGCGGGCGGAAATCGAGGGTTGGGCGTAGGTAAGTGGGAGGAAAAGGCAGCGAGCGATTAGAACCGTTGATTGATTGTGGTTGAAAGTGTTTTTGCGCCTCTGCGTTGCGTGTGGTGGGGAGATTTTGGAGTGGGAGAAGACGCTTGGAAGGAATTAGACAGGTGGATTGGCTAGGACGTGGGTGGTTAGGCGCACAGTAGTGGGTAGGTTTCCAAGGTTAGGCGGATACCTCAGATTCCTTTGGAGGGGCAGAGCGTCAGAGCTTCGACAGAGCTAGAAGAGCTTGGACCTTTTCGTATCGATTATCAAATAACCCCTCGGTACATTGTACAGTACTATTGCCGTACTGTGTAGGTAGGTACGTGGGTAGGTAGTAGTGTACCTAGTATACCTAGGTACCTACGTACAATTCAACGACGGTTTCAACTGCCTGGGCACTACATGTAGGCTTGTAGGTAAGATAAAGAATTATGTTATCCCAATTGGAAATATCTGAACCAGCGGTCAGACGGCGAACTACGTGATGGAGGTTATAAAGGTCGGAAAAATAGATAAAGCAAATTTGACGAATTGAATTTGTCAGGTAAAAAGTAGCTAAAGGAAAATAACTTCCAAAAGGCAGAATAAAAGAGCCTTAAAAAACCAAACCGGGTAGAACAGGACCGGGTCATTCATTGGGTTGGGTTTAAGTTACTTGAAGGCAATTACGACGGACCATTGCCACAGTGTGATTTCATCTCACTTTTCAGGGCAGGCATAGAGGCAGAGAAGGACAGGTTAAGGTTGGTAGTGGGCTGTGAAATCAACTTAGCAGGTCATTTGATATGGCTAAAATTGCTTGTATTACCAGGCAAGTACCACTAAACCATGTATCTATAACTTCGTTTAGGCGATTGCGTATGGGCTGATCTTGCGCAAGGGCAGCCCGTTAGTTTCAGGGCATCTTACTCACTGACAAGGGATCCACGTACAGGGGTTTGTACGCCTACATATAGTCTGATTGGCTTATAAGGGAAGAACCGCCGGAGCCAAATCCACAGTTGAGAGTGGATTCTGGTCACAAGATGCAAATCTAAATGATGTATATTATACATCGATTCCAAGTAATAGCTATCCATAACGTTTGACAGGGAGTCACTTCATAGATCTTACCTTTCTCTTGCCTTTCAATTTGATTCACCAGGCCGGGTTGCATTCAATGTCCGGTTCTCACATTTTACCAACGTTCTTCTTCTCAACCACCGGGGGCGGTCGTTTGCCTATCAAACAGTACCAATCATCAATTCTCGGATATTACCCTCATTGCTCGAGTTGCTTTATCGCTTCTCGTAATATATGTTATCACAGGACTAAATCACCCGTTTAAATATTCGCTTAGGTATCAAACGTATTTACGGTGGTCTTTGCCGTTCTTACTTGGTGTCAGCCTCTTTGCCTACCAATGAGATGATCTTCAGGGAGTTACCTGTTCCACAGGCCTGCCCACGGAGCGAATTCGGCGAAATGGACCTTGGTAACCGATTTGGATCTGCTCTGGTTTGAAATCAAGCCTCCCAAGGCTCCAACAGCCATCGCGCCGCGAAAGAGACCCTTGGAGGGGCTGGAAGGGGACCGAGGGGCAGGTTAGCTTCGACACAACTCGTCAACTTCCCTAGGCTAGCTAACTGGCTGGCGAATCTGATGGTTCTCTTCGGTCTGTTAGCGGCCTGCAGGCACATCATCGCCTCTTGCCTCGACCAGTCCGGTCTTCCCTATATCTGCACCATGGTCCCCTTTACCCAATCGAATTCCTACATTTTAGAAGACATACAGTACGTACATGTATGTGTATGTATGTAGTATATGCACTATCACCATCGACGGCGCCGGATGAGTCGATCGAATTTTGCGATCCCGGCCGCCTTGCGTCAAGCGTTAGAGTCTTACGAACGTCTTGTCATTGGCTAATATCGGGTCCGTCTTCTACACTATGACTACGTATCCCGCGCTTAGACGTATCCAGCTAAGCATCCATGGCCATTCCCACAGAAAGGCATCTTTATCATCTATGTTGCATGCCCCTAGAGCTTCACACCACACGCAACACACGCGCATATAGCACAAATTACGTAGTACACACTATTGTTATACGTTCGCCGCCAGGGGTTCCGTCCAGGCCAATAGCCCTCTCCGGATATATATAACGTCGCGTTAACGATGGTAATCTAGGATTCATCTACTCCCGTAGTGATGAACCAAAGAGGAAGTTTGTCTCGGATCCAAGGAGACGACAAATCATTCAATCCGCTCAAGTGGATGACGAGGAGTGGCTTGCCTTTAAGCCTTCGTATCTCATACGATTTATATGGAACATACACATACTCTAAGTGTTCATGCGAGCCTTTCTTCGTCTCATAGGTAATTATGACAAACAAGTATTGCGAGGATATAGATATATCTTGTTACCGTTACCAGTTCCTTGATGACGAGGTTTGCTTCTCGAAACAAGGACCCCCTTTTATGCGATAGACTAAAAATGACAGGCCAAGCTAAGAAGACGCAGGCTACTGCTAATCCGTACCTATCTAGGTTAACTACATGTGTGTGGTAGGTATTCAAGTACACAGTTTATATCCGGATCCACCTAATATACGGGTCTTCACAGCGCGCTGTAGCCGCCGAAGATCGCAGCTTGCAGCTTGCTATTAGCTACCTATGTACTAATACACAGAATCCATTTCTTCGCTCACTCGAAATATCGACGGATATGTTTACGAATTGGTCCCTGAATCGAATATATGAGAAGTCTTACCTACATGACCAGTCTTACCTGCAGATAAGTCAAGCTTCTTCAACTAATCTAGAAGTATGCCGATTACATTTTCACCTCGCGAGGCCTAGAATATTTCCAACATCCTTCCTGAAACATTGTAAACTCCGCCAACATGGATTTATTAAGCCTTAGAACTTTAGCTTCACGGTGTTATGGCTGTGCCTAGTAATATATTCCGCCAATACTGATCGTCGCTCTCCCAAAAATACGGCATAAGGTATGGGCTCGACGGATAGATACGTTTTTGTGCGACTTAGCAAACCCGTCAATGAACAACCTAGAACAGCCTGTTCTCGTTGGTAGAGAAAACGTGGCATGACACACAAAGATGTATGTATAGGGAGTCTACTTGGTCGAGTAGGTACCCATTCCCTCATAAGGACATACGCTTCTCAACACTAGCCACGTATAATGCAATCCTTTTCTTATCTAGGGATCACTTGACGGGACTTCCACTCATTTCTCGAGCCAATGATGAAAGCTACCTTCCATCTAGGTCAATCTAGCCTCCGGATGCACAACCACGATTTTGCCTTCCGCAGCGACAGCTACTATGTAACTGCGGAAGCAAATCAAATACCTCGGATTGGCTGATTTGACAAGCCAAGAAATCTATGGTCGCCCTTGATGGGGACCACATAGCCTGATCCCTTTTTCTCGGGCTTTAATTATTATGGTATTATTAACACTCACACCTTGTGCGTTGCGTCTAAACTTCGACAGTCAAGAGAATATCTCTTTATATCGGACCAAATATCCCAGAAGAACCCTTCTAATTTCATGCCTCTTTGTGTGGTCTGCCGCCGTACCCAGAAAGAAAGTAAAGATCTCGGGCTTCTCGGGTTCGGTTAGCCGAACCAGCTAGGGCAGCGATAGGTTCCTAAAGAGCACGTTTGGGGTATCAACGGCTTAAAAAAGTAACCCTGCATGCCACGCAGTTCGATATTATGGCGCAATGTTCGCCCGTTGGCCATGTCGCCTCAGCCAAGATTTATCGAAACAGGGGTAGAACGAGGGTACGAACGAACCCACCGTTCGTACCATTAGTTCCTTTTACATAACTGCCTACATACATAGCATGACGCCTCCCTCACATACGAGGATTATTTCTAGAACACCGGTTTGATTATCGAAAAGCAAGACATAGCGCTTTTCGTTCCATATATCAAGACGAAGAGACGCAGCGTACGACATCAATAGGTACGGTGAACCCAACACTTGAGCAAGATCCACCCTCCCCGGAACTGAGACTACGATGGTCTCGTGAGAATCAGCTTTAACCAGGTACCTAGGCGAACATCCGAAATATGCATTTTATGTATGAAGAAAACACGAACCGAAGTGACCTCGACCGGAATTGGCCCCCGACTACCGTTGCATTAAACGATATCGTTTCGTTCAGTTCGTTAAGGTCTCAATCTCAATCTCTTTTCGTCACGCCGATGCTTTCTGTCAAGCGGATCGATGGATTGAACAAGGTCGTTCTATCATATCATCACCTATCAAGCCCAGGGACGACACAACTCCAGCATTTACTTCCATACCCAGGCTGCCAGGTAGGTAATCGGCTATTATGCAATCATTATTATAGGAGCTTTCCTGTCCTCCAAGGGTCTCGGATAGCAGGGGTCAATTCCTCTCCGGACAATTGACGAATCAAACCCTTGGGTGATCTGCTTCACCTTGATTATTCACCTTGGCACCATCTCACACCGCAAGAATCCGATATCAATTTTAAACCTATGCGTGTGAGATGGCGTTAGAAGCTAGTTGGATGATCTGTCAGGTGTATCATTTCCGCTTATGCCCAGATCCTCCAGCTACGTAATATTTTTCAGCGCTATGTCGTGGCCTTCATCCAATAATGCACAGTATACATGTTTTACAAAGAAGGTGGTGAATTTATTATACCTAACTACTAGCTCTACTAAGTGTATCGGCTCAACTTGAGGCTGGCCTTGCTCGACATGGATTTCTCCAAATATCTACCTAGTGCATACCTATATGTATGTATATTGCTAATATCGGGCGTAGCCGAAGGGATAGATATGCAGTACACGAAGGACCCTGCGGCGCTTTTTGCAACCGTTCAGAAGCATCAATGGAACATCGGTATAGTCGATGTCGGCCACTATCCACTGCCATATGTAGGGCTCCCAATCGGCACGCGTCCACCTTCACGCATATCGCGGAGAGGTTACCTCCCGGTGCTTCGGCATCTGGGGAAAAGACGATGCAGAAGTCGCCCTTCCCCCAGAACCCCAAATTTCTCCAAAATCCTCTTCGGGGTCGGATCAGCGCCCAGACAATCGCTTCAATAGATGGAGCAGTCTGGGCCACTAGGAAGCTAATAAAACCCGTTCTACCGCATAGCACCTTGATCTAGGTTTTTGCTGCTACCCTTTCGAGTGAGCTCCGACAGCCAGTGCGAGTCTTCTGCTGCGCTTCGAGCTTCGGTACTAACCAACCCGCTTTATACCTGAAATAGAGAGATGAAAAGTGTGAATTGTCAGGTGGACAGCGTTCCAGGGTTGCACAAGGCATGAGCTGCTATTGTCCGTAGGCCACATTGAGTTATGTCAGTCAGGATGCTTACGACTCTTCTTGGTATCTTGACGTTAAACTCAAAGCTAAAGAAATACACCAATGGGCATTGAAGCTTCTGTCCAGCCTCCCAAAAAGTTGGCATTAGCTTGACCTAAAGTCGGGCTGAAGGTTGATCTGATATAGTCTTCCATCCCAACGTTCTTGTCTAAGTGGTGAATGAAGTTACTTCAGACAGCATCCCAAAAAATATGCATTGTCGTCTATTTTAAACGACATCCATACGACGTCCATCATCTATACCAGCGCGCCGGGCTACTACTTAGTCTGAGATGCTAATAAGTCAGAACACGACCGCCTACTAATACGCATACTGTTGGTTTCCTAATATTGGCTACCAAGTTCTGATACATACACTACTCCTACAAGAGCAAAGCGCCTCACCTTCCGAGGTTCACATCGATGAGCTTACCCTGGTCTTCCCCAGGTTTTCCACAAGTAGATGGCGCACCGTTGTCCGTTATGTGCAGGGCTAGACAGGGAGAACAAGGGTGGGATACCTTTCTAAGATATGCCGATCACTTCCAAGAGCTGCGTATCGACGGTACATACTTATTCCCGTTCATAGTGTAAGTACTTTTTCGGGGATGACCAGAATTGGAAAAGGTCGATCCTCTTCAATTCCTTCGACAAATGAAACTCATCTTGTTAACCAATGGCTGATTGATGAATGGAATGAGTGCCAGATTGAGCCCAGCATCTTAGCTATACCAACCTATTGTAAGTTCGCTCGTTTTAAGTCCGTTAGTCCCATGACGTCGCCCCCATTATCCGTGCCTGAAAGCTATCCAACGATGTCGACTAGTACCTATCCATTAGTCACGTATTATTAAAATACGCTATCCTACCTTCAATCCACGATAGTTAGAACAACCAGTCCGGACTTCTTCAGCCAGCAGTCCCACGAGCTAGTGGTCCAGGCCATCGGGATGAAACAGAGGAACAGTAGGTACCCAGTGCTTACGGGCTCGTCGGACGGAATCACATTCGGCAACCATTGTCAGACCAAGCGGAGCCGTCGACTAGCGTATCGACGGCCCCAGTGTAGGTGGGCATATACTTAAGGTCTTAGATTCTTCATCTATTGTTAGAAGACGTTTTCTAGACCACTATAGCCCTAAGATTCATGGAGCCGCTCGTGTGGGATTATTTTGTCATCCTGCAGTTCGCGGTCGCAATCTTTGGGCCACAATGCAAGCCGTTCTATGCCGTGTCCAGAACCGGTGGTCAACTATTATGGACTAAACCCCATGCAGAGTCAAATGCAGAGTCAACCAGGACGGCTGGACTAATAATAATCTCGGACCCGCCCAGTGGGCATCCGCTCTACTGCAAGTCATGGGAATTTTTTTCACCGATGTGCAGATCACATACCATAACGATGCCTTACCCGCAGCCCGCGTGCCTTGGGTAGAGATGGCATCAGGCAGTTCGCTGGTCACATCTCGAAGGGACAGAGGACGTGGGAGCAGCAAGCGTCGCATTGCAGAATGCAATCGACTCTAACATGTAACATTTCCCACAACGACATTTCGTCATAGCCTACCAATTAAGCATTATTGCGTCGATATAGTAGATGGTCAAATGCCCGAAGCAGAGCAACTTCACATGAAGCCTTGCTGATGGGTCCTTGTTCAACTCTTCCAATTTCCAATTGCGGACCAATGTTGCTAGCCAGCTGGGTTGTATATTGCCAACCCAGCATCATATCGTTCCCCCGTTGTCGTATAACCTTAGTCATTTCGACTCGAACGGACAAAGCCCAAGGGGATGGTACGCAGGTAGAAACGTCTGTAGATACCATCCGTGGCAAAGCAGTATGTATGTAATAGATGAGCATGACATCGCCACATTTATTGCATCTGCGTATAACCTTCAACCTATAACTCCGTCGGCCTTCACACCACTTCCGCGCCTCATCAGCAAGGACCCGTCTACTACCGTGACGCAGCCCCATCTTTTGCCTTCTCGTATTACCAAGTTGATTCCAACTGCTCGCCCTATCCGCCCCCAACCGTAGCTACACCCGCGGCACGAACAACGTGGCATGGTAAATCAGTATATAAAAACGTATTCCGAGCACGTTATCTAATATCATAAGAAAAAGAAGATCCACGGTCTCGCATCTCCGTATGTATCCCTAATCCATATAATCTAGTCGCCAAGCTCGGCACCCGCTTCGATCGCTCCCGTATCATCAGAATACCATCGGAACCACAATCCGGCAGTCCACACCCCCCCTATCTGCCTCTTGCTTAGTTCTCCGTTGGATCTATTCAAGCCCCCAGGGAGCCAATTACGAGAGGCCTTTTCCAACAACTAAGAAAATGGCCCGTCTGCTTTCGGGGTTAAAGACCCTGATTTTCGATCGACAGCGCACCTGGGAGATCCACCGCGTTCTTCCTTCTCCGGCTACCTGCATTTGGGATCTCGGCCGCGCAACCCACGCAACGCCTCGCGCTAGCTAACGCTTTTCCCCGAAAACTGATCGCCACGGCGGCGGAACTTCGCAGCTATGGCCATGCTCGTGTGTACGTACTTGCCTCAACTACACTACAGACCTAAGCTATCTCGTAACTCGACCGTGTAACAAGGTGACGACGTCTTACCTAACCCCAATCCGGTAGCTCCGCCCAAGTCACGCTTTTCATCGGCGGCGGAAGCCGGTAGTTTGCGAGGTTGAGTGGACGGGCATGCCGCGGCCGAAAACGTAACAACGAATTTTTATATCTACAACGTCCAACCAACTCACGCTAGCTAGCAACAAGCGATCGTTTAGGCAACTCGTCGGCTGCGCTAAAACGTCTCTGAACTAGTCGCCAAACCGAGACACGAGACTGCTTACTTACCTTACCTTACCTCACCACACATCTAACCTCGCGGCGTGCGGAATCATCATTCCCAATCGCAACCGCAATCGCGCGTCCTTAGCTCGGCCAAAAACCCCCCCACCGATCCTTTGCCTTTCCCAGCTTTCGCGCGTGGCCAAGCTACCTACCTAGGTACGCGGGAGAGGTGGGCTTCAGGACCACGCAAGCCCTGCTTTGCTTTACGCTGGCGCTCGCCCCGACGCGGCCCGAGGCTGCTATTTTTTTTTTCGCAAGCCGTCCCCAAGATGCCCGCATGGGGGCACATCCCTGCCTAGACGGCGCGACGGGGCTCGTGCTAGCGGCGACGGCGTCCTGGCCGGCGCGTCGGGACGAGCGAATGGGCCGCCGGTGTCGAGGGACGCCGTCGTTTGCCTATGTTTCAGCTACGTTGCCTAAAGAAGGGTTCTAGAATGTCGTTGTGGGTGATGATCGCCATTGCCAATTCGCTCATTGAGAGACAAGTTACAATACGTAGGTGTCGGGTAGGTAGGTAAGTCATGCTGGTGTCCCGCTTCCGGGACCCGAGACGCCGTTGAATCCTAAAGCCAAGGGATCGTCGGACGAGAGGCGACGCAATCTTTTCTCGTGGATATCTTAGACGCGGTTGGGACGCCGCCGCGTGTCTGGGCTTGCACACCGCTGATATATATCCGGCTTTGGGTGTCGTGTCTTACGTAGGTAGGTAGGCGGAAGACGCAAATGACATATCCGGGTAGGCTGGCGCCAGCGTCTTATCTGAGACATATGCGCGTTCCTACCGATGTCATCTTTCCTTTGCAGCGCTATGTAAATCAAGGATCTGCTACTATAGTGAGACTGAGTTAAATAATAAGCGCCCGCTGCCGAATGGGTACAGCCGGCAGCAACCCACGAGCCCCATTGGACGGATGGCGTGCATGATATAGGGCTGCTTATGGTGGCTGAAACTCGCAGACCGGTGTGCCTCGGGCCCGATGATCGTGCGCCGTGTTTGGGTTCATATGGAGAGATCCGGAAGCCCACTTTATAGATGAATACTAGTCACACCACTTGGAGGACCCTTAGCTGTGAGAGTGACGGAAGATATCACTAATACAGCCGGATGCCTTGAAACAAGTGACATCTCCTGCCGGATGTCTCTTTTGGTCAAGACCTTAAGGGACGGATATGGATATTTCCATAATAAGATCCTACGGGTTCTATGAGCACGAACATGTCACTTCGCTGGCGATTGATAAGGGCCCTGTGTAAGATACCTAGCCAGAATGACATTTGCATTGAAACTGTGGACGTATGGCGGCTTCAGCTGAGAAAGTCCCTCGCGACGTCTCCTGACATGTTCCCTATAACCTGTCTTGACCTATCTCTAGCTTCCCCTTGTTCCACGTTCGTTGCCGGGCCGCCTCTCCCGACATCGCCCATATTGCCAATGAACTGCCGCGCTTCGTCGAATGTCCGCGCGTATTTGACGCTATTGCCAGTCCTCTCGTTCACCTCCGTCAAGGCAGAAGTACAGAAGCTCACATACTGCTTCAGCATGCGATCATGATCGTCCAAAATCGCAATGATAGAAGCCATGTCGATTTGATTGACATTCGACGGGGCGAGCGACAATGATCTAACTGCGGTTTCTAGGCCGCATATTTGGCCAGTGAAGCTGCTCACTGACGTCGCGATTTGGGTCTCGAGATCTTGAAGCTTGCTTTGATTCTGACCAATGGTTGATCTGTCAATGTTAGTTAGCTGCCCGGTACAGATAGCTCCGTATACTGAATGCATCTCTCTCACATTGTTGCTACCCCTAATGCGATGTCTAGGGTCTGCTTGCAGTTTGCTAACTTGGCTTTGAAGAGTAAGATGTCATCTTCTTTAAACTGCAGACGTAGCCTATCGAACCAGTTGACGTGATCGGTACCAGAATGAGAAGTGAGTCGAATTAATTTAGCATTGAACCCGTCACAAGCCGCTTTGCAATCATCTAATGCAGGTTTCAATCTTCCAAATGTCAAAGATTGGGTCTGATTGACGCTCTTGGTACTTCCGAGTTCTTTCTGCAAGGAATCAAGAAGACTTTGTAGTATGTCGAGATCATTACGAAGGTCTTTAAGGTTCTCTGGTGCGTGCTTAAGGGCGGAAATGGTGTTGCTGAGAGATTTGAGGCTCTGATACGCGAGAGTGGCGACTGCGATGACGGAGGCAGTGATGCTTAAAGGGTCAGCCATATCATTATCTCTTAACTTACCATCATACAACCTTAACAAGTGAAGATATGGATTATATGGCGTTTTAGAAGTCTTTCTGCCTGTCTCAGATGCATCGCGATGAATATATGCAACCTTGGCTTGGGGGCTACATTCTGAGATATTATTCGCCCATGATAATGATTAGTGGCGTAAAGGGGGTAAGCGCGAGTCAATCCTAGGCAGAAATGCAAAAAATGGCCCCAATCGGAGGAGAAATTAACCCGTAATCAGTAACCCGTAATCAGAAGCAAGCATACGAATTCAGCGACTTTGATAATTATTACTCTCAAGAACTGTGTACTTGTATGACCGTATCATTCAAATGCCTATCAACGTTGGTACCGCATATGCGACAGGTAATTCTCGTCAAGTTATCGGTAACATCATCACGAATTACCATGGAATTCCTGGAGAAACTGAAGAGGAACGCGAGTGGAAGAAGGTCAGGGATTGGTTGACGCCTTCCGGAACCACCCTTCAAGCACAGTCCCACATTCATGAACACGCAAGGTCGAATAGAGCAGACGGAACGGGAATATGGTTCCATAACTCAGTCTCACTTGCGGAGTGGCTAGAAGGATCTACGTCGCTTTTGTGGGTTCACGGGAGTGGTAAGCTTATTCTTCAACTATTGAACTAAGCTAGGGATACTGATATCGCTCATATGTGCTACAGCTGGATGTGGCAAGACCGTGATATTCGCAACTGTTGTAGAAAAGGTGCTTGGAATATGCCGAGCCAGCAGCACCCAAAGATGTTGCTTCTTCTACTGTACAGAGCGAGTCGAAACTTCAGATGTTCTCAGTTTCCTACTGGTCCAATTGTGTCGTCTAGGAGACGTCGGCTCGCATCTCAAGAACTTGTACAATGATAGTAACGATGTGTTTCCGCCGAGAATACCAACTACCAAGGAACTCACTAGAACTCTGGAGAATATCTTACGGGACCTTGGACCAAAGGAAGAAAATATATCTAATTCAGTTAAACGGCCTAGATTGAGTAGCCAATATGCTATTTACATCCTCATTGATGGTGTGGATGAGATCCCTTTTGACAGAAGGAGAGAACTGTGCAGATTGCTGTCGCACTTGGCTGGACTCAATATGCCTCACGTCCGTATCTTTATCACGAGCCGAAGCCAGCTAGACATCCAAGAAGTGATGACTAGCTCTGCTTCTTGGGGCCAGTTTCCAATAGAAAAAGGAACAGTGCAGCCGGATATCGATCAATATGTTTCATGCCAAGTCGAATCGGAAGAGCGATTTCAATACTTGCCAACAGATGCAATAGAGGCGATAAAGACTAGAGTTGCTGGCCAAGCAAACGGAATGTAAGTCGCGGCTTTAATCATAATGCTATCTAGTACTAACCAAAAAAGTTAGGTTTCTCTGGGCCGTCCTTCTGTTGAAGTGTCTGCCTCGGCTCAGAGTCTGGACGTCCGAGGATGTCATGGAAGCATTGAATTCCCTGCCAGAAGATCTTAATAAGGCCTACTCCAAGATCTTGCGCCAAATCGACAAGCCAAGGATACCGATGGCTTGTCGGGCACTGATGTGGCTAATGTTCTCTAAAAGGCCTTTATATATCGAGGAACTCGTCGACGCCTGTGCCATTGACCTCCAGCAACAACCAGTGCTTGGCAAGCGTTTGCAGCCTTATAATATTTTCGAAATGCTTCATGATCTCATTTTAATTCACCCTCCCATCATCTCGCGCTCGGATCATATACCACCTCGCACACGGACTGTTACTTTATTCCACGCATCTCTTAGGGAATTTCTATGTAACATTGAAAGACATGGTACCGAAGTCCCTCCTCAAATCCTACAATTCGATCTTAAGGAGCCAGCCGCTCATAATTTGATCGCTAACTCATGTTTCGATTATCTTTATGAGTACAATAAACCAGGCTCTAAGCGAGACGAGTTCCCCCTTATTGAGTATGCCTTCTATGAATGGGAGAGACATGTACATTGGAACAGCCCGGATACCCTTCATGTTCAACGAAATGCCGATGCAATAATTCGAACAGCAGCACTAGACTTATTTATTCGATGGAAGCAGTTGTTAGAAAACCGAATCCTAACGACAATGGATGAGGATAAAGAGTTCTCGGATTTCTTGCGTGAGAAAAATGGTGTCAAGTTTCTGGAGGCAATAAACACGCCATACTTTCACCCGAACTACGATCTCTTTCATCTACCAACTACATCTTCAAGTATATTCAAACCATTGCCGACGTCACGCCCTATAGTGAGGTTCTTGGAAATGCTCCCCTGCCTCGATACGACGTCAAAGCTTGAATGCCGTTTGTTTGAAGCTGGTCTAGACGAACGTCCAAGATACGTGGCATTGTCCTATGCCTGGGGAAGTCAGGCATCTTATCAAGATGAGATCTTAGTTCAAGGAGTACCATTTCAACTTGTTCCATCGCAAGCCCGACTTCTTAGAGCCTTGAGATCTCGCGTGGACGGATCTCCCTCTGCCATTTGGCTGGATACTTTATGTATTAACCAAAGGGATTACACAGAGAAAGGATACCAAATTAGTCTCATGGATCGCATTTACATGCAAGCACACGATGTGATCATTGTGTTTGGAGAGCAAATAGATACTGACAGGCAAGGGATCAATGCTCTATACAAGTTTGTGGAAATATCAGAACCACTACAAGGAAATAATGCAACAGACCATGATAGGAACATCGAAGAAGCATCTACCGCACTTCAGTCACTGCATTCAGATGGATCTATCAACGCCATGGCTGCATTATTCAGAGACCCATGGTGGAGTCGCATCTGGGTTGTACAAGAGGCAGTATTAGCAGCAAACGCCATTGTCCTCTTCGATTCCTTGTCATTCAACTTTAATGCTATCGTACAAGCTATTAAGGCCGAGGAGGTGATAATTTCCGCTTTGCCACCTGAAATAAAAGAGACCTTATTCGAATTAGAAAGCAATGAAGGATGGCAGGCGGCAAAAAGGATAATGCGGACCCGGTCTCAGTGGAGAGAATCCGGTGGTCTACCTCTCTCTGCATTATTGTGGCGTTTCAGATCCCATAATTGTATTGTTCCTAGGGAAAGGATATATTCACTCCTAAGGCTTTGTAGAGAAGAAACTCCTTTCCATTCCTCTGACTATGCCCAGCCGGACTTATTTTTGTTCAAAAAGCTCACAAAGTTCCTCATTCAGACTTCTACGTCTCTGGACATCCTCTCTGTGTGCTCCGCATACCAACAATATATAGCATACGTGGAAGCGGTGCCGTGGATCCCGTTATTAATGGAGAAACGCGATACGGTCCCTCTTATTTTAGGAGTGTTTGATTGGCCAGTGCCTCGAGCTATTTACTCCGCCTCCGGTGATATATTCCCTGGTCACCTGGAGCTCTCCAGCGACTATCTCCTGGAAGCGAAAGGAAAGATATTTGACACCGTAGAGGTTGTGGGGCCCTCCCTCGATATTGGAATCGAAAGTTTATGTCAACAAATATCTCGGTATCAGGAAGACTACTGTAGGGAGACGTACCTCGACACAGAGTCCCTGATCAATGCCAGATGGAGAACGCTTTTGGCGGATCAGTGGCCTCTTGGACAAAGACTAAGAGGAGACGACACAATAATGAGAGGCTTCAAGATACCATCATCTGTAGCTGAAGAGAAGGACCTACTTGCTCAAGAAGGCATCGCCAATGAAATGCCCTTCTTAGAAGGTCGCAATATCATAGTCACATCCGCCGGATACCTAGGTCTAGGCCCTGAAGAAACTAAAAAGGGAGATAGGGTCGCATTATTAGCGGGAGGTGCTGTCCCCTATATCGTTAGACCGCAAAAGCAAAACGAAATAGGGATAGACCGGTACCCCTTTGTTGGAGAGTGGTAAGTGATGTTTATAGGCGCGTTATAAGGGTTTGGCTAATGTCATCTAGTTACATCCATGATTGCATGGACGGTGAAGCCTTGCGGCGACTTCCTAGTTTCAAAAAGGAATCACACAAGTGGGCAACAGAACTGGTGATCAACTAATACTGAGGTCATCGCCGACCGTATTGGTATGACTCAGAACCGCCAGAACCGCCGTACATGCGCGAGGGTTTCCGAAAGAATATTAAAAGGACACCATTGACTTTAGGAAGACATTGTCGCTGACACTCTCAGTTGGCGAACAGATAAGCTTCACTTCGACACCAGGATCCATTATCTTCCGCCTCCCCATCGGGTCAAAATGTAGTTTGATCTACGCCTTTATGCAATTAGAGCCATCCACAAAGCGTAGGATACGACAGGCTGCCAGGTTTTCACCACGTCTAACATGGAACGTATTCCTACTACAGACGAAGTACACGAGATTCTCACACAGTGGCGTCTTTTCTGCTGAGAACGGTTCTTCGATGTCCTGCCTGGACTGACTGCCTGTACCTCAACAGGGCTACTCTCGTGCCTCCTCTAGAGAAGTATGGCGTAATTAGATCATCTCTAGGCGTCAGAAGTTCAAGGATAATGTCGCTCGTCTAAAAGATAAGGAAGAAAAGGTCAGTTACGGCTGGCGTTGGCATGGTACTCCAGGTTATGGCCATAGTGACGCACGCTTCAGTAGCGGACACCGAGGCGTTCGAGAGTGGAAAGCCACGGATTATGTATCTTGACGCCAGAGGGAATATCGTACATCACTTGAAAATAGAATAGGATAATGTCTTTGAAACCCAAAGTTCAGAGGAACGCAAGCTCGGTATTGTCGGTGAGGATTATAGGACTGGGATCAAAATGGGTTGTGTCCTATATGGCATTCGAGATTATCCGTAGCTTGGTATCCTTTGTGTGGAGATGGTAATGAAAAGAATTGCTTGCATAGCACAAAAGGACGTGTAGACTACCTACCTACCTAGGTACCTACCCACCAGTCTACATGATAACGCAGATTGGATCTCAAGTGCTGTGGTGCATGGGCCAGCTGGAGTGCAGTTGTCAGTTGCCTAGGCACCTACGTAGACACAGGTGCATTGACCAACCTGACAAGTTGCAAAGGCCTTATAAGTATTATTAAATGTCTGTCTTCCAGCAACTAGCAATGGCGCACTAAGAGAGGCTGTCTAGATTCCCTTCCCGAGGCGAAGAATTAGCTTATTGAGCTAGTCCGCCGGAATTGGTTGGTGCTCTGCAGCGAGGCATATCTTACCCTACGCCCCTCTTTTTGTCACCATACCTAGGTATGCAGGTTCAATTCACATTAAGTACAATAACTTATTTTTTTTAAAAAAAAGATGATTTTCGTTATTATTCTGCTTTTTCCCCCCTACTACATAAAAGTGCCCATAAATTTAGAGAAAACTTTGACATCAATTTCTTTCGGTCAATCAAACGCTTGAGTAGACTGGGCCAACAATATTCTGGTTCCAACCTTCTTACGAAACTGCATACTAGAAACTAGCCTAAACACTATCGCCGACCCGTAGAGATGATACAGCGTAGATTGATACCTAGGTCACGCGTTTTCGAGCATAAATTGATGGCTATTTCACGAAGACTGTGTACAAGTTCTAGTGGTGTGAAATGTGAGCCTTGGATTAGCACGTCCGTTACGCCCCTAGAAAAGGCCAAAAATAACTATTACACGATGCCGCATTAATATTGATGCCATCTACTACAAGACAATACGAGGAATGTTCATGGAAATTTCACAGCAAGAAAAAAGTCCATTGGGTATCTGAACTCCTGAAATCAAAACCATTGCCAATGGCCCCTTTGGCCTTCGTACATTCCCTGCAAACGCCCCACTGCAATGTGAACCATATTCCCGACCCTGAACTTTTTTCCAGTAGTCATGATGTCGAGATACGACGAACTTAGGAGAACTTCGTACGTCTAGATAGATACAAAGGTCGAGAGCGAAGAACCCGCCACCCCCGGTATGACGGGTCGGGGAGGCAAAGTCCACAAGATGAACAGGAGCCGGGATATCACTAAAATGGGATATGTCGAGGGAGCGCCGTGCAGCCCACCTTGCCATCGTTCTCGTTGGGGATCTCCCAAGGTTTGGGAGGATCCTTCTTCCTCCTTTGGCTGCGCTTTGCAGCCTCGGGATCCACCTCCAATAGCTTCCCATCGCAACAATCCCAGTAGCAGGTACTAATCCATAGCTTGAATTCTTCAAGCTTGACTCGTCCTTCGCTAAGGAAGCCGCCCCCGAGCTGTCGGGTCTTGTCATCCTGATCTAGCTGGTCGTTCCACGAGCGCAGCTGTCCTATAAATCCAGAAGATTAGTCTGCGGCTTGTCATAGGATTATTCAAGCTTAGGGGATTACTTACCAGGGTGGTACTGGCAGGGACCGAGGAAACGGTTGCCAATGTTGTCGGGGTGATAATGCGTCGTTGGTTGCCGGAACTTCTCAAAACAGTTCTGGCACGTCTTCACGCTATCACTCAGATCCAACAATTCTAAGTTGGAGATTACGGCTCTTAGGGCCAAGCGAGCACCGAGGTCCTCTCTCGCGAAGTGCTCTTGGTGCTGAGCCATGACGACAACTTCCCTCGACACTATGGTCTTTGGAAGTGGGGTCTCTGGATCCTTGATTGCCGACAAGATGTAGCTTATATGATCATATAAGCTCATCTTATCTAGCTCAAGGGCCGCGAGAGAGTAGACTCTGCTCGCGACACTCAGCATTCCGCGGAGAGTTACGCCGCGGGGCCCCGGCTGGCCACCCGAGAAAGCCTTCTGCTTCCATACACTGACTTTACGCGAGTTCTGTCGCACGGTTGTTGACTCTAAGGAACTCTCGGCGTCAGATCCGTCGACGTCGGATCGGTCATCGTCGCTCTCCGGGTTCGCTTTGTGCTTTTCCAGCACCCAGCGGCGGACTTGCCGATGCTTCTCTTTTCTTTTGCGGCGGTCGGTGGCAATGGCTTTGGCCGATTTGGTCAATCTTCCGCTTCTCAACTCCATGTTGCCTAGATAGAACGCGTTAGAAAAAGCTTAGGAAGGGGAACCCAGGAAATGATCAGAATCAACATACCTTAGCAAAGAGAAGATCGGCGCGTAAAATAAACGAGAGATAGCTGTGCGGATGGTACGCGCTAGATAGACGGTTAATAATGAATAAGACGACTGAGTATTGGGAATAGAAGGGAAAGCCACGGAAGTTTGAATGATAATGGGGATATTTACCAGTGGGCCAAGATGGCGAGTGAAACGGAAGAAAAATTCCGGCAGCGTGATCAGATAACAGATTGAATGTAGAGATTGTTATCTGTGAATCGTAATAGAGTGAAGAGAATAATTTGGTTGATACTTGTAGCGAAGGACTGGTTCTGTGCGCGTTGAGTATAGACAAGGTATGCACTTGAGTACTGGACCAGACCAAGGAAAGAATCTCTGAAGAAGTAAGAAGCAAAATTAAGAAAGTAGGTGATTAGGACACCGGTATATATAGAAAACCAGAGGATTGGATAGTGGGGCTACTGATTCTGCAAAAAGGTAGGCCGGCAGCTGTCGATAAATGTCTCCCAGGAGATGGCAGACAGGTGACTCAGTATTGAGCAGGTTACGCTGGTCATAGCTCTGCTATCGACGACAATTGTCAAGGGAGACGGTCATGGTGACCACATTTAAGTTTACTAGAGCAAGGACCTCGTACATAATTGCCTCCTAAAGGTTAGGTATCCAGCCGTATTATTCGCTGTTTACCTGCTGCCTGAGGGTGGCTGCCCCGAATTCCTTACCTACATGGTCTGAGCTTTACTGATTAACTTTCTCATTGTGTAAGGCATCCTAGTGTACGAGGAGACGTCGACATGGTCTTTGCTTTTTTTCTGCCGAGCGGAGGTGAATGTCGTGTAGACGAACCATGTGAGCACCCCGCTGCCAAACCGCTTGAACACGATCAAGTGTCAGGAATGAAGGCAAGTAGATGTAATAGAGCAAGTATTATCTATACAACCAACCGTTAGTAATTAACGAAGAGGTGTCGTCTAACAATATAGAAGTTCAAAGAATTTCATACATGTAGTTAGATAGGAACGATAATTACAAAATACCACCTGTCAGTCGATTACATTCACCGTCCACGTACACTTTATATTGAATTCATGCCATGAGTTTGCAGATGATCAGTTTAGTGACGCGTTACCTACGTATTTTGTGTTGTTTGCTCCTCTATTCACCATTTTTAATTGTATATCAAATTCTCCTACAATTCATGTGATTGAGATGGGGGTTGATATCTTGCTGCCGTCGTAGCTGTGGCAAGTAATCGATTACCGCCTCACCACATCTGCTACACTCAAAATACCTATTTTCCTACAAATTTTTATGATGTATGAGAACGGCATCGCTTTTTATTGTCATTCGGAGGCTACTGTAACTGATGATACTATGTATGGAGGTTACCTTTTGATGACTAATACTACATCGTAAAAGGGGTTGCTTAGTCATCCAAGCAGCGCACGGCCAGAGTGTAGTACCACTACATAGTACATAGGCGAGTAACGAGTGGCTGACTCAGTTATTTCACCTATTTCCAAGTGAGTAGCCGAGAGAAACATGAGAACACGAAGGCATGTGACTTGATATCAGTTTTGCGACTCGGATGAAATGTAACTTAAGAAACCCAAGTGGTTCACTACCATATGATTCTTAAGGTTGCCAATACGACCATTACCCCAAGTGACTAAATCACATGAAGTCTAACATATCAGGTCCTTTTCCCATACGAATTTACAAGTATACAATCTCTTGATTCTAATGGTATCTTATGCCATAACCGATAACAGTTTACAATAGTACAAATGTTCTCCACCAAACCAAACCATGCTAGTCCCGTGCATAAACCGCCCAAACGCGGATTTGACAAAAAGTAACCGTACACTCATGTCATGTCATGCCATGGTTCTGTTGTTCCTCATTATTCCAAACGGGCCCAAACAGGCCGATAACGCAAATGCTATATGATGATATTCAAACGAGTTCCAAGGCTCAGTCGATCTGCGTCAGCTGGAGCAAAGATTCGATGCACCAAACCGTCCACTCGAACATGCCCTGTCCCAACCAGGTGACCCCGATAATGATCTCGACGCAGAGTACGAGGCTTTGCACGACCAGCCCGGTGACAAGGTCGAGTCACGAGATTTTCTTGGTGCGATTCTTCGCGACATTGACCTTGCTGCTCAGGATATCCGTCTGGTTGTTCACATGGTCCAGCATCTCGGTCTGCTCCTCGACCTCGCGGTTGATTGCCTCGGCCATCTCGCGCTGCCTCCGAATAATCTTCGTAAGCTCCTCCACGTCCTGATCCTGCTCCTTCATCATCTGCCGTTGCAACTGCACCACCCCCTGATTATCCAATTCGCGCGTGCGCTCAGTCTCCGCAAGCGGAGCGCCTAGCACTCTCCTCCCCGCCTTCGGCCCGTTCCCAACCAGCGCCGCCTTGTCCGCCGCCGACGGCATAACTTTCTGCGACGCCTTCGCGGCCGCCGACACCGTCGTGCTCAGCTTCTCCAGGTCCTCCCTCTCGACCCGGGCGGCGGCGAGCAGGTCCTTGCGACGCCTAATCTCGCCCTCGCCCAGCCGCTTCGCGTCCTGCATCGCCCGCAGCCCGTCGCCGAGCACCGTCAGCAAGCTGCCGGCCTTGACCAGCGCCTTCTTGGCCGCGGACCCGGCCTCCAGCGCGGCCGAGTTGTCCGTCGCGCTGTCCCGCTTCGCCAGACACCGCCGCGCTTCCTGGAAGTCGCGCTTCATCTCGCCGTGCAGGTCCAGCCACGTTCCCGGGTCCTGCGCCGCCGCGGCGTTCGCCGCGTCCCGGTTCGGCACGCCGTACCCCGCCCTTATGCTCGCCGCGCTGTTGCCCGTGCTGCTCATGCTCGGCAGGTTGAGGAAGGTGCGCCACGCCGGCGTGTCGCGCCATCGTCGGTCGGGGGACTCTGCGATGGCTCTCAGGTAGGCTTCTAGACCGCGCCGCCGTTCTTCGGTTAGCTCCGGCGACGAGACGGTCGATTTAAACCATGATTTCCCTGGTAAGGGGGCGGGCGGTGGAGCGCCGACTAGGGAGGTGAGCGTCTGGTGTAGCGTAGCGAAGTCTGAGTACCGCTTCTGCACGACGAAGGTTCGGAGGGGGAGGCGTAATGTGATGTTGTAGAGCGTATACGGCTTCGAATTGTCGGAAGGTGGGTGTTGCGATGTTGTCGGGATGGTGATCTCGGCGGGCGGTGCCATACCCCTTAACTTGGAAAGCAATTCTCGATATGATTTGATGGGAATTTACGCGATAAGAGCTGCTAGTTTCCAGTGAGTGGCGATATCTATCAAATACGCTTTCAGTCTTGGGACTTGACGTTGTTGGGAGAGAATATTCTACAGTTGTTGATGATTGGGGGTTAGAAATGGGAATGGGAGATGAAATGACGAATGACGAATCGCGAATAGGCAGCTGGAAAAGAGTTGAGCACGAGACTCGGCCGCATGAGACTCGGCGTTGTCGGTAGGCGGAGTGGGGCACTAGAGAGTCTTATAATTGCATAATAGTTACCTAATACTTCATTCTGTGCATAAAGTACTCATATAGTTGCATGGTTATGTAATTATTGCTTCACCGCGTTTCAGCCTCAGCAAGACGATCTTAATCTCTGAAGTTGAACGACATGCCACCATTCTATTGGCGGTCAATAGCTAGACTGCTATTGTTTTCTTTTTATTTGTAGCTGGATATGAATAGTGTTGTTCTAGCAACGCTGATAGGCATATCATCAGCCATCGCTATTTGGCTGGTAGGTCTTTTATCGAGAAGTTTTATCATGGGCAAAATAACGTATCCGTAGGTAAGTTGAATATGAGGAATTAAAGTTAGATATTATAGAGTTAGACTTATCAAAGATCGAACTCAAATGGCTAGCAATGAAAGGCGTGTAATCATAGTTTGGTCTGGCGAGAAGATAATATGGAAATTCCTACAGATAGAGACTTGGCAACATTGAGAGCTGATACTTTGATCGTCACGTATAACCAGAAAGCGACACGTTGTCGGCGCATCCTAATTACTATGTCTAGCATTACGTTTTTCGCGACGCAAAGCCAACAAAATTTTTGCCTCGGAAATCTCGGGAGTCTAAGAAGTAAGGGTTAAGGTGAAAGCGCTAACTATGTCACGTATATGTAAACCACATACCAACATACATATGGAAATCTATGTGGCGTCTCGGACGGTGAGTCGAGGCGTCGCTTACCGTGACCGGATTGAGCGAGTTTTGTCAAGGACTCAAGGTCCACGACCTTGGAAGACTTGAGCAACTTGTGATATTGATCTTCCCCAGATTTAGGATGCGTGTACCAAGGATGTTTCTGAAGATCCCGATTTAAATTAAGTCATAGTCCCTGATAATGGTGGGGCCTCAGCTCGGTGTGAAGTTTCGATAATCGAGATAGCACCAGATACTATTAGAGATCGGCTGTTTAGTAGCAAAACCAAGCTGCTTGTTGACTTGACTAAAGCAGCTTTCCTCTCGATTATTCCGTTGTGTCAACCAAATATTTCATTGGTCCTTTACCTCGGTACTCCTAGTGGTCAGCCTTCGAAAAGAAGCTAAGAACGGATACTAAGAGAAATGTGATGTCATGTTGATACAGCGAAGAGCTAGGGATTTCCATCATAGCTTTAAGACTAAAGCTAACAACAATGAAAGAATGACAACATGATGGATAGAGCCGCCGAGAGCAAATGTTTGTTCAAATGGTTCAAAATTTCGTATCGTATGATAGACAAGAGACACTGAGACATGATTCAGGCAAATCCGGCTGGCATCTCTCGTTTCTCTACAGAGCCAGCTAAATGAGTGTTGTTCGGTCCGTTCTGTATTGATCGTCTATAACATCTTTGAAGCGTAGAAAGGAAATCCTAGGTAGTAGATGTAACACTTGTTGAATCAAAGTTTTCCACGTGTAGTAAACTTCCTGTGTAGTAACGTTACTGCCGTATTCCTTTACTTGCGCAGCCTCAGTAGTAACGAAGGAATGGTCCAATCATTGAGCGCAGTAAGGCGCAAGCAGGTCAGCTAGACGCACGAGAAGCACGAATTATCAATACGTGCAGTGTACGGGTGTACGTGCAGAATTTCCATGCGTAGGGATGGGGATTTGAGGGATCTAGGGACGGTGAATAAAGTTTTGCGTTACTCAAGGTTTAACGGTCCGCCTCTTTCCAGAGTGCCGGTACGATTACACACGATTAGCGTGCTTAAGCGAGAATAAAAATAGGCACTACGGCAACACGAAAGTTAGAAATCGCTCAGTGCCGAACACCCATTTACCCACATTTTTACCTAGATCTTCCGATGCCAACCAATAAAATTTGAGAAGCTCTCTGATAGAACCTTTGGGGCCCACTAAAAGGCCCGCTTATAGTAAGGCGAGCGTCGGCATATGGCGCGACCGTCTTTTCCTTTTCCAGCCTCTTCTAGCAGAATGACTCGCTGCTACTTCCACAGCCCCCTCACCGGAATACGAGATCTTGGCGGCCCAAAGCATACCAAGATCGGCCACAGACGTCACACACAGTCCGCTTTCGTTTTCTAGAACCAAAAACTCATCACCAGATCTTAACCCACACGAGACGAGCCGACCACATTTTATCATACCAATACTGCAATATACAAGAGGATCATTTTCATATAAATGTTTTTGATCTCCCCGTTGTATCTAAATAGATTTAGAGAACATCATCAAATATACATATTGAAACACATCTTATCAACACTGCTTATATCCATTTAATCGACCACTCATACGACTTGAACATATTTACCCGTTTATATCTACCACATATCGTCTCTAATCTAATAACGATCATAATCGATAAACGACAATGTTCAACTTCATCTCAACCCTCGTCACTCTTCTGCCTCTGGCAATTGCAGCGCCAGTAGGCCTCAACACCCGCGACAGCAATCCCGGATGTCAAGCCTCTTCTTTCGGCAACTTCGCATGGCAAGTTGAGAACTTCGACTACCACGCCAGCTACATCTTCACCACACCTGCGCACCAAAATTCGTGGGGATATGTCAACTTCAACCTGACCAACCCGGCTCTCGAGTACCAGGCGGTCTGCAGCGCCATGAGCAACCAATTAAGCGACTTCTTCTACGGCACAATGGCTTACAACTGCACCGTTCCGGACGGCTCCACCACAAAGACCACATTCGACTTCAGCCGGCCAAGCGGGGTCTTGAACGTCAACCAAACTTGGACTTGCAGCGACGAAGACCCACAATACCCGTAAGTTGTAATCTTTATATCAGATGAATTAAATATATCCTAACAGTTTTAATAGTACAACGATTAATGCCTATGGCACTGCCAATCTGACTCTGGCTTGCACAGATGAGACTCACCTCAACCCCAACTGGACACTCGGCCAGATCTACTCCGACCGGGAGGTCAAGTGCACGCCGGTGACAATCCCGTTGAAGCCTTACAAGATGACAGCGGTTGCTTAAATCATCTTTTAATATCGCATTGTTTTGGTTATGATGGTGTTGTTACGAAAGGTATTGGGTTAGGAACTTGGGATACGATCACGACATTATGATATCATGTTATCATAGACATATACATATAATGGCGACATGCCACGGAGACGAAGATAAAAGCATACATATTGTAATAAGAATATAATCACATATTTTTCTTACATGATCAAGACTTCCTCATTCAACTGAGACATACGAACCAATTGCTCTCGTACCTGCAGGTTGCTGCAGGTGTTGGTGTCACAGTACCATGAATTCGTATAACTAACGATGCTGGTGCCGGTGCCGTTCTCGAGAACTCTCACATCGCGAAATAGCTCAACAACTAACATTATTACAATAATATCAACAGCCAATTCATCATATCATATTATTTGAATTGGCACATTTCGATGCCCCCATTTGTCTTTGCGACCCATCCAGAAATACATGTCTCAAAAGTCTAAGTCTGATTCTGAGTTACGGAACGGACCGCAAGTCTCAGATCCACTTTAGATTAAGCTTAATCGCTCGTGGAAATTTGAGTGTCTTTAAATAGAACAATTACACCTAGTCACTCTATGGTATACATCAAACTACAGCATTCAGTCTTATTAATAAAGATACCGGCATTGAAATTTGAACGTAACGAAATCGTAAAGCAGAAGATGACGGAAATGACGAAATCGAAGAAATTTTCGATAAAGCCGAGACAGCCCCTCAATCGGCCTATGACCCCTGTTCTCCAACCACCCAGAATACCTAATTTGTGCATATGCAGCGAATATCCAGCAGGGTTCCGGGGAGGATCGCGCTGCAAGCCAGCCGACGCCAGCCAGCCAATATTACGACATGGCGGCTGATAGAGCTGAAAGATTACCGCCGCATCCCGCCTTACGCCCGGTGATGTCGTCAGCCGCCATCAAAAGAGAACTTCTCGAAACATGTGAGTAATTTACCTAGCTGAAGATCATTTCTCGATCGTATATACGAGGTACAAGATATGTAGGTAACCTTTGGATGGTCTAAGCTAGCATGGGTATGTAGCTAGAAGGTAGGTAACCAAATACCGTGTCCCTTTCTTCCGCGCTTTGTGCAACGCGCCTTCGATCCAGGCGTCCCCTCCGCCGAACTCATCGGCCAATTCAAGTACCAATATATCTTTCGTACCACTCATCCTCAGCAGTGACTTCGTCGCCCGCGCGCTCGCGCAACTTGGTCCTGTCGCGCATTCGTCCCTCTCCTTCTTTGCACCCCACCCTCCCTCTCCCTTTCCTCGTCAGCGCAAACCCGCTCAATCGATCCGATCTGACTCTCTCTATATCCATATTCCCCAGAGGTTTAGCTTGCTTATGCCATAACGGCTGCCACATCCGCGATCAGCGAGAAAAGGCTAACACCGACCCGTGCAAAGTCATCATCGAGGGGTATGGGGATGGCTTCGTATGCGATGGATGGGTAGGCGTTGGTCTAGAACACTGGCACTAAGGCCAAAAGTTGGCGATGGGGGAGAGGTAAACGTGGATGGCGCTGTTACTGCTACTGCTACTCCGGCTGTTATTGGTGTTACCGTTATCTAAAAACCAGTAGACATGCGTGTCGAGAAGGTCATCCGTAGCGATTAGGAAGACGGCAGACGGCGCGTGCGGGAGCAGGGTAAGCCGGAGCCCTCGGAACGACCGCCGAGTCTCTCGCTTACGTTTAGCGACTTAGCCGCCGCTTCACCGTACGGCTTATACAGCAAACGGAGCGTTATTTTCATCATAGCGGCAGACAGACACTGCGCTAGTGTTTGTGTCGGGGGTCATACCGAGTGTCCTAGGTAAAGGAGAAGTGGGCTTCTCGCGAAGGCGCTGATAAGAAATTTATGCCATGAAGAGGAAAGGTAGTCAGCGCGCTGTAGTAATTAGGGCAACGTGGTCAGTGTAGATCTTCGGGATATTGCTCATGTTAGTGTGGGAGTGAGGTAAGCGGACCTAACGAGACTGAGTGGTATTGTCTTAGCTATGATCTGAATTCTCCTGATGGTTTCTACTTCGGGGATCGCAGAATTCATGATTCTTGCTTGCGGTTAGCGGTTTGAGAGTCGTCTACAATGCATGTTGCTAACGCGAGCCGCTCGTCAGAGGCGCTTGGGATGTCATCAAAACTCGTTGACCTGATTGATAGGCCTGATGTTCATGGTCAAGGAACGGTATCCTCGCTTGTGTAGGAATTTGCTGTATATCTCCTTCACGTGAGAGTTGAATGACATAGAGAACAGGCAATAGAAAGATCACTAAGCAAGGCTTAAGAAGACGTGGAGAAAAGAGAGGTAAGTAAACGAAAATTGAGACCGATCAGACTACCTAGGAAAGTATAAAACACACGTTTAAGCCACGAACCTATCTTCAATACACCTATCAATATGATATAGGGGCTTATTTATCACAGGGTATCAGATATTGAACTCGGAAGGAAAGTTATCTTTTGATTTATCAAATATGACTACATATAAGTTAGAAACAACTTATTTATTTTATTATCTTAATTATTCCGTGATCTCCGCCATGGGTCAAAGACAACTTATCAGCTTCTCAACTATTAAACGACATCATCTATTGATTGGGACACTCATCCTTCTCAAGCTTGTCAGCGATATCAAGGAATGACTTTTTCCGAGAGAGCGGGGTTGGCAGATGAAATTCGCCCATGGACATTACTGTTTCAGTCTCGGAGAAATACAAACTACCATACGACTGTAGCTGAAGCTGGGTCAATGGGGAGAAATTCTTGTAGTTTTGCATGGCCCATTTTAATGGCAGTTCCAGCACATGCTGGGCGTTTAATTCGTAAATATCCTCGAGGGTTAACGTGGAAAGACATTGGTGAATTCTGATATAATTTGTGTTCCCCTCCTGCATGGTCTGGGTGCCCTTGTCTTTGTTGTGCATTTCGTTAGCCATTTCGAATGTATTGATGTTTAGGAATGCCTTGTCTTTTCGATTATTGTTTTGTAGAAAGAAATTGTTTGCGTGGGGAGATGTGTAGTATAATTCTTTTATGAAGTGGAATTCTTTTAGAGAGAGATATATAGGCGCGGATGATAGCATGAAACACTACCATGTTATCGTTCAGAGGTTACGATTGGGAACAATGTGGGAAGTTAGATGGTGTGTTGTTACACACTGATATCAATATTAAACAGCGAACTTGTTTATTGACATTGTGAGATTGTACTCCTATAGAGGTAGCTTAGCATAGGGACAGAGTAGGATGAAGATGAAAAATATGATTTATCATGCTTATTTCTATTTCTAGGTATGCTTATGCATTTACGGGACCCAACCGATTTCTTCTATCGGCCATTGAATCCATAATCGGTACCCTTCGTCTAATACGGAGTATATCCTCCCAATCAAGTGAGAACCCCATCCCTCTATCCACCAGATGTAATCCAGACGTTTGAGTAGGACGCAGAAGAAGGCCAAGACGCTCAGCGCTTCGTTATCGTGTCCTTTGGTTAGTTGGGTGAATCCGTCGCGGATACCAAACAGCCACATGAACACACCCCTGACCCGTTGGTCATCCATGATGTTACCGCTATGGCAGAATGCAAAAGCTCGCTTCAACTCATCTATCGCGTGAATCAAATCATCCAGTTTTTGGCCGTCTTTGACGTAAAACCGGACTGTGGTCTCCAGTTCCTTGAGGCCTTCGTGTTCGGGCGGTATCATGTTCGTCCAGATCTTCTTCATCTGTTTCCCAGAGTCGAAAATAAATCCCAGGGAAAACATAGAGCTCATAGCTTCACCGTTCAGTTCCACCACGCGGCGCATACCCCTGAAAAGATGTAGCCATTGAGGCATAGCTCCGTTAGAGGTTACGAGTAAATCACTCGACTCCTTGGGGCTCGCAAAAGCAATGAAGGTAGTTATCATGCTGAAGAAGAGGATTGGTACCGAGTTCTCGGCGTTGAGGTCATTAAGTACAGGCAGTGCTAAAGACGATGATGCATTTTGATGTATCATCGCCCGCTCAATGAGTACATCTTTTCGCTGAGGTTTGCACTTGGCCAGGTGCAATGCGGCAAGTGAAAGAACGCTGTTGAGGACATATTGGTAAGAGAATCCTATTCGCGGAACATTCACACGCCAAAAATTACGGACCATCGGTTCGGTCGAGAATGTGAAACATGTTGATGTGGTGAAGTGGTGTAGCAGTTCAAGATCGAGGGGGCTAAACCAGTCAACCGGTGAGTGGTTCAGCGCCGAGGCTGCTGGGGATGGGATCTGGTTCGAGATAGGAGTGTGACTGCCATTACTACTGCCGTTCACATCGGGAACAGGGCCTACGGGCCCGGATGAGACAGCAAAATCACAGGTAATCCCGCGTCTATTATCCAATCAGCATTCCAATGATATCCCGGAGACGGCCCTGCAGTCAATCTATGTACGACCTACCTCAAACAGTTCCGACAAGATGGGCGCGTCTCATCGCACTACAGAGATTGATTAGAAAGTCCAAGGAATATTGGTATATATAGATTAAGCTCACCTTGACCTTCCTTGACTTGCAGACTCGGCACCCGGTCCGAGTCTTCGCATGAGGCCTTCGGGTGGGCTTCTGACTTGGTGATGCCATAGCTTATGTGGACAGCGTACAATTACCTAAGACCGGACAAATTGAGGCAAAAGGAGTTGTTGAAGTAGAATCTCGGAACTGCGTGGCGATTACGAGTCGTGCAGGTCTAAGCCGAGAGGGCATAGGGTGGCATGGTCATGCAAAGCTACCAAAAACGACGATCCCAGTCCTTCTTTATGACTCGTATTCGTACAGGGTCCGAGATACGAATTAGTGTCAAACCCCCAAACCCACCTGCCCACTTAGCCGTCTAACCGCGTGTTCATGCGGTCAATTACATATTACCTATCTAACTTCGCATGATTCTTCAAATTCCATTAACAAGTCGCGCTTGAAGGACTGTTCGCGTCGAAGATATCCCGAAGCGCGTCTGGAGATAAACAATACCCGTCAGACCTAGTATCCTACTAGAATCGGTTTGCCTACTCTGAACTAAGTCACGAATCTATTCTCTTTTGGTCATGTTCTTAATTAGTCGGGTTCGTGATTGTGATAATATCCTCCGCGCCATTGAGGAAAAGTGGATCCTATCGTTAGAGAAGGTACCGTAAGGGGTCAAAGAAACAGAATTTACAATCGTGCTGTTGCTATTGGCAACAATTGTGAATTAGGCAGCCACAAATTGTACCATACCGGTAGACATCCAAGCGCAGGGGACGTAACCTGGCCAGCCTGGCATCAAGTGGTCGCTTAAGGAATAGTCACATTCAACAATTCCATAAGCTTCAACGATATTGGTTCGCGGGTGATAAAAGTGGACGACTAGCATAGGCTTAGCTGGCTTGGGCAGTTCGACCCTCTGTTTTAGGCGAGTCAGAAACTAAAAGGGGTTCCAGTCTCCACCGCAAATCTGGGGTCGGCGATAATGGTAGTGCGGGCTGTTAATGTTGCCCGGGCCGGACTCTTGCTGCATTGATTCGTTGACCTTGATAATCACCATGGTCCATTAATTCCGGCCGACGACGCCGATATCAGAAAACTAAGCCCGTCTCACGTACCGGTCGCTGACATGGATGGAGTGAATATTATCCACCCACCATTCGCCGAGATTTTGATGATGTCGCAACTCGGAGTGGCTTGTAAACCGGTGGACGTCACCCGCAGGAAGGTCCGCAGCAATGTCTGTCGATGTTTTGCGACTCCCTAGGATATCCATTGCAGGTAATTTCTTTAGTGATTTCTTTATTAGGCGATAGCCTTGGTGTTCGTGCGAGACTAAGTCTTCCCAATCATTGGGGTTGACTTCTAGTGTCGTTGTTAATGAGCACACTAGCTAAGTCAAGCTGGGGAACCCTTGAGTTTGGCTGGCGAAGGATTCAATACGAGTCGATCAACAACACCATTGTGTCGAGGTATTCCTATCTTGGCCCAACAAACTGAAGGCTATCAGCATTCTATGCGTATCATCGTGTTGAAATGGGAGCTCACGGATGTTGCCGTCCTCTCCAATCCCGTTCACGGCGGTGCTCCAGCAGATTAGGTGCCCAGGTGGGTATGGGTTGATTTAGAATTTTAGCATTCGCCGATCTGATTTACTCGAAATCGTCGCAGTCGATAATATTAGCATCAGGCAGCAGCATTCTGTACCGTCGCAGAACATCTTAAGTTAGTCTAGAACGCCAACATGACCCTGATTATCGCCAGGGGCACTCCACACATAATGCTTCTCAACGGACGGTCCCGTAGAGTTTTCCATCTGAATTAGCTCGTCATGCCGGAGAACATAGCCCGCCCCAAGAGAATGGCTTCCCAGATGCGGGTGCATGTTTGACGCTTAAAATAACGGCGAAGAGATGAATCGACGACTCGATAGACTTAGCCCCAGGTGGACGCGGAATTGTGTAGCATGATGTCTTCAATAATAGTCACGAATTAGCCATCAAGCAGCCCACACTTGACTTTGATATGTGGAATAGGCTTGTTAAGAAGTTGAGATAGTTGTTCATCAAAGTACCTACCTAGGCAAATCAAGCAATTATCTATGAGACTAACAGCTATATATGGCAGTCTCATTCCAATTCAATCCCTCTCGAAGGCGATAGAAGACAAGGTGCGAAAACATAGATTCATTTGAAACCTCGCGTTGTAATAGATCATCTTCCCCGGCACCTGCAGGGGTTCGTCAACTACCGATCCAGTTTTTAAGGTAGTAGTTAGTACGAGGTATCCGAGATGTACGAGATCCGGATCCAATTTGATCTAACTTAAGGCTAGGCATAAGAGATCATCCTGTCTGTGCAAATTAGGAAAATCGGAACATTCCGTCATCGTAACATGTCGAGATCTTGATATTACGGTTTCACTACCTATTGGTTAGAAGAACAAAAGAAATCTTGACAGTTTCCAGACTAAGGAGACAATAGATATGAGATCCCTGAGCTGCCACAGCCTTATATCCGCAGCGTATTCGTTTCCACTTACTCAGCCTATGCTATTCACAGGCAAGACCCTGACAACAGTTTCATAGTCGCTCCAGCATTTCCCATTATCTCTATAGCCCTAAGCTAGAAATGCATAGCCACAAGTGAAAAGGACCTATCCTACTATTAACGTAGATATGTGCCAAGCCGTGAATGGTACGAATCTCTGTCCGAGACTCCCGCATGTTGTTGTATTTACGCGCAAGTTTCAGGCCTAGACTTAAAGCTATGTAGGCTATGCGTGTAAGGCTGAGAGTATATTCTCCATGCATCAAGACTATAAGAAACTGCTGTAGTTGCCACATTACAACGACAACCACCTCGAATCGACTCATTCCCAAAGTATCTCAGTCTTCAGCTTGACTATTATCTTACAACACAGCATTTCCCAAGCAAGCCAGTCCTGGAACTCCAAACTTATCCAAAATGGGTCTATCAAGTGCTTTGACAAGGATGGCTCCTTTCTTCAATAGCCGTTACAAGCTTCCCGTTCATATCGTCGAACTATTGTTGGTTTTCGCAGTCATTGTCCTGTCTATCGTCCGACTTGCTATGGGAATGCCTCAACGAGCACATATAATGGGAGTTGCTATCGTGAGTCCAAGCACATTCGACTACATCAACTGAACCTTAAACTAATTTTAATATTATCTTCCAGGGTTTTAAATCGGCCTTCTTCATTTTGTACCAGCTCCTCACAGAACACACTCAAAAATTCTCAAGGTGGGCCAGTAAAAAGGCCAACTTCATTCTCAACTGCATCGACTGCCCTTTCTGGGGTGCAATGATGTTTTTGTTATTCCAGGCCAACATAACGAAGACGTGTACCGGAACTTCTTGTGTTGTTAGCTGGATCATGGCGGTTTTGTCGATTGCTCTATTGTAAGTTTCGATGCTCCGTTTAAACATAAATGATAGCATATGAATACTGACATAAAATTTAGTCTTTTGTCTCACTGGGTTGCTTTCGAGTCTTATTTCGAATGGAAATACCCCGCCAGCACGAAAACCACCCCAGACAATAGCGACGGCAGTTCCTATGAAGTAATGAGAATAGACATGGAGTCGGCCGCTGGTAACAAGCACGTTGGACGATAGACACACATGATACCCATGGGAACTAGGATACTGGCGATCTATAGATGCCCACATACGCGAGTTGATAGAAGGATTACGTAGGGCGGGAGCTTCCAGGTTCACGGTGGGATTTTGTTATTTTTTAGATTATGGCAGTTTTGGGTATGGCGTCTCAGATGGTTTTATTCATAAATTAGGCCGATAGAAATATATTCCACGTACTCTTGTACAATCATCTCTCTCTTGATGTTGAAAAAAGCTTCTAATTCTGGGCCATGCCTCTTACTTACATCGCCAAGGACGCCGAGAACAAGGATGGACTGCAGTTTTACATGGTACATGATGTGTAGCAGTGTTATTCAACGAATAACTACAGAAAATGTATAAGAGCTCAAGCATGAATATTCTAGTCAGCAGAGTGACACACGAAAGCTACTGTCTAGGTACCTATAAGGAGAACATTATTGGAGTGGAAATTTTGGCCGCCTTAAACTACGTGCTGAGGGACTTATCTTAACTAAACAAAATTCCTCAGAGAACAACTATGGGAGATATACAATTCCTCTGGAATTTGCGTTTCAACTCGAGTTATTTCACTGCGTGTAGATGTAATATGAGGAAGCTGATAGAGCCCAGCATTGAGGTGCGGTAAATTGTGACAGGGTCATATAATCTATGTACCTATAACTCCGAACATAAAAAAACATGTAACAGATCTCATTCAGATTTCCGGTCTTTGATAAACACCTCTAGAGGCGGTTTCTCCCATAGTGCATAGATCTTCTGCTCATTCCAGTTGCTGCACTTTTCATCTAAAACAAGGTCAAAGTTCCATAATACTCTAGCCATGATCAACCGCATCTCGTGGTACGCCAAATTCCGCCCGATACAGTCGCGGGGTCCAAAGCTGAATGGGCGATGGGCATCGCGATGGTCGTTGTAAAATGGCGAAGTAGGATCCGTGATAGACTCAGGAAGCCACCGTTCGGGAATGAACTCTCGGGCCTTGTGAAAGTTACGTTCGGAGTGGTAAGCTGAGAGATGGTGGACACCGACAACAGTCTAGGAAATAATGTTAGATCAATCATTGACACGAAACAGACTGGGAATTGGCCTCTTACATTCGGCGGGATTTGAAATCCTGCAATACGCACAGGAAGCTTCCCCGGAACAGATCGAGCAAGGCGCAGGGGAACAGGAGGGAAGAGTCGCAAGGCTTCGTCCAGGCAAGCCATCAAGTATGGCAGTTTAGCACTGACTTCCTTGAAGGTGATGGCATCCTCTGTTTCGAACGCATTGCGAACCTCTTCTGTAGCCTTCTTGAGCGCATTGGTGTTCTTGAGCATCCAGAATGTTGCGCCACTCAAGAGCGTTGCTGTAGTTTCCGATCCAGCGACCATTAGTAGATCGCTGTTAACGGTGAGCTCGGCGTCGGTCAACTGGTGCTCTTGGCCGCGAGAACGCATGATGTAGTCCATGAAGTCACCTCGATCAGCTTGTTTCCTGTGATAGATACGGTCGTTGACCAGCTTGGCGACGTGCTTGTGGTGGTTGGCTTGCGAGTTGCGGACCTGGGAACCGGCGGCAAGCTTGAAGAGTAGCCCTATGGCAGGAGACATCGCGATCAAGACCATGACGGGCATATATTTCATCGACTTCGCGATGTTCTCAATCCACGCGTTTGACTTGCCCTCTGCCAAGCCTTGCAAAGGAGTGCCGTATGCCAAGTCTGCGATCAGGTCGAAGGTCGTAAACTCGTACCACTGAACCATATTGGTCGGCTTGCCCGTTTGGGCTACTTCGCGCAGCCGCTGAACTAGCAGGTCGACGTAGACTCTGATGAGCGGTTCTTGTTGCCCCAGCGCCTTATCGGAGAAAGCAGGCAACATTGCCCTACGGTATCGAAAATGGTCCTGTGCGTTGGAGGAGATGATTTTCCTAGGGTCCATTTTTATTCCCGACGGGTAGCTCTTGGGAAACTCGGCGTGGCCATGGCCGTAGATATCTTTCCAGGCTTGGGCGTTGGTGAAAGAAATCTGGTCTGGAGCGATCCGAACAGCATCGCCATACTTGTCGTGAGCATCGCGCACTTGAAATTCAGCTGTCCCCCGCACCATGCCGATCACTCGCGTAACCGGAAATGCGATCCATAATGGTGGGCCAGGAATATGTCGCAGAGGGTGAAAATATAGATTATATATCGCTTTGAGGCATGTATACACAATGCCTAGCACAATAGCAAGGCCGAACAAACGTAAAATGTCGTATATGGTCAGTGAGGCACCGACCTGCTGTAATAAGCCCGCCATCGTGCAAAATTTGGTGTTGCAGATTTCAAGGTTGGCTATTTGGAGGTCAACTACAAGCGAGAGGTACCCAATATGTAGAGATTTATATACGTCCTCTATCTTGAGATTATGCAACGTGGCTATGCACCTAGCCGCTAGATTCCGGGTATCCTTGGGGCCATCAATTTCCTAGAACATGCCTGTTGCTTGTGCCCCCTATGTGCTAATCGTAAAATCGTAAAGCCAAGCCCCTGAAGCGCAGGGGAAGATCATAGTACGAAATCTACCACAGTCGCAATTGTTACGTATTCCCAGTCATTTCTATTTGAAGCGTGAGCCCGCAAAACTTGGGATGACTAAAGTCCTTGTTAGAAATAGTAACTGGGTAATTGGCAGATTGGGCGATCGGACCATAGGACGTGCGGCAATGCGCATCGTCAATCAGCGCTCTCATGAATACCACTCCCATGGATGCTGGGTCTTTTACGAATCCCCGATTGGGTGCTATTTGCTAGGCGATATAGATCGGCTTGCTGTCCCGCTCGTCTAACTGCTTACGTACCCGTTCTCGTACAGGGAGCTCGTACTTTTTCGCATTCGCTTCTTGGCTTTCAACTAAAAACCAGATTCCACAATTATAAGGCTAATCGCATGTGGGGATTGGAAGCTTTGAATACATTCTAGATTCTTGTCGTTTACGTCGTAGCAGAATTATTTCGTTGATGTCTTATCATCCAACTTGTACGAAGCTTTTAGGCAACAAAAGAACCCCTGAAAACTTGAGTTGAAACTGATGCCCTTTGAATTCCTAGAGCTGACATCATATGTCATCCCCATTATTTTGCACCTACTTCGTTAGGTCAAAATAGGTGAGGATTTGCAGAGGAATATGAAATGGCACGCACGACGTCAGATCAGTTACTTAATTGTACAGTAGAAAATGCCACTTCTAGCGGAGCTGACAATGTGTGCCAATCTAAGAAACATTCATGTTGCTAATTCCATTCAAACCAAATCCTTTGCTTATTCTTATCCATATATTCCTTCCTCATTTCCCCATATATCCACCCTTCAAAGCTCCATCTTCATCCTTCTCAAAAGGTTGGCAAAAGCTTAATGTATCTTCAGTCTACCCACCGATGCTGGAAGAAGGTCGAGCTGAGGGGCTTTCCAGAATACCTATATCAAACTCATATCAATCCGGATTAACCGCAATTCCATTACGCTCGTGAATCACTTATCATATCCCGAAGCTTGAGTTCTTCATCTACTCTGTTTCAGTCCTAACCATCAACAGGGCTCTCACGTTCTCCTATGTATGGGCCGAACTCTGGTTCTGCTAGACCCCCAGCTACTAGCTTTCCAACAGACCAGACCTCTGACATTATGAGTGTAATACAGATGTGGCACGGTATGTGTGTTGTGCTGATGCATCCATCTAACTCCCTCACCCACCGCTGCTATTTGCCCATCTAACCGAAAAAAATAAATAAAACGGCAATTATGTTTATAGGTACGCTTCGTAGCGTCGCTTCCTTGTTTGGAGGCCCTATTCCTCCCAATTGTAGGGTTTGCGGAATTTATCACCGCACCTTTCGAGAGTCCTGGGTTTAATCCCTTTGATCCTCAACACCGAATTTGAAGGCTGTGCTGAGTTACTTATGCAGAAAGCAATTTGACCTTCTATCAACCGTTCTTCCGTATTTACAAGGGGCTCTGCTATCCTTGTCACATCAACAAACGAAATGCTGTTTTTCGAATTCTGAGATCCAGTTCTCATGTGTTTGGCGGCATTAATATGAAAACCTGGCCCTGGAGCCAACCTGGGATTAATGCTCCTAGCAACGAAGATATTGGAAATAATTCTTGGCTTTTCCCAATAGCAAAGAAAAGTGATACATTTGTGTTGGTAAAATTGGTGTTGTACTTAGTAGATTTTCAGTTCCGTGAAATCGTCTCAAGACGATTTTTGAGGGCCGAAAATGCCCGAGTATATGTATAAATGACTCACTCTATTGTCCTCTATCCTATGCATGGTAAATGGCCGGGAGTTTCCCGTTCATTGCTCGACAGGGGCAAAGATGATAACTGGACTGGTTTATGTTATTAATTATCCACAAGTGAGGGGAGAAGAAGAAAAAGGACTTAGCTTAAGTACCTACTTACTGAATGATCAATCTGGGTATCGAAAGACACGCTCCATCTCACGTAGAAAGGTAGAATAGATAGAAGAGACTGAAAGGCCCAACTGGAGCTATAATTAAGCACCTATTTGGTCCACCTTCCAGTATTTCGGGTGGTGTCCCAGTAGCAACTTTCAGTTTATGATAAAGAGAATGCGAGTGAAGTGCCGACTATCATAGATTCATGAGTAAATATATTGATATTGCTAAGCATCTTCCCTTATCCCATGTTATGCTACGATTATACTCGTGCGACACACCATCACATAAACTAGAATGTGAATCAAGCTTTTGTTCTCTCTCTCACGGTACTATCCATGTAAGGTGATGTAACGCGGTTAAGTCCTTGGCTAAATAACTTTGTATCTTTGCTAGTGTAGTGGTTTAGTTCTGTCAGGTTGTGGCGGCAAGTCAACGTGAGAGGTAGTAGGTAGGTAGCAAATGGGTAGAATAGTGACTAAAATATCGCGCAACCCTTCCTAAATCTAGGGGAGGCGAAGCCTCCCTTATATATCTGCGGCCTAGCCGCTAGCTAGCCCCTGTCTCCACTTATGCCCCTGACAAGTTCTTGCATCCTAAGCCATTGCTGGATTAATGTTTGAGAAAGAGTAAGAAGAAAACGGCGATGAAAAGTGTATTCACATATAAGTACATTAACGAAAGCTTCTACTAGAATATATACCTACATGTATATATTTACTTACCTAAATTTAGGACTATTTAAGTTCGGACATTAAGTACCTACCTTACACTTAAAATAAACCTCAAATATGGCAAGTACAATTTCTAATCGGAACGATATCGAAACTTACTATATTAGTTTAAAATATATCAGAGAAAGAGGTAAATGTCTTGAAGTTTGCCCTTGAAGAAGGTGCTCACGCAACCTTTGGAGTGCGTACTTTGCTTAGTGGAAAGAATCGTCCTAAGCTTCAGAAGCTACAATATAATAAACATCGGCAACGTATACTAATATGTCAAGCACCTATTTATATCATCTAATGATTCATAATGAACCGACAATATATACCCTCGAAAAACAGCTCGGGACGATTAACATTTCAACTTGAAGACAGTCATACCGAGATTGGCTGCTTACATAATGGTCGCTGCCCCTTTTCACCCCTATCCTCAATTTGGTTGCTTTCACATTTTCCAAGGATCAATCAGTATGACAATTCGAAATACAATATTATTCAATATGCAATATCTATGACTCCTGACAAAAACCGCAACCTTTGAAATTAATTTCAAAAATAGATCTCATGCTGCTCTAGTAAGACCGTTTGTGGGACTATCTTCGTCGGCGGGCGATAATATTGGAGAAGGACTCCGATAAATGCTGATGGCATAGGCCCTCTATCACCGTAAATTAAGGGTGATAATGGCTAGATACTAAAGAAAAGGTTAACAGTCAATAATAGGTTTAGGGGGTAATATGAACGGGAAGCCAGGTCGGCGAATTCCTGGAAGTGCATATATGGAGTCAACGAGGAATATCATGAAATGTATTCCCATGGTGTATCGTGGCTGATCACATAAAAATAGAAGGCGAATTCATGTAATTTTGAGCGAAATCAGTACGTTGTAATGCAATGCTAACTGTATGTCCTATCTAATTCGGATGCCTTGCAATGCCCATGAGCCTTATCCGAGGACTCGTTTGAATTTTGAGATTAATTTAGGGGTAAATCAATCAGTGATTTGTAGCCAATAAGATTGTAGCTTGATAAGTTGTCGTACTTTGTCGTATCTCGCCTTCAGGTGGGTAAGTGGGCGTGTCGTATCGCCGACGAAGAAGGCTATGTAAATAGCGAAGCAAATTCATGCGTTGTTTTTTTCCCAATTCTGCCCTAGCTTACTTATGCCATCTTTTCTGGGTGTCGCAATTTAAGGTTCTCCCATGCGCGAATCGCGGCTACGGAGACGTTCTTGGATTCAACCTAAATATGCAAGATGTATTAGCATTTATTTTCGTCCATTTTCCCCACCAGGCCAAATAAAAATTCTGGGGGAATAGGGGGAAAATCTAGGAAGCGAAATATGCAACATACCCATGAGCTAGGCCAACTAACACCGGTACGCGGATCGGTGCCTTCCCAGTCAACGAGATAGATGAGGCCGCCGCTTCGGTTGCGCATCTCGGTGACGATCGAACGAATGCGGTACCAGCCCTTGAAAGGGGTTGCGATACCGTTTACATCGGGTCGGTCGGTGTCGTCAACTCGCGCATACTGTCGGGCTTCGGCCTTGTCTACATAATCGGAGTCGGAGTCACAGTCGCTAGGTACATCATCGTCGGCATGATCGCTGTCATAATCGCTGTCGTCTTGGACGACCTTGGCTTCGTGTGGCACTGGCTTTCTACTGCCTTTCGACGGTGTGGCGAAGGGCGAGGCGAAGGTCGCGCTTAGTGGCGACGTAGAGAAAGGTGTCACTGGAGTGCGCGGCGTATTTGCGACTGTAGATGGTGCCGATGGTGATGAACTCGACGATAGTGACGGCGTTGGAGAAGGGGTAGCCGGATGAATGATCTCGGTGGCGATAGAAGTGTTAACGTGGAGGTTGCCTTTGAGGGCCTGGCGCATTGAACGGCGTCGCGGTGTGATGCTAGCGCTTGATGGCGAGGCAGATGGTGTAGGTGAAGATGATAATGACTGCGATGCGATAGGACTAGAAGGCTGAGTGGTCTCATCGCCAGCAGCTGAATCACGAAGGCTCTCCTGTAGGGCTAAGCGTAGTGAGCTTCGTTGGGCATGTGAATACTTGGGCAAAACTCGTTTAGCCTTGGCTACAGTCGCGAGCACCGTCGGCTTCTGGTTGTCAGCACCCAAGGGGTTCTTGGGGCCTTTGATGGGTGCCATGGTAACGGCAAGACTAGTAGTGATGCTGTTACGGGTTAAGGTTCATCGGCGAAGAGTGCACGAAAAGGTTTCAAGAATGTGGAGTGTTTGGCGAAAGAGACGGTTTGCGACAACGCCGACCTGCGAATTTAAGCTATTCCTAGAATCTTGTCGAAGGCTATCGCTAGGAAAGAGTAGATCTAGATAGGTTTTGGAATAGGGAGTCATAGTAACGACGTTCCTAAAAATGGCTGTTGTTGAAGGAAGAGCCAGAGACGTTGGCAGTTGCATTTTCGAAGTCGGCCGAAGCGTGCAGCTACGTACCTAAACGTACCTAAACCTTATTGTGAGAACGGACAGTAGGAGTCGCAACCTAGAATTACAAGAAGGCATTAAGGGGATATTAGCATGGATCGGTCTAATAACATAAACAAAATACCTCGCAACGAAGTTTGTATAAAAAGTCTGTTGATATCAGTCAATTGTCAAACTCTAGGTATCATATCCTCGAGCTGAGAAGAGAGTATTAGGTAGCCTAGAAGTAGACTATGTCTTCCAACACATCACAGGTCTGGTCCCTATGATGATTCAAATTGGATAAAGACAGCGTCCCCTATGCATCTCTCTTCTCCAGCATTTGTATCATCCTGTCCCTCTCGGCTCATCATACAGCTACACCGAAAATACTTCGGGGCTACCAGCCTGCATCCCCGGGATGGCTGTTCATTACTTTGTTCCAGGTTGTTTGTTACTCGTAAGCGTCTTAAAACGTCTCCTGGTCGTCCAGCACCTCTCCCTCGGCCGGAATCTCGAAGCCTTCCTCGGTAGAGTACAGTATTGTCTGGATCTGCTTGATGAGGCCGTCTTCCGCCTTCTCGATCTCGGGATCCTCCTCGACAGCCTGCTGGATCAAGAGTTCTATGTCTCGCAGCTTGCTGAAGTAGAAATCTCGTTCGCGCTCGAGACCGACGACCGTCTCTTTCAGCGTCGCGTTCTCCTGGAGGAGAGCGGCAGACGCAGCACCGCCACCGCCAACCTTGGCTGCGCGGGGGCCGGTCGTGGGAGTCGTGCCGCCTCGTCTAGCTGCGGCCGAACCGGCACCACTAGTGGCTCGTGCAGCGGGACCGCCACCGCCGGGGACAGGAGCGCCTTTTCGTCGTCCTACGGCGTCATAGTCTCCACCGGGGTAGTACTGGTCCCAGAATCGCTTAGTCCACTGCAAAAACTCGAGGTTGTCCTGCATCTTGCACTTGGAAAGCGCTTCGACGGGAATGGGCTTGTCGACATGGTGCTTGGCGAACGTGTCTAGACAAGGAAACCGCAGTCAGCATGTGCAGAAAGTGATGAACGTAGAATACGGTCTATGTCCACTATTAAGTGTCGGCGACGCGTGCAGTAAAGACGGGGTGACTAACTCTGCAAGACCTTGAAGTTCTGGATGTACGCATACTCGCTATTGACGTTAAACTTAACACGGGACATCGGTACATCTAGAAAGATGCTGTCGAAGACTTGGCAGAGAGCAGCACTGTAAGAATGAAACATGAGGTTAGCTCAGATCTTGCACGCATAATATCTGACACATCGTGACAGGGTTGTAGCTAGTTCTCCATCCCCTTTCATGATAATTACTCGGCGGGGGAGGGGTAGGTATAGGTATAGTCGCAAGGATGGTCTTACCCAGTACCGCATTGTTCGACCTTGGTCATGTTAAGCTGGAGCAGGCTGTTGAGCCATTGTATCAGCTCTTGTCTGTGGATGGGATGAGACGTTAGTTACGAATCCTAGTCCGGGGGTAATTAGAGGGGTGAGGTCATCAGCACTCACCGAGATTCACCCATGTCTGCAGGTACTTGGGTATAGTAATTAATAGAATGAAAGGATGAAAAAACGCGAAGCCAAATGCTCGAAGATGCGGCGAACGGTGTTCGACGATCACGTAGTTGAAAGAGTGATGAGGATGTCGCGTTGGTTAGGAAAGGAAGGAAAAATAAAATGGATCGACGATCCAAAGATTTGTTATGGTTAGGGGAAGAAAATAGAAATTGACGTCGCTGCCACGGCGATGTTCTTTCTGGTACGTATCGCCTAATCAGCGCAGTCAATCAAAAGTGATAAATCGCCGTCACCCAATCAACGAAGTTACCCAGAGTGGGTAGTGCCGCCGAAGATTTACCAGGGATTTACTTGCTTCACGTACCCTCGTACCTGCCCGTCAACACAGAGCAGACACAGGTGGGATGAACGAAGGATATCACGTGTTTTGGATTGGCCGCTTACTAACTACCTCGATTTCTCCACTTCAACATTACACAACCCAAGATCACCATAACCGTGATTGCTCTCGTCTATGAACCTCTTATATCAGTACGACATACATTTGATTCACCAACTAGATTCACCAGGATCGAGTCACACTTGCAATCAGCAACCAAATGCCAAGGATTTTCGTATCCATCAGATTTGAACAGGAAATGAAAGTCTATTGCCTTAGACCTCTTCTATATACCGGAAATCATTTTACATCATAGAAAAGTAAATGAAGGTTACATATAACATAGTACAATACCAACCCCACAGAGGACCAACCAAGCCAAACATAAAAGATGGAAACGATGTCATTGACTCAAGAACCCCATATCTTTCCAACTCTGAATAAACTGCTTGGTCACCTTTTCATTAACAGGACCAGCGTTCGCCAAGGTCTTCGAGTGTTCTCGGACCTTGATGGTATCAAGTAAAAGACCACCGCACGACATGCGAATGAAGTTATCGTCAAGGAAATCAATCAGTAAGAAAGCCGGGTTTTCGCCCTCGGGACCCTCGACCTGTCTAGGGTGATCCCGAACACGTTGTACCCAGTCTTCGAATGGAATCACGCCGTCTGGCGAAATGTCTAATGCGTCGGCCAATACCGGGATCATCTCTTTCCATGGCTGCCGGACCGGGTTATCGACATGGTAGATAGGATAATGTGTCTTATCTTCGGGGAGGAAGACAAGGTCAACAAGCGTGCCGGCAACTTCGTCAACCGGCGTCCAAGAGAGAAGCCCGTCAAAGTCGGGCAACGCCTTTAATGTTTGAGACGATTTAATTAAGAAGGAAAGGTGTTCCATCGGGTTCCAGTAACCGCTGGTGCTGGAACCTGCTATCTGCCCAGGACGGACGACCATAGCACGGAAGCGGTCTGGATGCTTGTGCAGCGTTTCATCGATCATAAGTTCGCAGATATATTTAGCATCGCCGTATCCCGTAGGCAGGACGGACTCGATCGTCATCCGTTCCTCCGGTACTATCGGCTCGCCTGACCAGATTGGCCGGTGACCAACCGTAGCGATGGAAGATATGAATTGGAAGGTAACCTTAAAGCCCGGGGCACGCCGAGTCGAAATTTCACGAGAAAGGTTAAGGAGATTTTTCATGATTTGGAATTGTGCTTCGAAGTTGCGAAGTGGCCACTTCGCGTTCATGAGCCATGCGTTGTGGACGATGTGGGTTACATTATTAACAAGGTTTTCGTAATCCTCGACGGGTAGGCCAAGGTTCGGCTTCGACATATCGGTCTCGAAGACGTTTAGTTTTTCGGTCGCTTCTGCGGATAAGGAGATGCCCTTTTTGATAAGAGCTTGCTTCTGCCGTTCCTTAGGGTCTGTTCGACTGCGTCTGTTGAGGCATACAACACGGGTAACATCTGGCAATTCTGCGAATTGGGCGATGAGGTGTGATCCCAGGCTACCAGTAGCACCTGTGACCAAGATTGTTTTCCCATCTGTGTTCGAACTAGGAAGACCGTATTGTGACGCGCTTTCAAGGCCGGCGGAGAAGCCTTCGGTCAGGTTTCGGACGTATCTATCGACGACTGTTTGTCGTGCCTCGAGGTCAGCTGATAGACTCTTAACAGGTAGAGAGGAGGAGGGAATTTGGAGCCGTTCGCACCTCTCACCCGAGGCCATCGCGATGATCAATTTCTCGCACTTGTTCTCGGGTCGAGCACCGTCTGTCCAGTCGACGTGTCCGTAGCCGACCGCTTGCAGTTCCTTCTCCCATCTAAGCTCATGTGTGACGGCGTGAGTGCGTCCGTCATCGAAGAACCACCAACCCTCAAATAGCCCGAAGATCATATCAACCCAGTACAGTGTACCGGTCATTTCAAGCATCATGAGGAATCCATCAGGGCGCAGGGCCTTGCGGATGTTCGAACCAGATACTCGCAGAGAGTGTGTGGCGTGGACGGCGTTGCTAGCAACAACGATGTGTTGGGTTCCAATCAGCTCATCAGCCGGCGCCTTCTCGATGTCGTGGGTCCTGAACTTCATGAAGGGGTACGGCTTGAACTTCTTACGAGCAAGTGCCACGAATGATGGCGCAAGATCGGTGAAGGTGTATTCAACCGGCACGTTCAGAGAAGCAAGGAGGGGAACGAGCCATCTGGTCGTGCCTCCAGTTCCAGCACCCATCTCAAGGATTTTAAGTGGGCCTTCGCTCATATCAAGCTTGGAGACAAGTCTAGCGAGGAAGTCCTCCATCTGCTTGTAGAATAGTCGGTTAATGGGCCACTCGGCGTACAAACCAGAGACGAGCTCACGTCCCTCGGGAGTACCGAAGATTAATTTGATACCGTCTGTTGTTCCCTTCAAGACCTCGGCGAGGTTAGATCCGGTATAGAAGGTAAGTTTGTCGGCTGTTGTCTGGTCTGGGAATCGCGCTAGTAAGTCCTCAAGAATCTCCTTGCTCGATCTTGTCGGAGCTGCTACGGCCGTACGAGTGATAGTGTCACCGTTGACGTTAATGATGTGAGATTCCTTCTCTAGCATCTGGTACAAGTAGTCCACCAAGCGGCTGTGTTCCTTAGGATGAGAAATTCGAGAGAATTTGTCACCAGGTTTCGCGTCACGGAATCGATGTCCGAGTTCCTCGAAAGCTTCAAGAGTGAGGGCAACGCACATATCCGTCTGCAATGGCATCACAGTGTCGAAGTAGTTCTCCTGACCATATTCGGCAATCTTGTCATCCGTAAGAGCCTTCGTCTCGTTGAAAGCTTCCATGACCTTGGCGAAAGGAAGCTTCAACTCCCCATCGTCGTATGGGTCCTTCTCGTAGTCGACCAGCGGGGTGGTTAGACCACTAGGGTGACCCGAAGAAGACTCACTAGGGCTGTAAGACCTGGAATCACTGTCGCTAGAAACGTCTTCTTCGCTTTCTTCGCTGACCTCATCGGCGCTAGCGGCATCTCCGCCTACGGCTCTCTGCACGCATGCCATCAGACTGGGCATATCAATCACCTCCATAAGTTCACTTTCAGGCAACGTAATCTTGAAAGCCGCCTCGATTTCGTGAGCCATCTCCATACCCATTAAGGAGTCGATGCCGAGGTCAGCTAGCATACTATCATCCTTAATCTCGTCCAACTCGAGACCTGAAAGTTCGGCTAGGATATCCTTAACCTTAGGCGCGACATTTGACTTAGGCTTGGCCACCTTGGGCTGCTTGGGTGCCTTGGGTGCTTTAGGTGCCTTTGACGCTTTGGGTTCCTTGACGTGAGTTGGTTGCGGCGGCACGATCTGGGTAGGGGCAGCCTCGAATAGAGTGACCTTCGCCGGCTCAGAGGGCGAAGCGACAGTGGCACCTCCGACAGTAAGGCGCGAGAGCAATTTACTCATGGAAGCCTTCGGGATCTTGACATAGCTAATTCCAAGGATGGCTTCTAACAGGGCGCCAGTCTCAGGGTGGAAGACAAATACATCGGTGAGGTATTGCTTATCTGACGGGTGATGAGTTGCAAGCACGTGGAAGCTGTCGGGTCGAGCATCACCAGGGCGGAGCTTAGGAGAACGGATCCACTGCTCAATACCGTTGGCGATGTACATCTCAGAGGGGGATCGGTCCGTCATGCAGTTGACGTAGATGCCACCGACTTGGCAGAAGCTGTCAGCCAAGTGCGCATCGAGCCAGGTGTCAGGGTTGTATTTCTTCACGACGAGACCAGCAGATTGGTTTCCGCAGCCGACCAGCTTCTTGAGACCGCGGTAATCCTCTCCATAGTCTACAACTTCAGAGAAGATCTTGTAGATGTTCCTGTTGGAAAGGATCTCATCAACATCACCGCTCTGCAAAAGCTCGACGCAGCGAGAATGACCGATGAGTCGCTCCAGACGCGCGAACTCGAGCTTCAAAGTCAAGTCTTCAGTCGAGCAGAAAGCGACCTTGCCCGTGGTGTGAAGGGTCTTGGCTGTACCCTGGGGCATGTCGGTGCTGAACACCTGGAAGTTCCAAGAGGGGCTCTTCCCGGTTGCATCTTCTTCTAGCTCAATCCAGACGCCCCGTGATGGGTTGACGCAAATTGGCGACTGGTTCTCCACGACGTGCACCTGCGGCTCAAGCTTAGCAGCCGCGAGATCTGGTCGGATACCACGCATAGCCTCGATGACAAGGTCGAGCTGCACCGTTGCCGGGCAAATGGAGGCGGTCTGCGCGATGACGTGACCCACAATGAGTTTCTCGTACTTGGGAATCATGGTGTTGATTCTGAACTTAGCAACACGCTTCTTGCTGTCCTGGTAGCCGACGAAGGTTAGGAGACCCTCCGGTACCTTTTCTTCTTCCGGCTGAGTCTTCTGTGCCGGAGGAAGCGCGGCGACCTTGGGAGGCACCTTGAAATCAACCCAGTGGCTAGCAAGCTCGAATTGATAGGGAGGTAGCAGGAGAGGCGAGTGGTCCTTGGTCTGAGAAGCTTGGTGAGCCCAATGCTGCACAGTGCTGCCGGCCTTCCACAAACTGATCGTGGCATCAACGAGGTTGTCCCATGCCTTGTCGGTGTTGGTGATGTTAATGGCCTGGAAGTGAGAGCCGCTGGGGCTGCCTAGGGCACGGCTAGCCATCATGGTGATAGTGGAGTTGGAGCTAGCTTCTAGGAAGATTGCCGACGGGTACTGCTTAGAGAGTCGTTGTACAGCATGGTTGAAGTAGACTGGAGAGCGCATGTGTTCAGCAATGAACTTAGCCGTGTGCCTCTCTTGTGTGGGGAATTCCGAGGCTCTCTCGATGGGGATAGTGGGCTTGCGGAAGGTGAGCATTTTTCCGACCAGCTCCAATGCCTCGACGAGAGGATCTACAAGGGCGCAGTGGAATGAGTTGGTCACATTCAGTCTCTTGGACCTGAGCGATGATGGGATGGTGGCAGCGAACGAATCAATTGCCGCAGTAGGACCGGCCACTGTGAAGCTGCGAGGTCCGTTGTAGCAAGCAATGCTCGCTGGTTTCTCGTTGGGGACCTTGCTGTTTGACTCGACCAGTAGTTTTTCAACCTCAGCCAAATCAGCCTCCACAGCCAACATAGCTCCCTTGTCGCTACCCCAAGCATCACGGACAAGAGTCCCGCGGTTGATTACCAACTTCACGGCGTCTTCCAATGAAAGCACACCCGAAATGGCAAGCGCAGTGAGTTCGCCGAAGCTGTGTCCCATGACTGCGACGGGCTTGATACCAGATTCAATCCAGCTGCGTGCTGTGGCGTACCCGATAGCAAAGAGCATGGTCTGCAAATGAACGGTGTCCTTAGCTGGGGTGGAATCGAAAATACCGGGGAAGATACTCTCGGCACCGAAAGAGCGAACGACGGCGTCGACATTGTTCAGGTGCTTTCGCAGGACAGCCACTCTCTGGTATAGACCTTGGTCTAGACCGACAAAGGTAGACACTTGACCGCCGAAGCAGAGCACAACGGGCTTGGATTCGGGACGAGCGATGGATGCTACGCTAGCGTCACCCTTCTCGAGAGAAGCCAGTTTCTGGTCAAGCTCCTCTACTGATCGCGCGCTGAACAGAACCGCCTTTTCAAGCGATCGGTTGCTCTGGCGAGCTAAATTGAAGGAGACGTTAGGTAGGGAGAGGTCGGTAGCTTTGTAGCTCTTGTTGTTAAGGAATTTGCGGAAGACCTTCGCATATCGGCGAAGACTCTGGTCATCGAGACCCGCGAGCCAGAAGGGGTACTTTCCACCGGCAGGAACTTCGGAAGCGTCCTTGATCGCCTTAGCGAATGGCGATTGCGTGATAATCATTGAAGCGTTGGAACCTGAAGCACCGTAGTTGTTGATGAGTGCAGCCCGGAAATCGTCATCCCATGTCTGTAGGCTAGTCGGGATCGTCATCTTATCGGCAGGAGTCGCACCAATAGCCGGGTTGATTTGAGTGTGACTAGGCTGTGGTGGGACCATTCCCTTCTGAATCATGAGCATGACTTTGACCATCGAGACGATACCCGATGTCGCCTCGGTGTGGCCGATGAGACCCTTCACGGATCCTAGAAGGAGGTTCTTGTCACGTCCAGAAGCTTGGCCGCCAAGAACTTGTCGGATGCCATTGTACTCAGCCGGGTCACCGACGCCAGTGCCAGTACCGTGAGCCTCAACAACTGAGATCTGAGAAGGCTTAAGACGAGCTTGCTTGGTGACGCCACGGAAGAGATCAGAAAGAGACGGCGCATTGGGAACAAAGATGGGCGTGCAATTTTCATTCTGCTGTACGCCTGTTGCAGCGACAACACCGAGGATTTGGTCGCCATCGGCAACGGCAGCGGAGAGCTTCTTCAAGAATACAGCGGCAACACCTTCACCTCTGCAATAGCCATCAGCCTTGGCATCGAATGGCTTGCATTGCCCAGTGGTGCTCAAGAATGAGGCGCCAGCCAGATTCTGGAACCATAGAGGGTTGGTCACAACATTGGTACCGCCAGCAAGAGCAGCTGTGCATTCGCCAGTGATGATAGCTCGGCAAGCTTGGTGGATGGCAACAGCAGAGGAGGAACAGGCAGTGTCGATTGTCAAACCAGGGCCAGTCCAACCGAAGTAGTGGCTGACCTTACCAGAGATAAAGCTCTGCAAGTTACCAGTGGCGCTAAAAGCGTTAGCAGCATGACATGCGATGTTGCAGTCGTAGTCACGAGAGCAGACACCAACAAAGCAGCCGATGCGGTTGTCGGGCTCGCCATATTGGAAATAGCCAGACTGCTCCACAGCTTGGTAAGCGCACTGGAGGAAATTGCGCTGTTGAGGGTCCATCGTAGAACTCTCGCGGGGGCTCTTCTTGAAGAACTTGTGATCGAACTTGTCATAGTTCTCGATGAAATTTCCGAACCACTTTCGCTTAGGCTCGACGTCACGGAAGGCAGTTTCGAAAGTGAACCGCTCTTTGGGCACCTCCTTGTGCTGGGACTTCGCAGAGACAAGGAGATCCCAGAAGTCGTCCAAGGTCTCGGCACCAGCCACCTTGATAGACATACCGACGACGGCGACATCGTTGTCGGAGAAAGTCCGCAGGTCCTTTTGAGAGAAGGCCTCGAAGCGAGAGGATGCGCCGTCTAGGTCGGCGACGTGAATGACCTGGGGGTTGAGGCTGCGCAGAAGCGAAGGCGGGACGGCACGCTCGGGGCCGAATGATAGAATGCACGAATCCTTGTTGATGAGAGTAGCATCGCGCACAACGGAGACGGTTTGGAACCACTGCGGCGGCTCCGCGAGGATAGATTGCAACGCGTGCTGGTGCAGCGAGCCGTGCGTGATGAGATCGCCGCCCCGGTTAGAGCGGGTGGGCACCGCCAGCCCCGATTCGGCATTCGGGAACTGGAATTCGGAGTGTGCCTCAACAAACTCGAGGAGAAGTCCGAGCTTCTCGAGGTTGATGCTGGCATGGAAACGGCCGAAGAGGCCGACCTCCGAGGCGATGAGGCCGGCACCTCTCAGCTGCAACACGAGCTTAGAGATAGCCGAGGCCTTGGTCGTGACCGTGGCACGGTTCTCATCATAGTTTACTGAAACATAGGTCTAAAACATTGGGTTAGAACTTATCTTTCAAGAGCTCGGAAGTGTGGGGGAGGTGCTTACTTCAGGGAAGCTGTTTACAATACGCTTCAGCTCCTCACCACTCTCAGCGGAGTTCCATGCGGCGCTAAGAGACTTAGACGGTTCGGTGGCCTCGTCTTGGGCATCGACAGCGGTACCGATCAGCATAGCCAGTCGCACGGCAACAGCAGCGTACTTCTTGAACTGCTCGCTGTTACCAGAGCTAGAAACAGCAAAGGCACTTAGAAGTCCGGTGCAAAGACCAAGAGTCTCTCTATCTATCTTAGATGTAACGAATGGGTCGACATGTTCTCCCTCGGTGCTGTTACGCAAGAAGGTGGCATATTGAGTGAGATGAGAGACGATCACGAGAGGGATGAGAAGCTTGTTCGGGAGGGGAAAGGAGGTTTCGAGTGGTCGCCCCGTTCGGAAAGCATCGCTCAAATCCTCCAATTGCTTAAGTCCGGATGCGGTCTTCAGGCTCGGGATAGAGGTCGTAAGGGACTTCCAAATCTGAGGGAATTCGGCAACGGTGTCGATGACCCAGCGGAAGTCCTCGTTCTCAACGACGCTCTTGCGAACTTGAGCAAAGGCAGCCTCATCGAAAGACAAAGCGAGGGGGCCAAAGAGTAGGACGGTAGGCCCAGGCAAAGGGCCACTTGGACGTTCTCCCATATCGACCATTGTGAATATGTGTGGATATTGTTATTGTTAAAAAGGAAGTTGAGTTAAGGCTAACGAATCGAGTGTTGAAATTCGCGTTACGTGGATAGTCTATCAGACAGCCTTGTCCATAGCACGTCAAAATGATATGAGGCTATGATCTAAAAGTTGAAGATGTTGGGATGATGGGTTTTGTGGTAAGTGAGAGAATGACACCCAACGTCAATGATGGTCGCGATCGTGAGACCACGGGAAGTTACAAATCTATAAGGGGTAGATGAGAAGGAGAAGAAGCTGCTCGACTGCTGATATTTTTGAGAAGGCCAGACGCCAACATCGAGCAATACATATACTAAGACAACTATCACGGCTGATAGATACGGCAAAATGGAACACAAAGAATCCCCTTGCGAGTAATCGCCTTACCCTCGGCCATGGAGAAAGGCAAGACGTTGCATCTATCGCCTAGGCTTATCGCTAACACTGTGTTTCACAGGAAGGCTGTACATGTCAACGGGATGTCAGTATAAGCAACTGCCTAGCCGAAATCACGCAAAAGGCGAAAAGGTGGATGGAGGCAAACTGCGAGCCAACCAAGTTCTTTCTCGTGCCCTGCCCGTTCATCCACTCGTCCAGAACCTCACGAGCGGCGCGAGATAAGAAAACACGTGCGAAAGTTGTACCGAAGGAATCTCATCAAGGCAAAGGTCCCGCAAAAACGGGGCCAGAACGTGCCGCTGGCGCTACTGCAGTTAGCTCAGATTCTGGAATTCAATGAGGTGCTGTATAAAAACTCCGACCAGATCTAAGCAAGAGTTCTCGAAGTCAGCCCAGGTATTCATGACAGACGATCCTCCGAAGAACCACTTGCTCGAAAGAGAAGGAATGCGGACCTATTTTTGCGCGTTGCTATATCTTGGGTGGCGTTTCAGATTCTAAGGAATATTCTATGGCCTCTTCGAATACCCAAGGTCTGATTTTGGATTTTGTCATGGCTCCTTCGCCGTTGTACCATGTTTTCCTAGGAAATCGCCTAGGTCGGGTCCTCAGAAGATGAGAAGTTCACTTAGCGTGCGGCGTCGCCGTGGCATATAGCCTACCGGCATAACTCTCAAAACGATTATATAAGCCATGTATGCCGTTGCTTGGCGTTGTATGGTGTTGGTGTTGGTGTACGTGGATAGGGGTGGCTGCTCGTTGATTATAGGGTGGGATTAACCTAAGCGGATTTAGGAAATCCAGCGGAAATTTCAGCCGCAAGCCTGGCATCTACGCCCTGTTCCGCAAAGAGTTGTGATTGACCGTCTCGGCCGTGATTCCGTGGCTGACGCATAGCTCGGTGACGGTAAAAATCGCCGGGGGCGAGTTACTCCGGCTCTTATTTCAAGTGTAAGCTAACATAGTGTACTAAGTATCACTAATGCCTTCAATCTGTACTATTCCTTGTTACTAACGCCAAGTTCCGCGACCAGCATTCCTGGTAGTTATGATTGATTGAGTACGCTGAAACAGGTTTCTATAGTGGGTGGTCATCACTGCCTTAACTATTATCATGACTCAGCTCTGCTCGACGCCGTGCCACCTAGAACCCCGTCGGGAATGTTTTGCCGTCGATTTACTTGATGCCAAGTACTTTTAGGAGTTTGTAAGGCCTCACGCTCGTCCCATTGTACGGTATTCCCGGCGGTCCCCATCGTACGTTCGGAGTTGTAAAGTCCATTGTGTCACAGGTTTAAATCTAGCGTCTTAGGTTAGTTTATCTCAGCAATAACCCTTCCGTGGCCCCTTACGAGAGCTCAATTAAAAATCATTACTTTATCAAACTTATCCCACCATGCCTGGAATTGTTGAAGAGTCTCCTATCGAGATAGCCATCGTTGGCGGTGGCATTATCGGCCTCTGCCTCGCAGCCGGCCTCATCAAGCAAGATGTCAAGGTTAAGGTTTACGAACAAGCTAAAGGCTTCCGAGAGATCGGCGCCGGTATGGCCTTCACGGCTAACGCTATACGATGCATGGGATTGATGAACCCGGATATTGCCAGTGCTCTCAGATCTGGTGGCTCCGTCGCCACATCTCTAGATAAGGACGATCCGAACGATTACTTACGATGGACTGACGGATACAACAAACGTCGAAAGGACGACCCCACGTACCAACCACTTCTCTACAAGATCGATGCTGGGTACAAGGGATTTGAGGGCACTCGACGTGATCAGTTCTTAGAGGCATTGGTGAAGGTTATACCCCAAGATATTGTCGAACTCAAGAAGCGTTTGGATACCATTGAGGAAAAGGGTCCAGATGGGAGGGTCCAGCTCAAGTTCACTGATGGAACGACGGCGGTGGCCGATGCCGGTGAGTTCATGTCGTCCACTTTTAATCGATTGTTTATCCAGGCAGATTTGCTTAACGATGCTGATGCAATTATAATTCTGAAGTTATTGGGTGCGATGGTATCAAGTCGCGGGTTAGGGAAATCATGTTCGGAAGTGATAACCCGGCCTCCTATCCGCATTATACCCACAAAGTCGCATATCGCGCCCTGGTACCGATGGAGAAGGCGATCCAGGCCCTAGGCGAGTACAAGGCCAGAAACCAGCACAACCACGTGGGCCCCAACGCCCACCTAATCCACTACCCCGTCGCCAACCAGACGATGGTCAACGCGACGGCCTTCCTCTCCGACCCCAACGAGTGGCCGGACGACAAGGTGACCGTCATGCCGGCTCTGCGCAAGGACCTCGAGGAGTCGTTCGCCGACTGGAACCCCCGCCTCATGGCGCTGATCCAGCACTTCCCGGAGAAACTAGATAAGTGGGCCGTCTACGACACCTGGGACTTCCCCGCCCCCTTCTTCAACAAGGGCGTCGTCTGCCTCGCCGGCGACGCCGCGCACGCGTCGAGCCCGCACCACGGCGCCGGCGCGTGCTGCGGCATCGAGGACGCGCTGTGTCTCGTGACGCTGCTCAGGCAGGTTAAAGCCTCGCTGAGGGGGGGAGAGGGCTCGGCGGCGACGAAGAAGGAGGCGCTGACGTCCGCGTTCGAAGTTTACAACGGGGTCCGGCGCACGCGCAGCCAGTGGCTGGTCAACAGCAGCCGTCGCGTGTGCGACCTGTACCACCAGCCGGAGTGGGGCCACGAGCAGAAGTGGATCAAGGCCGAGACGTGCTTCGAGGAGATCAAGGACCGGTCGCTGAAGATCTGGCATTTTGACTATGATGGCATGATTAAGCAGACGGTCGAGGAGTACGCGAAGAAGGTGTCCTCCTCGAAGGCGGGTGCAGCGAATGGCAAGGCGAACGGGAATGGGAATGGGACTGCGAAGGTTGGTGGTCCTGTTGCTGCTCCTGCTACGGCTGTTCCGGTTGCGGCGAATTAGGTGGTGAATTGTATATTTAGCTTAGTTTTGTCGTTTTTTTGCTAATGTCAACATTATGAATTTTCCTGATACCTACTTTTATTATGAATCGCAAGTGTCAAAGGATCTGTGTTCCTCCCTAGGTTAACTTTTACAAGTAATTGAACCCCCGAATCTCTTTGTTCGTATCGTATTTCAACATCAGGCCGAGTCGTATATCATACATTTTCTTTCCTTGCCGCCTAAGGAAAAGAGTAAGCGAGCTGACAAATAGGTATCACCAATAACATGCTTGAAGCTATTTCAAGACAATCAAGTTGGGATGTGAAGCTATCTTTCGGAGAGACACATCAGGAGCACGTGGTACAGATGCAATGCCAAACCCGCATGTTGTTACACAAACCCCTGAGATCGTCAACGCAGTTATCCGGGGTACATCAAAGCCAAGCCTTTTGAATATGGAGATGAAGGTTCCGATTTCGGGTGTTGTTCTCTTTCTGTCATCACCCATATTGCGTTACTAGGCGCCGTGGCGCATAATATTCTACTTATATAATCTACCTGCCTAACGCAATATTGATTTATTATTGATTCATACTTCAAGCTCGGCTCCTTGCCATATTTAAGTAATGTACGATACTGCAAGTCAGGTCGACTGCATTTTGGTAGCTAAACGACGTCAGACGTGTAAAGTACATAGTAAGCACTAACACTGGATCGGGAGGCTAATTGGCAAGAGTAACGCCGGCCCTATAGAGCTTATACCAGCTACATGATGGTATCACGGGAATCGCTTATCGTGACGCGTTAGCTAAGACTCAAAATAGTTCATTCTCGGTAGGGCGAGGTTTGTGATTGGTAGGCTGTGGATGAGGTTTACGAACATACCTACCCTACTTGAGAGGCAAGTAGGTAAACACGCGAGATAGAACCCTGACTCTTCGCTCGGATTTATCACCTAACTTTTCCGAGGGAACCGATATCTTTCTTGCTGAAGGTGCCTGGAGTTGGGTAGGTAATCTACGGTATATCAAAGACTCCGGGGGAGCATTACAGTAATAAGCTGTCTAGAAGAGCTGAGGCTAAGCCACTCCAGCTCCTTCAGCTACGCGTTCAATGAACGGCAGTCATCGTGTCACTTTCCCACCATGGAACTTTTCGTGACGATCGCATATCAAACTGTTCTGAATTCTTAGAATAGTAACGGCACCACGAGGCCATGCGAATACCTCTCCGCAGATATGGGATCTACGGGCCAAGCTTTTTCTAACAATCGGGTGAAACGGTTTCATGATAAAGCTGAGTAATTTAGGATTCTGACTGCATATAAGAAATCCAAAGATGATACGCTAGAAAGCTTCTAGATTACCTACAGATTACTGTCCTAGAGGCTGAGGCTCGCTCGGGCACTTGATGCCTACGGTCTATTATCTCGGCAGGTAAGCACGTATTCTAGGGATCCCTGGTAAAGCATGGCAAACCGCTAAGCTTTCTGCACCATGGCAATCTCACCCCCATTCTGCATATCTCGCCGGATACCTAGTTTATTAGTCGAATTAGCCATAAATTCACGCAGTTTCTTTAATGATAAGGAGTGTGGAACTTCATTCATTTTTCTCTTTGCCATTTCACACTAAAGAAATTTCGTTCTCAAAGTTCACGGCATTGAAAGATAGGAAGGGCATAGCATATCGTTATTGCAAGGATTCAGCTAGATCTTCCGCCCGTAGCGCCCCTCGGATCCGAGCTCCTGCAGCCTGTAGCCGAAGAGAGCCACACTAAAAACGCCGAGAAGGTGGGTCAGAATAAGAACACTGAGCTGTTCCTTGTTTGTTACTCACCCTATCAATTTACACCAAATTGTGGCCTACGAGTTACCTGGATAGAAAATACTACACAAGCCACTACACCACTCACTTGGCCAGCTTACGTAGGTAGGTACGAGATATCTCAGTACCATCAGAGGTAGGTAAGATTACACAGGATCGAGTTCACGCATGTAAGCCCCAGCCGGAACCGGGTGAACGTTTACACATTGCTAAATATGATCACGCGAGTCTGGAAGTCTGGAAGTCTGGGGTGGACTGCACAAAGGTACCTACTAGTCTAAGTTTGGGCCTGATGAACATAGCACGGAATAACCAGTTCAGGGATTTGCAGAGAATTACTAGGAGCATAGTAGAGCCTGAAGGCTTAATTTGACCAAAACCCTTCAGCTTCACGGTTATTAGCTACCTACATAGCACCACCTCGAGGCCTAGTGACAGCGCCACCCACGACCTTAATCCTTTCCTAGGATAGTCGACGCCTTCGAGTTTCTCCGTTACTTGCCATCGACGCATAGAATTTGCACACTCCTAATTACGTTTGTTTTGTTTCTTTGCTATGGTAGCTTTCGGCTGTGAATTCGCACGCAAAAGCGGCCCCCCTCGAAAATCATCGTATGGTTACAGGGATCAGGTGGTTCCAATGCCACATGGCTTTCCTCTCGATCTAGGGGCGCTGGGCAGTTCGCTGTACCGTGTTCCTGATCCTGACGAGCAGTGCCCCTGAGAGTAGTATGCCTCTTTTCTTCGAAGACACGGGTAAGAACCTTGACAGTAGCCAAAGTGAAGATAGATATCAATGAGTATATATATGTGCCAAGCCCGCTCAATTTTGAAGATGCCGTTGAATCAAGCTTGTTCCTCACTCCCAGTCAAGCCGCATACTCATCATCATCACTTCTAGTCTGTATCAACTTAGACATCTTCCACAATGAAGTCGATTACTCTGGGTATCAACCTCTCTCTCGCCGCCTCGGCTTTGGCATACAGGATTAACGCCCAATGCCAAAATGCTCAGGTGATAACTCGCGATGTTGCCATTGTTGGTGGCGGCGCGACGGGTACCTACGCGGCTCTCAACCTGAAGGATGAAGGCAAATCCTTTGTCATCGTCGAGCGTAAGAGTTACCTAGGTGGCCATACGGCTACCTACCACGACCCTACGACCGGAACGCCCATCAACTACGGTCTGCAGGTTTACTGGGACAACCCGAACTCTCGCTACTTCTTCAACCGCCTGAACATCAGCGTCTCCCAGGGCACATTCCCGTCTAGCAAGGCCTCTTTGTACATCGACTTCACCGACGGCACACAGCTCACTAACTACTCCGTCCCCACCATCAAGCAGGACTACATCAACGAGCTTCACAAGTACCCTTACATCGAGAACGGCCTTGAGCTCCCTGACCCGGTGCCCGAGGACCTTCTCCTGCCCTGGCAGGAGTACATGGACAAGTTTAACCTCACCGACGATGCTTACTCTACGTACTCGCGCCCCGCCGCGACTGGTGATCTGACTAAGACCCTCGCCCTCTACGTGTTTAACAACCTCAACACCGTCATGATCGAGGAGGAGGTTGACGGCAAGACTATTGTCAACGCTGACGGCGACTACGGCGAGCCTTATCGCGTCGCCCTGAACGAATTCGGCGACAATGTTCTCCTCAACTCTACCGTTACCAGCGGTACTCGAGGCAACACGACGTCTGACGGTGTCACACTCTGCGTATCAACCCCTCAGGGTAACAAGCAGATCGTCGCCAAGCAGCTCATCTTCGCCGCTCCCCCCGTCATGGAGAACCTCGGCGTCTTCGGCCTGGACCAGAAGGAAGAGGCCATCTTCTCCAAGTTCGCCGGCGGTATGTTCTACACCGGCGTCGTCACCAACATCGGTCTGCCCGCCAACAACAGCTACGTGAACCGCGGCGCCTCGACCGATTACCACGTATACTCCGTGCCCGGCAACGTGATGTTCAACCCGACCAAGGTCGAGGGCACGTACTACTACTGGTACACGTCGCTGGAGCCCATGACCCAGCAGCAGGTCGAGTCGGCGACGCGCGACACGCTCAAGCTGCTGCAGAAGAGCGTCAAGGGCTCGAGCACGGAGGCGGAGCCGAACTTCGTCGCGTACAACAGCCACGCGCCGCTGCACCCCACCACGGACGCCGACTCCATCCGGGCCGGCATCTACCGCGACTACTACAACATCCAGGGCTACCGCAACACCTGGTACACCGGCTCCCTCCTCGTCACCGGTTCCCCGCAACTGTGGAACATCACCGCTCAGCTCCTGCCCAAGATCATTGCCGCCGCCTAGAAGTAGAGGATCGCCGACCAAGCGGTAGATGAGGCTACCATAAGCAGCTACATGTTGGCCACATATGTTATTATATGTCACTTGACGCAGCCATGTATATGCGAGCTATCACTCACTAACATACATACCTACATACTTAGGTACATACATACACACATACCTACCTTATACTACTTCCTGTAAAAACATTCATTGCTATTTTTGCGTTATGACGAAACTTACCTACTTAGGGTTAGAAATTCAAGGAAAGAATAAAATGTCTTGGCGTTTATATTAGAAAGCGGGTGTCGCAGCGAAATTACATATTTGTACTTACCCACGTACATATTTAATATAAAGAAAAACAATATCTCCAAAACCCCCCCAATTCCCCCCCTTCCCCCTCCCAGCAAAAAAAAAAAAGGCAAAATCGGGAAGTTTGAATGTGAGACAAATCTCCAAAGATCGTGCTCCCCCCCCTCCCTCTCCCCCTCCCCGTTTCCGTTTCCGTTTCTGTTTCTCCAAATATTGAAACACCCAACCCAAGACAAGGGGAAGCCTTGGCCACTTTCGGTCAGCCCTATCTCTAGGTGCAGTGGCTTTGTGATGGGTTCCGTGGGGCTGCATGGTAGGTCCAATCGTGCGCACCAACCCGATCTGACTATGCACCTGCGAGGCACAGGCTGACAGCTACGCATAGTAGGTACGTAGGTACATATATGCTGATTTGATTGATATGCAGGAGATGTTTTGTGGTCAGTGAGACAAGCTGGTGAAGTTGCGAGTAGTACGTAGATTGTTCAAGATACCTAGGTAGTCTAGGTCACAGCCTCTGTGTAGCCGCTGTTGGGTGTACCTACAGTTCGGTATATGCAGGCGGTAGAGGTGGCATATCGTGCATCTACATACACATGTAATACCTTAGGCTACTTGCTAATGGTTATAGATCGAGTCGTGCTGTCTAGAGCTGAAAATCAAGTTATTACCAACACTCATCTCTACATCACTACATCTATGCAATTTTACATCTTGGCCTCGACATCTCTGCTTCTCACTTGCTCCTTTCCGACCACAGATAGGAGGAAGAGCGGTGTATGGCTGCGTTATGTCTGTCATCTGCAATATAGCTAATGGAATGCTACGAGACGGCGGATGCAGGCGAATGAGATGAGTGTCTGTGCAGCGTGATCCTTAGGGCCGATTACCCGCCCTGTTCGAAAACAACCACGTCTTGCGAGCTCACCTCGCAGAACACAATCACCTACCTACACATTGAGCCGCAGTCATGATACGATCGCTGCATAATGCTGTTTCCAGAAACGCACGATGCTGAATCGAGAAACGTTGGATCTTAGACAGCGGGAACTAAAACCGAGACATCAATCACGAGGGGTTCGTGAGAATGCTGGAATTGAGGCTTATACCATAAGGCTTTGCTAATTCGGCCGTAGGGGCCCCGCTTTCAATCTCCGTGGCCATCGGGAGAGGCATATGTATAATCGTCCGTCTACGCTCGTCTGGTATGGATCCAATTTACCTACATGATTTGTAAGTCAGATAGGTAGCCGTGCGTTGCGATCCTCTTGAAGTCCCAATTGTGCAAAGTGGGCCATCCTTCGTGCGCAACCCGTAATGTAAGAAATGAAGAAATGGGATGGAGACCGGGGAGTGAAACATTGACACCTCTGGGACCTTTCGCTTCACGGTCCCGAGAAACGATGAACTCTTAAATTACTAACTAAATAAACTAAACGGAAATAAAAGCATCGGATATCGAATGTTTACCTAATGACGTTCCGTTTAAGTACCTAGGTAGCCGTGTGCTAGTTCACCTAGTCCCAACCTTAGAGTTAAGGTTAAACAAAGTTTCAACGGCCCGGCCCAGTAGTGTTCTTCACCGTACTAAGACCAACAACCTTAAGGTTATACATAGGTACTTACATAATACATATGTAGAGGTGCGTATCTGATGTATTGATTAATGCGCCGCCGCAATGCGTCTTAACATCGGCGCCATCGTCGACTTCAGACCCCGACGGCGCGGTACCAAACAAGATCTCCACCGATGCCATCTTATCTACGCCGATCATTCTTTTGCCTCTTCCTATTACCCGCTATGCAATATGTAGTGTATGTCCAACGAGAATAAAAAGATAGATTGGGCGGTTTGCCGCTTACGTAGCGTCTTACATGGCGCCCCGTACATACGGTACTCTAGTGTAGGTGCCGCACAAAGGGTCCATCCCAAAGGTTCAGAACTGCCACACAATGTTCCAGCTCCCGTAATCAGGGTCCTCTATCTCTTTCTCCCTCTCCCTCTCGACCTATCCACTATGTACGTTGTCTACCGCTTCCTTCCAAGCTCCGAAGGAGCAAGGAGCCGAGGTATTACCTAACTCTTCCGCCCGTCCTTCCTCGCTACGTAAGCGAAAGAGAAGTGAGATGGATCGCACGCACGAGCGCACATACACGAACGCGAAAATCGCTGTTGGGAGCTTTTATCTTTCCGTAAGCAACAGCGCGATATTACCGGAAAGGAATAATGGGCAAAGGAACTTTCCCGATGTCGGTTCTAAAACAACTTACAAATCCCTCCCCCCGGCAATTGAACCCGGCCGTTTTTTTATCTTGTTACGCACGTGTCTAGCTACCTACCTGCTTAGGTATTGAGCATCGTAGCATCGTAGGTAGGCAGAGTAGTTCGTGATGGATTGATATCGCTGTTGCTCGGAGATCGCAAACGGCTTCCTTTGTCAGTTCCTAAATTTCAAGGTATCTACTTACCAGGCAGAAGGGCCTCGTAATTAGTACATAGGGCACTAATTACGAGGCCCTTCTGCCAGGTAGGCTCCTACGATAACAATCACCTGATCGTAGCTACCTCCCGCATATGTCTGTGTTGGAAATCCAACGACGGAGTGGACGTACGCGCAAGTGGGACGAATCTCGGAATTGCAAAAGAACCCATTTGTTCACCCAGATACTGAAACCGATTTGATCCCGCGAATTTCCTACCACGTGTAGGTATATCTATAAGGATTCTTAGGTAATTTTAGAGCTAGATGAGGCCAGCCACAGAGCCGTCCACGACGACGATCTTACGGGTCCCACAATAAAGAAGCCTTTCGAAGTCCGAGGCAACCCGGAAGCATATTCTTAGGTAAAGAGCTTATTACGACAACTAGCCTTACCAGGTTCTCCGTCCCTCCAATTAGTACTAAGTTAGTTCGGGATCTTTAACGTTGGTCTATGCGGCGATCGTGCCAAGGGTATGAGGCTGGAAACATAAAGGCGCAGAGGCGTACGCGTAAGTAAGGTAGGTATCTGTAACTCTCTTTCAATTGCATTCGTCTCGTGACTATTTACTCTATCATGTTGTTGCTATTTATACTGTATCCCTGATATATGGTCATCATTAAAAATCACCCATCCGGAACGCTCGTATTGTACTGCCCAGCGGTGGTGTCCGCTCTTCGTGATAACCCATTCCTAGACGCCTCCCCCCAGTAAGTACAGTGCCACAAACCCGTAAACACCAATGCTTGAGCATTTAACAGATGCGATTCTTGTAAGTTTGGTCGCACCAAATAATTATGTTGGTGACGACGTGCCGCGAACATGCCCAATGTCGCACCCCAACCACCGTGACCAATTATACAGATTCAACAGAACATAAATGGCGTAATACATGTTTTTTCTCGTAAACATTCCCTACTACCTGGAGTAGGCTCCGAGTCCTGGTCCAAGATTACTAAAACTCATTAAACCATGCATGGCTTCAGTGATCTCCTGAAGCTGCTTGCTGTATGTATCTCCCAATTCGTGATAAGAAACAAAAAACTCTGCACATAGAGATAGTGGTATCGGTGTAAGAGGATGCACCTGAGCGGAAGCTGTCAGCATGTGGCTGATATGAGCGGTGGAGATGGCGGCGACCCTAGTAATGCAGGACTTACCTTGAAGGAATTTAATTGAGATAACTTATTAGTCAGATTCACGATCTCTTTAGCGGCTAACGTCGATTGCCTCGTATAGTCTGCTAAGATCGATCTCTTCTCTTCTGTGGGGTGGATTACCGACTTCAACAATTGGTACATGTAGAGGACCGTCGTCCGCCACATCATGCTGATGAAAAGTACCATAGGGTCCGCCTCCTGCACGGCGGTGGGGTAGTTTAACGAGAAAACATCCATCCGTTGTATGAGGATGGCGTTAATCCATTCGTGTCGATCCCAGAAATCCCTTGACTCGTTGAGATAGATGTTGTCCACCATGGATTGTTGTCGATGAGATAGTGCACGCCCGATGACAGTGGCCACGACGATACTCTCAGTAAATGTCGAGGCGACGATAGCATCTCTCGCAGTAATTGCCTCCGAGAGGAAGCCCGTTAAAGTGGGCTGCTCATTTTGAAAATCTATTTCCGGTGCCGGCAGGCGGATTGTGCTCTGGGTACAAGGATGAGTGTCAGCACTAAATCGGCACTAGAACGGAGCTGAGGAGGCTGCTTTACCATTACCTGTTCGCTGAACGTCATTGGCGAGTTATTCCTGACACTAACAAATCGATCCAGGCAGTAAGCCAGCCAGAACGTCCTCCTCTTCTGCTCAGCATCGACCCAGTCGGTTTGTGCTAGGTTAACATCTGTCCCGTCAGAATATTGAAGCCAGTTGAGTTGGATCAGCCTGAACGCGCGGCCAGCGCTTATCCAACCTCGACTGAAATCAACACACATGAATTCGTGGATAGCTAGGAGCATCCAGGCTTGGACTTGTTCCATATCAGTCATCGCAAGGCCCATGCTTCTAGATTCGAGGTTCTCGAGGGCTCGCCGGGTATAACGGTATAGAGAATCCCCGATATTTTGGTAATGCGCCGATACGGATGCGGCAAGGGTCCACATAGCATATCGGAGGCAAGACTGTGCCTCCGTCTTCGCCATGCTACGCGCCCACGTGAAGTACCGCCGTTGATGTAGGACGGGCGCAAACGAATGCACCCTGTCGAAGTAAAGCTGATCTCTGTTTTAAGGTTAGGGTGGCAGGATAGAGCTGAGTTTAGTGTACTAACAAATCTGCTTGCATCAAATTTGAGATGTTGATACCGTCCAACCCATCTGAAAGCTCCGACATTTTCCGGCCTAGAACTACATCCGAAAAAGCCACTCCATCAGTTGGGGTTTCGAATCCTTGTATGGGCGACGTCGAAGCGTGGACTGATCCTCCGTCTAACGAAGATCCACCAGACGCTGTGCCGGGCGCTGTCCCTTGGCATAAGTCGTGAAGAGCAGCGTCGTCGTCAGTCGTAATTGGGAAATCCCAGGACAATGGTGGGTGATCAGTAAATGTCATTCCATCAATCGTAGTATCTTCCGGGGAAATGGTGATCGTATTAGTGTTGCTATTTTGATTTTGCTGCTGCTGCTGTTGCTGTTGGAGAAGGGTTCCTTCAAGAGTGGCTAAAGAAGGTCATAGCGTTAGCATGATATCGCTCATGAGTTATATCAAAGTTGTTTACTGGTACTTCGAGTCTCAACTCTAAGCGGCAGTCAAGAATCCATTGTAAAATTGAGCAAATAACATACCGATGCGAGCTTGCAGTGCTTTTAGATAGCCTCGCTTAGGGCCTCTAGGCGGGCGGGGCGTTGTGACTTGGCATTGTACACCCGATGAGAGGCAGAGACCACAAGAAGGTTGCTGACGATCACAGCGGACTTTACGACGACGACATTCTTCGCAAGCTGTTAAGTAAGAGAAGGTTAGTAAAAGCCATTAGCCCGGCTTGCTTCGTTATCAATGGAAAGCTAGGAAATATCATTACATACCTGCACCTGGATTTTGTCGTGCTGGAGGCGTCGACGACTTGACGCTTAGATCTACTGATTGTGGCATCTTCTCGACCTGGATTGAAGCTTTGCTTGGTCACGTAGTCGACTAAGCTTGATCGATACCAAGTAATAGTTCTGGGACACGGCTGTTTATAGAGATCGATAACAAAGATTCCACTCAGCTGACTACAGCTCGGATGAGAAAAAGAAATTGCAGTTGCGAGAAGCAGGTATATATCTGTGAAAGATATGTCGACGGCCCTTTTGAGACGCCGCCGAGAAATTCAGAGCGCCCTGCGGCCTATAATCACTGTTCGCTAAGCTGCGAGACGGGTTACCAGAGATACATAGCCTACCTACACGAGTCCTAACGAGTATACTCTTGGTCAAGCCTCTGTACGATGCCGATTGGGTTAGGTCTGGACATGTGGTTTCAGGGGGCCTGTTGCTGACCCAGGGTCTTACTTGAGCAAAGTACCTAGGCAACGGGTGGCTGACAGGTTAAGCTGGGTTGAGCTTCGCAGGATCCAATCCTGACCCAAGCTGCGCATCTGCCACTAGACAAATTGATCGCCGAGGGATTCAGATGCAGTTCGAGCTGGTTACTACGTAGCAGCGTGGAAGTTTGTAGTCTAGACTCCGCCAAGGTCTAAATGGGAGATGCAAGGCACCTTTGAGGAATACCAGCTTGCTTTTCGAAGTCTCATACCATGTTACACTGCCATGTGCCATCCACGAGGACGAGGACAAAAATGGTAAATATGAGAGTTGGGATGGGCTTCAGGTCGTGCAGATTGTATGCAGACAATCACGTGTTTTACGGCCGCCGTAGGTATGGATGAAAGGGGGTGAGCTTCCAATCGGATTGGCTAGTTGCGTAGGATGTATGTATAAGACGGGCATATTTCGATACCGTCTTAGGTATCCAAGACGCCTAAGGTGAGTCAGCACAGGAACGTCAGGAATATACTAGAAAATGTATGGGTCGCCATTGGTCGGGTCCCCCCTGGCCATGTATCGTGCAGTACCTCGAGAGTAGGGGGTATCCATACACCCAGGGTGTGTAAGCATCAGCACGGTTCCACACGCGTTAGGAATACAGTAGATCCTATAGGTACGGGCTGGCCTATCCATACGCACTATGATGGACGTGTGGGTGCAACTTGATAACGGAGACTTCTAATCCTAGCCGCATATTTCGTGCCATCCATGTGGGGGTTCCAATGGCCTTACAGAGATCGTTGAGGCTCTTTGGTTACGATTGGGGTTTATCTTTAGCCCATTGCATCGTTTGGCGCCTATGATGCGTGATAAACACTTTGGTATTTAGGTAGGACCGATGCTTGATGACGCTACACATCGTCTGCGAGATCCCAATTACAAGGAGTAAAAACTTCGAAATGAGATCCAATTGGGATCCATCCAATAAGTTGTTGCTTCCTGGCTCCGCTAGGAAGGCTGAACAACAGGGCAGTGATGGTCAACTGGATGGAGTAGAAGGGTTATGCGACTGCGTGGCAGACCTGGGGGAGAATAAAAAGGAGGGGAAAGGATCGTCGGATCAATTAATCTACGAGATAACCTCGAGGTTTTTTAAGATTTAAAGTTTCATTTATCCGTCATGGACCCGCTAGTACCGCGTTAAGTCAATAGGAAAGGCATGGTTTGTAGCATAGGGGCAATTGACCTGCCTTAATGAATATAGCGTTATGCTAAATTTATTAGATAATTCATCCTTAGGTCCATACCCACCTAGCACATAATACGAACCAGTTACATCTCGCCCATGGCTACTATAAACATGTGCACTATCTGACTATCTCCACGATTACAAAACTCGAAGCCTTATTCAGCTAGCTGGGACTTAGCCGCACTTCCCGGAAGGTCATGTTGGAAGTATAAGGCGATGAGTAACCAGGTTCACATCCTCTTGTTATTTCGCCGTACAATTGTTGTGACGCCTGAGCTAATCGGATGCCCGGGATTCGATATAGCCACGCAGCCACGTTGCTCCCCGGTCGGCGAAGATAGGCTTAAAATGACCTTTACATGAGCTAACCTAGGGTATCTGATGCATCTTGTGGGACCTGTCACGAACAGGGTCATAGTCGGGAGAGATAACAGCGTCATCCTCGGATCTGCTTAGGTACGCGTAGTTGCGCCCCTCGCGATCAGCTCGTACTCGGCCGGGTGTTACGTTTGGCAAGATGGATGTTATCACCGACCTAGCCCGGAAAACGTAAGAATCTAGAATTCCGTAGGAATCGACTTAGTAAACACGGCGGATTGATCACGGCGGATTAATCATATGGTTGACCGGATGTTTTTTTCCCGGGGTGATTTTGAAATACCTCTCTGAAATACAAGCTTTTGATGCGGCCATTTGTTAAGTAATCCCGAGTCTAAACAATAGTTGAGTTACATAGGCATATTAGATCCTAGCTATGTGGCAATTATCGTCTCGTATGATTAGGGAAGAATAAGGTAGCTTACGTAAATTGGGATATACCATGAGTTTCATCATACTAATTATCCTCGTTTCGAATAGGAAAAATAAAGTATAATCCGTTTCCGTGTTGTGAGAAAAGTGAAGGGTACCTCGGTCCACAATGTTATTGCGTACGCATGGCATTAGGATCTATGTACATAGATGGTCCGGGGTTGATGACACGGTGATTTTAGTTTTACGGCGGTGTTTAATTAAACTATGTTGAGACAGGGTCATTAAGCTTAAAACCTCGAAATACCCAACTCGGCAGTTGACTAAGCGAGGTAAATTCCTTCATGCTTAAATCTCTCATAGACGGTTCCGAATAATGCACCGTCGACTAGAGCATACTATAATCATGCTATTAGCAACGGAATATTAAAAACAAGGAACTTTCGATGATTAACAAGCCAACCGCCTTGTTTAGATGGACGATCTAAACAAGCTTAAAAGCTCCCGCGATTCCCGTTGAAGACATCCATGGGTCTCCGGGTTCTTATAATTTTCCGCAACTTAGTAATGTAGATACATGCTGTTCATAGTATAGAGGCTTTGCATAGAATTGCTCCTTAGCATCGACTGGTAGTCCATTACATACGCGCGTAATTTACAAGGAACCTACCGCGAGCCGAAAGCTTGATTGGTTTAGGATTACCCGTGTGGATATTTAATATACTACTTAGTACCTCTTCCCCATGAAGCTTGTTACAAGTTACTTGAATAGGATTGCTAGCCTGTTCAATTGCCCCATAAAAGGTCCCATTAGCATTTGGGCTTTTGCGGTTCTCTGTAGATCTGTAACTGGGTCACGACTAAATCAGTTCGCATCTTTGTAATATTACTATACCAATAACATATTCCCTAGGATTAGGAGTTCGTTTCACACGCTGCTTCGATCTATTAGAAGCTACTGAACCTAATGACAAGGCTGAGGGCGATCCCCCGAGCTTCCGACCCTGTACCCTGCTAGCATGTGCTCGAGCACATGGCTTAGCGCCTTTTTATTTGGTCGCATCGAAAACAAAGTTACGATCCCTCCCAAAGGTTCTAGGCCCCTGGTTGATCCGGGTCTAGAAGGAGACCCTTTGTTTGTGGCATTCGAGGAGAGAAGGAACGGTAGGAAATATTATCTTCCTTTGTCATTTAAAATTCTTCTCTTCTAGAAACAAATAACCAGCATGCAATGCGAGTAACGCATTCGCCAGGATTTAATCGCATTCGTTTACTGATCGATTAAGGATCGCAAATCGCAGATCACAGCTTACATCAGTCATGTCACAATTACGAGAACTCTCAATATCATTCATGTCTCAACAATTATCTGTAGAGATAATGTATGCCATGTCACGTCGAGCGACGTGACGTACGAGGCTTTTCCGGCAGTGGTTAATGATCCCTACCACTAATCCTTATGGTACCACGTATCCTGTAATGGAGGGGAGGAAATGAGTGTGAAATGGGTGAAATTGAGCCAATACCCGGCAGGTGCCTCCCTGTAGATAATAAGCTTATGTCGAGCTCGGGACTCCGAAAGCTTATTTTCCCCTCGGATTTTGGCTGTTATGTAAGACGGTGATAGGGGGCCAGGGGTTAGGGCAGGTGGGAGTGGGAGTGGGACCCGAATGTGCAGGCATAAAGAGAGGAACCCGGGGGTACAAGTAGAAAAATAAGGTTAAAGACCTGATACTCTCGATTTGACAGATACTAGACGTATTAGCAAAACACACCTCCTACCGATTTCCCCACCCCCACCAACAGCCGACCAATTGGTCCGCCCGAGCTATAACGCTTGCTTCCGGCGAAGCTTGATACGAGTGAAGAATGCCCAGATAGAATTAGGATTAGACGACTACTTGGGGTATATATGCCTGTTGAATCCCACCACAGCTCGGTCCTGGCATCTCGGTTTCCGCCGTGACAGCTCGGGCGAGCTGAGATAATGGAGTTCCGAGTAGCGGATTTTGCCTCACTCTGACGCCAGAAATTACCCGAACAGGCCAAGGCGGCTAGGAGGAAAGCTCTCCCGGGCCCCCGGACGTTGCAGATGACTAACTTAGCATATCACAAGGGGGACACGTACATACATACATACTACAGTACTCATGAGCAGTGAGGCGTACAGATAGCAGATTGCGAGCATGTCATACGAACGCCAAGGCGAGCATCGCACACGATTGTGTCGCGTAACCCCAGATGCCGTCCCTTTTACTTTTCCACCGGATTCTCACCTAAGAATCCGGTGCGTGGTCAAGGAAACGCCAAAGTCTCGGCGCGATCCAGCCATGTCAGCAACGGAATATGACTCGTCGCTCACCGCTTCAAAATCAACCACTTTCGTCTTCTGCTCTATATTGCGCTGACATTCCTCGGCGCATGAACGCGTCCTACAATCTTGATGCGGTGATCGAAATCGACCAATTGATGAATCTGACAAAGTATAATGAGAAACACTGTTTGAGGCGTAGCGGGCATGTGAATCGCGGGAGTCTCCGAGTAACCCTGACGGACGGTCTTCTGGAAGTTCCCATAGGTCCATTCCAAGTGGAACCGGGGAGCTATACTATGTAGAGTATGCGTATTGTACGTCCTCTTCAAAAAGATCCAAAAATTCCATATTGGGACAGCTCGTTCCTAGCCTATTCCGAATTCGGTATGAGACAAGCTCATCTAGCTCATCTAACCCCCGCTGAAAACTTGGAGAGGGTTGGAGATATTATCATGGCATCTGCGGGAGTTGGTTGATTGACATCGTGAGATACTTACTATACTCAACGCGATGCACACTTACCTAGATATGGCTCGTACCCGTACTCGGCCGAATATTTCTCGTAATGGCGCCATCATGTGGCCCCACCAGTTGCCGTCTTATCCCCTGTGCCATATGAGGAGGCGTTAAACGTGTTTATACTAGCTACCGATTGCAGGGACTTTAAAGATCCAATGTGAATCGTAATCTGGAACCATGTCACACATGGTGGGGGATCGGCGTGTAGGGCACTTAATGAAGAGCGTCGTCACCCTTGTAGCCCTAATGCGCATTACTTGACGACCACAACGGCAGAACGGCTAAGTTTCGCGATGCTTTCGGCGTGGCTAGGCCTGTTATGTCGTACGGCATACCATGTCATCGAGAGCTGCACGTAAGGGGGCGGCAGCATGGGAACCCATGGAGAGGATGACGTTGACGGGATTAGTGTAGGCTTTTAAATCTTTGATTTCCTATATAGGTACCAAAACTTTTGTCTAAGGACAAGACCCTAAATGTCTACTGGCACTACCCATCCCGGTGACCTGGGGTATGTGGGTCGCGTGGCGTATGTATAGTAGAAACCCATAAACCCAAATCCCTCGTACATTCCAAACTAACCAACAGTTTCATCTAACATGGGTATACCTCAACTTACAGAGTAACAACGAGCTTGGCTGCCGATACGCCCTTCTTCACGAGATCGACAGCCTCCTGGATCTTCTCGACACCCTTGCCAACGATGATAGGCTCAGGGGCTGGGACATAAGTACCAGCCGCCAGTGCCGCCGGTAGGAAGTCGTTGTAGATAGCCTTTCCAACAAAGTTGTCCTTTAGAGTGGTTCCAAAGATGGAGTACATCTGGACACCCTCTGGGGGCTCGGGCCAGCCCCGCTTGGTGGAGGCGACAGCCTTAACACCCTCCGACTTGGCTAGAACCTGTTGGAGGATGCCCTGGGGAGCGCCACCAATGCAGTCGAGGGCACCAGCGCTGGTCTTGCCCTTCAAGGCGTTGATAAGATCGTCCTGGACGGTCGGGCTAGCGTAGTCGAAGACCTGGCTGGCACCGAGCTTCTTGACATACTCGAAGTTCTTGGGAGAGGCAGTGGTGATGACCTCATAGCCAGAGTTGACGGCGAGTTGGATGGCGTTGCTGCCAACGGCGGAAGCACCACCCCAGACGATGAAAGTCTTGCCGGTAGGCTTCTGTGGGGGAACTGTGGGGAGTTGGAGCTTGAGGTGAGTGTCCTGGTAGAGAGCGCATGCAGCGGTAGACATGGCTAGAGGGAGAACAGCAGCTTTCTCGTAGGCAATTTGGTCGGGCAGATGGGTAGCCATATTGGTCTGCACAATGGTGTATTCTTGGAAAGCGTTGTCCTGGTCACGCTTAGTGGCCATACCGACGGCGTGGCCAACAACACGGTCGCCAACCTTGAAAGAGGTGACACCGGGACCGACAGCAGCAACAACACCAGCAACATCCTGACCAAGCATGGTAGGGTAGTTCAGGGGCCACCAGCCGGCAGCTTGGAGAGAGCCATCGACGGGGTTGATGGCGACGGCGTGGTTCTTGACAAGAATCTCGTTAGCCTCAGGGGTCCACACAGGAGCGGGCTCGACCACAAAGGGGTGGCTCTTGGCCGCTTTGATCCAGGCAGCGTTATTGGTGGCCGACATCTTGCTTCTGGTTTGCGTAAAGTATCTAAGTTGTTGTGTAGAGTTTTTAGAAGATAAGCGAGGTGAGTATATAATAAGATTGCTGCTGTTGTTGTTGTAGCTGTTGATGGTGAGGAGTGAGGATACTGAGAGAATTCTTGGATTGAAATGGCGGCTGACGCCAAGTCTTAAGAATGTTTGCGAGAGCTGGCCGCTCGGAGACATGATGCTGAGAGACAAGGGTGATGTCACTTGTCGTTTTCTTTCTGTTTGTCAGTAGTTTTGCAGTGAATTGGGCTGCCTTGCTGCTTTCTTGTGATAGATGAATTACTATCTGAGACGTATGTACGAGATCGCTGCAGTCGGAAGAATGAATGCACACGAATGGGGATGCAATCTATACGAATACCTCCGCCGCCGAGCTGAATCCACAGGCATCAAGCGTAAGCACGGCGGCGATATTAAGCCGATACTTCCATTTGCTCGAATTCCTTGCGGCTCGTAGTTAGAGATCGGAGTACACTCGCATCAAGGCTGTGCGCCTGCCTCGTCTTCCTACGCTACGACTGTAAGAAATTAGGAAAGCAAAAGAGCCTCGGTTAGGCTGAAGGATCAAAGATCGAAGGTCGTAGATACCAAAGATTGATAAGACGAAACCGGCTCCTGTCCTATCGAATAAGAATGGCAATAAGATGTTGTGTAAGTGAGGATCCAATAGGATGAATGGGTTGAAGAGTAAGACTTGCATACTCTTATGTCCGAGCCGGCGGGGTTACCGGGATCCAAATTCGTCACTTCGGATCTCGGAGATTCGCATAATGCGGAATAAGGTTAACTTTAGTGATCCAATCAAGTTAGACCCGACCTAACGGCTGTGTAGCTGACGGCTAAAATGTAACCCCAAGCCGCAGATTAGGTTTCATTCTAAGCGCAAAACTCGCATTTAAGGATCAAGGATCACGGCACTAAAGCTATCCGCATTTGTACTAGGAGCTAGCCAAGGCTACCTAGGCCTTTGTGCTACTAGCTAAGTATCTAAGTACATGATCAAGTGTAAGATAACGGGTTTAATTTAAGGTATGACCAGAGCGCACGTGATGTTACTAGAAGACTACTAGGTACATAGTACTAGCAGATTAGGTGTCTCACTCACTCTCGATTTCCGAGGTACGGCTCGGAGTTTCCATTTCAACTAGCTTCAACAATCTCACCTACCAAGTTTAATCAGGAATACTTCCAAGGACAACCAAAAACGACTTTGACAATATGACAACGGGAAGAGATGAAAATTCTCGCTAAGTACACGAGTTAATACTTGGAAGGCGTTTCAGCTCTTCCCCCAGGTATGGGACGCCTAGGTCCCTTGGTGCGGTAGGTACAAAGAATGCCAACGGAATACCGACGAAAGCATTGTCATGTAAGTAATAACTACTGTGAGCCATTCGAACCCTGTAAAATTTCTGAAGGTGGTGATGGATGAGTCCTAGAAGTTAGTTCCATCTGATTACTCACACAACTTTTCATTTCCAATAATATACTCGTTCCGCCGCACCTTCAGACAACACACATGATGATCCCTTCGATATAGGATAGACTCACCCGTCGAATTCGAATTTTGTTACTCGACGTAGGTAACAGTTACCTAAGCGCATGATTTGACGTCTTTATATGCGTCAGTGACCACCTAAAGAGAGAAAGCATAAAAATAAGACCCAATCTTAAGCATCATCCGATCGGACATACACTCGAAACTCCGAGGCTACCCAATACAAGCAAAGCTCCAAAACCTACATAGTTTCTGGGTAGACACGCATCTAGTTCTTTAGCTTCTTCTCCTTCCTTGCTTCCTTGCCTTTACTTGCCCCCATTTGCCCCTTGTCAACGTACCATCAATATCGATAACTAAAAGGCCGACGACACCATGGTCCATCAACCGGAGAATCAACAGTCGCCGGTGAGCGACTCTGAAGATCTCACTATCTCCAATGGCAGTTTCGTAGCCACCAGCGAGAAGATTGACGCCGAAAATGCACTACCAGCAGCGCCGGAACCTCCCCGGATGGGACCTCCCCCACCGCCCAACGGTGGCCTTGTCGCTTGGCTTCACGTCCTTGGCGGCTTCATGCTGTTCTTCAACACCTGGGGTATTCTGAATGCCTTCGGCGTTTTCCAGACCTACTACGAAAGTGGCGCGATGTTCGAGAGATCATCATCGGATATCTCGTGGATCGGATCTATCCAGTCTTTCATGGTGTTGCTTGGTGGTGTCTTCGCCGGCCCCGTCTACGATAGAGGATATTTACGACATTTGTTGATTCTGGGGAGTTTTATGATCGTCTTCGGACACATGATGCTAAGTCTTTGCACACAATATTGGGAGATCGTTTTAGCTCAAGGTCTTTGCGTTGGACTGGGAGCGGGTATGCTCTTCGTACCTTGCGTTTCTATTATCCCTACCTACTTTAGCAGTAAACTTGGTCTTGCCGTTGGGCTAGCATCATCGGGTTCATCCGTTGGTGGTGTTATCTACCCCATCGTCTTGTACCAGCTCTTGGACAAGGTTGGGTTCGCCTGGTCGGTCCGTATCATGGGTTTCCTGGCCCTGGCGACCCTTCTTATCCCCATCACTATTATGAAGATGCGGTTCAAGGCCCCGAAGCCTAGATCTCTAATCGACTGGACTGCTTTCAAGGATTATCCCTACCTGTTCTTTACAGGAACCACTTTCATCGGATTCATGGGGCTCAGTATTCTCATCTTCTACATCTCGTACTATCCTCAAGAACAAGGACTTACCGATGAGGCGCTCTCCTTTTACATGGTGCCTATCTTTAATGCCGCATCCTGTTTTGGTCGAATTCTCCCAAATGCCTTGTCGGACAAGATTGGCCCGTTCAATGTTGTCGCGCCTTGCTCGCTCATCACTGGTATTTTGATGCTCTGCTTGATGGCGGCCCACAGCAAGGGAGCAGTGATCACCATTGCAGTCCTCGTCGGATTCTTCAGCGGCGTGTTCATTGCCATGCCCCCTGTCTGCTTCTTCCCCCTGACTCAGGATAAGTCGAAGCTAGGAACCAGAATAGGTATGGGCTTCGGTATCATTGCTCTCGGTCTGCTAGCCGGTGGCCCCATCGCCGGGGCTATCCTTGGCACTGTGAAACCGCTGGACTGGTACGGTCTCTGGGGATTCGGTGGAGCTGCAGCTACTCTCTCTGGTATTCTGTACACGGGATTGAGGGTGTACCGCTCCGGATTTGCTTTAATTAAGGCGTAGTCGGGTTGTACATGTTACTTCCCCACGACACATTCATAGTGCATATGTGGAACCGGAGCAAGGGCTCGTCAAGTTCGACGGCATATGGCATAGTAGCATTGTATAGAGGGCAGGGTTGGCCGGGTATTCCCGCGATTGGTGTATCAGATTGGGCTTCGTAGAAATCAGGCAGAATAAGGTTGAGAGTGGGAGCCCTGGTCAGGCTCGAGGGCTCCGGCCGTACGCGACTTGCATATCAGGGAAACTGGCATATAGGACACGGTTGGCAATGATTATGAGGCATACCAAAAATTCGTTTCTTTAGACATTCGTTGCATCATAGTAGATTTTACGAGACCCGTTAGCACTTACCTAATCATTATACCCCGCTAATACCAACAATTGTCTATAACCTCACTACGTTAGATCCAACTTACTACATGAGCCCCCTATTCTTGCGATGATAAAACATGATACTCAATTCGAAGGTGACATAACCTATATTTGCACCTCACGCCGAGATCATGACGATGCTGAGGTATATACAAAGTTTACGTATGCAGAATGTTACATCTAAGTTTCCGTAGCAAACATGAAGCGGAACCCAGAGTAGACCAGAAATCGTGAGGTCCTCGCTTAGAAGCAACTCACATCTCTCTACGCAGGTCCACTCAAAACCGCAAGTCCGTTTATTCCCAAAAAACCAAAATCCAACTCAAACCCAACCCAAAGCCTGTAGATAGATGCCAACGCGACGCCCGCACTTACAGAGGCTTCCTCACAGCGCACTTGAACGGGGTAACGGTAACGTTGTCGAGGTCCCATACACCGATCTTGGCGTAAATATCGTTTGCGACTATGGCGCGCACATCCGCCTCCGTGTTTGCGCGTACTAACCATGCGCTGCCATTGATGGCCAGGCCCGCGTCGGCGGTCTTGGGGTGCTCTGCCAGAGTTGGTCCTGACATGACGATGGTTCCTGATTCAACTAGACCCTTTAGGCCCGCCATGTGTGCCTGGACGTTGCTGATGCGGGTGGCTAGGACATCTGGCCTGTCCGGGATTCTGACGAGGAAGTCGTTTAATTGCGACATGGTGGTTTGTCTGAAGTAATGGCGTTCGGCCTATTGTAAAGTAGGAGGCTATACGTTGAAGAAGAGGTGTGTAGTTGTCGGTGGGTAGTGTTGTAGAACGGCTTCTATGTTCGGATGTTCTGGAATTACAAAACGTTCAGTCGAATACCAGTCTGCACTGTAGTGATATCAAAGAGAGTGGGCATCGCTCCCTCTTTTACATAACCTCGTCATCGTCCATCGTCCAAGTGATTACATGTACTTGCTGTATTTCCCAATATCTCCCCCGTTTCGCACGTAGAAATGGAGAATTGTAAGACATGCATGGCTCGGATTGTTACCCGTCCGCCGACCTGGTGTGTACCGGGTGTCCTATCCGAAGGACTCAGCCACGCGCCGTTATAACCCGATCAAATCCTTTGTCCGCATCCCGCATCGCGTCAACTATTCAACTCGGCGAGAAGGCAGCCGAATAAGAAACGAATCAGATAAGGAATCAGTGCGTTGATGGTATCACACTGTCCTTAACTCCTTTTTTCGCATATAGCCTGCCCTCGCACTACCATGACATGAATCTTACCTCCTTTCCCGACAATCCATGTTTACCTCAATTCCTACTCCATCGCCACATTCCTACCGAGGAATACTTTCGGCATAGAATGTTCTATCGGAGATAACAACTTATGATCTAGGTATAGTTAGAAAAAGAGGCTTTGCGCTGTGTGTCAATAGCGATTTAGTGGGCTCGGTACGGAGTTTCTCGCCCTATCAGCTAGAAGAGCTGACATACAGCAACGCTGTGTAACTAAGTACTGCAATGATAGTCAGCACGGAGTAACAAACTACCTCATCCTCTTCCCTCTGCAAGCCCCAGTTACCACAGTGTTGGAGTACGCAACGACAAGCCCGTAAGATGCACACTTCTTCTCTCGGTAAGGCAAGTCGGATTGGAGTTTCTAGAATACTGGGTAAATCAGCAAGGCCATCTTACGAATCCACGCCTGAAGGCGCAGTTGTATCTGGAGTTTCTCTTGTAACGTGTCGAACCACTGTGTTGGGGATATCAGGCTTTCCATCATGGAATCCTTCTCTCACGTCGGACAACTCCTACGTTAGTCAGCAGATCGTGATTGTAATAAGAATAAGTCAAATTATCTTCACAAGAACCTTTTTGTCGTGATAGACCATAAAGTTCTCATCGCAGGTAGAGAATTAGTATCACCAATTACGATCTAACGACGTAACGAATCTATTCCAAGATCACATAGCACAACCGTCAAAATAGGGAACAAAATGGGCAGCATCGAAAAGATCCCTGAGACGGCTCCCGGCGCCATCCCGACTGTGGATATCAGCGCCTTCAGAGACCCCAATTCTTCGGAGGAGGCTAAGCAGGCCGTAGTCGACGCCGTGCGGCATGCTTGCACGAAATACGGCTTCTTCTACCTCGCCGGTCATGGCGTGAGCAAGGAGAAGCGCGAGGGCATCATGAACTGCGCCAGGAAATTCTTCGAGCTCCCTATGGAGGACCGCATGGACGTCTGGATTGGCAAGTGCATGGGCAAGTCTTTCCGCGGCTACGAGCCCCCTGGAATCCAGACTCACCAGGAGGGTCTCCTCCCTGACATCAAGGAGGTGAGTTGGCAATTTCTTTAGCCTCCGAAAAGGGGTCCTCAAAGGTTGAAAGAGAGAAAAGGAGAAATCGATGCTAACATGAATGTGTTACTCTTTAGTGCTTCACCGTTGGCCACGAAGTCCCTGCTGATGACCCGGAGGCTGGCACCTTCTCGACCGGCCCTAACCTATGGCCTAAGAACCTCAAGGACGAGGAGTTCCGAAACCCTATCATGGACTACCAAGCCACCATGCTTGCGCTCTCCAAAGTCCTCCTCAAACTCCTCGCCCGCGGTCTCCCCAAGGCCTGGGGGCACTCTCCCGACTGTATGGACGAATTTGCCGTCAACCCCTCCATGCCTATGAGACTTCTACACTACGCTCCTCAGGAGGTCCTTGACGAGCGCCAGTTTGGCGGTAAGTATCCACTCTCCCACTGTACCTAAGTTTAGAACTAACAAAACTCAGTGGGTGACCACACCGACTTCGGCGGTATCACCATCCTACTCCAGGAGATGAACACGAAGGGTCTCGAGGTCTGGTACCCGCCCACCGAGACCTGGATCCCCGTTCCTCCCAAGGAGGACACTTATGTTATCAACATGGGCGACATGATGCAGAAGTGGAGTGCCGGCTACTACCGCAGCGCTCGCCACCGGGTTATCACCTCGGGCAGCGAGCACCGTTACTCCGCCCCTTGGTTCTTGAACGGCCAGCTCAAGCTCAAGTGCAAGGCCCTCGACGGCTCCGGCGTCGAGACCATTGTTGGCGAGCACATCCGCCAGCGTCTGATCAACACCATGCCCGAGGCTGGAAAGGCTCTCAGATAGACCCCTGAAGATCAAGGATAAGGCGAAGTGTGAAGGGAAAAGGAGAAGTACTCTTTTTCCTTACTGTATGCGCGCAAGCGCCAGTGTGTAACTAGTTGTAGATTGCTAGTAGACAGAATTGTTGTTCCGGTTAATATTCATCGGGGACACACTCTTTCCGCAACTCTCCTTTGTATATCTAGAAGTTGGTAACGCAATACACTTCATAAAATTCGTATTTTCAACTTTGTTAGAATGGTTTTATCAATTATAACTACCCAAGTTTCACGGAAGGTTTCTTGTTGCTTGAAAACGATTGTAATTGGATTTTCACTTTATTGAAACGCGAGCTTATTAGGGCTAACTTTTCTACGACTCTACGATTTAAGAGGTTTTCGACTCTCTGAGTTTCTTAAAAATAACCTGATTCGTACTTTTTTTATATAATCACGACAGATATGAAAACTGAGCAGTACGTTTTTATAATTTTTAAGATGGAATCATTGTGACCGATCAGGCTTATCACCTGTAATATCGTGAGGCTGTCCGACTTGCGATTCTCGTCTTTTGGTGGTTGTTTGGCTCAATTGGCAGGTGATAGCTTCCACCTGCAGGTCTTTGTCCCTATCGTGACAATCATCGGTCTCGTTTAGGGCACTGAATGATTTCTTATTTTTGGGCATCGCCATGACAACTGTACACACTAATTAAACATATTATTCATAATTAATTAAGGAGCATTTCATCCTTTGATTAGGAATATATTTATACAACTCAAGAATCATTCCCACATAGTCTTTTGTTGACACTTTCAGACTACCTAGCCTCTGGGTATTTACTAATCATTGGGTCAATTTCATGGCTTTACGATAACGAAGACTCCATACATCCTACATAAGAGTGGATCGTATCCTTCACCTCGGTTCACAATGTCTCATCGCCGATGGGAACATCGGAAATCCGACCCCCATCTTACATAATCTTCACTATAGCTTCAACTTGTAAGGACCAACGTGAATATACGAAACACGAAACGCCCCTCACGACTACTCCATTTGTATCTAGTGCTGACAAGACCTCTCCAACACCTTTCCCGGGATGTTACAACCTATTCTCCTCTACCCAACTGAGAGACCTTCATAAACCAATATGACTTCCATTAATCACAGACAAAGGTAGTGAGTGTATCTATGAGGAGAACCCTAACATATAAATATCAAGGAGTTATACCTCGGTCGAGTAACTTTACTCGGTGCTGCTTACCTACTTAATTGTGTTTTGATAGCCGCGGGAAGAGGATTGCTGCAGAGCATGCTGGTAATATCTTCGGCCGTCCATTAGTCAACTATTAGTCAACGATGATTATCCAACGATGGGTAATACTTCCCGCTATAGGCAATGTGGTGCTGACCCCAGATCCGATCTCCCTGCAGCCAACCTTAAACATGCATCACGGCGTTGCTACCATCCTCCATCGCAACCTCCCCCGTTTCCAGGTTCTCGGGGCTTGAGTACTCCAGTGTACTTTCACGAGAATGTTGCCCTTTTGACTATAACTACACACCCTCCACGTGGCTCGCCCTTGTAGATGCCTCGTTGGGTCGGGTGTAACGAACTGCATGCTGCTACCCGTTCATACCTACCCGTACCTCCATGTTTCTTACATGCATGAGACCCTCGGGGACATTCCTTGATCATCTACAACACGTGGCGGCAAGGAGAGGGACCTGGCAAGTTATAAACCGGTTCAGACAATGGGTCTGGTATTGTTAGCTTGCGAGTGTTGGTTCTAGCGTACCTATTTATGGACGGAGGTAACCCCTTTCCCTTTCCCCTCTTCTGTTTATATAATCTACCTACACAGCCCTGTTTCATCTCCAACATCCGAGTACCTACACGATATGTGACTACAGTCGAGTGGAGAGACAATGCTCTCTATTTGCAAAGATACCGATAAAGTATTTCACTCAAGCAACTACCTTGACGGCACATAGCGACGCCACCCCTTTCGTGTAACCGGATTTCTGAACAGGCCCTGATAAGGCGGTGTTTGTACAAGATAAATTAATACTACCTACATGTACATCATTTCAACCGGTGTAAAAAATGGTAATTCACGGTCCCTGGTTGACAGTGATGAATCATAAATACCACCTTATGTTTGCCAAGCCGCCGAGGTCTCTAACTAACAAAATACCTACGTGGTTGCTGAAAATCTTGTAATTACATATAAAAACCATGTTTGAACATCGTATTATTATCCAGCTTTATAAACTACAGTAGTTGAATACTTGAACAATGAGCTATTGTCCTGAGAACAGTAGAGCATTATCACAAGTAGATAACAACCACGTGGACAAATTTCAAATTGAATGGTACCTACAATGATAATAATGAGGACGATGATAATGTTACTTCACAAGGGACAGTATAATTTTGACAGTACCGTCCAACATTCAAATAATCTTCAAGCACTTTAGTTATAGCAACGTCGGCTGTAATGTAACTCATGAATCACTAGGGCGCCAAGGTGGGATTTGGTGACTATTTTACACTTTGGTAAACTGTATTTGATGATCTCAAGATCGTTTTTTACTTTGGAGTTTTCAAGTGACTATTCCCTGGGGACTGCTTGGGGCGTTAGTGATGGTTTTACGTACTTATCCATAATATATATACAAACATGATTAGTAGCACTAGTCCCTCACATTTCGCAATATAAAACGCACCATACTTGATAAAAGCCCCTAACCACCTGCATATACCCCTATTAACTTGTCACTGATAAACATCACTCTTCACCCAAATTCAAAACCATAAAAATATAAAGATAATTTACATATTCATGAAACCTAAGTAGGTAGGTAGGTACCTAGGTATGTATTCTAAGATAGAGTGGCAACCCCTTATTCTATATATGACAGCCACTTCCAACACGCGATGTTATATACGCACGCAATGACTTCAAACGAACCTTTGTATCGGACCATCACCCGTATGCCTCCTAAACGTACCCACGTACCCACGTACCCCAGTCCTAGATACATATATAAGCCCTCACCAAAGCCTCACCGAACACCCATCTCCCTCAAACAACTCCTCACAATCCCCACCGCCTCATCCACCACCTCCTCCCCGCGACGCCACGTATACAGCTTGACGCCCTGCCGATCCAGCGTCTCCTGCGCGCGCTGCAGCCGGCGGAGCCACAAGTCCAGCTTCTTATTCGCCACCGCCGCCGCCGGTGGCGTCAGGCTCCCGGTGCTACTCGCGTAGCTGCCGTAATTACCACCACCACCGCCGCCGCTAGCGGCGAGAGAAAGCGGCTCGAACTCCGCCTCCGAGCCCTCCGTCCGGCGCCGGTTCAGGCCGAAACTGTTACTAGCCGCGGCGAGGCGCGGGCTAGGACTCGATCGCGCCGTCGTAGAGCCCGACGACGTAGCTTTGCGCCTTGGCGGTGGCGGTGGTGGGGGAGGGAGTAGGACGTTTTTCGACGAGTTCGAGCTCGGGTTGGTGGTGGTTTGGCCGTTGCTCCGGGTTTTTGCCAAGGCCGTTCGCTCGTTCGCGCCCGCGCTAGTCTGATCGACCAAGCTTTGCATTTGCGCGAGCGGGCTCGGTGTTATCGATTTGTTGCTGGTAGTCGGCTGGCTAGTCTTCCGCGGTGCCGGTGGCGGAGGCTTTTTGTTGAGCGCGTCCCCGTTGTTACCATTTGTAAGCACAGGAGAGGCTGAGGTGCTCTGCAGTGAGCTCGGCTTTACTGGTTTGGGTGGTGGTGGTGGCTTGCGCGCTAGGAGATCTGTAGGTTTCACGGGCTTGGCCACTACTTTTGAGTCCGAATTGACTTTGCGAAGCGGTTCTAGTGGTGCATCTTCCGAGAGGTCAATTAGGTCACCGGTGGCCGGTTCGTTAACAGGTTTGGGCGTAGTTGCCATTCGAGGAGGTAACGGAGGTCTTCCGAGCGAATCATCGCCTTTACTAAGACTCATCTCGGAAAACCTCTGATTAAACCCGGAGTCAAAATACCCTGTCTGCTCGGGTGTCGTAACATCGCGGATGAAAATCGCAGCGATCCTCCCCGGATTTGCCACTGCTAGCTCCGTGTATACTTCGAGGTCCGCTTCACCACTATCGCCGACCAGCAGAAATTTTCGCTCCGGAAAATCCCTCATGATTCTTTCTAACGTGCCCTTCTTGCGCTCGGCTACGGGCTCGAAGATTCCCTGGAGCACGCCGGTATATTGTTTGAGATGTAGTGACCCAGGCGGAAGGCCCGCCAGCTTGAAGAATGTGGCTAGAACCGGGTACAGCTGCCACGGGCTATTTGAACAATAATGGATGCGTACGCCGAGGTCGTGTAGTGCACCATACCAATCCCGAACGCCGTCGATAGTTAAATCACGCAACTCACACGCAAACGTGTTCCGGAAGACCTCCTTAGTGCCCAGGGCGATGTTTGACCGTTTGACTGTGTCATCGATATCACTGATTAGACTGACTCCCTTCGGCTCGATGATCTGCACGGGTTCTTCGCAAGAGATATCTTCGTTCACGAACACGCGCACGTGCGTTGGCACGAAGTCGAGAGGCACCCTGGTTGAGAAATGTCCGGCGTCATTAGTCGTTACAGTACGCGATTGGGCTTGCGACCCATTGTAGAAGAATAACGTAATGGGTAGTTGAACTATAGGTGTTGTCAAGAATGGCGCGATGCGGGCCATTAGATTCGCGTTTGCAATTGCGAGTTCGGCTTCTGTAAGCTCAGATCCTCCCGCCGTGTTTGTACGCCCTCTAAGAATGGGAGATGTTGGTGCTGATGGAGGCGATCGGCTGCCACTTTGCGAATGTTGACGTAGGCGCCGTGTGCTTCCTTCGATATCAGAGCTCTCGTCTCTCGGGCGTTCACTATACTTTCCTCTCTGCGCAACCTCTTCTTCGGCTTTTCCTCTACGCTCAATTTCCCTCGCTTCTCGCGCGATGCTCTCGTGCTCGCGTTCTTCCTCGTGCTTTTGGTGCATCCTCCCCAAAGAAGGTTCCGGAGTAGGTGACGAGTCAGGCTGCTGCGCCCTCGGAACCGGTATACCGCTCAATTGTCTTGCCAGCCCGATCCATAATCTGTTAGTCCGTGTCATTGGGCCTCTGTGAGGGTTGTATATCCAGCCTCGGACATCCACATCTACGATTGCTTTCTCATCTTCGTGTCTTGACCACTCGTTCCTCCAGTATTCCTGTTCGTTCATGGCTACAGTCGAAGTAGGCGGCGGCCCTCCCGGATTTTCAAATTGTCTAGGTTGGTTCCTGGCATGCCTCTTCGCATATGTCGGAAATAGAACCATCTGTTCGTTTCCTTTTGTTACGAAAGCCACGTCTGGGAAAGATCCAGGTATTGTGATATTGGAGGTATCGAACTCCCTTGATCTTGTCTGATTATATGACTCCCTAATCTCATTCACGGCAGTTGTAGTGGCTCTGTACATGCTGCCCGCCATTGCCGCGAGCTTCTTCCTCCTCGCACCCCTTTCGCGTCCGCCCTCGGCGCCATAATTCCCGCTGCCCACGCCATTTTCAGGCATGTAACTCATCTTACCCGGCGTAGCTCTAGACCCATCCTTCGCAGGTTTATTACTGGGTGCTGGTAGACCGAGAATCAGCCGTCGCACGTGGTCGACGAGACGCGACTGTTCACGGCGACGGCGCTGGCGGTCAAGGATAAAACGGTATATGCGACTCTGAACGCGGTGCTTGTAGTAGGGGAGCGTATCGAGGTGGAAGCCAAGGATGCGCTCGCGGTATCGTTCGCGCAGACTATGTGGAAATAGGTACTGTAGGAGTGATCGCTTATGATGGGGATGAGGTCGCGGTGGTAGAAATCGACGAGGAGGAGCCACTTTGGAGGATTGCCAATATCGGCGTGGCTATGATCGTATTATAATAGGGATCGCCTTTTCTCTCGAAGGAATATATAGAAATGTATAGGTAGTCGTATTATACATATCTATGTAAGGTATATATAAGTCAAGTTACAGCCTCGCTGCTTATGACGATCGCAACGTGATAGGAACTCGGCCAGGTGGCTGATGTCTTTGGAAGATTGGAAGGCGAGTGAGAAGAGAGAATTGAGCAATGACCAATAAAATCAACACATGGTATATAAAATTAAGGGGTCCGAGTTGGAAAGGGCACTTGCGACACACAAAATTCTATCAGATGACTCCGTCTTGTCCATCGCGGTTGTAAAAAGTTGGTGCTTGTGCCGTCGAGTCTCACCCGGGGAAAGTGGAAGGTGCATTTTGGTCATTTTGGTGGGGGCTGCGCACTGGTGACATCAGCTAAGAATTCAGAGCCCAGACCAGGCAAGATCCCTGTCCCTGTCTTGCATTCAGGGGTAGCATTCATACCACCAATTAATATTCATATATAGAATATACTATCTACGAGACACTAACTGCTAAACTGCTAAATGTTGGCTGTCTATATCGTTATTCAGCTCAGAACTTTATGTTGTTCTTGAGGCAATTCGTCATCCGTTCTCACAAGTCATAAGATAATGGATATCTCAGCTTCGTTGATGACCTAGGCTGGTTTGAATACATAGGTAGGTAATAACAGGAAGGTTACAAGTTTTATTAAAGACGACGAGTCTTGGCTCAACAGTATCGTCACCCGATCTATCTCTTCTTGACCCTCCCGCTATTCTTGGACTTTTTCTTCTTGTCGTTCTTGAAATTTAGAACGGCACCCTTGCCCGCTCTCTCGGCAGAACCCTTCTTCCACATGCCTTCAGTCCGAACCGACTTTGCGTCTAACTTCTTCTTGTCCTTGTTGCTAAGTTTGCCGTTCCCTTTCTTCTTCAACGACTCCTTTAGCCCATTCAGCTCCGTCCTACCAGCCTCCTTAGCCTTCTTCTTATCATGTTGTGTTTCAAACCACGTCCGCTTCGGCCTTGACTTGATCTCGTCTTCGTGAATAACCATATTCTCACCCTTCTTAATCTCCATCTCTACCTGCGCCAGTTGCTTCTCTTCTTTTTCTTCCTTAGCAATGGCCTCTATCTCATCTGCCATCTCATCGATCTTGGCTTGCCACTTATCAGCATCAGCCGGATCAATAATCAAACTGCTAATCTTAGCTCCCTGTGCCTTTCCTGCTTTAACTGCTGCTTTGACCACCTTACGATCAGGTTCCGCGGCGAGGGTGATAGCAACACCTGACCGCCCGGCCCGAGCAGTACGTCCCACACGATGAACGTAGATCTCATGGGTTTGGGGGCCCTCGTAGTTGATAACAGTATCTACCCCCTTGATATCAAGACCTCGAGAGGCCAAGTCGGTAGCAAGTAAAAATGAGACCTTGCCATCACGGAAAGACTCGACGCTAGATATACGCTGCAAGCGGTTAGAAACTAAATGTTTAACTAGGTCCGGGAAAACTAACCTGTGCTTGGTTCATGCTCCCGTGTAATTCAGCACAAGGTAGGTTGAATAAGGCGAAAATAATCCGAGCACGATGCGCTTCTTTCTTCTGTCTAAAGAATATGATGACTCGCTCAGTATGCATCGTTTTGCAAATATGGATGAGGTAGCCCATCCTTTTTTCCTCTCGGCCTGGCCTTAACCTGACGAACTTTTGCTCTAGCTTGTCATTCGTCTTCCTCTGAGCGTCGACCATCACTCGCACTGGCCTATTTAGACCTGCGCGGATGAGCCGGTCGACGGATGAAGTCATGGTAGCTGAGAAGAGCATCGTCTGCCGCGACTTGGGCAAGGTAGTAAGAATTTCATTCAACTCGTCGGCAAACCCATCTTCTAGCATTCGGTCGGCTTCATCAAGGACCAGAATCTCTACCGTATCCGTCGAGAAGCTCGCTGAATTGCGCATGTGATCAATGAATCGACCCGGTGTCGCGATAATAACATCGGGCCTTAGACGTAATTCTGCTTCCTGGACTTTCAAGCTCAGCCCACCTACCGCTAAACAGAACTTGATATCCGTGTGGCTCGCGAGCTTGGTAGCGACTGCGTGACATTGTATAGCAAGTTCTCGAGTAGGCGTCAGGATAACAACGCGACTCGTAGCGATCTTATTCGGCCGGTATAGTAGTCGCTCTAGGATGGGGACGACGAACGCGGCTGTTTTTCCGGAACCTGTGACAGCGCCACCAACTAAGTCTTTTCCTTCTAATGCGAGTGGGATTGTTTTTGCTTGAATTGGGGTGGGTTCGTTGAAACCGACGGAATTGAGGCCGCGCAGAATGGGTCGCGAAAGGGACATGGTCTGGAAAGACGACTTCCCCTTCTGTTTTCCCGCCGGCTTTTTCTCTTCGGGCGCAAAGAAAGCCGCTCTCTTTGCGGCTTCTTCGGCATCTTCCTCCTCGTCTGTATCATCCGATTGGGCATCATCATCGGGGTGACCGACCGGCGTCGCGACGGAATCGTTGTCGGAAGCATCGCCCTCGTCGTCTTGATCCTGATCCGACTCATCCTCTGCCGCATCTTCGCCCGACTCTTCATCCGAAGCGGCGCCCATGCCAAACCCATCTGCAGCTAGAACCTCGTCGTCTTCGTCATCGAGCTCGATATCCTCATCTTCATCGTTATCACTAGCGTCACTAGTGACCTTTTGTCCCTTGCCGTTTACTTGCGCATCCTCTCCTATATCGCCTCTCCTCCTTCGCACGATTTCATCCACGTCCACGATTCTTTTCTGAGCATTCCCGTTCATGCCCTTTTTTGCGCCGTCGAACCCCCAACCCTCGAAGTCTTCCGTTCTGAAATCGGTAGTAACATCTTCGGCGAATTCGAAATCAGAGTCCATAGCTCCATCGTCTTCGTCTTTCTTTCCCCAGATGCCATTCTCTTCCTCCTCATCTAGGCGGGCAGATTTCTTGCTCTTCTTAGCCTTCTTCTTTGGTGGGATTGGCTCGGGTATCGCTTCTTCCTCATTAGGGAGCTCATCGTTGTCGGACAGGGTATAAATAAAATCGTCGGCTTTGCGCTTAGAAGCCATATTGAGCCGAGTCGCATTTAAGTCAAACTGTTCGGAAAACAGCTTGATCTTGGTGCAAGGTTTAATTGAGAAAACTTCAATGTTCTAAGGGAAATTTATTTTTTATGCCGGGCGGTGAGCTGTAGCCCCACTAAATAACCTACATATTCAAAGTCCCCGCCATGTGGTATTTCGTGTAAGACCATTGGCTAGAATTTCCATGGAACGACGGCGGACGATAATACCAAATCCGTTAACCCGTTAATTCATTTTATATATTACGATATATATAATATAAATATATAATAAACTTTAATTATTAATATTATATTTTATTATTTATAAAAGTTATAACATTAAAAAACGTTATAAATTATAAAAAATTATAACGTTTTTTAATTTATATTATTTATAATATATTAAATTTAAAATTATTTTATTTAAGCTTAAATATTTTATATTTAAATTATTTTAAAATAATTTTTAAAATTAATTAATAATTATTTTAATATTATTATTATAAAATTTTATTTTAATAAAAAGTTTTAAATACGAAAATTAATTATTTTATTTATTTAATAAATTATTTATATTTTATAAATTAAAACCGCGAAAAAAATATTAATATATATTAAACGTTATTATTTACGAAATTATAATTAATTTTTAATGTTTAAAATTTTCGATTTTATTTATTATAATAAATAATTAAATTTTTAAATTAATAATTATTTTAAAAGTAATATTTAAAATATATTATTATTATTAAATGTTTTTTATATTATTTTTAAATATTAATTAAAATAAAAATAAAATAAAAATAATTTTAAATATATCGGTTATTTAAATATATTTATTTAAATTTATTATTATTAAAATAATTATTTTATTATTAAATAAATTAATATATACCGGGTTAATATAAATATTTATTTTTATTATTATTATAATAATATTTAATATAAATATTATTAAAATAATTAAATAAAACGATATAATATTAAAAAAAATTTTAATTAATTTTATAATTTATATAAACGCGATTTAAAAATAAAATAATATTAATTATAATAATATAAATAATTAAGTTTATTAAAAAATATAAATATAATTAAAAAATATTTATTAATTTAAATTTATTTTTATAATTATTAACCGGTAATTAATATTATAATAATTTTAATTTTTAATAACGATGTTTTTAATTATAAATTTAATTATTAAATGAAAAAGTTTATTTAATTTAAAGTTATATTTATAATTAATTAAATTTATTAAATTAATAAAAATTAACGAAATAAATATATATATTTAAATTTTAAATTATTAATATAATAATTTTATTAATAAATATTTTTTTAATCCTTGTAAAAATTTAAATAATATAATTAATTAAGTTAATATTATTTATTATTTTCGGTTAATTATTATTATTATTAATAAATATATTATAAATAAATAATATAAATAAAATAAAAAAATATTTATATTTTATTAAATTTTAATTAAAAGTTTTTATTTAAAGTTAATTAAGGCTTAATTTATTATTAATAAAAACTTTTAACTTTTTTCTTAAAAAATTAATAAATTTATTATTTTATTTAATAATATTAATTTTTTATTTTCGAAAATAAATAATTAATATTAAATTAATTTTTTTTTAATTTATTATTTTTAAATACAATTTAATAATAAATATAATAAAAATTTTAAATATTATTAATTATTTACGTTAAAAAAATATAAAAAATACATATAATATAATAAATTTAAAATATTTTTAATAATAAAAATAAAACATTTAACGTTAATAAACGAATAAAAAAAAATAAATTATATTTATTTAAATATTTATTTATAAATATATTTAAATATATAACTTATACGTTTTAAAATTTTTCTTTAATTTAATTAAATTTTAAAATAAAATAATTTAAAAAATTTATTAAAAAAAATAACGTTATAAAAAAAATTAATTTAATTTAATAATAAACGTAAATAAATATAAACGGATAAATGTAGTAATAAATCCCGTAATAAATTCGTTAATAACACGTAAAAGTTTTATTTATATAATATAAAAATAAAATTAATAAAATTTTTAAATTACGTTATATTTTATAATAATATTAATTATATATAAGTTATTTTTAAATTAAATTATATTTAAAATTTAAATGTTAATATAAAATTAAAAATAAAAACGTTATTTATTTATTATATATAAAATTTAATTAAAAAAATTAATTTTATAAATTAAGTAATTAAAAATTTAAAAATAATTATAAACATTATTTAATATAATGGTTTCGTTATAATTTTATTAAAATTTTAATTATTTATTATATATTTAATTAAAATAATATTTACTTATTAAAAAAAGTAAAAATATATATATATAAATTAAATATATATATAAACTTATATTAAAAAATAATAACTTTAATTAAAAAAGAAAAATAAAAAAAAACGGGGCATATATTTTATTTTAATATTAAATAAACTTTTTAGTAATTATCCGTTATTATTTAAGTAATATTAATATTAATTTTTTTAATTTTTTTAAGATTTTTATTACGGGTTTCCGTATTTTTTTTATAATTAAATTTTTTCGAAACCCGAATTTTTTAAAACGAAGTAACATGTTATTTTTATAAAGTTCGATTCTTTGTTTATAAATTTTTTTAACACGATTTAATATCGAATTATTATTATTTCGAACGGTTTAAATATTTATAATATTTTAAATATATAATTTATATATTACGAGATATAAAAAAAATATAAAAAGCGATAATTTCTTATTAATAATATTAATATATATTATAAATTTTATTTTTAAAACGTTTATTTAATTTATTAAAAGTGGTATTTTTTTTATTTAATTCGGTATAAAAATAGTGGCATTTTAATTGCTTTTTTCGTTTGTTTTTTTCGGTAATATTAAATAATATTTAAATTTATAGTTAGTTTTTTTTTAAATTTTAATATTAAAATAAATTATTATATATTATTTAATAATAAAGTTTTTAAATGTTTTATACCTTATTTTTTTATTTTATTTATTAATTATTATAAAGTTATATTTTTTTAAAAATATGTTTTTATTATTTAAACGCGTTTTTAATATTATAATTAAGTTTTTTTTAACGTTTTTAATAAAATATATTTTATAATATAATTTTATTAAATTATTTTATAAAAAATTATTATTATTTTTAATTTAATATAAGTATATAATAAAAACGATTTAAATATTATAAAAAAAAAGTTAATTATTATTCGTTTATTTTTTTTTAAACGATAATATTCGGAAAGTTTAAAATAATAAGGATAAAATTTTTTTATTTTAGGTTTTATTTAATGTAAATTATATTTTCGAAGCGGAATAAAAATTTATTTATTAATTTAGTTTTATATTTTTAAATGGGAATCGTTTTTATATTTATTAATATTTAATAAAAATATATTAAAAAATTTTTATTTTAAAATTAACGGCCGGGAAAGTTTTATATTAAGAACGGAATTTAAAATAATGTTAATAAATTAATATAAATGGTAATTATAACCCGGTTAAATTTAAAAAAATAATTAACGATTATAACTTTTATATTACGAAAATAAATAAGCCCGGTATTCGAAAAATTAAAAAATTATTTAACCGGCGTTTATTTTAAAAATAAAATTAATTATTATTTTTTTAATAATTTACGAATATATTTAAATGTTTTTTAAAAGCGGGAACATTTTTCGAAAAAGTAAAATAATTTTAAATATTATTAAATTTATATTATTAATTTTTTTTTTTATATAATATATAAACTTAAAAAAGTTTTAATATTAATAAGTTTTTTAATAAAAAATTTAACGGTATATTAATGTTAATTTTTTATAATAGTTTTTATTAATTTACGTTAAAAATTAATTTATTATAATATAATATAAGAAAACTATAAATTAAAACACGTAAAACAAGCCGATTAATAAATAAAATTTATATTATTAAATTAAGGAATAATTTATAATAATAATATTAATTAAATAAATAATAAAATTTAACGTAAATTTATTATTATATTTAAACGTGTAAAAAGTAATATTCGAAACGTTTATAATGTAATAATATTAATTTAACGATTATAAATTAAAAGTTATTATTTTAAATAATAAAAAATAAATTAATTATATTTTTAAATTTAACGTTATATTAAATAAAATTATAATTTAATAACGCGTTTACGAATATTAAAACGTGTAATTAAATAAGTGGAACGGATAGTTACCGTTATTTTTTGTTTAATAAAATAAGCGATAAATTTTTTAAAAAAAAAAAAAAAAAAAAAAAAAAAAAATAAGGTTTTTTGGTTCGGTAAATTTAAGCTTTTATTTAAATTTCCCTAGGTATATATATTATTAAAGAATTTAATATATTTTTTATAATATTTAAAAAACTTTCCCGCGTATTATAATAAAATAAACATTTAAAGTTAAATTTATAAGTTATTTATACGTAAGTTTTTTTTATAATTATAAATTTAAAAAAATTTTAATTATTATTATTTATTATTAAAATTATAAAAATTAACCCGTAATTAATATAAAAAAAATTATAAATTATAAACTTAAATTAAATAAATTATTTATAATTATTAAATTATATAATAATAAAATTAATAACTTTAATAAATAAAAAGGAATATTATAAACGAAAAAAAATAAATAATAAATAATTATTAAATATATTTATAAATAAATTTATTATTTAAAATATAATTAAATAAAAAAAATTTAAGCTATTTTAAATACGCGATATAAATTTAAAAAAGTAAAATGTTTAAATTTATTATAAAAAATTTTAAATATATTATTAAATCCGAATTTAATATTAATATAAATATTATTTATTTTTATTTTAATTATTAAAAAATAATAAAAATAAACTTAACATAAATAATTCCCGGTTTAAGTTTAAATTTATAAAATTATATCCTTATTTTTAACCCGGCTTTTATCGGAATTAT